GGGGGGGGGGGAACACGGATGGGAGTAAGCCTGGCTATCTAACCAATAGAAATGCTGATCCAAGGGAAACACATTGTGACTCTGTAGCAAGCAAAACTGCAGTGCCGAACGGGCTTTGGAAGCGATTCTTCTACATTGGGAAATGCAATCGAGTCCTTCAGTAGTATCCTAGGGACATATATACCATCCTGCAGGTGGGTGCAATATGAACCCTTATATATGTGGCACTGGAGAAATAGGCAGTCTGGCTGGTCTCGCACACAGCATACACCGGAGTTTGCATTAGTCATGATTCCGTACAGGCAGTCGAACAGTATCCAGAATTGACACGGTATTGCATTTTAATAAATTGGGCTAATACCTCCCTACATCCACGATCTTCACTCATCAGAGGGTACTTGTAGCCCGCGGCTCAAAGAAAACCGTCAAAACACCAGTGGGACCACCTTCAATGGTCAGGGTGCCTTTGGCATATGACTTGAGCGCCGCGTGGGCCTCACACTCGTCGTCATAGTATTTCATGTCGTCCATGCTGGCGAACTCGGTCTTGCTGACCACGGTGAAGCCCTGGGATCGCTGGTCCTTTTCAGCGATACCGGCGGTGAGAGAAAGTATGTACGGCTTTCCATTCTGTATTGCAATGTTAGCTGGGTCCTCAGATGTACCTCAGTTCATCTGCCTGGGGAGTCAATTGATCGCGAGTCATGGTTTAATGATAGATCACAATTGGGCATTGCAAAGCTGTGTTTACTGGGAGAACAGAGAAGAAATGGGGACAAAACTGCCCCGCATCTGCCCCGCGTTGTTCCTGTCAGCGCTTCGGCAAAGGGAACCAAAGCCACTGTGAGCTTCAGCTAGCTAGCTGGTGTGGGTTGCTCAAGGCAGCCAAATTTCGAGAAACGCGGGGCAACCTTTTTATCACCCAACCACTAATAAGCCACTCCGACAGAGGCTGATGGTGTACGGGAATAACTCGTTTGTTGTGTAATCAGGAGAAGGAAACTAGGAACTGGACCCTCATGGCAGAAGAAAAGAACGCACCTTTTGTTGGTTCTTGGACAAAGTCTTGTACGCCTCAATCAACTTTTGCTGGTCCTCAGGGACAGGCAGCTTGAACATTGTAACTCGGTGAATGCGTCCGGCCATTTTTGATGCAACTCTAGAAATTCGACCTCGCTTGCCAAGTGAAGATAACTTTTCCGATAGGACCCCAATGGGATGATGCAAGTATATCTGGATAGGGGGAAAAAAAGAAAAGAGAGAATAGATGAAAACAAGAGGGCTAGCGTCGGGACCCTCGCTCGTGGGCATGCCATTCTTATTACTATTTATATATGCCGCAGACGCCCAAAAGTTCCGTGGACATCCGTCGCTGGCGGCCTTCCGAATGCAGCCCCGATCCGCTGGTGTCCCGGTGACAGGGCGAGACCACACTCCTGCTGACCGGCCTGATTCTTAGTAGGTTTACGCTTCCAGAGGCGCGGATCTTGAAGAAATAGCCTATCTACTATTCACTGTATTGTTTGAAATATCAGATCACCTTTCTCACTCGTCCCCGAAGCCCGATTGCAGGAACCCCCGTAAAGCACAGTCAGACCGGAAATCCCCAGTGATCCGGCCCAGTACCTAATGGCTCCTATGGTCAGTCTCAAGACATGCCTTGGCAAGCTGGACAGCTTTCAACTGTGAATGACGTCGCATGCTCATGCAGATTCAGAAATGCCAAGTATGACCGTCGTGTTTTACACTCTATGTACCTCGTATATATAAATTCATTCAATAGATCTTCTTCAGATCATGTGTACAATTCCAAACATTGCTTTCTATAGATACATAATTCTGCAGCGCTTATTGCAGATACGTCAAAAACATTCAGCATCTTACTCAACAGGGCTGACATGAATCTGCCAGATCTTGCTCATATCCTCTGGTAGTTTTCTCGTCTCATGATTGTATCGAGGGTGGCTAACGCGTTGGCTCAAAACTCCACTTAGCTTGCCGTCCACCAGGTATGATAGGAAGTCCTTGGATGTCTGCACGTATTGCATCAGGCCCTCTTTCACGTCGACAGTTGCTCCCGTCGTCCAGCTGAGTAATAGAGGTTCAATGAGTGGCGCATCCGTAACAGTGGGGTGCGTCGTCCCCTTGGCTGTCATGAACCATCCTGCCTTCTTGTTGCCGTGTTGCTTGTCGACAATGCCCTCCACAATTTCCTTGACCGTGTCAAAGTGCGGCCGTCCGAAGAAGATGGAGCGCTTCGACGACCACGACTGAGAGTGGACAACTAGCAGCGGAACATCAATGTTTGCGTTCAGCGGCCCAGAACTTTTGCCAGGGTCGAGCGCAATGCCACCCACAAAGGGACGCAAGTCATTCGGTGCACCCTTGAGCGCCTGCATTGCGAGTGTTGCGCCATATGAATGGCCAGCCATTATGACCTGGTCAAAATTGAGGCGATGGCGCCAGTACACAAGCGTGTCGCCTTCTTTCCGCGCATTAGCCCGATGGACGTCTTGTCCATCACCATTGTTAATGGCGCGCAAGACACGAACCGTCTCTTCCACCTCGGCCTGGCGAAGGGCGAGTTGCACTCTCTTGAGTTCCTCGGTCTCTGGCACCGGGTCCAATGCATCGGCTGGTGCATGAAAGACCGTCTTCTGCGTACCGTCTGCCTTATAGACAATGGTACCAGGCCCGCTGCCGTCTCTGTGCTCGACGGCTGCTACAACATAGCCGCGGGAGGCAAGCTCGCCGAGGTAGTGCGTATAGCTTGTGCGACCTGAAGCCATGCCATGCGAGAAGACGATGACAGGGAATTGCTCTTTTTGTGCCTCCTTTTGCTCGCTTCCTACCAACACAGCCTGGCCCTCTTCCTCTCTAATCACATCTCTTTTTCCGTGCTCGCTGGCGCCATGTATCGGGACATCGACCTGGGCTGGAATCGTGGTAGATCCGACAAGCGACCATAATCCACCTTCGAACAGCTTATTCGTAATCCATGTGCTAATGCCTGCGAATCGGGCGTAGCCCTCGGCGTAGAGTTTCCCTGATTCTGGAATCCAATTGTGTTTTGGTCTCTTGCTGTGTACACCCTTTTCGGCTGGGTAGAAGATGCTAAACATGACCGTCTCGAGCTCGAATGCCGGTTCACCCGTCTCCTTGTGTACGGCATCACTGAATTTGCGCGGGTGGACCGCTGGGATTTCGATATCGACCGTTCCGACATCGTAGGGGCCCGAATAGGCCGGGAGAGAGTCGGAGAGAAGAGGCTGGCCAGATAGCCAGCGTTTGGCGCCGTACATTGCGATGAAGGTGACAAGAAGGTAGCGGATAGCGAGGCGAGGCGTTAGACGTGCCATTGCTGTGGGTTGACTAAGTACCTAGATAATTGCAGGGGATAGATAGCTATAAATGGGGTTGCTATTGTGACGTTGGATCGTCACTCTGACATGTTGACCCAGTCTTGCCAGTTGTAAAAGAGTCCCTTATTTGTTCAATGCAGGGACAAGTTCCATGATTTGTAGTCCCGTCAAATGATGGGACTGGCGCTCCTTTGTGTCAGCGTCCTCAGCTTGTTTCCATCTGCTTGAAGTGAAAGCTAATGTACCGCGAACTAGAAGCTGAGCACTAATAACGTCATTGATGAGACGGGTGGCCCCACTAGAGCTGATGTCAAAGCTTGGCTTACATACCCGATCCCACTTTCTAGAAGACATCTCGACGGTTCCTCGACTAGGTGCAAGTCTAATTTTGCTGGACATTGTTGACTTTGACAGGGCATACAGGGGCTGTATCTCGTCGATTTGGTTCAACTTCCTTTTGGCTGTTTGTGGAGTAGCCATGACGCCTAAGGAAACGCGAGACCCATGTTTGACCGACGCGTGGAGGGTGTTCGGATGGACAGCCTTGCTCGAGTATCTCATTGGCAGCGTAAATGACCAATTCCATGCGTACAGGGAGATTCAAGCTAAACATTCGATCAATGTATTCGCAAATGTCCCTCTCTTCACTCGGTGACAGCCTCTGGTTGCCCGTTTGCCCAGGTCCTGCTGGTTTCTTGGCTCGGTCGAGGCGTGAACGCAGAGTCTGACGAGCTACTCCGTACTCACGCGCAACCCTGCTCATATTCGCCGAAGGATGGGTCTGTATATGAAGAACCGCTGCCTCGAGGTTGCTGTTCTTCTTGGTCATGTTGAATCGACGTGTTTAGCGTTAAAGGAGTTTCGTCTGACGCAGCACACCCTTTGGGATTTTAGAGGGAGTTTGGGGACTCGGGATCCCGTTTGAGTGAAACTGTGGGGATATCTGCGCTGTAAACATTGCTGGAGCCAATGCTGAGTGCAAACTGCCAACGTCCTAAGCTGTAGAGCTGTCCATTGGGTGAGGAGAGGCGCAGATAATATTAAAACGAAAACATGTAGACCTTGCCGGCTTACTGCATCTCTTACGCCGTAAAGATTATCCAATGGTTGATGCAACCGAAGGAGAGCACCGCTAACTCGAGTACACTGCATACTACTCCAATGTCCCACTAAGGTAGCCCGCTATCACTTGAACTGTGTACCACCTACTTGAATTACAAATCATACACCTCTTATCATCTAAATCTCTAAAATCCTCGGCCTTCTATTCTTCGATCCTCACTCTGGGTGTTCTGAAACCCGAGGCATCAGGAACCAGAGAACACACATTCCTCCGAGCAGTGCAATCATAATCGGCTGTAAAACGCCAACACCCTTTGCAGAAGCAATCGCCCCGGTCATGAAGGGGAAGGCAGCGGAACCTGCCTGGCCAATAGTGGCAGTCAAACCTGACGCGTATTAGCAGAATTCCCATCAGCTCTTCAGCTCATCGTCTCGTCGCCCGTACCAACTGCTGCGACGTGTAATTCCTTTGGAAGTAACTTGATCAATACCGAGATACCAACGGGAAAGAATGGCGCAATGATGAATCCCAACAAACTGACGACGACGGCACTCGCAATGATATTTGGCACCAGCCAGAACAGCAGCTGCAGCGCGATGGCGATGGCAATGTAGACAAATATCATGCGTCGTTCCCCGAGTATGTTGGTTATGTCCGCCAAAACTACACGTCCCAGCGCCAGACCTCCCCAAAATCCGGATGCAACGTAGCCAACGGAGCTCGGCTCGCCATTTCGGACTGATATCAAGAACTCGACGACATATCCTGATCAGTATTAGTCATGGCAAAGACTTCCAACTTCTGCAGAGGCAAACCAACCTCCAGCAGTGATCTCAGCACCAACGTAGAGGAAGAAGAACCCGCTCAATACCCACACAGGTCGTTGCGTCAATGCTGTCCACAGCTCCTTGCTAGGACTATCCGTTGACTTTGAAGGTTGCACTTTCAAGAGACTGGGCCAAAACGCCCAGATAATCACGACCAGATTGGCACTGGCAAGGCCAAGGAGAATTATAAAATAATAGTGCCAGTGTGGTGTTCTTGAAGCAATCGCAGTCGCAGCCAAGGGGCTTACAAGAGCTCCAACGCCAAATATGGCATGAAGTATGCCCAGCCATCGATATGCATTGTCCAGATTGGCGACAAAGGCATTGGACTGAGCGTCTTGATACGCAACGCCGAGACCAGAAAAGAAGAAGGAGCAGGCAAAGAGCGGAAATGGTGGTTTCCAAAGCACTAATGCATAAGCCAATATCTGACTGATTGAACCGACGACAAGAGTGCCACCGATTCCGAGACGAGCGCTGATGTGGACATTGGTAAAGGCTCCAGCAAGCCGGCCACTGAAATTGACGAGGTAGATGATTGCCACAAAAAGGAGTCCTACATCATATGCTGGCTGGAGATAGGGTATAAGTGCTCCAGTTGCTGCACCTGTTTCGGGACCAAGTCAGCCTGGGCTTGTGAGAATAGAAACATTACTCCAGAAGGGACAGGGGTCATAAGGTGCAGTTTAGAGAAATTCTTGTTCGAGAAACTTGCCATTCATTCCTGCAAGAAACTGGACAGCATTTGCAGCAGCAATCTTGGCCTTGGAGCTTTTGGCGCTGATTCCATCAAACGCATGTGGCGCCTGATCGGCAGGGCTCTGAACCTCTGTTTCTTGGATCCCTCGCAGCTCCATTACTCTATACCACTCTACTAGGTTAGGTCAATGTAACACACCAACACAACAGACGGAAGTAAAATTCAAACTGGAGCAATAGTAAATTCCGGCAAACAATCACCAGTAAACTGACCGGCGCTTGTATGCCGAGGGAGACCTGTCTAACTTTGCTACACTTAGCAGTAACCCAAGCACCTTCTACATCACCAGTTTCGGAATAGCTGGCATGACAACTCCCGATATAGCTAGGACATTTTTAATAATACCTCTCCTAGGACGAAGTTCACATGAGCCAAAACCCTTAATTGCAACCTTTGGATACTGGTTTCAGTTCACTATATGAATGGGGTTATCTTCATTGATTTTCAAGTTGTAAATCCACGTGAATATTGTGTCGTAGTATTATAGACTGGCTACATGGTGAGACTTTGTAGTAAGTCTACAAAGTCAAAGAAACTTCGTTTATAGAATCTTTCATACGTTGTCCGGTTTACACCTTGAAGTCCAAATTGTGTCGACTTGTAACCGAATTCATTATTGTCAACGAAACTCCACGCAATCGCCCCAATAACGTTGACACCATCGTAATCGCGGACGTCAATCAAGCCCTGGACAAAGTTTCTGTAGTACAGGGTGCGCTCAATGTCGTATCTCTGCTGATCCATAGTCATTTCGCTTTCCCTTACCCGGGGCAGACCAAATTCGGCCACGAGGATGCCCGAGGGGTGAAAGTTGTCCCAAATGTACTTCATTTGTTGGCGTACGTACTCTGGCGCATTGTAAGGGTACGACTGAGAAGGACCGCCAATGAGCCAACCGTCCGGTCGAACATAGGTCAGTTGTGCGCAAGAGGGAAAATTCGGGTGCGACGCGTTGGCCACACAAGCCTCGATGCCACCCTCGGGCGCCGTGGCAAATTGCGCACTATACGGGTCGATGGAGAGAAAGTCGAGGGTCCCGTTGATATATGCAAGCTGCTCCTCTGTAAACGCCGTCAAATTCATTCCCGGTGTCTGCAGCATACTCTCTGGGATCTGCTGCCCGAGAAAGATGGGGTTGCACATGATTTTCCAGACCATATCCTGGTACCGAGTGGCCGCAGCTACATCTGTGGCGTTCTCCGGTCCGTGCAGCGGATATGCCATATTATTTGCAAACTTGATGGTTACTTGTGCAGTACCATTCAAGGTCTCCTTGTACCAATGATACACCTGCGCATGCGCCATTGTGATTCGGTTGATGGTCTGGTATTCTGAAAAGAGGTATTCAAAGCCAATATTTGGTTCATTGAATGTAACCCATATAGGTATCCGATCAGAGTAATGCGTCATGACCACCTGTGCATAGTAAAGGAAATGCTGCATCATTTCGTCGTCATCAAAATTAACGAGTGCCGGCGTATCGAAGTGCCATAATTCTGCCACGGGCGTGATGCCATTTTCCAGACAAAAGTCAATGAGGTCGCTGTAATGGTCGAGACCCTGCTGGTTGACAGGCGACCCTGAGACTCCGAACGGAAGAATCCTGCTCCACGAAATGGAAAATGTGTAGTAAGGAACTCCCATGGCCGCTAGTCGAAGAATGTCCTGTTTGTAAAGAAAATAATTCATAGTCTGCGCGACGCCATCGTCCTGCCCCTCGACATTTGGCAAAGCACCTGTGCCGTCGGCTGGCAAGGCAGGGCCTCGACCTTCGGAATACAGCGCCCCCTCGACTTGCCATGCGCTACCCGAAAAACCCCATATGAAATCATTGGGAAGCTTGCCGCGAAGGGGGCCAAGGCCAAGCGATGGGGGATAGTAGAGTTCGGATGACGGGACGGGCGTAGGACTAACAGTCGTTGTAAAGGGCAGTGACTCGCTGGTGAATGTAAGATTCACAGACCTCCACAGAGCATTATATGCCCCATTACCGTAGGTCCCATCGTCTGTAGTGGTAGCTGTAGGTTGGTACGAGTAGGTTGTATATGTGATGTTGGGCAGCAGTTTGGATACAGCACTCGAGGGTTCCGGTCCGAAAGGAGTTGGTTGAATCAGGGGGCTTGCTATCGGCGTCGCTATCCTCTCAGTAAACACGCTGGTGTAGGAGAATGATGCATAAACGCGCATGAACACCGAGAAGATCGAGAAAAGTAGTGCTAGATAGGACAGCATGGCTGTATGTTTTCTCACTCGTCTCTCCTAGTGGCGAAGATTATTTCACGATTGTGATTTACTCTTGTCAGATTATAAGGACTCTTAAATGGGAGACGGCCCAACTACTTTTTGCAACCATCTCGGGAGGCCGACAAGAGACGGCCCCATCGGCTCGGTATCTTTGAGGTTCACCGACTTCTTCATCATCAGGGGTTGCTCTTTTCCTTGATTTTAGTTTCAATGGATCGAAGGCAAACACCTGGACCTTTGCCAAGGCCTTTGCCAGGATTTCTATGCTTTCACCTGCATGTTCGACCCGGCCGGAAGACTGGAATAACACGAAATCCAGAGTGCACGTAGTTCATGTTGATAGAAATCGAGGTTCAGCCGCGATTTTGCCGAGCACGAGGGACACTACAGACAGTGCGAACCTATGTCGCGGAATGTGGAGGATTTTTCCTGCATGTGCATGGACTTGGGTCGTATTGATGGTTCATGATGATGAGCTGTATCGATACCGGATTCAGTTTGATCATGAGGCACATCCTAATTTCAAACAAGCTAGACAAGGCTTTAAGCATTGGGGAAATTGAAGCCAAACCATGGATGAAATGTCGTTGGCAAGATATCGGCTATGCTCAATAGTCACCCCGGCACACTCGAGGTATCTTTCTAATGTGGTCATCCAACTTAGTAGACTAATCAGAATCGAGGCAAATAGCAAGAGGGTCGGATTTTGAGGATCCAGGTACTGTCCCCTGGGCTTTTTTTCAGCAAGCCTGGTGACCATGTACGGCTGGTACTAATTGTACACCAATTGAGACATAAAAATGTATAGTATTTTCGGAGATTCCACCCACCGAGCAGAACTGTAGGTAGTAGTATGTCCACTGTATATACCAGGATCAAGGTCACCTCTTGTAGCTTCCGCTTCTTCAAGCCCTCGATCAAGCTTCTTCAGCCTCCAGCCGCCCATTTAAGAACTCCCAATCAATGTGTGGCCCTTCAAACTTCCTACGCACCGTAATCCAAAGTCCAGCAATTAGGATAGTCAAGACGAATAGCACTGCACAAACGCTATACAAGCAATTAGTATTAGGACGAAGCAAGGCGGGGGAAAAAAGTACTTACTAATTCATGTTTCCTGCAGTCACTGGTAATGTGCTTGGAAAGCAAATGAAGATTCCAATGACCGTAACCCAGAGAGGTGACCAGGCGTTACATATGTAGCCGAATTTGCCCAGGTTGAACTGCCTCGCGGCAGGTAGTGTGCTTCGGCCGTGGAAAAGTGTGATTGCTTGTGGTACAACATAGGATATGTTGACGGCCAGCACCGCAGTTGTGATGATGGAGTTGAAGGCAGAAGTACTCGCCAGATACAACACGCCATAAATGATACAAAACACGACGGACAGAAAGGTTGTCCTCACGGGAAATCCTCGAATGGGATCAATGTAGTTCCAATACTCTGAAAACGGCAGGCCATGCTAGCAATAAGTTTTAGCTGAGGTTGAGGATGAATCAGGAAGGGTCTCGGTCAGCAAGAAACACTTACATCTCGAGAAAATGCCCACGTTAAGCGTCCACAAGTGATCCACTGACTCGGCATACAAGCTTCCTAAAGGTTAGAAGAATCCCATTTTACAACTACTGAGCCCCGACTTACTGTAAAACAAAACTGTAAGGATGCCTTGCAACCCAAGAGCGGCGGATTGACTTCCTGTGGCTTGATAGAATGCTTCCAGACTAGGTAGTCGAGCCGATCTCACAGCATCGATATCTTGAATAACAAACATCATCGCGACTATGAACGGTACAGCTGTTGCAAGACCGATGACCATTGTGAGATTCCTGGTACCTTTAGTGACCTAGCTTTGGAGTGTAATACAAACAGGACTGGGTCAGCTTACATGGCACGGGGAATCTCTTTGCCTGGATTGTTCATCTCTTCAGCAATGTGGATGACGGCATCGAGACTTGCAAAGGCGTACATTGCGTTGCCTATGCTCATCATCCAAGCGGTCCCCGAGGACCAGCCACTGACACCATCAAAGAGCAGAATGTCCCCAGCAGGCCTGTACTCCTTGCACATTGCGAGTATTACAACCGTTACAACGACGAAACCCAAAACCGAAAGCGTTAGACACATCTGGGTCCAGTAATTGAGATAACGTTGAGGTATCGTAAAGATTGGAATGACTGTATGTCATGCGTTAGAGCGACTCAAAAGCAGCTGCTTTTCTGCGGTGCCTCCAAACATATACGTACGGGTGATAAATATGAGTGCGATATACATCAGATACGAGTGCCATGTTTGAGGCTCGTAATCAGGGTCGATAAACACGATCATACCTATGATCGACTGGACATTGTTGGAGATGCCGGAAGCTGTAATAACCCACCAACCAGCAACGCTGAGCATACCCACTGAAAAGGCTGCAAAGTTTCGACGTCGTTCCGGCGCGAGGATATACGTGAAATGGTATTGACCTAGGGTTTATATATTAGTTAGTCAATGATTGAGTTGTATTTTTCTTGCGGGTTTTCAATGCCCAAGAATCAACATTACCTCCTGAAGATGGAAACGACGACGCCTGTTCAGCCAGACCCAGAGTGATGAGCCATTGTACGAAACATGCCACAATCAAACCAAATACAGTAGTTTGTGGTCCACCATACAGCATGCTTTGTCCAAAACAACTGGCGTATGATAGCCATGAATTCGTAATGCTAATAATTCTTGTCAATAACTGTTGCTCCTAGACAGTTATAAGCTAGGACTCCCAAGCAACATACCTAAAACCCAGCCCAAGTGTTCCAAATAGATCGAAAGTGCGCTTGAGAACTGGCGTATGACCTTGAGCAAGCAATATGCCATCATCCAGTGGGAGGATATCCCCTTTGCTCTGGGATAATTGTGTATCTTCCCTTGTCATTCCATTGGCCTCGCAGTTGTCTGCAACCTTGCACTTGACTGATGGTGCCCGGGACGACGATGGTTGAGGATCCGATCTTTCAGCCATGTTTACAAAAGGTTGAAGAATGAGCTTTCGATTTAGTGCCAAGATAATTAGCTGCACAACTCATATATATGGAAAGGGGGCTCGAGGTCTCGTTATAGGAAATTCGGTGCCTTGGGATGGAGCCATCTCGTTTTGCATATTGTCTGATGCCAGCAGCTGGTTTGCGGGGAATCTGGGGTAAGCAGGTGCCATTCAATCTTGCTTATCATTCCCGCTCGGAGCTAGGGAAGCTAAATTGGATCTCAATATGACTCGATACAGAGATTCTGGCGATGTAAGCCCGGCATCAAGAAGATAAGGACATGCTCGGACGGTTGTACCCGGGATAATTGATATGCTGTTATCTAATTTTGTGTCAAATTCGTATATGTCAGTATCGATGCTTTTCGCCTCTGCGTCAATGGCTTCATGCTCTAATATCTGACTACCAATTTGGTTGCTGAAAAGAGTCAAGTAGAATAGGACTCCATTTGGCCATCTATCAAGGCTACTGAGAGCTCTACGACAATGAGATACGTTTGCGTTTCTAGGCATAATTCCTCAGTTGTACCACAATATCGCCTGGCTCAAGATATATAGCTTGATGCGAAGCCTCTAAAAGAATAAACATGCACCTTTCTGTCTGTGTACTCAAACGCAACTGATGGACAATTAAAGATATCAATTATGCCAGCACACATCTTACAGCGGCAAAATTATGCAAATACTTCGGGGATGGAATAATAGACACTCTACATGTAACATACTGGTCAAATACGAATTCACCAACCAATATGTGGTCGTAGTGGGGGACAACATTGACTTTCAGTGTAGCTATATCATGATATTCTTTGTAGGTAGATAGGCATATGATCTTATTGCAACACTGTACGATTCATTCAAATATCCCAGAGAGCTTCAGGTATAAATATACTCACCCACATGATATGTGAATTGTGCTTCTGTGCAGATTGCCAGTATTTAGTGTTATCTCGAAACTTCTGCTCTCATGTCTCCTCAGTCTCAGCTTTGATATTGGAAACAAGGCATAATGGAGCAATTGGAATCAGACAATTAATTGGCATTGGTCAAGCTCAAGTTTATTCATTCGCATAAATCTGCTAATGCAAATGTCTGGAGATGTTCAATTCGAGTTAGTAATTAGTGCCGAGTCCGCTGTCGTGCTGAATCAGTACCTCAGGTACATGAGTACAGTACTGGGTACACACATAGATGCTCTTCCATCGTTGATATGCGCTAATTTAGCTGAGCGGAGAACGTTTGTGTATAACCTCTTTCGTAACATCACCATATTGGGCAAGGCGCATTCCCACGTGTCGTAGAACAAAATACTATATTCGAACTAGCGCGGAGCAGTGCCATGCAGCATGCTTCTTTTCTCGGCTGTACTTAGGGTAGGTAGAGATCTAGGTAGCTGGGACTGTTCCGATAAGATTCTGATGCCGTCACGCCGAACTTCCTTGGGATCAAATTTATCAGATCTGTACTTGCCCTGCACTCCAACCATTGGAACACGTTACTATCTCCAAATTTTGAAATCATGGCCAAGACACAGAAAGATGAGCAAATCATTCAAATTGCTTCTACGCTCCAGGAAACGCCATGGTGCGATGAGTACGAGAATATGATCTCCGGGATGCTGTGAGTACAGGTTTCTTGGTCGGTGCCAATATTTCTTTGCTGGTCCGCTTCTGACATTTGTATAGCTACAACCCATTGCATCCCAAGTTGCTCGACGGCCGACACAGGGCGCGATGCCTCTCGCACAAATTCAACACAATTGACCCAAACTCTGGAAATTATCAAGAAGTCGAACAAATTCGTGCCGATCTGCTTAAACAAATGCTTGGTCGAGTTGGATCAGGCACTTTCATCGAGCCTCCATTCATGCCCGACTATGGCTGCAACGTCATCTTTGGACAAAACTGTTTTGCTAATTTTGGGTAAGATGGAGAAAATTTGTTGGGCTGTTTATGTACGATCTCTAACAATGATGATAGCTTGACGATTCTCGACACCAGTTTGGTCATCATCGGAGACCGGGTGCAATTTGGGCCCAACGTCAGTATCTACAGTGCCGGCCACGAAACGAGTGTTCTCTCCAGAATCAAATTCGTCGAGTTCGGTCACCCCATAAGAATCGAGGACGACTGCTGGATCGGAGGAGGTGTAACCATTCTTCCCAACGTCACGATTGGGCGTGGTAGCACCGTAGGTGCGGGCGCGATTGTCACCAAGAGTATTCCGCCGTATTCGGTTGCCCTGGGAGCTCCGGCTCGTGTAGTCAAGACTCTGCCATCTGTCGAGGAGGAGTTGGCCGATCCCAACAACCCATTTAGAAATATGCCAGACAGACAATAAGACTGGAAAACTCAGACTGGCCCAATGGCCAATGATATGGCTCAATAAAGGCACACAGTCTTGCGCATAAAACTTGAATAGAATACTCTTTGTGCACACCATTTACTCCCGGTCTTTTCTAAGACAGAACGCCTATCTGTTGATGCTTTAATTCGTCACTCTTAATGATGGCTCTGTGACACGTAAGTGATTTCACATATGCTAGACACGGGTAGTAGCTCAGGCTACGTCCAAAGACTCGCCACACATTGGAGTGGCTTGTATGATCTCAGATGGAAGCAAGTTTAAAGACTACAGGTAGAAATTACCATGTCCGTCTCTCAATTGATATTGGATTGCTACGCTTGAACCATTATTCTTCAGGTATAAATTGCTGCCTCTGCCTGTACTTCTACATGGACACCTTCGTTGGCCAGGGCCTTAACAACCACCGAAGTCCACGTTGGAGAGTGGCCGGGGTACCTCTTCTTGAAGATATCAACCAGCGTCTTTTCGTCCTCGGCCCTAATGTAGTAGGCGACGAGTTTGTGGGCATCTTGTAAGCCCCGCGGTGCGCCAGCATTGCAGAGGGCAGCGTCGAGACAGTCGAAGACGGCGTTGAACTCGGCTTCGACGGAACTCGTCACCAACTGGCCAGTCTTCAGGTCCACGCCAACGTGACCAGTGGTTATGATGAGGTATCCACTGAGCGGTACGGTGGCGGTGGTGGCCATGGCTGGGCGGAGCATATCTCCTACTGGACCGGGAAGCCATTGATAGCGGGTGGCCGGTGGCATATTGTCCATCGCTGGAGACTGGTGAGACCTGGAGGTGTGCAGTAGAACAATGAAATGGACTTTCTTGATATTGATGATAGATGAATGTGTGGCGGTTACGCTGCCGTCCAGATGGTGGGATTTGTAATGAAGACAATTAACAACCTAGCACAGTTGACATGATTTGTTTGGAGGTTTCGCGTCAAGGCCCAGATTGTTCATATACCAGCCAAGGGAATACTTCTCAAATTGAATGAGGGGCTTCTCGTATGGTCTGATCTGAATCCTGATAGACTAATCCTATTCTATTATGTGCAAATACCTAGAAGCACCATATAATGGTGGCGGAAATAAAGGTGAGACTTATAAGACTCTACCGATATACGCCATCTTTGGCATATAGTCACAATTCATATTGTCCCGCGGGGAGCGGAGTACCGCCTGACCACCCACCGGTATTGTCTTCGCCAGGTTGGGTTAGCCGGGGAAATGCCCGGAAGCTCAGCCGCTATGGCAATGTTGCACCCACTAACTAGCCGCTAATGGTAAAACAATTTGGTATCGAGTCCACTAAAGTCTCCAGTAATCGCTTTAGGCTCGGCAAACGGCAGCAATGATACCTCGGAGGTAAGCTGGAAACACGGAACCAGATGTCAAGATTACATTGTTTCCATGCCAGAAAACAGAAGAGAAAAAGATCTCCGTCCAGATCGCTAATTCTACAGGAGAAAAAAAATCAAATCAAAGAGGATCTCTCCAAATCTCGACTCATGAGTTCGGCTAGGTTACGGGCAGCTGAGCCCATAATCAAGGCCACCATTGACGAATACACCACGGGAGCCAACCGTCGGATCGCTGGGCTGTACTATACAGCTGTTCGTGGTGATGGCGAATTACTTTTTGAGTATGCGTCTGGCACGAGAGGTCTGCATTGTCCCGAGCCCATGTCGGAAGACACGGTCTTCTGGCTAGCATCCTTCACGAAACTTTGCACGTCGATTGCCGCTATGCAGCTTGTTGAGCGCGGAGTCTTGGATTTAGATAATTCCCAGCAGCTCGAGTCCATTGCACCGGAGCTCCGCGACATCAAGGTACTGCAGGGAAATAAAGGAGGCGGCCTCTTGGTACCCAAAATGGGCAGTATAACATTGCGAATGCTTCTCACTCATACAGGTAAGATGACCTTGCTGGCGGAGAAAAACGGGCAGTTTCCAGTAACATGATTTTATCAGCCGGCTTCGGGTACGCCTTTGAGGACGAGAAGTTGGCCGAGTACGGGAGACCAGTGGGCCTAGACGATTTCTGCGGAGAGCCATCCGACCTGTTTCGACGTCCACTCGTCAATCATCCTGGCGAGAAATTTCAATACGGAACCAGCATGGACTGGGTCGGCATCCTCATAGAGCGAGTAACTGGGATATCTCTCGAGCTATACTTTCGGGAAAACATCTTTCAGCCACTCGGCATTGAAAGCATCACTTTCCATCCCTCCGAAGAGCATGTCACGAATCTGGCATATATGCACCGACGAAATAAAGATGGCAGTCTGGCCCATGCAGACCACATATATTCCGAACCACTCAGAGCAGCCACGAGTCCGTCACGGGACAATGTTTTCTGTGCTGGTGGCCACGGCTGTTTCGGAAAGCCTTCAGACTTTGCTAGTAAGTACCCCGGTCCTAACAGCCCAGCATATGGATGGGAAATTGATTGGTATGCAGAAATCATTGCCATGCTCTTGAACCAAGGCAGGGATGCAACAACAGGCCGGGAAATCCTCCAGAAATACACTGTCAAAGGTACGTTCTACGCAACCATGAGCTACACTTCTACAAGTTTCGTGGCTCAATCTACATAGAAATGTTTCGAGATCAGCTTGTGGACAAGCCTCGATATAGTAGCGAAAGCGTTCCAGTGGCCAAACCATGGCTTGCAAACCCAACACCCCTATTTCCCGTGGCCAGTGATCATACTGAAGGATGGGGACTCTCGTTCTCCATTAGCCATTTTCCGCATTCTACGGGACGAGCTGCCGGCTCTGCGAGTTGGGAAGGCTTGGCGAATTTGTTCTGGTTTGCTGACCCGGTGAACAATGTTGGCGGTATCATTGCTTCACAAATTCTACCTTACGGAGGTGAGTTCGTTCAGATGACTGATAAGTAGAGGAAAACTGACAATGAATTCGTAGATGCATCTGTCATTGAATGTTCGGATCGTGTGGAAAAAATGGTCTACTCAAGTTTGGGAATCTCATAATTGTAGGACAGAGGAATAAGAGGGAGCCAATCACTTCTTAGGGTGGCAACAGAGACATCTCAGTGAATTTATTCTAGCACGGTCTAGCATTATGCCGTTTGATGATCCTACTCACAATTCCTCTCACCTTGAAGAATAAAAAATGCCATGCTGCCTGTGCCCTGAGTTTACTTTATTATATCTTTAAGTGAAACCTTTCTCTGGAAATAGATACCTAGGTATCTAGGTACGCAAGTATCACATGGGTGGGTTCTAACACTCCGGTAGCTGGTAGCTAAGCTTGCCGTGTAAAGGCCCAGATTGAGTTTCCTGGCGCCAGATATGGCAGAGAAGAGCCCAACCGGTCAAGGCAGTCTCCGTGCCGGCTTATGCTTACAATCCCACATGAGACATTGTAGCTACCAGGCATACTCCGTACACTAGATCGCGCCGCAACGTTGCTTGGACACGAGCAAAGTGACTGGCAACTGGAGTCTGCCAGTAACCATTTCTACCCTCGTACATGTGCCTTTCTAGGGCAACTGTAATCTGTGCATAGCCATGCACTATCAAGATTCAGCAACGCTTCCACTAACCAAGAATGGCCATGTTGTGACGGTGGTTCCCCACCCAGCCTTCCGAGGCCGCCAAAGTTGTCAACCCACCTGGAGGGGGGGATTCAGTGTTGCGGGCTTCATTGATGCTAACCTAGTTGAAAGTGATCTGGTGCATTTGTGTACAAGAGCTTCATACAGCCGCATGTCTAGACTAACTCTTTGCACAAAATCTCCAATCCAAGGAACGAATCACTCTCGAATCCCACAGTTCTGAATCATGCCTTCTTCAACATCAGCTGACAATCATAGCCTTGGGTTCAAACAGCTGGTAGAACGCCTCTTGTCCGTTACACCCGAAATTTATCACAATTTTGACATTTACCGTACCGAGTATTCATCTGCCAACCATGAAATTGGTGTAGATGTATTGATTCCAAAACATCTCGCGACGCTAACATCTGTTCCACTCATAGTCAGAATTCATGGAGGGTTTCTGGTATGTCCCCTCAGCCAGCGGCCAGCAGAACACTCATGATTGACATTGGTTGGACAGGTTACTGGATCAAATTTGTTTCCAGCTTGGTTTTCGCCATGGATCTTGGAGTTTGCAGCGGCCAAAGGCGCCGTTATAATCAGCCCAAACTACAGGCTGCTGCCTGAAGCCAATGGAATAGACGTTATAGAAGACTTGAAGGCATTTTGGGCTTGGTTCAGAGATGGTGAGCCGCAGCGTTACCTTGACTCGCTCGGTCGAACACCCTTGAGCCTCGATACAAATCATTTGTTGCTTGTCGGAGAAAGCGCAGGTAGGTCGCCTTGATGACTAACAGGAGCTTCCTTTTTTTTTTTTTTTTTTTTTTTTGTGTTGCGCCCCCTTTGGATATGCCTGCTAACAATTCATAGGAGGCTATCTCGCGCTCCAGTCTGTATTGCTTCACATGTCGCGACCACAAGCCATGATTCTACTCTATCCCATGATTGATATGCATTCCGACTACTACAACACCAGGTTTGAAAAGACTATTGTTGGGGTACCAAACATTTCAGAGGATGTCATTGATGCTGCATTGCAGTCGTTTCACGCTCACAAGCACTATGTGACTGAGGCAGATCCACCAACGAGACTGGACCTCGCGATCTCGATTGTACAAAATGGTCGCCTTGGAGAATTTCTCGGCTCTGAGGAAATTCTGTACCCACTGGATCTGCTCAGGTCTGGGGACAAGGAGATTGCAGTGTCAAAATTACCGCCACTGTTTATCCTGCACGGAGAACAAGATACTGCGGTGCCCGTTCACGGAACTGTCGAGTTTGTGGAGCGTGTTCGAGACATCGCTCCAGACGTAAAGTTGCACATCGCCCTGCGTCCTGGCGATCATGGATTTGACGCTGAAGCCAGCACCGGCGAGCCTTGGTTGCAAGTTGGATTGGACTTTGTATCTAGAGCATGGTTGGGCCAGCCATTATCGAGTCTTTGAAAACCATCCCAGGGTTACGCGGTCGGTTCAATGATGCTGTTCGCGTTGCAGCTTCCTTACAAAGAATTACTTATTGACATAGTATCATTTAATTGAGAAAGCTTACTCCAATGTATTTACCATAATTTCTGTTCCCAATTGATTATGTCTGCGTAATGTAAGAATACATCAAATCCTAGCGTCTACAGGCGACTGCGTGTCCCAATCTCGCTCGTCTTCAAAGACTGCAAGAAGTCTTGAATAGTATCCACAGCTTCTGTAGCCATGCCGTACCCAGCTTGAAAGCCTGTGCCTCCCGCGCCATAATTATGCACCAAGATGCGCTTATTATCATTGATTGCAATATCTTCTCTTTCAATTCTCGCACCACCTTCTCTGGACGGCCTGAGTCCAGTAAATGCAGCCACAACCTCGGGCGCTTGTTGCGCCAGCTCGGCGCTGAGGTCTGTGGTTCGGCGCAAGATGGACTCGGTATCGGCGCGATAGGTTGATTTATCGCTTCGATGCGTTAGTGGACGAGCCAAATTCAACAGTACATGCTTGGTCGGTTTATTCAACTTACCCATTTCCCTTTTGCATAAAACCACCGAGGATAACGTGTCCATTAGAGCTAGGACGAGGTATCACATATGTCTCGTAGTCTCTGCCATGGCGCATGATGTTTTTCTGGACGCTGGGGGCTCTGACCAAGACTACCTGACCACGAGTAGGATAGCATTTGGTGTCTGCCACGCCAGGAAGGCTTCGCGCCGCATTACCTACACAGTTGAACACTACCTCGGTAGCTCTGCTGGTATAGGCAGCACGAATATTGGGCAACTTTTGTCGGACAAAACGTACGCTGTATTCGTTCTGCAGCCTTTGGTAAAGGTACTGAATATGCTCAGGCGCATTGATGGTCAAGGTGGTAAAGGAGACGGCAAATTTGACGCCTTCGGGAAGCTCTGAACCGGGGAGGATTCGAAACTGTGATCAGTCAGTATATACCTAGTCATGATTTACAATTTTCAGTCCTTACGTCTTCCAAATACTGTGACATGGCCTGGATCTTGTCATGTGGAACATCTTCATCCCACAGTTCCGTGGACTCAGTACGCTTGACAAAGGACTCTTCACTTTTCTCAGATGCGAGCCGTGTAAGATGGGAATAGCCGAGTTGATCCCATCTCAACGCATTGGCATCAGTTCCCGAAATTGCAGAGAAGTTGCAACCTGCCCTGAGTCAACTGTCAGTACCAGGTTCGTATGTAAAGTTCAAGTTTGAGACTCACCATGGGGATGTATATGCTGCATTCGTGTCGCCTGGATGATGCTCGGCCACAACTGTGACATACCGACCATATCCTCGTTGAGCGAGAACTAGTGCTACATCGAGGCCAATGATACCAGCTCTGTTCGCAGTATTAGTGACTCCATTAAAGTAAAATAATTGACAGATATGACAAGCCAAACGCACCCAACAATCACTATAGTATCCCTTGCCATTTTTAGCGCAGTATAAGTCGTCGGGTGTCAAAGTGCTGGATGATTTCAGTTTGATCTAGCAGCTGTCCAACAAAACGTACTGTCTCATCAGAGTCCATTACAATATACTTGTCACGGCAAGGAAACGAGGCACACAGAATATAATTTTTAACATTCATTTCAATATTGCTCATGTTTAGTTTTACTCAATTCAGAAACATCCGATTTACTTCTTGGTGAGCGACTACAGAGGAGAAAGTTATCTTTTTTGGGTCCTTTGCTTAAAACAGACAAAAGGATGGGGTCGGTTGGCACTCGCTCTCAGGTGCTTCCCACTATAGAGTATGCTAGGCTTGAACTGGACTTGGGCGACTTGGGCGCTAGAGCCAAAGGAGCAAAAAATGAAATGTAGCCATGGCCAGCCCGTACACAAGCATACCTACCTAACCTAGATACCTACCAGGTAGGCTTCTAATTCATTTTTAAATTGCTTCCAAAATAGGTCGAATGACCTCAATCGATAGATGTAAGGTATCAGAGAGGATATAGAGATAAGAAAACTGTCAACTCTTGTTGGACGAGACTGTCGATTTGTGATATACTAGTGTGTAAGCTCCCTATAATTTGTAAAGCACCACGCTTAGCATCAGTACCCCCAGAGAACATCAATCAGGTTGCAGTATCGTATGTGACGATCGACCAACATCTTTCATAAATATATTTCGTGTAGTAAATCATAGATCGCAACCACATGTCCACCTTTCCAAATTGTACTCTAGTAGCTTGCTTGACTAGGTAGTGCTGGGGCATTATGTCGAGTTTCTCCAGTAATTTCGGCGTTTCTCATATGATTATTCTATTCAAAATCTATAAACTAAGCCAGTGATAATAAAAACTTTACAAGTACCCTCCAGGCCAGTCTCAGTAAGTGATTGCAAAGCTGTACTTGTCGTTAAAGTGCATGGCCCAATACTCGTCCCAGATCTTCTTGGTAATGGGCCCAATCTTGCCACCATTTACAGGCTTGCCGTCCAGCGTCGTGATTGGCATGATTCCTCCTGCAGTTGTGCACATGAAGATCTCATCTGCCTCGTACGTCATCTCAATCGGCACCAGCTGGACATGGGTCTCCAAGCCCAGTGCGTGAGCAGCATCAATTACGCTCTTTCGGGTCACGCCCTGGAGTACACCGCGGTCAGGCGTGTACAGCTTCCCGTCCTTGACCAGGACAATGTTGAAGCCCGAGCCCTCGGTGAGGTTGGCGTCGCCGTCGGTAAGAAAAGGGTACGTCGCTCCCCGGTCCGCCGCCTCAAACAGGCCCCGGACCAGGTCTCCCCATTGCAGGTTCTTGACGGTGGGATCCATGGCGCCCGGAGGGCATCGGCGGACAGTACGCGCCACAATGGCGCTGCCGCCTCCAGAGCTCTGGATCTCGGGCTCCATGACCCAGACATATGGCTGCACAAACATGTAGAGATTATTGATAATCTCTTCCGGCTTGGAACCGCGAACGCCCTTGAGACCTCGGGTCACGATAAGCTCAACCTAGGAGCGTCTTAGAAAACTTGTCAAGTCTGAACATTAAGAACCAAGGATAAACCTACAAAAGCGTCGCGGATTCCACTCTTCGCAACCATTTCCACGAGTATGCCCTTCACCTCGTCCCGGGGCAACGGCAACGCCAGACGCAACTTTTTGCAGCTCTGCTCCAGCCGCGTAATGTGGTCGTCGAGGCGAAAGAACCGCCCATCCCACACTGAAGGAACGTCATATGTGAGATCGCTGTGCATGAATCCCTGGTCGAGGAGAGGAATGCGGGCGCGGTGCAGAGGCACGTATTCGCCCTCTACCCAAGCGATGCCACGAGCAAACTCGTTCTGATCAAAGGATGCCTCCAGAGTAGCCTGTCGCTCTGCGTAGGCACCGAGAACCTTGTCCATGGTAGCCATTGTGACTTGGCGATTATGTAGATTTTAGATTGGAGCTGTGAATGAGGTCGTCTAGACAAGGAGCAGGTGGCAGAGTAATGAGTATGCAATCACTGTTTGATTTCAACCGGCTCAAGAAATGTCATCTGCGAGATCGTCTATATTACTCAGATACAATCGCAAATATAGACGAGTCGTTGCGCCATATGTTTTGGTAGTATGGAGCTAGAGTGACAGTCAGTTAGCTTGAAGCATTTCGCCACATGGTAGACTTTTCACCAAATTAGGAAAACTTCCTAGTGTCTACCCAGTTAAACACGCACCCCAGTAGTGTATATACAGGACCATTTGTAGATATGACGATCAAAAGTTAAGCCATAGCTCCAAATGCAGAATGACTTGATTTCTATACGTGAGATCAAGACAGACTTAATCAGACGATTCAAAGTGATCTTGGGCAAAACAGCTAAGAAATTCAAACTATGATGCCCTGGTAGAGTGAAAAGAGCAACTGTGGCTTGACTTGCATGTCCATTATTGACCAAAACCAGAGGAAATCGGCCAACTTTGCCTATCACAGTATTGTCATACCTATAGAATAGGTCTTTGATCTGGGTATCTTTGCTTATGTAGTATCGGGCTTTCACCCTGCTTCTGTCCGTGTGAGGGTCTACTTAGGCAGTCTAGTCAAATATTTCAGATTATGGCAAAACAAGTCCATTTTCTACACTTTACACCCATCAGAGACAGAATTTGCTATCCGCACGCATGATTAACTGCAATGAGACTATCCAAACAGATATTGTCTTCCCATTGTTCCGTCTGAACCCAAGTAGCCATGCTGATCAATAACTGGACCCCACCACTTGAACGCCTCCTCGTCGTCCCAGACGGTTTGCAACAAGGCCGAGGCTGTCAGAAACATATCATATCTCGTCTTCTTGCCCCACCAGTCGCAGTAGTCACTAGCTTCTTTCCGAAGCCATTCGTCCTTGACTTCGCACCCGGCTAAGAACATGGGTAGCAGAAGCTGCTTTTGCGTCATACTCTCACGTCGGCAACATCTGACATGATCCAGCGTCTTGCGTGCGAGAAACTGAACCATGGGCGAGATTTCCTCCTTGCGGTCCCACTTGAAGACTCTTTCGATATAGACGAGCAATCCAAACTTCCAAGCTTCGGCACAATGCCGTAGATCTTCTTCGACCTGTGCGGACTCTAGTGTTTCTGCCTCTTCTCCTGGGACGACAAGCTCAGACGTGATGGCACCCTTAACAGGTTCCCAGCCGATTATGTCCTTTTCGATTGCCAGAATAGGCCCCAAGTCCACACGGACGCAGGTCATCGATGCTACCAATTCAAATTCTCTAGCGTACACTCCAAGCCGGACCATGTTTTCAAAGAGAAATTTTGGGCAACCAGCCACGCCATAAAAAGAAGTTTTGCTCATGTCTTTTTGATCGATCAAGTTCTGAATTGTGGACTGCGACAGGACATAGCCCTGACGGCTCGTCAAGGCCAGTGTCACGTCCCACCTGGGTCAAAAAGTAAGAAGCCATGTCAGATTTTCCTTTCTCGGGGGAAACCTACCAAGCAAACATTTCAATCTGCGCTTGCATGCGTGGGTTTTGTCTGAGATCCAGTGACTGTGCTGCGGATAATATGTTGTTCACGCGTTTTAGATACCACACCCAGGGTCCTAGAGCCGACGTGGCACACTGTTATATGGGTCAGGCATGTGGGTGCATGTCATCTTCTAGAGCTCTGCTCACCTTTAAAGTCATGAGTATCAGTAACGGATCCAGTGTACCCGTCGTGGTCAATGTCTGTCCACTTCTCTCGATTCTGTCGAGCATCTGGAGAGCTGCCCTTTCATGGCTTTGAGCTTCGGCAAAGCATGTACCAGTGTCGCGATGAATGTGTTTGTAACAAAGGGCGAGTATACAGTGAAGCAACATCTGTGACCCGTGGACATTTTCCATTCGACAACGGAACGGGTTGGCTTTAAAATCGTGCGTCAGAGGTAGCACGCAAAATTCCTGATCGTCTATGTTTGGATAACAGCTCATATCAGTATGCGTTTCAAGAGGCTTTGGAGAGAGTTTTTCTGCACTTACACCTCAGGAGCAGCTGATCGACGGTATAATCATTTGCCAACATGGACAGACTTGGAGGGGGTAATTCTGAATGCATTTCCGCCTCTGGTCTTGGAACATTTCCTGGGAAATCCTTATTCAGGTCCACGCCGCCCGTGGCGAATTGCTGATGCTCTATTCCTTCCAAGCCGAATATGGCGTTGAATTCATTCGGGCCTGGCACCGTGGGATAGTCGACCATGTCGAATGGGTCCTCAAATGAAGGCAAGGCACCGAATATGGGATCAAAAAAGCCGCCAACAGGTCTGTCTAATGGCTTGTTTACTTCACCCTCCTCTGCGGAGGAAGACGCCGCCTCATTGACGGATGAGAGAACGTCGTCACTTGTTGTCGCGGTCAGGTCCAGCCCCGAGGATGCTTCCGTGGTCGCCGGCTCTCCCTGGTCTTTTGATATAGTCGCCGATGGTTGTTGCTGTTGCTGATTCTTTGTTGAGCTCCCAGCCGCCGGACGACGACTTGATTGAGCAGCAGCAGTAGTAGCAGCAGCAGCAGTCTCAGTTGGGAGAACCTCGGTGAGCTCCCCACTCAACTCGTCGCGGCGACGTCGCTTGCGCTTTGGGCCTCCTACGAATTTGAACTGTCTCATTTTGTCCTACAATTGCCGGAATTCCAGAGGGGGAATCAGTATTCTGTATATGTCGCTACAGTTGCGTCGAGCCAAACAAGGCAATGGTCAACACGTTGAACATTTCTAGACATTGCAATCCAAGGTTTTGGGAAGTGGTGGCGGCCAGTAGGGACAAATGGTGGTTCTAACCTGGCGACCTGGTCCGCCTTTTAGCGGCCAATTGCGGGGGAGCCGGAAGGGCGCCGGCACGTTAGCGACACTAAAGGGTGCCTAATGAGATAATCCTTAAGGGTTCAAGTGTGTAAACTACAGCAATGCCCTGAGTAACGAAAATGCAGCCTTTTCTTATCTCAAATTCATCGCGTGTTATTCTCTAACCACACTGCCTGACTCGATCGCTCACTCTTGCCCTCCACCATTTACTTCTATTTGCAAGTATAAACCATTCTGTTGTAGTATTCACTCTTGTTGCATGGGCACAGGATAGTCACTGCGGCCCTTAATCCTTTCGGTCAAATACTCGCTATAATCAGACAAACACTGGCCATGGTACAGATGGTCATGATCCTTGTATTGGGAATACGCGACATCTAGATGGAACCAGACGGTAGCGAATCACATTCATTGCTAGACTCTAGTTATATAATCCACCATTGGCTGAAAGCACCGAACCCGTAGTCCATCTTGCATTATCAGAACAGAGGAATGCAACCAACGGAGCAATATCATCCACCTCGGCCACACGCGCAGCAGCAGGTGTCTCGTCAATAAGCGGCTGCATGTCCTTGAGGAATTGCTCGTCGCTTTGGAACCATTGATCTACACGACATGATGTCAATGAAAGCTCCAGGTCAACAAGTAGTAAATCTCGACTCACCTGTGGCAACTGGTCCGGGGTTGACGCAGTTGACTGTGATTCCGTGCGACTGGCCCAGCTCCTTGGCCCAAACTCGCACCAAGGCCTCGTCGGCGGCCTTGGTAGCAGCGTATACAGTCTGACCCGCGACGCCCAAACGAGCGCCGGCGGAAGAAATGAAGACGATGCGTCCGCCCTTGGGCAGATGCGGCTCAGCCGCCTTGGTCAAAAAGATGGGCCCCTTGACGTTGGCATCAAAGTGTGAGGTGTACAGTTCCTCGGTTGTGTTTACAAGATTGGCTTCATTGCCAAGAGCGGCGCTGCAGCAGAAGAGTTTGTATTAGTAACGACAAAGCTCGACAGTGAATAAACAGGGGAGATGCTTGTACTTGTGAATCAATATCTCGATTTTGCCCGAGGTGCTGATCTTGAGAGCAGCCTCAATCAGCTTGGGAATCTCGTCGAGCTTGCTGACATTAGCCTGGCAAACAATGGCCTTGGTGCCGTTTGCCTCGATCTCTTTGGCGACAGCTTCAGCACGCTCACGGGTCCCTGGGGATACGTGATTGACTACGACATTGGCACCTCGCTTGCCCAGAAGGACTGCGATTCCAGCGCCAATTCCCCTTTAACCATGTTATTCAAGTTAGCCAAGAGAGTGATAATGGGCGAAGACAGACCCAGATGTCACGACTAAGCAACGTACCGGGAAGCACCCGTGACAATGGCCACTTTGCCCGTGAGCTCGAGTCCAGTAAAGTCCGGCATATCGACTAGAAGTTTCTGAAGTTTTGGTGTTTTCAAATTTCAAGATATATAACAGGATAGATCTGTTTAGTTCAAAGCCTTCATTCCATGTTCGACCTGACTGATGCCTCACATCTATATAGACGTCGATTGCACGAGCTAGAATAGAAGCAGAGCAAACGCGATTCCGCGTTACTTCGCCGTATGGAGCCATGAAGCCAAAAAGTCACAAACTGCATAAAGTATGATGTTGCAGTACAGAGCTGTCATGACCTTACCCAAATAGGGCAAATTGGGAACTCAGAACCTCCATAGTGGGAGCCACAAGTACCGTTTTGTAGTAGACAAGTAGCTCCCCACTTGGTTCCAACTTTGACCGGAACCGGTCCTTGTCTATTTGCCCCTCTACTGGGGATTTCGAATGGGACGACCAGAGAACCGCATGTGCGCCTTTGGAAAACAGGAAGATGATACGATCGTTTTAGTACAAAATGACAGGATAGAATTTCTGGCAGCATATTGGATATGTCGTGACCATATCAGGCATTGAGTCTTTACGTTGCGACGACTATTGATCTGTCTATTCCAAGAAAGATGGCTACCAAGACTGGAGATGGATATACTTGGGACAGAGCTTCGGGAGTCCTCCCAGGCTTGGAAACCGAGGCTGTCATTTCACCACGTCGATCTGTCTCTGGTAACACCATTTACGATGTGATCGTAATTGGTGCTGGATATGCCGGGCTCGCAGCTGCGCGTGATCTTGCCCACTTGCGTACGTTTCTTACTGAATGCCATTGAACGGCTAATGCCAAAAGAATTTATTCCGACTAAATGAAAAATAGAACATAAAACGCTTTTGATCGAAGCACGGGATCGTATTGGTGGTCGAACATATACCGCCAAACAGGATGGTAAGTTCGGGTCAGCAGTGGTAGCTCGCACAACCCTCTGAACTGTTGACGCTGACTCGAGACGTTTCTCTCAAGGCTTTCTTTATGAAATGGGCGGCACTTGGGTCACGCATCATATGGGATATCTTTTCCGAGAGATGGTGAGATATGGGATGGATCGCGATCTAATCGAGACAGGCAGCCCAGGCATGCACAATGGCTTTTATACAATCAATGTTCCAGGTGGGAAATGTCATCATATCATGCGTCAGAGTTAGATGAGCTAAAAAAAATGATTTAATAGAAGCTACACCTCGGAGGACTACCCACGAGGAAGCGGGCGCAATGATGGCCAAGGCCTGGGATGTGTTTGTCAATGTGGACGGTCAATTTGGCCGAACCATATGCCCACTTCCACACGCACAGCTCGACAACGCGATAGTCAGCCGCTCCGAGGTCGAGCGTTGGGATCAACTATCGTGCCAGGACCGTTTCAAGCAAATCAAGCACAAGCTAACAGCAGAAGAGCAAGGAATACTTGTCTCTCTGCTGCTGCATATCAGTGGTGGCCACATGGAGACGTCGAGCTTGTGGGACATGATCCGTTCCCACGCACTGCTAATGCACAATTCAGACAATTTCGCGGATGTTTGGTTGCGATATAAATTACGCGATGGCCAAACCGCCCTGGCGAAACGCTTGTTTGATGATGCTGTTGATGCCGGGCTACAATACGCCTTTTCAACTCCAATCAAGTCCATCATTCGGACCTCTTCCGGAGACGGGTTAACTCGGGTCACCGCGGTCGATGGGGAGGAGTTCATCGCGCGCAAAATTATCTGCACCATTCCACTCAATGTTCTGAAGGACATTCACTTTGATCCGCCGCTGTCGCAGGGGAGACAAGAGGCCATCAACATTGGCCACGTTAATCAAATGACCAAGATCCACGCCAACATTTCAAATACAGAGCTTGAACGTTGGAATGGCATGCGATTTCCTGGCCACTTGATGTATGGATATGCTGACGGTGTGCTACCAAGCGGCGAAGTCCACGTTGTCGCCTTTGGTGCTGATGAGCGAGATGAGTTCGTCCCAGAACGACAACCCGAGAAGGCGGTGGCTGCGCTGAACGAAATTCATCCCATGGACGTGAATAAACTGGTACGTGACATTTTTCCCCTGCGCAAATAGTGCATTTAATTGACTGATGTATCAGATTTTCCACAATTGGGCAAGTGATCAGTATTCCAAGGGTGGTCCGGCCTGGTGGCGACCGCAGTACATGTCCAAGTATCAAGACGAGCTACAGAGTCGCCACGAAAACACCTTTTTTGCTTCTGGTGATTGGGCTCATGGTTGGAGAGCATCGATTGATGGCGCTGTGGAGCAGGGGATTCTGAATGCACAGGTTGCACACACTGAACTGAGGAAGGCTAAACGTTTGCCCATACGAGGTAATCTGTAGGACTGGAGTGCGGTGCGGCCTTCAATGAAAATAAATCAAATTGACTTCATTTTCGATTCATTTTCTATTGAATATGATTTCGGCTTAGGTTTCAAAGCTCATTCGCGAAGACTAAATGTGCTGTGAGAGAGAACTGAAGACGCCCCTCACGCTACTATCCCTTTGTGAGGTTTATAATTGCAGTGAAATAGTTTATTTTATCCTACAAATATCCGTCTACCAATCAGTGGCTCCAGAGACGAGGCTCGCTGATTTCATTCTTTCAGCCTCGACTCGCTAAAGTATTGGCAATTATACTTTTCTCCACCCTCCAGACCCTTTGTGAGGGTTAAAATTGCAGTGAAGAAAAGTGAAATGGATGGGACCAGACTGGGGGGTTGTTTGTATGCAAGCATTGTACCTAGTACAAGGATTACTCGGCTACGGGTATAAGTAACCCTTATGCCCAGTATAGTACGTAAGGTACATATGTAGTCCTGATACCTAAGTCACTGCACACACTCTTAACAAGGGGTCCCCACCACCCCTCGAACTCTCGCTTTGCTCTAAAGCCCCAACCACTACGTTAGGATACTCACTGGCCGTAATGACTAATTTCAATGCACCTGCCCTTTTTCTCTTGTTTTCTTTTTCCCCGGTCGCAAAGTTGTAGATAGAAAGTGCTTCAATACGATGCACTTGAATTCATGTACTATGTTACAAGCGGCTGCCTGGAGAATGGTATGCACCGATGTCTCTTGTTTGAAAATATGGATGATGGAAGGGCTCTGTAAATAGCAAGATTTGGGCCACGGAGCTGGGGCGGAAACAAAAAGAAATACAAAAGGCAGCATCAAGCTGGTGACATGTTCAGTAAGCCCCAAGTCCAGCACGAACCGTATATGTACAACGTTGCAAGAAATCCAGAACCTCGTATTTGGAATGCCAGGCATCATTGTAGGCTGCACTGAGACACAATTTCCCTTCAAAGGTGCCCAGGAACAAGCCAAGACCGGTCCCGAGCTCCTCTCCAGTCACCCAGGGATTATGGACTGCAATGTCCCCGTGCCTCTGCTCAATAATGTTGTCGACAGATCCCATGCTGGAAATTGACACGGTCGGCTTTGCGTTTGGAGCCGGGATCGGGGGCGGAGAAGTGCTTTGCGGCAGTTCCGACATGCCTGCGGCCCAGATCGGCAGACACAAGACGTAGTGGTCAGCGTCATCTCGGACTTCATTGTAAAAGGCCTTTATCTTGTTCACCGCGGAATGAAACTCTTGGGCCGTGTCGGCCGGCCCAGTGGTGCTTGTGGCGGCGGGGACGACCATGTCCACCGTCAAGGCGCGGCCCGAGACGGAATGATAAACAGAGACAGCATGGCTCGGGCTGTTGTACGGGGGGTCGCAGCTTTTGCGCTCGTTTCGAAGAATATAATTGACGTAACGGACTTTTTGCGCATGAGCTGTTCGCTCCTGGAGGTCCCTGACGGACAAGGCAATGGCGGCGTGGAATGCGTGCGTCACGGTAGCACCGAGCTTTTTGCAGGCGGTCAAGATGAACTTTGTTTCTGACTGGGAGAAATCGAGAGCCACACGTTGGTGGACGCCTGGGACTTTGGGCCCTTGCTCGTCGAAGTGAAGCCCGATGACTCTAATGTCTCCTTCGTCCTTGCCGGCTGCGGCCTTGTGGGCATTCTGCTCCGCCAAGTGCTTTTGTTGGCGATCTGTCAATTCAAAGGGAACTCTTGCCGCCACCCGGAACGGCGGGCTCAGATTCTCGGTTTCTGTGCCATCGAGGCTGGGGAGCTTGAAGGCGTCTCCGTCCTTGTATGCATTGGCGACGAGTTTCGTAAAGTTGTTGAACATGTGAAGAGTGCCGATACCGTCAACGATCTCATGGGGGGATCGGAACACTAGATCAATTCGTGTTGTAGTGAAATCGGAAGTATTATCGGTGAGTTCCAACAGAAACATGGTTGGTAACTTTGGTGCAGGGGGGTCGCTGTTTGCCCATTCTTCACCAGTTTGTCCACCAGGGATTTCGACCAACGTCTCCCCCAGCCACAAGTCGAGTTTCTCACTGCTGTTGCAGAGGTGGTAGGTCTTGACTGCGTGGCCCGTAGTTACATTGTGTGAGACTTGCGAGGCAATGGTCGGATGCTCATAACGGAGCGCTTGCCATCCGCGCTTCAGCGCAGCCTTGATCCGTTGTCGCGCAACGTCGGAGGTCTGGCCGTGAAGCTCGACACTCAGCGACAGGTGCCCGGTCATGGCAAAGAACATTCTACCGCTCCCTTCAAATCTCTTTGCCAGGGAATAATAAAATAGCTCAATTTCGTCGACATCCCGTTGCCAGATCTCTGGGCTCGTTTGATGCCAGGTATACCGATCGTATGAAGTCGACATGATGCTTTATTTTGCAACAGTTGAATGGACAAGGTGTCACGTATCAATAGAGGGGTGTGTATTAGCTGAATTCTGTTGTGTTCCTCTTGATATATTGAAGCCAACAAATGACTCCAGTTTCATCAGTCAGACAGTCCTCTATGTAAGTTATCGTGAGGCTTGCAACTATTGAGCATGTGCATAACAGATGGACAATTGCGGTTAGCTGATACCCGTCTTGGCTTGTTGGTGTAGCAGTTGGCTGGGCTCCTCACGTCCCACCCTTCATGTATACTTGGACGATACTTGGGTGTGCCTACAAAGGTGAGGCAGGAAAAACGCCGCGTAAATTGGGGCCTTGACCGCTTTCTCACATTCCGAGGTTCTCGGTCAGTAATAATTCGTTGTACGTGTTGCTGAGCTTGTAGAACGAGACTAGGGGCCGCGTAGCGGCCCGAAATCCCACACGCATACCGTAGATTAACCGACCATCGCCCATCTCATTGATAGCAAGCCTCTTGACCCTGGCAGCGGCTCTGCACAGAAACAGTCTTGGCTGCAAACCTAGGTAGTCTCCTGTCAGACATGTGTCTTGCATATCAGTGTATGTAGTATCGATTCCTGCCCAGACCAGTCAAACTTCGTATCTACGACGCGTGTTGTAATGCAAGTCCGAATTCCACACGATTAGCTCTTTGTAGGCGTGGGCCGTCCGAACCGAACAAGGAAATAGACTTGCATCAAGGTGGCGAGCACGGCCAGGGCTGGGTACGTCATCCAATGGATCAGAGTCACCAGATAGACAAACAGACATGCACCATCCAGAATCATTTGTGAAATATCATCCGAGTGGACGAGGAAATCTGCAGAGTATTCCGCATGGACCCTTACCGGTAGATCGTCGCGCAGGGATTTTCCTCCGAAGATCTCCCAAGGCGACTCAGTATACTCCAGCGCTCACGCATAAGCTTAGAATCAACAACTCCGGATCTAGCTTAGCTCTGTCAACAACGCCAGATTCAGTTAGCTCCGGCTTCCAGAATTTCGCCGCATTGGGACAAATTGGTAGCCGTCAAATTTGCAGCCCTATAGGACCCCTGCTAGAAGGGTGGCGGCTCGGGAAACAGTTGGAACGGTGGACGACGCGGGTTTCGGTAGAGCATCTTGAAGCACGGAACAAGCCGAACCGAACAAGGTCTGGCCCAGACTGGGGCCTTTGCAGCCATGATGAGTCTTTACAATTCATGGTCCATTTGTCTCAAGACATGCCATTCACACGAGGCCAACCTCCATACTAGAATAGCCCCAACGAAATGTTGCCGTAGTCAAGAGTGAGGCGGCTTTAATTACAATCCAGAACTGGGTGTCTAATCGCTGCCTCTGTCATTGTACATAGCCCGACAAATTTGCCATTTGCCTGTAAATCAGCTAAATGAGTAGCCGCCAAACAACGATTATGAACACTACAAGGAGTTCATATTTGACTATTTCGGACATGAGCTATTGTGGCCAATTGCGATCTCAGCCAAGCTCCCCCATCTATGCAAAGAGGTGTTTTTGGAAAGAGTTCATCAGTCGCTTGATTCGCCGGATGGTTACTCAAAAAGCAAAAACATCCTTACGGCCAGTTTTCTCACCGGTCTCTTCATCATATAGGCAAGGAGCTAAGTTATTGCCATAAAAAGTGTTTCTGAGACACCGTTGTGAAGCCGTTCTGGGATATGGGGTGCTAATCCTGGGAGCACGCTGTTTTTCCAAGCACACGCACATCTCGGGGGAGCTCCGTGACTGACAACACCTAGAGCACATATATCCGTGATACTACATGAACTAAAGGTGCTCAAGGACCGGTTTATCGCGCCGATCTTCCTGTCATGCGCAAACACGGGCTCACGTGTCACTGAAAAAGTACTTACCGACATGCCTTTACCCCGGACCTTTGTACTTCTAACAAATCGGATGCTTGTTCTGTCTCCCGGGGAAAGTCGCAGACCGTCATAGCGCACTCTGTACCATGGCACGTGCCGATGGTCTGTCAGGTCGTTCTATGTTCAACAGGGATCGTCGCCAGAATCTTCCAAAAGATGCAACGGAAAGATATTTGAGCCCGACATATGGACGGGCTGTGACGTTGACTCTGCATAGTAGACATGGCTGGTGATTTACAGACGATCGTGGTCTGTACTGTAATCTATCCCCAATTCTCCGATCTTCGAGATCTCGAGTCAAGTCAAACCTGCCCGTGTAAATAATATGTAGTACATAAAACAGCTTACGCCCATGTCCCTATAGCCCAAGAATATTTGTGAATGCAAACATATGGATCGCCGAGAACGCTTGAATACTAGTAGTCATCATGTATTCTTACAAGGCTCTCGTGATTCTCGTTTCTGCCGTTTCAAGTATTAGCCAGGTTCGTTCTGCAGAGTTGGGGCATATCGAGGTACGTTTCGTGACTGCACTTTTTCAATGTTACATGTTCATCCGAGACTAAAATATCAAACCTCCTCAGCAATTTATCGTCACAAAAGATGCAGAATGGACGTCCGAGCCATTCTACCCATCACCTTGGATGAACCCGAAAGCCGTTGGCTGGGAAAGTGCTTACGCTCAAGCTAGAGATTTCGTATCTCAACTTACACTCTTGGAGAAAATCAATCTCACAACTGGCGTTGGGTAAGTTTACATTATAAGCTTGCCTAGACCCTTTTTCCCCCCACATGATCTAACTTTTGACTCGACAGTTGGGAAAATGGTCCATGTGTTGGCAATACTGGCTCCGTTCCTCGATTGGGTTTCAAGGGTATCTGCAATCAGGACTCCCCACAAGGCGTCCGATATGCCGATTACGTTTCTGCCTTTACCTCTGGCCAGCTGGCCGCTGCTACCTGGGACCGCGGGCTGCTGTACGCGAGAGGCGTTGCAATGGCCGAAGAGCACAAGGGCAAGGGCGCGACAGTGCAGCTGGGCCCTGTCGCCGGACCGCTGGGAAGAGTTCCCGAAGGTGGCCGCAACTGGGAGGGCTTCGCCGCGGATCCCATGCTAACGGGGGTGGCAATGGCCGAGACCATCAAGGGTATGCAGGATACTGGCATCATTGCGTCGGCCAAACACTTCATTGGCAATGAGCAGGAGAGATTCCGTCAAGTCGGTGAGGCTGCTCAGTATGGATACAACATCTCTGATACACTGTCCGCCAACATTAATGACCGGACCCTTCACGAAATGTATCTTTGGCCTTTTGCAGACGCCGTGAGGGCCGGGGTTGGATCTATACTCTATTCTTACACACAAATCAACAACTCATACGGCTATCAGAACAGCAAGACTCTAAACAATATCTTAAAGGGAGAGCTAGGGTTTCAAGGTTTTGTCGTCAGCGATTGGGGCGGCCACCAATCCGGAGTGTCTTCAGCTCTGGCTGGGATGGACATGTCTATGCCTGGAGATACAGCTTTTGACACTAGTTACACATTCTTCGGCACCAATCTCACGGTTGCCATACTGAATGGAACTATGCCGAGCTGGAGACTAGACGACATGGCGATGAGAATCATGGCGGCCTATTTCAAAATTGGTAACACGATCGAAGATCAACCAGATGTCAATTTCAACTCGTGGACCACACAGACAAATGGATTCAAGTACGCGTTTGGCAAGGAAGACTGGGAACAGGTCAATTGGCATGTCGATGTGCGCAGCAACCATTCTGAGCTCATTCGCACAGTAGCCGCAGCAGGCACGGTACTCTTGAAGAACGACGGAGCCCTGCCCCTCGAGAAACCGAAGTTTATCGCCGTCTTTGGAAAAAACGCCGGTCCTAGCCCTATTAGTCCCAATGGATGCCCCGATCGGTCCTGCGACAAGGGTACTTTGGCAATAGGCTGGGGCTCGGGCACTTCCGAGTTTCCCTACTTGATCACACCCGACTCGGTAATCCAGGCGCGAGTCGTGGCTAATGGTGGTCTGTACGAAAGCATCTTTAACAACTCGGATCTGGATTCTATTCACGCTCTCGCCTCGCGCCCAGACGCAACATACATTATATTCGGCAACGCCGACTCGGGAGAAGGATACCTCAACGTCGATGGTAACGAGGGCGATCGCAACAACCCAACCTTTTGGCAGAATGCCGATGGCGTGATCCACAATATCAGCGCCACTTGCAACAACACAATCGTTGTGATTCATAGCGTAAGGCCCGTGCTGGTGACGGATTGGTATAATAACCCCAATATCACGGCCATAGTCTAGGCTGGGCTCCCGGGCGAACAGTCGGGCAATTCACTTATCGACATTCTCTACGGGAACGTCAATCCCTCTGGCCGCACGCCATTCACTTGGGCCAAGCGCCGCGAAGATTATAGGGCAGACGTCCTATATGAGCCAAATAATAGAGGCGGTGCACCACAGCAAGAATTCGTCGAAGGCGTTTTCATTGATTATAGGCACTTTGATCAAAACAACATCGAGCCAGCTTTTGAATTCGGCTTTGGTCTCTCGTACACGACATTCAACTACTCAGATCTCAAAATTACAAGGAAGAACATAACAGCTTATCAGCCCACCACTGGTACAACCCAGGCTGCACCGGTTCTTGGAGCAAACTACAGTACCAACCTGGAAGACTACAAGTTCCCGGATACCTGGCAGTGGATTCTGGCATACTGCTATCCCTATGTCAATGACACCTCATCCCTCGAAGCAGCCTCCATGGATCCGTACTACAATTCCAGTCTGGACTTTATCCCTGAGCATGCGCAGGACGGTTCACCACAAGCCCTCGTCGGTGCCGGCGATGAAGTCGAGTCAGGCGGCAACAAGATGCTCTATGATGTATTTTATGAAGTACAAGCATCTATCACCAACACAGGACCGCTGGCAGGGTACGAAGTGGCGCAGCTCTATCTCTCTCTTGGAGGAGATAATCCGCCCAAACAGCTTCGTGGGTTCGACCGTCTCTGGGTAGAGCCAGGAGAGACTGTGATCTTCAATGCTTCTCTAACTCGTCGAGACCTGAGTAACTGGGACACATTCACCCAGAACTGGGTCATCAATGACGCTCCAAAGACAGCGTTTGTTGGCAGCTCTAGTCGAAAGTTGTTCTTGGAAGCGGCTCTGGAGTAAATGTGGTGATTCATAGTAGTAGCTTGTTGCGCAGTCTTGTCATGGGCATCCGCCAAGACATGTCAACTTGAAAGTCAAGAATCTTAAGATATGGCTAGCAGTTCTAAATTTAATTTCCCTCTCCAGTCTTTCTAGGATATTATGGTATGCAGGCCCCTGTCATGTTGTGTTGTTCCTGTGACACAAACTTTTCACCACATTGTGATTAGTTAAGGTCTATTTTACCCCGTGCAAAACGATGTCCTCACAGAAGTTTCACACCATAGTCGCTTCATCTCGATTCATGTGATATACTGAAAGAGGCTGATGCTGCGCACGCTTAATCCCTCTATTGGTCTCGTGCTCGCACGGGTACGATACCCGTGAACCGTATACCTGGCCGCAGGGAAAAACGGGAAGCCCTCCGATCGCACATGGTCTGATGCCGATTGTCTGTAGGACGCCCTATCAACATGTCCATCCTTGCCGATGTCTGGTCACAACTCCGACGTGACTACTCCGACCTCCCGAAGTTTCGCCAACCGGGACTGATGCACCGACTCCCAGGAAACAACCAACAGGGGACGATTCCCACGTCGATATCTTATCCATCACTGGCTCGGATCTATGGATTGAATTCCCGGAATCTCCGAAGTTTAACCCAAACATCACCGTAAACGCCTATCTAGAGAAGTTGCCAAGATAACCATGCGACGTGGTTGAGTATCTGTTGTATTACCACACTGCTGACACCATCACACACCCATGACTCACTCACGCCCTGCTCCATACATCGGTACCACGCCTTGCTATAGACAATGATACCAACAATACATGTTCTACATGCTTACAAATATTATAAATATAACAAGTCGTAAACATCACCTCAAGCGCTCCGACCAAAGACCCTACCGTCTACCTTCTGATTCATTCTGCCAATCAAAACGTCACTGTTGAAAAATGGCTTCTTCATACCCACCACCAATCGTCTACCAACTCCCCAAGAGTCCATCCAAGTTATCGACCAAGGTGCAAAGCCTATTCACCGGCACCAAGCTTCGGAGCAATGACTCGGCTCCGCAAACACACGGCAGTTTTGCCCACTTCAAGAACGTGTCGGAATCCACCATCGACTCCAACCTCACTGTCCGCGATACGGGGACTATGAGCAACGACGCGCGGGCGGCGGCAAGCGGGGGAAACGAATCGAATGGAACTTGAAGTGGAAAGGATACAAATGGTGTTGATTTGCGGCTGGCTTTGAAAGTATTGATGTCACTTGCTACATCATGTAGTCTCTCTTGTGAAAGATGTAGCAGCGCCTTACTCATCCTGACCTAGAGACTTGCTCCATTCCACCATCCGGGAGTGCCTCTGGAGTCGTGCAAGGACGCGATAATGCTAGAAGGAAAGTCCACAGGATCCAGTGTCTAAATTCATCAACTTGGCCAATTTGTGCGTCTAATCAAATTACGCGTGGCTTACAAGAGTGCTTCACTATCTTCAGCCGAAGTTCTTTAGTAATGTGAATATCATATATATATGTATATATATAGTATGTAATCCAGAGGTCCAAGACGTATCTATTTTACAGTCCGACTACGTCTTGTTGTCTGATCAAGAATTCCAATTTCTCAAGCACGCATTGTGCCCTACCGCGAACGGGGTATCATTAATAAGTAATTTTTGCATAGATCAAAGCCCAATCCTACCCTTATGCTGTGACCCGTCTCTTTTCCATTTCCCTTAGTTTTTAATATTTCTTCTGCAGTGGCGTCAGACGTCAATCACGTGGACAGAAACACAGAAAGTTCCGCGCCCTCTCCCGAAATCTAGCCCTCCTTGATCGCGTCTTGCCAAACCTTCATGCGGCAGGCTCTTCTTTCTCAGTGACGGACGTTTCTGCTTTCTCAGTGACAGATCTTTCTGTCCTGCCCGTGCTGGACGTTGTGGTGTTTTCTGCTGGAGGATTCTCTGGGTTCTCAACCGGCGATGTCTTCTCGGTCGGCGAAATCTCCGGTCTGTCCATCCGCCTCGCAAGTCTCTGCATGACTTTGATGAGCTCCGGGATCTTGTATGGCTTGACGAGCACATCATCGCAGCCGGCGGCCTTGGCCTCTTGAATTTGTTCAATCCGGGCATTTGCCGAGACGGCAATGATAGGGATGCGGGGACCACGCAGTTTGCCTTCCCGTTCCAGATCTCTGATATTTCGTGTGCAGCTGAGTCCATCCATGATTGGCATCTCCATATCCATCATTACCACGTCGAGAGGGAATTGGCCATCCATGCGGTTGGTGAGTTTGAGCTTCTCTAGAGCTTCCATGCCATGGTTGGCCACTTCTACCCTGTAACCCTTATCTACAAGTCCGCGACGTGTGATTTGCTGGTTGATCAAATTGTCCTCGACAATGAGGACGCCTCTAACAACATTGTCCGATGGCGCCACCGTCTGAGGACGTGCCGACTCTGACAATTGGTGCTTCGGTGGTACACTGCTGGTAGGAGTTGGGATAGCTGGAACAATGGTCTTAGCTGTTGCTCTTGCCTCTTGAAGAGCCTCGGGGCCTGGAACCATGGCAGCAATGTAGAAGGCAAAAGTGGAACCGTGCCCAGGTCGAGAAGCAACACCAATCTGCCCTCCAAGCATTTCGGTTAAGCGTTTACTGATGAATAGTCCCAATCCAGAGCCACCGTACTTCACGTGCGTCTTAGGAGATGCCTGTACGAAGCGTTGGAACAGCGAAGACTTTTCCTCATCAGTCAGTCCTTGTCCAGTGTCCTTGACCTCGAATGTAAGATAGATCACATCTGCATCGGTTCTTTCAGGCTCAACTTGGATAAGTGAGGCGTCCGTCGTATGTGGTATATACTGCAGAGAGGATATATTGTCTGTTGGCCTTTCCTTGCAGGCGCTGAGCTTGATTGAAACGTTCCTCGTTGCTTGTGACTTGGTGAATTTCAATGCGTTGGTCAAGAGATTGATCAAGACCTGTCGCAACCGTGACGGATCAAAGTCTAGGAACTCTATGTTGAGGTCGTCATACGCCTTATCAATCGTCATTGTGAGATTGATGTCGACACGTCGGGCTTCTACCTCAAACATCTTCAAGGACTCTGTAGCGACGACCCTGGGGTCCACTGTGGCCGAGCTAATGGCTAAAAGGTCCGAGTCCATCTTGGACATGGTCAGGATGTCGTCGACAATGTGCCGTTGATGTTGAGCGCAAATATCGATGGTTTCTGCATTGTCGATACAGGTCGAGAGCAGGTGCAGTAGCTCTCGATGGGCCTCGGCGTCAAGCACAAATGGGCCCTTGTTGCTTTCACGCTTTGCCTCCTTCAAGACTTGTTCGCCTCTGGAAGAGGATGCAACAACCGAGTCAGCGCACTGGACAATTGCGCTGAGAGGATTTCTCATCTCATGACTTGTCATGTCGATAAAGTTCTCCTGCTGGCGTTTCGATTCGATAGCCTCGTCTTTGCGCTGTCTTTCAACTTCAAACTGTTGTCGTTGCAATGTCATGTCTACAAGACAGCCCGTAAAGGTCTCGATCACACCGGAGGTTTTTACTGGCCTAAAGGACGCAAGGATGCAGCGCGGTGCCACGATCTTGTTCCCTGCAAAGTCTTCCTCTGTCCAAAGGGTGTTCAGGCGGATCTCGGCAGATGCTTTTTTGCCCTTGGTCGTAAGTCTCTCCAGAGCCTGATTCAGCAAGGGCATGTCCTCTTCGACAACGCATGACTCAAATGGCTTGACCTCTTGCTTGGTAAGGTCTATCTTTTCCAATCCACACATTTCAAAGAACGTGCTGTTTGCCCAGATTAGTCTGCCATCCGACTGCATTTCATACATGCCGACTGATGCATTCTCGGCTAGCTTCTTCAGATTCTCTGCTTGAGATGCCTTGCGAATCGCAGCGTCGGCGGCCTTTTTGTGTAAAGTGACGTCGGTCATGCAGGCAAAGATTCGTATTACTGTGCCGTCAGGGTCTATCTCGGCTTTCAGAGCTGCGCTGATGTATCGTTCGCGTGGGCTTTCGTTACCAAAGTCCAGGCCAACTTTTTCAAAGGCCGGAGAGCTTCCGATGGGTTGTTGCAGCGGCGCATCATCGTCTCGGTAGATTCTGAACTCGAGGTTGACCGTTCCAGTATCCTTCATCTGACTGTAGGCACGAGCTACAGTCGGTCGATCCTCCTCGACGACACGGGAAAAGAATTCTTGCTGTGTAAGGCTATCAGACTTGGTCACACCAGTAATGTTGTGCCATGCGTCATTAGCAAATGATATTTCGCCTTCGGGACTGCCAAAGCACATGCCCACAGGAATGAGTTCGGCAATGGCTTGGAATTTGGCAACCCATTCATTGGCCTCCTTGGTTTGGACTGCCAGTTTCTCCTTCAGCTTGGCTCGGTCGTAGGCGGCTTGTTCCGAGATGTTCCTGTTTCTCCGCGATTCTTCCTCCAGCAAGACGACAGAGGCCAAAGTTGTAGCTAGCTTCTGGTTTAGCAAAGAAATGAACTGCTGATAGTCTAGTGCATATGGTTGGCGGGGGTTTAGTCCGAGTATAAGTAGCCCCATGACGCGTTCGTCCTTTGTTGGTTGGAGCGGCAGGACGATGGCCTCGTGACACGGTTCCTCGAAGCCACGCCAATGAACACCGTGGAGGAGATCTTCAGGCAAAGTACCATCTTTTGTCGATATGAGTATCGGCTCTCGTGTGCGAATGGCTTCACGGTAAGCCAAGGAGAGACTGCTGTCGTTTGTCGACAGTGCCAAGTTGGAAGGTGCCAGAGGATGGTTTTTGGGTACGCCGAGCGAACCTTGAAGGCGGCAGACACTATTTTCTTCGTCCTTTGCCGGCGAAGTCGAGTCCGCCTTGGTGTTACCATCTACAGAGTACAGGAGTGCAAGGGGAATATCGTAGCTAGGCTCGCAAGCCTCGAGTGCCTCCAACGTCTTGCGCCAGTAGGATTTGGCGTCTCTTGCTGTGACCACAGACTCGCCAATATCGATGAGCAGATGCATGCGTCGGTCCCAAAGACGCATTCTGGTTGTATCGCTCACCGGTTGCAAAAAGCCGACGTTTTCCTTGTCCTTTTCTGTCACTATGGGGACAATGGACCACTTGAGATAGGTCTCTTCCTGGCTGCCATCTGACTTTTCGATAAAGAAGCGCCACTCCTCCTCTTCGCTGGCATGTCGCTTGGTGGTTGCCTTCTTCATTGTCTCGTGAATTTTGTCGCTGAAATCGGGCCAGGCGTCTTTGAGGGGTTTGCCAAGCAGGCCAGGGTGCTTTGCGCCGCATAGCTTGGCAAAGGCCTCGTTGTAGAGTGTAGTGAGGCTAGCCCCCCAGTAAAGCACTATTGGTCTCGAGTCTGCGAGAATTTGGTTAAATGTTTGGTGAAGTTGCACTGGCCATTCCGTCATGGGTCCCAAGGGCGTCGAGGACCAGTCGGAGCTGTTGACGGTGAGCACAAAGGGCTCTTCTTGCTCCGGTGTCAAGCCTGGGACAGTGAACTCTTCTCCCTCGCTTTCCAGCGCCGAGCCATTGCCCGTGCCTGCGGCGGGGACCTTGAGCAGAGTGTGGCTTCGGTCATTGTGTCTAATCTTTGGCCGCTGAGGGGTGTTTGGTCGTCGTTGCTCGTTACTGGAGACAATGACATATCTGGAATGGTGTACTGTGCGAGTCCAGTAGTGGTCCATATACGAGGTCGATTTCTTTGGCTCATGTTGCCCGTTGACGTCGGGCTGGGCTTGGATCCAGGCCCAGAACTGTCCCTCGTGGTTCAAGACAACGTCGAGGATGGCATCGTGGAGGCTCGGGTCGGCCTCGAGGGCGGCATTAGAGAAACGGACGGCGGTGGTGGCAGCTCCGTCTTGTGGCAGCTCTACAATAAAAGTTGGTCTAGGATCTGCTTGGAAGAGCTCGAGGATGGCGTCCTCCAACGGCAGTCGCAAGTCCCCCATCATCGGAACCAGGTAAAGGATGGGCGGCAGAACTTTCGAAAGGGTGGAGGCATCATTCGAGAGCCAGTTGCATAACTGAGTTCCATTCGCAGGGGGGAGTCGTAGGCTGGATTAGGTACTGGCGATGGGCGATCGCAGCAAGCAGTGAGCAAGCGGTCGCACGCAGGCAGTACAGAGTCCCGAGAAATGGTCTCGACGGCGCGTCTGACGTTTTCTCAAACCTCGCCAAAAGACATCACGAGACAAGGCTCGTCGTTGAGAGCGATCGATGTGAGATGAGCTGAAGAAGAGAAATGTCGCAGTGTGGGAATTAATTCAGTGGAGTCCAAGGTGCACGCAGCCGCTAGTGAGCTGACAGTTCGGTCCAAGCGCGATGCGGTTATGTCATTCTAGTGCTTCCAGGGGAGTGGCTCCTAGCCTCTTTGGCCTCCTGGGACGCTCCTAGCAAATCTAGGAAAGTTTTCACTGGCTGTCCGGCCACGTTTTTAGAAGCTGAACCCCTGGACCGCCCTTAGCCTGCGCCGTCTCAATTACAGGAGAGTCTCGGCAGGCAGGCCGGCGAGCGAATGGGCGCTTTATCGAGTGGCTTTCTTCATTAAGCATGTAGTCGTCATCGCCTAACGAGAACGAATAAAGACGATGCATTCGATCTCAAATCTTACTGCACAAGGGGAGAGAATTGGACGGTAGGTTCTCTGCAGCCACGTCACGCAATGTACTCCGATGCCGTGCAGCGTCTCGGTGCATATTGACAGCAGCCTCATCGCTGCATATTTCATCAAACAAATCTCCCAAAGAAGAGATTTCTTCCCTTGCCAAAACTCAAGTCGGCATTGTATCCGCCTCTCCCGCTCGTCTGTTCTGCTTCTTTGTCCTACCCAGAATCCACCTGCTTCTGGGCAACGGGCAACAAAATAAACCCGAAAGTCGCACATGATCTTTTTTATTTATTTATTTTAACAAGGGCATCTAAAGACCTCGGGTATGTATGCAAGTTTTCGCAGTCTACGTGCGGGTCCAGTCAGGCCCTGACCTGGCAAAAGAGAGAAGGAGGAAAAAAAAAAATTGAAAAAAGCTTTTGAGGGGCCCCAGTCATTTGGACGGGATTGCCAGAATAATCATGTCGGGCTCTGTGGCACTCATTACTGACTGAATCATGTGCCTACCGAAGCCTGACTCATTTGAGAAATGATCACCAGAGAACAAAATCGGGCATTGATACAAGCTATTCTTAGAATATCCATCTGTCAGTGGTCACCACTTGCGGGCCGGTCGCACATCGATATAAAACAGCCCAATGATCTACTTTCACGAAGCCATAAATTACAATCGTCGTCTACTATTTACATACTATGCTTCGTTATTTTGTGATTGTTCATGGCTCTCCGATATGAAGCCCAAGAGACAGCGGAACATGGTGGCATCGCATGTAGGTAGGTGTACATGCATGGCATCGCATACATATGCATGATACGACTCAGTCCATGGCAGAAATACCCAGTACAACACATGCACTTCACCGATGTAGCCGTGTCCTGTATCTCTATTCGCGAATCGAGCAGTAAAGGCTGTAATCATTTCGTAATGTGAACCAATTTTTGAGATTCATATACCACGTGGAAACGGAATGTGTGGCTATGGCGGCCCAAACGTTCTGTCATCTCAGGCGGCAACTTGACGGGAGCATAATTTCCACCATGTGTTCATGTCCAACGTGGTATAGAAGTCGGCTGCGCCGGATAGTGGGTATAACTCGGGCTTTGCAAAAATTACGACCCATTCAACATCAGTCTGATTGCTTTTGCATATTCAGCAAAGGGATTGCAACGACTGTGTACAGAGTATTTGTCATTTGTCTTTGTACTACAAAGCGGCCAGCGGCATACAAGACATGCGTTTCTAGAGAATGGGTTGTTGATAGAACAACTTTTTGTCATTCTGCTGACAATATTGATGTCTTCTTTGTGTGTCCCGAGTTGAACACAATGGATTATTCAAAGGGGCGACTTCCTTTGTTATTATGTCCCCAGTTGTCGAAACGTAAAGTGGAGAGACCCATTATATATGGGCATTCTCATCGCCATCCTGATGACATCTATTCCATTCATCTATTCATCGATACAGGAAATCGAGATTGATTCAACTGGTGAACACTGAGCAGCATCTTGGTTTCTTTGAAGGAGATAATTTTGAACAAAATCAGTCTGGTTACTGAGATATCATCCTTGCAAAATGGACTCTTACTTGAACACACCGATGGGGCCCCGAAAGCCTCTCTCGCGGGATCCCAACGAGCTCCTTCAACAAACAACCACGATGCTTTTCACCAAGTCTGAAGTCCCTGGTTCCCTGCGCGAACGACTTATCGGCGATTTCGTAGGCCTATTCAAGCAAAGGGACGAGCTTGATGCCGACGTGCTGCTGAGGAAAATGTTCATCATCCTTGATTATTACTACTTCCAACGAAGCCTATCAGAGCATGCAGTTCAGTTGTCCATCTACAACCAAGGCCCAACGGCGAGTGACCTGGCAGGTTTGTATATTGGTGGAGGTATTTACATGTACAGACACTCAGGCAGTAACGGAGAGCGCATTACGCCCTCGGAGATGATTTCTACTCTCATCCATGAGATGACACACGCTTACTTTGCTGTTCTAACGGACCGAGCAAAGCGTCGAGAACTGGTGGACAAGAATGGAGGCCATGGGCTACCATGGAATGCACTTTACCACTCCATCATTAATGATGTGTGTAAGTGGTCGCCTGAGCTGGCTACATTTGGACAGCTGCTTGACGAAAGAGGCACTCCGGAGAACATTAACGATGCTAACAGACTATCATATCAGCTCGATCAAGATGAACATACGTCAGACAACAAAGGTAAAGGTAAGTAGTAAGTCCAATGTCCCAGCACTGACACGTAGGTGGGGGAAATAACTAGGTAGGTCTGTATCTCAATCCCATAAAATTGACTTATTCGTATAACAATTGAAATCTGAACCTTGTATATTGAGCCACATATGTTATTATATCAGTGACAGTAGACAGTTTGGACCTGCTCCAGAACTCCATCAAGCGTTCGTTTTACCAGAAGAGTATGTACACTTGTTTGCTGAGGTGAGTACTAAACCGACCCGGATATTTACGTGATGTTGACAGCGACCTTCGCGAGGGGGCTGTTCCATTGCTCGAGCAATGCTGAGATGTGGCTGCACCTCATTGTCAGTGTCCGGATCGATAAAAGACGAGGCATACATACATGATAGAGCATGTCTCAATGTATGCTACATCTCATTCGTTACTACAGGCACATTTGATAAAATTAGGTAACCAGTCTGACGGCGAAATCCAGCTGTTCTTATGTAATCCAGCGCATGGTCATGCAGCACGACGCCGCATTGAGCTGCAAACATTTAACAAAATGATGGCACGTTTTAGCGAAGGTTGAAAACAAAAGCCGCAGAATGAATGAGTGGCTGGTCGTCGGGTAAATCCTTTCTTTGATGCCATTGTCCATCAGTCAAGTAGCGTCTACATTGAAATACCATGTCGGATGTCAATTGCATAGTCACTGTCCCATCTGTGAATGCATACAAGCATCCAATTGTCTTTGACTGGAGTGAGCTCGGGCTGCTTCAATACGAGATCTTTCAGAGCTCCCAACCCTATCACGGCCGCCGGTTGCCGCACGTCTTGACCTTTGCAGGAAATGGACCCTTTGGACCCGGGCGTATTGGTACCTGGAAATGCAGGGAAACTGCCAATCAATTGATGATAAGCTTCTTAGTGGCCTGTGTCATTGTCGCGACCCCCCAAAATCCAGTCCCAGAAAAGGCCTCTTCTTTATCGGGCAAGCAGGCAAGGGTGCCTCGGCTGCCAGAGTTGCCAGTGCTGTTTGTTCTGCTTGGGAGAGGTTGGCAAGTCGGATCTGCTGTGCATGGGCAAACAGCAGGGTATCAAGTGCTGACAGGGGTCAAGTTGGCTCGCTAAGCAAGAACGGCGACATCGAGAACAGGGGGGCGGCCGCGCTTCAACGCTCGTTTGGCACGTTTGTTGTGGTGATTGTTAGGCAGATAGATGTATGTACTTTCTTGTCGCCGGTTGCATCGACAATCACTTCGTATTCACCATTCCAACTTTTTTTTTCCCTTCTTTCTTTTGCAATACCAACATCATCACCCTTTGGTCATTCGTTTCCGAACAAACGAGAAATCTTCCTGGTGCGAATTCTAATGTTTAATGGTGCCAGCGCTCACGTCTCTTCGATTTCACTCACCTCCAAGGGTCCGTCGCCACCTTGATTGATAACCCGTCGCACGAATACAACTGTGCGCAACACACCCCTCAAAACCGAGATTCCAGGTCTGGGACTGCGTCGGCGCCCTTCCGAATCAACCGCTGGGAAGGAAGCTTGCCTTGCCGGATAATTTCTGGTCGTCTTTTCTCCTCCAACACTTTTGAATGCCATGTTCAACTATCACGGATCATCGTAGCGATCAGTACTCGCACCGACCATCTGGATCGTCGTCTCCAGCACTAAAAGCGCACCCTCGGGAGGATCTACCGGTATCTACCAGGTACACTAGGATGTGCCCATTGTTGCGACGCCGTCCGTGCTCAGCTCGACTATAACCTCCCAGCTTTCCGATCATACCAGACCAGACACCTTACAGTACTCTCGAGATCACAACGTCACTTATTCGTACCACGGCGCCCAAGATGCCACCGCCCCTCTGCCGGTTGGGGGCAGTGGCACTTGTGCTCGGGTCCTTCCTCACCGCGACAACCCACGCCAGAGAGTCCACCTACATCTCCGGTACATCTCTCGATGGAGTCACAACCTCGTTGGCGGTCGACCGCACGCCTGCGCTCTACACTGGCGACTTTGGTGATTGTTTAGGCGGACAGAGCTTGCTTAATGTGACAAAGTTCGATGCAGCCTTTTATTATGACAATTCTACCATCTTGTTCCACCTCGATGGCACAACCAGCCTGAAGAGCGAAGCATTAATGAGTAGGCATCAACTTGCAATTTCTGGACCCAGCATGGGAAGCTAATCAGAGTTACAGTGTATATTTCCGTAGAAGCATACGGCCAAACGAGGTTCACCATGACGTTTGATCCATGCCTCGTCAACATTTACAGCTTGTGCCCCATGAACGCCACTGTTCCTATCACCGCCTTCGCCCTCTTTCAGGTTGGACAACAGCAGATGTCAGGCATTCCCCAGATTGCCTATGAGATACCCGACTTCGAGGGCTATTTTCGACTGCAGCTACTCTCAAATTCGAGTCAGACTGAAATTGGATGCTTCCAAGCTGTCATGAGAAATGGTGCAACCTTTTCTCACCCAAAGGCCATCAGCTCCATTCTCGCCGTCTTCACAGCTACCGCTCTGGCCGCCTCTTTTGCGACTGCCGCGTACGGTGTGAGCATACCTCACATGAGGACTCACTACGCACATTCGTTTTCGGTTCTAGTTGTGTTCGAAACGTTCCAGTCAGTTTTCTTCTCGGGGGCTCTGTCATTAAACTGGCCCAGTGTGTTATCCGCTTGGTGGTCCAATTTTGCTTGGGCAGCAGGTCTTATACCAACGGCGGGCATGCTACACTCCATCGATTCTTTTGCTGGCGTGAACGGTAACGCAAGCCAAGTTGGGGGTGCAGGTTCGACCATTATCAACAATAATGGGGGTGGATTGGCTCAACAAATTTACGGCCGATCGCCAGTGGCCGATGTGCTGGGCAGTCTCCGTAAACGATCCCACGAACTCGTAGGACGGAGCGTCCAACTGATGAAGCGCCAACCATTCAACGCAAGCGACCCTTACGATTACAATTGGAATGGCGACCCGGTCAAGCCTGGAATGCCTATCCCCGGAGATTGGAGTGGGTTCGCCGGAACTCTATCCGAGCTCAGAATCCCCTCTCCTGACGCATTCATGATCAGCTTTGTGTGGCTGCTAATTGCGCTTGTTGCCGTGGCTTTCGCCGTAGTGTTGCTCAAAATTTCCCTTGAGGCTTTGGTAAGTGCACTTTTCTTCATCGTCATAGTTTCAAACAATCCTTCCACGCACTGTATCATGATTGTCGTGATAATTATCGACAGAAAACGAGTCAAGGAGTTATTTGACTAATAGGTGTTTAGGCCAGGTTGAAATGGATCAAAGAGGACCGCCTCGTATACTTTCGAGGTCACTGGAAAGGCTATGTCACTACGTCACTACTACGAGTTGCATTCATATCCTTCTTCACCATGTGTGTCCTGGCAATGTTTCAATTCAATCACGCTGGAAGAATAGGTCCCACTGTCATTGCAGCGATTGTATTTGCAGCCTTCACATTGGGCCTTGGTGGAATCGGTGCATACGCATTGCGTTCTCGTCTACGATTTGGAAAATTTGCCATGGAACCGGATCGCATCCAGTTTCATCGTGGTCACATTTTGGGCTGCGTACCATGGTTCGTGCCGATTCGAATGAGCCAGTTACGAGAACAGGAGTTTTCGCAAAGGCCACTGGGTTCAATCCCATTTGTGCGCTGGCACTTTGTCGATGATCAACCCGACAGAACAAGAGTCCATCAAGATCAGCCGTATATCAGACGCTTTGGTTGGCTCTTTGCACGCTACCGCTTATCGCGATGGTGGTACTTCATCTTTTGGATGGCCTACCAGTTCGTTCGAGCATGCTTTATTGGCGGAGCAACAACTAATCCAATTGCACAAGTCTTTGGCCTTTTCATTGTCGACATTATATCTCTTGTCGTTATTGCGACCATCAGCCCATACGAAGGACAGCGAAATACTGTGATTGCCGTCTGGTTGTTGGGGATCAGTAAAGTCGTCACAACAGGTCTTTCCGTCGCCTTCTTGCCCGACTTCAACCTCGATCGTATCTCGGCAACCGTTGTTGGCGTTGTCATCATTGTGATCCAAGCCCTTCTAGTAATTGCTCTTTTGATCATGATTGTTTTGAGTGGCATCTCCTCCTGGATGTCGCTCACAAGAAATCGTGAATACTTTCCATCTGAGCGACTCGAGGGTATTAGGATCAGATACTTTGAGCATATAGAAGCAAAAGCTTTGGATAAGAGAGCACCTCTGGAGGAAAGGACTAGGTCCAAGAGAAGCTCATCCGAGAGTGAAGTGAAGGTACCGCCAGCAGAACCTAACTTCTCCGTGGCCAATGTTCGACGCATTTCAAAGATTGAAGACGAGTACGACGACTACTTCCCGGATTTGGAGCCACACGCTGGAGTACATTCTACGTTCAGCCCCCGGCCTATCAACCGAACCAGCCGCACAAATAGTGTTAGTTCGCGGCATTCAGTCAGTAGCTTGCCACGCGCCGCCCGTGGACATCGTGCTTCTTGGAGCTCGAGAGACTTCACACCATGGACAGAGCTGGAGCGGCCGGGCACGGCGCTGGCCAATCGGTTGAGTGGAGGTCATACCCCAGATCACTCGACTACAAACGTGACCGGAGTCTTGAAAAAGCAGGTATCAGTCGCAAGCCTGAGAGCTGCTGAGATACCTATCCCTGAAAGTCGGCCAACGACAGCATCAGAAGATACGGTGAAAATTGCCCAAACAGAGGATGAAACAAAACCAGAACCCAATATCAATGGAGCTGAAAAGTCTGAGGCTTTTTAAACACACCAGTGACATGCTACTATTGTGGCTGTTGCGATACCTGAAGTTCCGCTCACCATTGTGTAGCTCATGAATTCAGGGGACAAGCATATGACCTTGTTCAAGAATGACGATATGACGATGAGACGAGAATACATGATCGCCCGCAAAGATTAGACAAGGCTATACGAAGCTAGACGCAAGGACCTAATGGGATGCTCTCCTTTCAGCAGAGCTACACGGAACAAACATGCGCTGGAGTTTTCAAAGAAACAAGAAGGCAATAATAACCTTTGCTCTTTTCAGTCAGCACATGATGATCTAATAATAAATGCAAGTTCCAAGGTTGAAAAAAAAAACAAGAAGCTAATGGAATCATTGCCAACGCTCTGCCATGTGATGTACACCTGCTTTGTTAGTCGTACCATGAAACCGAGCGCAAGTCTACGATAGTAATGCGCTATGCGTGAGTAAACCAACAACATTCTCAATTATGCGGCTACCTGAGTAATCCTATACATTTACCATGTCCTCGAGTACAGCAATCCAGATGCGTTTCTACCGACAAAAAAAAGAGCCGTTCTTCAGCCTTGGCCATGGCAAGTATGACTCGTGGGACGTGTTGCTACATGCAGCAAAAGGTTGACAACATTCCAGATCAGGAAAGGTCCAACAGCCGACAGCGGCAATGATTCCAAATCGGCAAAAACAAACAAGCAGAAAAAGAAAACCAGAAGAGTCTTGCGGAGACAGGTACCTCTACTCGTCTTGACGCATCTCGGAATGCTCGGAGCGGAACAAGTAGTCAAAGAAACTGGAGCGACCCCTGACGAAGCCTGCAGAGGGTTTATTGTCACCATCGCCGCCGGGCTGAGCGGGGTGCTGGCGATGGAGGTTGGCGGGCGTCGTTGGTGGCAGCACCGGCGGGGTGGTCGTGCTTGACAGGATCGAGGACGATTGGCTGGTTTCGGTCGTGCTGCCACTGGTGGTGGTGTTGCCAGATTCGGTGGTCGAGGTCAGGAATGTTGTTGGGGAACTGGTTCCGGTGATGGAGGATGCTGTAACTATGTTTTCAGAGTATGGTTAGCTCGAGTGTCATCATTTCAGGACTTGCACAGAATAGGGGTTGAATGACATACCAGAAGAAGATGAATCAGATGTCGTGCTTAGCGTGCTATTACCTGCATAGCTCGTGCCAGTGGTAGTCGTGACCTGCATGGTGGTGACGGAGCCAGTCAAGTCGGTCGTGGTATCCGTGCACGTGGTGTCTGTGGACCAAGTCGTCGTCTCACTTTCGGTGCAAGTCGACGTCTCGGTCGTGGAGGAGTACTCATCGGTGCAGGTGGTTGAAGATGTGGACGAGTTTCCATACGAGATGGTAGAGCTTGACAAGGTGGTGGTAGAGACGGTGGTCTGAGTCTGGGTACCGTTAAGGCTGATACTGCTGCTTGTCGACGTTGTTGCGGATTGTGTCAGGCTGGTGGGAGATGTCAAACTCGACAATGTGTTTGTTGTCGTGGTTGACTCTGCCGCAATACTGGTCTCGGTTGTTCCAGTAGAGCTATTGGAGCTGATGGTGGTCTCCAACGAGGTTGATGATGCTATACTTTGTGTGACGGTAGTAATCACCATGGTTCCATTGACTGTAAAGCTCGAAACAATTGCTGGCTGCGGCGTTGGGGTGTGGCCAGAAGTCGTTTCCGACAAATTCGAAGAAGTCGCAGTGGAGGACGTGGCGGTTGCAGTACTTGCTCCCGACGTTGATGAAGAAGGTTCAGACAGCGTTTCGAATGCACTCATCGTGGAGCTGATGATGCTTAGGCCTTCAGTTGTCGATGCAGACGTGCCAGATGCAGCTTCGCCTGTACCCGAGGTCTCTGTGGTAGAGCCAGTCGACGAGACAGAACTGGTTGTCGTTACAGAGATGGTTGCGCTTGTTCCGCTTGTTGGCGTTGTCTGACTCTCCTCTGTACTTGCACTTGTGCTTGCGCCATATGAACTTGTCCCGCGTGAAGTAGACTCAGAAACTGTTGTGAGCTCTGTCCAAGTGCTCAAAGCCATGGTTGTATTCGCAGAGACCGAGACAGTGCTGGTAGCAGAGAGTGGCGTCTGCTCGGATGTGATGCCCAAATATAACGTTTCAGACGTCGTGAGGGTCGATATTGCAGCACCCCCAGGTCCACTCAAGGTCATGGTGATGACCGTGACAATGATGCTATTGCTGGGTGGAGTAGCGGGGATGGTAGAGATGCCACTTGTCGATGAGGTCACGCTTTCCGTACCTGTAAAACTGGGAGGGGTCCCAATGCTAGGGACCGTTGAGCTGGTCAAAGGCGTCGACAGGCCAGAAGAACTGTTCGTAAGCGGCAGAGGAAGTGGCGTCGTCACACTGACGGGACCAGGACCCGTGGGCGGCACCAAGTCAGAGGAGGGAAGACTGGAAGTTTCAAGAGTTTCAGTGCTGCTACTCAAGGATACAGGTCCAGTAGTTAAACTCGGGCTTGTTGATGTCGTCAAAATACCCGACGTCTCCGACTCAGTAGTGATGGTACTAGTCTCACTGCCCGAAGGCTGGCTAGTACTCGAGGTGGGTGTCTCTGTGACTGTTGGCGAACTCGTTGATGTGCCAGAGGAACTGCGCGTCACACTAGTTGTCGAAGTGAGGCTGCCGCTTGCTTGCACAGAAGTGTATGAAGTTGCATTTGCGGTTCCTGAAATGGTCGACGTCACGATGATGGTTCCAACTCCGCTGCTGCCACTGGCCGACGGACCATATGAGGTAGTTGTACTGTTACCAGCTGGGAATGGCGGCGTCGAGGTACCCATGACCGAATTGGTTGTCACACCTGAGATACTATTGGACAATGAGGATGCTGAAGTTGTTGATACATCGGAACCAGTTGTTGAACTCGGTGCCACTGTAGTGCTGGTGGAGCTACCAGAAGATTCTGCCGTGTCCGTTGTGGGAGCTTGCGATGAACTGATACCAGAAGACGTGGAAGTAACTAAAGATCCAGATATACTGCTTGTGATAGAACTCAAGTATTCGCTAGAGACTGATGACGATGTGACATTTGGACCAGCTCCCGTCGAACTGGATGATGTAGGTTCGCCTGTGGCTTGGGAGCTGAGACCGGTACCTGTGGGACCTCCTGAAAAGGTGGAGTTCGAGGCAGGAAAAGGAACGGTCGTGCTCCCAGATATACTTGGACCAGTTGTAGACTCTTGAAATGAGGAACCACTGGAAGCAGTCGTTGACTGATCTGAACTACTCGCACCCACCGAGGTGAGCACTACGGTACTCAAGATGGTGATGATCGTTGGCTGACCGGTTGCATCCACCGAAGTAGATGACAGAGTGGTCAAGGTTGTTATGACTGTCGACATTCCTTGACCAGCTGGTGAACCTGGCTCGCTGGTAGTGATGATCAGGGAAGTACTCTCAGTCACTGACGCAGGTATAGAGCCAGAGCCAGTGGCTGCGCCAGTGCTCGAGGCATTTGATGCCGGGAAGGGGACCGAAGAGGAAAGATCGCTTTGGCTTGCGGGAACGGTAGTCTCAGAGTTTGAGGTTGACTGACTGCTCAAAGAAGTTTCCGTTCCAGAAGTTACAATAGTGACGTTACCAGTTGAAGTCGTGATGCTAGTTTCAGTAGTGATAGCAGCAGGTACTGTCGTAGTTGTAGATATCTCTGTCGCTGTGCCATTGATTGTAGTTGGGATCGAAGTCGCCACTATACCACCACTGGTTATTGTGGAGACCACGGTGATTACTGAAACATGCTGAGAGATGGTGACATTGGACGGCGATGCAGTCGTGCTGTTGGTAACCGAGGGGCTGTGTCGAGGGGTTGTTGTCACGGTCAGACTCCCTGTCGCCGGCTCACTTGTCAAAATGGTTGCATTACCAGTCGTTTCAGTTGTGGAAGAAGAAGTGGTACGAGTTGTCCTCAATGTTGACAGGAAAGGAGTGACAGTCAGGTTCCTCGTCTCGGAAGTTGAGGTCAACGATGTGACACTTGTGCCAAGCAAAGATGTACTGTTCGAAACGGGGAAAGGGACGCTGGATGAAGTCCCAAGAGCAGTTGCAGAACTGGTCACCGTAGTTGCAATTGACTCACTTGTACTTGTGTCAGTCGAAGTCGAACTCTGTTCACTTGTAGTCACCGGGATACTACCAGTCTCGGAGCTACTAGACGTGGCAGTGATGGAAGAATCTGAAGTCTCGCTGACCTGCGATGACGCACTAGTCGATGATCCTGAAGTACTAGAAATATACGTTTCTGTAGAAGAACTAGATGCTTCCGACGATGTAGTTGATTCAGACGGGACAGTGGTCGCGGAACCAGTGCTATCAGTGGATAGCGACTGCGTGCTCTCAGCGGTAGAATCATCGGTAGCAGATGCAGTGATAGGTGAACCTGTCGAATTGATGCTGGATGGGACAGTCTGAGATGCTGTGGAGTTGTATCCATAGCTGCTGGTGCCGCTCAATGACGTTGTCTCTGTAAGTGACGATGAAGGACTCTTCGTGCTAGACGAGATTGACGGACTCAATGAATTCGAGTATGAAGTCGACCCTGATGCAGTTGACGACGGAGATGAACTCGACAAGGAAGTTCCACTTGCCGTGATGGCAGCCACACTCGAAGCATATATAGTTGTACCAGGACGGATTGTAGTGCTAACATATGTCTGGCCCAACGAAACAGACGTGATGATAGACGTCTGTGGAGGAATGGTTTGGGCGATGGGTCCACCTTCAGCACCATCTGATACACTAGGCGTAGACGCAGTTCCTGAAGTGCTGGTAGACGTGATTGTAGACGACTCCGTCTCGGATGTCTGGAGATGTTAGTTCTAAGTCCAGTGGTCATGGTTTGTGTCACCAGAGTGGCATTAGGGGTGGACTAGAACAGGGAAACTCACAGATGAGACAATTGACGAGCTCACCGATGATGTACCAGACGATACGCCAGTAGAGCTTTCAGCTATAGGCGAGCTGGTACTAGTGGACTCTACGCTTGAGGCAATGGTCATCGAAGAGACGGTACTACCGGTGGACTGAGAATTGGACGTAGACTGAGTACCAGTGGTTTGGCTGACATCCGACGATGTTGCAGTGAGTGCATCCGAGCTGGTTGAAGTGAGCAATACACTGGTTCCTGAAGTTGAAGAAGTCTCAGCACTTGTTTGCTCGCCGGTAGTCGTGTCAGTGACTAAAGAATCTGTTCATATTTAGCGTGAATCTTTTTCCTTTTCGGGTTCCATCTTGAGGCAAATCTTACCAGTGGTCATGACAGATCCAGTACCTGAGCTTGAGGACGATCCAGATTCAGTCGAGATAGAGCCCGATGTAGACGAAGATGAGATGGTTAAAGTCAAGCTGGCATTGGAAGAGACCGAGGACGTTGTGGACAGAACAGGAGACGGAGGCGGACGACCATAGGGAGGATAGTTAGAATCAGCGAACTCGTGAACATCGCGAGCAGCCATGGGAGCGCCATGGGGTTCCTCGACCACATGGCCATCAGAGACGTCTGACCCAAAGACAACCTCGTGCCAGTCAGCAAAGGCGAAGACGCTCGAGATGGAACCCAAGAGGAGGACTACCGACAAGATGTCGGCAGTGACGAAAAGAGCTCTCATGCTGGCTCTTCTCGAACGATCTTGGCTGGAAAAGTGACAACTACAAAGAAATAGACAGATGGGGACGGAAGTGGAGTGATTTCCAACAATTGAAGCCAACCGTCATCAAGGGAGGCTGAAAGAACGAGACGTCGTCAACCGCAAGCCAGGGTGCGACGACGAAGACAAGGAGTGAAAATGATGACGATGTAAGTCCTTTGGTTTTTGGACCAAAGGCGTTGAAAATACCACTTTGAATGGGATTGACCAAAAGTTTGAAAGGAAGATCTCGTCGGCGTTTGACTTGAGAGAAGCCCTAGAATAAAAGGTCGAAAGAGGGAGCGCGTTTGCGTCGTGAACTTGAGACGCGTCTAAAGTTCGTAAAGTGTTTTATGGGTGTTTTAGAGGAATCATCTCCCATTGAGGAACTGCTACACTAGCTTGTGGCTTTCTTTTCAAATTGTTTCTAGACACAACCAACTGAGGCCCGAAGAGGGTTACAAGTCAAGTTGCTCACCAGGCTATTTCCATTGAGCCACGTCAGGATGGCTAGAACGAGGTGGACACCGAATATACATGAGCCAGATATACAGTCTTGGGGTGGTACAACCCGAGGTGAGGAAGTCAGACTTGACATACGTCTGATGTGTGTGCAGAACCGTTTGACATCGGGTGTGTACCTGAGATCTTTGGACCCTGGGACCTGTCATCTACCGAACACGGGATAGCCGCATTGGTGATGCTTGGAGATTACCAAGGCCAATAATCAGCGATCGACCTCTGGCATGAGATAGTCGACGCGCGTCTCCTACAACACGACCAATACTGGAGATTCCGGGCAATCTGTAGAGACTTGGCATGTTCATTGATAGCAGTCTGGCCCATGTTGCCTTGATGTTGCTGCTTCTCAGACAGCACGTAAGCGTTGTGGTTTGATTCAAGTTGGAATGATACGAAAGAGAAACTCTTATGTCTTATACCCCTTCGATCGTGTTGATAGAGACTGCGAATTGGGAGTAGGAATTCCAATCCGCAACGGTCAAAGGGATACTGTGTTTCCAAAACAAATCCAAGTGACATAAGACCGAGATCAACGAGACCATCAACCGAGACCCTTCATCTTCTTTTGTTGGTCAATATCTATCCCACTTCAGACGGTCAAGCTGTGATCATTCGTGCCAATATGGCCCAGGGGATTATTCTTGTTTGCATGAACCAAATAGTAACATGGAGCAAACTTGTTGTCCAATGGTAGGTGGAACAAATCACCTCGAGACCGACACCGTTGCCTGTTGAATAGTGAGGAGTAAGTAGTGGGGAAAGCACTTGCATGCATACATTCTATGGGCATCAATTGGCACGTTCAGGGAATAATTCATAGCGCACTCTTTGCTAGAACCTTTTTCCCAACGCAAAGTTGGGTGCCCAGAGACACTGAACGATGTTTGCAGCTCTTTCTGTGAATCCGTTTTTGTACTATGTAGTGTACGAAATCAGGAACTATTAAGGAAGCAATCACGACTTGAATATAATTCTTAGTCTTGGTCTCGAATACGAGGATCGTACCGAGAGTACCACCGGCAATCTACGTAGGACAGTTCACCCCAAGTTCCCACCAAGTCGTTGGACGTAGCTAGATGAGGTTTCAGATCACGGAGGAAACGGCGTGAAGGCGCCATTGGCTGAATGACATTTACTTGATTGGTATTCTCATGCAACTCGAGCCGAATATGATGGTTGCGCATAACAATATATGGCACGTCACGTCACGTCAAAAGCAGTCAAAGTTCAACGGCGCCCAGGACAGTGTCCAGTGCATCGTGCTATTCGATATATTAAAGTGTGTATCCATGAAAGAACTTGAGGTATTCAATTGGTGCATCCAATTTGGGGCAAGAACTGAAGCTAGGCCAAAGTTACTCAGTGGCTTCTCTGCAGAATCTCGATCAAGTCATCTCGGGAAGATCGGCCTGCCGCATATCTTGTGTTGCACATCCTGTGCGACTCCTACTCGGCTTTCCTGGCTGCTTCTCGGAGCTCTGGGGCCGTGCTATCGTCCACTGTAAAATTTGAGATGAATCTTAGCGTCTGAAACTTGACAGCACTAGTAGATGGAAGATCAAGATCCTTGTTGGCAGGTAATGTCAAGTGTGACCCCTGTATGTTCAAGATCTGAGCGATAAAGATGCAACATTCACTTACTTTGGGATTCCTTGGACTCGATGTCAGCCGCCCAAAGTGCAGCACCCACTGCGTCAAATCTTAGTATGCCAGTCAAGTCAGATGTGTCAGAGTGATACATACCGGTATTGGTGAAAGCAAAGAACATTGAGGCGAAAGGAATCATTTCGAGCAGTGTGGCCACAGTTCCAAAGCTTGAATCTTTCGTTAATAGAAGATCACAGCACTACATACCACAAGTACTTACGATGCGTATGCTCCGGTATGCCTCTCAAACCAATCTGCGCGCCGGTGTGCAGACCACTTCTTGAGTTGGAAGTACTATGGTGAACCAATCAGAGCCAAGAATAGAGAAGTATGGGGTCCAACTTACACGATCATGCACACTTCTTCCACGGGTTCGGCCTGATGGGCGTGTAAGTCCAAGTTTACCCCCAAAGCGTTGAGCGTCACTCACCTTGAAGGACAATGAAGATGATGGTACCAACAACTAGTATTCACAATCTTGTTTAGATAATCTGGGAGATTAGAAGGAATGTACTTTGGGCTCTTACCAGGAATGAAGTTGAGAGGTAGATACATGATGTATCGAATCAGTGCCTTGGGGCTGTACTTCTGGAATGGACTCTTGAGAATCTTGCCAAGTCGTTCCATTGGGTCTCTGCCCGACTTCAACTCACGACCCTCGCTCACGATACCAGTAGCATTCCGAGCAACCAAGACTCCGTCAAAGGTATCGAGAAGCGCATCCTGGAGGAAAAAGTTGCGCGAAATCAGCGAGACGATGGTTGAGCTCTCGTTCAAGATGAGCAGGACCGTAGTCAGAACGGCCAGAGGACCGTTGACGAAGACCAGAATAGCGAGCTGCGGGAGATAGGTGAAGAAGAACATGCCGCTAATAACGGCAATGGACAAACTCAGTGTCGGTATGATGCGGGACGCGAACGGCTTCCACAGGGAACGGTGGGAGAGGAAGTAGACGATACCCCTGATCATGGTTAGCTCGAGCAGTCACTATCGGGGGGATCCCATGACATCTTCTCCCAGGCAATTCGCGAGATTATGCAGTACCCAGGGACACCACCATGGCGCTACGTCTTGAGATTGTATGGAGTGTATCTAGGTGGTAGTATTCGGAGAAGCTCACCTCAGCGGATACAGAAAAGCGCCGCTTCGAGCCGCATCGGCAGCCAGAGCTCTTGCCTTGTCATAATCTTCTTTGCTGGATAGGAACGATTAGTCGTGCGATTGAAGGGGATAGTCCAGAGGGCGACTCACGCGACCTCTTGAGCCTTGGCCTGAACGTGGCCCACGATACCCGAAGAGGACATGACTGGAGCTGTGTTTACTTGGTTCGTTCACAATATCTGAATAGCAAGTTTTTGGCAAGCAAATCTGGAAGCAAAAAGATGATATCTTAATCAAAAAGCTCAAGGTATGTTGAAAGAAGCAAAAGACAACAAATCCAAGCCCAGCTTCAAGCTGTTTCTTTGTTGTGTGGTCGTGTGAATCAACATTGCGAGCTTCCAGAATTATGTCGTCATAGTTGTCTGTCCCAGCAGCCCGTCCGACCCACTTTTCCGCAAATGCGCTGCAGCTTTAATATGTGTGACAGAAACAGCCCGGGCATTTTGCTCCGCTGCATAGAGCATCAATTGATGCGCAAACAAATATACCTACATATGTACCAATGCTCCTTCAGATAAAAAGACATAAAAAATAACACTGGATAAGAAATCCTCCATGTTTCCCCCTCTGTTTAACACTATTCGTCACGCCCACTTGTGAGAGCACGTCAGACAGATCACACTGACTCCATTTCCTGTTCAGTCTCCAGCAAGCTTTCCAAAGTTGCTTCTAACGAGCACTGTAAGACATTCAGTTCGGCAAAAACAGCATTGGCGGCTGAGCTGTTGACTGGCAACCGATACCAACATTGTAAATCAGACCCGCTGCCTGCTCTGCCCAGGTGGCATCATCTGCACCAAATTGTTGACACAGTCTGCCTTCTTCTTCTTCTTTTTTTCCTCCTTCGTAGGGTCGAGACCTGTAAAGAGCCTTTGTTGTTTGCATTCTTTTCGAGATGCGCTTCCCGACCTCTGCTGCCTCCATTGCAATCAGTGCAGCGCGCGGCGAAGCCTTTTGCAGCACTGCCTAGCGAAGCCTAGTAGCATTTTAAGGTTACTCTAACCCGTTGGATCTAGCCCGCCGGCATGATGAGCAACCCAGCAATTTTACAACTACTGAAGCCGACTTTCGCTGATTGGCCAGGAGAGTACATGGCCTAATAGTCGCTCAGCCGCCGACAATATTCATTGTTCATTCGTGAGCCTGCAGATTGCTGCTACATCCAGTTAATCGACCAAGGTCAAGACGTGCCGATGTTCGTCGTCTCTCAGGGCATCGCCGAGGGGAAAATCGCCTTCAAACATCATTTGGTACTCAGTTGCGTTACAACAGAGTTGGGTGTATCTGTCGGTGGACAGTATGACAATGCAGAAGCATCGGGAAAAGAAAGATAATACGGCCAATTTTCGCACACATACCTTCAAAAATGTTTGTCTCCACGAAAATACAGTCAAGTTGAACAGTTGTGAGTGGCCTACCCAAGCAACACACGTACGCCCACGATCATCGAAAGAGAGCTTGGTCCCGAACTACGAAGCTGACTGCTGATTTTACGTAAACCAAAAGAGATACAATGACCAGCCACCCAATGTTTGATCATTTTCCTCGGGTAAAGTGAGTACGCGCTTCTATCGTCGTGGGCAAAGAGCTGGACACTCACTCTGCAGCACTCGTGAGCAGCACAAGCATCTAACCTATCAGCCAGAAATATGTGTACATTTTATTGATGATGTGATTGCCACTTTGGTCAACAAAACCGACCCTAACACAAGAGCCGCATCATGTGTTCCGCTTCATCCGTGATGCCACTTGTGTTTTCTAAACTGAGCTGAGCTGAGCATGGGGAAACTGGACCCCAAAAGCCTCACGATGCCTGGCCTAGAGCCAAGGCCTTGAATATCCCGCCAATAGCCACTAACGCAGCTGAACAGACAGGGAAATCTCCAATTCAATTCTCCGCCGTGACATTCGTTCCTGGCTCTACGCGCCTGAAGTATTGATTCCGGTCCGCCAAGATGGGCACATGGCGACAAGAATGAACCACGAGTCCCATTCAGGCAATCTTTGCAGCTTGACAGGTCTCATTATTGGTTTTCTTCTCCCCTTCACTCAAGCATCTGAGGGCCCCATGGTAGTAATTCTTTATGGACGGCATCAAATTGCCGCCGCCTACTGCAACACCCAATTCTCCATCTAGGCTCAAAATCATCTGACAATTGCAGTGCGACCTCGGCAAACCTTTTAAGGTTATTAATAGGCCTCAGAATTTTGTTCCGAATGGGACGTTTTCATCGCAGCATCTCCAAAAACGATGATAGGCTGGGGGCCAACACGTGCCCCCAGATCGTCGCATGCTTTCGTGGTGAAAATTCAAGCCAGGAACAACAACTAGGTTACCCCAAAAATGTAAAATGTGGTGGAGTTTAGGTGGACAGGGGGTTCCCCAGGCGAGGAATCGACGGCAGATCTCCAGAAGCTTATCTGACCATATGCACCCCGCATGATCGCTTGCCAACTCAACTTCCCCTTTCCTGATATTGTGGCCGTCTAACAGGCGACTCCGGCAACGACCCTTTCCCCCCTCTCTTCCATTGGAGAACACGGCGCAATGACCTGAATGCGGCAGGCGACAAACGACTTGGCCTTGCCAGCCACCGGGGGTCCCGCTTCCCATCCGGAGTCTGGTACCGTTGCCGATATCCCCCTTACCGACAAGCGCTGCCAGGGCTTAGATGGGCCCGGTGCGCTGCTCTCTTTGGCGGGACTATATGATTCCCTCCCCAAGCCACCAAGACCCGGCTAATGCAAGGCCGTGTCCATTTGAAGATTTGGAGATCCGGTGAGGGTGTTTGCTGTCGTGGTATGGTACGGGTTTCTGCCAAGGACGTGACAGCTTCGAATTAGCCAAGAGGGGACCCGTCGGTCTTATTTTCATCCAATGTCCAGGTTCTTCCATCACGCGGGCAGGAGAAAGAGAGGTGAGAATCCTTGGCCTGTTGGGCTAGAGATTCCATCGACGTCTTGGCAATGGAACACTGCGACCTGAAAAGTCTGGATGGACCAAAGATAATCACATGGGTCACTGCAACACCAAACCGCATTCAAGATTACGGATGGGGTGGGAACACAACAAGCACCTGGTCAAAGTTCACTAGGGGCATGATGCCAGCGACTATATGAGCACTCGTCGATCCGAACCTGATCGATTCTTCTTGGGACGATCACGGGCCAGTCAAGATATCGCGAGCAGTCTCAAGTTTCAGGTCTTTAACCTCTGCCTCTGTCTCAGCAAGCTGCTTCCGCTGCCGCCGCCGCCAAAATGAAGTTCTCCCTGTCCGTTATCCAGACCCTGCTGGTCGGCCTTGTGGCCTCGGCCCCAGTCGAGCTTCTGGAGCGCAAGACCTACGGCACAACCTCCAATGAATACACCACTGGAGGCTGCAAGGGAGTCATTCTCTTCTTTGCTCGTGGCACCTCACAGGATGGCAACTTGGTAAGTCAGCAGTGTGCATTATCTTGTCTCATATCCATTGATACGCACCCTTGCTAACCTGTATCCCTCACTTTGTAGGGAGACATGCCAGGCCAACAGCTCGCCACAGCCCTCAGCAACGCCGTAGGCACCAACTTTGCCGCCCAGGGCATCAACTACTCGGCCAGCCTGCTCGGCAACCTCAACTCGGGCGGGTGCCCGCCCACGGAAGCCGCCGAAATGACGTCGCTGCTCAACGCGGCGGCCTCGGCCTGCCCGAGCTCCAAGCTCGTCGTCGCCGGCTACAGCCAGGGCGCCGCCATGGTCCACCGCGCCATCGAGGACGCCACCGCCACCACCGTCAGCCGCATCGCCGCCGCCGTCACCTTTGGCGACACCCAAAAGGCCCAGGACGGCGGCAAGATTCCCAACATTGCCACCTCCAAGACCAAGATTTACTGCAACACGGGTGACCTTGTCTGCGAGGGAACCCTGATCATTACCAGTGCCCACACCGATTACCTCTCCAGCGTGAATCCTGCCGTTCAATTCATCACGTCGCTTCTGTGAGAGCCTTTGCCATGATGAGGGATGGGACGGATCCTGAAAGGGTGAATCAATGCTTTCAAACTCGGTCTTTGAACCATCTAAAACGCTTAAATATCCTTGCCTTCACATATTTTCCGTAATAAGTTTGCATGGTCGTCCTACAATTTCAATCTGTCGGTATTCAAAATTCAAAAACTGGGTTTGATGAAGTTCAAGAAGCATACTTTTTGGGAAACCGTCTTCGACTAGCAATACACATATGTGTTGGTAAGAATTGAAAAAAAAATATTCTTGAATCATTTTCCTACTGGAAACTACCTGATGGCTGTCTCTAATGTACTGATGCCAGGATAAGTACAAGTGTGCGGGCATATGTGTTTGTTCCCCAATCTCGATTAATTGAATGCCCGCAGCCCAGTTTGTGACAAGACTTAGAGACGTAGGGACACAGAAGTGTCTCACTTCAACCCCTAAGTACTATTCATCAATATTCCCATCCACCGATTATAGAAATCCTCCAAACCAGCAGCATAAGCACGGCAAGTACTTGATTGACAATCATTGAGTAATGTTTGGACGCTCAAGGACCACTTTGTAGTAGGTCCATGCTCATTAATGCGTCCGCTGCGATATGCCCGAAAGCATGGAGAGATTTGACAATGATGAATCTGAAGAGCTGCTGGATGCGGCGCGCAATTTTCCCTGCTGAGTTGCTGGGCCATTCTAAGGCTCCTTTCCCGCGTCTCCTGTGTCTGCTTTCTCTTTTGAAAATTTGTCTTGCTCTCTGAAAATCTCGTCCTCTTCCTCGGCAGCTTGCTTCTTAGCTAATACCGCAGCGACAGTAAAAGTCTGAGACGCAAGATCCCGTTGCATCAACTGCGAGGCGTCAATTGTCGGAGTTGGAGTTGGAAGGACTTCACGAGAACCATCGTCAGATGTCTCTGCTTGGTGCTTTGAAAGTACGGACTCCGAGGCAGGGGAATAGGCATCTATGTCACTCCAGAACCTTTCATATACCTCATGATCGATAAGGTCGCCGGAGCCTCTTCCAGAGTTTGAACGTCCAATTTCTATGCATTTTGAATGTTCTCTGAGCTCTTGAACATGTTCAGACCATGCCGCAGACTCGCTTGTAGAGCTAGAGTCCTCAGAGCTAGAGTCATCAGAGACCTCGTCTTCATAATCGAACTCGCTATCGGGGCAATCATCGTGGTCATTATCGCAGTCGCTTTTAGGGCGATCATCGTCATTGCCACCAACGTCGTCAATGCCACCTACATCGTCGTCACCAACGTCTTCGCCCATAGATACATTGGCAAATTTAGGGCTGGTGCTTCCCTTTGTGGCAGTCGCATGACCACTTGTAGATGCACTAACAATATTGAATTCAGCCCTTGCCCTATTGGTAATTTCAGGGCTGAGGCCGCTCGCGTTGAGCATTTCGTCGGCAAAGCTGCTCCAGTCCATATTTTGGAATTGGATGTTCTTTTTTGAGCTGCCGGTGCCTTCTTCAGCATTTTCGGGTTTCCTTGGCTGTGAACTAGGCACCTTCATGGTGCTGTCCCATTGCTTAAAGTGGATGGGTATGGAATTTGCCTTCTCTTCTAACTCACTCATGTCTTTTTGGAAGTTCCTCAGCGTTTCAATAGGCACGTGCTTGAAGCGGTTCCAGTCGTTCAAGTCGTCCAAGTCGATGGATTCGGATTTTGTCTTCTTTGGTGGGCTACTGGTGCCATTCTTAACAGGGTCGGACTTCCTCTTTCGTGAAATAGGCATGTCTATGAAAGGAGTCTGCGGTTTTCTTGCTTCTGTACTGGAATCCGTCTCCTTCTCGACGCTGGGGAGGACCATTGGATATGCCACACTGGGTGCGGCTTTCACCTTGCCCTGTAGTTCGCTGGGCAGTTTGCTGGACGGTTTGCTGGGCATTGCAACGGACGAATTTTGCGGTCTGAGAGCTTCTTTGCCCTTGAGTTGTGTCAAATTGAGATTCGTTGCTATATTGATCGACTCGTGGACGGGATACCATTTGACCTGTTTCGCTTTCCGTCAGTTTTGGTCTGAAGGAACAAAACCCCACAGAATCGCAGATTCTCGCTTTGCAGCTTGACCTCACGCGTCACAACTTACAAGGATACCAATCTGCGAGAGGGCTTCGATCTCCTCTTCAATTTCATGCAACAAGTCGTATGAGCCAAGCTTGTATGTGCAATCCATCATTTCCCCATCTAGGGTTCTCCAAGTCTGGAACTGAGGCTTCCACCAGACGCACGTGCGCATGGCTACGATGAAATCGATGAAATCGGGATCTGAAACCATGACGACGAGGCGGAAGATGCGTGCCTTTTCCAAGAAAACCTCACTGTTGCTCTTGGCCGCCTCGGCAATCAAAGCACATCGTTCTGGTAACACGGAAAAACGAACTTTGCGCAGCATTTCGATGATTGTGGTGAGCAGTGCTTTGTTGGGGCTGTCATCTTTGGTCGAACCGTTGAATTTTGACAAATGACCAAAGTAGTAGGCTGCGCGGTATTCCACTTCTGACTGTCTGTCAAACTCTCCCAGAGGCTGGACGCCTGCCCAGCAGACAAGAGTGCGCTTATCCCTCATGACCCGGTGGGCTGGGTGGCTTGCCGCCGAGTAGAGCCCTTCAACGCCAACCATCCACATAAGATTGCACTTTGGACATTCCACACACCATTCTTTGTCGGGTGCCATGGGCGGAGGCAAGATTAGATTGTTGCTGTTGAACTCGATATCCTCCAACACGTTGAACTTTCCGATATTCGTGCTGTTAGCATTCAGGCCGGCCGTGAGCCCTAGATGTGTGTCGATTTGAGGGATGAATAGCGCGTGTTTCCCAAAGTAGATATCCGTTCTACGCGGCTCCTTTGAATCGTACCAGACTTCGGGGCTGTATTCGCCTTGTGAGTCGCAGTTGTAGCTTTGCAAGCAATCGTGGCAAGTTGTTCGCATGTGCTCGGCACAAACCGGCGCCCTTTCACTGGGCCATAGGGACACCCAGGAAGACATGGTGACCGTGATGTCGATCTCTTTCTAATGGCCGTAATGATATGTATGCCCACTTTGGGTATCAATATCGATGTAGATGCACTGTATAAGGCAATGGCCTGGGGAAAAGAAAATGCGTTGATTCTGGTGCCGTTCAACGACAAAGTGAATTTGGACGAGGAAGTAGTCTTTGCCTTTGTCTTTGTTTTGATAGCTGTTTCCCGTTTCTGTAAAGCATCGAAGGAAGGCTCATTGCAGAAGACAAAGACCGTCACTACTGAATAGACTTGTCTCGCCCCCAATTGACGATTCTCTTGCACAGAAATTCATTTTGGACAATGATGAGCAGCAATTTCATTGCCATTGGCGCCAGTCACACTTGCTGAATGATAGTCCATTTGTATTTCTTGCCCTCTTATAGAGTGTCTATATCGCGAATAGCTTCAAGTGAATATTCCCTGCTTAAAGGCTCACAATTTGCATAATTCCACAAAAGTCACGCAAGGGTTCAATGCACACACATGTATAATTCGTGAGGCTCCATACCATCATTCGGCTTTCCTAAAAAGTACCCTTCCGGCATCTTCATTGGGCATTGTAATTACTACTAGTACCCGACGTGCTGCATGTCGTCTGAGCGGCTGAGCGCATCCATGCATGCATTGCATTGCATGCAAGATGTACAAATAACAGACAATACTATTCAGCGGATTATGAACATTGCAATAGTACGACACGTAGCAATCTAATCCATCGGGCGCGTGACGATCGAAGCGTGTACCTGAGCACCATGTTACAAAGTACTGTTCCATAGCAAATACTAGCAATTACTACCTAATCTACATTGGTACCTGGGGATTGGATTGGATCTGGATGGATTCTTGTGAAATGATGCGATTGACGTTAACTGTCAATGGCATGTGCTCGTAGTGTGCTGTGGGGGTGTCACTACTTAGCGGAGCGGCCAGAGATGGAACCTTGCATCCCACTACAATAAGCTTGGGCAGAACTGGAACAGCTAGTATACAGAAATCGTGGGGGCGCATTTGGATCTACAAACGTATTGGACTTCGTACGAACTTCGTATTCTTTCTTTCTTGTGTCTTCTCCTTCCTGCATTTCTCCATATTATATTATTGTACTAGGTAATGTTTCAATTACGTACCTTCCTGTCAAGGTACACGTTGTTCAATCTGGTTCAAGTCTCGAAACAATAACTGATGTCCGCATCACGATTGCAAGGATTCATTCAACTGGGCTTCTGAAAAGGCCACGGCCCATGGTAAGAGTAACGAGTAATTTTTTTATAGTTTCCTAATCCCTGCCAACATGTATAGAAATAGGTTAAAGGGGCCGCGGCGGGAAAGTGGACGATGCAGTATGGTACCTATCCGCATGCCAACCACATACGGAATACTACCACGAGACACACAAATATTTGACGCCTTTCTCGCATACCCATGGCCATGGAAGCCTCTTTCCGAAATCTCGAACTTTCGGCACTCCTGACATCCCTGATCTTCGGGTTCAGGGCTGAAAACTTCCGAAGGCGGATTGACGAGACGACACGGCATGTCCCCTAGTTGGCAGTTTGTCCTAGCTCACGACAACTTCATGCGACCCGTGAACTCTAAAAACTTTGTTGATAAAAACAGCTCAAAGCGGCTATTTTATCCCTTATTGGGAATGATATATCGTGTATTGCTGCTACTTGATCCATGGGCAGGTTCAGTTACTCATCCACCAGAGCAGCGGTCAGAAGATATTGCAAGACTCATTTCCGTCTCGACATGATGGTCCTTTTTTTTTTCCTTCGAAGTCTTTTTACTAGGTACGAATGCTGGGTCAGTGGATCATTTGGTGATTCTCGGTCGGGCTGTCGGCGGAGCTCCCGCATCTTCGCAATTCCTCTGGCTGCTCCTTGCGCGCGGTGCCCATGTTCCCCTGGCGTGAGCGAGATCCGGCTCTCGGCAGGGCGGACGACTTCCGTGATTTCAACATCTGTGATTCGACTCTCAACCTACCAGGTACCGTAGGTTGCCATTCTCGTTGGAGACGCACATGCAAGGCCATGATATGATGCATTGCAGCATTGATTTCTGTTTCAGGCACCGCATTGTCTACTACCCAGGTAAGAAAAGCCAATGCGGGACGGGACGAGACGACACGACATGACACGCCAGGCCATGCCATGCTAATCCATCAGCTTGGATTGGTCGAGGAATGCATTCCGATAGATGCTGGCCTCGCCAGACCTCTCAAAGTACTCAACCTTGGGCTCGACAACCCAGGTGGCCTGCGACTTTGGCCACATGGATGCGTAGTAGGGTTTCGTGAGCTGCTCCTTCTCGAACCACTCTTTCGATTCATTCCAGACCTCGACGAATCGGAAATGGCCCACGTTCTCAGGGTCCTCCCACACGTCAAAGAAGAGGCACTGGGGCTCGGCCGCACACGCGTTCCATACCGGCCTATGGGCAGCCTTGAAGTCTTCGATGAGCTCGGGCTTGATGTGTAAAGTGACGAACACGGTCAGCTGTTTGGCCTGTGCCATTGCGCTTTCGTAGGCGAGTGAGTAAATATGGGTACGGGCGAGATGACTGTGTCTAGGATGAGAGAAAAATTTATTAGCATGGCAAACATGGGTAGGTAATAAAGATGAAGGGGTGGTGGAAAGGGTCAAGCCTCAACAGGAAGTAGTAGTCATAGGAGGCGGCGGCCGATGGATGGCGGGGTAAATGTATTGTACCTGCGGCTTGCTTACCTAGGTGTATGCACCCAATGTACTATGTAGCTGGAGGTGGGCAGGTGGGAGTGAAGGTCAAATCTCAACCAGCGTGTCTGGGCTCTTTTGGTGGCTTGAGTGGCAGCTTGTAATCTTGGTTCCTTTGTCGATCAACAGTTTTCTCGTCGATTGGAAGTTTCCAGGATGATGTCGTATTCGATCGATCCGATTTTATTTGTGCACCGCCGCTACAGAAGTTTGAATACACGGGCACGACGACAGGTGAAGAGGATATGGGGATGGATTTTAGCCCGGAACGCATCCGCCCTCGCTCATAATGTCGTGTTATTACACTAGCTGGCGGATGTGGGCGGGCGGTGGACAGCGGAACGAACAGTGGAACAATAACTGCCCAGGTGCTAATTGACTTTACACTACAGTGATGAATGAGTGGGTGGGCTCGCAAATACCTACTGTTTTTCACAGGTCGGGTGCGGCCCCTAAACCCCCGCTCTCCAATGAACCGTAGGTCCTCCAACAGAGGGGAGCGTCTCCAGTGTGGTGTAAATCAGGCACATTACATTATTAGGTAGAGGACGGACATCAATAGTAATAGCAATAATACATGTCGAAATGCGTAGAGACGTCTAGGCGTCTTGTAGATTGATTAGATATCTAATATATTTCTAATGTAGCAAAAGAAATAGTCCCGGCAGAGATCTTCTCTAGCCAACATGCTCGTGTCGTAAAGCTGCATCTTTGTGCATCTATATATGTCATTTCGCTACGCAAATAAAACAGGAAAAATCAAAATCATTCTGTGCAAAACTGTGCCAATGTGTAGAGTGTGACCTGAAAGGAAAATGATGCGGGGCATTGTATCATCCCTGGCAGTGGGCAATAGGTATCCCTTCTTCTGCCCGCTGGAAAAACAATAAAACGACCATCCCAAAGTAACAACAAAGGAGAGGGGTGAGTTGAGAGAGGGAGGAGGAGACGGTGAGAGAGACAAAGAACAAAGATGCAAAATCTCCCCAGGGGCTTGTTTCCAATCATCAAGCGAAATGACTTTTTTAAAATGAAATAGAGGGTAGGAGATGGGTATTGAAAGATCCAAATCGACAAACGGGGAAGTAGTAGTAGAGTTCCCAGTTTATTGCAGGTGTCGTGTCGTGCCGAGGTGATGTGCTGCTGCATGCAACCAAAAAAATCGGACCCGCTAAAAAATCAGTCCACCGACTGCACGATCTCGGTTGTCGCGATAATGGACTCGTACCGTGGCCGCTCGGCTATGGACATCTTCTTCTGGCCCCGACCGTACACGGCGTCAATGTCGCTGGCGTACTTCTTTTCTGTCTGCTTTCGGTTCAGGTGGCCTTCGGTGCCCCGGATGAATGAGCCAAATGGCACCGGGATGACGTGGGTCTGGGGGATGCGCGAGTGCTCTGGCACATCCTCGTTCTGGGGCTCAATCGCCTGCTGCCAAATGTCGGATGCCGCTTCGACTTCCAGCCCTCTGGCGAGCTCCACCAGCGCCACGGGCTGCTGATCGTATTTGCTCAGGACAATCGACTTTTGCACCTTTTCGAGGTTGTCTATTGCCGTTTCCATGGCCAGGGAGAACTCGTTGCCCATTTCCAGGTCGTACAGCCGGCTGACGAACCGCCAAGCGTAACTCGACTTGTTCGGATCCGGATGCGGCGTCCACACCTCTGCAGTGGGCAGCTCGGGATATGGCGGCCCCGAGGGTGCCTCTGTGATGCCTTGGCCGGCCCAGTAACCAGCGAATTTTTGTGATTGTGGCGTCTGCGTCAGAATGAGCTCGTATAATGGTAATCTTGACCCGTCTTCGTCGTAGTATTCCAAGTCGCGCTCTTGGAACCTGATGCCGCCCGCCTCCATGTCAAAGTAGTTGTACTCGTAATCCTCGGGATCCGCCACGAGGACTGGTGGTGTCAGGCAATCCGCCCCTCCCCAGATATTTTGGAACTTGGTATGCCGCGACCAGATTTCTCCGCCGTAGTGTGTGACAGTTCCTGTGTTGCTACCTGTTAGTATCTTTCTCTCGCCAAAACACTTGCCAGTCGTATTGACTTACCATTTCCATATGCCATTGAGTCAAACTGCTTGATTATCTCCTCCGCGTCTGGCAGCCTCGCAATCACGTCTGCCAAAAAGAATGGGATGAATCCGGTCGTCGCCTTTGATCCTTTGATGATTTCGCAAACGTCGCTGATTTCCGTTGTCGCACGATGCCTGAATCCAGGCACCAGAATTCCGCCCCCAAAGCCGCCAACAGCCATGGCAATGGCCACAGCAATCGGGTGAAATGGCGAGGCTATCATAAAGTACCTTACTCCAGGACCGCATTGCCACGTCCAGTGACCACGACCATCTACGTCGGGGAGCTCTGTTTGGTTGTCGAAGCAAGCCATGCTGGCATGTGTGAAAGTGACGGGCCGCGGGTCGGATGTATTCCCTGACGAGTGACAGACGACTAGTGGCTCAGTCTTTGCCTCCTCCCAGGTCCTCGTGTATGGATATAATGGTGCAACGTCACTCAGGTCTAGCAAGTCGTCGAGCTCTGGGATTTCGGTCTTGGGCATGGGGTGGTGGTTGACGATATCTCTGGCATAGACGCCGCGGGCCAGCATAATCGCTGTACATTGTGTCCGCTCGATCAAGTCGAGGTGTGTCTCTAATGGGTTATGAGGAGAGCTGAAGAAGACCTTGTGCCCCGTCTTGCAAGCTGCATATGGCAGCATGTAATATCTGATATCTGGGATGCCGAGGTAAATGATGGTGTCAAACTTGTCCGAGCGACCAAACGCCTTTTCGATAAAGTGTGCCAGCTTGTTGATGGCGTTTGCAAAGGCGGCGTATGTAATGTCCTCGAAACCTTGCGAAAGATCATAGTCGTCTATGGGCAACGAAGCCCATGCTCGGTTGGGATCATCGCGGGCGACCTCGTCGATGATGGCGGGCAGGAGGCGCCGCCCAATCTCTCCGGTGGTTGAGTTGCTCATGATGGCGATTATCTTCTCGTCTGCAGCTCGTCTTGGTCTTCCTGCCTGGATGTGTTGGCCTTTGGTCATTCACACAAGACCGCATCACATTTTCCCGCGCGGCATGGCTTAGATAAATGTATGAGGGACAGGTTCATCATTCTTGGCTACAGGGGCCTATAGCGGAGTCTCCATCAACTGGCTTAGTGATGTTCAGGTTTCAAGCCAAATCCATATTTTCCTCCCCCACGTCGCAACCAGTTGTCCACACGCACCCTGGCATTACGACATGGATCATCTCTCACCTTGTTCTGAGAATGGTTCGGGAAGAGGAAGGGAAGGAAAAAAAAATTGTACCAAAGTGGATGATTAGGACCAGAAGGGAAGCCAAGGGTTGGTACTGTCTATCTAATAAACACAAAAGTTCTGCAAATGTTCGATATTTTAAGATTGTCATCATCGAATAGTGTAGATCTATTTTCTTCCATCTTTGCTTCCTTGTATATTCTAGAAGAAGAAAAAAATCAAGGGTCTACACTACTGTAGTACAGAAGAAACGTTTCTCTGGCCTAACTAGTTGACTGACTAGCTACCTAGCAGCGATTCGTAGGATCTCAACTGCCGTCGTTTTGTCTATTGGTGTTGCTAATCTGCCGCGAAACTATTCTGGTCCAGTCGTGTCAACCTCGGCCGGCGTCCGCGACGTCCCTTAACCAGGTTCGGGGGGGTTGGCACGACTTCGCGCTCACTGAGACGCCAGGCGATGGCCAGGGTCGGACCGTGCCGGAAGCCTTCCGGTTAGCATGTTTAGACTCGGGCCCTTGGATCGACTCAGTTAAACTGTCCTTGGGATATGGCCGGGTGACGGGGTCTTCCTCCTCCTCCTCCTCCTCCTGAAGCCGATCCACTTCTTTCTTGTTAATCCACGCGACCGTTCCATCGGGTACAATAGCTCTTCTGTATTTTTTCTAGTCGACAGATTCCCTCCCCTCCCCTTCCCCCCTTCGGTCTATCAATACCCCTCTCGATAACGGATCCATTTTCCCATATTAATCCAATGATAATTATTAGATTTTTCCTTCTCTTCGGGAACCTGACTGTCGGTATCCGCAAGACGCTCTAGAGGCCTGGGCCATATTGCCGCACACCGGTCTGCATGGATTATTACTTGCTGTGCAAAAGCGCTGTGCTGTTGTGCTGCACTGTAAAAAACTGCGCCCTGGCCTGGCGCTGGGAGCGAGCTGATCCGGCTAGATGGCTGGGCTTCTTTGCTGGAGATTTCCAATTCAAGTGATCCAGCTAGACTATTTGAGCAACCATGCCAATCTGGGTTAAGATCGCTAATCCCAAGCTTCGTACTCTGCAAAAGCTCAAGGTGAAATCGAATAGTGCATGTTGATCACGATTCATAATCGGGATAATTCTATCCGTGCTGCAAAAGAGGAAAACGAAAGACATCACTCATGCACGAATCCCTCCGATATGTTATGCAGAATCGGGGCCTTGCCATGGGTGATTTACATGTCCAAGTGCCTGACTCGACATCACTCCAGCTATTTGCTCGTTGACGAAAAGCATGATTCAGAGAACTGTTTTATTATTATACTCGTGCTACCATTCGTGCCTTTTTATACATGATGTTGCTGGGGTTCTGTGGAAAGCTTCTTCGGCACCAAAACCACAGCCCATTATCGCAGCCTGCCGAAAACAAGAGTAACACTTAGGGAAGGAGAAAGCTGTAGTCAATCTTTGACCACTCCTTCTTTTCTGTGCCGTGTTGCCAGACTTCAGCACCAAAATCATTATGCATTCTTGCAGGCTGTCAAGAACAAGAATGGCACTCAAGTGATGAGAGAACAGTAGTCAATGTGACCTTTCTTCTCGTGTGCCGTAATGCCAGTCCGTGGCGATTCCCTGATCAAATCATAGCCGTGAAGAAAGATAATAAACGAACACCACCCTTGCTGGAAGGCAGTGTGGAAAAGTTGGCTGCTGGGAACTCTTGTAGAAAGATATGCGACTCCGTTGGATATGACGCTACTGTTCGACTTATTGCATGTCTGGTCCCAAGGCTTCAACGTTCCGCCATAAACAACCATAAGCGGTCTAACTTCCACTTTCCAAAATGAATGGCTTTGTCTGGGCACGCAAAGCCGGCTTTGGCAAGCATTTCAAGGAGTTTGAAATCATGCATTTTGATCGCGCGTACGGTAAGCAGTTCTCCGTTTGCAGTAGCGTCCACAGGCACAAGCCGCAGCAACTTCTTGACAAACGGGTCCTCTGGGTTGTTCTTCCAAATTGACGACATACTAATGACGCATTCGCCCTCTGGGATACCACCAGCGTCGATTAGAAGAGAGGCTGCTTCCCATTGACGCTGGCGCATGGCCATGGTTACCAAATTGCGGGTGACACCCGTAGTCGAGTGTGTTAATGTAGAAGTACCGACCGCTTTGAAGAGCATTCGAATGAGTTTAGGCTCGCTAGTTGTTGTAACTGCGCAATAAAAGGGATGGATGCAGATGTTCGTGTATTGCGAGGAAACTTTATGGCCAGAATTAACAAGGTACTCAATGGTGGCAAGAACATCCGTTTCTTTCTGCTCTGTGTCGTCGAGCCTCCTCCTGTCTTGACAGTTGTGTAGCAAAATTGCACGTCTTGTAAGACCTAGGAATGCGCAGTTGTCTTCTGTTGTGCCCATAGACGCCCCGCGATTGATGAGAAACTTGGCCTGGGCATTGTTAGAATGACGCGGCTTGAATGATTTCAGGCTTGAAGGAGGCCAAAAGTTGCAAAAGAAACAGATTAGGAAACTAGAATCAAAACTTACTATGTCCGCATTCAGTGCATATGCCACGTGAGACTTGAATCCTGTAGCTGGGTCCTGGCTAATATCTCCTGCTTTATCGGCCAAAACTTTGACCAAGTCGAAATGACCTCGAAAGCATGCTATATCGAGCAACTGCAAAAAGGGCCCTGGCATGTCAAAGCCAGTGCTCCATCGCACCGGGCGGACCTTGCCCGGCAAACACTGTTGACGGCCTTTGCTCAGGATTTCGGCAAGTTCGCAACCTTGTCTAAGTGTTCTGGTCACCACCTCATTGGAATCCAAGCCGATTTCATCCATGGCCTGGATAGAGGCCTCGAACACGGACGACTTGCCGTACCACACTGCCCACTGGAGAGCCAGGGGCACAAGAGAATCATCTTTCTTTGCCTCTCTGGCATGGATTCTGTACAGCTCTGGCAGCACCCAGCTTTTCATGCCCTTATTGGTAAGGGCAAGAGCGATTGCATCTCGGAAGGGCAGGAATTGCAAAACGGCGAAGCCCAATTCTGCCGACAGGGTGGCTTCTAGTTCTAAATACCTATCAGCACAAATGATAGTGACAATTGGTAGAATGCGACACTCACTGGAGAGGTCGGTTCCGCCATTTTCGGTGCGGACTCGTTTTATCGACTTATTTGGGACTTCACCCCAGGATCCGAACTTTCTCTTGGATGTTTCCCCGAAACTCGCCATGTTTAACAAGGGAGTTTAGTCGGCACCAAAGGTCTGATAAAAGCCTCATTAAATTTGGGTTGCTCCAATGACAAACGGGGATAGTCGCCACGAAGGATGTGTCCTGAGTAACTTACGGGCAGTTGTTGTGAGGACTGGGTTGGAGCTACAAGCTTGAGTCTCAAGGCATAGGTTGCGCCAACGATTCTTGATGTGCACACAAGATGAAAGATCGAAGGATCGGATGATGATATGTTGGGAATCCCAATTGTGGTCTTGCTTGTCCAAGAGCCAGTCGCGCTGACAAGTTTGGGCAGGATCAAGGTAAATGTATTGCACGCACGGGTGATGATTTGATCAATGGCCACCCCAAGTGCTAACTGTTGCCTCGAATTGTTAAAGTCGCAACGAAAATACTAGTTGACGAAAGTACGTGAAGAGTGATCAGTTTCTTTTTTTCTTAAATATCGCTGGGGCTCGATCACTGTAATTGGATTTGCGGCAATCGACAACCTAGGGAAAGAACCAAAGGAAAGTTTGCAACGGCAAGTCTGGAATTACCGGTACTGCCGAGCGTGGAAAATGTGACGCTCTTGGTGGTATACAATGTTTGACCAAGCGTCGAGGGAATCTGCGTCAAAGAGGTTGGAAGTTGTAAAGACAACGCCTAGGTTTCCGCGACAGGCTTGAGCCTTGAGCATAGAAAGTGAAAAAGAACTAAAGTAAGAAGACCAGGTTCGCGCCTGTTGAGAGATAGCCAGCCTGGTCACCAAGGACCTGGATTTTTGTACAAATGGAATTTTTGGGAATGTGGCAAATGACTGAATGTGATTGTTGGCCGCGTAATCGCATTTTCTGTGGAAAGAACCTAGAAAAGGTAGCAATTACTGTTTTCTGTGCACAGTAAAGAATTGTGAATTGCCTACACCCATGATTATTCTTCGCTATTGTTTATTACAACTACCCTGCCACAATCGGAAAACTATCACTTGCACAATCAAAATATTTCCAAAACACAACGCCGTGTTGAATTACAACAATAGAAGCTACACCCCACTGGGAAACCGTCTGTGTATTGTTATCACACCTGAAGGCTTTGCCGATTAATAATATCCCACATCAACATGGCAAGCGCAATATTTTACATTTTTGTGTTATGATCTACTTACCTAGTCAATCAGAAGACACACATACTTGATAGTCTCATAGTTACCATGACATCCAGGGGAAACGAATTGTAGGCTCAATTTAAACATCTCTGCCTTGTTTATGCACTGAGCAAAATCTTTTGCATGCTCATGACATAAATGTCAGAGCGATCATTATAGGAAATCCAATCAACCCACATCTTAATACACCAAGATGTTTTCGGTCAAAGTTGTAGCTCAATGTTCAGCTGTCATCAAAACCAAAAACTACCATATACAAAATGGATTACACAAATGATATTCATCTAGTACAGAGGAGCACCTATAGGTTGGAGCTTGGCACGCGTTTGACGGAATCGGAGGTTTCTGGTGGGCTTACCTCCGCTAACCCCGAGATCTGACATAACGTCTTGAATCTTCCAGGAATCAAGCTTGGATCAAAGCTCGTGTTTTAGACGAACAATCAAAACAATTTCGGCAACACCATGGGCAATGCATTTCAGTTTGTGGAGGGCTTCCAGCCCAGCAGAGCCAACAAACGATTGATACGGCGCCATGCCATGATTGGGAGGAATGCTGGGAAGTCGGTGCATAGAGCTTCGCGTTTGTCCCTAGCGACCAAGCAACCGCCACGCCAATGCTCGTTGCCCAGACGGTCCTTTGTAACTTTACATCACGGCGATGCCCAAAAAAACGAAATTACAGGACCAGTCTCGATTCTTGCCAGCCTCGGAGATGGATTTCTGTCCTGCTCACTGCCTGTCGAGTTTACACCGTCATCACTTCGAGTTGTCAGTCAATGTAAGCCATTCGCTATTCTTTGTGCCGTCCATGAGGAAACAAAGAACTAATCAATTCTTCACAGTCTTCAACTTTGTAATTGAGAAAATGTATCCCACCAGGCTGGGCGGCGCTGCTCAAGAATACCAGTACATCTACCTCCGGGCGATGTTTCCGGATGAAGCCAGTAAGATCATTCGTTGCAAGAAAAGGCCTGTGCCGTCGCTGAAATTTTGGTACCAAAACACAGCAGCAAAGTGCAGTATCGCTTTGATGGACGCGACCAATGCATTCTTTGTCCGCGGTAGTCCCCACGGGTCAGAGGGTCTACAACATTACTCCCGCTCCCTCGCTGTAGTCTCCGACAGGCTGCGTGGGCGTGAAGCTCTTGCAGATTCGACATTGATGCTCATTGTGCTACTAGTTCTCCAAGAGCAGATGAGACAAGAGGTCGAAGCTGCACGCGTTCATTACGAGGGCCTCAAGAAGATGATTCAGCTTCGGGGCGGTCTTGCCCAACTTGAAGACAATGGCCCTGTGGCATTGAAGATATGCAAGTACGTGCACCCTTGTATTATTTTTATACTACTCAATTATGCTAATCAATCTTCACAAGAATGGACATTTGCTTTTCTCTATACCATGGAGGACCAATTTCATTTTGCCAAAGTTGCGAAGCTTCGATGCAACCCAGACCCCATCGGGAGGCAACGACAATCATCCTTCCTCATGACTTGGACCCTTCTCTGCAAAACATTCTTCTGGATGCCATGGACTTGGCTTCCACACTCAACAGGGGTAAAAACTGCCCGGAATATCAAAGGCTGGACTTGCAAATGATACTCGTCTCAGTCGGCTGCCGATTGCTCAAATTCCAGCCTCTCGAATCCGCCCATGATTGCTCAGAGACGGATAAAATCTACCATGTCGGGCTTTTGCTCTATATGATGACTCTATTCTTTCAGTACGACCTCCAAAGAGTCTGGGAGTTTCCCCTTGTGATGCGTCGGCTCCAGGACGTGCTCGCGCCGTACAGCAGGATCAGTCTAGAGAAAGAACGCAATGGCCTACTGCTATGGACTTTACTCATGGGTAGCATTTGGGCAATGGCAGACACGAGAGAGCGCTGGGCTGTCACAATGTTACGAGAAGCTATTAACGACATGAAGATCACCGACTTTGATGGCATGCTCTCTTCCGTCAACAAGCTTCCATGGGTTCATTCGATACATGATGAGCCTGCCCGATCTTTATGGAACATTATCAAGGGAGATTCATAATAAAATACGACTAATTTCGATCTGATTGACAGAAAACTACCCTAAACTCGACAACCCTGCCGTTCAGTACGCGAACTGCTCTCCAACCACTTCTTCAGACCACTTCCACAGCTTCTCAGCCTCGGAGCTTGAGCTAGCAAGCGGCTTCACTCCATCCCAGATCTGGCAGTTGGACAACATGGCGCCATAGTTCTCCTTGCCATCTTTAGGCTCGGGCTTTCCCAGCTTCGGGTCCAGGGCCGCAACGAGGCTGGTGGAGGAGCCGGCTTGCTGATTCTTGCGATTAATGAGGCCGGCCTTCTCCATCTCTACGACGGCAGCCAAGCCCTCGGGCGGTATACGTCTTCCCAGCTCGGTGACAATCACACCGGGGTGCACGGCCACACTGAGGATGCCGTGCTTGTCGTACACGCGCGCGCTGAGCCCAATGGCGAACAACAGGTTGGCCACCTTGCTCTGGTTGTAGCCCTCCCAGGGTATATACGACTGGTTCTCGGGGTCGGCGCACCCGGCCATCTTGAGGAAGCCGTAGTTGGGCTGCTCCGACTCGGGCAGGTCACAGTTCTTGGTCTCGAATGTGAGGTCGCTCCAGCGCATGACGGACATCTGGGGCGAACCTGACGAGACGCTAATGACGCGCGTGGCGCCCGGTACGGGGTTGCGCTCCGCAGCCTTGATCAACTTGGGCATGATCAGGTTGGCAAACAAAAAGTTGCCGACGTGGTTGGTAGCCAAGTGCAGCTCAATGCCTTCCTCGGTCAGCGTACGCTCCTCGATGCCCATGGTGCCGCCGTTTTGGACGACAATGTCAATTGTGGGAATGTCGTCCCAAGACAGCACCTCGGCCGCTGCAGTGCGGACCGATTTCTGCTTGGATAAGTCGATCTGAAGAAGGCGATAGTTGACGTCGGGATATTCCTTCTCGAGAGCGTCGATGCATTCTTGGATCTTTGAAGGAGTTCTACTGGCAATGATTAGATGCGCTGGAGTTTGGGAGGCCTGCAGCGATGCTTGTCAGTTTTGTTCATTATCATGGCTGTGTCAGATCAGGGAACGTACAAACGCTTCAGCCGTCGTGAAACCTAGTCCTAGACGATTGACACCAAGAACGAGGACCGTCTTGCCGCGAACCGAATCAGCAAATGCGTTGGCGACCTCCAGGGCCTCTGTCTGGTCGTTGAACTCGGAGTGCGTTGTTGCAGTCATTATGGCTAGAGTAATGGGCTTGCGGTAAAGTGTGTGCTGTCGTGTTGAATTGCTTGCTAGAAGTTGAAGCTATTGGAATTTGATGTGCTCTATACTGATCTAAAACTGTCGCTGAGATGAGGCTGCTTTTATACTTGATTCCCGGGTTTCTTGCAACGGTTTTCTTGAACGGTTTCAAATGATATCACCGCTGTACGGAATCCGCGGAAAGTCCGCTGGCTGATCACTATAGGTAAAGGCCATTATTAGAATGGATATAACGGATTTTACTTCAAAAATGAAGCATTCCAAGAAGAAGTCAAAATACCAGCGCAGCCAATGAGAGAATTGCTTCCTTTTTAGGAACGCTCGTGGTAGTCAAACTTCCATGATGTAGTAGAACTCGGTACCCTTTTCGACCAATGAGAGACTTACTTCCGTATTCGGAATGGTTGCGGGCCATGCAATAGTTTCGGAAGTAACTCTTACTCCCCATAACCGAGTAGGCTTACATCCGTTCACAAGCCTCGCCCTCAAAAAGTGCAGCAACTACAAAAACGGCCGACTCTTTCACAATGTTATGAATGCCAATTTATGCAGAATCGCTCGTGATCTCTCGAAGCTTTCATCAGCAGGTACCCTCGTATATTGCTATGTACTGATGTATTATGATGAATTTCAATTGTTCAAACAACCATCGAGGCTTATAGATGATAATATGCTGCAAAATGCCACGTGCTTGCAAAACGCAATATCATTGCCGAATGCAAGCGCTTTATTCCCAACTTGGAGGTCAAACAATAGCCGCATCAAAATCTACCCTCGTCAGGATGTTTGGTAATTGAAGGAGAGAAGGAAAATTGTACCTAGCCAACTTCCCAAGCGACACATTTGTACACTCCTTGCTACACATCTAGTACTTGAATCCACCAGCCCTGGCATTGAACAGACCATCGACATCAACCTCGCGCTGCAGGGCCTTGAGGTCGTCGTACGCCTTGTAGGAGCCCGTGACATTCTGGTCACCCGTGGCATCATTCATAAAGTACGGCAGATACGCATCGGCGTCGAGGCCGGCCAGAGCGTTCCACTCGGGTATCTTGGTCTCGAGCCAGGCCGTCACGTCTTGCGTGATGCTGTAGACGGTCGCGTCATTGATGCCAAAGGCCCAGGCGCACTCCATTTCGAGGAACAGCCGGTCCGGGTCCGACGACGAGAAGCCAATGGCGTTGCCGCCGCGCTCCTCGCTGTGCTGTCCAATTATGGACGGGACGGGCTGGTAGTCGATGCTGCACTGCTCTGTCAGGGCGAGCGCGCCCGTCACGGCCGAGGTCCAGTAGTCGTGGATCTCCTGGTAAATACCGGGGTAGTTGGGAACGTAGGGAATGGTGAATTCCTGTGCCATGGCAGCAAATTAGCAATTGAACTCTCATGATACCTGATGTTGTTAGGTAGGTCGTGGGCTAGATACTCACTCGGAATGAAAATCGCGCGACGAAAAACGATGCCGGATCGCCATTGGTCTCCAAGAGGTCTGCATAGGACTTTGTTCCCGTCTCATCAATGAGCGCATCGATTGCTAGGAATTCCGCCAATGGACCATCAGTTGGTGGAGTTTCGCCGTCGTAGAAATAGTAGACAAGGATCAAAGGAACAACATCGATGGCTAGGATGTCTGTAAAGATGATGGCTGCCTTCTGATCATTGGCGTTGTTGGGCACAAAGTTGTGGAGAGCGGCGTAGAGTTCGTCGCGGTGGTCGTCGGTATAGGCTCTCAAACCTCCCCAGACCTGGCTGATTGGGTGGGCTTCGATGGTAAACTTTGTGACGATACCAAACTGGCTTCCACTTCCTCTCAGGGCAACGGCAAGATCGGGTTGAGTGCTGGCGTCGATGTTGGCAATGGTGCCGTTCGGCAAGACAATCTCCCAGCCGATGATACTATCGGCAGCGAGGCCATACTGTGCGCTGAGGAAGGAGATTCCACCTTGGAGAAGATATCCTCCTACGCCGACAATGCCGAGACGACCACCGACCACGGTCACGTTGTAGGGCGCAAGGCCGCCGATGACATCGTTCCAGGTGCCACCGGGCTTGACATAGGCCAGGTTCGTGTCGGCATCATAGGTGACGCCCGTGATGTACCTCAGAGCAATCAGAATGCCGTCCTGGATACTCCCATGGCCTGGGTTGGGGTCGTGCCCTCCACTCTTGGCTGCGAACTCTACATCGGGATATTTATTGAGAATCTGGACAATGGAAGCGACCTCGTCCACGTCTGTCGGATGGACAACACAGGCAGGTTGAAGATCCCGGAGGGCGGTGGACCAGTACTCCTGCGTCTCGTTGATGTATGCCAGTTCCAGCGGCCAGGAGAGACGGTCGGGGAGTATAGCATCAATGTCTTTGCAGGCCTGTGTGGTAGAAGCAGATGGCGCAGCCAGGGTCTGCTGCGCAATGAGCAAAGCCGGTGCCAGAAGTGAAAAGAGTGAGGGAGCCATTGTCGTAATCCTTGGGGATTGAGCTGTGAGGTCGACTATGTCTGCCAGCAAGAAGAGCCATGCTGTCTAACTCGCGGCCACTGCCTGTATATATCTTCATCTGCCATGTGGTGAATCGTGATGAAGATCAATACCTCGGGAGGGATATAGTGGGGCAAACGGGACAGGCCTGTCACCTTTTCTTGACTGTGATTCGTGCCTCCATGCAGAAGATCCTGATCTATTGGCTAGCTGAAGGGCCTGAGCAGATCCAAATTGGAAAGCGCAACTCTATAAGACGGAATGTCGCGATCGATCGAAGGGGCCAATGACTTGATAGTTTTCAGTCGGCTCTTGTACTGGCCAAGGGCAACTCTATCCGCGAAGCAATATCTATCTGATTGTCAGTGAAGGAAATCAATTACAATGTAACATGATGCACGCCTGGTGACCACTCGGCCACTATACACTGTCTCGGGCCTATGCCATCGGCATCATATGTCAAACTCAGATTGCGATCGGCCGTCGTATTCGAATCCGTGTCCGGGTCGGGATTGTGGGGAAGAGACGCCTCTTACGCCGGGAGGCACACGGCGCCGGGGTCGGCAGTGATCAATTTTGGTCAAAGTATCATTGTATTTGTGTATATTGTCTCTTAAACTTTCTGAGAGTATCTCGGCAGTTGCCGTCCTGTAACCTCCCTGGGAACATGGGAAATGGCAGGGGAGACGCAAGATCCAGAAGCCATCTCCGCGCCTCGATTCTGGAGGATTTGACAAGCCAACTCCCGCGGTTTTGAGAATTCAATCTGCAAATCGCGATTATCGTGTAAATCACGTAGCGCGCGCAGCCCACCTGTGTCGGCGTAGTACTATATCCTTCCTCCTCATTCGTCAATACCTTGTCGCTGTTTTGTCTGCCTCCTGGTGGCTGTACCTTGGATTTGATCGTCATGCGCCAAACGCGCCCCGTATTCGTGATGAAAGAAAACATGGAGAATAAGGGTGTCCTGGTTCAAATGGATAGTATAGAAGACAAGATTCGTCGCCGCCGATTCCGAGGTTGAATACTCGCCGACAGGATACGGGGCACCGGAAGCACGTGATGAAGAGCAGACCCTAGGACTCTGTGCATCGACCCCGAGCAATGGAAAGAAGAAGCGTTGTGACATTGGTGCCTCCTACGGTAGGAACCGCAAACGACTGGTGCGTGGCACGGGAGGGGAGGAGGGGGAAAGGTCCCCAACGGCCGACGACATCACAGACGGTCGGTTGCACAATGCAGAATGGGGCGCGTGCCACACGAGCCCTTTCGTCCAAATTGTTTGGGATGGAAAGGCATGCCTTTGGGGAAAGACGAGGACAACAGGCATACTCAGCCGCCCCGTCTCCCATTGGTGGAACGGGCGGGCAATAGTGCGCAGTGATCACCCGAACGAAGCCACTGGCGAGAATCAGCTATACCAGATGATATGCCCATGAAGAAATGAACACTGTCGTCGAGACGAGTCTTGCGGTTAATCGGCTTCTTTGCTTCAGTGAGCGAAGACCCCCTCCGAACAGGACGCGGAGATCATAAAAGGGGCAGTTTCTCTTGGCATGGCAGAGTAAACGAGCAACGTGATGACAAAATAGAGGCCAGCCCGGTGTTAGCCGTGCGTAAGGCCGAGCGGATCATAGAGATTTGCCCAGAAACAGCAAGTCTCCAGCGGTTCGATAGGAGACAAAAGGAGTCGGTCTTTACCGGGAAAACCGAGCATCATGTTTTAGTCGAACTTGATTTTTTTTTCTTTCTCTGCCCGATGTCCCCCCGCCTACCGGAATCCACAACTTTGTCTTTTGAGTTCTTCAGTGTCTTTTTTTCTTCTTCTTTTTTTCCTCAGCCAAAAAGGAAGCAAGAGAAAAAGGGGAATTGTGACTAGCTTGAGCCCTGAATTGGCCGTTACGAAGGAAGAAAAGAGCCGTGTCATGGACTAACTAGTATTAAGATGAGTGCCCGTGCGCAGGATTTAGACTTCTTCAATTATTTTCTACTGCCACCATAACTATTGCCAGAGCATACTACCGAGACTACTACTACTTTGATAAGACCAAAGGCGGAACCACCAAAAGGGACAGGCACTATGACGCTACTGGACGAAATCATCAATTTGACGCGCCCACTTCGTGTCAATTCCGTCGTGGGCGGGCTCGGATGAGGTCATGAGGGTTGAACATAGCAAGCGGAATTTGCGACAAAGGAGTCAATGCTCACTGCTATTTTTTTCGGGTGCGCCTCGGGAGCACAAGATACGCGCCCGTAACAGTAAAAGAAGAAAAGGCACCGCATGCTCACCGGCTGCCTCCCGTTGTGCTTAATTTATAGTCGTATGGGATTCCTGGTCGAAGTGTACTATTAGTCACTAAACTTGGTGATAATTAATCACGATTACCTATTGGGGTGGATTAAGGCCCCGTGCCTAGGTAGATACTAGGTACCCATTCCAAGGTGCATTTGCGGATTGCTTCTTTTGGTGAAATAGTCGCTTGTCAAACGCACAGCAGCAGCAGCAGCGGCAGCTCAACGCGACATCAGAAAAGAATCCAATTTAGGCCAGTTGCGCAAGTGAACGCGTATAAACGTGTCTCACGTGCAGTGGTGATTGCCCTTCCTGGAGAAGCAGAAGCAAAGAGCCGCGCATTCTATCCAAGGTGGCGAGCGCCAGCTCTACCATTTTGACCCCGAACCTACATACAAATCTTGCGCGATGTGACGCCAAATACCATCTTGACTTTAATGGCACATGGTGAATCGATAAAAAACGGTGACGACCCAGAGTGGAAGGAGCCGTGCAAAAGCCCGTGCTCTCGTGTCACGCATTTTGCTCTTTGCTTTTTGTTTTTTATTCTATCCTTCTGCTACTTGTCTCTGAGAGCCCAAGGCAAGAAAGCTGTACGAAGTAGGTAGGAACGTACTATGTAGTGATTCAGTACCAAGGTCTTATTATAGGGTAATAAGGTTGTTGGTTCAAGGTTTATCGCTTGACGATCCGAGTGGTGGGTAACACGCCACGAGCAGAGGAGCAAACTTAGCAACTCATCTCAACTCACCCGTGGACGAGTGTCGTGCGGCTCCAGTTTACATACATGGTAGTGGTGATTTAGATGGTTTAGATGGCTGACGGTACTACATAATAGTCTGTCGATTACTACCTGGAAAGCAGAAAACTCCGAAGAGACCGGGCAGTTCGGGGAAGAATGGCATTGATTCCATCATTGGTAGCGGCCGAGCACATCATAGGTAGTACAGAGACGGCGCACTTTGAGGAATAAGTCGGTAAGCAAAGCAGACATACACGGACGTCTTTACTGTGTGCAAGTGCTCTTTGTTAGGAGCATTTGGTAGGTATTACACAAATCTATGTCTGACCAGTTGCGTAACATGAGCATAACACCAAGCACAGCGCTGCCACTGCAAATCACGACGCGTCATAAGATGTGCACTGGGTCATCTGCTGATTCGCTCATAGCCCATGCTCGCACCTCTATGTGCAACTCTTCGGTCTCCGCTTGGCTGTTGCCCCTTCGCACGTGGCAATATAAGCAAAAGTTCGGATGTTTTACATGAGCGATCGCAGCCCAATTTGCGGTATCTCAAGCAAAGAAAAATAAGAAGGCATAGCCACGATGCCGCGGGTTTACCCAAAAGTCAGGGGCACTAAAAAAGATAGAAAAAAACCGCAGAGAGGTCTGTGAGATGAGGCTACCGTCTACGCTACCTGACAATCCAGTGGGCGATCTCCCACGCCGCCGGTCGGCGCTTTATTTTTAATATTGGAGACCACGTTTAGGCTGGGGGGCCCTTCTAATCAATGTACCAACGTAGGTATCTAACAAAACTTAGGTAGGTTAGATTACACAGTACACTCGGTACGTGGACAGCCACGGGGCTGCTTAAACGACGCCGAGGATTTCACTTGGGCCAAGTTTCCCAGTGTTCGCCAGTGTTGATAGCAAGGGGCCAACACATTTGCGTATGCACAAGTTTCACGCCAAACTGAAGCTTTCCCCAGCTGGGTTGTGACTATTGCCCGATGGGATTTGCCGGCACCATGGTAGATCGTGACTAGCCTCAGGGTCTGTCTGTCAGTCTGCCAGTCTGTCTGTTTGAAATGTATGCGCGGCACGGTTCGGCTGGCTTGATTTTCTGATGGGTCGACGACTCGAAAGAGTTTTTGGATCCTTTCGCCTCGTGGTGCGCCCGTCATCCGATGCCAAGCAAACAAGTTGAGCACTGCAGCATAACTTGATCACCCTGGGATATTACAGGTAGAAGGGGGCAAAAAGGTAAAAAGATGACATGCGGATCTGGTTCCGTAGTTGGGATGAAGACTGCCCCCCTCCCTTGCATGCTTTCTTGTGTCGTCGAGGAGATGAACACGACGGACGAGAGTGGACAAGCATAACGGAGACATCATTCATCATCATCGTTTGGGGATGGGGGCCTCTCTGCCTGCTTACTCCAGTTGCGAGAAATAAAACGACAGATGGAAGAAAGGAGCAGAGCAGGCGAAACAAGGCTACCCGGCCGGCTCTTGCTCCTTTTGGATACTATTCCAGTTTGAAAGTATTCACAAGCTTATTAATTGATTCCAAGCATCTATTCGTGGACGTGGGTCTCCCACTTTGTACATAGATTTTACCCTACATACATGAAATGATACATACATGCCTGTCTGCCTACCGAGCCTACATTCATACTTTGTACCTGCGCAATACACCACTACTGTATGCATGCAGCTCCGGAGGAAGCGAAAGGAAAATAACATTACTTTTTAGCACTCCCGCATCCACCCATCCATCCATCACATCCCGGAGGGGGGGCCACCATTTCCATCCATCTTACGTATCGGCCGACGTGCAGCAAAAAAGGATGCCACATCATGTCATCGATGGGAATGTCCATGTTGCGTCGATATTAAGGCCATGGCAGAATTGGGAAGTCCCTATATTGCACGGCCAAGGTGCAAAGACCCAGGGGCCCCCCGAAGCCTGGACGGATTAGGAAGGATTGACAGGGGCGACGGCTCTTTACTGGGGCACGGGTGCGGGCGCGGCGTTGTTTTGCAGTGGCTCTTACATCTACTCAATCTGAAGAAAAGCGCGCCGGTGCCTTAGCTAAGTGCTGAAGCGTGGTGCTGGATCTCGCACTTGGGCAGTCCAAGTGCTGCTGGCCGCTGCTCTTCCGCCCTGGTCCGATGTCCCGTTCAGCAGCCAGTAGGTCTCTTTTCGCGATTTGGTTTTTGACATCGGGTACCTTGCAGGCCAGATGATACTGAACCACAGCACCACTGGAGGAGACGTTGAAGTTCCCTGGAAGTTAGCAATAACACTAAGCTAATTTCAGCTAAGCAAGAAACTATTTGACCTTGGGTACCCCGGGCCCGTGGGATGAGTGCCAGTGGCTTTCCAGCTTAATTGCTGGCTGGCCATGTGCTGCTGTAAATGCAGCGCAGGTACCTGCCTACATGCCCTGTAGTAGGCAATCTAATGGGGAAATATGATCTATTTCTCAATTGGAGTAGGGCCCTGAAGCTTGTCAATTTGACGCCAAATCGATGACGAACGAAGGGGTTTAATCCGTTTCTCAAGAACCCTAACACGGTTAAGAAGCCAGGCCAGGGGTTTAGAGGGGGGAAAAGACAGAGACAGAAGGAAAAAAAAAGTTACAGTTGACCAAGCTGCCGATCAGTGGAAACCCACACAAACCAGAGAAAGAAAGAAGGGCGAAAAAGAAAAATGCAAGCCCATGTCATCATCTTTTTTCCCCGGAAAGAGCTGCCATCCAAACGGTCGTTCGTTTCTTTCCAGGGTTCGCAAGGTCGGATCTCCTGGCCCCCCAGTGTCAATCAGCGAGCAGAAGGGCTTATCATTGGCCTTTTCGACGCATTCATCGGCGCGATCCTCGTGTTTCGAAACGCACTTCGATGTGTGTACATACTCGACAAGACCCTGTCCTGTTTCAGGTGGGCCGGCCAATTCAGCCCACCTCCACATCCTTGCATGAAAAGAGATGAGCTCGAGATGGCTCAAGGCCTCTTGCAGCACTTGCGAGGCACTTGAGGCCAGCGGCGTCCGAGCTGTTGTGCACACATTTTCGTGGTCCAAATTGGGTCCATTTACCTCTTGTTCAATGGACCGACTACGCTGCTGCCGCTTGATACTGCTCCTACTACAGAGGAGTTTTGCTGCTGCTTGTCACTCACTCACTGTTTTGCTTTGCTACCCGGTGCCTCTCAGCGCCAGTCTGTCTGTCTGTCTGTCTGATTCAGCGGTCCGCCAAGACGACCAGCAGAACAAGGCCACCACCAAGGGCAGGGTCAGCACAGTAGCACAACCACTACTACTCTAGGATCAAGGGTCAACGCTGCCGGAACAGGATCCATTCACTTCAAGTTGGCATCACTCACTCGTTCACTCATTGCATCCTCCAATTCCTGCTGGCGTGCTTCTTGTTGCTTGTGTCTGCTGCTTGCTTACTGCTTGCAGGTGTTGTTGTTGCTGCTGCTGCTGCTGCTGGAGCCCTGTCCAATCTGCAGACAGTGCTGCTGGGGTGGGCTTCGCTTTTGATGCCAGACCTTTTTCTTCTTAGCGGCCCCCTCATCGTGTGTTTCCACACCCACCCACCCTGGTTCCCACCCCGGAAAAGAAGAGAAGAAGAACAGAGGAGGAAGGGGAAAGGTGAAGAGAAGAGCGACTGTAATGCGCGTCTGTGTGTGAGGGCGTGAGCTACCGGTACTTAGTGGACGAACGCCGAGAGCAGCAAAAAGGCTGGCTGCCAGCAGTAACACACATACACACACACACACACCAAAGAAACCGCGCCAGTTGATCGCACGATTTGCGCCAGGGTCCTTTTCGCTCAACTCGTCCGAAGCTGGGCAGGGCTAGGACAGGGGAGCCGGCCTGTCTGTTCCTGGACACACGCTTTTCTCTTTTCTGCTCTCCTCTCTATCTGCAGCTTGGTGTGGCCCAGTTCGGTTGACGGCCTCTGCGTTGCCTAGCAAAAAAACGAGACTACCTACGCGCGATACTATATCTCCTGGTCGGGCACCCGGCCATCCATCTGCGCGCGCGGAATCTCTGTGGAAATGATTTGCTTCCCCCGACTATCACTGTTGCTACTTACTATCTTAACCCTCGACCATCCCGTCTGTCACGAAACTCGATTCGGTTGATTCACCGTTCTCACCGTCTGACTTTCATTCTCACCTGATCGTATCGATATATCCTTACCACCAAACAAAGAAGCGATATTGATTGTCGCCGCCAGCTCAGCGCTCTGCTTGCCCTAGCCACCGCCCCCCTCCATTGAGGGCGATCTTCGTGCCCAAGATGGACGCCTCAACTGACCCCTCACGGATCCTGGAACAGGCGAGACAACATCTCGAAGCCCTCAAGCAAGCTGGCTTGTCGAGGGAGGCGTTGCTCGAATTGCTAGGCGAGGACGATCACTCGAAACAACAACAGCAACTACAGATCCATCTTCAGCAGCCACCACCACCACAGTATCAACCGCCACCGCCGCCGCCACCTCAGACGACACAAGGAGGCATTGAATGTAAGGCTACTCAACGCGACGAGTACATTGGGGAATTACTTCCTCATGTCTGTCTGTTATCTCTCTGGAGCAGCATTGACTAAATATTTGTGCAGCTCAGTTATCGCCCAGCTATGGCGTCCCAAGTCACCCTTTCATCCCGTCACATCAGGTCCGATCATCAATATCATCCGTAGCATCTAACAGCTCAGGGCGGGAGAGCATATTATCAACCGCAACTGCCGCAACGGCGCACAGCTCCGTGTCGTCCGTTGGAGGAGGTTTTGCAAAACCGACTACACCAGCATCCGCCTCATCCGAGGCCAAGTATTGGTGCACATCATGTGACAAGACGTTCAAGCGCAAGTTCGACTGGAAAAGGCATGAGGAGGAGTTTCACGAGCGATGGAGAAAGTACCCTTGCCCCAACTGTAACCAGAGCTTTTGGGGCCCGAATACTTTCAACCAGCACCACAAGTCTGCCCACGGCTGCCGGACGTGCCCGCATTCCGACGGCGTGGTCAAGTACATGAGGAAGAGAAGGGCTTGGGGATGTGGCTTCTGCGCCGCCATGCACACCAAGCTCGAGAAACACTACGAACACGTCGCCGCACATTTCGAATCCGGCGCTCAGAAACAGGATTGGATGCACTCCAATGTCATATATGGCCTGCTGCATCAGCCAGCTGTGCTTGAGGCTTGGAGAGAGCTCGTCAGCAGGAAGCAGGACAAATTCAATGGACACCAGCCCATGTTCAGCTGGAGCATAGACAACACCGGCAGACAGCAAGGATACGTCGAAGGCGAGAACCAAGGCCAACTACAGGATTTCCTCGAATTTTTTGACGGGTCTAGCGAGCAGGCGGCACGCATCACGCAGTGTGCATGGGGCTACTGCCATGTTGTCTTGAAGCCAAAGTCTAGCGGGGAGCTCACGCCGCCTCAAGAATCGCAAAATGCGCCGCAACAAGCAGACCCGTGCTCACTCAGTCGACAAGTCACTATTACATCTCAGCGGGGTGGACTGAGGAGAGTGGCATCAACATCACTGATGCCCGTCAGCAGACAGCCGACAAGACGTGTCTCTTCGGCTGATTTCCGTGAGCACGTACAACCAAACATGCAATTCACAAGTCCTATGGACCAAAACATTCCTTACCAACAACAACAATTCATGGTACCGCCTCAACCGATCCCATCGCAACAGATTTCGCCGCAGCCAATGCAGGTTGAACCGATGCAGATGAGCCAGTCCATGAACTCACGACCCTTGTCACTCGACAAGGAACTACCACCAGCTCCTTTGTTACCCTCACCCTTGGATACGTCACCCATGGACGTTGATTTCAATATGTATAGTGACAACCAAGAGCAGCTCTTGAAGCCACCTTCTTTGCAGGATTGGCAGAGCTTCTCAAGTGCACACAGTTTTTCCGATACCCAAAGTCTGTCTAGTACGCTTTTTGAAGAACAAGCCGCGATTGCGGTACAGCAGCACCAACAGCACCCATATGGTGCACATCCACAACATAATATGTCCCTGAGCTGGGGAGAGCTCAGTCACTTTTCAGGACAGCACCCACAGGGTTGAGCGCAACATTTGTACAATACGCATTATAAAATAAATATGAAAACAGAAGAGGCACATTGCTCTTGGAATGCACAAGGACCTGAAAGGCTTGGCTAAGCTTTGGCTCGGGCTAGATCACATCACAGCCGGATTCGCTGGGAAATAATGTAATGATACCGATACTAGATATCTAGTGCTTGGATGGGAGCGATTTAAAATTCACAAGCGTTATATCCCATATTCACCACAACTAGCCATTGTGATGTATCGTGCGGCAAGTTGATCCATGTTCTGATCAGCAGCGCATTTTGATTTCGTTGTTTCCAAGAATGATATCACCGAGGACAGACGTGGACGGACCGATTACATGTCATCTGCATCTATAGCACAGTCACTTGAAGTTACCAACGGGACTACCCTTATATCCTAATCTAGGTAGATGGTTACCTGTTTGCGCCCACGACATCACGCGACCTGTAAGATTGCAATGCCGTCTACATTGTCTAACTAATGATGAAGATGGGAAGGGCTTGCAAATCTTGTCATGGTCGTAGACCTACATAATGAGACTTTCAGAAGCGAAACATGAGGTGAGAGATTGACGACATGATCATGAGCAACGAAAGCCTGCCGGTTATGCAGGTAGGCCATGTGTATCGCATGTACAGCTGACTAGTATATCGTAGATGGCCTCGCCATTCCATCAATCGTACCCAGGTGATCCAGCTTGCCCTAAAATTCCCTGCTGCAATGCAGGAATGTCCCCCAAGTAAGTCTCTTCCGATCTATAAACATATTACGCTGGCCCTGTCGATCCGCACTTCCCATTTCGGAACATAGAGAAACCCCAGCAGGAGTCCTAATTGGGGGAGCATTTTAGCCGGTAATATCACCAACAACAATAACCTGGGAACACATCTGCCGCCAAGATGGAGCCAAGCAATGCGTTGCAACTACCGACAGCGGTCGGTGGTGTCATTCGAATACCTTTTCCGGGCTTGGGTATAAGATAAAAGAGATGTCCTTATTCATGGACCACGAATTGCGAATTACCCTGGGCCGACTAGAAGAACTTGGGGAGTAGCCAGTAAATCAAATCGATACGACTCAAGGCAAAATGAAGCACAGTGTTATATTTTCCGCGTTCATCACAGCGGCCACAGCAGCTCCTCACTGTAAGACAATGCGCCAACCCGAGTGACTGTCTCTGAGCGTTTACATGGCAGAGTTGCTAACATGAATGATTTGCCACACAGATACGTTCCCAAAACTGTCTGGAACAGAGGACTGGACCTCGGCGCGCAAGACGGCCAACTGGCAAAATAATGGGCCCGTTACCGACGTGACATCCGAGGCCATACGCTGCTACCAGCTCGCCGCGGGCAACGAGGGCGCCGTGACGCAAAACTTCAAGGCCGGAGGCACCATTACCTGGGTCGTGGCCCCGAGCATCTATCATCAAGGCTCTCTGTCGGCCTACATGGCCAAGGCGCCCTCGGGCACTGATGTTGCCAACTGGGACGGCTCGGGCGCTGTGTGGTTCAAGGTCTACCAAGACGCGGTGGCTGTCTCGGGCAGCCAGTACACTTGGCCCTCTGAAGGTAAAACCTGACCCCTACTACAAGATGTATCCCAGACGACAAGTTGAAAGCAGGCTCTTCACACATGACCCAAAAGGAGACCTATTAACCAAGAAGAATTACAGGCAAAACCCAAGTCAGCTTCACGATCCCGTCGTGTCTCGCCGACGGCCAGTACCTGTTCCGCGTCGAGCACGTGGCGCTGCACTCGGCATCCACAAAGGGCGGCGCGCAATTCTATCTGTCGTGTGCGCAGCTGAGCATCACGGGCGGCTCTGGCAGCAAGACGCCGTCGGACCTCGTGTCGTTCCCCGGCGCCTACAGTGCCGATGACCCCGGCCTGCTCATCAACATTTATAGCAACGGTGGCAAAGCTTATCAGCCGGCCGGGCCTAGCGTTTTTACTTGTTAAATACGGCCGTGAGGCACGAGATGGTGTTGGATGTGTGTCGACCTTGTGTCAGCAATGAGCGTGTTGTTCGACACGGCACGAGATTAGAGAGCTTGAGATGGCATGCATTCACCGAGTGTCATGTTTGAATAAATTTATGGATGAAACCTTTGAAAGTAATGTTAAAGTGCAGGTATGCAGGAACGGTAATCCAATGAGTTTGATTCTCTATTCTAACTGGACAATTCTTCCAGTCCAATCGTAGATATGGGAATACCTGTCTCCAAAGTATTGGGCTTTTCTATGTACAATCCAGGCTCTATCACCAAGCGGGCTTGTACTGAAGCCATTCGTAATTTTTACATTAGTGGCAATCACTCGACCAAAGCAGCATAACGACGTGGAGCTCTATCTCCGGCCCTTTCCAGCGCCACGCCCATTCTGTCTCTGTCTCGAGGGAAAGAAGTTGTGTCCCTTGGCTTTGACCCTCGGGAGGTGCAAGGTACCATCCTCTCGGACCCATTTCATAAAGTTGGCACGGAGCTCCGGTCGGATGCCGACATTGGGCTCCCACCAGCCGAGCCGTAGGACTAGGGCCTGGCTCTGCGAGAGAGGTTCGCTGGAATAGCCGGCCGCGACGCTGTCGTCGAGCGTGCGGCGCAGGAACCGGGTGAAATTGGCCGCCGTCGGGATACTCTCGAATCCCATCTCGCGCATGAACTGGGCGAAATCGCTCACGCCGTGCAGCCGTCGCACCTCGGCCGCGACATGGCTCACGGCACCCGGAGGCGGGCCGCCGTGGCGGTCAAACAGCTCCTCGCGAATCTCGGCCAGCGGACGGCCGTGGTCCGGGCGCGCGGTGCGCCGAAAGAGCTCCGAGAACATGAGGAGCCGGTACGATGTGCGCGACGCCGCAAAGGTCTGGTCCAGACGGTAGGCCGAGACGGCGTCGGGCTCGCGGTAGGCCAGCTCGGGGTGTTGTTGCAGCGTCCACACGACGTTGCGAACAATGGCCTCGGTGACTATGGCCTTGCGCAGCTCCGGGGTGACTTCCACGTCGCTGATGAGCAGGGCCACGATCAGATGGCCGAGGTTCGGAGCGGCCGTCTTGGAGCGGTTGCCGTCCCGGAAAGACGCGAGGAGACGGTTGGCGGACCGGACGATGGAGGGGTCCTCAGTGGCGAGGCAAACCAGGAGGTGGAAGAGGTGAAAGTATGACTCAATGGCCTTGTCCGAGGCGTGGGTCAATGTCGACTTGGGATCATCGTAGATGGCGCGGACATTATTTAGTTTGACGACAATGTCAGTCATGAACTGGTAGATGACGTCGGCGTCTGTAGGCCTCTCGTACTTGACACAGCCTCCAGTCTTCAGATACTGCAGTGTCTCGCGGGCATGGCCGCGGACCCGTGCCCAGTGAGGCCTCGAGATGGGCAAGGGCAGCCACCAGTCAAATTGAACGTGGTGGATTGATTCCCGTACTTTGAGGTCGTTGTAGGCTTCGTAAGATATCAGGTCGAACTCGGACCGGATACTCTTGGTGTTTGCCGCGATACCCACGCCTAGATTGGCATCGTGGTAGGTCTTCTTCTGAACGAAGCACTGCAATTCGCGCTGGCGCATGACGTCGAATTCCGTAATGACCTGGCTTACTCGAGGCCAAGCATACGCTAGATTGACTAAATCCTCAAACTCCTCGACCTGGTAGAGGATATTGAGGAGAATCTCGTTTGGAATGGTGTCGACAGGTAAGACCACAGCACCAGTGTATTTGGCGAGTATGTTCTGTGCTGACGACTGAGGCGGTCGAGGTGTGCTCGATCCACTCTCCGTAGAGGCACTATCGTTCAACACCTTTGACCTTCGACTCCTTCGTCCCTGCTTTGAAGGAGTAGGCTCTTGAACATAGACGGCTCCAGGAACGTATCTTTTCCCAAGTTCCTTGGGGCTGTCTGGGCCGAACTTGCATGCACTGCAACAAAAGTTGTCATCTCCAGCGCCTCGAATCGCCATATTCTTTGGGGTCCGCTGTGTGCGGTAGTGGTTGAGATCGACTTCTTCTCCAGTTCCAACCTGCTCGATTGTCTCACTACCAAAGAAGCTGAGAAGTTGAATGGCGATGCTCTTCAAGGTATACGCCGGCGTGTAGCCCTCGCTTGTGTTGAGGATGGACGCGCAGATGTAATTGCCGAACACGTTGGGATGGATAACCCTCGAATCCATCTTGATTCTCGGAGGACTCAGAGGGAAGTTTTGCAAGCGATCCACAGTCAGATGCATTTTATCCCATCGCGGAGGTGAAAGGATGAGGCAAAATTTCGTCAAGTCCTCATCGTTGATGTGAACGTCGATGTTGGGATACGGCTTGCGGCGGAGCTCGCTAATGTCTTGCAACAGCCTCTGAGAGCGAAGCAGGGTTTGGACATCATGAACCATCTTTGCGGTCGTGTAGAAAGGACACCCAGGGAATCTATTTTCAAGTGATCAGAGGACCAACACTGCTGTTTGTACAAAGTGGTTCGTCTTGGTCGCCCTGAAGGATGATGGGTATTAGTGGAGGATGGGGGCCAGATCCATGCCAAAGAGCAGCCGCAAGCGATGACGACCTTGCACGACCTGCTGATGTGAAGATTGAAGTGTGTAGAGATGGACGGAGAATGAATTGCTTGAAGGATATGAATTGTTTGAAGGAGATTGGAAAATGAAGAAGATTATATATTGGCACTCAACATCACCATTTTCGCTTGCCTAAGGGTATAATGAAGCAGCGCTAGCAGAGGCCTATAATGCACTGACCACAGTTGAAGTGCCGCTTGACTCATTCCCGCCAGGCGCAGCAACCGGCGAACCCTTTTTGGTGCCGGTGAAGGGCCCAGCTTCTAGTTTGTCTTGAGGCCTTTTTCTCATATTTCTTTTTTGTTCTCAACAAGAAAAAGAAGGCATCAGTGTCTAACAATCGTTATCCCCCGAGACCAGTGTGCTTGGTTTATTGTTTGTCGCATGAAAAGGGCAACAAGTTCTAGGCATTCAATACATTGGCAGTCTTCATGTTAGCTAACCTAGCGCCTTATGGTTTTCCCTTGTCTCTGCCTAGTAGATTCCTGCCCTTGTTTCTCTGATTAGCTGTTGACTAGAGGCCAGCCTTTGCAACTGCCTAGGTTACATTATTAGACATGCAGCTTCAAGCTATCAAAAACCGTTTGGCTGATGTAACACAGATGGAAGATTGCGGATTGATTGAAAGAATCTTTGTTAGCTCTACAGAAGTCTGTGTCTCTCGAAGTTTCTACGGCTTCCTCAGTCTCTCTCAGTTCTAGTCATACGCAAACAAGTAATGCGGAAAAGTCTTTTTTAGATGTACATAAGTTCGTTCAGGTGAAAATGCTCAACATCAGCGTCGCGCACTAGCTTTTGCCCGGCACCAAACTCCATTCCAGCCTATAAATAATAAGAACATGAGAAAAGAGAGTGAATGAAATAGAATCCACTCAAATAAGTCCCCAAAAAAGAAGGCTCTAGATGACCCATAGCATCAACATTGATAAATCATCAATGAAACTTCGCATGCGACAAACGATCCATAATCTCAATCGCCATGATGCAGTAAGCCTTGATATCCAGGCCCTCAATCATGCCAAAGGCCTGCTCCAACGCCTCGGCCAGCCGACCGGGGTCGAGTCCGACGCCAGGGCCGCAACCGCTCAGCAACATGCCAATATCGGCCGAGGTGCGCATCACCAGCTCGGCCCGCGGCCGGCAGACCTCGTCGTACGCGCGCAGGGCCGCGGCCACATGTGCGCGCGACGTTGTCCGGCCCAGCAGCGTCGACAGGATCAGCGCCTCCTCCAGGGCGGTGTTCGAGGGGCAGTAGAGAGAGGCGGACGAGGAGCTGCCGTGGGCGGCGCCGTCAATGAGGCAGGCGTTGCGGGAAGCATAGGTTCGAGTCGGTAGGTACTGCATGTGACAAAAGGCTGCAATGGAAATTGTGTATATACTTTGGACCAGCTATAGAATTCTGGTCAGTTCTTCATATTACTCCCGCGACTTGGGGCCTCGGGGCTTTTGCCCACCAACGTACCTTGACTATCCCTTGGCAGGGCAAACTTTGACTGCTCGAGAAGATCTGCTGGTACTCGCTTGGTGTGAATAGCTTGACCCACGACGAAGACTCTTCTGTGGAACCTTGGTGGATTGCAGCCGTGGTAACTTGCACCTCTCTTCCGTTGCTCATGAGACCGTGCTGCATCATTGTGCCGTCTCCGACCCATGTGATCTGTCGTGGATTTCTCGGATCCAGCACCTCGGACTCAATCATTTGTCTAGCTTTGTCTGTGGGCACCTTGATAGGAAGAGTCCAAAGACCTGACGGCTTTGGAGTTTGCGTTGGGTCGTCGGGACCGACGATGTAGTTTCGTGTCAGGCCGCGGACCCCGTCGGCACCAATGACTACATCATACTTCTTCTGGGATCCGTCCGAGAACGCGAGAGTAAGGCCGGGACCCGGCGATGACTGGGAGATGGAAGTGACTTTGGCGTTGAGGTGAACCATGCGCGGGGGAATGCCAGACAAGATTTCGGAAAGGAGGGCCTGGCGCCCTACAGTTCTGTTGCCATTGGTGAATTGGTCGTTGACGTGTAGTCGTTGCCCGGCGAGGGACCCCGTAGCTATGCGTACTTCCGAGGTCGTGTATACAGCACCAGCACGACCGAGACAATCGTCCATGGATGGGTCAATGGCATGGAGAATGACCTGCGAGAGCGGACTCAGATCCATGCTTGGCCGCTCTTCTCTGCATGACGGACGAGCCTCGTACAAGTCCACTGCTATATGGGAGTAGCGTAGGAGCCCACGGGCAAGGACCGCTCCAGCCAGGCCACCGCCGATAATGGCTACGCGTATGGTCGAGATTCGTTCGTCCATGTTCTTTTCGAGGCTGGGTCGCGATTGACGGCGATTAGGGGTTTTCGTGGAGCCTTGACTATATTCATCATTATCCGGCTCCGTCTTTAAAGACGGCGATGATTTGAAGGCCTCCATGGTAACTTAAGTAATACCATGACCAGTATGTCTTGGCCGATCTTTCTCCTTGGTGAATACAGTATGAGGTACTGTTCGGTGGACAAGTATACTAATCTTCCTGCCGCAGACAAAAAGGATTCAGATCGGATGACTCTTGATGCGATGTCAAGTTGACTTGAAAGGTAAAATAATGTTTCTATAACCGTCTGGGATTGGCCCCATCAAACAGCCTCTTGTGACATAGACATGAGAGATTCATACTCGCAAGGACGACATGTTGCATTGACAGCGCCGAGGTATATGAGCAAGCAGCTCTTGCAAGCTACAGGGATGAACTCCAAGGCGCACTGCCATACCTAAAGAAACAAAAGAAAGAAATAACCTGGTAGTATGACCTGTTCTTTCGGCTGTCCCATGGCTGTGGTGTTCCTGCGCTGTTAGCTAATCAGCCCTATACATTCCCCACTGGTCAGTAACCGAGTGCCATGTACCAAGATCTTCCCTTATACGCAAATGGCGAATGGTACCACAAGCCTGCATGTGCAAGGGTGCAAGGGCATTATGGACCGTTGTGCTGCAAGAGACAATTACCTAGATAGCATAGGATTCCTTGCCGGGTTCTTTAGTGCTCCGGTATACCATTATCGGAGTCCGTCTTCGAGGACCCTTGAGCGTTTCAAATGCTTGCGCCAAAGACCACCTGGGGGTCCTTTCAAAAAAAAAAAAAAAAAAAAAGAATTTGCCATATCCTCTCGACATCGCGTACCGTCAGATGCAAAGAATATTACACAAATAGCGTGAGCCGTGTTGAAAACTCTGACAACGGGATGTCAGGTATGCACACAGGGTCCCACACTCTCTCTGCGAGGATGGATGAGAACTGTGAGATCGATATGCGGTGTCCCTTACGATTGGGGGCCGTTGGATCTTGTTCCGTTTTTGGGACCAAGATTTAGGACCCGTAAGCGAGCGCCGCCAAGCTGGGAGATGGCTGATGCCTTGCTCCTGATGGCACGACCTGGCCAGAAGCTTGACATCGGATTATAACGCTTATTCCATACGCTCTGCGCATGGATAGTATACACAGCCTCACACTCGGTAGACAGGCAGCAGAATAATAAAGCCATGGCCGGATTGAATAAATCAGACGAGGCAGAATGGGTCAGTATAGTATAGTCTTTTTTTCAACAAACAGACTGGATCGACGTTGGAACAAGTGATGCACGCCCCAAGCCCAAGAAGCCCACAGGCCCACAGGGAGGAGTGCCGATCCGCCTGGTCGGGAATTCTGGCTTGCTGTAATTTGCATTTTGGGGGCCGCCAATGTGAAATTTCAATTAGCTCGAGATGCAATGCTACGTAAGCATTATAATGACAATCCCAATGTGGTAACCGGCGTAGCCATAACAGGAACGCAGCGCGTCGTTGCTAATGTCCCGTCCATGTTCTTTCTGTGTTACTAAGGTTTGTCATTCCAGCGCCTCCAAAAGGCAGTCCAGCATTAGCAGGCCGCGCGCATCCAATATGCGACGCCCATAGTAAGTCGTACAACACTGCTTGGTGGACGGTGGGAGACACGGGACTTGACAGGGGGCTGTGGATCTGCCGTTGCTCCCAGGCTCATCCGCTGTAGAAATCTTTGACAAGCATCAATTCAATCCTTGCCATGTTCAAAGAGGTGCGAGTGCATACGAGAGCAACTGGCTGAACCATCGTGGGGCGAGTCCGAGGATCTGGTACACATCTTGGCATTAAGAAAAGAAGCAAACAGTTATAGAAAGATGCGCGACCCAGCTGCTTGGGCCGTGACAACATGATCATGAGCTCATGATTATCCAATGCCCCCGCTGAACAAATAGTGCCAGGATCGCAGTCGATTAGCGGCCGCGGCATGAACTGAGAGGTCAAGGTACAGACGGGTAGATCCATCCAACCCAGGTAGGCAACAGAATTACCGTATAATAATTCGGCAGTGTGATTTTACTAGCATTGCATTCAAAATGTCCAATAGTACCTAGAAGGGCACATTAGGCAACTTGCATTACCTAATTGCCAGTGGGTTTCTTTCTTTTGGCCGATAATCTCGTCTATTTTTGATCTTTCAAGCTTGGCAACTTGTCGGTCCCGACAGTAATGTCGTACCTGCAGCAGGAAATGAAAAACAAAATCTCTGCCACCCAGATGGAGGAATGCAGTGTGGGAATCTCGGTCTGCCGGCGTTCCAAAACATAAATTGGCCCCTTTCGCTGACATGCTGGGCCGGGCTCCGACGCACCAAGTGAATGCCGTTCCTGAAAATGTCACGAGACATTGCATTTCTTGCCCAATCCCACCGGCATGCCACGCGATGTATAATGTAAGTGCATACCTCATGGCTGCAACGCGACGGCAAAGGACCAGTGGGCAAAGGGCGGAATTTGTGCCGCTATATGTCGTGATGTACATCGCCACTATTTACACCAATGGTTGATGGTGCACATACACCTCCGCCAGCAACTTTTTGTTTGGCATACAGGATGCGGCTGAAGCCATTCGGGGCACCACCACCCGTGATTTGTCATTTGTCATCACACGTCAGAAAACACAGACGATACCCCCCGATTCCCTTTTCCCCCTTTTTGGGAGATGACGACCTTCATCGTCTTAGCCACAAGTGGCATATCCGGATCTGTACTCGAGAGGCGGGACGACAACGGGCAATGCGAGAGAGGCGACAATGACCGGCGACGGCCACACGTCTTTGTCAGACTGAAGGCGCCGTCAGAGAACCCAAGCTTACAGCGTGGCAACGCCTCGCTGGTGCATTGCGGGATCTTTCGTTGTCTGGGACGCTGTTCCTAGTACAATGGGCCAAAGTTGTATCGGCACATCCCTCATGTCAGCAGAGAATTTTGCCCAATGATCTTTGCATGTCAATATTTTTGGGGGAAGAGAGAGGAAGAAACGCATCATCAAGGCCGGGTTCTGGCGCTTCTACTCTCGCGCTGCTATCAAAGTGTTGAGGCGAGTGAGAAAAAGGCATTCCAGGATTCCTCATTGAAAGCATTGGCAAATTTCAACTATTGAAAAAAGCCAGTCGTGTTGTCTGAGCAACATGAAGCTGTCGAGCGGCATGCTGGACATGGTGCTGGCGCTGCTCGAGAATTGCACATAATGACGAGCGGACTTGACAGGCAGTGCAGAGAAAAGTTTGCGGAGCGAAGAATTCCTCGGCGCGGATGGCTGCACAAGATGATGCTGGTCATCCAACAGATAGAGGAATAGGCGAGGAAATGAAATTGTCTACTGCACATTTACGCAGGAAAGCAAAATAGCCAACCTGAGAAAGGAGAGGAAGCCCGCGGTTACCGTAACCCGCAATAATTCATCATGTTTCATTTCGTCTTGCTGGCCTAACACTTTGGGTCCGAGACCCCTGTCTACGTCGCATTGATGCTAAATCGAGTTTGCGATTGCAAAAAGAAAAGTCAATAATGTGGAACGGCGAAACCTCGCGTATTTTGCTGGGGATGTCAAAAGGAAGACCCGCTACTGTATAGCAAATAGAATCGCAGTTTCAAGAAGTTGAGATGATCAAATTTTTGGATTGGGAGGATTCCAAGGCACGTATCACACTGTGCAGAGCTCAGAGCATCTTCTCTGCAGGGTCACGTTTCTGCCTTGCCAGTGATCAATGTTCATCTCAAGTCTTGACAAGCACAAGGACTTCAGCCCCAGTCCAAGTTGCGATTCCGCACGACAAGAATAGCAACATTGGAGGTTTGGGACGAATAACGAGATGTTGCGAAATGCGCAGAAGAGGCGCTCGCAGTTCATGTCAATCAGGCAGGTGAGGGGATCGTTGCACAAGTCTGGAGCCGCATAGCCATGCATCGAAACGCATAGGACTTGATTAGACCTACTTTGGAGTTTTCAAGGTGATTGAGACTCTTGACGTCTTGCAGGTATTCCTTTCGGGCTTTGATTCAAAAGAAGCCGACCTGTAGTCTCCGACTGCGAAGCGACAATATTCCCCACAAAACAAGGGAACGAAAATAATGGCTTGCTTGATTGGCTTGACGGTATGTCACCATGTTGCCTATCAAACACGGCGATATTCCCATTGCATATATACTGTGTATTTCAGAGTGGCTTAGCGCACCAAGGAAGATCACAGTCTTGACTGCAGCGGGTATCGATCTGATTGATGGCTCTGATCTTATGTTCATGAAGGCATATAGTACATGGACATTATCTCGTTGACAAGACTACCCGGGAAGGCATCTAGACAAGCAATACATGTTCATGATCGCCAAAGGACAAGACTCTGGGCACAGGATTTTGTGCAAATGTCTATGTGTTCACCTACTTGCCTGACATGCATGTGATCTAGATCATAGTTTGAGTTCCCGCCGACAGTACATATCGCCTTGACTACAGACCCACCCAACTATAATCCCTAAAGACCCTGTTCTCCGGAGGGATATAGCTTATTCTAATTCTTAAGTTTAGCAGAGCGAATAAAGAGTCGTTGTTGCTGCGGCATTTGGGCGCCTCGACTCCGCTCCATGACACTGGATGAGACACGACCATGGTCCCACCTTTTCGGCGCTGGGGGACTATCAACGGTTGGGCTTTTCATGGCTGCAATGCTTGTCAAGGTGACGGACACATGCGGCTCGCCAAACAAGAAAAGGTGTAGTTTTGAGTATCCGGGGTAAAGTTTCAAAAAGGACAGGCGAAGGGAAAAAGACAGGAAGCCAATCACGAGGAAAAGCATTACGGAATACTTTGCGGGGAAAGAAAAAGAAAAAGAATAACGGGCGACTAGAGGTGCAGATAAATCCGGGTTAGAAGCTAAGAGGACCTGCGTCAGAAAGCTTGGCGCTGAACCAAGCTTCGCTGTACCCGGACTGCCAGCGCCGACAAGGCCAATCAGCATTCGTATATCCACTGAAGAGTAGGCCCAAGTCCCCGGCCGCTGCACCCCAAAAAGACACCCCCGGAACAGACCCCCCCCAGAAGACACCCAGGCTTGAAACCTCAAAGCCCGCATATCGACATGGGATGATCTGCCTCAGATCCAAGAGTGAGACGTCGCCAAAACCTTCCACGGGCATCGCGCACTGGAAATAGATGTTTGGTCGTGGTCTTGGCACATGGGTTTGTAAGAGTATGGGATGAAAAGATGTTCTCTGGTCTGTGCCATTGTGGTTGGGTCTATAGCCTCGCTTCAGATGATGGCTGTCGTCTATACTCACTCTCTGTGCCTGCCTAAGCGGGTTTGCGGCTCCAACACCTTGAACTGCCTCCTCCCTTCAAAGACTCGACAAATTGTGTATATAAGAGTCTAATCTTCTCCTGCATCAGCTTCTTTTCCTTCCTCTCTCTATCCATCAGATCATTCTCATCTCTTCCATCATCTCTTTGCAACTTCAATTCTTTGGCTGGTCCATCTGTCTGTTTGTCTTTGTACATTCATTACTATCAACTTTTTCAACACAACAAAGTAATATTTTATTACATTTTCAAAACACCACAAAAACCGCCAAAATGAAGTTCTTCTCCATCCTTCTTCTCGTCGCCTCGGTCAGCGCTGTCGCTATTGAGCCCCGTCACCACAAGGGTAACACCGGTGGCAAGGGAGGTGAGTTTAGAAAATCCACCCGAGCTATTTTTGCTGGCTTTTGAGTCAAAGGGGACAAGAAAACTAACATTATATACTCAGCCGCTGCTGCTGCCAACACCAATGCCAACGCCAATGCCGCCAACGCCAACGCCAATGCCAACGCTGCCAACAACGCCGCGGCTGCTGCTGCCACTGACGCTGCTTGCATCACTGCTCGGTAAGTTTCAGAGAAAAACGAAAGAAGATAGTTTCCGCATCTTCTTTCCCCCTAAATCTACTTGCATCGTTGCAATCGAAAGTAAACTGACGCTTTGGGAAATCATATAGTCACCACAAGGGTAACACTGGTGGTGCCGCCAACGCCGCCAACGCCAACGCCAACGCGGCTGCTGCCAACTGCGCCAACTAGACGGGCTGACCATAACAAATCATGATAGCATGAGGGAATCATGACATTGGGGGGAACCGACAATTTTTGCGTCCATCTGTGCTTGGAAGTCGGGTCCGGATCATGGTGCTGGGGTGCTGCGATATACCTTTCTCAGCCTCAACCCCCCAGGAGTCATTTCCCTCATGAGTGTGTGGCTATTCGGCTTGATTTTGGTGACAAGAGAAAACAAAAAACTATGGATTGGGAACTTGCAGAATCTTTAAGCAAACCTCGGCCGTGCCTCCTGGTCGTATAGGGGGTACAGATACCACGGGCTTCGCAAAATGAGTTCTTCAAAAAGGCTTAATTTACTCCCTGGCCTCAACTCTTATGCGCCTGCTGCCATCCATATAAAACTTCAGACAATTCTTTGGATAATTAATACGAAATATTGGTGTTTTGAAAATGATTTGTTTCCTATTTTTGTTGCTCTTTTTCTGCCTGTAAATCGATGTATCGAGTCCATGCTAAAACCTACAATGGTGTCATATGCTCAATTTTATTTCCGCGTTTCATAAGTTTTTACTATCCAAAGAGATGAGCCCTGAAAGATAATGCAATTACATTCGTCTTCCAAAGCTCTGCATCATCTTTTGGTGCTCACGCCAGTCCACAACAGGGTCCCATGGCTCTTCAGTTTCCGAGCCCGTGACCAACGATCCTGCCTCGGCTGATTTGACGCCATATAGATAGGGTTTTTCATTGGCATAACATTGCGTCTCGGAGTCTTCAGGGACCGTGCCATTGAGGATGAAAGATTTGGCGATGGAATTGGTGCAGTTAGAGGTGTCGCGAGACGAGTGGCCATAACCGTGATGCGTAATCAGTCTAGCATTCTTGCCCATCTCGTGAAGAAGGCGTCGACCGTTTCTCAATGGGGTTGCGGGATCATACGTCTCGGCAATGAGAAGCACTGGATTCTTGAGGGTGTGGTTGAGATCACCGCGATACGCCTCGGCGGGCTTGGGCCAGTAGTCCGAAAAGTGGCGGCACGGGAAAACGTCGTAGAAGCGAGAATTGCCGGCAATCCAGGATCTGTTCGTCATATCTTCCCAAAGATCCAACCACCAGTCCAAGCCATCCGGCATGGGCGCATCGTAAGAATCGGCGCAGATGACGATCATTCCGAGCTCGTCTGATTGTGGTATGGCAGGGGCCAAAGGGCACGGTTTTGTTGGATCATACTCCCAATTCTGTAAGAATTGTGCCGCCAGCGTAGAATTGCCTGCCTCAAGTTCAAAGAGCATTTTGGCAAGTGCTGGCCAAGAAAAGGCGTTGTACATGGCACTGTACAAAGCCTCTACCAGTCTGGAATATGTGACGAGCATAGGCCCGCTCGATTTTGTGTATCCTGGAATCGGGCGCTCAATGATCTTGTCGAGCAGTGTCTGCATTCTGTCTTGGAGGCTGTTCAACGTTACAGGTTTGTTATCCTTGGGCTTGGCGAGGGCACAATATTCCGGCCCAGCATTGACACACTCGCCCAGAAAACCGTCGTTCCACGCATCGGTTCCATTATCGAGCGCCGTCCAACCAAATCCACCGACCAATCGGTGGTCACGAACGTATTCGGTACCGTCCAGGATGATGCGGCCGACACTATCGGGAAACATGTTGGCATATGTCTGTCCAATGCCCGTGCCATAGCTCACAAGATAGCCGGTTAGCTCGTCCTCGTCCAATACCTTGCGGATCTCTTCGAGATCACGGGCGACGAATGAGGTGCCCATGAAGCGCCCCAGATCACCGAGGCGCTCCCAGCAGCCGTGGAATATGGAATCCCAGAGTGCATCAGCAAACTCTAGCTGTGCGCGCGGCGATGGCGAGGTCTCGCGGTACTGATTCTGTCGCAGCGACCAGCGATCACGATCAGCGTCGTAGGGCCAACATGAAAAGGACGGGAGGGAGATGTTGACACCGCGCGGATCCCATCCCAAGACATCCAACTTGCCATCCGTGAAGCGCCTTCCGTAATCCTCAGCGGCTCGCCACACCAGTCCGGTACCAGGGCCACCAGGGCCACCCGGCTCTACAACGAGCGTCCGCGCGCTCTTCTTGCCAGCGTTCGGGTTCTTGGAGACCACGCCCGAACGCGCCAGGCCCGAGACCTGATATTTGGTGACAGCGAGGCGATTGATGCGGTGATCCGACGCGTTGGTATAGTCCATCGGCACATCGAGCCAGCCGCAGAGGTAGATACCCCGCCCCGCATAGGGATCCTCGGGATGGCCGGTCTCGCTCGTCTCTGCTGCTGCTGCTGCTCCCCAACTCCAATGTTCGGGGTTGGGATCGAACAACAATGACCAAGTCTCGAGCGGGTTCTCATCTTCCAGCGGCGGCGGGACACTGGCACTTGTGCACGGGATGAAGTGGAATGGTTCACCGGCCACTGGGAACGATCCATATGGCGATTTCTCAGCGGCGGGCAGCTCATCAGAGGGAACGCCAAAGGGCCAGGGTACATGGCGCAACGTTACGAGAGCGCCGTAGAAGAGAATGATGGCTCCTAAGGCCTTGGAGGTTCTGGTGGCGGACCGCGGCTCAATAGACCGCGGAGCCATGATTTGCGCCGCGGGTCTCCCCATGGCGACAGCTCCTACAATGGTGAGTTGCCCAGAGGGGAATTGGGAAAACAATGAAATGTGTGATTGTGACAATAAAGGGAAGGAATTCTTCGGGTGCTTTGCAATTATGACGCCCTTTAGGCAGCAGCAGCTCGGAGCTTCTGTAGTGGCAAATCAATTGCATCAACACAAATATTCGTGCCACTGAGATACATCTGTTCGCTTCGTTGCCGTAAGGCACCTTGGCACTATGAACCCTGACAATGCTCGCTGGAGTTGATCTAGCTGTCCGAATCAGGCAGGTGCTGATCGGCTCCCTTCCGAGCTTGACCTCGAGCTCAGAGAGTCTCCATCCGATCGAAGTCGATTATACCCTGACATGAGAAAAGCATCTACGTATTCCATGCACGACGACAATTCATTCTTTCAACTCCATGGTAACGGCGCGTGCTGTTTCCGACTAAATCCAGGTGACAAACCTGCGGAGCATATCCAGTGGCTGTACGTAGGAAATAGAGACCCCGGGAGGCCTTGGATCTCCACCAGTCAACATACTATACTTTACAATGAGACGTGTGCATGTTGCTTTCTTGGAATGAGAAGGCCATGAGTCCATCTGCAGTCAATACTCGCAAGCAACCCTCCTTTGGCTCCACGGTCAGCACAACATACTGCCAGGTTCTTGTCCGACTCGCGCACGCAAATGTCAATTGAGGATGTGAATTTAAGTCGCCGTTGTTGAGATTTGTCGCTAGCTTGGGTGTAACCGAGGTCTCTCTCACTTGACAGCCGCGTGCACACCATGTTTTGGTCGTTGCTTAGGAGAGAGTCAGCTTGGTGTTCCTTCTCCGAAACCCATTATTAGTTGCAATACCATAGTTGCAGTGGCACTTACGTTGCTGCTATGGAGTAGAAGTTTTTGGAACAAGATGAATCAGATCAAAGCTGGCGCTTCTCCCGTGACGCAATGCCGGCCCCATCAACTAGAAAATAGCGTTCCCCCCTTGGAAGTTGGGGGCCCCCCGGACCAATGCTGTCCGGGGAGTCTAGAGCGGGCAAAGCAAGTCCAGGACTGTGCCCCGGACTTGGTCATGTCCGGCTCCCCCACACCAGAAGTCGGGGATGGCGAAATACTATGGTTTATATGAAGATCTCAAAAGATCTTGGAGATTTGGACGAATGAACCATTTCGAGCATTAAGTTGTCACTCAAAACTTAAAATAAAAAGACGTGTATTCCCAGTCAGGGCACCAATCAAAACTTCTTGTTCGAGAAAGACAAAGGCAAGATTTTCCTATATCCTGACTTTTGAGTTATATCATCACCTTTTCGTCACAAGACACAGCTTGACCACCCAATCATGTCGCCCTCGGCTCTCCCAGCTTCCAAAACTTACAACATTGCCTCGATCCCGGCCGACGGTATCGGCCCGGAGGTGGTGGATGCGGCTATTGCAGTCCTCAAGACTCTGTCTGAAACTTTGGGATCCTTTGATATCGACTTTACTCACTACGACTGGTCTTCTGAAACATACAAGAAGACGGGCAAGTACATTCCCGATGGCGGTCTCGAGCAACTGAAGAAGCACGATGCCATCCTTTTCGGCGCTGTGGGCGCACCAGGTAAGTGTACTTATACGTCCTCTCTTTGGAATTAATCATCTAACAGACCTGGCAGACGTTCCCGACCACATTTCCCTCTGGGGTCTCAGACTGGCCATTTGCCAGCCATTCCAGCAGTATGCCAACGTGCGACCCACCAAGGTCTTTCGCGGCACCCAGTCGCCGCTGCGCAACTGCAAGCCCGGCGAGCTGGACTGGGTCATTATCCGCGAGAACAGCGAGGGCGAGTACGCCGGCCAGGGCGGACGGTCCCACCGCGGCCAGGCCTGGGAGACGGCGACCGAGGTGTCCATCTTCACCCGGCACGCGGTGGAGCGCATCATCCGCTTCGCCTTTGAGACGGCGCAGAAGCGCCCGCGCAAGCTCCTGACCGTGGTCACCAAGAGCAACGCCCAGCGCAACGGCATGGTGCTCTGGGACGAGGTCGCCGCCGAGGTCGCCAAGGACTTCCCCGACGTGACCCAGGACAAGATGCTCGTCGACGCCATGACGTGCCGCATGGTCCTCCAGCCCCAGTCCCTCGACACCATTGTCGCCACCAACTTGCACGCCGATATCCTGTCCGATCTTGCCGCTGCGCTGGCTGGCTCCATTGGCATCGCTCCGACGTCAAACTTGGACCCCACGCGCCAGAACCCCAGCATGTTTGAGCCCATCCACGGATCGGCCTTTGACATTACCGGCAAGGGTGTGGCCAACCCCGTGGCTACCTTCTGGACGAGCGCTGAGATGCTCGAGTGGCTCGGTGAAGCAGATGCGGCCAAGAAGCTCCTAGACGCCACTGAGCGGGTATGTGAGAAGGGTGTCGTTACGGCCGACTTGGGCGGCACAGCAAAGACGGTTGACGTGACGAACGCCGTCATTGAAGAGATTAAGAGCTCTTACGGCAAGAGCAAATAAAAGCCTGGCCATGAAGTCCTGTAGCAAGTATAAAGACCAGCAAGCCTCAAAGTTAAAGAAATTTGATTCAATTCACGTAAAATCGGCCAATTCTGCGAGTGCTTAACTGTACATGCCTGCGCCATTTAAATCGAATAATGAAGGATCACAGGTGCATGTATTGTCAGGAATAGGTGCCCCTATAATTTTAATGGATACAAACAGAGCGCATTGGGGACCTGCTTCATGAAAATCCAAAACCGAGGGTTGAATCTGTCAGCCCAATTTGTGCAAAATTGGAAAAGTCCAATGGTCCGAGAGGATCAAACCACTCTTGACTATAAATATCCATTGCAGGGAGCATGTCAGAAACGGGCATTGGGGTTTGAGTTGGAGTGAACTGTGCTGTTCCTAGGCCAACACGAGACTGAAAGCTATGCAGCTCGCTGGACTGAGAAGGCCTCTGCGAGGTAAAGATACCCGCTCGATCTTGCAAGCGGGATTCTGGTCCACCTAATGATGTGACCTGGGATGACCGACGTCCATCCTGGCTGGCCGTTGGAGTGGCAGGCAAGTTTGGGGTCCCGCCGGCCTTCTCTGATGGAATTTGGCCCTGTGAGTCGGGATTGGAGCGATTGCATGAACCATCTGAACGAATAGCTGCCTCTCGTGTCTGTTGCCCATTGCTATTCGTTGGACTAACCGGGGTTTCTTGGATGACTTCATAACCTTCGTCTTGTTTTCTCTGGAGGGCAGATGCGAGATGCTCGACTCCACGAGCGCATGATTCGGGCCACGCGGTACCCCTAGCCGAAAGCTGCTTGAGAATATACAACGCTTTTCTTGCATATCTAGAAAATCCAATCAGCTTCGTACCCATGCCCAACGCGGTCGGGAAAACTTACTTTTGCGCCGAGGAAAGCGTCGTCTCCCCTTCCAGAGCGGCATATGTGAGCACAAAACAGCCCATCCAGACGGACCAAGTCATCGAGGGATAGAGTAGGATATTCTGGGAGGATGCACCTTTTTGTCGAGGGTCGTTTGATATAATTGCATCAATCAATGCTCTCGCGGAACTGATGCACGATTGTAGCGCTGCCCGTGAGGCAGGTGACTTGACATTGGAGGCCAAAAGAGGTCGGTTCAAGTTGATAATGGATTCGTGATATTTAATCATTAGGAGAGATCCTTGGAATGGTGATATTCTTGTTGAGTTTGACGAGTCATTATTCTCATCTTCGAATTCTAGTCGGCCTTCACTTTTTTCTTGAACCTCGTTGGCCCACTTCGCGAGCTCAGATTGCACATGCAAAGCTCGATCCACGGTATCGTGACGAGCGGCTATGGACTTGTTTCGCAGCTCGAGGATGAGTCCGCGGAGGCGAGCATGCTTTGCAATCAGTGTCATGAACAGGAGAGGTCTGGCTATTCATGGGCGTTGGTCAGCTACCTTCACATTGGCGTGTATAACAAGTTGTCCTTATTTACCTTCTGCTGACTCTCCCGCTGGAGAATCCTTGTGTAATTCGTTCAAGGGAAGACAGACGTCGCAGTCATCATCCACTATAGCTAGTGGATGGCCAAGGGATTGGCAGACGATCCTTTCTAGGCCATATAAAGACCACCATATCCGCTTCCGCATGGCCGCTTCGTGGTTGTTGAAGTTGGAATAACGCACCGGGCATCGGTGAAGACCAAGGTGAAATGACATTCTCACAATAACGCCGCCGAGCCTGGAGGCCATGTTATATCTGAGCATGGATACTAGGAAAAGCTGAACACACAAAACGGCCTGTAGGCTCTTCAGAGAGGCAGGACACCCAAGCGCGAAAACTATACTCGAGGCAATGTGCTCAGAATTGAGAAACACGAGATTGTTGGGAATAGCAGACTGATGTACGCCAAGTTGTCGAGAGTCGGCTAGGGATATTGATACCATTGATCGGACTATGGTTGCATCTGCTTCGCTGATATTAGAGATGCCGACGGATGCGACCCTCTCAAATGTTTGCAAGACTTCGGGTCCGTGTAGGAATGGGTACGCTGGGTGCCAATTCTCAAAGTAGCTCTTCGTCCACTGCACCAAGTGGTCAAAGTTAACTGTCGGCGCACCTCGCGCTGTATCCTCGATTATCTCGTCTTGCCGCCAAAATGGTGCACGGGATCGAGTAGCGGGGGTTTCAATCTGTTCTGGCCCAGGTTCCACAAGTTCGTCTTCTTCGCCCGGGACAAGATCACCTCGAACATTGTTCTTGTCCACCGGGCGTGCATTTCGCGATAGTATATCATATACGGTCCGTATGAAGTAGATCCCACTGCCGCTGCCGATGAAGCGAGGCAAGCCCTTCTTGCCGCCGTTCCTCATCAGCCCAAATTCTCTCGTGACATGGTCCTCGGATTCCGTCCTTTTTCTTTTCTCTGGCCGCTGAGTCTGGACTGGAGACTTTCTTGCGTCGTTGGGATTCGACCATCCGTCGAATCTGGGGCTACTCGTCGTTTCGCTCATGATGACAAGCAATGGTCACCCAGTCTTGGCGCCACCACTTGCAGATTTTAGGTGCTGTCAGGCCTCGGGAACTTGGCGCTCTCCCATGGCAGCTCTGTTGAACTCGTCCGGAAGTAGACGGTTCCGTGGCGTGTCCTTTCAAAGGACAACCTGCTATATGTCCTTCATTAATTCGCTTGACCGACAGACTAGTGAGGCACGCAACGACGTTGGTAATGTTGATCACGGCACGTGATGCATCCAAAGTCAAAAGTTCAAGTCACCAGCGATCTGCATTGGTGATGTTCACAGGCTTGGCCGACATTTGAATTTAGCACCCAGCCAGTTGGGGCGCTCTAGCGCAGCTGACCCCGCAAAATTCTGAGCAGGGCTGGTTTGGTGGAGATGAGCCAAGCATTTTAGCAGGGCAGGTAAACCCAAGGTCTATATACTGATCATGTTTTGTGTATAAATACATTGTAGTAGACATCAAAGCTGGTTTGCATCTAAATGCGACGGAGAACATGCAAAGATATGAAAATCGATGTCGTTTCCCCATTGATTAGCCAGGGTTGCAAGGGTCGTTTTCGACAACATAAAATCAATTCGTGCTTCCATTCTTTTCATGGCGCATTCAAATCAGAAATATATATTTTCGTTATCCTTGGCAAATATACTCGCTCTACCCTGATGGCGTGCTCTTGTTGATGATTCTGGAAGCTGTCCCGGCATAGATCTTGTGTCGCTCGTCGCGGGAGATGCACTCTGATGCTGTTGATACACGGGCTGGCCCATCATGAGGTTGTTCTGTTGAATGCCCGGAGTTTCGATGCCAAACGCCCCCCAAGGTCCTTGAGGGCTGACATGATGCGTCACCCCCAGGTCAAACGAAGAGTCAGGAGTTTGTGCCGAGGCTGCCGGTACGCTGATGCCAACTGGCCAGGGCTCATTTTCCGTCGACGTAGTGTCGAGGGAGGCCGATCCGCGTGCATGGCTGCTCATGCCAAGTGAAGGGACAACACCGCTCGCTGCTGGTGCTGCTCCGGGTGGTGGTGCTGCTGCTACTAGGCTGGCGCCATGCTGCTTATCCAGAAACCAAGACCTCGCCTCATCGCGAGTCTCCAACGGAAATTGAGTCCATCCTTGCACCAGTTCGGTCTTGGACTGTGACGATGGCTTCATGAACCGTCGACCGGCATCGGAATACCTGCCTTGCTCGACCGATCCGGCATGAATCTCGGAAAGGGCAAAGAACAATGCTCGCTCCGTGTCTAGGAGCCGCTTCTCCAGGGAATTCAGGTAACCTGCTGGAAGTCCTCTGTCGAACGGGCGGGGTTCAAACGATTAGCGTCCGGACAAAGATTGCTGCGGCGCTTGGACTTGTAGAGGGGAGCTTTGGAGGGGTTACAAACCTCCTGTTTTGTTCGGGGTAATGGCACTTGTCTGGTGCGCCTGCGCACTGGGAGCACACGGGTCTAGAGTGCTAATGGTTAGCGGTCGTAGAGCTGATTTGTGATAGGTATGCTGTGATAGGTTTACGTTTTACGGTCGCACTGGAGAAGACCGTCAGTCAGTATATACTCGGGTGTTCTTCTCGGTTAATAAGAATTGATGGGTTTCAGTTGCTGACTTTTTGTTTCTTGGCCCTACAAAGTCCGCAGGCAATCGTCATGGATCCCGTGGTTTCCGCTACCACAATGATATTAGCAGCTATTCCCTGATGGTAGCAACAAAATGATGATGGTCAACACTTACCAGCCTTGCTCTCGCTGATATCTCCCATATCGTTGACACGTCCTTCTTTGCTTTTTTCTGTCTGGGTGACGACGATGCCGCCAGTCTCCTCGGATTGGTGACTCCGTTATCAATCAGCAGTAGTAGTGATGATCGTCACGGGTATTTTCTCGAATTCTGGTAATATAGAATTTCTTTGGCTAAAGCCCTCGCAGCAGCTAAGTAGTAAGACAGTTTATTATTGTGGTGACTCCGGAGTGCAAGTGAATGCCCCCCCGGCTGAAAGAAGTGGACAGCGCTGATAGAAAAGGATGACCCCCGGACTTGCAAAACCCCGGGCGGCCGCTAGAAATTGGCAGCTTGGCGCAACCACCGACCGTTTGCTGTCATTGTTCCAAATTGATTAACAATTGACTGTTCAGCCCTTTTACATCATAGTAAACCTTGGAGTCTTTAATATATGCGCATAACCTTATGTAATCCAACTTACCATCTGCAACTACGTTGTAGACAGGTAAAAAAAAAATGCCGATAGAAAACACAACTTGCGACGTGTTGGATGCGGGGGAAAAAACAATGAATTTTACTATAAGGGCATCTACCTAAGTTGGTTCATCCCTCTCGATTGGCTTTCGCTACGAATCAACGTGCGTACACCCGCCGCTCCCTTTTCGGTTTCGCTGGCGCTTTTGAATAGGTCGCACCTCACTATTTTGAAGTCGGGGTCTTGGCTATTGTCGGTCTCGGACCTGTCTCCATGTACAGAACTGTGCGCGCTGCTGTGGAATTCAAACGTGCCCGTGCTGTTGGAGCGGGAGCGGAGCTCAAACTCATCTCCCCGAGTCTCCGAGACGACACGAATCTCCTTTGTCACAAAGATTTCGTCGAGCGAGCTTGTGAGCACCGGCCAGAAGACCGGAACAGAGGCGCAGATGTTGGCCACATTCACCTCTGCAATCGACAGGACGACGCTGATGGGAGAATACCAGGAGGGATCGAAGGTTGGGCTCGTCGCTGCTTGGTGAGCAATGAGCGTCGCAAGGCGCCAAATGGAGATGCAAACAACTCTAAACATCCAGAGCCTGTTAGTGAAGTTTCTTCTTAAGAGGAGCGGTTGCGGAAATCCAGAAAACTCACAAGCAACCTCCGGCCAACAAGCCAGCCAAGCCAACCCTATTGACCGCCATCCCGTTTGTATTAAAGTAAAGATACATTGGAAGCAACAATATCAAAGCGTCTAGACCCATGTTGAAACCCGCATGCCCAGTGAAGGTCTCCACGAATGGGCCTCTGGTCAAAGAGCCGTAACCGAAGCAGTTCTTCTCACTATCAGGCACGAGAACGGACCAAAAGTCGTTGACGGGTATGCACGGCATCCAGGCCAAGATGGTGAAAGCTATGCCCCAGAGAGATGTTACTGTCAGGAGGACGTAACATGCATATCTCAATTTCTGATCGTTGAAGACCCGAAGATACTGCAAGAGCAATGATATCTTGATCAGTGTCGTGGACATGATATAAGTACCATTTCCGATGTAAAATAACTTGACAGGTCAGTACATTCTGCCAGACTATTCTCGTCGTCATGTTGTTTGCTTACTTTCAAGTAGGACGCCATTGTGTCCGTACTTAATAATATGAAATGTTGACCCATGCCATAACTCGGCACTACAAAATCATAACGTTAGTATATATGTGCGCGCGCGCATTCATCTCGGCATTGAAACGGGGCAAAGACTTACTGATGCAAATGCAAATGGCTCCCGTTAATCCCACAACCTATCAAACCTCGAAAAGTTAACAATCATTCAGATAAGTTGTACCGTTTCTGTTGCTCTCGATACGTACCAGAACAAGAGCCAAGAAAAAATCATCCCATCCAGGTGAATAAGTAATAAAAAATCTTGTGTAGAATCGAAACATGGCGCACGCCCAAGACAACAGCTGCATTCCAAGTTAGAAGTCCGTCTTTCAATCTTCTTTCGTTGTCGCCGGAAGCCGGTCACAAAATGGGGGGTTTTCCATACGATGCATGTCACAGTCACCCCAAGGACAGTCTCCCGCTTGTTAGCCGTCGGTAGCGGCTCATTGAGATTGTCGTAAGAGCCCAAGAGGGCAGACAGGCTATCATCGGACATGTTTGAACGGCGGTCTGTCTGTCGACGATGAAGCGCCCCAGGCCACTCGCATCGGAATCTTTTGGAGGGGATTGTCTGAAAGCAATAAACTACAATGAAGACGAGAAGCCAGCTCGAATCGATTAATTTTTGATCAATTAGAAGGGGATTAGACGGTGGTACGCAGAAAACCAAGGCAATAATGGCCCCCCGACCCGAATCGGGACGGATTGGTCCTACATATTTACAAAGAGACTCGCCCCGATGATCTCTACTCTTCTGGCATTAGGTTGTTGTCCGGGGTTGCTCACGTTTGGACGACTCGCGCCCACAGATGCCACACATTTAATGTCGAGAGTCGATCAAGGCACAAGGCACCAAGGTCCTCCCCGGACCGGCTAATGTAGCATTCGACGGCATGTCCCAGCGCCGGTCATTGAGAAAAAGATGGGCCGTGCAGTGGACTCTCTAGTGGGTGAGGTCTCGTTTGGTTTGGTACGCAAAAAAGCAGGAAATGCCGTAGTAGTGGTACTCGAGCTTTGGTGGAGGTGGCAGACCACGATCCACCCGATCTAGTGCACGACGAGTCCAGGACCAGACGTTGCAGAGAACTTGACAAGCGACCAAACGGCCTGATAGTTCGGAAAATTTCACATTAGGGTCCCGTGAAGTTCAACGGTTGTTACACGTATTTACATGATGTGTGACGAGCAGATGACATTTGGAGCAGATTGAATCTTTGGCTTGCCTCGAAAAATCAGCTTGCTAGTACTGCAACTGCCGACCACTAGTATATCATCAGTGTGAAGTTTGGACGGCTTATTGATTTGTGATAGCCTTGTCATCTACCAATCACCACTGCTAGCATACGGGGATTCCGCAGGTGCGCTATTTGTTCTGGAATGCACCAAGGAAATAGATTGGACCGCTCCAGTGTCCAGGCTCGACGATAGTCGACAAATAGACCCGAAGTCATGGAACGCTAACTCATATTTTCGTCCCAATCTTGTGCCGTGAGGCGAGGCAGTGTAGTCCAAGGCTGGAAAAGAGGAAACGTTGATATGAGAAATGTCCTACATAGTATAATATCATCAACGCTAACAGAGTAGCAGTTGTAGGGCTTCACGGGTAGGTAACGTCTAGTAGTCACGCCAAATTTTCCTGTTCAAGTCAGGTCGTTGATGTCTGGTGCCAATTGGCCAACGCGTACGTGCGCGTATCGGCAATGAACTCGAGACAGATCTGCTGGCGCTATCCCTGCCGCAGTGGAACCTATATCGCCTTTTTTTGCAAGCTTGCACCAGGCACTCGACAAAGAATACACGTGGGACTGGGATGAGCCACCGAGAAAGACTCGAAACGACGTAGTATTCAATGGCAACACACCACGGTAATTGTAATTGCTGCGCACCTTATCACGATGCACTAATGGGCTAGGTTCCTGGACCTCGTTCGGCACTTGGGGTGATGAGCATTTCAATTGTGGTTGTGCGAGATATCCCATGTGCCTCTCTTGTTTCAATACTGGACCAACCCCAAAGAACTTATTTTAGCAAGGAAACAATAAAAGTTTTAGAACGGGAGACGCAACCCGTAGAGACTAGCGGTGACTTGGAACGCTGGCTGAGGCTCTACTGGCCCATGCCATGCCGCCGGCATCCCATCCCGGGGGCACGATTCCCCATGGCTTCCTGCATTCTCCACTATGGAGCAAAATAAAAGTGGCCATCTGCTAAAGTTTCATTTGACCTAAGATACTACCACCTACGTACTCGTAATACTACCCTAACCTCTTTTCACTCGGGTCTAACCTCCAAGACCTCGAGTCGAGATCCGGCCTTGGTCGTGGTCAGGGGGCATAGGCCATTCCTTCAGTCTTGGCGAACCTGTGAAGGCTCAAGGGTCAACGACAGCCGGAATAACGCCAGTAAAGTATAGTACTTGTGTGTATTGTATTGTATTGTATCAATCAATCAATCAATGGTCGGAAAAAATAGGTTTGCTAATTGGCACTGCGCCCACTTGAATTATGACGTATGCTACGAAGCAAAGGTATATAATACTACTAGTCCTTATCCATTACGCAACCTGTAACCATGGATGGGGATAGTGTGTAGTGAGTTGTGATAATTTACAATGGACCACCAACCCAAATCCACACGCAGCATAACGAAAAAGAAATGACTACTACTGACATACCTTGAAAGAATTGCTTATTCCCGTCACCCGTCGGGCAATAATTCATGCCGACTACACATACCTGTCAACATGGGCTACCAAACCGCTAGACGATAGTTTTATCATCCCGACTTGTGTGCTTAATTACTATTCTAGAATTCGAGAGATCTGCCCGCGCTCAGCACCAAACCTTTCTTCCCGTCTTCTGGGGACGAGCCCCTCTCTCTATGATTCGCGATCCCGTGGTCTAGTCACGCGGATCGTTGGTTGTTCGCAAAAGTTGCCCCGTCAAGGATCTTACACCCGACACAAGGAGCGTTCGACTAGAATCTCCACACGGGACCCAAAAGCATTGCAACCTCAGGGTGCTGGTATGCGACTCTAAAAGGGACCTGGCGTACCAAGCGACACTGCAACAAGTTAGAACACAAACGTGGTAACCACTGAAGTTGTCTGGCTTGGTTGGATCCCTTGTCATAAAGTGCCATTATTGTGGTGTCTGGTTCCAGTGATCTGCGCTTCTCGTCCTTGCTTTTTTTGCTCTTTTCTTTCTTTAAGGCGCTTCCATCGCGGGTGCAAGGACCTCAACTTGACCTTGACTCTCACCGCGTGGAATTCCTGCGGGTGGACTCAAATCGCACAAACGCGAAACGGAGATTGGGTAGATCATCCTGCCCGCTTGCCAGGCCCCCTTGAGACTTTTGTGATCCATAATCTGGACCCTGGGACGACGTATGAGCTTTGACTTGGCACATTCAGGGTGCCAAAATCCGAGTACGGGTTCGGAGAATAATATATTGCCTGGGATCTGCTCAAAGCTTATCGTAGATGCGCCGTGGTGCCCGCCGCTAGATGCATCCCAGCTATTATAAAAAAGGATTCGATTGCTCATCAAGAGGCCAAAGAAGATTCGCTGGCGCGTCCGTAATATCATTCATGTCAGAGACTTCACCAAGTTTGGTCAAGTGAGCCAAAAGCACGGTTGACCTGGTGCTCAAACGGTCGGGTTGAATCATCTTGTGAACACTGCTGGCTATATCCAATTTTGTTGTTTCAGGGTCTTCTCGGTGGCAGCAAGAAGATAAGTATAGTCATTGCCTCGCAGAGCATTATAAGGGGGCTGACTAAGTGTAGATGAGCCTCAATGGCGGCAGTAGATATCCGAAAAAAGCGGACGGTGCTCAGAGTTGCCCTAGATGGGCTCAGCAATTCGCTCCGTTGCTTTACACTGCTTGTCAAATGCGACAAACGCACGAACGAAAGCGTCCAGGTTCCAGGACATGTGAACAACTCTGCAGCGAGCTTTGAATGAAGCAACTTGACGAGTATCTATTATGAGTCTCCTTGAGGCAGAACTCATTAAGCCTGTTCCAATTCCTGGAGCAAACGAGCAGCTGCCCGGCAAAGTCAAGACTCAAAATTCAATTTTGTGGCTTTCGCAGTTCCTGGAGCCAGCCGATAGAATGCAAGACCAGGCTTGAGAGTCAAGAGCTCATTGGTCCGCCCTGAAAGGAAAAGATTGAAACAAGTGGCAAAAGCGGGCTAAAACGGACCAAATATAGGTGACAGTGTATACACACCATAATTGGTTCGATGCTCACAAATATTTGAGACGCTCTACTCTCTTCAGACGACTCTCCGATCGATTCATTTTGAACATACTTCATTCACAAGAAAAAGAAGCACTACTTGTGTGGCGCCGATGATCTATTGCAGCTACCATGTTTGCAAGGATACTATTGGCGGAATGAAAACTGCCATTCACCATTACCTCCGGTAGCGAAGAGGGGATTAGGCTCACTCGGGTTGCATTTACCCCGGAATGATCTACATGGGGATTGACTGAAGATCAAAATGTATAGACTCGCGACAGGAAATCTCAAGATGACTTCATATCAAAAACGACGCCCGAGTACGTGAGCACTTCAAGCATGGCTTTGTCCATCGTGGCTCAAAATGTGCTCGTAGGGGCGTTGTTCCCATTACTCGCCTCTGCCCTAATTGACAGGCAAAACATAGTCCCCCAATTCAATATCATCCGTACGACTCTCATTGATAACGAGACGACGCCTCTCCAGGTCGGAAATGGCAATTTCGCCTTCAATGTTGACAATACAGGAATGCAAAGTTTCTTGCCATTTAATACACTTTCGAGCTGGGCATGGCATAATGATTCCCTGCCAACAGACGGGTATAACAAAATTCTTTGATTTTGATTCAGCTTGTATATGTTTTTCTCTCTCTAATATTTCACCCAATTAGTGAACTTCTTAGCGAATACCACGGCGTACCTATGCTGACGCATGGGAGAAATGTTTCCTACGATCTACCCGATCCCAATCTCCCAGCTGTCTCGCAATGGCTCATCGCCAACCCAAATAGGATCAATCTTGGTCGCATCGGCCTAAAATACAAAGGAAACACTCTTTCCGCATCAGACATCACTGAACCACACCAAGAACTGAATCTGTGGGCTGGTACAATCACTTCGAGCTTCAAGTTGAACGGGCAAGACATTCAGGTTGTCACACAAGGCGACTTTGAGTCAGACGCTGTCACCTTCAACATCACATCTGCGCTTATTGCAGATGGCGATCTCGAAGTCGAACTCGACTTTCCGTACCCACCAATCCATAGCACTGCGTACAAGTACGAGGTCTTTGTCGGCGTGTATGACTTTCCTCTGAACCATACTACCGAGATTGTTGAGGACGCAGATAATGGGACAGTGCACATCCATCATGAACTGCAGGAGACAAGCTACTACTTGAATCTGCGATGGCCTTCGAATTGTTCTCTAGCTCTCTCCCGTGATGAGGCTCAGGGATCAAATACGACCAAAGCACACAGTTATACACTGGGCCTAGGGGCGGCTTCGTCCACTACGAACGATACCATCATCTTCACGGCTCATTTCTCACCGGATATAGCGGTACCAGCTCTACCGTCGGAGATTCGGGAGCAGAATACTGCCGACTGGGGAGACTACTGGAGCAACGGGGGCTTTGTTGACGTCACGGCATCTTCCAACCCGAATGCCACCGAGCTGCAACGGAGGATTATACTTTCCCAGTACCACGTTCGCGTCAACAGCGCGCCGCAGGGCCAGTCGCCGCAGGAGAGCGGCTTGATGAACAATGGCTGGTATGGAAAATTCCACATGGAAATGGTTGTCTGGCAGTAAGTGGCAAAACCCTGTGTCTTTGTTTTTGCAATTTTCTCTGGACGATTCCATTTACGAGGCCTTGTTTCCCGGTCCCATATTTTGGCCTGGGAAATACCTATCTTACCTGTAGCTCGAGCACTTGCTGGAGGTTTCTACGCAATCCAGAAAGGACTGAGTGGCTAACACGTATCAACTCACCAGCAATGCGCACTGGTCGACCTGGGGCCGGCAGGAGCATTTCGACGCCATCTTTCCCGCGCTGTACGAAGCCCTGTTGCCGTCGTCGCTGGCCCGCGCCCAGAGTATGGGCTGGGAGGGAGCGCGTTGGCCAAAGATGACACAGACTATCACAGGATCTAGCGCTCCTGGAGGTATCAACGGCTTGCTCATGTGGCAGCAGGTATGATTTTTCAAGTCGCCGCGATATTGTTCATTGGAGATATTACTGACTTGAGAGTGATAGCCCCATGTCATGTATCTTGCCACGTTGGCCTACCAGGCTTCGCCAACTCAGTCGACGCTTGAGCGTTGGGACAAGGTCCTTACTGCCACGGCCGATTATATGACTTCGTACGCTTGGTATAATGAGACTTCTGGATACTACGATCTCGGTCCACCGTAAGTTGTCTTGCTGCATAGTTTCATCTTGCGGTTACTGTCTAACATGGCATCAAAGTGCATATGGTGTCACAGAGAATACGCCCCCGACAGAGTCACTCAATCTTGCCTACGAGGTATAAATGTCCGATCTTGGCAAGACTATAGTATGGTCGCTGATAGTTGAAAAGATTGCTTACTGGCGCTACGGTCTCGACGTCGCCCGAGACTGGAAAGAGAAGCTCGGCCAGGAAGTGCCCGAAACATGGACTAGTGTGGCCGAGAATCTGGCTCCTCCACCACAAGTCGATGGACTGTATACCGTCTACGAGGGTCTCGACTCTTCATGGTGGAACAATACGTCTTTGACCGGAGATCCACGTTCTTTGATCATGCTTCAGGTAAGGAGTGACAATGATTCCTATCTTCTCAGGCCCGCAGTAGTTTCAAAAGTAGCTGTGATTGACACTTCTCTTCATCCAGGGCATACTCCCAGACACTCCAGCCGTGGATCCAGAAGTGGCGCTCAGGACAGCAGACAAGGTCTGGGAGGTCTGGGGCGATGCCAATATTCGCGGCTGGGGTCGTCCGGTGCTAGCCATCAACTCGGCCCGCATAGGGAACCCCGAGAGGGCAATCTACCATCTCACTGCCTATGACTACTGGCAGTTTGATGATGCTGGTAACGTCTTCAGACCTTGATGAGAAAGACTCCCCACGTTGACCAATTTTGAAGGGTTCGCTGTCCGCGGAGGAGATGGAGGTACGCCACCTCCGTTTATGCCTGGAAACGCTGGATTTCTTTATGCCGGTAAGTCAGAAATCTCAGATGAATTTGTATAAAAATGTTTGAGACTGATGAAATGAGTGTAGTCGCCTACATGGCAGCAGGCTGGCAAGGATCAGAAGGCGACGCTCCCGGGTTCCCCAAAGACGGAACCTGGTCTGTTGAATATGAAGGATTGTTGAAAGCACCTTGAAGGATCTGCGGCTATTGATCTAGTTCCCACGTATTCCACGTATAAAGCCAGACGTCCATCAGATGAATGTGTTTCTCGATACCTTGCTTTCAACATGAGTATAGTCTCCTCACCAGGCTCTGTAGTTTTCCTAGAGTCCATTTCAGCCAATATTCGTGACAATGACTCGTTTGATTTCTTTAGTATATTCACTGTTTGCAGACTTTCTTTCATCAACAAGCGACTTGGTTGGCGACGATCGAGTCAGCATATGGGTCCGATGGTGTAGTTGGTTATCACGTCAGTCTAACACACTGAAGGTCGGCGGATCGAGCCCGCCTCGGATCATTCTTTTGCTTGTCACTCAACCTGTGGAGTATAAGATAATTTTTACTCGTTTGATCGTTCGAATCCACTCATTCAGCAAAGTGCTGCCTTATCATTTCGCTGTTAGTGGTGTGTTTTGTCTGTTGTTTGCAATGTAATTTTCATAGCATCCTGTCCGAGGTAGCTTTAGTAGGTACACCTAACTCTGCGTGTAAGAATATGGGTCTAAAAGGGTAGCCTAGGATATAAGGATAAGAATCGGTGCAAGCAAAAATTTACTAGTAAAATAGGCAAAAATATGTGGATATTAAGATATAAAGATTATCCTTAGCATTTAGGTATAAATAAGGGTAATTTCGGTGGTAGAATACCTCGTATATATGCTAGCGGTTTATTTCTATGGGGCAAAATCACTATTTCGAGGCTAATCCACCTAGAGTACCGCTGAGTATCGCTAAGATAAGCCGGTTAAAAGTCAGAATTATTGCCTTCCCAGGGTTGGCCCCACTCTTTTCATTAGAATAACGTTTTATAAAGATAAAATCCATAGTAAAAGTATTATTATTATAACGAGAGTTGGCTGTAGGTTCTAGCAATTTGTTGCTAGTGGGCGGCCGTCCCGCTTTTATGGACCAAGTGCAAAAATTTTATGTTTAGCGTCCCTGAGCACCAACATGGCGACAGAGCATTTTTGAGCTTGATAGCTGGCCAGTAATAGAAAATGTTACAATACAAAATTTGGCTCCTACTTTGTATATGGTCCAAAAGGAGGAGAAAACTGCTCACACAGAAACTTGGAAATTGGGTAACGTTAATTTAAGGGGGGAAAAAAGAGAGAGAGAGAGAGAGACAGAGAGAAACAGGTTTATCATTTGGGGCTTCGTGACTGCAACCCTCCAATACAGTGATAAATCTACAGAAATATCAATTTTTAAAAAAAATTGAAAAAAAAAAATTTCGAGTCAAAAACAGGTCAGTCGGGGATTCGAACCCCGGTTACCGGAAGGCGTGATGAAGAATCAGAATCCGATGTGATAACCAACTACACTAACCGACCTCGAATGTTGAGTGGCGATGCTCTTATCAAGTCCCATATCAGTGGGGCAAAAAGCCAGGCATCCGAGGTCGACATCTCCAGGACAAACCAGGTCATAACGTCGGGTAGTTGATGCGCAATCACCGTCTTTACAATAATACTTCAATAAAAGTGATCTTTTATTTATATAGAAGCTCTCATTTAGGTGAATATTCTGCCATCCTACGCCAATCCACGAATAACATCAGCGGCCTTTACGTGAAGCACGGTCAGCATAATAGATTCATAGTCACATCAAGTACAAGAAACGCCGATTCTGAGACGTGTTTGGATCACTCACCTTCTCTGCCACTGCATAGACCGTAGTCATTGTGTGACTGGCTGGCAACAGTGGCATAACGCTTGCATCAACAATGCGCAATCCTTCGATGCCGTAGACCTTGAGCTGGTTGTCAACCACACCTCCTTGCTCCTTGGCGCCCAGCTTGCAACTTCCGGCCGGGTGATAGAGAGTACCGGCCGACTGGCGGATGAAGCTTTCAAGATCCGCGTCGCTCGTGATGTTGGCACCGGGCAGGACTTCGAATGGCTGCAGCGGAGCAAGCGCATCTGCTCCCATCAGCGACCGTACAAACTTGATGCCCTCGACAAGAATCTCGACATCGAGCGGGTTGCTCAGGTAGTTTGGATCGGCCAAGGGCGCGTCAAAGATATCTGCCGACGGCGCCTTGATGCTACCTCGAGAGTAAGGGTGTTCCAAACCGAGCACAACTGCGCCGTCGGCCCAGATGAGCTCCAGAACGCCAGAGTCTGCCGATCCTAGCTTTTCGCTCAGGACTTGGTGCTGTTGCTTGTAGCCCTCGATGACTTCCGCGGCTGTATCATTGAGAAGATATGCCGCCGGATCTTGTGCAGTTGCTTCGGCCTGGATGGTGGCCCACTGGTCTGTGAAGTTCAGGAGAGGAAGGAAGACGAGGAAGTCGCCGGTTGGATTGGCATATGGCCCTGTGTGCTCAGTGTCATAGAGCTCGCGTGACTCGGCTGCGTATGTCGCATTGGTGGTGAGATTGCTAGCGGTAAGAGGTGCAACAACTAGTACTTTGTGTAAGCTTGCGAATAAACATGTAGGGAATCTCGTCACTGACTCGTGTTGACAGTTGTCAAGAGGATGTGGTCGTGGAAGTTCTGCCCGACAGCTGGCAAGTCGACCACTGTGCTCACGTTGATGCTGGAAAGGTAAGTCGAATCGCCAATGCCAGAGACTTGGAGAATCTGCGGTGTAAAAATGGCACCGGCTGCCAATATGGCCTCCTTCTGGACCGTAACGGATGATTTTGAAGCATTACGACTCGATGCAAACTTATTCGATTGATCAGTAGGTACGCCTCAAAAGTAGCCGGCATATCTTCTCACCTCCACACCCGTGACAGATACGGTGTCTCCGGTTACATCACTCAGAATACGCGTGACTTGTTGCCCAGTGATCAGATGCAAGTTACCGCGGGTCTCGACTGTGTCGTAATATGCTTCTCTTGCGGATGATCGAGTCGCCGTGGAAGGATCCTGGTTGTGCGGGATGTAGAAACCACCAATGGCATTTCCATTTGCCTGGTCTGGTGAAATTGATATCCCGACTTCCTCGATTGCACTTGCAAAGTCCTCTACAGATATTATTAGTCATCGAATAGCATTCTCGGTCTGGCTCTAGAACCTACTAGTTGTTGGCCAAATGAATGGCGCATCTAAACAGTATTAGAAACATTAGCTTCTCATTGTTCTTCCAGCATGGTATCCGTATTCCTTGAGACGTCTCTAAAAGGGCGTCTTTCGTAGTCATGTAGTTCGAGTCATGAGACTACATGGTTTTGATACTTACAGCTGACATTCATATAACCATCAAATCCATGGGCAGACACATCGTAAGTAATATTATACGTGGAGGCGATTTGCTCATCTGGTGGCGTGAAGAACTCGTTCTGTATAATAGATCATGATACGCGTTAGCCATGACAGCATCCTCAATACCACACGTAGAACGTGGTTTACTCACCTTTTTGAAATATGGTAAAAGAGAGTCCCAGCCCCATCCAGAGTTCCCAAGTTCCTCCCAGCGGTCATAGTCAGACTTTGAGCCACGATCAAAGACCATACGATTAAGCTTGGTCGAGCCGCCAACGACTTTGCCTTGAGGTATCGATATCGCGCGATTCTCGACATATTCAGTCGGGATGTACGAGGTATTCCAATCGTATTGAGTGCCAACCGCCCCACCAGCCAGACCGGGAATAGTCACGATATCTTCACCCTGGTCACTGTCCAGGTTTGTCAGTTGGGAACCAACAATTGGACATCTTACTTACAATTGACCAGCTTCTATGACGAGGACAGTTGTTGCTGGAGCGGGTTAGAAAGTCCCCTCGTTGAACAGAGTTTCAGCATGCTCACCATCATCCTCACTGAGCCGGTTGGCCACTGTAAGGCCGCTTGCACCAGCTCCCACCACTACATAGTCGTAGGCCGAGAGCAGATAGTCTCGCCGGTCGATCACACGTCCTCGAAATGTAGGATGAGCTGTGGCTACTGACGAAGCCAGCACCAGCCGAGAAAGCACACGTTCTACCTTCATTGTGTCGTACAAGTTACTGGGATAGAAACACAGAATTGCCTGTTGCCTGGAAACAATCACCAAGGCGGCATCATATTATATCCTGACGTCAATTGACAATGACGAGGTGGAATTCAATGCCCTCGGCTCAAGGTCTTGGCATGACACGGCATTTCAACCCGGTGCCTGACTCTTTGAAGCGCAATTGCGTACCTTGCATGCTTACCGAGTCCCGGGTCTTGACTTGACAAACTTGATTATAACAGGCAAGTCCATATTGATATGGCATTGGGTTAAGAGAGCCGTAATCCAGGGGTAAGTCACATCGGGAAGGTATCCACCAATCAAGATCAAGTCCATGTGTCATTCGAATGGGTAAATCTGGCTGAGCAAAGCAAAATGCTCGGCTCTCGCCAGCAAAGGCCTGGGCATTGCGGCGCATCCACTGCTTATAGAGAATGAATAAGCAAAGACCATTGTGCAAAATGCTATAATTCAGACGATGTGTTAAATGACATGATATGCAGCTAGATTTGCGCAAGGGTAAACAGGTTAGCATGTTTGATCTACGGAAGATGGCTCGGCATTAGGAGGTATGGACTGCTGCTTCTGGGCAATCTGACCCGAGCTGAGGTCCGCCAAGCTTTTGTCCGTTGGATTCAATTTCGGGCACACGAGTATTGCAGCACGGTCAAGGGGCCTGCGGAATGGAGTCATATAGAGCAATTTACCCGTAGATTTCGGGCCGGCGATCTTTTCTTGAAATCCGTGTTTTCGGCAATTATGTATAAGGTTGCTGTTCCACACGCCCGCCATGTTATTTGTGTATTGCTCAGCCAGGTAGCTCTGCGATCCAACACTTGTCGGGTCCTTACCTACCACAACAGCCATTCTAGTTGCTTCTAGCCGCTGTGTACGGGAGAGACACGACTGAGATGATAGCTTTCAGTGAGACTTCATTAAATCATTGCAGAAATTATCATTTCATATATCTATCACTGACTGACATAGTACGCCCCGAATATCGCATCGCATGTTACAGCCGTCAAAAGGTTACGGCACAAAAGCAACGGAAGTTTCCCCACTTCGGCAGAACTGTTATGGTTCAAAATGTTTAGCGAGCAGTCTCCAACTACTGCAACCCAAAACAGCAAGCGAGATCATATGATGGCTACAATTGTCCAGCGAGACCTCATTCGTGGTCAATGAAAGGATGCGTTATGTGAGGAAGACAGTCGTGTCCCTGGCCAAATCGACGGATCCTTCATACATGATCATCAAAATAGCAACAGCGCTGACCAGATCCGAATACCAATTTGCAATAGCTCGCGGACAATGCGTACGGACGTCCGTTGGTGGCGTTCCTGTTCCACTAGGACCCGTCTGACGTCTCTATTTTACCTTTGCGCCGCCCACTCGGGCTGACACGACACAGGCCTTAGATAATCCATTTGGGCAGTCAGTTACCGTGCATAACGCGGTATGCGTGGGACGTCCCAGCTTCGGTCCCGGGCTCGGTGCCGTCTCAGTCAGCCAATCTGTAGCGCGTCGGCCGCCAGGCCGCGTGGCTGACGATTGTGGGCCCTGTATTCTACTCTTATATGCTGCGGGATGTCAGCATGAACGAATCGCAACACAGCCTTTCTCATAATTGAAGAATAGTGTTTCCTTCTTGATAACGACTGACTTCGCTTAACTCCTTCCCAAGGAATCGTGCTGCGTGTCAGCTGGCATCCTGTCGCTTGTTCACGTCCGTGATGGGACAAGCTGAGCGCCGGGATGCGCCTGGTGCGCTACGGACTCCTCCATATTTGACCATAGAAGAGCCCGACACCTTAAAGCCTGAAGTATTATACGTTGCCCACGAATTTTTGTATCTGTTTGGAGTCTGATTTCTAACAATATTCGAGTCCTGTTATTGAACTGTCTTACTGATCTTTATCACTTAATATTTTAATCCGTCTTTGGTTATATCCAAAAGACATCTATGACCACCATGGGCGACCTATCACCGAGAAAGCTGGACATCATCATTCTCGGTGGAGGCATAGCCGGCTTGACAACAGCTCTTGCACTGACCAAGTTTGCTCCACGAGATGCCGTGCCGAACATACACATCATCGAAATTAGACCAGAGCCAGCAACAATCGGAGGTGCAGTAAACCTCACGCCGAACGCGCTACGGATGCTGGATCATCTCGGGGCCTACGAAGTGATCAAGAAAAATGGTTACGGAAAGGACATTGATGAGCTCGAGGTCTACGATATCTACTCGACTAAACTTGCCGTTTCGAGCTTCAAGGGTGCTCATGGCAAGGGCATCGGCAGTCCACCGTTCAAAGCACTGCGTATTACTCGAGGCGATGCGCTCAAGGCTGTGCTAGAGATCGTGGAAAGACAAAAGAACATCACACTGACGTGCGGCAAGAAGACAGTCGACATCCAGGAGACGGCCGACAAGGTCACGATCGAGGTCGAGGACGGCACCACGTACACTGCCGACATTCTCATGGGCTGCGACGGAATACACTCCGTGACGAGACTCAAGCATGTGGACCCGGAACGCAAGGAGACGTACACCGGAGTCTGCAATGCGTTCGGCTTCGCCCCGGTGGGCAAGGACTTTCCCGTCCACTTTGACTGCACGGCGATCAACTTTGCGCGGCGGGGCATGCTTCTGACCAGCTATCATAATCCGGCCATGGACTCGGTCTACGTCGGCGCCTTGATGGAGGTTTCGGATATTGGATCCCGCGATGGGTGGAAGGCGGTCGGCAGTGATGCCGAAAAGACCCGCGCGGAGCTTTTGAGCAGATTCGGCGATGCCAATGTGCCATGCATCAACCAGCTAATCACAAAGGCCGAGGACTTCTACCTCTGGCCCGTATACACACTGTCAAAGGATGGACAATGGTCGACGAATCGATGTATGCTTCTTGGAGATGCAGCTGTAAGTATACCAAACTATCTCCGACTTGCACTACTCAGAAAGTAACCCTTGATAGCATGCCATGCCTCCGCAAGGCGAAAGCACCGGCATTGTGTTTGAAGACACTGTCATCTTTGCCCGCTGTCTTACCAAGTGGATGGAAAAGGGGATGCCTGGAGGTACCCCGAAAGAGGCGTTCACGGCCTACGAGACACTGCGGAAACCGAGAATCGCAACAGCCTTTGACGAGTCCCAGAGCGTCATCCGCACAGTCTCTGATGCTGGCTGGTTTGGACACAAACTGAAAACCTATATTGTCCCGTGGTATCTGTGGTACACGCGATCGTACCGTGAGAAACATTTCGTCGAGGATGTCACGACGAGCGAACTCAATTATTGCTGAGCACATAGTTTGGTGGTATATGAACTTGATTGAATGGTAATATAAGCGAATCAGTTCTTAGTTTTCGCGGTTTAGTGGTTAGAAATGGCTGTTGTTAGAGCCATAAAGAGCACGGCGCAGCAACAAAATATCACTAAATTCCCCCTCCCAACATAATGTAGTTTGACCACTTGCACTAATGCAGAATTCAAAAACCCAGTAGCGCCCTATCGCAGTAGTACATCATGTATCGGCAGTCTTTGACAGGTTATGTAGTGCTCGCGCGAAAGTTGGAGGTATCTGACTGTCTCTCCGCTACTACCTCCGGTGTGCTTCGGTATTTAGGCCATCGCGCCCATAAGCAACTGTTTCTTGTAAGCAAAGAATCACTGCAACATTAAGAATAATAAATAGTAGACAGGAGGATAACTGTAAAATGAAGAATGCCAGATGTTTCTATTCACTTACTTATTTATATACTTTCAACATTCTACTAGATTTCTTCCTACCTCTGAGGCACTATCACTTTTCAAGACCAGCAATCAGTTTCTATTAACATGCCAAACATGTCAAATCAATTGATTGCACTTCGTTCAGACGTAAGGATCAATATTGCCACTACTGAGGCTCAGAGCCCTACTTCTCAAGAGCCAACGCTGGTATTTCTACATTTTTGGGGAGGCTCATCAAAAACTTGGTTGCCGGTCATCACGCTCCTGTCACCAACGTATCCAACACTGGCAATTGACTTTCGAGGTTGGGGTGCCTCGACGGGACCCGGCCGCCCCGACGCGTACTCAATATCAGACCTTGCGGAGGATGTAAGACAGATTATTCGCCAAAAGATCACTGGCGACTATGTTCTGGTCGGGCACTCGATGGGCGCCAAAGTCGCGCAGCTGATAGCTGGGATGCACGCCCCAGAGTTCGCGCAAATCAAAGCCAATCTTAGAGGTGTGGTGCTCGTCTGTCCAGCTCCCCCAACACCTCTCATTTTGCCACAAGACATGAGAGACCAGCAGATACACGCCTACGACAGCGCAGAAAGCGCAGCGTTTGTCACTCGCAACGTCCTCACGGCTTCCAAGTTAGAACAGGCTGCAGTAGATGCCCTAGTCCGTGACATGCTGCAGGGGAACAGCCACGCTCGCGCAGCCTGGCCGGCTTACGCCATGGGCGAGAATGTCATAAGCGATGGATGGAGGCTTGGAGCGCCGTGTCTGGTCATTGCCGCTGAAAACGACAGGGTCGAACCGGTGGATAGGGTTAGAGCTGAAGTACTCCAACGACTCGAACAAGCACAATTCGCCATTATAAAAGGCTCCGGACACTTGGCGCCCGTCGAGGCGCCACATTCTATTGTAGAAATTGTTCAGAAATTCTTGCAGTAACAGCAGAGCTAGTATCATTTGTACAATTTTGTCGACGAGGGAAAGCTTGAATTCAATCTCGCCTACTTGTCTGTAAATTCCATCATTCACCAATAGTACGTGGCAATCATGCATCGATTGACTGCTCGATGCTTCTCACCTTGGCCCATTTCCATCTCTTGCAGTATTTGATCGACCTTCAGAATCCCCTCGCTGCTGCAGTCTCAGTATCTTTTCTGCGTCGGCTCGCGCCAAGACGAAAATATCGCCCATGGCAATCTTGCGCGCAAGACCTAGCGCTTGAAACATTTGCATATTACTACATTCCGACCTCACCCCAATGACGGCGAAATTTTGAATCCAGACTTGTGCCTCATGGGCAGGTAGGTGCGTGATCCCGTCTTCGAACTGACAAATGGCATTGTCCCAGTCATTTACCAAGTCCATGGACTCAAGCGTATTCATAATATCAGTGAAGTCAGACATTGTGGACCAGGAGATAATAGTTGGCAGGAGTTTCTGAAATGTTGTATGTTGTGGATGGCGGGCCAATTTAGAAAGATAGTTGTACAGTCGCATACAGACTCGGTGAAAAAAGTTAATAATGGTTTCATTATAAGTAGTACCATAAGTATTGCTGCCAGAACAAAAATATAAATGCTATAAGTTACCTTCTGTATTCTTGGACATTGTGTGGAACGTCTGAGGTCAACTCGATACTACTCAGGCCAGTTCCTGAATGATCTGCACAGTTCTCTCTTTCGACTGACAACTGTAATCAAAGCCTCATGTCTTGTTTCCGACACCTTTGTTCCTGCAAACAATTTCTAATTTTCGGTCAATGTAGGTGTTCGAAACTAATGGCACTGAAAAAGGTCACAGTCTTGTCACAGCCCCAAACAGCTCGGTTTGCATCATCTTTCTCTCATAGCTCCACCCATTACTGTATTGGGTCATGTATAGTCATTCAAGGCTGACGAAACAACGTTCGAGGCCAGGTTGTTGAATATGAGCGTGGTTATTGAGATACAGCTTATCAGTAATGGCAAGCCCCGGACCCGTCCGTAGAGACTTGGTGATCAATTCAGCCAAGAAACCACGCTTCACTGTCTCATCTTTTCTTGCCAGTCAAAAGTAGCCAAAGTTAAAATCCACGATACTGTCGATTTACAGATGAATATTACCATATATAGTCAGGACCGCAGCTGATTCGTTGAAAGCTCTAATTTGTCAGAGATATTATTGGCACTTATCTCGGAAGTCTGCCGGCCGGCATCGGCCCCATCGGCATCGCTCCTAGCACCAAGATCCACCCGGAGAGGGACCCAATCACGGAGGCTCCCTCTCGGTGATAGAAGATGATGCGAACTTGAAGATTATAACAAGAAACTCCCGATAAATCAACAGGTCTGCGATTTTATCATTTGTTTTGAGTTTATTTCTACATTGTGCCCTAGTCTTGCTTCTTCCATCTCACTTCCGCCGCCTTTTCAAACTTCAGAAGGCGTGATACCGAATAAGAATCATGACAGAAAGCTATGATGCCGACCGGCCGACGGTCACCCTGAGTCAAGGTGTGGTGAAAGGAATCAAAGACGAGAGTTCTTTCCCAAAGGCCGTGGAAAAGTTCTTGGGAATCCCATATGCGCTACCGCCAGTAGGCGATAGACGTTTCCGGCCGCCCGTCAAGGTTGCGCCGTCGTCGGATATCATCGATGCTTCAAAGTACGGATACATTGCCCCGGCAAAGCAATTCATTGTCACGGGTCCCAAGCTAGAGTCGAGCGAGGACTGTCTCACGGCCAATGTGTTTCGCCAGGCGCCGCAGGCTGACAGCACGGAGCTGCTGCCCGTCGCCATCTATGTCCACGGCGGTGCCTTCAACCGTGGCAGCGCTTCCATGCACAACACGGCATCAATGATAGGCTGGTCGGCTGCGCCGTTTGTTGCTGTCTCTTTCAACTACCGTATCGGTGCTCTGGGATTTCTGCCTTCAGCTCTAAGCGCCAAGGAGGGTATCCTGAATCTGGGACTGAAGGACCAGATCCTCATGTTTGAGTGGGTTCAGGAGAACATCAAGCAGTTTGGAGGTGATCCAAACAACGTGACACTCTTTGGACTCTCGGCTGGTGCTCACTCTGTAAGTGCTATCTCGTACCTGTGCCCAATGGCCGTGACTAATGGCTTGACAGATTGGTCATCACCTGCTTGACTACGAAGAGGGCAAGAAGCCCCTCTTTCACCGGGTTGTCATGGAGAGCGGTGCCCCAACATCACGGGCTGTGCGTAACTACGATGCCCCCATTCACGAAGAGCAATTCAAGGCTTTCCTAGCAGAGTGTGGCTGTCCCTCAGACTTGCCCGAGTCCGAAATCATCCCTTTCCTCCGCACCATCTCTACAGAAAAGGTCGCCAAGGCCCAGGAAAAGGTCTTTTACGGCTACAACCCGTCGCTGCGATGGGCCTTTCAGCCCGTGATTGACGGCGAGATCATCCGGCGGCGGCCCATTGACGCCTGGCGCTCAGGCAAGTGGCACAAGCTGCCCATCATGACGGGCTTCAACGGCAACGAGGGCTCTCTCTACGTGAACAGGCAAATGGCCACTTCTGACGAGTTCACCAACTTCTTCCAGACCCTGCTGCCTCAGCTCGAGCCGGCAGATGTGCAGACTATCAACGAATTATATCCCGACCCCCTGACGACAGCCGATTCGCCCTACAAGGAGGAGCGCGACGGGGTGGGTGCCCAGTATAAGCGTATTGAAGCCGCGTACGCGCACTATGCCTATGTGGCCCCGGTGCGCCAGACTGCCCACCTCGCCTCCCCTTCGGCGCCCGTGTATATATACCACTGGGCCCTGGAGACCAGCATCGTCGGCGGAGCCAGCCACGGCGGCAACATGCGGTACGAGGGCATGGATCCCGCCGTGCTCAAGATTTCCCCTTCGCAAAAGGACTTGGCCGGTACCCTTCACGCCTACGTGACGAGCTTCATTTGCACGGGAGACCCGAGCGGTCTCGCGGGCGCATATGGTGAGAGGCCAACATGGCCCGCCTATCAGAACAGTGGTCCCAAGATTATGATATTTGGACAGAAGAACAAGGAGCTTCTTGGTGGTAGCGTTGGCCCGCCAGCCGAGGTCAACGATGATGTCTGGGCCAAGACTGAGTCTGATTTCTGGTGGAGTAAAGTTGAGATCTCTCAACAATGATTTCTCACGATTTTCTCCTGTTCTACATATACCATAGATTAAGATACTTATGTCAATCACCAAAAGAAAGAAAGCCTCGAAAGAACAAAGTTTTTTGTATTATTTTTCCCGTCTCTACTGATTTATCTTGAGAGAAAAGTCAACATATCCAGTACCTTGGTGTATGGAGCTTGTTGAGATGATATCAATATCGTTGCATACATAAGGCGCAACATTATCCTCTTTCAGGCCACCACTGACCTCTAGCAGGAACGACTTCTTGCCCTGCCACCGTTCCCGTAAGCTCCTGGCCGCAACCTTGACGCCGTCGCCGGTAAAGTTGTCCAACATGACAATGTCAGCGCCAGCCTCGATCGCCTCGTCAGCTTCGGCCTCGTTTTGCACCTCGACCTCGATCTTGAGCGCAAAGCCGCCGACGGAGCGGGCGGCCTTGACGGCATCCGTGATGCTGCCCCGGCTCCAGACGTGGTTGTCCTTGAGCATGATCATGGAGCTCAGATCCATGCGGTGGGCATCGGCGCCACCGACCAGCATGCCGTACTTTTCCACGAGGCGGAAGCCGGGGGTAGTCTTGCGCGTGCCGGCCAGGATCCCTGTATAGCCGGCCTCGCGCACCAGCCTGACCATCTTCCGCGTCTTGGTGGCGATGCCAGAGCACCGGGCCAGCATATTGAGACCAACGCGCTCGCCCAGCAGCAGTTGCCGGGTCGGCCCGCGCACCGTGGCGACCTTGACCTTGCCATTGTTCTCCTTGGAAGGCAGGACCTCGGCGCCCTCTTCCAGGTGCCACTCGACGGTGCAGCCACACTGAGCAAAGATCTCGTTGAAGAAGGGAACGCCGGCGACGATACCCGCGCTCTTACCCCACAAGGTCGCCGTCCGCGGGTCTTCACCGACTACGAAGCCGCCATAGTCGAACGAAGGTGTATCTTCGGCGAGCCAAGTCGTGATTTGGGCTTTCCAGGACGGCGGCAAAAGGTGGGCGAGCTGGCCCGCGGATGTGGGTAGGTCGGTCATGGTTGGCGGGGCTTTCGAGTGAGGGACGGGGGCGAGATCAAGTGACTTGGCGGTGCAGTAAAGTTTGCGGTTATATGCCTAAGAGATGGAGAAACTGTATCTCTTGGATGAGTTTTGCAACCGCTGAGCTGGACAAGTTATAGATCTGGCGACGAAACATTGCCCGCTTGTTTCAACTATTTCCTTGGGGCTCTTCCGTAGAATGCCGATCAAAACCGCTAAAAGTTGGAGGGGCATTGCCGAAGACCGGCAGCCGGAAGCGTGGGGTCGGCGAACCCCTACAGTTTAGTGACCACTAACCACACCTTGTATACTGGCTTGGTGAGTCGTTGTTTTAGTTCCCTTTGAAGCCAGCTCATAGTGCTTTGCATATTCCGCACTCGCCATATTTGTATCTGCGTAAACGACAGTCTCAAGCTACCATCTCGGGTCAACTCGGTATATTAGTATGCTAGCAGACCTCCAGTTTTTACCCATGGCATGAGCGAAGTCTATAGCTCTAAACACTTTGTCAGCTCATGGGCAAGGAGGAGTATACATAATAAACGACCTCACCATGGCATTGTGTCAAAGCGGCACCTGCTATATTGGCGAGACAGCTCAGGATGGATGGGATTGGCGCCCAAGAACCAATGCAGGCATATACATTACTGAGAGCCATATTTACACATCCTGGCTGGTCTTTAGCGTATTGAAGCAAATAATATTCTGTTTCTCTTGTTGTTACTAAGGAATTGATTACAGGCGGGTGAGACTTCAAAGAGGCATTACGTCATTTGCGTCATTCTTAGGTGTTCAGATACTGGAACAAGAATCAACTATTTACTTGCCAACATTTGAACCTTACAGTGTATGAACTCAATTCAACCCAGAAACAACTTTTAAATCGCTCTTGAACAATTTTTCATATCAACCTCGAAGATCGCAAGATCTACAAAACATCAAGATGCCTACCTACTCCTACACAAGCTCCTCCTCCTCCTTCTCCACCAGCATCAACGGCCAGCAAAGTGGCCGGTCATTTCAAGAGACCTCAAAGACCACGCCCGAGGGCACCACCATCCGCACCACAACCCAGAATCTGGGCGAGAGGCCCGTTACCCACGAGCAGCGCTATGACTCGCATGGCCACGAGCTGATTGGGGACCACGCCAGCGGCAATGCCAGCCGTCGCATCGAGGACGTGGACCAGCAGGAGGCGGATCGCAGGTACGAGGAAAGGATCGAGGACGAGTACGCCAAGCGCGAAGGCGGTGCATAAGGGAGCACTCCGTGATAAGCCAGACTGTTTGGTCAAGGAAGAGGGATTCAAGCGGCGGAAATGATTGATGTTTACACACGAAGAATGTGCCTTTGCTAGGTAGTCATTACCATGATATTCCCCTAATAATACCACTCCTCTGTCATGCTCATGCATTCCATACTCAGGTTTCTTGTTGCTCAGCTTATTGCTCTAGCTGTAGGCTATCTTTCTATGTTGCGAACTGTGGTCTATTGATTTTCCCGGAAGCCAGATTGCATATTAGATGATGAAGGAGTGCGTGCTGGTACAAGGCGTATTTCACCCGTAAGCCTCAATTTGCCTCATTACGGGAAGCGGCCCGTCACCTGGAGGTTGAGCGCACGTTGTCCCATGTATAGACAGACGCGGCTCGGTTACGATTGCGGTATTGCAGCGCTTGACATGGAAATAAAAGGTTCGGTCCAAGAAGCCGCCCATAGATAGTCACTGATGGCCGTCTTTCATGTTCGAGAAACGACTTCTGGCAGACATTGGGGTATTTGATGGCGGCAATATGGCAAATGAGTCAATGATACCCCCAATTCTAGAAGACTGACGAACGAACGGTCCCATTTCGACCAGTTGCGCTAAACATGGCAGTTCGGCAAGGGCACCCCCACAAAGCTTGGCATTGCTTCTGAAACAACCCATCGGAATCCTTGTCAATCGGCTGCCTGGACACGGAAACATCCAGAGCGAGATGCGGTGCGCCTCTGTTCGTTTAAACTCAAAAGGACAAAGTTGTGATTATCTCACATCAGGGTAACCGTGGCGCCAGGCATATACTACTACTGTACATGTAGGAAGTACATGTAAAAATAGTATGCCTGGCTCATTCAATGCTGACATGCTCGGCTGAACTGACGCGACTCGTGGGAGACAAGCTTTTGGGGGGCTCTCCGGGGTCCCGGTTTCAGCGTGTTGAAGAACGAACCAGTAGTAGAGATGCAAATTTGGAGATCTTGGCGGTGCTATGAACCATCCATGGCAAAGGTGATGGCTAGGCGAGAGAGTAGTGTACAGATATGCCTCGAGAATGGACTCGCCCAACTCTAAATAGCATTACAAGACTCATCAGTCAAAGCAGCACGGCAGACCCAAGTGACAGCGAGGCTGCATCTTCAAAGGCGACATGTGCTTGAGATCCGTTCATTTGCCTTTATCTAAAGCTGTCCATGCCGTGAGTCTCAAGATAACTTGAGGCTTTCCTGAGGCGTGAACTGTAAGAAATGCGCTCATAGCTGATCAACGGCTGTGGCTATGCAGATTTTCGGTACAATAATGACAAGGCTATGCTGAGAGATATATTCGTACATCATCGGACAGAGGTGGGTGAGCACTTGAGGACGTAAGGGTTTACGTGGCCAGTGTGGACAACCTTCGACAGCTTGGCAGGGCCATGCGTGCGTATGGAGTATAGAGGATACATAGATACGGCCATGTAGGCAAGGTACGCGCAAGAGGTCACCGTGTGCTTCTACACTAATAATGCTCGTAGTAGTCTCTGCAGGATGCTGACCACAGAACCAATCCCACCAAAGCTTGATGTAGCATTTTTTGCGTACTCTGGCGAAGCCAGGCAAGGTCATTGGCGATCACTGATTGCGAATTTGAGGGCCGTGAGAGCCATGAGGTGATTGCTGGGCATTTGATTGGTGCGTCGAAATCAAGAAACGTAACCGGGGCAAAGGCAAGCGAAGAGCAGCGAGTACCCGTATCTACACTATTGACTACCTGCACTGGGGCAGTCGGCGGTCGGTCGTTGAACAAATTTGCTCTCATCTCACCTTATCTTTGCTTGCTCGGCTCCAGCCGTTGAAGAGGCACGGAGGCTTGAAGAGGCTTCATCTTGTTAGCGAGTGGGAAGAGAGTCTGACGCAAGCGTCTCAGTGGGGGCTTTTAGGCTAACGTAGGTCAGGTAGCTTGGGGACTGGACCCGCCGCCCTCGAGGATCCCAGCCAGCCTACAGGCTACGTACAGGCTACCTATGTAGTGCAGCATGCCCAGTAGGTACATAGTAATAAGATCCCTACTGGTACTTCTAGAAATCGGTTGCCAAGACTTGAGCCCTCCTAGATTTCCGTCCCTGGCATCCGCGTCGCATTTTCCTCATCCAAGACTTTTGGGTCGTGAACATCACGAACCTCTTTCACGACTACCTCGTTCCCTGACCTCGACCGGTAGCTTTTGGCCATTGGGTAGTCTTGCGGTGGGGAGGCGACTACCTACCAACGAGGCAATTTCGCAAAAAAGCTATCTCCATATAGCAATTAGCTTCTCCGACAAGAAAAAGAACACAATCACCCTTTTTTCGTTAAACTCCCTCCCTGGTTGGCATCTCCAATCCGCAAATCAGAGCTCCTGACCTTTTTGTCGCCTATATACTGTCGACCTTCCTACTCCATCCTACGATCAGCATCTTCTACGTCAAACAATTAACAGCTCTTGCATATACCCTCTGAGCTCTCGGCAATTGCTCATGTCTACTACTGTTCTCTACTAGAGCTAGCATACCTACCCAGGTAGTTGTCGATTTCGCCATTCCTCAAGACGATTGACACCATTCTCGATTCCGCCGCATTTCCGCCTCTCTCGAATCGCAGGCTTGCAATACCGCTTAAGGAGGGCCCGCCGCCAAAATGCTGTCCTTCAAAAGGGCCATTCTCTTTGCCGCCTTCTTCCTCACAGCTTTCATATTGCTCCGGCAATCGCACGGCTCGACCGCAAGCGACGAACAAATAGCAGCACCGTCGAAAAAGGACTCGCCCTCGACCTCCGATCATGCCGCCGCTGCATTGAAGCAAGATGATAGGCATGTTCCTGCCCAGAAGGCTCTCCAGGACATGTCCAAGATGTCATTGTACGATAAGCTGGCATACCAGTACCCCTACGATGTCGAAAGCAAGTTTCCAGCGTACATATGGCAGACTTGGAAGTACACTCCCGCCGAAGGCAAGTTCCATTTCCGTGAGCAGGAAGCGTCATGGACAAATTTGCACCCGGGTTTTGTGCACGAGGTCATCACGGATGCTGTTGCGGCGCAATTGTTGCGCGTTCTCTACGCCGCCGTCCCCGAAGTCCTCAAAGCCTACCATGCGCTACCAGAACCCGTCCTCAAGGCCGACTTTTTCCGGTATCTCATTCTGTTCGCAAGAGGAGGAATCTACTCAGACATTGACACAAGCGCCCTGAAAAGCGCGTTGGAATGGATACCCGACTCAGTGCCAAAGGAAAGCGTTGGTCTCGTCGTCGGTATCGAGGCTGATCCTGACCGCCCTGATTGGGCAGAGTGGTACAGCAGGCGCATCCAGTTCTGCCAGTGGACGATTCAATCCAAGCCAGGCCACCCTGTGCTTCGGGACATTATCATGCGCATCACAAAGGAGACACTGAAAAGACAGGAGGAGGGCGTGTTCATCACCAAGAAGAAGAGTATTGTCGAATTTACAGGACCGGCCGTATTCACGGATACAGTATTTGACTACTTTAATGACGATCGCTTCTTTGATATGAGCCAAAGTCAGGGCAATATCACATGGGCAAATTTCACTGGAATGGAGACCCCCAAGAAAGTTGGCGACGTCGTGGTCCTTCCAATTACCAGTTTCTCGCCTGGTGTTCAACAAATGGGAGCAAAGGATATCAATGACCCTATGGCCTTTGTACATCACAGGTTTGAAGGTGAATTCGCCCAGAATACCACCCAAACATTATTGACCATCTCACTAACTTTGCCATTGTAGGAACCTGGAAGCCCGAGAACGAACGCCATATTGGCGGAAGCTAGAACCTTTTGATCGCACCGTTTTGAAAACAAAATCATCGTTCGCTTTGATGTATTATTTCCCCGACCTGGGGTTTCTCCTATATGCAACCGCTTGGGTTAGGAAGCGGAGCGGGATTGAGAGAACGGTTGCACGTTGTCAGGAATTCATGTTGGCATGATATACAATGTAACACGGACTACATCCGGAATCGTCTTGACGGGCACACGCACGAGGGACGGTTTTATACCCTACATACTGCATAGAGCATGGCGTTTTGGTAAGAGGAAATTTGAATGTTCCGGGAATTGCTGAAATCTCAGCTTCCTGCTATTATCAGCAAATGCGTCTTGGTCCAATGCCAGGTTATGAAGTGTAGCATACCCCTGTTTTACCAAACCATCGCGACTTTGGTAGAGGATGATAAATTCCCTCCATACCAACTAGACGCCCAGCGGGCCAATGGTCTTACGGAAACTTTGAGGCGAAGCCTGAAAATGTAAGCCTTCAAGCGTTAGCCAGTCGTGTCCCATTATAGATACGATCGGGTCGCGCACTTGAATCACACTGACTTGACCACTGCTCGGAAAGTTCATGACCTCTGATTTTAGCAGCACAGGGTCAGCTCCAACGTGGATGGATACATCTTCAGTTCGCAATGATCACGAATAGCACATATTAGTCCGGAGTGCAAGGTTATGTCCTTCTTGGCATAAGCACTTATTATCCAGGCCACTCAAGAACATATCCACCTAGCACTATTCCGTATAACCAGCACCTACCCCACATTCTCTACCCCAGGATCTGACATCCATTTCTAGCCGCTGCGGGCTCTCCATTAGCCAATGTTTTCCGGACGGTATTGTTTCTGTTTTTGGTTCTGCTGTCGCTGTCATTTTGTCCTTCGTTCAATTCCAATTTTGAGCCTCGATCACAGGTTTAAGCATCGTCTGTACACTGCTCCGTTGATGACCGATGAAGGGAATGAATACTCCTGAGTTGCATCTATAAAACCCACAATTACGTCTCGGTCCACCAACCCCGCTTGTTATGAGACAAGTCACGAGAGAGGGGGGTTGGCCGCTTATACGTCTTTGCGTTGTCTTGGAGCTGTGAAGTGAAAGGGGGGAAACATCTCGGGGAGAGAGGGAGAGAGAGAGATTGACCAGGGAATCTTGACAGTAAAGAAAGAAAAAAAACTTGGTTGGATTTTTGTTCGCGGCAAAAGCGATCATGATAGCAGGGAGGCGTTTTGGGAGGCAGGCCATGGCTTGTCGTGGGATCCGGAGACCAGGCGTCAGCATTCGGGTTTTGCAAAGATTCTTTGCAACTTCGAAGTTGGATCCATCCGGCCTGAGTTATGCAGAAGGGCCAAGTGAGGTGAGCTAATATTTCCATCATGTCTCTTGTTGTCCCCATAGGTTCCGCATCTCCATGAGGCATTGTCGACTTGCTTGGAAGCGAGCAAGGGAGAACATGGGAGGCGACGATCATGGCTTTCCAGATCTTCTCGATCGATCGAGATGGTCACTGAAAGCCAAGAACAATTCCCAAAGTTTGAGTTGGCTTTTGAAACTACAGCTTGTGTTTTCGGGTTGCGTTTTCTCTTCGTCCTTTCTTCACTTGGAACTTCTCGACTACCTTACACATGCTATGGTATTACTTGACTGATTCAAATTAAGCCCTCACTACTACGGTGTACCATACCGGAACACTTTTCAAAAATAGTGTCAGAATATGGTGATAGACCTGCGGTATTATTCCGGTCACCCACGATATATTCTCTGCTGCCCTCTGTTCCTACTGGCCAAATTACCGCACCGAAAACAACAACGCTGACCTATGACGCACTGGATACACTTTCAAACACAATCGCAAGCTCTTTACGATCTCTGGGAGTCAAAAAGGGCGATCGTGTAGCTGTGAGTCTGGGAAACGTCACTGAAAATGCCGCCTTGACGTATGCCATTTTCAAGCTTGGGGCGATTCTGGTGCCTCTCAACCCGACCTTCAACGCACAGCAACTGGTTGCGGCACTTGATCATCTCAGCGCCGAGATTCTCATCATTGGCGCCGTTACAGATCTTCCATACAAACCATGTAGGGGTCGCAGCAATCTCCCTCTCTTGCAGTCATTTCTACCCAACTTGAAAGGCAAGATCGAGTCTTCCGAGGTTCCCAGTCTGAAGCGTGTCGTGATGGTGGACAATACGTCTTTCCACGATCAGGTGGATTTTCCCGTTCAAGAGTTCCGAGCTCTGACCCCATTTTCGCAACTGCTCGACGGATCGCCTCGATCACTCACGCCTGACTCACCTTTGTCAGCCGATGAGACCATCAATATCCAGTTCACAAGCGGGACAACCTCGCTCCCCAAGGCGGCCATGCTGTCTCATACTAACATCTTGAACAACGGCCACTTTATAGCGAAACGCATGGGTCTTGTACCCGAGGATTTTATCACCTGTCCGGCCCCCTTATTCCACTGCTTCGGCTCAGTACTGGGGATCATGGCAACAGCTACTACTGGCGCGGCTCTCTGTTTTCCATCGCCAGCGTTCGACCCAGCTGCTAGTCTACACATGGTTGCCGAGCAACACGCAACTGGTCTCTATGGCGTTGCGACCATGTTCGTTGCCGAGCTCGAGCTGCTTTCCAATCCGGCATTTTCCGCCAAATTACCAGAGGGGGCCTTTAGCAAGCTGAGGAAGGGCATCGCCGCGGGTAGTTCGGTACCCGAGTCGCTCATGCGCCGCTTATTCAAAACGGTTGGTCTACAGGATCTGGTCATTTGTTATGGGCAGACGGAGACGAGCCCCGTCTCCCTCATGACGGCCCCCGACGACCCGCTGGAGAAGAGGACAGGAACCGTAGGCCGAGCCATGCCGCACACGGCCGTCAAGGTCATCGACCCCCTCGACCGCACGCGGGTTTTGCCCCTGGGCGAGCGAGGCGAGCTGGCCTCTTCGGGCTACCTCGTCATGAAGGGATACTACAACGACGAGGCGCGGACGGCCGAGGACCGCATCGCTGACCCAGACGACGGCGGCCGCGTATGGATGTACTCGGGCGACGAGGCGCGGATGGACGACCAGGGCTACGTCGAGATCACGGGCCGCATCAAGGACCTCATCATCCGCGGCGGCGAGAATATCCACCCGCTCGAGGTGGAGAACTGCATCTTTCAGTGTCCTGGCGTCCAGGAGGTCAGCGTCGTCGGCGTGCCCGACGACAAGTACGGGGAGTCGGTGGGCGCCTTTGTGGTACCGGCCCAGGGCTGCGCGACGATATCGGACGCTGATCCGTCTTCTGGAGGAAGCGGCGGCAATGAATTGCGTGAAGAGGACATTAGGCGCTGGGTCAAGGAGAAGCTCAGTGGCCACCTCGTGCCCAAGCACATTTGGTGGATTGATGAATACCCCAAAACGGCCAGCGGAAAGATTCAAAAGTACAAACTCAGAGATATGGCTGCTGACCTTCTCAAGAAGGAACAATAGAGAGTTTATGTATGGATATTTAAGGCTTGTTGGGATGGTTTTCTCTGTTTTTGTTATTACTTGGCCATGGTTTATTTTGGAATGTATCTTGAAGCCTGCTGTCCAAATCATCTCACTAAAGCTATCTAGGTAGTTTTCAGAGTATCCCATATAGGTATAAGAAGATAGTTCTTCAATTTCCATCAGATATTGACAGCAAGACAAATCTCTATCTTTAATAAGCTATGGAAATGGCCTAGCCAAGCCCATATACTCGTAAACCTGGATGGCAACCGAAGATTCATCCGACGCTTAGTAGGAACCACAAGATCTTCCGCGAATCTTCTGGTCAATATTTGAAGAGAAATGTAGAGTGCAGCATGTGGATAATGGTCCTGAAACCTTTGCATCCGGATATCAACTCGCTGAACCCCTCCTTGTCGATCATCTAGTTATGAGGTCGACGAACATATCTATATTCCTTGATTACCAACACAGAAACACCCTACTCCCAAGCTTCCGACACCAAGGTGCTGTGGGTTCTCCTGCGGGATCGTGCGCTCCCGAAATCGACGGCAATCGTTGGGGCCGGGCCAAGTTGATACACCTATATAGCACCGCGAGTTGGTGTAGACGAGCGATGCTACTGCTACTTAACTATTTCCGTAGATGACCATAGTCATCCCATTGACGTGGTACATCTGGGTCCCTTGCATGCAGTGCGGAATTATCGACGCAATTATATCCTTGTCACCTGGCGACTGTGAAGAGAAAGGTCCATAAAGTGCCCGTCAACCCCGTGTCGATCTGTAGGATAAGTTGCTGCGCCAGTACAAAATGGAAATAAACCGCGGGAAGTTCAGGTGCTTTCGGGGGTTTCAGGCGACGGACACTTATTTTCTTTGGTCAAACTTTACTGCTATGGGAAAACGTCTACTCATATCGAGTAACCCAGTGGGCATTCTTGTTATTTGTTGGTGCCTTAACTAGCACTAGCAGTTGATCTGGCTTACCATCGTCGCCTTTTGTCCAACTTGGTTCAGCCCTTTAGCCCACATTCCATTCTCCCCGGGAACTAAAATACAGGCCGGGACGGCTGGGCACGAGACGAATTCGCGCACAGATGATTGCCAGGCCTTCTTAGGTGCATGTATGATGCCAGTAGCCAAATGACGCTCACGCGACTTTTTGTCAGTGCCGCGCTCTCCGACAAGGGGCGAACCCGATGGGGGTTGGAAATTCCTCCGCGGAGTCTCTCTGTTCCACGAGTATGAAGGGATGAAGAATAATTCAAGAGCATCAATTATGCTTGGTGTTCCTTTTCCAGCTTGAATACCTACCTATATCTACTTACTATTACCTCACCACCTAGCCTTAGCAGTCGCACTAAGGTAGGAACAGCGAGCTTCAGCTACTGCCCTACTCCATAGTAAGGTTTAGGGGAATAGACCCGTAGAGTCGATCGGTAGGTCAGCTAACTAAATAGAGCAAATACTCCGGCCATCTCAAGTGTTCTTTTTGAGAGCTGCAGCTTATTTACTCGCTTTTACAGACACGAGAGTTTGAAGCTCAGTTGTTGCTCCAATTCTGGTTCCATAAGCACCTGTGGCGTCGTGGAGACTACCAAGGTACCATATGATCTCATCCAACGTACCCGTTTTCTTCATCTTGTTCATCATCCTCCCATCCGAGTCTTGCAGTCTCACATTTGTTAGTTGTCTTTACATTTCGCGATGCTGTTGTCTCGCCCTCGCCAGTATATTGTTGCTCAAATGCGGCCTTTGAGCACGGGAGGGTTCTGATGATATTCAACTAAACATGGTGATCGATGCCGATGCCCGGTGGGTTTCCAGTCTAAACGGCCCTGGGCTGGCAGTTGTTCTATCCTCCAGCATCTTGGGAGGTGTGTCGTCGATCATTGTCATCCTGAGGTTCTACCTCCGATACAAGGAAAGGTCATTTGGTTGGGACGACAGCTTGATTGCCATTGGCTTGGTACGACACTCTGCCTAACAAGTAGACTTTGGCAGAAATATACTAATGGTTAAACAGGTCTTGTTCTTGGTCAATGTTGCCCTCGCGTGCGTTGGCGCATACCGTGGTATCGGTACAAATAACACAGATCTCAACGCCTTCTTGAAAGTCCAGTCCATCGGTTATTTTGTAGTTGGAATGATGGTTTACTTTCATGCTCTCCTATTCATAAAGTGTTCGGTTTGCACTACGCTGTACCGAATCGCGAATCCCAACAAAGTCTACCGAATCGCGATATGGTCTCTATTCGCCATTGTCATTGCAAACTACCTCACTACTTTTATTGGCGTGTTGACCCTGTGTCATCCATTGTCAGGCAGACCAGGCGCAAAAACGTACCGGGAAGGCAGCTTTGTTTGCTCGGGCTTGGATGCCATGATTGGATTGTTATACACATCTACTGCCTGCTCCATTGCAACCGACCTTGCTTGCGCAGTGCTGCCAGGCATCGTATTGTGGCGGACCGAGGCGAAAATGAAGACCAAAATCTGGGGCACCTTGTTGCTTTCTGTCAGTTCTTTGTGAGTTGTCTACCATCGGACGAGAACAATCTTCTGTGCTATATAAAGACTAATAAGACATTATCCAGGGCCTCGATTACCACGGTTATCCGAATCCCATACATCAAATGTTACTACAACCCAAGCGACAATCTCGCTGCACATGTTGCGAATATTGTCCTCTGGTCCAACGTCGAGTCAGCAGTCGGTATTATTGCTGGCTCAACCCCCTCATTGCGCCGCTTCATATGGAATAAAGTCAAGCAATCTTCCGGGAAGAAACAACCGCCGCTGGCTCTTGTAACCTTGAGGACATTACCACTTCCTCGCCGGATACCACGGAGCCTGGCTGTCATCACACCCATTACGGAGAGATGCCTTTCTGTCGCTACTTCACACGCACTTGGGGACAGCGACTGGAGGAGGCTCAAAGATGAGTCTGACCACGAAGAGAGCGATGGGGGCATCAAGGCCGAGTACCCGTTTGTGGTTGAATCGCCTCATTCTCCAAGCTCGCCATCCCTGAAGTCTGAAGTCTGAAGTTGAACTCTCACTGTCATAGCCCATTCTTTTCTTTATGAATGTCATAGTTCTTTCTCAAAGGATACCCAAATTCAAGTTTCACGTTTCACGCTGTATAGATATGTTGAAATCAATGTCAAACATCATGATTTTGAAATGTTCATTTCCCAAAAATGAAATTACACAAAACAACTTCAGATTGCAACAGAAATAAATGTGTCATGCTCAATACGCCGGGTTGAATGGCGACCTTGATATAGGGAAGAGCGACAGGTCGCGGACAGGCCTTTTCGGGCAAAATCATAGCACAAGTAATCTTCCCACTCTGCATGCAGGTGCATCTCTACCATATCACCCAAGGGCCTCCATTCGCAAGAAGAAGGAAAAAAAAGATAGAAAAAGATTGTGCAGCTCCAAAGCTGGCAAAAGAGAAAGGTCCTCCACCAGACAGGGTCGAACTGTCAGCCTCCAGATTGCTCAAAGTGATAACAGTCTGACGCGCTAGCCAATTGCGCCATGGTGGAACCGTGCTTGTGATGTCTTTCTTGGTGCGTAATCGCCATTCTCATCGTTACCTTCCCCCGAGTGGGCATCGACCCGCTGATCTTCCACGATCAAAAATTTGCTCTCTCCATCTGCCTATTGTCGACCACCTCAGTGCCAGATCTTCGAAGATGGCTTTGACGAATTGTGCTCAGAATATGAATTGTGGCCCTCGACTCGCAATTCTATACGAATGATGGTATGCTCTGACGCTAGTCCTCGAAACACCATCTGCATCCCAATGTAGTATATGACAAGTCATGACTTTGCTCAAAAAAAGAAAAAAAAAAGGTGGCAAGGCTGGGCTTTCTTATTCTGTTTCAGCTTCCATAAGCGGGGACGGAGTTATTTCTGCCAATTCTTACTTGCACGATATCATATTGTGCAACAATATCATCAACTTTGCAGTCAAACACTGCATTTGTAAAGACTCACCATGAAACATGGAACCCCATGTTCTGGAGACGTGCCATGGACATCACATCTAGTCTCCGTGCGGTAGATTGGGGCTCAAGCCTCTCACCCGGATGCACCATCGCTTTTCTATGCTTCAATGCACATCCAAATATTCGTCCCATATATACACAACCCATATCATTCGAGAGCAGGTATTTTCCTATAGATCAGATAGTAACCTGGCGCAAACATAAACTTTTTTGGCGGCGGGTGGAGTCACTACTCGCGGCGACCATCGTAAAAGGGCACTTCCGGCGATGGCGGGTTCACCGAAATTAAGGATTTGAACGGCCAACACGATAAGCGTAGCGTTCTTCACCAGCAAAAACGTCCCGTCACTAAAAAGATCATAAAACACAACTAACATCTTGTTACGCGGCCTGACTTTGAAAGTTCTTGATCATTAGCAGTAACACGGCTCACTTTTGGATCTGATGATGTGGTGAAGAGGAGCAAAGATGCTTGGCCGCCTGTGTAGCAGCGATATGAAGAAAAGTCCTCGGCTGTGGTACCGATCTGCAATCGTGAAAATGTGGACACCCAGTTCCATTCCAGCGCAAATTCACGAATCAGCTCCCAGGTCACTTGGACCACAGCACGTGTCTTGCCAATCTTCGAATCGCAGATCAGGAACCCGCAGCGCAATATTATCGCCATGATTAGGATACCGAAAACAAGATGTCAATTATCAAGATTGCACCCGTGATCGGCGAGTTACATCGGCCGGTGCTGAGCCACCGAAACCCGCAGAGCCCCTGCAACCACTGCTCGTGGGCAAATGGCGGCTACGCGATTGGACAGAGGTACAGGCTCCTCTGGCTGCCCTTGGGGGCTCCGAATGCGAATCTGACAGTCTCGTCGGAAAGAGCTTGGGGAAAACGGAAACTAGCTCGCGACTAAGAGAATTAAGCTGGCATCCGGCATTGATGACACTCTGGGATGTTTGGTAATTGCCCAGAGGTCCTTTCCCTTCAGTACGCGCGTGGGTACCATATTCGTGCTGCCTCGGTCGTTTCGCTTTATAGATGGGGAGAGCAAAGAAAGCTGGATAAAATACCATCTCCAAAAGCATGTGCTTGGGTATCATCAGGAAAACTAATTGTGGACCCAGATACACACAGAGGACGACCATATTTTAAGCTCAAAGCCGCAGGAATATCGATCACAAATACTGTCGACCTCTCTTCTCTGAGCTGTGAGCAAGTCTAGTAAACAAGCACCCGTGGCCAAGGATGATCTACCTCGCCAAGTCGTTGGCAGCCTTGCCGCTGCTGGTTCTGTCTGCATCGGCGTCAGCAAGTTACCCTCCCAAGCCGTCTGACCTGACGACTCCAGTGCAAAAGCGAATTGCCATACAAGGTCCTGGTTCGGTTTCTATTGGCTGGAATACTTTCCAGGAACTCGACCAACCGTGCGTTCAGTACGGCACCTCGGAGACTAATCTGACTTCGCTCGCCTGTTCAACGAGTTCAGTCACATATCCTACCTCTAGGACATATTCAAACGCCGTGGTCCTCGAAGACTTGACTCCCGCTACAACCTACTATTACCAAATAGTGTCGACCAATTCGACAGTTGATCACTTCTTCAGCCCGCGCACACCAGGCGACACTACCCCGTTTGCCCTCAATGCTGTTATAGACCTCGGTGTATATGGCCAGGATGGATTCACCATTGACATGGACATGACAAAGAGGGACACCATTCCCTATATTCCTCCTGCGCTGAACCACACGACCATTGGCCGGCTGGCCAACACCATCAACGATTACGAACTGATCGTCCACCCCGGCGACCTGGCCTACGCAGACGACTGGTACCTCAAGGGCAAGAACATCTTCGACGGCGTCAACGCCTTTGAGGCCATTCTTGAAAACTTTTACGGCCAGCTCGAGCCTATTGCGAGCCGCAAGCCCTACATGACCAGCCCCGGCAACCACGAAGCCAACTGCCAGGAGATCCCTTACCTGGGCGAATTGTGCGCCGAGGGCCAAAAGAACTTTACCGACTTCATGAACCGCTTCGGCCGCACCCTGCCGACGGCCTTTTCGTCCACCTCGGCCGACGAGAACGCCAAGGTGAATGCCAATGCCGCCAAGCTGCTGGCCAACCCGCCCTTTTGGTACTCGTTCGAGTACGGCATGGTCCACGTTGTCATGATTGACACCGAGACCGACTTTGCCGACGCTCCCGATGGCATCGGCGGCTCTGCGGGCCTCAATGCCGGTCCCTTTGGCTCCTCGGGCCAGCAATTGGCTTTCCTCGAGGCTGACTTGGCGTCGGTGGACCGAAATGTGACGCCGTGGATTATTGTCGGCGGACACAGACCTTGGTATGTTGTGCTAAGCCCTATCACAAAATAAAGACACAACCCGCTAACCTCTGGGCCTTAGGTACACCACCAGCGGCGGCGATGCGTGTGACGCATGCCAGGATGCATTTGAGCCGTTACTGTACAAGTATGGCGTCGACCTGGCCATCTTTGGCCACGTGCACAACTCGCAGCGCTTCCTGCCCGTCGTCAACTCGACGGCCGACGCAAACGGCCTGCAGGATCCCAAGGCGCCCATGTACATTGTGGCCGGCGGCTCGGGCAACATTGAAGGGCTCAGCTCGGTCGGCACCACGCAGGACTATAATGCCTTTGCCTATGCCGACGATTTCTCGTATGCGCAGGTGTCATTCCTCGATACCCAGAATCTCCGGGTCGATTTCATTCGCTCCTCAACCGGCCAGGTCCTCGACACCTCGACGCTGTACAAGAGTCACGCCGAGCAGTTTGTCGTGCAGAGTTGAGTTCGAGGACATATTTAGAACCATGACGTTATGGAATAATCCATATTTAAAAAGTATTAGCGAGTTATTGTTTAATGATTAATCTCATTTTTAACCTCTACAAAATAAATCGTAATTTGACTCAAGTCTCATAATCCTGATATCTTCCACAAGTGTTGAATCTATGATTCAGAGCCAGATCAATGCTCAGCAGCCGCCTCCTATCTGCTGAATATCTTCATACCTATCCTAGTACGTATGTAAGAGCACGAAGCGTAGGACGATTTAATGCAGAAATACCCGAATGCATGCGTAGCGAAAGCAAAGTATAGAGTTGAACATCTTTGGTCCAATCCTTGTAGCATGTGCCATGCCAATGTTGCAGTCGTTTTCTTAGTTCTGTCGGATTAGGAAGCTGGCAAAAAAAAAGTCAAGTCTTGGGTGGAGGGCACTTCGGGATTTATATGCCACCACGAATAGTGGACATTGCCAAGCGCGGGCGTCTATAATCTTGGCGTTGCCAGGTTGCATGCATTTCTCATATGGAGTATGTGTTGGCCCACTTGCTCTGTATCATGGAAATAGGATATTTTGAAAGTGAATGGGCCATTCAAGAACAGTCGTGTAGGACACGTGGGCGGGCATAAGAAAAAAGTAATAAATTTGATCGGCCTTTTTGGTCTTCATGGCCGTGATTAACGCAAACCGCTATAACCCAAGAAAATTTCTAATCATGGCGCCACTTTACCACTCTGCTGCTCTGTGCAGGTACTTTGAACTCGTTCCAATTACAAATCCATACTTTCCTTCTGTAATCATTTTCCAGTTCTGTGCCTTGACATCCCAATAACTCAAGTCTCGGCGTGTCACGTTGAATGTGACACTAACAGTCTCCCGTTGCTTTATGAGCGTCTTCTCAAACCCTCTGAGCACCTTGATGGGAAAGTCAACGCCTTCAGTCTTGGATGCCTCGGCAGGATAAATCAGGTAGAGCTGAGTAACCACCTGACCATCATTTGCACCAGTGTTGGTCACATTGGTGGTAATGGAAACGTACGTTTCCCACAGGTCGGGATTGCCGCCTTCGTCACCACCAGCTGGAGAAAGAGGCTGCTGCACATCATAACCATCGGGGTACGGATACTTGTCTGTGACCGCCACCATTTCATCCACCGTGTCGAGGTATGGATAGACAAACTTTTCGAGCTTTCTGAACCCGGCAGGGAACAGCGCCTCATTCTCGTCGGGGATGCTCGTATCGTACTCAGGTGGCATCGCAAAATCTCTCGGTCGAGGCGTTGGATATGCGCTCTTTGGTTTAAGCTCAACAAGATCGGGAATGCTGAACTCGAAGGTAGTATAGCTCAAACCAAAGCCGAATTCGAACCTGGGCTTGACGTCCTTCTTGTCAAAGTGCCGATAATCAACGTAGAGACCCTCGGTGAAATCTTGTTGCGGAACCACGCCGTTGGGCAAATACATGATCTTAGCACCATCGCCATAGTCATCGAGACTGCGACCGATGGTCCAAGGTAAGCGTCCACTAGGGTTGACATCGCCAAAAATCACATCTGCCAGGGCATTGCCACTTTCTTGGCCAGGAAGATTGGCGAGCAAGACCGCCTTGACACCCGGAAGGTCAATCCACTGCTCCATCAAGACTGGCCCAACGGTGTGGAGGACCACGATGGTCTCGCCGGTTCCGCCTCCACAGCCATTCGCCACCGACACAATCAGATCATCGCCGCCTTTTTGCAGATTCAGATCTGGACGATCTCCCTTGACGTTGCTCCAACTCACGAAACCCTCTCCCGAATCGGCGTTTGCAAAGACGATGCAAATGTCCTGGTTATTTAGAATATCAGGTTGTTCTTTGAAGGGTGGCGTGTTCGTAAGCCAAGACGAAACCTCGACCTTTTCCTTATCCCAGCCGCTGCCGAGAACGTCAATGGGCGTAACAAGGTACGGCAGCTCGACAGCACCGGAGCCCCATCCCATGGCAAGGGTGCCCTCGTTGCAGCCACGGTCTTTGCATCCGTTGGGTCCGTTGGGGTTTGGTCCAGCATCATCGCCAAAGATGCCGATGCGCACATGTCCAGTGTGCTTCTTTCTGAGCTTCATGTCGGTGTTGCCATGACGATCGATGGGTAGAATCTGCTCATTCTTGAGAAGAACAATGCCTTCTGCAGCTATCTGTCGTGCCAAAGCAGAATGATTGCCCATTACATTGACGAACTCATTGACAACCGTCGTCTCCTGATCAGTAGGGCTACCAGGCGCTTCAACTCCGACTTCTTCGTTTGTCCAGGAGGAAAAGTTGGGACCGTCGGGATCGAATCTCTCCGTATCATCCTGCCCGAGCTGATACCAAGAGGCGACAATACGGGTCACCATGTCGTTGAGCCTCTCGACGGGTAAAGAACCATTCAGAATAGACTTGGTAAGCTCAGGTCCCCATAGCGACTTGCCATCTGCCCAAAACAAGCCATCACCTGGCATGGTCATATCCAGACCAGCCAGAGCGCTCGATACGCCTCCACGCTGGGCAAGCCAGTCACTCATGACAAATCCCTGGAAACCCATCTCATCCTTGATTATGCCGTTTAGAATCTTGGAGTTGCCACAAGCATAAGAGTTGTTGATTTGATTGTAGCTGCACATGATACTGGCGACGCCGGCCTTGATTGAGTCCTGGAATGGCCACAAGTAAAGTTCGTGCATGGTTCGATCGTCAATGTTGCTCGAGATGGCGTTTGGCAGCCCCCATTCCCAGGATTGCCGGAAATGCTCCTGCTCATTGGCAACAAGATGTTTGATGGTCGCCATGACACCCTCATCCTGGATGCCCTTGATCGACTGATACGCGGCGATACCTTGTAGATATGGATCCGCGCCAAAGCCCTCCCAGTTCCTCCCGCCAGCGGGCATACGGCCGAGTGGACCTATGCAAGGACCGAGGATGGCATTGATACCCTTCTTCCTCGCCTCGATAGCATGGACATTTCCCCATTTGTACATTAGATCTTTGTTCCATGTCGCTCCCACGGTGATTCCTGCTGGGAAGGCCGTGGCGTTGTCTGCGAATCGTATACCGAGTGGCCCATCTTGCAAGGCTAGGGACGGGAAGCCGACATTGACAGCAGGTCCAGTGTTGCCAACGGCTGGACCCATCATCCAACCAGTGCCCGTCGTGATATTGACCTTCTCCGGAAGCGTCATCTTGGTGACCATTTCACTGGCCTTCCTGTAGCTGTCTGCCCAGTTTCGTGCCGTTCCACCTTTCGGAGTCGGGTACCACGGCGGAGAAAGCCCATCTTGAGGACTGGTGTATTTCTTGTAGGCAAAGAAGCCGCCCGATCCAAGAGCCAGAAACACGAGGGCCAACACACCCAGGCATGACCATATACATTTTCTTGATCTGCCAGCACAGCAGCCGCATGGCTGTCGTAACCACCGACTGCGAGGCTGTGTTTGGTATGCGGCCGTATAGGAGCCCTTGGTTGCGGTCAATGGGTCTGATTGTAGGAATTCGGTCGCATCGAGGTCCGATTCTAGATCTGAGGATGCACGAGCTTCGTATGACTTGCGGAAGCGCTCTTGGTAGTCGTCTTGTTCGGCGCCGAGGAGCCCGGTGCCCTCTTTCTCGTCTCGAGCCATGATGGACGGTCCAGCGTATTGAAGTGACCAGTATAGGAGGAACGTGGGAGGTCAACGTTATCGAAACAGTCGGTCTGTATTGATTGTGGCCGGTAGCTAGAAAAGTAAAACAGTATATATTATATGTCGCGGATTGTCAAGTCGTCAGTCGCGTGGTAGCTCCAGCTCAGCGGGCAATATTTCCACGGACAGACAACAACCTCAAACAAGAGACACGAGATGATTGAAATCAACGAAGAACTAGAAATCATAAAGGGACGCGGAAGAACGAGAAACATCTGAATTGAAACATTGCCTCCGACATTGGAGCTGAAACATGGGAGCAGCTTGGCGTCGCACTCAGTTGCATTGACCCCTCCGAGCCATCTTGGCCATCCAGAGCTGATGTCCCGTCGATCATTTAGCACATAGCCCGTGCGAAGGGGATCCGACCTTCCTTCAGGTACCATACATGCACTACCTTGGGCTGAGCCTACCTAAACCCGCGTCGGCTGAGTTGCCGGAACCCCGCCAAACGTCTAACCTTTTAGCGAATATAGTGGAGTGCTAGGAATCCAAGTCAGGGCGGGCCAGCTCAGGGCCACAGCGAGTTTACAATGTTCAACGGTAACTTTGGGCACGAATTTTGTGTCAATATATACTAACCTAGTACCAACATCGAGATAGGCAAGGTATACGAACTTGCTCTACTGGTGTCAAGACCATGAGGTTCAACACCAACAATAAAATCTGATCATCAAGGCCTAGGTATTAAGTTGATCATATAACCTTTTTTCTTTCCTAACTGCATGCATGATATATCCCAATGCCGCTCGGTAGAGGTCTCGTTCAGAGTTTACTCTGTCTTTAGCAGAATAACTCGTTGCATTGCCCTCGCTATACTCCAGGTGGCGGAATTCATCATTTCTGATGATCAGCACAAGTTGCTGTATGATATCATCCAGATCTTGTGGCATTCCCATCCATCGTCTCTTTATTGTGATACCATTTTCTGCAGAGAGTCCATGGCCTTCTTCGCATAGGCTCCCATATCCGCACACCTTTGCTGGCCCTCTTCGTCGAACACTTCCATGGACAGATATCCTCGGAAGCCTGTGCGAAGCACGGCGTGGAGAAAATCGTTAATGGGTAGATAACCACCGTCGTAAGGAAGCGGTCGATAATCGTGACTCCACTGGCCACGAGGGCGCAGACCATCAGCATTCGTCTTGGCCTCGAGCGGAGGTTCGACCTTGTACGCATCCGAGATTTGGAGGAGATAGATCTTTTCCGGAAGAACATGCAAGGATAGCATATTCAGACTCTCTTTCCATCTCTCTTCCAGAGCAGATGCAGACAAATCCTCAACCTTTCCCGACTTGGTTGTTGGATCTCCCCATTCGCCGCCAGCGCTCTGAAAAGTGTCGAGGCATAAGCCGATATTTGGTCGGTCAGCCTTTTGGACAATATTCCAAACATCTTTCCAACCTGGAGCATGCGTAGCCCAGCACCAATTCTCATAGGCAATCCGGAATCCTTTTTCGGCGAATATATCTGCCAGTTCTGCAAGATCTGCAGCAAGCTCATCAAAGTCTGACGAGATTTTTGACGGAGCATCCGTAGAACCGATCTGCAGCATATCAGTCCCAACAGCCTCCATAATTCTCATCCATCCCCTGGCACGATCAAAGGCGTCCTGCCTCTCCTTGCTCTCCCTAGGCCATCCCTCAAAGTTGGCAAATGGCTGTAGCATCAGGATCTTGAGATGATGCTCCTCTGCCTGGGTTTTGATCTCCTTGCCAATTTCTACCAGTGAGTCATAATCCTTTTCGTGGGGTTCATGTCCGTTGAGATGTTTTCCATAGGTCAGAATATCGGGCATTGACAGCTCGATTGCCTCGAACCCGGCATCTGCAATGGCCTTGAATTTGAGTGGCAGAGTATGTGACTCTGGCTTATATCCAATGCTACATGTCGCGTATGATGTGGGTAATTCAACGACCTTTTCATCCTGTAACTCATGATAGTTCACCGGCATCTTGATGATATAAGCAATGAGTCGACCAGAAAAATGAACAAACAGAATGCCTAAAAATAAACGGTTTACTTGTGTGATGAGTCCAGTATAAATAGTATAGACGGAATCTGAAATGCAAGGAAATGTTAATTCATTTCGCTTTGGGCATTGGGTCGAAGCTGTATTTGTGTAACTCAACTCCATAATTTACGCTGGCTGGTGACGTCAACGCCCACGCTGTAAGTGGCATGTCGCGGCCGCCCGCCTTTGCGCTACGATTTCATATTCCTTACGCAATAGTGATGCATGAATAGTGGCCTGCTGTCCTTTCTTGTGTTGTTTCCACAAAACAGGACTATTTTGTTGCTCTTTGTTTTGTATCATCGCCTGGCGCGAGTAGGAGATGATTCGGTCCACGATACACAACTTTCTAGCTTTCAGACCGCTGGCAAGGCACTGATTACTCTCAACTTTGAAAAGTAACCATTTGGAGTTTGGTCATAAAACTATCTCTGTCCCAAGATCAGTGCTGTCTTGGACCACCCCTTGAGGAGTCTGTGTTCTTTGAATATCTCGAGATTTTCCACCGGCAGTGAAACCATGCCGCTATACTCCTCCCAGGATATGACCAAGATCTTTTTGAAACGAATCCCAAGGAAAGCAAACAGCTCTGCATTGGCTATGTGCTATTTGATCCAGATTACCATACTCGGAAGCTTTCGCTTGTATTTAGTAATATACCTACGAATACTCCTGGCAACGTTGACTTTTTTTTTTTGTGATCCGGACAAAACTGTCCGAGGCGGCTCAGGCTACTAGATGCCGCTATTAGTCGAGGACATGGGCCAAGGTCCCTGACTTGTCCGCTGTAAGTTCATTCGGCACATTAACACTGCGGTTCAAGCTTCTGAACATGATATCGGATTTGCCAGACAGGCTCTTTACACCACCCCCAGGCACCTAGAAAGGGACCAAAAGACGCCTCAGGATCTCTCGTGTAAGAGCGCGCGCGTGTGACCGGCCCCGCAATTGCAACATCTTGTGCCTAGAAAATACCGCCTTTGACCAAAACTTTATGTATTATGCCAGATGCAAAGACTGGGATACGAATATACACGACCATAAACTTAATCCTAAAACTCCCATCATTTTGATGGTAAATAGATTTAGACTTACTTGCAACATGACGCCTCCTGAAGCTCAATATTATTGTAGACGCCGCTGGCTTGGCTTGTGAACGCTAGTGGTAAACGAATGCGAGCATCGTGGGAATAACGTCATGGACTGTCCGCTATTCAGTAGGTACACAGCCCACCTATATCAACCTTTCCAAGTTCTAGCGAGCATTTTACGTCGGATATCAACATATACTGGCATTAAAGAGACGCTACATTTAATATCCCGTAGAATAAACTTTAAGGAAGCCGTTCTTTGTGTGTCACATTGCCTTATTATATTTACGTTGGAAGTTGGACCGACAGCTGGAGCCGTACAAGATGACCAAGACGCAATCCAACTTCTCTCAACTAAAGGACTTCCTGGGATATCTAGCCACAGTGAAGGGGGATCTATCGAATATCACCGCTCCGCCTTTTGTTCTCTCACCAAAATCTGTAACCGAAATCCCTGCGTCATGGGCAGAGCGCCACCAGCTCTTCTTGCAACCGGCAGTAGAAGACGACCCAGCCCGGCGAGCCCTGCTCATCCTGAAGAACTTTGTCTGCAGCCTCAAGCGCCAAGTCTACAGTGCCGCCTCGGAAGAGTCAGACGGCGGCGCCAAGAAGCCCCTCAACGCCTTTCTGGGGGAGCTGTTCTTGGGCACGTTTGAGGACGAGGCGTCGGGGAGCCGGACACAGCTCGTTTCGGAGCAGGTGTCGCACCATCCGCCCGTGACGGCCTGCTTCTTGTACAACCGGGACCACCGCATCTCGTCGTCGGGTTACGTGGCGCAGGAAACCTCATTCAGTCCCACCAGCGGCGTCACGGTCCGGCAGGTCGGACATGCCATCATCCGCGACGAGACGCATGGCGAGAGCCACCTCATGACGCTGCCGGTCATGGCCATCAAGGGCCTCCTCGCTGGCAAGCCGTATCCAGAGTTGCAAGGCACGTGTTACATCTCGTCGAGTTCGGGGTATCTGGCGACAATCGAGTTTGAAGGCAAAAAGGCACTGGGTTTCGGCACCAAGAATTGCGTCAGCGCAGAACTGAGGAATATTCGGGACGGCGGAAAGCTGCTGTATGAGCTGGAGGGACAATGGAACGGGAAACTTACCATCAAGGACTCCGCTCAAGGATTGAATCTTGAAGAGTTTGATGTAGACGATATGCCGCACACCGAGCTGTGCGTGAAGCCGCTTGAAGAGCAAAGCCCGTGGGAGTCTCGTCGAGCATGGGCGGGAGTTCTAGAGGGCATTCGCACGGGCGACATGCGAGCCGTAAATGACGCCAAGAGTCAGATCGAGGAGGCCCAAAGGGAGATTCGCGAGGTTGAGCGCGAGGCGGGTGTCGAGTGGCATAGGGTCTTCTTCACGAATGCGGATTCGCACCAGGAGTTTGAGGTTTTGGCGGGACCGATACCCGATGATGATGCCAAGAGCCTTCGACAAGAACGAACGGCAGGTGTCTGGAAGTTTATCGGCATCGATGCGGCTGAGAAGATTCTCGAATCTGGAAATTTTCACTCATCTCTTGAGCCTACTGGCCAGCCAACACGACACACGTAGCAGGGAGCTGTTGCGCGAGTATTTTTCTCTCCCCATAATATAATAAACTCAAAGACATAAAATGTTACCATAAATCGATTTATTGCAGGCAATCTGCTGATCGAAGTCTGGTCGGCGAGCATTCGTAGTCATGGTGCTAATAAGCTCGTTTTGCTGTAGCAGCCAAGTATCTTCAATCGCGTCTGTGGGCTGTTCTCAGTCGATGCCTTACCAGAATCCATCGCCTAGCTGAAAACAAGAGTGCCAGACATCTGCTTCGATTTCCAACAGCATGCGTGAAGGCTTCACGATAATCGTACCTCACGTGGAAATTTTGCGGCGGGGGTTTGTCCTTCCGTCCATTTATGTCACCAGAGCAACAAGAGTTCAATTTTCCGAGCTTTACTGACATGCGTCTTCGGATTACTCAATTAATCTTTTTTTTTTTTGCAAAGCAGAAGGGCAAAGATTATGTTCCAGAAGCAGTGCTCATAGTCAAAATAAACAATAGAATCTACATAATACTCCAGCTCTGTGATATTTGCGAAGCATCGTACTACCAAGTACGGGGCTTCTTGGCAAAAGCCCGTTGTTCTTTCTCGTCTCCACAGGCTGGAATTTGAGCCTTGATGTTTTCAATCTTGTGGGAACAAATGTTACTGCTCGTGCTGTACACTTCTGAAGCTCTCCAAAGTGTTTGTACAAAATCATGACAACCTGTTGTGGCCCAGCAGTGAGCCACAAGGTTTGACTAATAATCTTTGATCGCTGCCTATTGAGCTAGAAGAAACAGCCGTTTTTTTTTTTTTTTTTTTGAATTGATTCAGCTTCAATTTTCTCATTGTTCTAACTTGTGCACAGCCTGGATATTAGGAAAAGCCATGTGATGTGAAAATTTGCTATAATTCTACTGAGGCTCTTTGCGATCAGATTCTTTCTGCCAGTGCCTATGCAACATTGATTATCGGCATTGACTTTCAGCCCAACCCTTGTCGGTGTCACTTCTAGTACGACTCAGTACTTGTCATCAATCACTGCGTTTGCGTAGTATACGTTGTGCGAATGAAGATTGATTAGATTCCTGCGAGTACAGGTTTCGGTTCTGGATGACGGCACTTTCAATATAGCTCCTGGCAGCTGCCAGACTCCGAGCAAGGTCGCAATCATCGTCGAGTTGTCTTACCTGAACCCAAGACTCGTTACCCACCTTTGATTCGCCGAGTATATCAGTAATTATCTTTCGTCTGATCTTGATCACTTTCGTCCCATCCCAGATTAGCGATTATGACTCCGTACCATATCTGTCTTGATAGCCCTGCCAGTTTCGGTATCCTGATCCTGCTCCAGGTTGGCGCTCTTTATCCCGCTACGTTTCTACCACATTCATGTCTTTGTATCTAATGGTTCAAGATTCATGCTTCACGATAGAGTCGTGCTTTGTAGTTGTATCCAAGCCAGCTGTATCACAGTTCCACGCTACACTACCTGAACACAGCACCTCATGTATCGGTGTATTGGTGAATCCAGCCTTGCACCTTTCAATGGCATCCCACACTAGGCTCGCTTGCCTCGATGCAACTTTTATTCACTAGTCATTGAAATATCAAGTATTTATCTGTTGACAATTGTGTGACATCCCAGATTCTTTGTCTTTGCTCTTTGGATGGTCTGTGAACCTTTTGTGAATAACAACACCGACTCTGCCTGACTTTGCCCATCGTTTGGCTTGCTCTAGTTGCCCTAGAGCGTTTGTTGATGCTGCTTAGTGAACATCATTTCTGTTCTCGTCAGCGTGGCTTTTCCCAGCATGCATTACTTGTGTTGTCATGTGATCGTAGATCAGTAAGGGTAGTGCCCATGTTGCCCAAGGCGTCCTCTCTAGGTATCTTCATAGAATGATGAGGAGAGCAATAGGAAGTGAACAATTCTGCCTTTAACAACCATGAATCACCTCACATGATACTAATCTCGGGTTTTGTGCTCCCGCCATCCCTTGTGTTCTCCTATTTTGTCACCAGATCATGGATTTGGGTTTGGGAGGGGGTTTTGCAACAGACGTACTCGCCAAGTGCAAAATGCATAGTTGCAACATGTACAGGCTAAAAAGAACATGTCTTTCTCATTCGTCATATCCTCGGGAATTAGAAACTACAAGGCTGTCTACAAGGAACGCTATCGTGCAAATCGCTATCGATCTTGGCGAGATGAAGCAACCCTAGTAATTATGTATTCTTGCAAAGTAACTATGAGCTCGAGTGTAATGGTGAGAGACATGCCTTGATCGAATTCGGTGCGTCCCACCATGCCTGTTTGTGGTAGCCGCTCACATTCGAAAGCTCGTTTGTGGTAGCCACCCGTACACATACATCACCACGTTGCCAGTCCTTGTCAGTTCTTGCCATTTAGATAGGCGGTCGTGGTAAATGCTTTCGAACTACTTGAATATTGCGAGTCTTTGTACATTTGAGAGTGAGTGTGCTCGTGGTAGGCGCACTCGTGCATCAATGTTGTGGTAGACCTATTCAACGAATTCGTGATTGTGGTAAACGCTCACATACACAAATTTACTACTTTTTTCCTTTTGAAATTGTGCTTATGGTAGACGCACTCGCACTCATTCAAGAGGTTTCGAGTTCTTGTCAATTCCAAATTACACAATCATGGTAAACGTGCTCGCTCAAGTCGATTATTGTCACTCCCTCCCATTCAGACATGTGTTCCAGGTAAAGGCCTTTGGTTTACCTTACCCTTCTTTTTGTACCCGCCATATGTAGCTTTTGTGATGTATGCTCTTGCTTCCTTTTCATGCCAATGATTCCTTGTGAAAATGTCACGAACGTCTCCTGCCTTCCAACTGGGCCTCACTGTACGTGCTCCTGTGTTATTTTGATTTAGCCATCAGCTCATAGTTGAATGCAGTCTGGTGGTAAACGCTCTCGCCTAATGCGAATATCAACAACTCTTGCTAAAAGGCGTTTTATGGTAAACGCTCCCGCACAATGTGAGTACTAACAGATCTTCGACAAGGGGTATCTCGCTTGTGGTAAACGCTCCCGCCCAATGTAAATATCAACAGTTCTTGCCAAAGGGCGTTTCGTGGTAAACGCTGCCGCCCATTTGAATATCAACAGCTCTTGCCCAAGGGGGTTTCGTGGTAGACGCTCCCGCCCATAATGTGAATATTAACATCTCTTGCCCAAGGGGCATCTCCCTTATGGTAAACGTTCCCGCCCATGTTTGCAGTCAACGGCCTTTACTAAGGGGCGTTTGTAGCAAGCGCTCTCCCCCTTGCCCCACCTCAAATGCAGCGTCGACGAGACTGTGAATGCCATCACAGCCAGGCCTTGGCACTAACCAATCACTTGACCCGCCTGGATTTCTGCCTTTTGCCCACGCGGGTCCCTTTGAAAAATTTACTGATTGCAGCTTGCGGTCTGTGCTTCTTGGAAAGCATTTATTCAGACTCTTCTCCAGACCTGAATATTTCTTTCCCTTTTCCTCTCTCCCCACCCACATCACATTCTGGGCCAAGACATCCTTGGTATCACAATCTTTTGGTGCCTGTGCATCATTCGTCTGATACTGCAATCAGACGGTTTTTACAATCATCTTGTCATCACCTCGTTGACACCGGACAACACCTCCAACGCTACACGAGTTGTCTTGTTTGATCACTAATTTTCACGACAATTTGGTGAACAAGAGGACGTGAATCAAACAAGGTAAGCAATGTTCTTCTCTCTCTCAACTAGGTCATTTTATTTTTTCTTCTATTTCCCTGTCCTTTTCAATTTGGCGTCTTCCGGTGTGAACTCCGGAGCCTTCTGGTCTTACGGCCGGGAGGCCGGAGCTGTCACTTACACAAATCCCGGAGCTCCTGCCGGGTAGCTTCCGGTTTTGCAGCTTCCGGTTTTGCTGGGTCCACCGGAGCTGCCACGCACTCAAGTCCCGGAGCTCCTGCCGCATAACCTCCGACTTTTGCCGAGTCCACCAGAGCTGCTACCTACCCGAGTGGGCCCGGAGGCTCCGGTCCATCCTGTGTCTCTTTCTATTTGCGCATCTAAGCGGTCACTCACCCGGGCCCGCTACTGTTGCCCTGAACCTCCGCATACCTTCGTGCCTCTTCCTTTCCATTTACCGAAGCCTCACCGGCCAACCCCATCATCAAGCAACACCTTGACTCATTCCACCGTACAGATCGTCACTAGTGTACCGAAGCCATCACGAACGCAAGTCAATCTCCTGGCTTATGATCTTTTGGCTTATGCTAACTCTTTTCTTTATTTAGATGGCACCCTTCAAGGAGAAGGAGGATGGCAAGGTCCCCACGGAGGACGACAAGGTCCAGACAGATGATGAGGCCAAGCGTCAGCAGGTATACACTCATTCTTCCCCCAACAAGATGATGAGCGACTGATACTGACATATTTCATAGGAGGAGGAGGAGGAGGAAGAGTCTCTTTTCGTTTCCCAGGATTCTCCTGGCGCTCCTGAGACTGAAGAGGCTGCCAAGGAGACCGTAAGTATCATATTCAGTCTACCACTTCCAGTTCATGGATGATGCTAATCTTGTCCCTAGATCCAGAATGGCCTCAAGCGAGAACACGATGAAGACGAGACCTTGACCCCTGCTGCTAAGAAGTCGAAGACCAATGTTGCCGCCACAGAGACAGACGACAAGAAGAAGAATGTTGTTGAGAAGATGACCGAGGATCAGGCCAAGGCAAGGATCAACCAGTACTCTCGCGTTATCCGAGATGTCCTACTGAAGGACAAGGAGTCCGAGAAGGGCTCTGTCAAGGCTTTGCAAAAGTATGACGGCCATTGGGCCATCAAGGACGGCAACGTCCGTTGGTACTGTGACCACCGAAACAGTGCCAACGTCAAGTGCACCACAGACGTTGGCCCTAAGTTCAAGGATGTCCACAGCCACAACCACAAGATCAAGTCTCATGGAGGAGAGGGCGCCTACAAGAAAAATCAGGACTCTGGTGAGCTCCCTGTCGGCGAGTGTCTGCTCCACGGCATCATGAATTGCGACTCCAACAAGGGAGCCGGTTGGGATAACTTTAATGCGTACCAGAAGCACGTGGAGTCTCACTTTCCGGGTGAGAAGGGCAGAAACCGCCCTACGGAGCTCCAGACAAAGACTGAGTTGCACCGTCAGGCCGCAAAGGCCAAGGAGACTGGAAAGCCCTATTCAGAGACATGGGCCACTTGGGTTCCAGCTGAGGGATCGAAGAGGACTGGAGATCCCGACTTCGATTTTGCTCCCGCTCGCAGAACTCTCCAACTGAGGTACATCTTCTCCCGCCTGAACGGCATCCACGAGCGGGAGCAGCAGATGGCTCAGCAGATGGCCCAGGAGAGTCAGAATCTGGTCCAGGAGCGTCAGGATCTGATCCGTATGCTGCAGAATCTTCATGTGTCTCCTCCTGCTATGCCTCAGGCTCCTGCTATGCCTCAGGCTCCTGCTATGCCTCAGGCTCCTGCTATGCCTCAGGCTCCTGCTATGTTTCAAGCTCCTGAGATGTCTTCGGCTTCTGCTCAGTTTCCGGCCTTGACGATTCGCGCCGGCCAGAACAACCAGCCTCAGGATCATGACGGAAACGGCCAAGGCGAGATAACCATGGCCTCAGGTGCTCGTAACAACACCAACGAGACTCAGGATACGGTTATGACCGATGTCAACGAGAATGATTCGCCCGCCAATGAGGCTGCTCAGAACGATGGCGATGATGAGGCTGCCCCGGTTGACACGTCGGTTGGTAAGTCTAAAGACCCTTGGGATTTTGATGACCCTTGGGGTATCTACAAATAAGTCGCCAACCGACAATGCTCACTACAGAGATGGAAAGACGGCAATGGCTTCTGAAAATCTTTCAAGCCGGCCAGCACTGCAAAAGGACAAGATCAAGAAAGCACACAGCAGATAGAAGACTCGATGTAAACGTGTGAAAAGACAAGGTTACAAACTATTCGTGTTACTATTGCTATTGATTGACGATGAGTTTTGGTGTGTTGGCTCGTGACATGCGACTGCTTGATGAACAGCGTGAATAGGTGTGTGCGGCAGCATCGTCTTCTGGCCGTTGAAGCAAGTAGTGATTGGCCTAAACTCAAACTATCACTGTGCTGCAATTCAACACTCTAGTAGATGATATCTATGCGTACCAAAGCGAGATCAGAATTACTTTTGTTCTACTGTAAGTGCTTCGTGCGTACGGAAACCGGAAATAAATGCAGATAAAGTCCCGAGTAAAGGCTAATTAGCCTAGTAGAGATATATTTGAACGACTCTGAGGTGTTATCTAGTTCCTCACGCTCTATTCGAGACGTCAAGTCTTGAAGAAAGGAAACAATGAAACGCGTGCTCGCTTGCGGACGTACCATACATACACACAAGTACTTTGTACAAGGGCAATGTATCATTGCATCTACAATAATGATGATGCCTGGAAAAAGGGCGAACCGGATTTCCTGCAATAACAGTGCTGAATTGCTTTTCGCGTGTGAGGGCGCCTGCAGTAGCCGCGCATGGCCAAGCCCCGAACCTTTTCATGCGGTACAACGTGGGATGACAACGGGATGAGACCCAGATTTCGCCAGGTTTAGATTCCGTCTGGGCAGGAGGACGTCCAAGTTAATAAGCAAATACGGGTAATCCCAAGCCTGTCTGGGACGAGCCGCGGCCGGACAATCTATCTACAGTAGTAGTTGGGAGTGTATCTCTTGCCCCTCAAAGCTTAATTCTCGTGCGGAATAGTACTCCTCCCTAATCGAACACAGGTTATGTCGGGTTTCCTTTCTCCAGTACCTGTTGGACCAGGCGAACAAATAGTATATATGCATGCAAAATGTATGTACGCATCCCTCTCATTTTCGTGACCTTCCCGAAGCGGCAGTATGTACAAGTATGGGAAGCGGGCCTGTCGATCACTGCCAAAAAAGCAACGTTCCCAAAGTTCATACCCTGGCTCTGTCAGTCAGCAGTCTACTGTGTAGTCTCCCTTCCTCGATCTCGGGACTGCGGCGCAGAAGCTACACCGCCAAGCTGCGGTGCCAAGTAGGTATGGATGTCATCTCGCACGCATGTCTCGCTTTCTACATAGTACTATGCTACTGTAGGTAGATAAGCCAGGAACCCTCAACCCAGCAAACTCAGTAGTCAGCAGCAGCACACGCGAGAGGGGATGGGCAAACAGGATGGATTGGCAGCAGGATTGGGTGGGGACGGGGGCGGCGCAGACAGAACTGGTTCCTTTTTTGGGAAGAGATTTTGTATCTCGCTTACTGCCTACTCTACCTACTCTAGTTGCTCGCTACTGGCGGCGCGGTGGACGGACCCTGCTCTAAAGTTCTTAGGCCTCCTGATCTCATCTGTCACCCCTGACGCCAAGTCTGCGAACTGGCGCCCGCTGCAACCCACGACGCTGACGGTGGAGTCTCCGGGAAGGGCACCATGTCGTTGTTCATGCTAGTGCGGGTAAATTAAACGTGGACCCCAGCGTACGCAACACCTGCGCGAAAAGCATGGCAGTAAACCCGTAGTAGTACAAAGGCGCGAAGACCGCAGCTGTCCAGGGAGATGAAGATGTCCCGGAGATCTCTTGATCGTCTCCATGCTTTTGGCGACGATCTGCAGCGCACCCGTTGCAAGTTGCCTGAGCCCTCGATCGGTCGTTGCCCGCTAGCTTCCGAAAGAGAAGAGACACAGATCGTGCCGGAGCCATGAAGACATCAACCGTTCTGGGCACTTCAGTGCTTGCCCTGGCCGCCCGAGTGCCGGGAGCCTCTGCGCAGAACAGCACCACCAGCGCCGTCCCGACCACTGTCACTGCTACCGCGACCACGGCAGCATGTGCTCTCGTGAGCTCCGCCTGGGCCGCCCAGTCCGCCGCCACGGCCACACCGACTATAGAGGCTTCCGTTGCCTATGACTGTCTCAACAGTGTGCCGCTCGCCAAGGACGCCGCCATCAAGTTCATCGACGAGATCGTTCCTTATCTCGAGTGGCAGTCGGACACGGCCTTCAAGAAGAACCCGCCCGAGGACTACTTCTACCCTGGCTATGACTTCTGGGAGGCGCTATACGAAATCAGAGATGCTCTCGAGGCAGACTCGTACACCAACGAGTACTCGTGGCAGGCCGACTTGTACAAGAATGTCTTTGGCCCGGGCCACGACGGTCACTTTGTCATCTACACGGATCTGCTGACTGCCGCCATCGAATGGGGCCGGCGGTTGGCTCTGGTCTCCATCAGCGAGGACGGCAGCTCCTTGCCAGTCATTAAAGTATATAGCGATGTCATCTCTTCTCCAGACACGGCCTCGGTGGTCACACTCATTAACGGCCTTGACGCCGTCACTTATCTCAGCGACTGGATCTTCCAGGCTTCTAGTAACCAAGATGCCGATTCAGCATACAACTCCATGTTCTGGTCCAAGGCTTACAACCAGAGTGGCGTTGAGGGTTACTTCAAGTCTGGTGGTCGTGTTCGCTACATTTACCCCGAGGCTGAAACCACACTCACTTTTGAAAACGGCACAGAAATCACCATCTCCAACATTGGCCGCATAAAGGGCAACTGGGCCGGTGTCACTGATGGGCCTTCATTCTTTACACGATTCGTCTCGGGTGCCATTGGAGTTACCACGAGCACTGCCACGTCTTCGGCAGCAACCACTACTACTACTTCCACGGTCATTGCCACCACTACTACCACCACCACCGCCTCGGCTACTGCTACTGCTGAGCCTGATGGTGCCGCCTTGCCTGGCTATCCCGGCGATCCCGTCGTCGTCTCTTCCGATTCCATCGTCTCGGGCTATTTCCTCGACGGCGAAGGCTTTGAAGATGTCGGAGTTCTGGTCATGACCTCGTTCTCCCCAGAGGACCCGGCAGAATTCCAGGAAAAGGTCCAGGACTTTTTCGCAGCCGCCGTCGATGCTGGTATCAAGAAGCTCGTCCTCGATGTCCAGACCAACGGCGGAGGCTACATCTTCCAGGGCTACGACACGTTCCGCCAGCTGTTCCCGGACATTGTGCAGAACGGTACCGGCCGCTGGAGGCACTCGGACGGTTTCACCGCCGTAGCCGACGTCTTCTCCGCCGCCTGCGAGGGCTATGACCCCAACACGGCCTCTGAGGACCTCATCTTCACCTGCGAATCCGTCTTCAACTGGCGTTACGACATTGACGTCAATGACGAAAACTTCAAGTCCTTTGACGACAAGTTTGGCCCGCTGACATACAATGGCGACAACTACACCGACGTCATGCAGTGGAACTTTAGCAACCCGCTCGACACCAGCAACACCACCTATGGTATTGGTTACGACGTCACCGGCTACGGCAGCCGCACCAACTTCACCCGCCCCTTTGGTGGCCCCGAGAACATTGTCATCCTACTTGATGGTTACTGTGCCTCGACCTGTACCCTGTTCTCCCAGTTCCTGAAGTGGGATGCTGGCGTCAAGTCCATTGCCATGGGTGGACGTCCCGTTGAGGGCGCCATCCAGGGCGTCGGAGGTGTCAAGGGTTCGCAGTCTTACTCGTACTCCTCCATCTACTCGCAGATCGACTTGGCTCGCGGCCAAACCAATGACACGGACATCCTGGCCGAGTTTGACCGGTACCAGGAGTATCCTCTACAGCGTGGCTCGGCCTTTAGCTTGAACGTCAAGGACGAGATCCTCCCCCAGAACCTTGACGACGGCACGCCGGCACAGTACATTGCCGAGTACGCCGACTGCCGCCTGTACTGGACCGCCGACATGCACACCAACATCACCAACCTGTGGAAGGCTGCCGCCGCCGCCGCCTTCAACGGCGCCCCCTGCGCCTACGGTGGCTTCAACACGAGCGACACGGACCGGACCAGCTCGTACCAGACTCGTCCCAGCTTCACGATCCCCTCGATCGTGCACTCGGTCCTGCCCGTGGTCGAGAGTCTCTTGCCCATCAAGCTCAAGGCCCACGAATTCATTTTGTCGCAGCAACACATGGTTGTTATTGATTAAGATATGTAACACAAGGCATAATGTAATAGGTCTGAAGAAATAGATCAAACCCCTGTAGAAATAATACATGATTTGAAAGGTTTAACTTGTTGCGATTTTGTGCTTGACTCTTGGATTTCTCTTTCCTTGGTTAGATATCTCGCCTTGTCTGTGATATTTTTCGATTTATTGCTGTATAATTTCCACATTCTTTGCGTTCGTAAGGATCACTGACCTCCATCCTATGCAGCCTTGTCCCATGAACAAGGAAGCAGACGGCAATGGAATTCCACATCAATGCTTCAAATGCAAGAAAATATTCTCATCGCTCTGGTTGAATGCCAACAGAATTGATACAGCCCCGTGCACTGGAACGAGGTTTTACTTTGCACAAAAGATGAAATCAGCATACTAGGAAGACCCGTATAAATGTCGTCATTCCATAGCTTGCCCTTGAGAGCGTTGGCCAAGTAGCACTTTCCTCCCGATACGAACCATTACCTGTGACTGGCCGAGGACAGTGTGCCCCTCGACACAGCATGCTAGGGATTGGTTCGTGGGTACATTATGCCCAAAGACTGAGCAGGTTCGTGTCCCTGTCTTTACTTTACATTCATGCATACCGACCCTCTATTTCTCTTCATCAAGCATGTCACTTAGCCAGCTATCCCTATGATTACACTCCTATCATGGCCTCGACTTCTCGTCCTAACTCTTTGGGTTGTGCTGATGACTGCTTCTACAGCTTCCCACCCTCGCGGGTCGCCAGTTATGAAGACAACACCACTCCAAAAGGCTCTGCCAAAGAATGTGACAGAACTCCCAGGTCGACCTGTAGCTTTGATACAGCTCTAGACAAAGATGCCTCGTTGGAGAGTACGAGCCAGCAGCATGAACGCGTATCTGATACGCAACGCTCCTCCAGAGTCAAGTGGACGCTCCCATTTCCGCACCATGAGGAATCATCGACACAACACCACTTCTGTTCCAAGCCAGTACTTGATCGCCTGAGTCGACATCGCCTACCCTCTGGCTTCGATCATCCGACTGATGGTAGCCACGTCCCCGACTTTGCTTCACTACCCGACGAGCCTCTCACCATCGAGCAACTCGTGTCATCCCCAGCTGCCCCTGTAACGACCAAGCACTGGAGCTCTACCAGTATCGGCTCCTCTATGCGAGCCGCCAAATCTCAAAACAGCAGACCAGTGTACTTTGATCCTTCGACGGGGTCAACTCGAGGTGTGGAGGATATCGTGGCCAATATACGAACTTACCTGTCCACTATGCGGCATGATGCCTGTGATGCTTCACCGCGAGAACAGCTAGACTCCATGACATTTGTCGCTCAGGATCAAGACTCTAGACCCAAAAGTACATCGGAGAACTTCTTGGTGTCAACCAATGACATTGCCGGGATCTTGGATATTGTGATTGTTGGTCTGCGACGGCTCCATCGAGAACATTTGCCGTCTGGATGCCTCTCGGTTCTCCTACCATGGGACCACAACAAGAGACCGATAGTGACCAAAGCCGACAGCATCTTCCCCACTGCTTCCTGTCCGGCAGAACCGGCCACGACAATAAGCTCGGTGAAGCCAACAGTCACCCCGGCATTTTCTTCACATTTGCAGAGCATGGCAAACAAGTCAATCAAGGCCACCATCATTACCAAAAGGAGCGTTGCAGAAGTCAGCTAGGAAACCACTCCGGATTGCTCTTTTGGATCAAGCACTACGGACAGCGATTTCTCATCTCGCAGAGTCAGTGTACTCCCAGGCATTTCAATGTGCAGTAGCTGCGGCAGTCGGAATGCATTGATCTCGGGTATGGATAGTCAAGGGCCGCACAGTACTGGGCAGCGATCAGAGCCTATGAGCAGTTGGAACTTTCCGAAACCGCTCAACAAATCCTATCAAGGCCGAACGGGTTGCTGTGAGGGTATAGCCAGTGCACCCAATGAGAGGAACAGTCCTCCCTCTCAGCAAGTCCAGTCGCGTGGTCGTATCAGGAATTGGATGAAAGCCTCTGATGAAAGCAACCAACAAGCTGCGGAGAATTCTGACAACGGGGCACTTTATCGTAATGGTATTGATGCTCACTCTGGACCTCATTCTTTGGTGTACATTTGCGGGGCTACGAGCGGCCGGCCTATGCTCGAGAATGCCAGTACGGCAGGGATGTCAAGGGGCTCTTGGAGCGTCGATGAAGGAGAAACATGCGCTACATCAACATACCCTCATCATCATAGGCGCTGCTCAGAAACAGATGCCATCGACCCACTCCTTCACGAACTTCGGCGATACAGCTTCATGCCTCTGAAAGACCAGACACCCGAATGCTTACGGCGTATGGAACAGCATCAAGAGCCCCTCGATCGTCTGGAGGAACTACAGCTGCGCGACCAGTCAAACACATCCAGCAAGACAACTTTGGAAGATATTCTGGACCGATTCATCTTTACAGGCACACCGTCGAGCCGTACACACGCTGGCACTGGTGGCTACACAGCTTCGAAATGAAGCTCGGAACACAAGTCGAGGTCACTCATCTCAGATAGTAGAGGTGGCTTGAATCGAGAAGTATAGACAAATTGATAGAAGTAAATACCAATTTCTAGAACCAATAACGCCATGTCTCTTGAAAAGCAGTCTTGCCATATTCCCTACTCAATTTTGAGACGACTGGATATACTTTGTCGTCTAGTGAAACCCTTTTCCGTGTCAAAAGGCTTCTCGTCAGCTGTCTTTGCGCCTATTCATGTACAATCTCTACGACCAGCCTTCAATATCATATTTGACTACAACGTCACCCTTGCCTCTTTCAATGGGGTTTCCATGAGCATCCCATAATGCCCTCTCCTTGTATGTGACACGCCCTTCCCAGTCTACCAAGATGACCGTCTGCCTTTGGGTGCCGTATGCGCCAGTCTCAAACATGGCCGGAGCGTCCTCGGCCTCGGCAAGCTCACGACTCTCGTCCTCGATTTCGTGAAAGGCCGGCTTCATCTTGCCGCGAGCGACTGCGGCAGCCATGTCGCGCTCACGCTGCTCATCGGTGATGGCAGGGCAGAAGATGGAGTTCTTGAGCTGATCCACGTATTCCTCGTGGCCGAGGCTGGGGTCCCGGACCGGCATGCGATTAGTGTCGAGGACGCCGAATAGCAGGTCAAAGAGCCGGTCCTCGTCGGCGTCTTCGGCCACGGCCTTCTCAATGGCCTCTTGCGTCAATTGTCGGCCCAGGATGACCTTTGGCCAGGTCGGAGGGTCCTCGTAGGTTGTGTTGCTTAGGCCCCATACCTGGCCCCTCTTGTCGGCAATGTGTGGCACGCCCGAGACGGCGTCGCTGCGGTTCGAGATGACGACAAAGGGGCCAATAGTCTTGTCGTCTCCTTTACCATTGGTCTTGGCCGGTTCGCCGTTTGCCTCTGTGCCGTTGCTCGAGGATGGCTGGGCCTTGAGATCTCCACATATGAGCGAGAAGCCACCGACGCCCTTGAGCAGGCCGCCCTCGAGGGTCCTCTCGACAAAGTGGTCCAGGGTCTCGCCGGCGGGGGCGCCGAGCCAGGCATTGACAATCTCGCCGCGGCTCTTGACGCCGTAGACGGAATTCTGCTCGGCCGGGTCGACGCGCTCGCGGAAGTTTGTCAGGACGGCGACGCGGCCGGTCCGGGTCATGCCCATCCAGGTGCCGCGCGTGGCCCGCAGCAGGTCCCGCGACGACAGCACCACGTTGCCCGAGGGCCGGTGCGTCCAAAAGTGCGGCCGCGATGTCGGGCGCAGTATGTACTCCTCCCGCGAGTCTAGGATTACCAGCGCATACTTGGGGTGCGACGTTGCTAGGAGGCCGATGCACATAATGATTCAGTGAGGTTTGAATACCGCTTCTTTTTCTTCCTTCTTCCTTGTTCCCTTTCTTCGCTGGACCTCGTTTTTGTATGTATCCTCGATTATGCAACCTTTTTATATCCTCACTAGCAGGTCGAGGATGCTTTTTGGAAAGACAATGATAGTACACTTGAGACTCAAAAGGTAAAATTGTTTCAGCGAGAGACTGGGTTTGAATTTGGGTCCGAAACTCGCTTTTCCAATGCTTGCCAGTGTCGTTGCTTTATTCTTTTTTTTCTCTTTGCTCCCCAATGAGGAAAAGGTCTCGTGACACACGAGAAAGGATTTGATGCCAGCGCACTATGTACGTATCTCGGGCCTCAACGAGCAAGCCCGACTTTTCCGGGGGTGTGCGCAGGTGCGGTGCTGTATTTTTGGGTGGTTCCTTGTGTAGCCAAGCGGTGAAGTCCGGGCACTTACAGCCAAAAGATTCAACGAAAACCTCGTTTGATGATGTGGCAGCTCGTGTTTTGAGTAATGTATGCAACGAAGGTGTTCTAGATTTTTCACCAGCGTCCAAAACCCAGATACCACCTATGTTATGGTAAGAGAACAAAATCAATGGCTGTTTTTTTGCTGACCTCGGATTTGGAGAATGTTGATTTGCGGGACTGAGAGTCTCCCAGCGGAACCCGGATATGGCGTCAGACGGCCCCAATTGTATGTAGCTTGGAGCCTTAAGGGACCCCCCAGCCCCAGTTCAGCGCAAGCAGCATCGGCCGTTGTCGGACCTAATCGCCGCCCTGGGCTGAGCCAAGCATTTTGATCTTCGTGGGGGGACCGACACCAACTCAAGCTTGCAGCGGTTTCTTGTTACTAAAGTAGTTGTCAGTATTTAATGTTCTGAACACCCAATTTTCATATGCTTGAGATTCGAAAGCAGCCGGTAGGTGGATTTCAATATCACCTTGATATATAGGTAGTACCCTCTGGAGACAGCACTTATGCACCGACAGGGTTGCCAATTACGGGCCAAAAAGTTGATACAGTTGATTTCTATCTACCTGACCGAAGCAGAGCATCGTTTTGTGCAAGGCTGGTAACACGAGGAGCATACTTGCACGAAACCTTGCATCTTACATTGAACTCTCTTTGATGCGACATAGTATGGCACCCTTTGGGTGACATGACGGGAGGGGTCATCAAGTCTGTTTTCACACATGGATTTTGTAGACGTAGACCATCTTTAATTTCGTTATTTACTTTGGATACTGGTCGTGTCACTCCTCAACCGTTCAGAGCGACCATATCTATAATTGTGCCTATGTATTGTGTGTGCCGACCCTAGTATGTACAACCTGGCGTGATCCATACATATACAGGTGCCAAATTATACCTGAGAGACATCTTGATCACGTAATGTAACCCAGATAGGAAGGGTATCATGTATACATTCATCCAAGTAAATAGAAACCTCGAAAGCAGCAATCATTAAAAGCATATATTCCTCCTCCAACTAGAAGCACCTGTCCATTGAATACAGCTCTCGTTCAAAACACTTTACTCGTACTGATAACAGTAAGGTCCTGACTGAGGATCTTGCACCTCTCCGACAGTGGCCGAGCCTAGACGGCCATAGTCTATGACCGTGTCGTTGACCACATTGGCCGTGGCATTGCCGTTGAAGATGGTGCTGGTGCCAAAATAGACGTATCGGCGATTGACGGGATCAACGGCCTGCCAATCAGTCCAGATCTTGTCGATCATGGAGTGGTGAAGGTAGAACGCGGGATCTTGGGGCGATCCAAAGAAGTCGTAGCTAGTCAATTATTAGAATTTCGAGCTGCTTGTCGACATTTGTCCTGTTGAGAACTTACCCGGTTGCTCCAATCGAGTAGTGACCGCCACCATGGATGCCAGGGCTGTTGTCATCACCGTTGATGACTGACTGGAAGATGGTGATGTTTTCTGAACTCAACACGTAGTCAATGTCGGACTGGTTGCAGTACGTCTGCACTCCATAATTGTTGAGGTCGCGCGTCATGAGGTGAGGGTCAGGGACCGTCCAGTTGGCGGGCAGCCCGCTAAAGACGAGCTCAAAGGGCATCTTTTGGAAGTTGACTGTGTGGTTGGCAAACGGGCCAGATACTATGGGACCGCCACCGGTACCATGGGGCAGGATGGTGCCACCTGGTGTCGAGTAGACCTATAGATACGGTGAGCCACTGCTCCGTGATGCTCGTCCTCACATGGAAAGCACTTACATCGCCAGAATCTGGATCGTAAGCACCATTGCTGCCTAGAAACAATTTGCATTAGCAGGGGCAAGACGATTTTGAAGTACGATCTGCATCGTGATGGTTGGGGGTACTAGATGCCGAGTGCGGAAGGGGAGAAAAAACAATAGCACGAGTAAAAGAGAAAATGGTAGTATCTAGTCAGTCTTACCAAGCGATGTCTCTGAACCATCAAACATTGGACTAGTTTCTAGGTCCGTATACAAGGCCCAGTTCCAATATGGAATTCCCAAGGTTTCGTTGAATCCACACTCATGCAACTCCTTCTCCATGAGGTAGACAAAGTGCCGGTGCCTTTAATCATTCTTGTCAGCCCTCTTGAGAAATCTATCCGTGTGCAACTTGAATCAGGGGTTACCTACCAGCTAAGGAAGACGCCATTGATGTGGATGCCCAGCGTGTTGTTGACGTGAACGGCCGCAAAGTCGTCAAACTTGTTGGTCGTTGCGGGCACCACATCGTTCATGATTGAGGGCTTGGCCATGACGCACTGGACGGCCGCAACGAAGCTGAGCTTCTCGGCGTCGGTCAACTGCCCGTACTCCTTGCGTATGACTGCCGCGTCCGCGCTGCATGTTTCGTCTCGGGTGACACAGAGGCCGTATGCAGGTGTGGCGGCGGCGGCAGCGCCAAGGAGGAGGGCTGTAAGTAGAGAGACCATGTTGGGAAATAGTACAGCCTCTGTTTTTCCTTTTCTCTCTGCTTGTCTGACCGGATTTTCCCAACAGTACGTCGAGGTCAGGGCACAAGTCAAGTCAGCAGCAAGAGATTGATTACAAAAGACAAAAGAAACAAACTCGAGGTCACCTGCCTTTAGAAAAGGATCACTGCAGCTTCGACCATACTGGCATTAGCTCTGGGATGTTTAATATTGAAAGGGGTTCATGTGTGCGTGATATCCTTGACGAATAGGTGGAGGCGTAAGGTGGCGGGTCTATAGCTGGCTTCTATGCTGCTGCGCGCTCCCATGCCTGGGCATTCGCCACGCGCAAACCCCCAGGCTGGACAAGGCTCTATTGTCCTGGGTGTATCGCTATTGGTGTTTGGCCTTTCTGGGATCTCTTTTTGGGTAGAACTAGTCCTTATACACATGTATGAGCCGTTCCTGCATATGCAGGAGATGACCCAAGTTTACCATGGTGGCTTTGTCCGTACGTTTCCTCGGGGCGGGTCCTTCGATAGTAATGCTATAGCAATACTAATGCTATGAGAATTGATGCTTTTATGGTATCGCCGAGAGTAGAGTGAAGAGAATCTCTCAGAAAACTGTTACTCTATCATGTACATGGTCTGGTCGATATTTACATGGGCATCTAGACCTCACATCGTCAACAAAGCTGGGGGTACGCGATTGTTGAACGAAGCAGACATGGGTTCTATCGAGCCTGGAAACAATACCAGGTCACAGAGGGGAGATTCATTCAAGGTAGAAATGCGAAAGTCGAGCCCATGAAAGGGCTAGTACCATTGTAACAGGAGAATTATCCTTGCCGTTACCCCCGCTTCCTGGGATCGCAGGCAATGTTCTTGTATGGTTACCTTGCTTATTGCAATGCTTATGTACATTTCGAGTTACTAGTGTCGTCCACCGTCACTGTGGTATTCTACGCCACGGCATCAGGCTTTCCACTGCAGCTTTTGGTTGGAGTATACTGATCGCAATAGTCTATCGGAACAGATTACCGACAACTATTGATTTCGAAGGGAAGACTTTCAAGAAAAATATCCTGTGTGACATTCTCACGTCTAACCTGCAGGTGGGCTTGTTGGTACATGGCGATCGACTCGGGAGATTTCCAAGCCCACCACCCACCATTCCAGCCACATTGGTTCCGGGTGGAACGGGAAGTGGGTGTCAGGGTCCGGGCACTGAGCTTCTTTTCCAGCAGCTCGTCCGCTATGAAATGGTGGATCCCTAGATGATCGGAAAGATCCCTGAAACCCGATGCGTAGTCGACCTGTCCCAGAGTTGTTCGAGCGGATTCCAGAATGCAAAGTTCCTTGCCCTATTGCTGAGACATGGGATGGATAGAGGACGTGTTTGTTGCTTCTGTGCAAAATTACTCGACCTGTGCACTGTTTGATGCTTACTACTTTCAAATGAGTGCGTACTGTGAAGATGGGCTTGACGGGTTGCTGGCTCAACTCAATAGTCGGCACACTCCGGATCGTCTCACTCTAGAATTGTAATCTATGAAGCCCTGTCCTTGTCGCATTTCTTTTTAGTGGCACAGATCTGGTGACAGGACCCCACTGTTGATCACACTCGGCCTCGGTGTTGAAATGCTTTTTACCCTCCTGCACCGTTTTCTTTCACAATAAATTAACAATTCGCAAGCCGATGAGGTGGCATTTTGGTGACAGTTACGGAAATCATCTCGCCATTCCCAAGAAGAACCTAAATGTACTTGAATATCCACGTCTCGATACCGAATTTGTTCGCAATGCGCAATTTGCGGCACAGCATCAACATGAGCATACACTCCACTGGATAGCGGCATTTCCGAGTGTCCGCGGAATTCTGCCGGATGGGCCACTGTTACGGCGCAGGTGCAACCTTCTTGTATGCAAATCTTGGCATCTTCAGTATTCCGATGCTTGATCCGCGTTCGACTTCCCCGATCTTGCTTCTCTCTTTCGGTTTTCAAGTAGTATTCGACTTCCCCTCACTGCGCTATGATCTTCAAGGTGACATTCAGAATAAACAAGACTCCATGATCTGAATTACCATTTACCGAGTTTCTGTTTGATTGGTATAGATAGTCTAGCCCCGATTCTGAGCGTTTTCAATGTATCGCCCACAAGCCTAACATGGTCACTTTAAGAGAGCCTCTCTGTCAAAGATATTTTATCAACAACTCGTGCCATACTACAGCGCGAATCTCACGGCATCGTGTGGAGGAAATTCCACACAGAATCTTGACATGCTATGGACACATTGTAAAACCCAACCCAACGGCTTCTCCGGCGGGTGACCAATCGCATGTCCATGTCGACTTGTAGCGATGACAATGTCCTGTCCTATGGCATGGAACGAATGCCACACACACTAGCGCAACGGGGTTTGAGTAAGGGTAGCCTTGCATCGTCACATCTGGTTGTATTTTATGCAGTGACTGATGTTCTTTGCTGTTTTATGTACACAGCAAAAGTACTCCAATCATTGCAACAATGTCAAGTTCGTCAGTCGTTCTGATCTCCAGAAATGGGTGTCACGTCCGGGAAAAAAGAAAGCAACAAGTGCAGTGTCAGACGATCCTCCTGTCCATCAATAACACATGGAATTCATAGACTGCATGACGCTCGCAAGAGCATTATTCATGCCAAACAATCGTGTGTTTGACCTGTTCTCAGTCATTGAGATGCACGATCGAGGACTCATGGGGAATTAATGTCTTGTGGACGGGGTAGTTACAGTCCCTGCATACATCATAGATATTGACGGTTAAATGACCACAGCAGCCACGCCGACTCTGCCTCTCGCTAGGCGGGAATCCCTGCATCCTATACTCTGCAGCAGAACGTGGGAAAAGAAGTCGTTTGCAAGCCACCAGACCAGCCAGCCGACCATGCCAAAGAGTCCCCGTGCGTTTTTCCATGCAAGTATGCGGCACATCCGCCGGACGAGCATCCGGGGCAACTTTGTGCAACAATTACCAGCTACGGCAGCGTGCATATCGGAGAAATTGGCTCGCTGCAATGAGAGCACTGATTGTGGAGATCGTCTATTCCTTTGCCCTCCTCGTCAACGACAACAAAGACGATCTTTGCACATTTCTTGTGTCTTGACCTTGAACCTGAACCTCGGGGCCTCTCTGATCGACTTTGATTTGTTCACGAGGTTGCCATTGAGGGAAAAAAAAAAAAAAAAAGGGACTTGAGCTTTATGTCGTAGCAAAGGTACACCGGTGCTAGAGCCTCGTCTGGTCTCCTTCGCGAACATACTAGACACCTTCAGAAAGGTTCCATGCTCGGCTCAACTCGATAAACTAAATTGCGGCCCGTAGCTATGTACATAGTAGCTATTTCAAAGAAGTGGTGTGTGACATACGCCAAACTCGAAGCCAGGGATCCGCTCTTACATCCCCGGAGGTTCGCTTCGAAACTCTATTGTCCTTGCTTTCCTCTTCTTGCGCATTGCGATACGTAGTCTTTTTTGACCCCAGCATCGATTCCTCTGCAGAAATATTTTCCTGGTTTTTCTCTTGCTGCCAGCAATGTGTGCTTACCACCCTTCATGGCGCGAGAGCCGTTGCCCCTGGAGTTTCTTCGCATGTATGTCCTCCCCGACGGTACAGATCCCCTCGTTAGAGTTACACCAAGAGGAACTTGACATGACCCGACTTGCATCTGGCCTTTCAAAACCCCAAAGCATTGTCTGACAGGATCTAGCGTATATTCATACGGGACCTGCCAAATCGTTTCTGTTGGTCACTGGTATATTATTCCCTCTAGATCCTGTCGAGTTCCCATGCCAATATCCACAACCTTAAACTTGAACTTGGCCCCATTGATGTGTTGATCACTTCTGCTTCGAGGTACTACTATAGGGCGCTCTGCCCACATCCTGATCTTCCGATACCTGCTCTATCTACTTGTGTCCGTCTTTACTAGCCCCAAGGCAACGGTTATTATGAGCAGTACGGTGCCTGACCGTGGCATTGAAACTCTTGGAGTTATCTGGAGCTTGACAGGAGCGTCGGGAATTGTACTTGGTCTTCGTATCTATTGCAAGTTCTCCAGGCATCGAGGCCTATGGTGGGATGACTATATGTTGATCTTGGCTTGGGTACGAGCACTTTACACTTCATCATATGTTTCTTGGGTTATTCCATCTACTGACAGAAGAACTGATAAAGCTGTGCCTTGTTGCGCCGACCGCCGTCACGACCCGGGAAATCAACCTTGGCTTTGGCCGACATGTGGGCGACATTGCACCAGAGAACCTCGGAGAGCTGGGCTTCCTTGGACAACTCACTGCCTTCTTCTCGATTCTAGGCGCCCTCTGGAGCAAGACTTCATTCGCCATCACCATGCTACGGATCACCAACGGATGGGCAAAATATGCGGTCTGGTCATTCATGATTTCGTCAAACGTCTTCATGCTGATATCGGCTGTGTTTACATGGACGTGGTGCACACCTGTACAGAAGATTTGGCTGATGGACCTAATGCCGGGAACCTGCTGGGATCATGCTGTCGTTGTTCGATACAATACATTTTCAGGCGCGTGGTCGGGCGTGATGGACATATTTTTGGCTTTGCTGCCTTGGACGATCATTCCCAAACTCCAGATGCGAACGAGGGAGAAGCTTGGTGTTGCTATCGCCATGAGTATGGGTGTATTGTGAGTGCTCGAAACCTCTACCGATGTGACCAACCCACCTTTCTAATTCATCTGTCTTTGATTAGTGCCGGCATCACGGGCTTCGTCAAATGTGTCAAGATTCAGGCTTTGGCCAGTGGGGATTTTACTTGCAAGTCACTATATACATATACATGGACTGTGGCCTACAACAAATACTAACCTCTACCCAGGGGACGGCGTTGACCTCGTCGAATGGGGTGCTGCCGAGACTGCCGTCACCGTGATTGCTACCTCGATACCCATCTTACGCGCTTTGTTCAGCGAGCTCCGCTCCACGGCGCGCTCCAACAGCAAAGGCACGGGCAAAGATGCCATGCCTGGTAGTCAGAGTCGTCTGTCGCGCATGTCCAAGACCCCGGCCACCGTGGTGAGCTCGCGGCCGCGACCAATGTCTCAGCAGGAGCTCAATGAGGAGGACTCGGATAGCGATAGAAGCATCTGGCCCGGCGGCAAGCCTTACATTATGAAGACGGACGAGATCACGCTGACCTATGACGACCGGCGCCGGTATGAGGAGCGCGGATACGAGATGGGCCATATTGGGAGGGGCACTCAGTCGTCAAACTGTTAGACTCGGGTAGGATTCGGAGAGGTTAAAAAGTTATGCACAAGCATTGTGATTTCATAGTCTTTGTGGTTGTAGTAGAGACTTGCCTAGAGATACCAATGTCTATATACAACATCTAGAAACATACTTCAAGACAGGGCATTGCCAAGGTACCCAGGGCATGATGGTCTGACCATAATACAGAAATGGTCCCATTGTTATCCGGGTACCTTTTTATAGTGACTGGGATCACGGGCTTTGGATTGTTATAATAAATGAGCAAAAGTCTTCGTACTGGCCTAGCTTACATGGTGAATTTGCGGCGTTTCGCTACGGCCTTTTCCTTTTCCTTCTAATTGTCTTCCTTATAAAGTATTGAAGAGGAGAAAAGGAAACCCGGTCATGTACGGAGACTTTTGCTTGTCTGGTTAAGCACTGTAACGCCATTTTGGCACCGAAGACCGAGGTGGCCCCGCGTATAGTGTGACAGGTAACCTTAGCCAGACCAAGACGAACTATAATGTCACTGATAAAGGTTGCTATTGTCAGTCAACAGAATGGTGCACCTGTTCCGAGAGTGGAGAGATGGTAGAAAGGATCAATCGCCCTGTGACCAAGTTCTATGGTCATCAGGTTCGATAGGTATAACCAGGCTGATATAGAATCCAATCAGCACTATAGAACTAAACGGCTCCATTTTCTGACACCGGGTACCTGATCCGACCCAGGGCACCCCCATGTCCATTTGAAGCACTAACCTAGCAGTGAGCAGCCACCTGCCACTAAATGTCCGTACCATGTACATAGTACTCAAAAAGCGCACCCGATGAGCCGGAACATTGGTCGCAGGTCGGCCAGAACCACCCGAATGAGCTTAACCTCCGCCAACCACCACTCTAAGCGACACAAAGGGATAACAGAGATGATGTGACTGCCCCTCTCTTTTGGTATCTTCATATAGGACGAAAGGTGATGAGAGAAGAAGCGACGGGAGAGGCTTGTTCGCCGGTCTTCCTGGATATTCCCGCCCCAGAAGCAATTAATATCACTAGGGCTACAGTGAAAACCCGCATTTGGCTCTTGACCCTGGATCATGATACGATGTTGACGACGCTTCTGAGACATCAGTAGAGATGGAGCATCATTTGCACACGGCCGATGCCTGGCGCTGACCACTGTCTTGAGCAAATATAGACTAAGCGGCCGGGTACCAGTTTCTATTGCGACGATACGCCTGTCCATTGACAGAACACCCCTTTCTTTCTTAGACTTGCACGCAATCCGACTCGCTTATGGGCTATCTGAGAAGGGCCCTTACTTGTGAGATCATCTAGCGAGAAGACTGTACCCAAAGATAAGACGGTGTTCGTGTGTAATGATCCGCTTAGATGTCTTCAAATCATAAAACGCATAATCAAGCGATTTGGTGTTGTTTTTCAAGAAATGTCACCTTGGAGTACCTACATAAGGCGCGTGTCGAGATTAAGTACGCATGACTGATACGCGGCTTGCCCTCCCTTGCGATAAATAGAATAATTGCATATGGTCTTGTTTTGAGGTGATGAGACTCGAAATAGAACAAATACTCCGACCAAGCAGCCTGCAAGATGTGTTTCTAATTGATCATACGCCAATTGTCTATACAATCACATTATACACACAAAATACTGTGCTCATCGCCCAAAGTTCCCCAATGGAACTGTCGTATCGCCCGTGAGTGTGTATCAAAACTTCGACAAGGGGCTTTGTCATCTACTGATGACGCTGATATCATGACAATTCGCTTGATGACCAACAACTTGCGACGTGCCAATGGGTATTGGGGCACTCTTCCAACCATTGAAAACAATTCTCTTGGCCAACTTCCCTTGGCATGCGAATCATGACAAACTTCTATCACAGCCATCAACTTCATATTCCCAAAATAGTGCATCACTTGAAATATATCATTGATTAGTGATGCAGCACATGCTTAAAACGTACCACGATGCATTGGAAACTGCCATATTCGTCCAACAACAACGTCTTTCGTTTATGCGCGATATGTATGTCAGATAAATCAATCAGTCAAATGACCTGAAATAGAGGGGTTCGCACCTGCAGTGCACCGGGTGGCTCAATTGATCCTCCATATCGTGCAGCCTGATTGGCTGTCATCCAACTCCCGTGAACATCTCTGCATGAGCCAAGCTTTCCTATACTCATATCTGAAGGATTACCGATGATATGATTTCAGCCGCCTAGATGAGGGGCAACGTCAAGTTTGCGAATTTCAATGAGATATCGCCAAAGAACCTTCCAACGGTTATGTTGAATCACTTTGAAGACTGTGCTGAAGCTGAATTCCTCATGCACGAGCCCATGTATTGAACATCTATATAAACACATAACTGAGCAGCAGTTTCAATGACACAGATCTACAATAAAATAACTAGACTTATATCGGTACTGCTTCACAATCTCTCCACTGCCGAAACGTCATCACAATAGACCGACGAAATGGCCAAAAGAATACCCCCGCAATCACCCTTCAAGGTGCCCAAACGTGATGACATTTTTCCAATGATGGATGTACGTAATCATTATCTCAACTTCAAGTGCAATTTCTGATTTGGAGACAGGCTCTGATTGCCGAGTACGATAACATCATAGACACCATCGTCCGCACGAATACCGCCGAGAGCGCGACATTTGAGACCGTCCTGCGCCCATGGCTACATGTAGACAATGAAACACAGGCTCCGCTAGGCATGATTGCAAACTTGCAGTACTGCAGTCCAAGTCTCGAGACGCAAGACACAGTCCGAGATGCTCTCAAGCGGTATAATCAGGCCGTGGCAAATTGGAGCAGACGAGAGGATTATTTTGTGCTGTTACAAGCAGCGCTGGAGAGAGAGCAAGACGATCCACATCTGGGTCAAGAGGCCAGGTTTATACTCGAACAGAAAGTCAAGGACTACAAGCAATGCGGCTACGGGATCCTGAGCCAGAGTGGTATAGAGGACTACCTAAAAGGTCGACTGGAGGTCGTGGATCTTTGCAGCGAGTACAAACGAAACGTGGCCCAGGAGTCCAGCGGCATATGGTTTTCCGAGAAGGAGCTGGACGGTGTGCCCTCCGACGAGCTGGCGAAATGGAAGACCGACGACAGCACGCCAGATCAGCACAAGAAGTTCGTGCCGTTTGCCAACGGGGGCGCCCAGACGGTACTCAGGTACGCCCATGAACCGGAGGTCCGTCGCAAAATGTACATTGAAAACGACAAGAAACTCTTGCACAATGAGCCGATACTCCTGGACATTATGCGCAGACGCCGTTCCCAAGCCAACAAGCTGAAGCTGCCAAACCATGCGGCATATCGCGCTCCCAATCGTGCAGTCAGGTCAGCTGAGTGGATTAACAGGTTCTTGGACGACCTCAAGCCTCAGCTAATTCCAATTGTCGAAAAGGAAGTAGCTGAAATACAGGCCGTTCGCCTCGATGATCGCATACGACGCGGCCTGTTACAGGATGGAGACGAAAAGTCATTTCCTAGCTGGGAACAGTCATACTATCATACAATGATGCAAAAGACCTTGCAAGTTGACGAAGTCTTAATATCCGAGTTCTTCCCTTTGGAACACGTCATGGACGCCATGCTCGGACTGTTCACGTCCTTTCTCGGCCTACGCTTTGATCGGGTCTCCGATAGCGAGCTCAACCCCAATGTCAAGTGGCACGAAAGCGTCGAGATCTTTGCCGTGTGGGACGGGCCGGCCCAGGACGAAGCCGCGGGGTTCATTGGCTACCTCTACATGGACCTACTGTACCGTGAGCACAAGTACCGCGGCAACCAAAACGTCAACCTCGAGTGCGGGTATACGAAGGCCGATGGGACTCGAAAGTACCCCTCGACCATCCTGTCGTGTGCCCTGCCGACGCCGGCTCCGGGTACCTGCAAGCTGCTCAAACACCGCGAGGTCGCCACTATTTTCCATGAACTCGGGCATGCCATCCACGACCTTCTCTCCAAGACGGAGTTTGTCATGTTTCACGGGTCCAACAGATTACCGGTGGATGCTGGCGAGATGCCAAGCAGTAAGTTATTTTCTCCTTTCCTATCCAACATGGGTTCTCTATACAACACAATAATGTGCTTACTTGTGCCTTAGTGTTCTTGGAGAACTTTGTCTGGCTCGAAGATGTTCTGGCCAAGCTCAGCCGCCATTACACCACGCTTGATGCGAAGTACCTCGAGCAATGGCGCAAGGACAACCCAGGAAAACCCGACCCTCCCAGATCGATCCCAGCAGAGTTTGTGCAGGCGCTCTCTCGGAGCCGCTATTTGAATGAGGCACAGTTCTATTGTCATCAGCTGTGAGTGATTTTCTTAGCCCGAGTGGCGTGTCTCAAAGCCATGGCGCAAGCTCCACGTGAACTGGACCGAAACATCCCGGCTGGGCGGGGGAAGAAAAAAAGCAACTCGTTGCCCAGCACTATTTACATTGACATGTTGCTTGGCATGTTAAAGGTTGAATAAGGCTGATTCAGAGTTTTATAGGACGGTATCCTTGTTCGACATGAAATTACACAGCATGGCTTCGCCCGAGGAGGCCGAATTGCTTGACGCGAGGAAGCTGTGGTACGGCTACCGAGAAGAACTCGAGGCAAAGAGCTTCGAGGACGTCAAAGGGGGCGGATCCGACTATACAACCTTTGCGCACCTCGTTTCTGGGTATGATGTCGGCTACTATGGATATTTGGTGTGAGTAGAGCCAACCGATGGCTGTTTCCTTTCCTTCCTTTTTTTCTTCTCCCTCTTTATTTGCAATTTCCTGAAACCAGTCAACTGACGCGACGTCAGCTGCGAGGCCTTTGCGCAAGATATCTGGCATTCCCAGTTTGCAAAGAATCCGTGGGATCGCGACACGTGGAATCGCTACCGTCGGAAATTCTTGGAGTACGGCGGTGCCCATCCAGATAAGCTCAAGATGTTGGAAGACTTTCTAGGTCGAAAGCCAAATGTTGGTGCTTTAGTTGAATCATTGGTGCAAGGCGCTCCAAACTAAGCCTCTTATCGATGATCTCAAAGGAGACGATCCAAAAGCGTATGATTCATGGTCCAATAGGTTTCCTACTCAGAATTGCAGAACTAAGATGTTGGACATAATATGATTAGAAACTACGAATAACTATGCTTTCTATAAATTGTAAATGCAATCATGTGCTAATCGAAAACTATGCCGTCATTATGAAAAATCAATCACAATATGCAAAACGATTAGCTGCAAAGACCGTAAGCGGACTGGCATCCGGTGCCACAGTACTCGGAGGTGGTACCACTGTATAAGGGTCAGCTTCCTATTTCGAATAATTCTTGTTCATAGCTCAATACTTACCACCATCCCCACTGCGAGCAGCACTGTGAGTTCTGGCAGACATATCCACTGTTCGAAGCTCCGCAAGTATCGTCCGGGCTGGGACCGCCGGTGGCCGGGGGTGTGGTATCGCCTCCGCCGCTGCCGGTGCCGGTCTTGTACCAGTTGGCAGCGGCATCGCCCAAGCACGTTCCAACGGTGACGGCTGTGATTAGGGAAATTAGTATCCCATTAAAGAAAACAAGTAGACGGTATTTTGACTCACAAGTGAGACCCTTGGCCTTGATATCGTTGATGGCTTCCTGGACCAGCACATGCACGGTCTGTGCGTGAACATCGTGCATCAGGCTGATGGTGCCGCCAGCGGCGAGTCCGTTTTCAAAGTTGGTCGCTGCAACACCAATGGTGTCATCGTCATGCTCATAGTCAAGAGTATCAATGTTGGCACTGAGTGGTATGTTAGTCTGGACAGTCTCAACGAAGGTCATGAGTGTAATAGGATATGTAAGCTGATCAATGAGCCAGGAGCACATACTTGATGACGTGGTATCCGAGACTGCCGAGGGTTGAGAGGGCAAGATCGTTTGTGCTAAAGTAAGGAGGACGCATGTAGGTTGGAGCCTTGCCAAGGATGGTATACAAAGCATCCTCAAGCTGTGTCATTTGCGAAGTGATGCCGGCGGCATCGAGGGTTGCCAGATCAGCATGTGCCCATGTGTGTGAGCCGACTTGGTGTCCCTCCGCGTCCATCCTCACAACCTGAGCAGTATAATCACTACAAGACGTTGTCATTAGAAGAAGGTACCTATGCAAGAACATGAGTAGGACCTACTAGATAGAACCCCAGTTCTGTCCGTTGAGGAAGAATGTAGCCTTGACACCATTGCTAGAAAGCAGGTCTAGCAGCTCAGCCGTGTAGGCGAATGGACCGTCGTCAAAGGTCAAGGCAAAGGTCCCGGGTACAGTACAGGCCGTGATGATGGTACCGACGGGAATGGAAGACTGCCGCTCTTGGACGACTTGACTCACGGGCGAGGCGGCAGCGCCAGCCAGGAACGCGGCGAATAGGGGAGCAAGCATGGCGGGAATGGCGTTAAACTTAAAAAAGAAGAGTAGATATATGAGATTATTCGAGTATATACTACTGGCTGCCTGTGCTCTCTGGCTGTTGCGTAGGCCAATTATTGAGGCGTGTGTCTGCAACTCAAAAAAAGAGAAAAATAAAACAGTCATCCAGAAAGAGATGTCACGACATATTTATAACAGCAGTCCAAGATATCGAGTGCAGTTGCGGAAATGAGCTTGGGTAACAAACCATCAATGCCCAGCCTCTTAGGCTGGAGCTGATCGTCTCTGTGGGCTTGCCGAGCGCCACATACAACATAGTACGTGCAAGGTTGTGTGCATCATACCTGGTGTTGTAGCTAACATGGTCGATCTTCTGTAGGTTAGAGCATGACATGTTCTGTAGGCAGGGTGCTTGGTGCAGTGGCCTGACTGTAATGTACATTAGCCAGGCAGAGCCGGACACGAGGAACCCCCCGTAGAAAAGACCCTTGGATCATGAGTGAGCAGCCAGCCAGCGGGGGTTGGTCATCTTGTCTGGAAGGCTTGTGTCTGCTTGTCTTGCAGCGCATCACGGCACAACAGACGCATGGCATTTAGGGGAGAATAAACGGCCCTGTTGACTTGTGCTCAGAAGCCATGTAGCCAAGCAGGGCGCCGTTGCCTCAACAGGCAATACCAGCGCGCGTGCGCCAAGGGAAGCCATATGTCGTGTTAGGTGAGCGAGTCTTGGCTTTCTTGGCGGGCTCTGTGTTGCTCGGCCGGGGTGTTGCGAGATGCAGGCAGAGAGAGCTCTTGCTTGCAAGGCAATGACGGGATCCCCTTCTCTCTTGTCATGGCGACAACAGTGGTTGGATGCTCTCAGCTTTGATGACCACGCAGTAGATGGCTTGCAGTCGGTGGCGCTCTTCATGAACTGGCATTGGCCCAAAGCTCTCAAGGATGCATCATATTTTGGGGCTCTCATAGGTGGTTGTCTCATCAAACTCAATCTGCTGTGTCTCGTGGATTTTCCCCCGCATAGTCTTGAACTCTCATCTTAATTTATTCTGTTATTATGCATCCCCCGTTGTTGACCGGAGCAACGACTTGACTGCAACCTCTTTCTTTTTATTTTAGAATTCTTCCAGCCTCGCGATATGGAAAGCCAATTGACCCAATAGTTTTCATCATTGAATCAATTCTTCTTTTTCTTCCTTGATTAAAAATGTCAGACTTGAAATCGGCCACACGTTTATCACCTTTTCTTTTACCCCGCAACCATGACCACATTTTATTTACATGGGTCTCGCTGCACTTAAGCTTATCTGCGGCACACACGGCGCCGAAAGAAAGCTCGAAGAAGAAAAAAAAAGCAAAGGCCCATCTGATATCCACCATCCAAGACTTTCCATCCCTGCAATGCCCAAGGCTGCATACCATCCCATGTAAGGGCGGCTCAGGTAAACGGAGACGAATGAGATGAGCTCGCGGACAAGACAGTAGCTTCGGGAACTTCACTCCCACCAGCTTCCGACAGATGCGAGCCCGAGCGCTTTCGTCGCGATCGGTATAGTCATGTCATACTACATGGTTAAATCCTCCATTCCACCCCCATATCAGCGATGCGAGCCCGGCTGCGGGGGAGGGCGGTAAGCGTTGGTCTTGCCGCTGTATGGACAAGTCACAGAACTGGATGTAAGCCTACCGTCAGCCACTGTGCGGCTGAGGCATCGTGATCAGTCGATCATGCCTTGAAATCCTGGTTAGAAACACACGTTACTCTTTCTTTCTTGCATCAATATTGACTAGCAGAAAGCAAAAGCTCGTAAAAATCGTGACACCAAACCCGCTGCCCAGAAGTACCCGACAGCTAGCCAGGTATGTAGGTTGAGAGCGAACGGTGAGGTTTGGAATAGATTCGGTTTACTGATCTCAATAGGAGATAGAAGGATCCATTTGGCTCAGTGGGGCAAGCGGGCCTTACAATACGTCACTTATAGGCTATAGGTTGAACACGAGGCTCGCCAAGTTTATACTATACCCCAAATGCGATCCGGAAATATGAGCCAAGAGACCAAGCAAACTGCTGCTGCAGGGCCTACCACTAACTAGTCTCCCGGCGTTAGCGATGCCCGGCTTCGGTGTCCGAGCGGCCATCGCAGCAAGGCGCGAGTCTGCTGCCTTTGATGCGCGATGCATTTTTTCTACTTCTTTGTTCATAGGACTTCAACTTTCAAGTTTGAGTCAACGTCCGTGTACTCCTTCTTTCTTGGCCGTCATGTGTTTCTCTGGCGAATTATACAATCAAGCTAAAACTCCACGCCTCGTAAGCGCATACGCGAGATAACAACCTTGCTTGGGACGTCATTCACCAGCTCGAAATCACGTGAATATCTGACCAACAACAAGATGGCTTACGTATGATTATACCTTGAATATCATCTACCTGAAGATGTGGCACAAGGTGAAGATGATCACGGAAATTTTAGATGCACACTCAACATTTCACGTCAGTCAGGCTTAGCCCGCTCTCATGCGCTGCTCTAACAGCATAGGCTATGCACGAGAACGACGTACAAGCAAGAACTCATGCCTCTTTAAATGTGATTGTCAGAAATTAGAGGCTTGAATGACGGTGTTCGGTCGAGAGTTTCTTTGCCCGCTATCAATCCGGTGTTCTGAGCTCAGCCACATCCAGGCCACCATTGAACCGTCTTCTCAATGCCATAATCGCTACGACAGTAGCCTATGGACGCTCAAATGAGATTGAACATTGAGAAAGGCGCGTGCTCGAAGGTACCAATGCCTTCAGTCTTGCCGGTCACATGGAGAAAATTGTGCTGTGACTTTCATGCGAAATGATGCTTCTCTCAACGTCAGGACAGATCCATGCCAATGGAGAAAACTAAAACTTGCTATGGCTGGATGGTTGGTGTCATGCCCTCGAATGGTTTGAGTGCAAGAGACATGATGAATCACAGGGATAAGAAAGCCTGCCGCTACCTGGTAGTAGTAGTCAATGCCAATATGGCGACGAAGGCATGCGACAATTCCCTTCATACCCCCAGTTTGTGAACCTGATGCCATCGAGTTTTCTACTCTATTGAAATACGAGGCTAAAAGACGTTGATCTTCCACACAAACAGTATCAATACACAGCTCAACCATGTGCCCATTTGAGACGAGGATGCAGATGATTTCGCAACAAAGCTGGTCACATCCAACGCAGTCGAGTGTGATTCTGCGGAGCTACCAACTGTTGGTGACTTGCCGCTAGTGGTAGACACTTCCGAGCTCTGCTCGCTGATCTGTGAAATCGCCTGTGTTGATGTCGGCTGAGGTGTGATGAAAGCACCAGGTGATTGTGTAGCATCTGTTGTAGCCTTGTCCGTGTCTAGGCTTGAAGTCGGCACCTCGACACCCATGATGGAGGCATACTGCGCAGCTACTTCGTTCGGGAAGACTGGTAAATCTGTTTCTTCCCAGAGCACCGCCAACTGGTCATGTTCAATGTTGAGATTTGATAGCGTCGTGAAGACGTCGGCGGTGGATATATTAGGGTCAAGTAGAAATCCCATGGGAGTCGTCACGCTCGATGTGCACAGATACTGTGTGTCCAGCTGCGAGAAGCCACTGTGTCTCGGATTAGCAGTTGTGTCGTCCGACATTTTGTCTCTCCTGGCACGGACCTCTCGCAACAAGCACCTGTCCAGATCGTCCTCGCCCCATCAATATTAGAGCTTGATGCGGCTATTGTCATGCCGGACGGGCATACGCCGGGACTGAAAGTCGGGTAGGTATTGGTGTACTGAGGCGGATTGCAGGTGCTGAAGGACGGGTCAATCCAACCGCTGCTAGGTGTATTTGTGCTCGGAGCACCACCCAGCGGCGTCGGAGTGCCGATGAAGACGGCATACCGACCAGAACAGAACGGAGGCGGGGTGAAGACGGCTGTCAGAGCGGCAAAAGTTGATGATGCCATCGACATAACTGGGAGTATTGTGTACCAATTTTTTATTTTTTTATTTTTATTTGTAGGTAAGGATGATGCATGCTGTAGCGTAGAGATTGACTAGACGCGACGGAAGCCACGAGCTATATGTGCGACTCCCTTACGAAAGAGGGCAGGATCTTAGCCCTTGTTTCACAGAGTATCGCGGATACTTGGTTACCCAGTAATTACGCCATTTTTGAATCAAACTTGGCCCGGGTACTACGACAAGGCCATATTCGATATGGCATTTCTGATTGCGCATACCGACTCAAGAAATGCCATCACAGCTTGCCGTTGTTCCGGATGCGCGTGTATTCATAGTGCCACCCTTCAGTTCGCATGTCCTCCCGCACCTTGTAGTTGGACTCGCCAATCTTAAGAATGTTCATGTCCAGGTCTACCAGTTTCATTCCTTCTGCCCTTCCCATGCGGGTGATGGCGCCCACGTGTGGTGCGGCAACCTGGCTCAGCCCTGCGTAGTTGGTCTTTTCGCCCTTCTCTGCCGGACCGCCTGCGTTCACAAATACTACGGCGCAGGTATTCTCAAATGCCCTTGTCACGACCGTACTGTTGAGAAAGAGGCCCTCTCCTTCTGGATTTAGCTCGTAGGCCTCATCGCTCACATCCTTCATTGTCCAAAAGGAGGGCACCACAATGAGATCAGCGCCGTCTGAAATGAGCTCCCGGAAGCCCTCGGGAAACGCAAGATCCCAGCACACCAGCATGCCAACACGACCCAGAGGCGTGTCGAAGGCGGTATGCGGCTCGTGGGCTGAGGAGACGAGATGGTGGCGCTCAGGGTGCCATAGGTTCTTCTTTTGATACCGCCCAGCAATGCTTCCGTCTGAAGAAATGAAGTAGGCGACATTCAAGAGTGACTCATCTCCGCCTTCCGTAACAGCCTCCACAATGGTGCCGGGTACGATGCAAATCCTCTGCTCCTTGGCCAATTCCTGATACTTGGACAGGTACGCCATCGCTTCGATGCACGACTGCTTGAAGTTTGGGTCATCTGGCACCCACGAGGTGAGATGGTACTCTGGAAGCACTGCTAGCTGTGCTCCCTGAGACGCGGCATCTTTGATAAAGGATGCGGCCTTGGCGAAGTTCTCTGCCGGCGCGACGGCCTATTTCATGTGTCCATCAGCCCATATTGTTCGACAATGAAATCAATACCAAGTTTGTTTCTCCAGAAGTAGGTCAACATATCATCTTCTATTTACATTGTGCATGGTGTCTAGGATGACGTAGCGATATTTGTCTTTGTGAGGGGCAGGCACGCAGATTACGGAGCGCTCAGCGGATGTTGCCGCTTGACAAGACTGACCTTGGGGTTTAGCTGTACGAGAGCGACCTTGACAACTGGCGCCATGGTGAGGGTCTATTTTCAGGATGTAGAAGATCTTGCAAATATTGATGGAATGATTGTTGATTCAGTCAACTGTTCGGCTGGCGATACAGATGGAGTCGGTCTTCACGAGGCATCACCATTGTGTACTGTACGCATCTTAATTAGGTATCCTACCTATAGCGGGGTGTCTTCTCCCCGCAAATGGTGTGGATAGGCGAAACTCTACTATGCTGAACCTCATTTGGGTAGGTACAAGCGGGCAACTCCAGAGACGTTCTTCCATTTGCGCCGTACTGGCAAACATGGTAGCCTGCAAGAGTTAGTTGCTTGCGATCATTTGTACTGCAACCAACAATAGCGTTGCGAAGGCTGTGTAAAGCAAAACATCACATGTGCCCTGGTGTTCAAGTTTAATCCTCTTTTGAAAATGTCGTGTCTCATACCATACTAAGGCCAACCTTTTCGGTAGCATATTTGCATGAATATGGCATTGACGCGACCACGTACTGAAGCACTATTCTGGAGACTGATTCCATGATTCATTGTTTGGGGTTGGGGTGCATCGTCAATCATCACCCATATGGCATCTTGGGACGGCCGTGAATGGACGCAATCGACTCTGCTCACATGTAAAGGCTGGAGGTGTCCGGCAACCTGAGACCGGATTTCGCATCTTGGCCAACGAAGCTGCCCATAAACCGGAGACTGAATCGATTATATGTAGTTTATCGGCAACCAAAATTTTCGATAAAGAGTCTGCGTTGTTGACTCGAGACGAGGTACAGTAGCGCCGGTAAGATGCCTATGCGCGACACGTATCGCGCATCCGTCCGCCTGGGCAAATTTGAAAACGACACCTTCGAAGATGATTCAATGCGATATGTAGCAGATTTCATTGTCGATTGCCATTGAATCCTCATTATAAATCAACCATTGGGTATGTTGTAGCCATTAATGATGCGGCTCTGCTTATTCATCACGATTCCGTCTAACCCAGGAGATAATTCGGGAACGGAACAGAGGGATCCATCATCATTCCCGGGGGTTTGGCACTAAACTCGCCTCTTAGCGAATGATTGAATCTGAGATCGAGGCCCCTGCAAAAGTCCCCTAGCTTTCTTTGAATTGGTTGAAATTTCAGTGGTGAGCCTCAGAGGCGATTCAGCGCTAGAGAGAAAAGGGCTAAGCGTGCTATTGCGTGATCGCACTCTACGACAGCCGCATGTAAAATCCCATAGCAAAACTTCAACATTTTACCCATCCCGACAACCGCGATGGCGGCCGGTAAAGATGGCGCAATACCGGGCTCAGACATCATGGAGCCGGTCATCGGTGGGTCAGGTAAGGTCGATTTTGTATAGTTTTTTTGCCTTTCCTGGCGGTGTCGCTGTCGTTGTTCGAGTGAACTTGTACCAGACCTCGAGATATCTCGACCCTCCTGTTCCTCTGATTTCCCAGCAGAGAATCTGTCAAGTGTCTGGCTCCTTCCTGGTGCCGTCTGATACTCGTTGACAAGTCCCTGGGATCACTGTTGAATTCCTTTGGTCTCTTCCATTCTTTCTATTGTATCGTTCTGCTCAGTATTTCGCTTGCGATTTTCAGGATTCTGGACCAATCCTCAATTGGTATATTCGCACAATGCAGTTGAGACAGCAGGAGAGCGCCGGTGGCGCCGATGTCACCATGACTGATTCTCAGACCGAACGACCCGAATTCACCAAGCAGTCCTCGAGTCTGCCATTTGGTCAGCTCGTTGCCTTGGACTCGATCTCCGGACCGACTTATGTGACCGGCCAGCTTCTCGTCCAGCAGGTCGCCTACAAGCTCTCCGACAAGATCTTCTCCTACTCCCCCGAGACCTTCGACCTCGATGTCGCCGTGAAGGATTGGGCCGAAGACGAGGAGAAGAATATTCATGGCTATGCCACCAGTGTTCTGCCCCTCCAGACTCGTGTCGGAGCCGGCGCATTCGCCCTGGGTTACATTTTCTCGAAGGACTTTGACTTGAGCAAGAGACACATTCCTCAGACTCTTCTGGCGCCATCCCTCAGTTTGCGCCACTTGCGCTCCTCTCTCGATCAGCTGGCGCTTCTTTACGGAGTGTCCAGCCCCTTTGTCGCGCACATCGCTGCAGCTGATTACTCTGCCGATGCCGGTCTTGTGACAGAGTACGGCAGTGCTCTGCAGGTCGCCGAGGACCTGGGACTCGGCCTTGTCTCGAGCACCTCTGCCCACGAGGCCCAGCACATTTCTCTGTTCGCAACATTGATGGCCAAGATTCTCCCAACCCTTCATATCTACGATGGTGTCCGTACAGCTCGCGAGACTCTTCGCGTAGTCGATGCCCTCAGCGAGAAGGGAATTGCCGATGTGTACAACAAGGTTTCCCAGGCTGCCGACAGCGTCAACAAGCGTCTCGATGATGCAGGCAAGGTCACTGAGCTTCTCAAGGCTTTCAACGGCGAGCTCGGTACCGACTACGAGCTCTTCGAATACACGGGCGACAAGGCTGCTGAAACCGTCTTCGTTGTCTTTGGCAGCGTCGAGTCTCAGCTTGCCAAGCAAGTTGTTGACGTCCTGGCTTCCAAGGGTATCATGGTTGGCGCCGTCACCGTTCGTGTTTACCGACCATTTGTCGAGGAGGCTTTCTTGAGCGTTCTGCCCGAGACTGTCAGGAATATCGCCGTGCTTGGACAAGTCAGCAATGCTGCTGCTGTTTCGGATGCCTCTGTCCAATCGGCTCTCTACGCAGATGTTCTGACTGCCGTCTCCTTCGCTGACAAATGGGCCACCGCTCCCACTGTCACTGATGTCAAGTACCCTGCCACCGAGGTCTTCACTCCTAGCAGCTTTGCTTCCGTCTTCTCCAAGTTTATCACCAAGAATACTTCAGAGGTTAAGCTGTCTCTGCCCCAGCTTGAAGGAGCCGGACAGTTTGTCTTCCTTGATGTTGACAACTCTGCTTCTGCCCACGCACCCATCATCATTGGTGGCCTTCTTTCTCGTGACTCTACTAGCAATGTCTACGCTACTGAGTCGTACGACAACTTGGTTCAGGGAGGTGTCGTGCGCGTCGATCTGCGCGCGTCCAAGAAGTCCATTGACGCCCCCTACTCGATTGATGAGGCTGATGTTGTCTTTATCAACGAGGAGAAGCTGCTGAAGGATGTCGCGTCTTCTCAGACTGTCAAGTCGGATGGTAAGCTCATCATCAGACTGCCAAACTTCAAGGCAGAGGATGTCGAAAAGCGTATCCCCGCCACTGTTCGCAAGGACATCAAGGAGCGCAACATTGAGCTTCTTGTCCTCGACCCGACTCTGGCAACTGAGGACGAGAAGGTTGGCCGTCTTTTGGTCGAGCTTGCTTTCCTCAAGGCTGCAAGCAGCGATGTCAAGACCGACACTCTGCAGAAACTTGTTGCTCTGGAGGGCAACCCTCCTTCTCTGGATGAATCACTCGAGGCTCTTGAGAAGTCCCTGAGCAAATTCGAGGTCCCAGAGACATGGGCGGAAATTGCCGAGGAATCGACCAAGGCTGCCGCTCCCAAGACTACCAGCTTCACCGCATTCGAGAAGGAGGAAGCCGAGTCTGAGGCTGCAATCAGCGACTGGAAGTCGGCTGCCAAGGGTCTCCTCTTCAAGGAGGCTTACGGTACTCAGATTGAGCTGCGACCCGAGCAGACTGTCGTCACTCACACCATTCGTGTCAAGGAGAACCGCAGACTTACACCTGCCACTTACGACCGTAACATCTTCCACATTGAGTTTGACTTGGGCGACTCTGGTCTTACGTACAAGATTGGTGAGGCTCTCGGTATCCATGCCGACAACGACCCTGAGCTAGTTCAGCAGTTCATTGAGTCATATGGCATTGATGGCGATCAGCTCGTTCAAATTCCTGCTCGGGAGCCCGGCTCTGTGGAGACGCGCACCACTTTCCAGGCTCTCCAGCAGAACATTGACATCTTTGGAAAGCCACCCAAGCGCTTCTACGAAAGCCTCGCCGAGTTCGCCACCGACGAGGTTGAGAAGAAGAAGCTCCTTGTGCTGGGTGCCCAGGAAGGTGCTGACGAGTTCAAGCAACGCAGTGACGTTGACACCATCACCTATGCTGATATCCTCGAGGAGTTTACTTCTGCTCACCTTTCCTTCACCGACATTGTTCGCTTGGTCGGTCCGCTCAAGCGCCGTGAGTACTCGATTGCATCGGCTCAGGCGGTCACCCCCAACGCGGTCGCTCTCATGATTGTCGTGGTCGACTGGGTTGACCCAAGAGGTCGTCAACGATACGGTCAGGCTACCCGCTACCTGAGCCGACTCCCTGTCGGCACCGCAGTCACTGCATCCGTCAAGCCCTCCGTTATGAAGCTCCCCACTCGTGACGATGCACCCCTTATCATGGCTGGTCTTGGTACAGGTCTTGCACCTTTCCGTGCCTTCATCCAGTACCGCGCCATGCAAAAGGCACAAGGCAAGAAGATTGGCGACATTCTTCTGTACCTTGGTTCTCGTCACCAGCGTGAGGAGTACCTGTATGGTGAGGAATGGGAGGCATACCTCGACTCTGGTGTCATCACTCTGCTGGGTGCTGCCTTCTCTCGTGACCAGCCTCAGAAGATCTACATCCAGGACCGTATGCGCCAGAGCATCGCCCAGATTGTCAAGGCATACATTGTCGAGGAGGGTTCATTCTACCTCTGTGGTCCTACCTGGCCTGTGCCAGACGTCACCGAGGTCTTGGAGGAGGCCATCGCGACGGAAGCGAAGATGTCCGGCAAGAAGGTTGATGCAAAGAAGGAGATTGAGAGACTCAAGGAGGAGGGACGATACGTGTTGGAAGTCTACTAGATTTGGCCTATTCTTAAATCACAGCTGAGCGAGATTGCGTTCGATAGACTAAAAATTATCTGAATTTTTTTGACATTTCACGACGCAATGCAATTTGATGAACCATGAGAAAATACTGGACGTTGTAGTATGGTTATACGCCCAGAAATAGAAATAACAATGGTTACTTGTACATTTCAACTGTCTTCTTGCAGTACTTGGCGGCACGAGTGGAAATGGTTCAAGTGCATTCTTATCAGTGCCCGGTCGGTAGACAGGCCCGCGAGTGGGGATCTTGAGACGGCTCCGCGCGCGCATGCCGTCGGGACCATCTATCGGCTTCGGGGGAGTGCCTATCCAGATTCGATACATATTCCTCTGCATGACATTACCAACTCGGCATTGATCATGTAGGTGCAATACTTGCAAGGAGTAAAGTTTTCTATTGATATATCTGTGATTTGTGTAACCCTGGACAATCCAAATCCCATGGCCAATCCCACTAATCCCACGCCACCGTTATTGGCCGAGCGCTTCGCCAGCCACGCTCTGGAGACACGGTTTGAAGACCTCACGCCCGACGCCGTCGCGCAGGCCAAGGTTTTCATCCTCGACACGCTCGGCGTCGGCATTGCCGGGTCCTCGGCGTTTGGCGCCGACAAGGTGATCCCCGACGAGGCCGGAGGCGCAACCACGACGCTCTGGGGGAGGAGACAGCGCGTCTCGGCCGGCGTGGCGGCGCTCGTCAATGGGTACCAGGTGCACTGCCAAGAGTACGACTGCGTGCATGAAGGCGCGGTGCTGCATCCGCTGGCCACGACGCTGCCGGCTGTGGTGGCGTACGCCGAGAAGAAACTTGGCGGCATTACCGGCAAGGAGTTGATCACGGCCATGGCGGTGGGCGTCAACATCTCGGCGGGCCTGGGCATTGCGTCCCGATCAGCAATGACGTTCTTCCGGCCTGCGACGGCCGGGGGTTTCGGCGCCACGGCCGCCGTGGGACGACTCATGGGTCTGTCGCACGAGGCGCTCGTGCAAGCCATGGGTCTGCAGTACGCGCAAACCAGTGGCACGCTGCAGCCTCACGTCGAGGGAAGTACGTCGCTACCGCTACAGGTTGGCCTGAATAGCCGTGCGGCCATGCAATCGTGCGAGTGGGCGGCCAGCGGGCTCCCCGGACCTCGCGACGTCTTTGAGGGACCCTACGGCTACCTGCGTCTCTTTGAGAGCCCGGAGAAGTGGGATCTGACCGAAACATACAAGTGTCTGGCGGGCGGGCGCTGGCTCATTAGCGAGCTGAGCCACAAGCCGTACCCTGCCGGCCGAGCCACTCATGGCGGCGTGGAAGGTCTGCAAGTTCTCGCGAAAAAGGACGACGGCTCAACCGTGAAGCCAGACGAGATTGACAGTGTGACCATTACCGGCCCTCCAGTGACCGCGAGACTGTGTGCGAGACCGGATATCCCGGATCCGTCTCCCAACTACGCTCGACTCTGCATGTCTTATATCGCAGCAAAAGTCCTCATCAACGGCATGATAGACCTTGCACATTACCGAGGTGATGAGCTCCAGGATGAGAATACACACCATCTCGCAAAACGGGTCAGCATGGTGTCAGACAATCAAGGTGGTCCAAATGACCTATTGCCCGTCAGTGTCGAGATGCGCTTAACGAATGGTGAAGTAAAGAGCTGGACGTGCGATCAAATGCTCGCTAGCCCTGCGCGCAGGCTGACGAGAGAGCAGCACCTGGCCAAATTTCGACGCTGCTGGGAGTTCTCGGCCGAACCGCTCTCGGACACGGCTCGGGATGAGCTGATTGAGATGATTGATCATTTGGAAGACTTTTCGGACGTGAAACTCATGACAAGGCTGCTCAGTCCGGGTGCAGCAGACGCTCTGTAGAGACTAGAGAGGAGCATATCAAGTGTGCTAAGCCCGCGTCTCATGTTTATAAAACCTTTCCACACAAGGATGAGTGTTCTAGTTGATCCGAATGTTGCCATGCGTAGCGCTCCTAAGGCCTGAGAGCATGTCATGTTCAAGTGCAGCCAGATTTGAAGAAACTTTGAAGTGCAGGTATAGGGAAATGCACTCATGAATCTCGTGCTGCCTCCACTAGAGTTTCACCAGAAGTTAGCATGATTACATATGATATTCTCCAAACTGTCTTTGGATTATAGCAACAAAGGTATTCCTTACAAATCTCCAACGGCCATCTCAATCGAGGTGCCCACTCTGGTCCGAGTGACTTGGTAGCGAGCTCAATGATGTGCTTTCCGCTCTCACCCACGAGCCACAAGCCCCGATGATGCGAATGGATCATGGCGCCGTAGTACGCAAAGATGGCCATGGCTTCGGGCTTGCGCGCACGCAATAGTTCCGTGTACTCGACCTTGACACCATTGAGCCAGACAGTTGTCCACGGCGCCGGTCCGGGAAAGGTTGGGCGGCTCTTGTAATCATTAATGATTCTCTGCAGCATATCAATAGCGTGAGTGTAGGCGGCGATGGTGGTGCTGTCTAGGTGTCCGTCGGAAAGCATTTCTCGAAGAGGCTCGCATTCGGGTCCTCCTTCGTCTTTGGCCTGGACTATTTTCCATCCCCAAACCAGTATTGGTCTCAGCTCCGAAGTGAGCAAGTATTCTCGGTATTGATCAAATATCGGTCGAACACCCCGGTGGATCTGGACTAAAATCAGTCGCACTTCCAACTATTCCCAAGTCATTCTACTCACCTTCATGTATTCGTCGAAATGGATCATAAAAGAGTCCAGATCCACATGGCGTTTTGCCAGAGTGTCACAAAGAAGATGCGTCCCCAGGAGGCTAGAGAAGCGCATCGAGGCAATGGCAGAAGTGCTCGACTTGGGTTTCTGGAGCGACGCTGAGAACAGTGTCAAGGCTTGCGTCTGCAACAGAGTGGCCTGGTCTTCATAAAACTTGGCCTGCGACTCTGGCCCCGTGCGGCTCTTGTGTTTTGCGGCAAAGGCGAGCATTTGATGCACCAGGTACGTCTCGGTCAAGCCAGCTGAGAAGTAGTTCTTGACGTACTTGTTGAGCAATTCGGGATCGTCTCCAACGAAGAGAGGGCCAGAGCTCTCGCCGAAGTCATGGAAAAGTTCCAGATGGGTAATGTTGACAATGCTGTTCATGGCACTACCATGGCTAATATTACTACTGTCGTAGGCAGCGATACCATCTTCGGCGTTGGAACTCTGTACCGATTGAGCACCGGGAGTTGCTGGTGATGAGGAATCGGCCCCCGACACCACCTCATCTTGATCCCGGTGAGAGGATGGCGAGTTGGAATCGGGACGTGGTGCCGGACTCCTATAGACGCACGTTCGGTCTGCCTGTGAGCAGTTGACGCAAGACGGTTTCTGTTGATCACACTGGAGCAGAGATCCAAGTCAGTTTTGTACCTCGGCCAATGGCTTTTAGGAGACCAATGGGTGAGTCTGATTATTACCCGAATGTGCCGCCGGCGGCATTCCTCACATTTTGCACCCTTGCGGGACTTTTTGTGGGATCTTCGTAGCATGACGCGAAGGATTGGCAGTAATCCTGGCCGTGATGGGATTTCTTTCCACAAATACGTGTATCCGCGCTTACGTTGGTCTCGAAGCCTTGTCAATTTGAGTCGGCTGCAAGTTTGCCTCAAATATTTGCCCCGCGCCGCAAAAAAATCATCAGTTTGATAGTTTAGAAGGAGAGAACAAATCTCCTTTTCATCCCTTTTTGCCAATTCGATTTCTCGTCCTGTCGCCCCAAGTGCGAATATCCAATTGCTGGTCAATGCGACGACGGTGACAATGTGTATGCCTAAAAGTTGTGGCGGAGCAAAAAGAGGTCGGGTGTTTTGTTGTATACGCGTATCACACCCAAAGCGGCGGCCGCTCGGACCCGACATTGTAGGTTTAGTCCAGCCGCAGGAAATGGCCGCGCACAAAGTAATGCTAATCTGGAGCCAGAGTACGTACATGATGAGCTTGAGATTGCAAATATTCAACAACACAGAGGTACCACGGTGACGCATCATCACATCAGAATAGAAATCTAAAAGAAAAAAAAAAGATGTCTTCAACCGTTTTTCGTCATCGCCCTGTTGCAACATTGAACAGAGTTGCGATGCAGAATAACCAAACTTGAATTGATTCTCCACTAAAATCTAGTCTACGTCCTCTGCTCTGGAATATAAACCACGCTTAGCCTCCATATACAGAAGGGATAACAGGGATACAAAAGAACAAAACCAAAGCCGCTGATTAATAAACTTCCAATATCCAACCCCGACACAGATTGTCTCGGTCTTCCAATTGAGAGATCCTCTAGCGATTGCAGTATGCTGATGGAAAGAAGCAGCTGTCGTTGTAGGAGAGTGCTCAAATCCTCGACGCTTGTAAATCTTTGGTGGTCAAGGAATCTCAGACTATTTGTAAACTTTGAACCAGGTGCACGCAACCGGCTGGTCATCCAGACCTCCCCTTTTTCGCATATCTTTCAGCGACCAGCGGACGCCCTGTCCAAATTTCCGCTGACGGCGTGGCATTAATTGTTCAATGGTACAGCGCCGGGGTTGCTTGTAGATCTGAACGATATACATGTGGGTGTCCTGGAGATATGGCCAGTACGTAGGCGTGTCGATGGTCCCTTTTGGAAAGGCTACTGGCGTGTGGTCGAGTGATTCCATCTCTGCCCCCGATGTCGCTCCGTCTCTCCAACGATATCCAGTTTGCAGCCACTTTAGAGTTGGACCTGTGATAGCCCTGCAGAGCGGATTTACGTCGAGTACAACGATGATGTAGCTTTGAAGAGGATCAAGCTGGGCTAGGTGAAAGAAAGGTATTTGGCCCTTGACGACTGGGCACGCAGCGAGTTAGCCACAAATAAATTTGACACGTGCATTTAGTTTTTTTTTAAAGGCCGTTGGATATTGTTTACATACCTCCAACAGGGACAAGTTGTCGATCTACAAACCCGAGGGATGGGTATTCAACCCTCAGCCTTGTCTCTTTTGCTTCCATTGCAAATGTTGTGACATTTCGTTCGGGTAGAAGATCTCTGAAATCGAAAATATTATGAATCTTTTCATGTAATTTTTCAATACCGCGTCGAATTGGCGCTGAAAATGAAGGCCTTGGCCTTGGCTCCATGATGGATGGATAGTATACTCTGAAGGGGCAACGTAGGCGAGGGCCAGGTATTGACAGTCGACTGGTGCAAAGTAGCTATGCCAGTTGCAAAACGTTTGAGGTTCGTAGTGTTCCAAGCAATGAGCAGGAAGAATAAAAGATCAAAGAATAGACGGCGCCTTTGAGAGGAGTGAAGGTGTTGATGATATGATTATCAGTGTTGTTTGTTCACGGCAAAAGGAGCGGTTTGGACTGCAGGCTATCTTTGTTTATTTTGGACGGCCTCTATTGCTCTACCGGACCTTCCAACTGCTACGCAGAGCACGAAAACTATGATGCGCATTTGACGCTCAAACTCGTTGTAGAAGCTGCGTCCCTTGACCGTTTCTATCGCAGGCAACATGAGTTGGAGACATATACCAGGCCGCAATAACCGACAGCAATTTTCTTCCTTTGATATTGGTGTCCATTCGGATTGTTAAAAACCTGATAAACTCCCGTCGTTATTTTTTTACGAGCAACGATCAATGGAGATCATGGAAAGCTAGTTTCCCAGCTTTAATATCCTCTTGGCGTTTTCATATGCCATCTTCTTCTTGGTGTGACTATTCATCGCCAGACGATCGAACCACGATGCTATTTCCGTGTCATCCTCAAAAGGGTAGTCGACACTGAACATGACATTGTCCTCGCCCGTCCATCTGAGTGTATCGAGCAGCGTAGCTTCATCTCGTACACCCGAGGTCGTGACAAAAAAGTTGTTCTCCCAATAGTACTGGGGCGACTCTTGCGCCGCCCAGTATGGGGTAAAGTGCCGAAAGCGATGACTGATGCGTGGGAGGTAGAATGGCAAGCCCTCTCCGCAGTGGCCCAGGATGATTCGTAGCGTGGGATACTTGTCAAAGATGCCGGAAAGCATGAGTCGGAGCACGTGCGCCGCTGTCTCGGTAGAGAAGCCCCAAGCCGACCCCGCGAGGAAGTTGTAGTCCTCGTAAACGCGCTGCTGGCTCGGTGGCGGTGTCCGCGGGTGGAGGTAAATGGGCACATCAAGCTCGACCACTTTTGACAGAAATACGTCATTCACAGGGTCATCCAAGTAAACAATGTCGTCGATCGTGCCGTTGTTTGTGTAGCCGCCCACGAAGCTGCCGACTCCCCCTAGCTCTTTTACACAGCGTTCCAGCTCAGCTGCCGCGGTGGGAGGATCCTGCAGAGCGTTGGAACACCAGAAGCCAAATCTTTCCGAGTAGTTGCCATTCTTGTAGACACTGGAAAGCTCATTGTTGACATAGGTCGCCGCCTCGATTGCAAAAGACTTGTTGAAAATGCCTTGAATCCCCGGAGCACCAAATAGCAGTATAGACATGCTAATGTTGGCAGCATCCATGGCCGCCACACGCGAGTCGATATTTGTAATCCTGCTCATAACATCTGCGATGTAAATATCCTTGTCAAAGTTCACCTCGTTGGTCCAGTTTACAAATGGGGTTGTAAAGGTGCCGCTAAAAAGCGTGTTGCCGACATGTTCCTCAATGGCAATCTTTCCAGGAATCGATGTCGATTGGTCAAAAAAGGTTGGACGTCCCGAGTTGACAATGACCTCTTGAGGAGTATACTGCGCAGTCACCACTTGGGCTCCCATTAAAAGACATGGGATGAGTCGATGGCGTAACATGATGTCCTGCTCAGATAATAATAATACAAAAATATCAATGACCACGGAACCTCGATGCTTGTGAAGAACATTTGCTCAACGTTCTGCACTTTGTCGCCTACTCATCAATATATACGTGCTTTACAAGCTGCATCGACCCCGCCGAACAGCCGTGTGATGTTATTTGCGAACATAGTTTGCGAAGCGTGCCAAAAGGGTCATGCAGCAGGGTCGCTTAATCCCTGGTTCCCTACTTCTTAGTTCGAGCTCGAGCACCACGACTTGGATAGCCACGCGAGATTTTATTGGCTCCTGCGGCTTCAATCTTGAAATTCCATAAACTATTCGTCAATGACCCTGCCGTTGCAGATTACCTGCAGAAAATATACTAGGTTCACGGGGAATCCTTGATGTTGTACTTCACAGCGACTTGTACTTCATCAACCTGGCCAAACGCCGCCTAAAATTATGAGGCTTTGCTCTGGGGCGGAGGCATGAGCTCCAGGAATATCGCTGATCAGTCATAGATACTTTTCCATGATCTGTTCAAGTCGGCCTAGAGGCAATGCCTCTACCTTGCGGTCCTGATAACCTATAAAGTCATCGGCCATGCATAGCGCATTGTATACGGCTTCTTCAGTCGCATCGGCTCCCGCCTCGAGCAGGCCGTTTATGCTCGTATCATCCAGAATCTCCATCGGCAACGGCTTAGGCTTGAGAGGGTCTACCGCTGAGCCCGTACCACCGATTGACTCCACTGGAATATCAGTGCCAGTCGAAAAGGCTATGAATATATCGCCCGACAGGTTGTTCCCATAACCGCCCACCTTGGCCAGACCAACGGTTGCCCGCCTGGCTATGCGCTGTAGCTGCGCCGGGTTGAGCGGTGCATCAGTGGACAGAACAACAAGAATGCTGCCATCTTTGCGGTTCTTCTTATCGTCGAGTTCTTCCGCTTGCATCCTTCGCCTCTTCTCTTCGTCTGTCTTGGCCGTCTCTTCTGCCTCGGCCATCAGGATCCGGCCGACAGGCACGCCGCCGATTCTCAGATGCTGCTTCTTGCCATAGTTGGCCTGGACCAGCACGCCAATGGTGTACTCCTTCTTGCCGCCCCGTGCGTCGAGTCCTTCTACAATGCGGCTGGCGCTTCCCGTTCCGCCCTTGAACCGATGGCATATCATTCCCGTGCCACCTCCCACATTGCCCTCACGAACACGCTCGCTGCTTACATTCTGCAGGCCGTGGATAATGTGCTCGGGACGGACGGCAAAGGAAGTAATGTCGTTGAGGTAACCATCAAACGTCTCGCCCACAACGGGCACCAGGAACCCAGCGAGAGAATCGGAGCCGTACTGCTGCACAGCGTACCGGTAGACGCCTTCATGGGCGGCGCCGATACTGAGCGAGTTTGTGAGGATGATTGGGCTGTGCAAAAGGCCAGTCTCGTGGATCCAGTGAGAGCCCGTCAGCTCGCCGGCGCCATTGAAGGTGAAGATGCCAGAATAGCAAGCCCTGGTCAGCCATTTTTCCCGCGGGGTAATGCTCGTGACGCCCGTGTTGGTGCCCTGTGGCGAGAAGATCTGCTGAGTGTGCACCTTGACGCCGGGGACGTCGGTCAGAGAATTTAGTGGTCCGGGTCTGTAGTCGCCCAAAAAGAGTTTTGGAAGAAGCTCGCGAATGCGCTTCCGCTGCTCTTGTGCTACGGCATTGGATGTATTGGGAATTGGAGTCGACATGATTTATACCGGGGCACGGCAGATGGCACCACTCGAAGGGAAGTACTAGAGTCAAGATCAGCTAAAGACTGAGATGAATATAGAGATGGAAACCGCGATTATTTATTTCCATTATATCTTGATTCATTTCCAGTGCACGTTGACCTATCAAGCCGAATAACGACAAGCTACGGAATACGGCGCTCGCTTATGCTCGTTTGAGGCACAATTGGTAGCTGGGGACCACGCGATTCAAGCTAACGTAGGAACGATTGTTTGTATACCATGTTTGTTCGCTTGCTTGTCGTCAATTCGAGGTTGCCAGCCTATAGATAGCAGGAATAAGTGACAACTCTATCCTGAGTATCTAGGTAGACATATCAGACCGAGTCCCGAGCGAGCTCCGAGCTCCGCAATCCCGCGGCTCCACGAAGAGCATATATATTTCCTGGGGTTGAAAATTGAATCATTGGAGACCATGTATGCTTCCAAAGAAAGACACGCACAGTTTTTGTTTATCATACAAGTTCATATAAGTTTGAGCTGTGAGAAGGGAAGCGGATAAAGTGTTTGCCGCCAGCCCAGCTACCTTATGTACCTAGCCACCTACCGTGATGTACAGATAGGTGCTTATATTAATGTAGAGATTATACATTGTGTGTAGGTATATCGGTAGCATAGCAGTTATACGCCCGGGTGACCTAGGTAATTCTCGCCTAGGCTAACCTTCTCTCCCCTCCCTCCCTCTCCACACGCTATTCTACCCCACACACGATCGATCCCCAAATCAAGCCTACGTACTAAACCGCTCGGGCGTAGCCGATGATGCTGGGGATCCATCCATCCATCCATTTGGAGCAACATCGGCATCGGCTCCCCTCATTCCTTTGGGGTTTGTCTCAAAAAGTTCATTTTGCTCCAGACGCGTATTCCGAGTCTCATGCTGCTGTGGTTTCTGCTCCTAAAGTGACGGGAAGTTCGATCAGTAAATAATACGAAACCTTTCGATATCCAACATCTTACAGGTTATATACACCATGGTGGCAGCCGTAAGAGTCGCACCAAGTGTAAGTGGAGTGCCGAGGTAACTTTCAGCATCTGTCTACGCACCGTAGAAACCCTCAGATGAAGGCCGCAACCATCGAATACTTTTGGATGAATACCTACTAATGACACAAAATACAGGCCGCAACTAGGGCCGTCAGTCTGTTGAGGACTGTTCAGTACGCTCACCCGCCTAATTGCCCTTGCCATTCGAATCCCGGGCATCATCACCACCAGCATGCAAAGCCCCAGGTAGATCGCTATGCCCGTCACCAATCGCAGAGGAGGTTCGCCTCGGCATTGGACTCGTCGCAGCAGACCGAGTACGCCTTTGAAATGGCCGCTTCGTCTATCCGCTTCGGCCCTGGTGTGACCAAGGAGGTCGGTATGGACTTTGCCAACATGGGCGCCAAGAAAGTCTGCGTCGTCACTGATTCGACGGTCCGTCGCCTCACAGCCATGAAGCAGGTCGAGGAGGCCCTCAACGCCGAGGGCATCGATTTTGAGGTCTTTGACAAGGTCCGGGTTGAGCCCAAGGACAGCTCGTAAGTGCCAATGACGAAAACGCTAGCTACAAAGTTACACGAACTACAACTAAGACGCACTCTCTCATAGCATCAAGGAAGCCATCGAGTTCGCCAAGCCATACCAGCCAGATGCATTCCTTGGTGTTGGTGGTGGCTCGGTCATCGATACGGCCAAGCTCATGAACCTGTACACAACTTACCCAGAGGCCGACTTTCTCGATTTTGTAAACGCGCCACTAGGTCGCGGGCTCCCAATCGAGAGAAAGCTCAAGCCCCTGATCGCGATCCCGACCACGGCCGGCACGGGTTCCGAGACGACGGGAACCGCCATCTTTGACCTGGTCGCCAAACGAGCCAAGACGGGCATCGCACACCGCAACCTCAAGCCGACGCTCGGCATCTGCGACCCGCTCAACACCCGGACCATGCCCGCCGCCGTCAAGGCCTCGTCGGGCCTCGACGTGCTGTGCCACTCGCTCGAGTCCTGGACCGCCATCCCCTTCAACGCGCGGACGCCGCGCCCGTCCAACCCCATCCTGCGCCCGGCGTACCAGGGCGCCAACCCCATTAGCGACATCTTCTCGCTCAACGCGCTGCGCGCCACGGTCAAGTACCTGCCGCGCTCGGTGCGGGACCCCGAGGACTACGAGGCCCAGAGCGAGATGCTGCTCGCCTCGACGCTGGCGGGCGTGGGCTTTGGCAATGCCGGCGTCCACCTGTGCCACGGCATGTCCTACCCCATCTCGGGGCAGAACCCAGGTTACCAGCACGCGGGCTACGAGGTCAACACGCCCATCATCCCCCACGGCGTCTCGGTCGCCGTGTCGGCGCCCGCCGTCTTTCGCTTCACCGGCGCCTCGAACCCCGAGCGCCACCTCCAGGCCGCCGAGGCCTTTGGCGTCGACATCTCCAATGTCAAGCGCGAGGACGCCGGCGCTGTGCTGGCCGATGCCCTGACTCAGTTCCTGGCAGATCTAGGCGACCAGCCCAAGGGGCTCAAGGCCCTGGGCTTTGATGACAGTCATATTGACGCGCTGGTCGAGGGTACCATACCCCAGGCGCGAGTGCTCATGTTGGCTCCGGGTCTGCAGACCGAGCTAGAGAAGGAAAGGGAACAGCTGAGGGCCTTGTTTGAGGAGGCAATGACGCATTAGTATGTATTTGGGCCGCTTTAGATGTAGCAGGAAATCATCATTGGTATCTGGGCACGAACATAGGACATGACTTACAGAGTATAAGATCTCTATTCAATCAGTATAAGTGCACACCGTGTAGCTTGTAAATGAAAGCCGTGGTTTCTCAAATGGCTTTGCGTACCCCAACGATGAAATTACTGCTCGTCTTCGTCAAACCGCTATTCCTCACACGCGATGAAATCATATCACGAAAAGCCTTCGCCCCTTGTTTCTTGTCCTGTCATCCCAATTCATGTATTGCCCTTTTTTAACCATTCTTTATTTCATTCAACATTATCTAACTGGCAAAATACCTTGTCATGGAATTGCTTCAAATGACATTGTCAAGCCAGCTGTATTTACATAGTTGTCATCATTGCCATGCGCTTTCATACCCAGACCAGTAGTTTCTCAGCGTCATCAGCCACTTGACAAGCCATTGCAAGACTACCTTCAAGGTACACGTCGCCAACGACGACGGCATAGAGCTTATCGCCAAGCAATCGGCCTTGGTCTCAATGCATTGAGTATCTAAGAACCCCAAGTTCTTCTGACAGACTTGTATTGTTTTGAAGCGTTCTTTGGCATGCAACTCCACAGGCAGCAAATACACAAGTTCTTTGCCTTATGGTTGATTACAAACCCATCGCCCTATTCATGCTGAGTTGGTGATTCTGTAAGACGGCTCGCGGCAGCCACCAAACCTTTGCCGATACGGTCATCACCACCTCCCGGATTGCTTGTCGTCTGGCACCAGCTAGTGCGCAGCGCAAGGGACTGATCGACTACTTGACCATTCCCCGTTTTTCCCAGTATAGTTCATTGCTGCAATCCTTTGCATCATTTCTTGAGTGAATCCTTGCTTCTTTGGGTTGCTAAAGACAACCAGATTCGTCCCCTCGTGGGTTTACACACCGATTGTGCGCCAAGCGTGTCTTTATCGAAGCATCTCAAATACAGAGTCGGTCTCAAAAAAGAAATCGTTCCGTTCTATGACCTGATCCAGAGTTGAAGTTGTTCAAAATGGGGAAAAGAGAAAAAATTGAAATCGCAAGCCGCTATGATGGTGAGGTTTTCGAAACATGGGGACGTCCACCATGATCATACACTAGTTTATTGACCCTTGCGGGCCTTCTCTTGTTGTCGCGCTTCTCGTGCGGCACGAACAAGCGGAGACAAGGACGCGAGATCGACACATGTCTTCATGAATTCGTGCTATTGATGGTTAGTAGCTGGAGATATATGCACGCAACCCTGACCAAGCGTGCGAAAAGCCAATGGGGAAAGGAAACGAGGAAACTCACTCGAAGCAGGTCGTGGGCACTGGCTCTCTTCTCCGGATCCACCTTGAGAGCAAAGTAGAGAAAGTCCCTAAAGACCGGAGACAAATTCTGTTCATCCTTGATCTGAGGCGTACCGTTGGTAGCGATGAGCCACAGAGCACGGAGGGGTGACTCTGTCAGATATGGTGGCTCGCCCTCAATCATCTCGATTGCCATGATACCAAGAGACCAGATATCAACTTTGCGACCGTATTCCTTTCGTGTGACAACTTCCGGGGCCATCCAGTAGGGTGTGCCGACCATGGTAGTACGCTTGTTATGCGACTCGTTAATCTGCGCACAGAATCCGAAATCGGCTGTGAAAGATTGTGAGCACGTATAGACAAGAAATCAAAGACAGACGACAACTTACTAAGCTTGATATTGCCATCCAGCGAGAGCAGAATGTTATCAGACTTGATATCTCGGTGAATAACACCTTTCGAGTGCAAGTGCTGGAGTCCTTTCAGAGTTTCCCTACAGACCGATGCTATCTGTCCTTCGGTCATGATGTTGAAAGTGACAACGTCTGTCAGACTGCCACCCTCCATGTACTCCATGATTACCCAAAGCTCACCGGTGCATAGGTAGCTGTCAATGAAGTTGACAATGTTGGGATGAACGCTGTCCTTCATAACCAGGATCTCATTGATGATGAGATCCTTCTTCGGCTGCTGCTCGAGGTTCATCTGCTTGATAGCCACAAGTCGGTTGGATCCTCTTTCATGACCGGTGTAGACACCACCAGAAGCACCCTGTCCAATCTTGGTGAAGCCTCGATAGATCTCCTTCGGGTCGCCTTCAGAGCAGATACGTCGAAGTGCCGCAGTAACATCTATGGCATTGCTCTGGCGGGCGCGGTGGCGTGGTCGTGCTTGAGGACCGGGGCCTGCTTGAGGGGGCTGTCTTGGACCTGCACCATTAGCTTCGGGGGGTCTACCATATTGGTTCTGGGAAGACGGTGCCATTTGCTGGTTCGGTGGCTGCTTGTAGCTTGTCGACCGACTCAGTTGACCTTTCATGGCTGCTTGTGCCTGTGCCATTGCTTGTTGCTGTTGATGCTCCATCATCTGTTGTTGGTATGCCTGCTGGACCACGGGTGAAGGCTGGGTGCTGCTAGGTGTGTAGGGTGCGTTTCCGTTCACGCGTGAGTTCGATCTCGACCTCGACCGGTGCTCTTCGGGAAGCATCGACACATTTTCCTTGGGCGGAACGTACGTGGTGGGTGGGAGGTCGTCACCACCTTGGGCCATACCAATCCCGGAGTCCTTGGCAGGATATGCAGATGGCGGTGGCGGCGCTGTCCTCGCGGGAAGATTTGTCGGGGGCCTCGGTGCCGGTCGGCTCGGTAACATGTTCACGTCCTTGATTGGCATCGAGCCGGGGCCTTTTCCAATGCCAGGGACCGGCGGGGCGGCGCGGGGGTTCTCGAAGGTGCCTTCATTATTCACTATTGGAAACCTGGGACTTGCTGGTGGACTGATCATAGGTGACATACCGGCATAGTTTGGAGCGTAGACGCCGGGCGACATTCCTCCTCCAGGGGTGCGCAGCTCTGGAGCTTTGGCATCATGAAACTTTTCAAATACCTGATCTTCGTGTGGCTTCTCGGTGGTTTCTTTGTAGAAAGTCACAATATCCGCAATCATCTGGGGGTTCTCCCTTCGAGCATTTTCGGGAATGCCACTCTGCTCGATTAGTCGTTGCCATTCTTTTGGCAGGCCCTGCAAGTCATGTGAGTATGCAGCTTATACGAAAGTATCTGAATCATAACGTGTGCGCCACATGGGAGTAGTCCCGCGGAACGGGGGGTGGCGGGGGGTAATGTGGGGGATTGAATAGAACAAAATTCAAGTAACATGATGTCTTTGCTGGCGGTAATGGTTGATGACAAAAAAAAGCATGCGCGAGACATGAAACAAGAACAACATACTGTGAACTGCCCAGTTGAGCTATCGTAACCAACATGCGTAACATGTACGGGGTTCTCTGGGGCAGATATGACGGGCTTCTTGGGTGACCCCACTAGGGTGCTCATTAAGCCTGAGAAACCTGACTTTTTCCTCAAGACACCGGGCGCCTTGGGCTCTTTTGTCTCATCCGAATATCTCTTGGGGCCGCCGGCCTGGCCCTGAGCAGCCTGCTGCGCCTTTTCAGCGAGCGACATGACGGCTGGTGATTCTGCAGAGATGCTGGTAGAGCTGGTGGATTGGCTTATGACGGGACTGGTTTGGGCGTGCGCAAGCGGGGGAGGTGCCGGTCGGCGAGGAGAGAATTGATTCTGGTAACCTTGCGACTTTGTAGCCTCGAGGTGGTTCAGAATCGAGGTGCCGTCAAAGGGTGCGCCGACCAGGTCATCGAATGTCTTGGAGTTTAGTGATCGATGTCGCTGATGCGGATCAGACAAACGGTGGTGGTCTCGCGTTTTGGCAACGCCCGTCGTACCACTATTGCTGCCGAGAGCGTAATTGCCAGTCGCAGCATAAACCTCGCCAGGACCGACGACGGGCGATGGTGGATAATTGTGCGATGCGGCCTGGTGGTTTGGTGAAAAGGTCGATGGCAGAAATTCGCCAGTCGCAAGGATGGGCGAGGGCTGATTGCTGCTGGTGGACTTGACAGTGGTAGGAAGGTGTCGGGGCGATGAGTGGTTTGACGCGCTGAGAGAATGAGTGGGCGTGGCCCTCTGTCGCTGCGACGGTGCGCTTGGTGCACGCCTCAGACTCGTGGAGCTCCGTTTGCTGTGCAGCGCGCTTCCATGGGCGTCAAAGCGGCCCTCTGCATTGACGTTGTAAGAATGAAGATTCACGGGAGGTTTTTTGGTAAGTTTGCGGCGATGTGAAGAGCCGTTGGAGTTGGATGCGTCCATAGTGAGCATAATGCTGGGAGGGAAGGCTCGAAAGTTAGAGGGTTTGGGCGTATGTAGGTAAGCTTTCCTAGCTGCTGCTGCTGCTCCTCGCTTCAGAGCTGCTGCTGCTCTGCCGCCGCACGCCTGCTGCTAATGCTGCCTCTTGGCCCACATGCACTGCTAATCGAGCTTGAAAAACTGCAACCAGGACTGCAACTCGTTCAGAAATGTGCAGCCAGATAGACTCTGAGCCATGGGTTGGGCTGACAGGAAATTGAGCACAAGAATGAAAAGCAACCAACCTGACAGCTTTCAGCGCCTCTGTTTCGGCGGATTTCCTTGGAAGAGGCTCGGGTGAATCCCCAAGAGGGGTATGATCGATATGAACTGACTGGGGTGTCTACCAGGGAAAGAAAAACCGGAATACTAGGAAATAACAGCAGCAGGCATTCGCTGGTTGTCTGCTGGGTCGGGCGCCTGGCCTCTGGGCAATTAGACGCGAAAAACAATTCCTCTTAACTGTCTCTCCTCTCTCTTTCTCTCGTTCTCGACCTTGCAAGATGGCGAGATGTTGCTTGAAGCGTGATATCAGATGTTGGGTCCGAATAATTTCATGTACAATGCTCGACTACCGGGGCCCTGGTACACATGTATATCCGAGTGGAATTGGTCAAAAATCTGTAGCGACTGGTTTGAGAATGGGTCCTCTTGGATGGTGCACACACAAAGATTGGCCTGCTTAGTGTGTGCAACAGCAGCGTATTGATACTAACGCAGCAGATGAGACGCCCCCCGTCACCGTTCTCCAAGATGCTGCGACGCTGCCGGTCTCTATTATCCTCCAGACGAGCTCTTGTCACACTCCTTAACACTGGTGGCCAAAATCCCCCTCAAGACGTACTTTCACGATCGACACGAGTACTCTTCAGGGACTCTTCCCTGACACGCCGGTGCCGTCTTTAGCGGGCGTGTCAGTCGCTTAAGACAACTAGTCGCAACGGCCGGTGCGGGTGATTAGCGGCGAGTATAAAGATTGCAGAGGACTTTCTACAGCTTCAAGACTTCCTAGTCCCAGGCTGATGTACTGCTATCTTGGCTGTGGCGGCTACTACTGCTTCGTCCTCTACGGAGCGAGCGATTGCCGATGGGCAAGGGCAGGCGACAGTGCTCAGTCTAGTACCCCGGAACGTGGGTAGATAGAAATTGGCGATGGTTAAGATATTTCAAATACGAATCACTACGTAAGAGGAGGGAAACAGTCCAGATTGTTATATCTGAGAGCCTCATGTACATTAATAAGGCAACTATGCTCTCGCAGCACGGACCTGAACCCTCGAGCAAACAAAACGTGATGATTTCTGATACGTATATCTACTGTGTATGGTTGTTATGCACAGGTCGCTTTGCGATGACGTCCTTATCGGCGCCATTCGAGCTCCAGCATTGGACTTCTCTTCGTGGGTGCGTATATCTTGACATTACCTTAGTCCCTCCTAGGCTAAGGTGGTGGGGAATGCTCAGGCGCTTGTTGGGAACTGTTCATAGCCTGTTTCGCCAAATTGCTCCAGTTCGAAACCAAGCAACCAGGTGGCTAATGTAGGTAGGTATGCGAAGTATGGTACTGTGTAGATAGCACCCTTCGAGACACGGACTTGAAGGCGTCCGACTAACTTTCAAGGGGGCAGGGTCATCCATAGAAACATATATTGTGCTGACTAGTAATGCTGCCACTGCTGCCACATCTACGTCTATCACCATCACAAGGAGGAAAAGAAAAAGCAACGTCGATGCGCATTGGGCCGCCCAAAGCTCAAGGATGAACGACGGCCTGACGGTCTAGCCCGGCATCGAGAGGCGGAAAAACTCCTATGTTGTTGTCCCTTCAAAACTGTGGCATGATTTTTTTTTCGTTTTCGTTGAATCCCAGGGCACGCATGAAATCACAACCGAATCCATCGAATCTGATGGGTCTGAAGATCAACGGGTCGTCAACATCTCCCGATCGATCGCTCAATGTTGTATTGTCGTAAACACGGGCTTCTTGAGCAGCTCCCAAGATGACAACATGGTACGACACATGGAAGACTGCAAAATATGGGCCATACATCAGTCAATGCTTAGGTAGGTAGTTATCCAACCGCTTGTCACGGTCTCACCTCTGCCCAATCTTGTAAACACGAACGAAACCTTGCCCTAGAGACGCTGTAGTAAGCGGCACTTGTTAGAGTTCTAGTCGACTCATGTAGGTGCGCGGTAGTAAAGACCCTGAATAAACATTGAAATGATTGCAATTAACACTTTGCCCCTGGCTGTCTGTTTACTTGTTATTTCAGGGTCCTTGCACGATCTCGTGTCCCCACACATCTCTCCACCATGGCTGTTCCTGTTGCACACATACCGCCTCTGTTCCGAACGACTGAATGGGGACCTGGTTGCGGGTGCTCCTTTTTTATTCCCTTCACGAGTGACATGATACGAAAATTTGTGGATATGCTAGCATTTTCATCTCACCGCGGCTTCAAAGGGACAAGCAGATTTTTATATCAGTCGAGCGCTTTCGAAGTCTTCACTTTGCTTTCATCAATTCATGTCGACGATAAACTTGTGATGCAGGAACGATAAGGCAGTCCTAGTACATACTCTGCATGAACCCAGCGCAGCACACCCGATGCCCCCACTATCGTCGGTTCGTTCCATCCGCTGAGAAGTACTCAAAGAAACCGCCTGAAATCCCGGCAGGCGATCAAGCAAACACCATGCGATATCACGAATTCTCTCAACGCCATGCAGATGTCAGCGCAAGCCATGCATATCATCGTATTTGAAACATTGTAGTAATGCTTGCAGTCAGGATGGGTTTGTTGGTCTTGATTGAGCATGTGCAATGGGAATGGCAGTTTCAGCAACTTGCATAGCAGAAGCGCGTTAGCTACTACTACTGCCTTATCGTGCATGCCTAACCTACTAACCTACTACACCATGTACTCCGGCGTGAGAAGCCCTAGGACTGGATACCACTCTCATCGCCCACTTTGGGGTAGATCTTCTTGGGACTGTCAAGTCTGGACTCTTGAGTTTTCAATACGCAAGTTAATAAGAAGTCCGGGGGCGGTATCGTACCTCGGTAGGTAACGGAATAGTGTAGCTCTGTAAAAGAGGTGTGGAGATACACATACATAGTTTCATAGCCATTCTGATAGTGAAGAGGGCAAAGGTTTTGCAGAAGCAGCTTTGGCAAGTGTTGGACGAGTCCACCGAGCTTGCTTTGCAGACGGTCCCGGGGGATATCGAATTCACCAAGGTTGATATTGTAGATTGAGCTACTGTTATGGGACTGGTCATGATCTAAGGCTCAGAAAGAATACTCCATGTACTTGCAAGCAGCAGGTAATACTTGAACGGCTACCCTCGGGAATGCTGAAGCCATGTCATCTCCAGTATGAGAATGCAATTGCATTTGATGGTCGGATCATTGGAAAATCGCATCGCATGGGGAAGCAAGCACTTTCTTTTTGATATTTAGAGGCTTGTGCTAAATATGACTGGCTACATGCTACAAGTGGAATGAAAGCCATGGACGGACCAGACCAGATTTACCTATTGGTCCGACCGACTAAGGCAAATTTACCTAGCGAGGCTGCGGCTCTGGGGTCAGAAGCACCGAGTGGGTTCTAGAACATACGGCCGCCAGGACATTTACGGCGAAGCGGCGGACGGAACCCTGACTCCATCATGTCAATTGTTGAATGCAATGATTTTCCTAAAGAAAAAAAAAAACGTTTTGGGGGAAGGCAAAGCTAAAAGGGTGGGAAAATGCTTGGGCCACACATGACGGACAGCCGGGGAACAAACCCAGAAAGCTCCCGATTTTAAGCTCATTCACACATTGGTACATTTCTCCAACACGTAGGCAGCAAGACAGAGATCAGTTGGCGTCGACGTGGCAGCGCTCCAGGTATGGGCGTAAAACTTACCTTTATCCGCAGTGACTCGTTGTGACAATCACCGAATCACGAGGAAATGAGAAGTCACAAGAGAAGTCCGTGATTGTTCCATTCTATTGCTTTCCATATAGCTATTTACTACATTGACGTATCAATCAACAGGATGTGCCTGTACTTAACCTACGTAGCTCTAGCCTCGATTGTCTATCGGTTATAAGTGCACTAACCCCACCTTCACCACGTCTGAATTATTATATTCAGCTGTGTTCACAGTGATATTTCCGGCCTCGACCGGCCCCTTTCTTTCGTCTTTGAGCATTTGCGTCTCGAAATCGAGGGTATTGGCCATTTCCTGATCTGCGCAACCTCGAGGCTATCGCAAGGTTGCCGGCATAATTCACTGGTAAGTCGCATCCATTTACTATCATCGATGCAGGCAGGCGATCTCGGGGGCCAGCTTTGACACATCCGGACACCATGGCGCAATGATTCCACTGTCTGCTGCAATCAGGGTCCCAATTGATCTGCATCCGACGACTGTGGTCACGAGAGGGAAGAATAAGAGAATAGCCTTTTAGGATTTTCCCAATTGCTTGTCATTGATTTTATTGGAAGGGACTGCTCAACGATCCCACTTGCTCTTTTGCCTTTGGATTCGTCGCCGTTCCAATTGGCCGGCCCCCCCAAAGCCCCAGCTCCGCCAGTTGGTTCCGTTCTGACAGCTTCCCTACACAGGTCTCAACCTTACTTTACATTACCTTCTTTCCGACCTCACCTCCATCATCGACCTCGCCCCTATCCGCCTCCCCTTCTTCGACCTTTCTCGGTCATTCTTCTCTGTATATCCTCTTACGGTATTCACTCCTGGTATAATGGCTACCATCTCTGAAAGCACCTCGGCCGCCGAGCGTCTGATGCAGCAGCATGCGGAAAACCACCATGTCACTGTTGAAGATGCCCCCGATGAAGACCTGCCTTCTCGTCCCGCCGCTCCCTCGACCAGCCTCGACGACTTCCCTGCCCTCGGTGCCGGCCCCAACGGTAGCAAGGGCAAGAGCAAGGAGCCCGCTGGTCCCGCCATCTGGATGGCCAAGCTGAACACTGGCGCCAACACTCCCAATGGCACTTCTCGAGCTTCGACCCCCGCCTCCAACACCGGCGTTGCTACTCCTCCCCCTGTGGCCGGCCCCAACACCATGAGTCTGCCTGGCCGCCACAGCGAGGTCATCGTTCTCGATCCCCAGTACATTCTCCCCCGTAACCAACTCAAGCGACCTATCCCCGATCTCGTCAAGGACATCAACCGCAAGTCCCGTGCCAACCTGAACATCTCGTACCAAGGTAGCCGTTTGAGAGTCGAGGCCACTGGTCCTCAAGACCATGCCCAACAGGCCATTCGTGAACTAGTCAACCAGATTGGTACCAAGCAGACCGTCAGGGTGCCCATTCCTCGTTCGGCCCGAGCACACCTCATTGGCAAGGGTGGTGCCACAATCAAGGCTATCCAGGAGAAGTCGGGTGCCAGGGTCCAACTCCCCAAGACCGATGAGGCTCACGGAGCTGAAGATGAGGATGAAGATGCCATCGTTGAAGTTATCGTCGAGGGCAACACTGTATCTGCTGCCGTGGCTCGCGACGCTATTAAGAAGATCGCCGGAGACCACTCTGCCAGCCTGACCTCGAAGCTCAAGAGCATCCCTGCCGAAATCTACCCCTTTATTGCTGGTCCCAACAACAGCCGCCTCGGCGATCTGGAGAAGGAGCATGGTGCACAAATCCGCATTCCTCCTCACCAGCCTTGGGCTCACCCTGTTCCCAAGTCCCAAAACGGCGAGCGCTTGTGGTTTGCTCCTCCTCGTGAGGAGAACTTTATTCAACTTGCTGGTGAGCGGCCCAGTGTTACCGCGGCCCGAGCTGCAATCGAGCGTCATGCTCAAGAGCTTCAAAACCAGCTGGTTATCAACCAGGAGCAGATTCCTTTCAGCAGACACCAGTTTATTATCGGTGACAATGGTGTCCCAGCCGAGGATTTCTTTGCTGAGACAAACTGTGTCATTATCCTTCCCAGTGATCCCAGCCAAGACACGGTGACTATCATTGGCACAGAAGAAGACGTAGCTCGTGGTGTCGACAAGGCTCAAGAGCTTTCCATGTTTTTGAACCAGACATCCATTGATGTGTCAAGATCACACAAGCATGCCAGTGGTGGTGCGCCTTCGTACACAAGGGATGTTGCGCGATATCTCAGACAGAGAAAGGAGATTGAGCGCCTCGAGAAGCTCCACCAAGTCCACATCAGCACACCCATCTCAGAGGGTCTAGGCCTCCCGTGGGATCTCTTCGGTCGTGATGGCAAGAACATTCTCAAGGCTCAAAAGGAGGTCAACTCCATCGTGGGCGGACATCCCCCTTCGCGATTTGCCACTGTTCCAGTTGACCCATTCTTCCACGCATACTTGAAGAGCGATATCAAGCCTCAGGTCCAGAACGACTATGGCGTGCATGTCGTCGTCCCTGAGCCCGCTGATGCTCAGCTTCCCGTGTTGCTGGTATTCGAAGGCGACAGTGGTTCCGAGGCATCCTACCAAATTCCCCAGGCTGCTCCCAACGCTGAGCAGCTCCGCGCATTCCAACAGGGCCTCGAGGATGCACGCAAGCATATTCTTGAACTTCTTGGAAAGCAAGAAGACATCAAGGTCGAGACACTCGAAGTCCCCATCAAGTTTCACGAGAAACTAAGAAAGTTCATCAAGAGAGAACAAGACGCCACAACGCGCAAGGCTGGCGAGATCCCGGTTCGGGTCAGCGTCAAGGGCACCACCATTACCATGCGCGGAACAGCTTCTGCTGTGAACTCTCTTGCCACCAAGTCTCGTGAATTCGTCGAGCAAGAGAAGGAGGACGAGAAAGAGCGTGGCTTCATTCTGAAGTTTGACTTCCCCCAGAAGTTCGCCAACCATCTGATTGGAAAGAGCGGAAGCCACATCAACGAGTTGCGCGAGAAGTTTGATGTTGATATTCAGGTGCAGAACGGAGAGGTTGAGCTCAAGGGTCCTAAGGCCAAGGCTGAGAGAGCCAAAGCCCACATCACAGCGCTTTCCAAGACCTGGGCTGATGAGACGACACACACCTTGAAGATCGAGCCAAAGTACCACCGCGAGCTTATCGGATCTGGTGGCAGTCAAATTAACCGCCTGCAAGACAGATACAAGGTGCACATCAACTTCCCGCGTACCGCTCGCGCCGGCAAGGACGATGAAGCCGCTACCGACGCTGCTAGCGATGCGGGCAAGCCGAAGCGTCAACAAGGAGCTGATGAGGTCGTCATCAGAGGACCCAAGAAGGGAGCTGACGAGGCTCGTGATGAGATCTTCTCGTTGTACTCCTACCTGAAGGATAATTCTCACATTGCTACTCTTACCGTTCAGCAAAAACAGCTTCCTTCTCTGATCGGCGCACAGGGCTCAGCTATGGATGAGCTGCGACAGCAGACTGGTGCAAAGATTGACGTCCCGAATGAGCGCAATGAATCTCCGGATGCTCTGGTTGAGATTCAGATCAAGGGAACAAAATCTCAGGTAGCTGAGGCAAAGAAACTCATTGAGGAGAAGAAGGCCGTTTTCGAAGACACCGTGACAAAATCAGTCGAGGTCGACAAGAAATGGCACAAGATCTTGATCGGACCTGGTGGTAAGTTCTTAATCTCTGGCCGAAAAAGTATAGAGCATTGTCGCTGATAAACTATTTAGGCTCTACTCTTCGGGACATTATCACAAAGGCTGGAGGACCTGACGACCGACGCCTCCAAAACAGATACATTCAATTCCCCAAGCAGGATGCTGACGGAAATGCTATCAAGGTCGAGGGTCGCAAGGATGTTGTTGACAAGATCATTGCCTCCATTGAGAGCATGGTGTCCGAGCGCGCCAGCCAGGTCAGTGAGACAGTTGAGGTGCCAATTGAGAAGCATCGATCTCTTATCGGCCGTGGCGGTGACGCAAAGCGCAAGCTGGAGTCCGAGTTCTCTGTTTCGATCGATATTCCGCGCCAAGGCTCCGGCCAAACAGGCGTGAAAATCACTGGTAAGCCCGATGCTGTAGCAAAGGCGAAGGAGCACATTCAGTCTTCGTTCAAGGAGGAGCCAAGTGAGACTGTGCAAGTACCGCGCAAGTACCACAACGCCATTTCAAACAATGGCCAATTCTTCCGCCGACTTCGCAATGACTTCAAGGTGACCGTAGACCACGCTGGTCAACAACCTCCTGCCAAGTCCAAGTCTGGCTCCGCTCGTAATACTGCAGCCACCCCCCTTATCACTGACGACCCGGAGGAGGTTGCCGATGCCCACTCCTGGAACTTGGTTGACAACAACGCTTCTTCCGAGGAGGGAGAGATCCCGTGGGTCCTGAAGGGCGCTGCCGAGAATGTAGAGCGCGCCAAGGAGGCCATCAACAAGGCTCTCGAGCAAGCTAAGAAGCCCAGCACTACAGGCTACCTTATCCTGGCCGATCCTTCAACCTACCGATATGTCATCGGGCAGGGTGGCTCAAAGGTCAATGCCATTCGCAAGCAGAGCGGCTGCCAGATCCAAGTTCCCAAGGATCAGGCGTCTGATGAAGCGATTGAAATCACCGGCACCAAGGAAGGCTGTGAAAAGGCGAAGGATCTCATTCTGGAGGCAGTCCGGGAAGGCGTTGCATCGCGTAACCGAGACTAGGAGTCGTGGACACACGATGATCTATACTCAGGTCGTAAACAAATCAGCTCTTGGGCGGAGGAGGTGGATTCATGTTAAACAATGAGGTCGATGACTGAACGTGTAATTATGGTTGTTCGTTTCAGAAAAAACAAAAAAGGTATCTGCGGAAAAGCTCTAAAGTTGGGGGCAACCATCGATCAAAGTGGCGTATAGCAAATGATTAGATTGAAAAAAAAATAATTTACATGGTATGATTGGAGCCTAGGAAACAAAAGCACCGGGATTGGTTTGGAGTATGTATGCGCTCAGCGCATGGACGTGAATTGCATCGTCTGTATGGGTCGCTGTATTCCCTCGAGAGCGTTGCGCAGAGTACCGAGGCCTTCAAGTTGTGGCGACATCAGACTCAATTTGCAACAAATTGAAGCATCTCAGACAATATACGTCACCAATTCATTCGAAAACAATAGACAAGTGCTTACATCGGATCGGAACTACACATCCATGGTCCAAAAACAAATACTATCCTTGCTTTGTTCAGAATAGTAATATCTCGTCGTTTCCTTTTGATCTGCCCCAGACGTTCTTTTGATGCCATGTAATCAGAAGGAATGGCTTAACAGCTTCTTCAATAAATTTGTACAGAAATATTCCATCCGACGCCCCGTTGGACTCTTCTACAGAACCATGTGACGTCGAATAGATTAAATCAAAGTACATTTACAAGAAGTAGTATGTTTGAGAGCCATTGCTATTTCCTTGTGATTCTTGCATATACATACTACGTACTTAAGTAGTTATATTCTATCTAAAGTGTATTTTCCATTAAAGCTAGCATGAGAGGAGGTCAAATAAGATGTGAATACCTTGAGTAAGGCCATAGATTGAGTGCTTTAGGAGGTATTGCATCGTGTTCCAGAATTTAAACTCATTTGTTGCCCAGGGCTGTGGAAAAATCCAAATGCAAGGGAAATCTTTTTTGGACAGCTTATTTCTTGTCACGCTCAACGTCTTTTGTACAATTGCACAATAATAACTGAATCGGCCATGAGGACAAAAAGAGAGTAAGAAGACGGTAAAGATTAGCCATAGACATCGGATTATAATCTTTTTCTTTTTCTTTTTCTTGGCAAGACTATTCCTTAAATTAGAGCGGGAGGAAGCGCATCCGTAGCTTTCGGGGGTGGTCTTGAAATGCGGCCTTGTTCTCACACGTAGACATGAAATGAAGAGCAATCTTCCTCAGCAGGCGCGCTCTCAAAAACAATCATTGGAAAATAATGATTGATGTTGAGGCAAAACATGATGTGTATCTGAGGCAACGACCTGTTTTTATTTTTATTTTTCAATGCGTGCAATTTTTTCTTCTTCTGGGACGTTTCAGGGCGCGGCTGCTGAAGCTTTATTTTATTTTTGTTGTCGTGGTAGCATAAATAGAGTTTTCTTCGTTTTGTCCACGATTTCAGGCCGTAACAGGAAAAGGTAACCCCCCGTTGAGGCTACAGATAAGGTTGAGAGTCCTGGATACGCGTGGCTTGGCATGTGCTCCGCTAACGAAGAATACATTCATTACCTACCTACTTTTTGTACGCAGTGCGGTCCTGACATTAGCGAGTGGATTGATGGGGCAGACTTCTCTTTAACTCCAGTGCTGCAGACCGACGCCCCATATCTTTTTTACCTTTGGCCTCCTCATGTCGTCCTGCAATGAAGAGGTCGGTAAGAAGCAAGTGGTATGATTTTTTTTCTTCTCTCTCTCTGAATTCCCCAATAGCCCCCCGATAGCATGTCCAGCTTTATCCAATTGCCGTGGCCCGGCGCGAGATGTGACTGACGCTTCACAGGGGTCTCAAAGCACATGTGCCGATCCCGGTTGTGTGCAATGCTATTGGTCCGTCCTGTGTTCTCTGTGCAATTGCCAGCGCTAGCCTCACCAATCATGAGCAGGCGCCAGTCTTGGACATCTAAAAAGGACGTCTTAAGTCAGGCCTGATATATGGTATGGGCCAATGGAGGCACGGCCAAGCATTTCTTCAAGGCACATTTTTGGCATCGCAAAGAACATGTCGACTGGGTTGAAGATTGTAACCGTGGGGTGATGGAGAAGGGGTTTTCTTCCCTTAGCTATGCATACGTGATCTGTTGCAGGATGAATAAGCTATCCATGTTGACGGATAGGGTCCATGGCTCGCTGTCTGTACCCCATCACGGCGGCTGTAGGAGCCATTTGGTTGGCGTGTGGTCTATTCATGCTATGCAGTCAATCATAAAGTCTCACGACTGCCCCCAACTTGGGCACTGTCACACCCTGCTTGGATTTGTTCTCGAATTCTCCCAATTTCATTTAATCATCTTTCTACCTTTCGATATCCAACCTTGACTTAACACAATCGACTAGTCATCTCCCACCGAATTGCTCAATCGTACCATTCATATTACTGGGCTCATCATCTGAAGATCATCAGCTGCTCAAGAGCCACCCATTCCTGGTGATAATGGCGACCACGACCGCCGCCTTTCCGCTGGCAACAGAGGATCCTTACACGGGAGGACAGGATGCCAGTGCTGGCTCTGCGAATTCAGGAGGTGCCGTAGACGACGCGGCTGGCGCATCTGGTGGTACTTCGGGCGCAGTCGAACTGTCCCACGGTGCTTTGGTCGCAATCATTGTTGTTGTAGTGGTTGTTGCCATTGGTGGTAGTGAGTACACACATACCAAGAAGTCCGAGTCTGCAAAATATCTGACAGGTTTTTACTAGTTGCATCCGCCGTTTTATTCTATTTGGCCAAGAAGAGGGAGTGGAAGGTCAGAGAAAGTATACGCCGCTCGGCCAAGAAGGTCGTGACGGCTCTGACGCCTCGCCGCTCCGAGTTTCCGAGATCAGTCAAGGAGTCTGGAAGAACCTCGCGAGGCCGCACTCGATTGGATGATGTACCTCCCACCCCACGCCTGCGACCAGAAGATATCGAAAAGGGTCTTGCTGCAAAGATTCGACAAAGCCCGGACAGTAGAAAGAGTTCTCGAAAGTGGGGCCACAAGTAAAACGGCATAACCAGAATGATGTATACGTTCCGCGACTTCGGTCTGTATCGGGCTGTGAGGGAGGTTTACAAATTGTTGATCTGTTGCATGGCACGTGGCTGTTGGGAGTTGGAGCGGGACGAGAAGGTCGCTTTTTTCTTTCTTTCTCGATGATGTAAAATTACGCTGCTATGCCTTTTTATGTGTTTATACAGAAATCCTCGGGTATCACATTCGTCTAAAAGTATTTGTGCTAGCACTCCGCCTGGCGTCGAAACGTTTGGCTTTGGGTTGTGGTTCGGCGACTTCTTCGTCCTTTTGTTTCCGCCGCGTCTCTGGCACGAAAGTGACTGACCTCTCTCCGACCACATCGCCAGCGCGATTCTTGGTAACCCGTCCAGTTTTCTGAGCGCGAGATCCCAAGGCAGTGTCTTTCATGGACCGACCACCATTCTTGTTTGACGTAGAAACCCGCATGTCCATGCTGTCCTTACTGGCTTTTGGTTTCCGAGCAGGGGCAACCTCTTCATCTTCACTGCTAGAAGCGTCATCTGACTCGCTATCGCCCTCCATCTTGTACTCTCGCTCGGGCGCAGCACCGTTTGAGGCTTCCACCTTGGTGCTGGGGTTGAGCATTCTGAACTCGTGGGTATTTTCGTCAATGGCGAATTCCTCGTCCTCGAAGATCTTGCCGAAACGGTCATCGCCGAGCATACCAGCATTGAGATCGATCTGTGCTCTCTTTTCTTGGCGCTTGAGAAGGTTGTCTGCCAACTTCTGGTTGACCTTGACCTTCTTCTTGCCACGAATTCTGCTCTCGCGTTCCTTGTCGATCTTCTCCTTGATGCGCTTGGAGCGTTCCTCTTCCCAAGCATACGGGTTGGCGATAAGTCTTGCTTGGTCGTATAGCTTAGAAGCCACAAAGTAACCATGCATGTAAGGGCGCAGCAGACTGGTCTTGCCGATGAGGTGATCCAGGCTGAGCGACTTGAGCTCCGGTCTCGTAAGGAATTTGTAGTTTTCGTACGTTTCGGTCCGCACTTCTTCTGCCATCTCGTCCACCATGTTGTCCAGGAAGCTTGCCCATTTCGGCGCAGGTCCCAGTTCTGGAATGAACCACGCATGCTGTTGCTTGCCTTCATTGGCACTCAGCAACATACCAGTATCCTTGCACCATGCCACAGAGTTGATGTCCACCAGCGGCTCGACTGAGGTCCATGGCTTTCCATCCTGCTCGTCCCATATCTTGACTACACGCTTGTCGGCCGAAAGGATCTTCTTCTCTTGCGACGCAGTGGTCAAATGCTTTAGCTCTTTAACAGCAAAGCCCAGACCCTGATCCTTTTGTAGGAGAGGGACAGGACTTCTGAGATCGAATAGTTTGATCAGTCCGTTCGATGAACCCGTGGCGAGAGACAGCCCCGAGTCACTAAAGTTCAGCGCCGTAATTTCGCCTTCCTGACCACCAATGATGCTCACTCGGTTCTTTGATCTTGGGTCCCAAAACTCAATCGTGCCTATCGAGGTACCAAAGGCCGCTAAATTGTGAGTGCGCTCGGCTTGAGCAGCGACCAGGACGGCACCCACTCCGATGCTGCCCTGCAGACCTTTTTCGACACCCTCGTCGGCTCCAAGATCGATATGGTACGATTTCATGAATCGGCCGACCTCGAGGTTCAGGCGAAACACTTCTCCGTGTCCGTCGGCATCAAGGCCGACAGCGGGCACCAGAGCTTCGGCCGAGTGGCGATCGTAGATGAGATCTCTTCCATATCGTGGTATCCTCGTCTCGTAATGCATTTGGCCTTGTGTATGCAACTCAATCTTACGATCGCTCTGCAAATGTATCGACTTTGTGTAATCACTCGAGAGCAGTTGAAAGGTCGTGTTCAGCGAGGTCGTGTGTCGCGCAAAAGAAAGGGAAAGATGCGAGAGCTGGTGTACGTGGATTTGAGGCTTGTAGGTGCCGGTAGACATCAACCACTCGCCATCATCTGAGACGCGAATGCACTGGCTGGCCTCCTCGAACTCGAAGTCTTGCAGCAGCTCTATCCGGTTCTGGTATTCGGCATCGTTTTTCAAGCTGCGTTTCCTGCGACGAGCGAGCCAGTCTGGGAGGGGTCGTGCTGTCTCGGCGCCTGCGACCGTGTAGACGGACACATCGCCAGTCTTCTCGGCCTTCATTGTGCTTTAACAAGGTCGGGAGTATTGGTGCGCTGCGTAGAAGTGTAAAATGAAGCCATCCCACCTTCTGGCTGGGACTTCTCAAAAAAATATTATGGCGACCGACAGACTAGGCACTTATCGATAAGCCGGGCCCCACGTCGGTCGGCGCTAAGGGATTGATCCTCAAAAATGTTAGAACTACGTACTTCGTACGTACGTACATTTTAGTTCGTATCCGTACCATTCAACGGCCTCCACATGAACATTGACTGTGTACTTAGGATCGATGCACTCTGCAATGTTATTGCTACTATGCAATCCTGCACATTACGACCACAAGGGTAGAATTTCCAGAAAAGATATAGTTGCATAAATCATAAACCTTAGATTATGATGCGTATATAGTTGACCCCTCGTCCATTTCAGTGGTAATTCTCACCAAACCCGTGTACCAGAGGAAACTCCGACTTTCAGATATATAGTAATTCTTATGGTATATCTAGTATACAGATCAAGTTACAAAGTTTCACGAAGGAAAATGAAAACACGTCGTCTGTTTCTGCTCAAGGCAAAGAAATATAATTGATTTCTACCTATTCCGTAATACTCAGTCAGAGATTCTGGAGAAGCCTAGCATTGAGCAGGCCCCTACTGGTACATATTGTGCTAGCTACGTACTACCTTATTACAGCAGCCAGAGCCAGCTAACCGGAGCAGCTTGGGCTCCGCTGCTCAATGCGACTTTGACTTTTGTTGATTGGTCAGCCTCAACCATCAGCGGAGACCTTCAGCCAGGATGGCGAGCCGCGACTCATTCTCAGGGTATCTCTCTGGTACCTACCTACCAACCCTACCTGCCTCGACAACCCAAGCCTGGTGACTCTTGTGGCGCGCGACATCGACCTCCTCCTCCTTGGCAACACAATTACATCGCTCGAATTGCAAATTGACGAATGGGAAAGGCGTACAATCGATCACGATAGATACAACTCACGCGCCGCTCATTGTTCGACCCGATCTGGAGTCGTTGAAATGGGGACGAGCACCTTCTGTGCGTGACCATCGAATGCGACTACCGCGCTTGCCTCGATGCGCGCCGAAGACATACAACCTGCCATTCCATCGAGGCACTCAGATCCCCCGTCGCGGCCATTCGGTAGCTCCCTCTGAGTCTTTGCTTGGCCCGTATCAGTCGCTAGAAAATAGATACGGGACCAGAAGCTTGATAGAAACAGGATTTACGACATGGACCCTGCTGAATATGAGACTAATGTTCTAGTTATTGTAGGTGATGACTGTGTCCCTTGAGTGCCCTTTTTTTGTATCTCTACCTAGAGGCAGACTGACAAGGCTTGCCACAGAATAACATATCTGCCGTCGCTTATGCTTTCTACGAACCGGAATCACCACCCTCAAACTTCTACGTATCAGGAGCGATCGAATTCGAGGGCGCACTGCGGAGCGATGGCCATCTGGTATATGTCGATGCCGCCCGGCATGGCTTGTGGTGTTTCCGCTTGCAAAAGAAAGATGACCCGCCAGGCTCGCCGAGCTTCGCAAAGACGTTTGACTGCCAAGGGCTCAACTTCTTGTTAGTCGAGGATGGCCTATTTGAGCCCGCGAGTCTGCTCAAGAGCCGAGGGTATGGCGCCAGTGCAATCAATACACCTAGTAGTTCCTCCTCCAGCGCGTCAAACCCTCTCGATGCGGGACTCAGGGGCGTCCAGGCGGCTGCCTTTCCGGGTAGTCTAAACGATCAGGAGGTGAAAATGTCAGTGCAGGAGACCCGAGGCACAGCCACGACCACCGTCAGAGATGCATATCAGCACTTCATCTCGGCGGTTCTCTCTGCCTTGTCATCTACATTATGCAACACATCAGGAGCTCTACCCTTGAATTCGCGAACCCTGCTTTTGCCACAACGAATACAGGAGGAGAGTGGCATGAGCATACCCATCTTGACCTCATTGCGGGTGTACCTGACAACTACTGGCTCGCTTGTTGTCATGCTCCATGCCAGCTCCGTGAAGGGTCTCCACTCCCTATCCGAGTACGCATACCCGCCATTACAGGGTATCACGGTTCTTGCGGCGCCCCTCGGCGTGTTCGCGACTTGTCAAGCTGTCGCCGACAGTGAATACTCGTCGAATAATAGCGCCATGCCACAGTCTCCCGATACGCAAGTGTCTCGGTTGCGTCCAGAAAGAGAGTCAGGACACTGGCGGTCAATTTGCGCAAAATTGTTACAAGCAAGAAATCTGCCTTCCCCGATCAGCGGTACACAAAAATGGCTCAGCTTGCAGCGTGTTCGGAGGAAACCTATTGACCAGAGCTATGATGGAAAACGAACACCAATGATCACGGCCGCTCCAACCAGCCTCTCATGGCCATCGAACCTTTGTTTTTGCAAAGGTCTCTCCAGACTTAGCATTTCGGATATGCCATCTTCGAGTCCAGATGGTAGTTACGATCCTTTGGCAAATGCAAAAACCTGGTTCAACAGTACGACGGAACGAGAGGAACTTCTTGCCAGGAGGAAGCAGGAGCGAGAAGCAGCCGCTGCTCAGCAGTCTAGCACGGGCAGCCAACCACAGCCTGGAGCTGGGCTTTCCCCCATTGCCCTGCATCGGCCCAGTAATGCCGGAGTGCCTCCAGGCGCAATGTATCCAACGCCACCTGATGGCGTGCAGAATGCAGTCGGGTTTACTCCGTCGATAGACGGAACCATATCCAGCCCAGGACACCAGCCAATTACGACTGCCGTGGTCGAAATCGACACAACGGTGAACATGCCACCGGAAACTTTTGCAGATGCCTGGGAAAATCCAGAACCTAAGAGGGAACGGGGGGGCAGCTCGTTTGAGTCTGAAAATCTTTTCGGTGATCTTGGGCCAGACATGTTTGGTGACAATGATATAACCGACGCCGACTTTAGTTTCTTCGATGAGCAACCTGGCGGATTGGACATGACACTCGATAGCGTTGACTTGTCTGGTGCAGACAGGCTTCTCGACATGACCCAGGACTTCCACACTGCGCCAGTCACTGATGTTACTCCACGTCCACCAGTGGCACCTCCGCCATCAGCGCCTCCTGCACCCGTTTTTGCGAAACCCGAACTCAAGCATGCCAGAAGCTCCCTGAACGAGCAGCCCAGACGTAATACCGAACCTGACGTTGAGCGACAGCGATCCATGACCGTTAAAAGACAAGCCAGCCCGTTTACTCCTGATACGGTGTTCAAACGGATTAGGGCATCCATTGATACACGCAGCATGCCACAGCTCAAGTCCAACTGGAGCACACCGCAGCCGGGGAGCATATTTGACAAGGTTGAGTTTAGCCCCAGCCTTTCTCTTGTCAATCGCAAGTACCACGGGAATGGTCGCTTCAGCTTCTCGCTCAATCGAGACCAAGCATCGAAACCCTACGTTTTTGAGGCGCCACCTACAACAGGATATCTACGACGTCACGGAAAGGGCCGGAGGGCACTCAAAGACCCCCCTGCCAATGTTGGTGAGCTTTTTGCACGCATGACCAAAGGTCCTGGGATTTCTTCTCAACATCCAAGTCCAAGCAAGCTTGACGACCCGGCATCGGATGCCGATGAAATGAGTGTCGTGTCCGATCAAGATGACTCTAGCTACGATAGTGACGAGCCCTCATCGCCCGGCAAGACTGGAAGCGTTCGTAGGCGGCGATTGGATGACGATGAACAATCACTTGCTACCTCATTCAGAGAGCTTGAATACCCGGATGCCGCATCGCCCCATTCATCGGTAGACCTTCCAAAATTTTCAAAGTCGGATGTCGACCTACCCTTGGCGAGATACTTTGCAGATGCTGAGCCATCGAGCTCACAATTGATGATTCCAGACAATGACTTCGTCATAGCGGCGCAATTACTGACGGACCAAGCTTGTACAAGCACTTTGGGCATTGCAACTGATCCAACAGTTTCGCTACAGTCCAAATTGAGCCGTTGGCGGGAGCTGCTTGCAACAACAAATCTTGTTATGCAGGAGCTTCGATCTGCGTTGCCATCTTGGTTTGTCGACCTGGATGAGCAGCTTTTCAAGCCATTCCTAGAAGTGCAGGACGTTCCTCTGCTGGGACAACCATCACGGATGCAGCCCCGTCCACCTGGAGCAGAGCAACTGAAGCCGAGCAATCCATTCCAAATACCCCCACCGCGCTTTGAGATGAGACGTTATGACTCGAAACTTTCTGTTCTTCCCTCTGCGGTGACATTCTGGGAAAGCTTGGGCCTCGGTCCGTCCAACGGCCCTAAAAATATTCATTCTGTCTGCATATATCCCGATGCTGAGGGACTCGCGGACGATGTCGATGGCTTCTTGGACAAGATGCAGGGCTCATATGAGTCTCTCAGACTTGGTTCCTTTAGTCGCATGTCTGCTTCTCCCGATTTTCCCGGCGGGCTTTTCCCGCACGAGCTGGAAGCTTCTGGGCAAGATTTCAATGTAACAGGTTCAATCCTGAGCGCGTCACTTCTCAATGGACTGACGAAACTGAGTGATGTGCTATCACATCTCCCAGTCAAGGAAACCAACGTTGTTGTCTTTTTTGTATACTCGACGAGTATACCTGCATCGCCAGCCGAGTGCTGTTATGCATTCCATCAGCTGTTTGAAAGATATAAGAAGTTGCTACTTAGTAGTAGGACGCCGGTTGAGAATGATCTCGTGTTACAACTAGTCCCAATGGACTTCTTGGCATCAACCAACTCGATGTGCAGCCCATCGCCGCACGACTATGCTAGACTGGCAGTCGAAACATATGACCGCTGTACCATGTTTGGGGGTGCCATGCCGGCGCCTGCCATTGTCCTGGAGCAGACGATCCCGCGCATGATAGATTTCAAGCTATCAACCACACCCTCTGCATCGCTTCTTCATGAGAATACATGCCTTCACATTGCTTATGCACAGAGTGTGGATGAGCGATGGGTCACGGCTGCATGGACGGACAATCGCGGCAGTTTACAAATGACTGCGTCATATTGTCTTGGCCGAAAAGGCAAAACCATTGCCACGCCCTTTGTTGACGTTGGTCGCGAAATCTGGGAAAGCACACACGAAATGATTAGCACTCGAAAGGTGTCCTGGAGAATCATCATAACCAAGTGCGGCATGATGGATCAATCGGAGATTGACTTGTGGTCCGGTCTAGCACAGACGGAATCCAGAGCAACGGTAACATTGACACTCATCACCGTGGATACGGACCCATCGCTCCAGCTCCTGCCGCCAGAGGTGAAGGTGGCCAATAACGCTACTGGTGTCTTTTACACAACTCCCGTCTCTACACCTCAGCCATCAATGGTGTCGCCTGAACAGTCCGGGAACCCACCTACGCCGTCTTTACGCGACGCAACAAGTGCACCGACACCGGGCGGTCCCGGCGACGCGACTGCCGAGTCGGACGCAGAAGCAACTCTTACCGATGTGACTGATCATACGTGGGGCTCAATCCTGGCGCATCGACTTAACAACTCTACGTCCCTCACGGAGCTGTCTCCAGCAATTGTGAGTGGCTACTTGCTCAAGAAGGGTGGCAGCAGACTGGAGGATCCACCCACCGTGATGGAAGTCAACATTGTTCACAACGAGGGCAATCCAAGGGCTTATGAAACTCTGCTCCGGGAGATGCTTACATACTTTCGGGGATTGGGTACCCTAGCACGGGCAAGGGGGATGACCAACAGGGAAACAGATATTCGACCTTGGCACATTGCTGCGGCCGAGAATGGATCGCGGGCTTTATACAATCTCATGTGAGGAAAGACTGCCCGAGAGCTGTTAGGTACAGGAGGGGAACACATGAGTTTGGTTTGACAATACCATTTAAGCGCATTTGGAGTGGGTTAGATATCCCTTGAAATTATACGAAATGAAGTATATACTTGTCTGACGGGCCTGATTCGATGTTCTTGCTATTGATTAACTCATCGCTCCTGATATTTTGCCCCCTTTAGCTACGTGCTATGAAGTATTCCCGTGCTTCAGCGCTCAGCGTATGTTGTCTCTATTTGCGTCTTCACCCCGATCTGACCCTTGGGAGGAATGTAGAGTGCCTCCTCGCTCGAATTATCATCCAAAACGCTGTGGCCCATTCCGGCACCGGCCACCTTTCCGATTTCCGTCCTGTTGATCCCACTTTGCACTGTGTCACGTAAAAGTCAGCCCATCGATGCAGTAGAGGATGAATGAAACAGATATGGGGGGGGGGGGGGGCTTTCGAGAAAATAAAAAAAGACTCACATCCAAAACGATCGCCGCGCTCGACGCTGCGGAGTTCCATGGTTCCATTTTTGCTGCGGCCGAGGCCCGACGACTTGAGGTACGAGGATCCGTTGCGACCACCCTTGCCGGACTGGTTGTACGAGGAGCCCAACAGGCGCGGGGCGTAGCGCGAGGCAATGGGCTTGAAGGACGGGATCGATGCGGCCAGAATGCCGATGTTTATTTCAATAACGGACCAGTACATGGCGCCCGAAATGACATAGGTTGCGTCCAGCGCCGTCAGCATTTGTGGGATAAAGGTGATGCGAATGATTGAGGATACACAGGCACTGAGAAGAAAGATCTGTTAGTGCCTTGTCGGTTTGTCATATTTGATCATGGTTGAGAGAGTGAAGAGGAGTTGTGACTTACAAGAGACCCAGGCACAGAATGACTGCCAGTCCAATTTTTTGTCTCCGGGGCATCTGTAAGTTGACTATGACACGGGTTTGGTGGTTAGCCTGAAGGACTCGAAATACAATATACAACCTATTAAGTGCTCCATGAAATGATTAGATCAAAACGTACTGATGAGCTTAATGGGCAGCGTATAGGTGAGAAGATCGGTAAAAATATTGACAGCGGCATTGGCCAGATAAAAGGCATTGATATTGACACACTTCTTGTCGGTGATGGTCTGATCGTAAGCGGCGGCCACGGGGGAGCACTGAAAGATGCAAGCCATAACGTTGCCGCTGGCCTGGCACCCGACGACGGCAATCATGACAACGGCCAGGCGGCGGAGGAGCCGGTCCCCGAGCCGCATGTAGAGGGCCAATACCGAGATCTTGATGAAGCCCAGACATGCGTTGTAGAAGATGGAGCTGAACCACACAATCTGCGAGTACGGCGTCAGGTTGTTGTTTTCGTGGGCCATGGCTTCTTCAATGTGCATGCCCATTCCATGTTGGACAGCAGCAATACAAGCGGCCATGAAAGCCCACGATAGTAGGACTGCAATGCTAATGAGGGCTGTTTGTTTTAAAATCTCAAAGTCAGCATGCCTTGATCTTTTCAAAAAGCTTGAAATTGGGGTTTTCTATCTCAAAGAGAAGAGAAGAGAAGAAGACAAAGACAAGGTAGTCCCGAGCTGAATCCATATACTCACCATCATCAAAACCCACATGCTTCACCAGGAAGACACGAGCCCATAAACGCAGAGTGATCACTATGGCCGAGATGACGCCAAACACTATGGCGACGGCCATGATCGTCGGACCCTGAGAATCGGAGGCCATGGTGTCTGTCTGGGGTTCTCAACTTGTTTTCGCCGCACAGTGAGAGGATGGGGGAACTGTCAAGGAGCGTGGTTGTGCGGCGAGGGCCCGATACGCGAGGGAGGGAGAGATGTCAGGATATTATGATGAAATGAGTGTGAGAACTGGCAGTGAGGAAACCATAGTACGTGGATGTATCCTGTTCCAAAGATGAACTTCAATCCGCTTTCCGCGCTCGACTTCGCCGTGTGGAGGAGGAGGTCTTATTCTCCTAACTTTCTAGCGGCTTAAACCAAATCGCCGGGCCGTACCTGGTGGACGCGCCGTCTCTGGGGAAGATCTTTGTTGGTTTGGGGGGTCATCCAGAACGAAAAAGGAAAAGAAAGGAGACATGGCCCGGTGGCGATCATTCCCTTGCTTCGTTCTCTGTTGGAGAGTACAGTAGTAGTTTGCTAGGGGGAAGGGCTTTGCTTCTATGCAGTATGTAGCATCGCCAAGCATCATACAAAGTACGGGAGAAGGGGGAAAAGTGCAACGGTGCGAGTTGATTCTTTGCTGTATGTGACAGTGGCTGGTCAGGCCGAGCAGGGGTATTCCCTTTCGCAAGACAGGACCCCTTACATAGTACATATCTCTGGTGCGTTGTAGACTTGGACTATGCAGGTACCTAAAGGCAGCGAGAAAGCCGAATGTCGAGTCAATCATATGCACCGTCGTTGTCCTCGGTGAGAAATTTCGACCCACTATGAAATATCTCCGACGTGATGCCACGAGTAGACTTGTCTCGACTGTGGATAACATGGTGTACTATATAGATGCTGCTGACTTGTTTCTAGCCTGGATATCACAAGAACCGCCTTGAACAGAACAACTCAGTTAGCGATGCAATTCCTACTCGCAATTCTTGCAGCACACGAGCCAGCCAATAGCTTCATCATCCCATTAGCAAGTCATGGGTGCGGAGGAATTGTTTATACTTTGGGTATGAGCCGCGAGATGAGTCTCGAGGGTTGAAATTCAATTATAATGGAATGCTACGCAGCTCGATCTTCAGGGGACCTTTCCTCGCATGGGGGAGGGGCCATGGACGAATTACCCGCGCGTGCCAAATGTTGCACGACTGATATGGCTGCAAACTCGAGAGACTACGTACTACTATACTAGTAGTCAAGTTTGTGACGATCTACCTTCGGATCGGAATGAGAGGAGAATTTTCCATGGAGACGTACAATCATGCGGTGCCCTGGAAGAGCCAGGGTTCTCTCATGGGGGGGCATTGGCAATGGGCAATGACATTGGCTACCGGAAAGCTGGCCGAGAAGAGCCAAGGATTCGCATCCTGTGCCTGTCAGGCATTTGAAACCGTGATCCTTTCCCGGATTATCATACTGCATGCTTGTCGATAATGCCGTGTCACTCTACACAGAATAATTGTTTTGATTATGGCCACATGTTCTTGGTGGTTTCGGCAATTCCAGAGTGAACAGGAGGCATAAATCTTGGTTCGAGAAGAGGTGCTTACCTAAAAACTGGGCAGTGTGCACCATGTCCGCCTAGCAGGACTAGAACAGGCACCAAGGATGCGATTATTTTAGTCTGCCGCAGTTCAAGTGGGTTTTATTATTTTGTTAGCTACGTTTCGAAGAAGAGATATGCATTGTCTTCATGCTCGGGATTTGAAAGTTATACGTAAGGATGAGACTGTATTATATCCTAGCTTGCTCATTCTTTCCATTTTGTATCCTTGACCGGTGAATCGGTGTGTTGCCGAGAACTTCATAAATGTTGCTCTCTATGGTATAATCAGAACAGAGATCTGCGAGATCTGCAAACGGTGCTTTCGGTCACCTGGAAGGCTGAGCGATGGAAAGCTCCCGAGGCTCCTCCTTTGATCGTCGACTTATCTCGGTATTGTGAGCCGAACGTACGATTTTCCCCTTGATATCCTTGATATGCAAATTCACAACATTGACCCAATTGCTCATGTACGTACTCGGATCTTTCTTGTGCGACTGTGATGAGCTTCTACGGACCCAGTATAATGCGCGTGTCGTGGACTTATACCTGCATCATACATCATCATCTGTCATTTGCACATAACCATGTAGGGTCTCAGTCTACACCACACTGGGTATCGACTGCGAGACGGCGGCACAGCAAAACAAACCACAGCCACGATGCAACGTCGTCGCATTAGTGTATGGTATAGACCATCGGCCCCTCCTCCCGCCCCCTAACGCCTACACTAAAAGGTTAGTATATTAGTGTATGGTTTAGGTAGGTACAGAGACCGGACTTTTATATCCGTGCCAACCCTGTTTTACACCAAAAGTCACCATATTCAAGTGTTTACCAATAACCTGAAAAAAATCGTAAAATTAAGCTAGAACCAATAATCTATTTATATTTAATAGAAGAGCATTTTATATTATTTGATCTTTTTATTCTATTTTTTTTTAAAAAATTAGAAAAATTGTGAAAATTGAACGATGGTTAAAAATACGCTAATTTTGGTGGGGAAACCATAATTTTTCCTATTTAGCTTAATATATATTGCTATATTATCGTATACATTATATAAAAATAAAAAAAAAGTCTGAAAGTAGTAAAAGTTAGTAATTTATTTTTTATTTTAGCTATTTACGGATTTTTTCTATTTTTCCTGGGATATAGGTACGGGAGTGAATATAGTGACTTTTGGTGGGAAATAGGCCGTGCACGCATATAAAGTTCCGGTCATTGTAGTTGTGTCTATTTGGACACAGAGCACTAACGTAACCGTTCAATGACTACCACTGGTATCCCGAAGTGAGCATGCTCGAGTCGGACTAAAGTGTGTAGGTTTTTAGGTAAGCTGCTACGGTCAACCAGATGATCTATCGTCGGGGCTCAGCCGAGCACTACATTACTTGATGCGTAGTTGTGTAGGTAATGCCCAATAGGGCAATAGATGACAAGGAAAGCCAGGCCCACTGGGTTAGCCAGGGATCAGGGTCTTGAAAAGGGCAAATAAAAATCACCAACTTGCCAAGGAAGAAAAACACAGCAACAAGAAGAAAAAGCCTCAGTTGCTTAGGCAGTATTGACTAAGATGTATTTTCAATGTCTAGAACGTCCCTTGGAAGCGCTGAGATCAGCGGTGGGCCAGTGTTTGAAATGCTCCTTCACTCCTCGTCAAATAGAATTGATCATCGTTGCCCATAATCCCATAACCCATGGTCCATATTTCATACTGCTACTTACCTACTCGGCAACTCGGAGCTCAAACGGTCCAATACCTTGCAACTTGTTATTCGAATCGTGGTCGGAGCCGGAACCGAAATCACCTATAATTTCTTGCGTCGCACCTTGTCTCTGCCCGCGGGCTTCATCAAAAGGTAAATGCTTCTTTCTTTGATAGGTCAATGCCCGGCTGTATGTTTTCCGGCTCATGTCCAACACGTAACTCGTACATCTGGGTGTCAATTTCACGAGGTTACGGCGCTAAACAAAAGCCTCCGTGGTTGCCAGAGAAGGGAGAATGCTGGGGGGGCTTGGCTGCTGACTACTCGGCATTCGCACAGGTTGGCCGATAGAAAGAGACAAAAACTGCCGACGAATACCCTGGAAATTTTCTGGCATCGCTTGATATTTTCCAGGTCCTGATTTCGTTTACACTTCCATCTTGAGACAGTACATTGTGTCATTCATGACCTGGTCAGTCGAGCGAACCAGATGACCGGTAAATTTGGTTTTTTAATGGACCAAGGATGCAATACCTCTTCTTCTTCTAGTCTGAAAGAACTTGACTCGAGCTTCTACCACTAAATTGCACTAAAACATAGCAAAGACGAGGAGTTGAACAAAGCCCTTCAGCCCTCCTAGATCGAAAATCCTCTGCCCACATAGACTGATAGACGGCTAGTCAGGTTGTTTAGGACCACCCACCGGCCCTTTCTGGGAGTTGAAAGGGTCGAAGGGAGGGCGATCGGGCAGCGTCCTACCGGCCCGCAATCGTGGGCGGTGGCCCCCCTTGGTGTCCTCGGGCGGAGAATACTCCAAAACGAACTGGAGCAGTGGATCCCGACAAGGGTCGCGGAGTCCGGGAAGAACCATGGGAAGTGAGGGGAGGAGGGCGCCGGAACAAGGAAAAAGAACGTTAGTGGTATCGTGATGGGCGATCGATGCCTCTACTCCAGCATATTCCTCCTCTTGCATCTGGATGATGAGCCCCATAAGGTAATATCGCAAGGCAAGCGAATAGTAGTAGTAAATACATATGGAGGAGGGTTCCATTGAATCATGCTTGTCATCCAGAGCCCCAGAGAATATGTGCAGTGAGAGATTATCAGACTTATTACATTTACCACTCGCATGTGCCAGAAGATTACTCGTAACATGCTAGGTAAGAATGGCATGACTATCCAGCGTTTCATTTCTTACCTACGATATACACTACGTACCGAGTACACTACCCAAGAAACTTGGTACAGCACTCAGAAAAAATGTAGCCTAGTCCCTGAACGACAAGAACGAGTATATGCACCCGATCCATGCACCCTGGCCTTGGCAACGGCCTTGTAAAATAAAGCAGATGATGATTGGAGAGAGCAAAACGGGCGTCTCACGTACAGTATACTAGGTTAGTGTAGTGTACACTATGTACGTATGTATGGGATGGCTTGCTTGCACTCTGTATGAGTATTTCGTCACCAGTCTCTTCCTCAGGGGTCCGCTGATGTGATCATCATTGATAATGGACCCGCGAAGCCATTACGGTGCCACAAAGAGCAGCTTGTCCGTTGGTCTGCGGGCTGCCAGAGCTGCATTGTGTAACAGGGGTTTTGCTGGGTGAGTATAATTCTCCATTTGAAATGAGTTCCTAGACAAGTTAGGTATGGGTTGAACCATTTTACGTCTGGGCCTCCTCGGCATGAACTGGATGGACCTCGCAATCCCCCCGGCCCGATAAAGTATGTGATTGTCGCATCGAATCATGGTACAACCATCCTAATCGTACTCGTGCGACTGGCTGGTTGTTGTCGTTCAATGCCCACCCCCAACCTAATTCAACTTTCTTAAGAAGTTGAGGGGGGAAACAAAACATTGGAACTTTTCGACTTGCCTGACTCAGTTGTCGTGGTAATTTCGAGTACGTGATGGCGTTGCTCAGTGTAAACAACTTTGCCCTGCTGGGCCTGGCGTATATCACCTTCAAGATTGTGTACCAAGTCGTGTACTACCGCTTCTTTCACCCTCTGGCCAAGTTTCCTGGACCTTTCTGGGGCAGCGTAACGCGGCTCTGGATCGCCTACCACAATGTCAAAGCAGACGAGCCCGAGGTCGTGAGGGCTTTGCACCAGAAGTATGGTAAGTATACTCATGGAAAGCTTCCTAAGAGGAATAGGAAAGTATTTAGAGACAGTCGCTGACCGAGGAATGACAAAAATGTGTAGGCCCAATCATTCGCATCACGCCCACGATGCTCATCGTGAGCGATGCGACCAAGCTGCCCGACATTTACAACCGCAATGCCAACAAGTCCAAGCACTACATCACGGGCAGCTTTGGCGAGACAGAGTCCATGTTCAACATGCAGGACCACAAGGTCCACGCCTACTTTCGCAAGATCGCCGCGGGACCGTACGCCTTTTCCAACATTAAGAGGATGGAGCCGCTCCTCGACAGCAACATTGAAAAGTGGCTCGGTAAGCTCGATACGCTCTTCGCGTCAGACGGCAAGTCGTTTGACTTTTCGCCCTGGGCCGTTTATATGGCCTACGACATCATCTCCGAGGTTGGCTTTGGCGCACCCTTTGGCTTCATTGAGCAGGCCAAGGACGTTGAGGGTCTGATCCAGGGCTTCCACGACGGTCTGGTCCCCTTTGGTCTGATGGCGCGCCTCTACCCCTTCACCAACTGGATGAAGAGCACCTTTTTGGGCAAATACATGGTGGCATCTCCCGAGCAGGAATCTGGCATCGGCACATTGATGCGCTTCCGCGACAAGCTCATTAAGCAGCGATACGAGGATATCGAGGCGGGAAAGACGGATGGACGAATCGATCTTCTGCAGGTGTAAGTTGGCGGACACGTATCAGCGCACATGGCATCAGATCAATCGACTAATGAAATCCAATATCAGGTTCATCGAGGCACGAGACGACAAAGGCCAACCCCTAGACCTCGACTACATCAAGGCTGAGATTCTGCTGGTTCTCCTCGCCGGAGCCGACACGACGGGCACGGCGTTCCAAGCATTCATGAAGCAGGTCATGTCGCGGCCGGACGTGTACGAGAAGATGATGGCCGAGATTGACGGAGCGACGCGGGCCAAGAAGCTATCGGCTATGCCGCAGTACGAAGAAGTGCTGGAGCATTGCCCCTACTACATTGCGTGCGTGCGCGAGGCCATGCGTCTCAACCCGTCGGCGCCCAACATCTTCCCACGCCTCGCCCCCAAGGGCGGCCTCAACTTGTTTGGCAAGTTCGTGCCCGAGGGCGCCGAGGTAACTTGCAACCCCTGGATCGTCCACCGCGACCCCAACATTTACGGCGCCGACGCCGACGAGTATCGCCCCGAGCGTTGGCTCGATGCCGAAAAGGCCAAGGAGTTCAACAAGTACTCCATGACCTATGGCTACGGCGCACGCGTCTGTCTGGGTCGCGATATTGCAAACATGGAACTGTACAAGGCGCCTCTGCAATTCTTCCGCACTTTCAAGCCAACCATTGTCAAGCCGGGAACGTACATTTACAAAGGTGGCATTTCTTATTTCGAGGACATGGAGATTTCCATTGAAAGGAGGGCCCAAGTTGTCTAGGCGCAACGTGGTTTTGGTTGTATATATCTCTGATCTTTTAACATTGGCAGTGTGATATCCAAAAATAACAATGATTCTGTTCTTTTTCATTAGGTATACTTGCTCAATTCCGTAATGTCGTGGTATCTGAAGTGGAGACATGTGGTATCTGTGTATACTCTAATTTCTAAAATTGGTCATGATTCCTTATTTATCGTTATGGTTGCTGTTGCAGAATGATTTCCTAGTTCAAAAAGTTGGGGAACAGGTATTCGGCCCTCTTGAGAGCCTCTGGGTTCCGGCCTTCGGGCTTGGTCATGAAGGACACAGCGTTCTTGCTCTGGCCCTCCCAGTGCTTGGCAGTGACAAGGTCGCTGTTCTCTTGCTTGGAAAGCTCGTCGAGCACGGCGCCGACCAGGCGCTTGGCGTTCTCGCCGTTGGTGTTCATGTAGTGGAAGACCATGGAGACGTCCACATCCTCGCTAGTGTGCCAGCAGTCATAATCGGTGGCCATGCAGATCATCTGGTAAGCCATCTCGGCCTCACGAGCGAGCTTGGCCTCGGGAAGAGCCGACATGTTGATGACGGAACCGCCCCAGGACCGGTACATGTTGGACTCGGCGCGGGTGGAGAACTGAGGTCCCTCTGTAATTCAAAGATTAGCGATCCAATTTGATGTGTGATGTGGAAAGTAAGAGGTGTGGCAGTACGGAGAGGCGAGCAAAGACATACCCATGCAGATTACCGTTCCCTTGTCGTGCAACCTCACACCATCGCCCTGCATGGCGGCTGCGCACTTCTTGACGACATCCACAATCTTGCTGTCAAAGGGGTCGCCAAAGGGAACGTGGCCAACGAGACCGCCCTCGAAGAAGGTGAAGGGGCGGATGCCCTTGGTGCGGTCAATGATCTGGTCGGGAACCACAAAGTCCATGGGCTTGATCTCTTCCTGAAGGGAACCGACGGCGCTGAAGGCAATGACGCAGCGCACACCAATGTGTCTCAGGGCGGCGATGTTGGCGCGGGTGGGCACCTCGTGCGGCGCATACTGGTGGTGGGCGCCATGACGGGCGAGGAAGGCGATGGGGACGCCGTTGTGCTCGAGAATGAGGATCGGGGCCGAAGGCTTGCCCCAAGGCGTCTCTGGGTTCAGCTGTGCGATCGGGGTGTAGCCATCGATCTTGTAGAGGCCAGTACCGCCAATGACGGCAATGTGGACCGGTCCTATCGATTAGACATGGTCAGGATTCTTTTCTTTTGAGGTCATTCATCTCGGGTTGTTGCGCCGTGGGCGAAGAAGTCGAGGTTGACTGAAAGAATGAAAGCAAGATCGCGATTCGCAAATGATGTCGCGATGGCGGGGTAGTCGCAAAAAAGATGTAGGAAAAAAAATCTTTGGAGGGGCAGACACGGGATGCAGATCAAACTCACGGTCGAAGGTCTCAGGAAGGGACGTCATGATGGCAATATATAAAACCTCGAGAGCAATAGAATGCAACAAGATACAAGTAAACGAGAAATAAATTAGACAGGGAAAAAAAAGTGGTAGACTTGTAATCGGGTAGCAATCGATTTTGAGGTGAAGACATCGAACGCGACTAGACCCCTGCGATTCACCACACCTAATAACGGTACCTACATCCACTACCTAGGACCCCGCGGTCATGGTCGTGGTGGAGGGGCAGGCCTAGAGTCAGTCCAACGATGCCGGTTGGTCAGCGAACGGCAGGCCAAAGATGACGCACGTTTCGTTATTCAGTACTAGATAGGCAATTTTTAGTAGTGTATAATCGTCTCATTCAATTAATCCATAACTCAATAATAACTCAGTGAATCATCACCAGCGCCAAGATGGAATTTTACAAGTCTTGCTTTACCCTTCATTTCCGATTCCAACATGAATTCTTCACCAACCTAAAACCCAAACTATTCATCACAAGTCCAATTCTCATAAGCTGTCACTTGTGATTGACGGCAACTGGCCAATCATGTTTGGTTATTATGTTCTCCTTATTTAGCTATATGAGGATTGATCTAGGCAACCTTTTTTAATGATGCCGACGAGATGGCGGAGTGAATCTCTGCCTCGGCTCCATCTGGCAGAGGCAACAAAGGTGACCTAACTGTTGCGTGCTCCAAGATTCCCCTGGCCACCAGCGCGTGCTTCAGAGCAACGGTGCCTTCCATGTGTGAGCCGCGGTGATACACTGACTTGGTGACTGGCAGCAGCTGGTCGTGGATACTCCTCGCCTTGGCGTAGTCCTTGGCCTTGCCCGCCTTGATCATCTCGATCAGGGGCTCCGGCGCAATGTTGCCGTATCCAACCAGCATACCGTCGACGTCGAATGCCGTGTGGAGGAGATACTCATCGTGACACGTGAGAATCTGCAGGTCTGGACGTTGCTGCCGGATGACGGGGATCTCCGTGTCCCACCGGCGCATGTTGCGGACGCCGTTCTTCATGGCGAACACGCCGGGCAGGGCCGAAATGTCGAGCATGGTCTGTAGACTATATGTGCACTTGGTGTTGTCTGGGTACTGGAAGAGGATCAGAGGCAAGCCCGAGATCTCATACACCCGCTTGTAGCGATCTTGCGGCGCACCCGGTTGGTAGCCAAAACGGAGCCATCCGTGCGAAGGATACAGGAGACCGGCAGATGCGCCGGCCTCCTTGGCCCGCTTTGCCTCGAAGCCGGCGACTTCGGTACCCTCTTGAGTGATACCGGCAATGATGGGGATCTTGTTGTCGACAGACTTGACAAACGCCTTGATGACTTCCAACTGCTCGTCTGCAGTCAGGAAAGTTCCCTCGCCAGCATGGCCTAGCACGACGAGTCCCTTGACTCCATCGATGCTACCGAGCCACGATCCCAACCGTTGAATGGCAGCATAGTCAACTGAGCCGTCCTTGTTGAACGGGGTGACGGGAGCAGGGGTAAGTCCGCGGAGATCGAGAGCCATCTTGTCTTGTAAAAATTGTATAATGTTTTGAGATTGAGGGAGTGTTTGCCAATGTCTTTGATGAAGGAATGGATAACTGGAGTTGATTGTTCTGTAGACAAATTTCGTTTTCGATGCTGCCAATGGCCTCTGTTATATGCTTTTTCAAGATACCTTCGAGCTACCCCGTGAAGCTTCTCCAGAACTATAGATCCCCGGATTTGTAACTCGCACTTACTCCACACGCCAATATGTATAGTATTAAAGCATGGGTTTTCCTTCGCGGCATTGCATCTCCCCGCAAAACTTGTCCGGGAATCCGTATGACACGCGTGGATCGACTATAGCATTGGTCATGGACCCATGTGTGTGAGATATTCCAAGTCCGGAAACCGTTGAGCTCGACGCGACCATTTGGTTGGATGACACGCTTGATCATGACACCATAAGAGCGCTCGTCCCCACCACCCGCTTCTCAGCCCAAACAAATCCGGGTTTCCGCGAATCCGGAGAGACGCTCGGGACACTCGAACGAGATTTTCTCCCGCCTGTGATTCGATCATCTTTCAGCTTGGATATGTGGTGTTCCACCCAGCGGACTAGCACAGCACCCGTACCCCGGATTTGCATTCGGTATGGTTCAAAATTCCTCTCACTTACCCCAGATTATCACTTCCCCATCTTTCTTGGCGGAGCTAGACCATACTGGCAGCACTCCTTGCCTTGGCCCAATGTTGTTGGCCCAACGTTGGCGCAGTATTAGTCCAGCGCTGGATATAAAGAACTCGAGATGTCTTGAGGCATGATGGAGCAAGGCCAGGGAAATACACTGAGCTTTATCACTGTTTCCACTGCAATAATAGTGCAACGCTTTTCGATATGTCGTCAGAAATCACTTACAATCTTGAACAACCAGACAAGGCCGAAGCGGTACATGTGGAAAAGGGGCAGATCATGGCCCATGGTCTCAGTGCCGAAGATGCCCATTTCCTCGAGACCTACCCATTGAAGAAGCAAGAAAAGGCAATCAGGAAAGTTGACGTGAGTTTTATAGCACAATAACCCGATGCTCTATGTTGTGAGACTGACAAGAATTTCTCTCTCTAGTTTCGTCTGATACCAATGCTTCTCTTCCTCTACCTCATCACCTACCTCGACAAGACAAACATCGGTATTTTGCCTCGTAATCACTTGACGTCGACGGCAAAGAAATAATAAATTTTATCATAGGCAACGCCAAGATCGAAGGGCTATTGACTGATCTCCACATGACTGGAGACCAATACAATATTGCGCTATCCATCTTCTTCGTACCCTACATCCTCGCCGAAGTTCCAAGCAACATGATCTTGGAAAAATTCAAGAGACCTTCAATGTACATCGGGATACTGGTCCTGGGTTGGGGAATCATCATGACATTGACTGGCCTCGTCCAAAATTTTGGTGGCCTCTGTGCTGTTAGAGCTTTTCTCGGACTGTTTGAGTAAGCGACCTGGCATTTCTTTACTCTCTGGTTCCTTTGGCTTACCCCTGATGTAAAGGGCTGGCTTCTTCCCCGGAGCAATCCTTCTTGTATCGAAATGGTACATGCCCGACGAAACACAAGCTCGTATCGCTCTACTATATTCCTCAGCTGCTTCAGGCGGAGCCTTTTCTGGGTTGCTTGCCTTTGGGATCTCGAAGATGAACGGTTATGCTGGACTCGCCGGATGGAGATGGGTCAGTTACACAACTCACATAACAAGCCTGTCTTATGGTTTCCGACTAACAAGATGCGTGTAGATTTTTATCATCGAAGGACTACTCACGGTAGTGATGGGAGTGCTCTGCTTTGTGCTACTCATCGATACTCCTGCCCTGTCGGGTCGATGGCTCGAGCCTGACGAGATTCGATTCCTGGAACTGCGCCAGGCCGCGCGGCAGATACAAACTCCCGCCGTCAAGGGAAAGGGGCACTTCAACAAGGACGCACTGATAGCAGTCATTTGTGACTGGAAGATGTACCTCTTGATCCTCGGCAGCTGGTCCAATGCCGTGCCCAACTACGCCATGAAGTTCACAATGCCGACCATTGTAAAGTCCATGGGCTTCACCTCGGCCAATGCCCAGCTCCTGACCATTCCGCCCTATGCGTGCGGCGCCATATCCGCGTACGTCATCTCCGTCCTGGCCGACAAGTGCCGGTGGCGTATGCCGTTTATTGTCGGCCCGCAGGTGTTACTGGTTGTTGCCTTTGCCATTCTCTTCTCCAAGGCGGCAGAGATTGCCAACAACATTGCCCTTTGCTACTTTGCCGTCTGCCTCGCCTGTAATGGCATGTATCCCATCTTCCCGGGCGTCAACGCCTGGAATATTGCCAACACTGCTGGCGCCACAAAGCGAGCCATTAGTATCGGGTACTTGGTTTGTGCCGGCAATATCGGCGGGGTTATTGGTAGCTACATCTACATAGAAAGCGAGGCTCCGAGGTATCCTACCGGGTACGGCAACTCGCTTGCGTTTGGATCAGCGGGTATTCTTGCCATGCTTGTCTTGGAATTCTTGCTTTGGACGTCCAACAAGAAGAATGCTCGCATGAGCGAGGAAGCCATTCGGGAGCAATACAGCGCGGAGCAACTAGAGAAGATGGGAGATCGTAGTCCACTCTACAGATACAGGCTATAAACGGTGGTAAATATACAATGTGCAAATAGATACCCATATAACAAAAGTCTAGACCCTTGACTTCACCATATTATATATAACGCCATGCGGTGGCAAATGATCGGTAACAGACATGAAGGACAGTCGAGTCCGCCTAGATGTCACCTGAATCTCCTCAATTTCGAGCTTCAAATGAGACAACAACTTTTCCTGCGCTACCCAAAATACAAAAGGTTTTAGATGGCGATAAACCACAGACTTGAATGTAGTCACAGTCTGAATATACTCTGTATATATATATATATGAATATATCCACAGAAATTAACCGTTAAAACAAACATTGATTTCGAAGCTGTGATAGATTTACATCAAATCTGGTTGCAAATATGCATCGATAGAAGCATTAAGATCTGGATAAGGGACAAAAGCCTGCAGCTTGGAGATTAGCCTTGTTCTCTGAAGGAATACACACAAGACGTCAATGTGTTACGCAAGTGTTTGGTGGCTCTACGTACCGAGGCATCGAGCTCTAGCCAGTTCATTGGCTGCCACTGTTGGAATGACTGAGACATATCACAGACGCTGGATGTGGTAGGTGCCATCATTGGCATTGGTGAATGTGGTGAAAGGCCAATATCCACCGAGGTGTTAACGGCGGTGGGCGTGGGAGCTGTGGTTACCGTCGCCGGGGTCGCTCCGGAATGCTGGATTTGTGCTTCCTGTCGGAGCTCTTCCAGAATGACGGCATAGCGTCGATTCGGCGAGTCGAGCGACGTGGATTGCGCCAGCAAGCCATGACATTTCTCCGCCAGGGCAAAGACTTTGCGGTTTTCTTCGGTCAATTCGTATCCGCCAGTGCGCTGTTGAATCTCCCAGACGTATACAATAGTCAGGGCGCAAAAGACTGTGTATGACGACCACCAGAATGCATGAAACACTGCACTATCTTTGGCCATGGCATCGGCCGTTTGTAGCACAATCTTGGATGAAGTGAGGCAGTCTTCAGCAATTCCGCCTTGGGCATCAACCTCGGCGTCGTTGCTGGATAAAAAGGGGCGATATGCGTGCATCAGAGCATGATGGTATGCAAGCTTCAACGCCACGGCCTGCCGCCTCAGGCTTGGGATCAGGCTAGAGGGCCGAATAGACCGCAAATGAGGTGCCAGGTTGGCATACCAAGATTTCAACTCCTGGCCAGCCTTCTTGGCGGAAGCAAGGCGGAATTCTTTCGGTGTGCTTTTGACTGTATACACATTGCGTGAGATGTCACTGATGATCATGGCCAGCCGTGAGTGTGCAATGACTGCATCCATGTTGCAGTCATACTCGGCCACTTCGTCCAATTCATTGAGACTGGATGAGCCCATGTCTTCGTCGTTCAGGGCATCGGGGAGGGTCTGACTCATATCATCATCATGAAAATATCTTGGTCTGCCGAGCACAATACTAAGATATGCGTCAATCGTATAAGCTACCCAGAACGTTCTTCTGCCACACTGAAGATTGATGAATGCCGGGGACGATCGTGCAGGCTCGTCACGTTTGCGACCCGAGCGGCGATGCAGACCCAGCGCAGCGACGACTTGGTAGGCGGATCCCAGGCGATACCAGGCCTTGTTCATCCGCGCAGTCTGTAGGAGGTAGAGGACCTGGACCAGCCACGCTTGTGCCATTTCCAACGTTGGCTGCTCCGCTTCACGTTCTGTAAGTGACGAGCCAGAAGCAAAATAGTGATCGCCAAGGCGGCGGGGAGCATCCGCGTTCCACTCAGCGTCGCCCATGCCACTCGTCATCTTGGACAATCTCAGCGTCGCGATGGACATGATGGTGAGTAATATTGCCGTGCGGGCATTGCCAATCCGAGCCACGGCAGATATCCCTGGATCCACGGGGTTGATACTCGCATTGAGCCAACCTTCAACACTCTGCCGGTGAAACATGCGATATGTCACTACGCAGTTTTCAAAGTAGAACTCTACCAGGTTTTGCGCGTCTTCTGGTAGGCTAATCGAGTCTGCTGCTCGCCGAGGGCTCGTTTGCGTGCCATCATGGTCACTGCCACCGTCTAGGCGCGCAACCAGTTGGCCATGTCCGCCGGGATTCGTGTTATTGGCTTGATGGAGAAAGCGCCGCTGAGCTCGATGCAAAAATGTAAGAGCAGAGGTCGGATCGACGTACCGACCCTCAATCTCTGCATGTTCAAACTCGGGGGAATCCCTAGTGGTAATAGATCCTGATACCTCTCCAGTGTGCGACTCGAGGTCCATGCGACTTTCTAGTGCATCCTGGGTATGAGGCTCGACCGAAGGCGTCCTAAAGAGGGCAATACCACCATGTCAGAATAAAACAATCACTTGAAGTTACAGAGCGAGCTCGGATAGGCGTTTACTTACTCTCGTGGAAGCGGTTCTGGTGCTTTGCCTCTTGAGTATGCTGCCTCGTAAATACAATGCAAATTGCGCTGAACACAGCGATCGCAAGGTCTCGTCCCAGTACAACGTGTCTTCTTCAGCTTGCACGCATCGCAGGCGCGGCTGGTTTTGGGAGCCTTTCTCGGATTATCAATAACATCTCGAGAAAGTGGCCCGCCTCTCTTACTGGGTACGGATACCGCAGTCGACGGTCGGGAGACAACTCGGGGCTGACGATCTGCCAAGTCGGATTCTGGAGTTATGGCAGCCATACTTTTCCCTTTGGTCATTCGGGTTTTTCGTATCGCCATTGTCCCTTGTATGTATTGATCCCGAGATCTCGGACAATGGTGGAAGAAAATCCGGCCGGCCCCGGATTTCCCTCCGGATAAGTGCTAACGCTCAAGCCTAGTATCCCACGTGATGGCGGATTCCGGACTTGGGCCTCAAACGGTGGATTTTGGCTCGAGGCCGGGTAGCTCGAGTCGTGAACCTTGCATAGTTTGTCCTCTAGACTGTGTTAGCCCCATCGTTGATCATATGGTGTAGTGTATAAAGGCTGGAACATGATTCGCATTCTCCGCGTGCCCAATATGCAACTTATGTGGACGAAGTGTTTGCCCAAGTTGGTGACATACCGAATTATATAGAATCCTACAGGTAAATTCATTGATTTTTTCCCCATCAGTCATGATTATTGGAAATATTCTGCCCATACTTTGAAAAAGGTTGGATGCGTGATATGAAGCCCGGGATTATCAAGCAGTGGTTAAATATTCCAGACGTCAGCACACAATCTTAAGCTGTTATTGACAGCTTTACACATCGTTACTGCATACGGGTATTGTTAGCCACACGGATATGAGACGGCGTCATAGTCTGGCGCAAAAATCTACGGGGAGACTTATAGTTTCTACATGATTTCAATACAGCGGAAAGACATTCACAAGCTGATGAACACAATTGAGTTGGAATTATTCCTGCACATTGACCTTTTCTAGAGTCTTGAATCAAGGACTGTGGTGCTTCAATGAATATGAGAATGCATTTAATGCTAATGTTTCTAAAATTAGACATTAGTGTCTGCCGTACCATCCTCTTTCCTTGCAAACCGCACTCGCGTCATGTGCTGTAGGATTCCCTTGTAGCTCGGGTCTGGGTCGTCTGCTATATGGCGCCCGTGTCGTTCTGGAAGGCGCCTTCGAGCATTGAATTCTGATAATCTTTGCGACAGATTTCTTTCTTCTTCTTCTTCTTCTTCTTCTTCCACAATATCCATCATCCGCTGTGCACGGTTATAGATTTTCTGTCTCCTTTTTAAGGCGATATCTGCCAGAAGGATCTCGCGTTTCGAATCAATGTTCTTGCTATTGAACACGCTATTTCCCCACCAGCCATGCAAGATTGTAATCTCTGTGTCTTGAAAGAGTTTTGCCCGTGAAACTTGGAAAGCAAGTCGCAGGACTGCGCGAATCCAAGTAGCCACGCCGCGAAGCCAAACAGCCAGGACACGGACCCAGCTGCCAAAGGCTAAGGAAATGGAAATGAAGATGACGACGGCGGTGCCCCCGACTTTGTGTATACTTGTCAGTATGCATTTCTCGATTTTCTTTTACAGATTTGGATTCAGCTTACACATCCATTTGATTTGCTGCCATAGACTCATCCACGGCGCGTTGTTGATTTCGATGTTATTCATGCCAAAGAATGCTGCAATGAAGCTCAAAGGAAGCTGTCACAGGAGGAAACCGTGAGTCAGGGTTCCATGATAAGTGGTGGCAAATTAGGGAACAAAGTCGCTCACAAAAATAATGGTAACAATGGTGAATGCTTGGATGGTACGCCCTTGCTTGTAGCTCTCTTTAGCCATATCTAGAGCTGACCTCGCATCGATAATCGATGCCTGCTGTTGTTTGAGCGATAGAAAACCTTCGAGCTAGAGGGGGAGTTCATTAGTAGACGCAAGTTCAATCACAGACTTTGTCATAGAAATACCTGAGTGCAGGCCCTCAGGGCCGCTTCTTCAAGGTCTGCAATCTCTCCGAGACGAGCCTGTAGTGTTTCAATCAAGTCATGAGCTTCATGAACAGACTCCTCATCGATCCGTGTTGCCAATTCCAGAGTTTCGTCATCTTCATCCTCGGTGTCCTTGGCCATTGTCTTCTTGAGCTCGGATATGAACTTGTTGATGAGAAGTGCATCGCCCAACTTGGCTGCATGTCTTCCATGTGTGTGGGTCAGATGCCGCATGAAATCCTTTGCAACTTTGAGTTGCTCGCAATAGACTCGCTTCATGATCATGAGCTCTTCGGCAATGTCTTGTGCTTCCTTGAAGACTACGCCCTCGACATTGACCTTCAACTGTCCTCTGTAGTGTTGCTCCTGCCAGAGAAATCTCCAGAAATGATTATATGCAATCCTGGTCCTTTCTGTCTATGAAATAGTTAATAACAGACGGCTTTGTTTCCATGAACATGAGTGTGTACCACAGTGCCGATTGCTTCTGCAAACAAGTCCATAACCTCGGGGCGCTGATCTAGAGGGCGTGTTCGGTCAAAGAAGACTCGTGAACATTGATCCATGATTATCATAGCTAGGATCGATGTATTTTAGTTACCGATGTAGATACTCAGTAATAAAAGTTACATACCAAGATGATGTATAGACTTGATCACCTCCGTTCTCTGACCTAGCCGTATCCTCAGACTCTTGTGAACTCCTGACGGATCGGGCTTGTTTCTTCCCCATCTCCGGGGAAATGATGTGATTATGGTGTCTTGAAGACGTCAGTGGATACTTCGCGATCGCCCCAAAGAGATACTTACTGTCATCTAGAATCCACATCCACAGCTGATCAACCATCACAACACGAGTAGTCAAGCTGAGTGATCGAGTTCCTCGATACACAACTTGATCCCTATCTCTTTCTGAGGTGTTGTCTAATGTGAGGAAGTAATATTGATCAAGTGTTCGACGAACATGCAAAGGTGAATGGTTGTTGACCTTGTGTCTCAACAGTTTTTCGTCTGCGGCATGATCAATCTCCTCTGCCATTCGCGCAACTGCGAACAGATATCTTGCTAGATATTGCCTAATACGGTATCATTATTAAGAGAAATGCAGTAGTTTTAATGAGTGGACACTTACTTGCGCCTCACCCTGGGCACTTTATTCTTGATGCTTGTTCCATTCTTTGATCTTTTCATCTTCATTACTTCTTCAACAGCTTGAGGCAAGCGAAATTCCCTTCGGCTTGCCTTAGAGTTGGTACCTATGGCTTCGTTGATGACTTTTACCATTTGCGCTCGACGACTGCTGGTTTCCCAGTGCAGGTATGGTAGCTGATATATAAATAAGTCCAAATCGCAGCTATTGCAAGACAGTCTTTTTGCTTTGCAAGTTGATAGACTTACGAAAATTGCCACGTTCTTTTCTCCGAGAGGAACGCCGACTGAGATGGCCCGTTGCGGCGCCCTTTGTGGGCCTGAGCTGGTTGGAATATGGTCTGTTGACTGACTTGTTCTGAACCTTGGTCGAGCCTCTGAAGAGACGTCAGTGAATGCTGCGGCCAGTTGAGCAATGACTACGCACCTCGTGGAATCAGTGAGCATTTTGATCTCATATGCCTCGAGTGTACCGGAGCTGTTCGGCGGAAGTCGCTGGTATGACCGACGGGACCACCCCCATGCATCTGACCAGTCCAGTATTCTCGGCTCAATACTCTGTCACAGTCTTTTGAGGAACTATTCGAAATATTCCGTCGACTATAATACTGCTTGATAGCTTTCTATGGGTTTGTCAGCCACTAGCTCATGGCCATTGTAGTGGATGCTTCAGGATCGGAGAGCTTCACCTCAATCCACTCCATATTATTGCTTGGGAAGTGGAAATATCGGACCTCATCGTCAGGTCGTTCTTCTGAGAGAGGGTTCTTGTTCGGGTCGTCCAAAATATCCTTCAGCGCTATCTTCTGGTTGGGAAACCTGGTGTCTTTGTACTTTTCATTATTGGAATCAAAGCCCTCGAGACTTCCATCGGCAAGTTTCTTGAAGTACATGACTCCAGCTCGGAATCCGTGGTACGGGTCATAGGCGCGGGGCTGCGGTGGCAGATGGCGAGAAGCCGAAAAGCTTCGGCTGGCATGCCCCAAGTCAGGGCTGGGGTTCTCTCCATCGACCACGTCCTTGAGTTGTTTGAGATGTTTAGAGTCCCAAGTACGCAGCTCGCGCGTACTTGCCTCACTGGCAGGTAGCTTTTTCACTTGCTTCTCGCGGTCGAGGCCGATTTGACGAAGCTCGGCTGCATTGAATACTGTTTTTTTCCAGTTGGAATAAGATTGCTGTAGCTCATCATTCAAGCGCTTCTTGGTGAAATCGTCCGAAAACTTTTGGCGGTCGGACTGAATGCGCCCAATCTCATGATTGACACGGTCCCAATCTTCAGGCGAGGCTTTCTCCAACTCTTTTAGGAACCCATCCTTTTCGGCGAATCTGAGGCTCAGGTACGATGCTAACGGATTCTTGGAATTTTCAAAGGGCGCTTTTACGTAGTCTGCTATGTTGCTGCCATCTTTGACGTACGTCTTGTCGATGAATCTGTCACGAGACAGGTCCGGGTCGCGTTTCTTTTTAGCCTTGACGCTCGTGCTACGTATCATCTTTCCAAACGGGTCGTCAAATCAAGGAAAGAAACATTGCAAACTCGTAAGATAAGTGTCGTGGGGAGACAAAAACAAAAGGTGGCAATATGATTTCAGCCAGACACGCTCAGATCCGTTCCTGTTTGTAGGATATGGTGTTAGACCCAGGAATACCAGGGTAATTGCTAGGTCACTAACATATCTCTCAGCCTCTTTTTGGCCCCCAATAAACCCCGCTCGGAGATCGCAGTACGTAGCAGATACTAGGTGGACAAGAAGACAGTTGCAAGGGGAAAGGTCATATGCAGCTGAAAATGTCACTTTGCAAGAGCCTCAGCCAATATAGACTGAGGTGTGGCCCCATACATCACAATCTCCACGGGTAACTTCCATTTCTTTTCTATTTCTATTTCTGCTTCTATTTGTATTTCTACTGAACAACAACTTGATCCAGCTTTACTCAAACTATTCATTTGCTACTATATCGGGTTCCCGCACATTCGATAGATGAGCATGAGCTCGCTAACTATGCAGATTGTTGGCGTTGGACGCGAGTAAACTTAATCAAAATGCTGTTGGCTTAGTTCTTGAATTCTGTCGGGTTCCATTCGCATCGGTCAAATCTCATCATTCACTTGTTTCTAGCACAGAGATGTTTACACAAATACATAGAATCGTTGATGGCGTGCCTTCTCCCAAGCGCTCATGGTAATATTAAGAATCTCAAGTGAAGTTTGCAAATGATGCTGAACAAATCACTCACATTCTTTCCGTAGTCTTTGTGTGAAACGCCATTAATATTCAATGCAACGATCAGTTGGGTATCATATTAAACAAGCTCAAATCAATCGGGTATCTTTCGCCCATCCAGATGGCCCTTTGCGAGTGGTTCCTCTTCTCCTTGTCCCGGTGCGAGACGCCTTCTTCCGTCGTGTTGGGGTGGATCAGGGCCGAAAGCGGACCTCTCCAGATGGCCAGCCACGGGATGAAGGCGCCAAACTGAGCCGGTGTGTAGATGTTGACCTCAAACATGGCCACCGGGTGCGGGCCAATCGCCTTGTCCCAGAATGAGTAGACGGAGAGCTCAGGAACTATCGACCATACATTATTAACATACTTGTACTTGGAAGAGGAGGACTACATGCAGGGGTTCAACCTACACTCGCGCCGGATCCGCTCCCATAGCTCCCGCGCGTACTTTGCCTGCTCCTCGTTCTTGGCATTGTAGTAGATGTGAACGTCAAAGCCCCCGCGCGGCGACCTGTCGAGGGGATCTATAAACTCGTCGTATGCTTTGCTGGGCGTGTCCCGGGCCGGGTTCACGTAGCTCTTGTCCGGCAATCTCTCCTCGGGCAGCGGTGGCGCATTCTCGTAGCCCGTGAGGGGGGAAGGATACTTGTAGCCGAGGCCGTCTTCCATTCTGATTTCTTGGCAGATGTTCAAATTTGATATAAAAGGAATAACGCAAGGTCGGATATCAACAGTAAAAGGAAATGATGCGACAATGATCTAATCTTTTGACTCTTGTTGGCTCATTGACCAGAACATCAACTCTTCTCGTGGCGGGGTTATAAATGGCGGGTGAAGGCTTGGAGCGCTATGCTCCGATTTGACGCTAGCCACCTTGAGTTTGTCATCTTGCACGAAAGCTTTCATAAGCCGAATTACAGAGCGACCCCAGAATTCCACTGTGCGCTTATGAAGCGATTCCACGCGAGTCGTGTCACGATGTGTGCAAGGAGACCACGAAGACACGGTTCTTCCTTCTTGCGCTCGGCGATTTCTTCTCAACTTTTAGTTTTCTGAAGATGACAAAGATTCGACAAGGAATTTTGGCGCATTTGGGGGTGAGATTTCCAGTCTGACCTGCAATGCTGATTGGTGGTACGCTAGGCTGCATTGAGAACAGTATAATACTACACTCCTGCAAGTACCCGATGGAGACGATCGCCGCACACTCGAAATTGACGAAATCCAAGATCACAATTGTCTCTAGCTTTCGAAACAAGGTCGATGCCTCTTCCTGCATGGAACGTGTTCGCGACTCGGTCACCAGTGAGATGGGAGCGTGGTGTATGATGTATTGCCCTTGAATGGGACTTTTCTCCTATCGATCATGGTAATTAGCATGCGTGACTAGGCAAGAATAACGAAAAAAGCTTCACGTAGTATTCTTTTCAGATTCAAGGTTGCATTGGGGATGACTTGACGAATCGAAGTGTCAAAAACGCATCCAGGGGCTTAAAGAGGTCAACTTCTTGTCCTCGGCGGCGGGATCACGAAGGCCATGGCTAATGAATTGCTCAACTAGATGCTTTGTTGAATGCCATTGTGTATGTAACGACTCGCTAGTCGTGTCCTTGACTTTAACTGGGTGCTGTACCGTCTTGAGGGTTGGTCTGAGGAGTGTAATGAACGCGATGAAACTGGACGAGGTGGTTGCTTATGCTCTGGGAGAATGTTTTGTGGCCGATATCACTTTTCGAGTTTCTTAGACCTCCCATGTCACTGCCCAGGAGTCTAGAAGTCCTACAAGCGAGCAGCACTTGTCTCTTCACATTCAGGGTACCCGTACAGTTGATGTTGATAGAAGTTTGCCAACAAGTGGATACGAAGCTTCGTTCCATGGAATCAATACGAGCTGAATCTAGCTTCAAGTTGGTGAGCAGCAGAACGAGTCTCCTGTATCGATTCAAGCTCTCTATAACAGATTAGTCGAAATGAAATTATCAAGCATAACTTGATCAGTCACAATATGAAAACTGCCATTGCTTTGACGCTGCGTCGTTGCCACAGTCTCCGAACATTGTTATCTTACCAGCCGCAATTGCACGATAACCTCACCTGGCAGCCGCCGATTCGAACTAGGTAATATCAAGACGAAAGCATTTTCTTGAATCCGTTGCAATGACTGGATCTGGAAAACGATAGGGAACAATTCGTCGTTGTCCCTGGCCCTGAATGCAGCAGTCGGGTTATCGAGCTTGTATGAGAGAGAGAGCAGCAACCAGTTTTCAACGTCGGGCAGAGCGGTTCCGTCGGAGAGCGAGAGAAGGTAGGAAGAGCCGAAAGCGAAGGAAACAAGGTTCGGGCAAGAGAGCAACGACACAGCGACGCTGAATCACCGCAATCGCTTTTCAGGCGCATGTGAAATCATCTGCAAGCAACATGTGAGTCCTGGAAGTATGTAGCCAGGCACTATGATATTAATAGTTGTTTTTTCAAAAGTCCCTAGTGACTTTTTGGTCGTATTGTAGAGTACCGAAATGGTATCAACGGTCTGTAGTATGATTGTAGCTTTTGGACTTGAGTATATGTATGTATGTCTCAGCCACATCTCGGCGGCAATAACTTTGTTGTTCACCCGATGATCTGGCCTCCATTCGAGGATGCGCCAAGCTGAAGTAAGAGAACAAATGTGCCAGTGTCATGGGCGTAGTAAGATTTGGCCAGTACTTCCCAGGCAAGCCAGCAGTACCAAATACGGATTCGTCGAATGAGGGAAATGAAAGTGAAGCAAAGTTGGCGTGAGTCACAGGTTCTTCCTGTGATTTGAGAAGAAGAAAAAAACACCTGTTTAATTAATATTGATGGATACGCATCGTCATCATCGTAAAGCTGTTCACTAAGGATTGCGCGATGTAACAAGAAATTGGCAAAAGCTAGTTCCAATGACGATAGCAATGATGATATGATGGATGCAAACCGTCAAAAGCCTCACAACTGGCCCACGAAAGACTATTGTCGTGTATGTGTAATTGAAAATGGCTGCATCGTTATTGGTTGGACATGTGTCACAATGGGTTTCTGATTAGGTTGCGTTTCATGGAACCTGTCTTGAGCCTTTGGCCGTCTTCCGCCGAGTTCCATCCGTCGTCGATGCTCTCCGTCGCTCTGCGGAAGATAGTTTCTTGTGCCGTAGTCCGGCTTCGCGACCCGAAGACTCGGTCAAAGCATGGTTCAAGGCATTTTTGATGAGGTTTACTAGGCGACACGAATGCCCGCCGGGTGAAATCGGTCAAGCTCACGTGAGACAGCGGAAAGGGTGAAGTCATCGGGACAAAGTTGAGCAGCAAAAGGCCACCGGAGTTCGCAGGAGACCGGTAGAGTGCGGCGGGCATCTTTTGGGCATGTTCAGGCTGTGTGCCAGGTGAAACTCCGCTCGAGGCCGGCGGAAACCTGAGAGGTCGGAAGCAAGATGAAGGTCAGTCCAGAAGTGGGCAAAATGGGCTGATGTGTGCGAATCCTCCCAAAGTCTATTGGGAGGTGGGTGTTTCCGGGTCGTTTCCCGCAGCCCTATCGGTCCAGCGGATTTGATTGATTGATTGCCTTTGCCTTGCTTGGATGCACAGCGCAGTGCAGTGCAGGCAAGCCAGGGACAGGTGGAACCTCTAGAAGCTGCTTCTAGGCTCGGGAATAGACGTAGACATTTGCTGATCATTACATTATTATTAGGGGTCCTTGGTCCTTGACAGGGAACATTGGAGGAGGAACGAGAAGCGGCTGGATACGCCCGCCCAAAATTGGTTTCTTTCTTTTACTGTCTGGCTCGTCTGGATACCTAAAAAGGTACCGCATCGGTGCAGCATTATGATCTGCGTCAGCATCGTCGTAGTAAAGTACCGTTCAACGGGGATCGACTCCTGGTTACCTACCTTGTAGCATGTCTGGTATTCGTATCAATATGATAGATTAAAGCCAACATACAAAGTACGGTCAACTTTGCTAAACATTCATCTTCAGAGGCATCAAGTCCGTCGTCTACTTCTTCTACATTAAATGATACCGGATGCACAGGAACCAAGTCCCATTGCGCGGGCCGCATCGACGCTAAAGACAAATTTGTGTAGCATTTTGGCTTGGCTTGTTCGTGCATCGTAGAAACTGAATAACCACGCCGCGAGTATACTCAAAGTAGAAACTTCAAGCGTGCATTATGTTTCCTTCTACTACCACCCTCAAGGTTGGGGGGTTTTTCTAAGCAGAAAGATACAGATTTCACGATGCATATACAGCTAGACTGGGACTCTATTTTGCTGCACACGTGGGATGTCCAAGGAGGGAATGTTCACAAGTTTCAACGGTTTTTTCTTACCTTGACTACAGCCAATCAAAAGCGAGATAATTCTCCGACTGTGGAGTGACAGGGGAGCTCCGCGAGTTGCGAGATCAGGTCAGAAGTGGCCTGACAGAGTTTGTCTCGTTTCCTCATCCGCCCTCCACTTTGGCGACAGGCGTGCTAGCCCCAAAAGCTCAGGGCCTGAGTGGCAGAGATAGCGATCTGGATTTGTGATCCCGGATACTCAGACCATACTTACATCAACCCCTGCCACTTTTCATTCCCAAAACAAAGCGCATTGGTTGTTTGTCCTTATGCGGTCCTACCTTCACAAGACCTGTTGGTGAGAAATGTCGGCGGTCTTTTCTCGTAGCAAGAGAAAAAAAAAATGGGATGAATGGAAGGAGGCAGCGGTTGGTTGGGCTTTAGTTTCCCCGTCCACGTCCACGCGAACGCTCAAACCTTGGGAACAGGCTTACAGCTACCAACAGTGGACATCCATCTGGCTCGTCTGGACATTTCGGGATACCGGCGAGACCCAGCTGCGGTACAACGCCACCACCTGTGATCGCCCTGCCTGGAACATGTATCTGGCAAAGTAGCAGTGGCAGTAAATACTTGCTCAAATTACCTTTTTCTTTTCAGTTGTGACCTGCCAGAGAACCGACCCCCCATCAAATTCAGAAAGTGGCCTGATACTTTTTACTATCTGGTATTCATCCTAACATACTCTTCGGCCGGCAACCGCCATTACTACGGACCCTTGACGGCATTCTGAGTGCGTATTGTGTGGCATCGGATCTATCCCTCCTGCACGTGCTCCAGTCATCCATTCCAGTCCCGCATTCGTGTTCTTTCGCTGTGCGAGGCACCAGAAGTCTTGATATACATAATACCCTGTGATCTGCTCGCCCAATCTGGTGTCTGCCCCTCCTTCATGCATCAATACCAACAACAATAGAATATCAACTCCAAAGATATACACCATCTACCACATATAAGACAAAACATCTTCGGCAACCACCACCACCACCACACCACCCAACAAGCTCACCATACCCACACAGGACTTGTTTTTTAACCTCCATCCACAAGATTCACAGTGACCTCGGATTTGAAGACGACGTTACTGTTCAACAAACGATCACCACCATCATCACATAGCATCAGCTTTCCAATCTCGACAAGATCTGCTGAGGTTTAGGAAGGTTTAGTCATTTGGCTATCGACGGGGACGAGTTCAAGAAGCGGAGTGGTCACCAAAAAAAGAGTGTCAGCTTCGTCATGGATACGGATGTTCTTCAGAACATCGACTTGTTTCCGGTAACCAACACAAAGGTATGACGAAATCGAAAACCATCAACTACCGCAGTTCGCACGTCTGTCGCATATATATATATATTGACACGTCCCCCCAGGCTATCGACTCATTGCTTGATAACTCATCCAACTGTCTACGACAACTCTCATCCATCTCATTCTGGGACAACTTTGACAACCCAACTGGTGTCGACAAGACTGCTCAAACACCAACAACAACCACAGTTGATCTGGCCAAGACCTCACCCAAAAAGTCACCCAAGCCCGTCAAGAAGAGCTTGAAGCGAGCTCACACACCTGATCACAAGCGCTCCAAGCTCAGTCAAGACTCAGCCCTCGACTGCTGTGACTACTGGCTGCGCTTCGACAGTGACGACGACAGCCTGGAGAGACTTGGTGACTTTGACAACCAAGGCTCGACAGATCGCAGGTGAGTATATCAGAAAAGCCACGCGTCAAGCAAAGCTGAAGTGATTCTGAACTTTAGCCCAGATTCTCCTTCCAACAACCAACGTCAAGGTTAGGACGTGTCGGAAACGCCGGCAGCTTCAAGCTGGACTTTCCTTCGAGGACAGACGATTGGCTTGAGGACAGCGCTTTGGAACACGCCCTGTCTAGCGAGGAGGACTCACTCTCAATGGCTCTCGACGACGACTTTGCTCAGCGCGATGTCGCGCAGACACAGGACGTCGCCCCTGAGAGACTGTACTCTACTCCCCTGAGCTGGGATGCACCTCAGCCTGGTGTCAACACTGAATCATACTTCAACATCAACCCTACATTCAACGACCCGGAACGACAGAGGCTCCTTGCCATTGCTATGGGTTCTGGCCTCACTCAATTGCCAGCCGAATCCCGAAACTCGGCCATGGAATTCACCTTTGACATGCAGCACCCAAGCCCATCTGCAACAAGCGATACAACCAGCAACCCTCCCGAGCCAAAGCGCAGGGCATCTTTCGCCGTCACCAACTCGGCCAAGACATCGAGATCGAACTCGAGGTCCGGTCTCATCACCCCGAATGAGCCCAATGAGTCTGCTGTCAAGAAGGAGAAGCCCCGCAACAGCGACCGTGCAGCCCACAATGACATTGAGCGCAAGTACCGCACAAACTTGAAGGATAGAATTGCCGATCTGCGCGAGGCCATCCCATCTCTGCGGTCGATTCCCGAGGACTTTGATGACGATGGCTCCCCAGTGCCTGTATCAAGAGCGCCCAAGGTCAGCAAGGTGAGCATTTCTTAAATTGTTCGAGCTCAGAAATATAATACTAACAAACCGCAGGGCACCATTTTGACCAAAGCTACCGAATACATTCACCAACTAGAGAGACGCAACCGAAGCATGTCTCACAAGAACGAGGAGCTTCTCCGCAGATTACAGGCCTTCGAGCAGCTGCTCGGTGCCACTCCCGCGCCCGCCACATGGCAACCACAGGGCTACGGCGCTGCCGTCTTCAACCCAGCAGCAAGGTTCTCTGCCTAAGAGGAACTTTGGAATTGCCAATTACATTACTTCGACCATGGCTACAATTGCTACATAACAACAAAACCAAACAAACAAACATACCGCATCTCCACTCTCGGCGACACAATGTTGCTCGAGTTTCCATCGAACACATACATACCCGCAATTAATTATGGAGGTAACACCACATTCTTACGAATACCTTCAATCATGCACATACATCGACACGAAACTCGGCGATATTCACATCGTCATGCATACTGTAGCGTTTTTGGAATGAACGAATGAATGGCACAGCGTATCACGGAATAACGAACAGCATCGGACTGATGCTTCCAGGAGTTTAAAGGGGGTTTGGCACATTGCTAGTTGCTCTGTATCGATATGATCAGAAAGCACATTTTTCGGCGTTTTTCAAAAAATATGGAGAGAAATTCCATGACTTGGTACTTGAGTTATTCATCATATACCCCTATAGAGTCATGTTGACTTTGAAATGAATCAATTTATTCTTACCGTACACTGCTTATTTTCTATGCGTTGATCGTGAAATGACTACGAACAAATCACTCAAATTAGGCAAACGGATAACCAAAAAAGAAAAAGAAAAAATAGACCAGCCCAATATCAATTCTCTGCAACTTTGACACCCCAAGCGCTGGGTCAGCAAGGATGAATTTCCATTTGCACTGCAAATTTATCATGGGGGTTCAGTCAGCACCACACCACACGGAGTGAAAGCATACGAATACCAAGGACCTCCTGTATCATAGCTAAATGACCCCCCGTCCAAGAATAATTGGGCGCCGCGGGCACGTCGAGGCAAAGTCTTGGAACAAGTCGCGCCAAAGGACGACAAAAAAAAAGAACAATTTACAGGATCATTGATTGATTGGGGGCTGGGAATTCCCCGAATCGGGTTTCCGTGTCTGTCCCCCCTAAGAAAAATAAATCGTATGATTCAACCTCGCAGATCTGGTCACCACGGACTTTTTTGCAACATGGGAGAGGGTGGGAGGCTCCATCCAAGTATTGAAACATACATGCTGCAAGGCGGATGCTGCAGAGAATGGGTAGGTACAATCTTTTTTCTCTCTTCGTTCAATCAATTTCGATAAAATAATTGCGACTCTACATGACCACAATTTCCTCTCCCACATCCCGCCACAGACGACACTTATCGAATCAAGACACCGTCGTCTTTTCCAATAGATAAGGCAGAGGGCATGAAAGAGGGCTTGTTCTAGATCATACAATCGGCCCAGAGAAAGAACGTAGATTGCCCCCTCTCGATTTTCCCTTTCTCCGTGCTCACCCAGTCTTCGGGCCTCGCATTCCGGACAATCCACTCAGCTGTGCGACGTAGTAATCTATCTAGGCCAGCCGGGGCCGCGGTAGATCACTGCATCTAATGGCGCCTAGGTAATGTAGGTTGGTAAGGGTAGGTCTCTGGTCTCTCTAGCAGAACCTGCGTTGCCCAGTTTCCCGTGGGGGTGGTCCCTCTCTTTTGCATTGCATTTTTCCTACTGCTCTTAGGTCTTTCGCCCCCATTCCCTTGCCGATTCCCCCTCTCGTGTCAACGGCAGGGGAAAGTTGCCTCATTTGTGCCGAGGCGGCAAGCAGGGGAAAAAAAAAAAAAAGGCATTTCTTGTTATGCGTGATGGGAATCTGTGGACGTGGCGGTTCCACAGTGACATACTGGATGCTTCATCACATAGTAATTTTCTCTCTTCCATGCCATGAGCTGCCTTCCCCTCTTTGATCATGGCCTCGCTTGGATCGCAAGGCCGTACTCATTTCCCCTCTCCTCATCCTTTGCGGCCATTCCCCTGGCATGAGGTTTTCTGTATGCCAAGATGTAGCAGATGCATGTCGTTTTCTTTCTTCTTGTCTTAGTCTAGGTATTATCAACTCACCGCTGATAGCAAAGATGGCTTTGCGCGGGCCTCGGAACTAGTTTCCTGAATTGTCTCGGGGAGGTGCCCATGGAAATGAACTCATGTTGATGCAATCATTCCCTGCCTTGGCATGAGCTAATAAGCGCTCCATACCTAGGCAATCGAGGTTCTGGCTGTTGATCTTCTGTCGTCTGTGAGCCTAAACATTGACCGCTTATCCGTGCGAAGACTCCGGAATCGCCTCTCGCTATGAGCGTAGCCAGTTCATTTGACAAACGGCTCGTCGTCTTGTGGCCAAGTCCACATGTCGAGGACGGTGTGTTGTTTGCACCTTTCAAGCTGATCGATGCGTTCATTTGAGAAATTCGAGCCTACTTGATGAAGCTGGGTGAAGAAATATGTTTGAATCAATCGCGGACTCCCTTCGATCAGTGACATCGCTTTAAGCCCTTCGTCCTATTCAACCATTTCTCGTCTGTGATGCCAGGCTGGCCTATAAAGGCCTTTGCTATGGAAATCTCCTTCTGCTTCCAAGAAAGAGCTGAGTGTCTCCTCATCCAAGCCCTTTGCAGCTGGCTACTATGAAATACACTAAAGTGCAAATGCTACCATCTTGCCCATGGATTCCAGTTCTCGGCGCATAACAGGTGGTATAATGATGATACAGTATTATGGTTCGTCTTGTACAAATAAATGATGGCGCTTGATCAGCAGCATCATCGCTTTTAGTCTCTTAAGGCCTCGATATCAACAACTTCTTTCACAGCTTCTGTAGTCAGTATAAGAGGATTCTCCTCCCCGACTGCAACACTGTCTTCGATTCTGATGCCTAGTCCACGGAATGCTTTAGGCCACCTGTCATCATCGGGCACGTAGACTCCAGGTTCGATCGTGATGCAATGCCCTTCCTGTAAAGTGATGCCACGGGAGTATCCGGGCACATCATGAACGTCAAGACCAATGTAGTGTCCAACGTGGTGTGGGAACAAAATGTTCATGGCATTGCCGCCAAGTTCAAAGCCTAGCTTTTGCAACTCGTTCCGTAGTGCCGTTTCTGTAATACTGTGGAGCTTGTCCAGTGTGACGTTGGCGTTGACTCGACACATGCTGATGCTAAAACGTTGTGCTGTGAGCACGGCTTCATAAAGGTCTCGTTGTGCTTGTGTAAATTTGCCCGACACGGGCCATGTTCGAGTAATGTCTGTGATGTATGTGCCATACTCGCCGCCAGCATCGACGAGGACGAACTCATCGTCTTTCAGTAGTCCATTGTTGAGAACATAGTGAATGAGCAGCGCCTTTTGTCCTCCTGCAATGACGGGAATGTAAGCGGATCCGTCGAGGCCATTTTTATGGTATTCGTAGTCTAGGAAGGCGCCGAGATCCTTTTCAGATGTCCAATGCCTGCGCATAGCATTGGTCAGAGCCCTCCCAGAGCCTTGGCCAGCGCGGCGCATACAGGCAATCTCAGCTGGAGACTTGATCGCTCGTTCCGCATTGATCCATGGTCGCAATGGTGCCGTGGCAACTCCAGATGCCGCAGCACGCAAGGTGTTTCCAAGCTTGGTAGGGACGCCATACTTGGTCAGCTCGGCATCGGTGTAAATCTTTTGTACGCCCTTCAGCGCAATGGCGAGCTCCTTGTCCAGCCTTCCGATGTCTCCGACTTCATCTGCATTCCAAACATCTCTTGCGGCATCTAGACCACTCCAGGGTCCATTCCACTGCTCCTGCTTGGGATCCTTTGGCCGGCACCAAAGATAGAATATAAAATCGCCTTCGCCCGGACCCGTCTTCACGATCAGTGTCAGTGACTCGGGCTCACTAAAGCCAGTAAGGTAAAGGAAGTTGCTTTCTTGGCGGAAGGCGTGAAAGACTGCACCCGATCGGTATTGGACCTGAGCGGAGGGCAAGAGGACTGCCGACCCTGCAGGCAAGGCGGCGAGGAGTTTGGAGCGTCGGTCGTGGTATTCTTGTGCTGTGATTCCCGGGGTGATCTCCCCAGGCGCGAGGAGATGTGGATGCGTTTCGTGGACAGGCTGGCCAAAGAGCAAGGCCGAGGCAGAAACGGTGGTCGAGTACGGGCGGCTTGCTCGCGTGCTCGAGTTTCTGAGCGGCCAGACGCAGCTACGTGCCTGTGGACGCAATGTGCTAGGCCGACAATCTAATGCGCTTGCCCGTTGACTGGAGGCATATCGTCTGTTTTGCTGTTGCAGTTGCCGTAATGGTAACGAAACTCTGCGCAACTTCATGATTGGAAATGGGTTTATTGGCGATTGAAGAACATGTCCCGTTTTATGTGGAAGAGCGATCGGCGGTCGAGAGTTAATTTTTCAGAATCCTACTAGGTCCTATTCTGTCAGGATTGGTGCAAGAGTCAACACATGCAGAGAAAGTGTCGCAAAAATATAATTGAGTTTCTGTGCTGCTCCAACTGCCAGTCCAACCTTGATGCTCTTGTGCAGAAAATGAAAAAGAAAAAGAAAATAAAAATGGAAGAAACGACGTCAGAGCACGGCGCGCTTGCGATCGCCAGCATTAAGCCTCATCTAGCCTTAGCCCCTCGCGGTTGCTGTGTGCGGCGGCGCGTGGCAGTTTAGTGGAGCAGCTGTGGCCTGTGCTTATTATTGTTGATTCCTCTGTGTTTGTTAGTGCTCCGCAAAAAGTTAGGCGGGTCCCAGCTCTTGCAAGTCTGAACGCTGCAATTCTCAAGCTTACTGAATGTCTCCCATTTCTCGACCACGAGCAGAAAAAGATCGTCTCTTCTGCTCAACTCTGTCACGGCCCTGCACCATCGGATAGGTAAGTGATTCTCGCGTCTTTTGAGCCATTGGACCTCTCCCTCTCCCTCTGGGACTTCACATCTATTCAGATGCATGTTCAACACACGTAACCGTGCTTGTGACTCGTTGTGTCACGCCGTGTCGCGTGCAGAATCACCCAGCTCCTAACCTGCCCCTCCACACAACCAACCATCACCAAGACCTTCATATTCGACCTTTGATATTTGACAACCTCGACTCAAGACCACATACACTGCTTACACAAGACGACGAGCTGATGGGAAGCCCCAGAGCTGAACTTGAGTCGCTCTATTCAATCGAATTCGCCATTCCGAAGTCTTGCATTGCACTTTGACTGGTTGCTGCAAACTAATATCAAACTTCTAGTCATCCGGTCAAGTCTCGAAGCATACGAGCTACGGAGAACGACTTTCGACGCAAAGGGAACCGAAGGAGCCGCTCGGGTACAGCAAATGCTCGCCTGCTGTCAGTTGTGACCTAAACACCTCGTTCACACAAACTCGAGCTCCAGTGTAGACATCGACCACAAACTATAGCATGCTAGGTCGATAGGACATCATCATATATGGCCGCAGTATTTCTTTCTCCGCCGCCCGCTAGCCTCTCCAACATGCCTCACGCGCGCCGGGTTCCGCTCTCCATGAACCCGAGTGCGGCCAATTCTCCAATTAGAGCGTCGGGTCTCTCAAAGCCGAAACGGTCTTCTGCGAGCATCCAACGGGAAGAGGCATATGGTCAACCGCCTCCAGCAAAAAAGCAGATTCTCGACAGTGGCATTCCACGTCCACTCAAATCTCCCCAGCAGCAAAGAGTGGCCAAGACGCAGCTCTCTTTGCAGAGTCGCCGACATGCAAGCACCTACGAGAGCAAGCTGGCGAGGGAGAGGTCCGGCCAGCACCATCACCATGCTGAGAGTGCCAGCACTGGAAAGTACACAGAGAAGGACCTAGATGAGATTCGACGATGGCAGAGTCATCACAGACAGAAGTTCCCTAAGATGGTCTTCTATTTTGACAGCATTCCAGAGGACACGCGTGCCAAACTGGTGAAGCAGATTACCTCTCTGGGCGCTGTAAGTTGGCCTCCCCTGATTAGTATCTTTGCGAAGCTAATTATGACGTTATCAAGCGTGAGGAACGATTCTTCTCGAGTGAAATCACTCATGTTGTTACTAGTCGACCAATCCCCCCGGAGCAACGGGGTGGTCGCAGAGCGGATGATGTTGATGCTGAAACTCACGCTGAACAGCAACAGCCTCAGACAATCAATCCATCGCTCTTGGATAGGACAGCTGATCAGTCAGTGCGGAGAAAACTGTTTACTGATGCATTAGGTGATGCCAAGTCCAAGTCCCAGCTCTCGTCTCGTAGCGGGCTAGCCCAAATGCCGGAAACAAGGCCCAAGAGGAGCACAGATGTGCTGTCCCGGGCTCGTGAGATGAGCAAGAAGATATGGTCCCTCGATAAGCTTAACCGCATGCTATCGATGCTTCTGGAAACAGATTTGAATGTTAGTGCTGCCATCGCCTATGGCTCTCGGAGCGCATCAGTATCGGCAAGCCACACGCACTCGAAGGCTACAGACGAACGGAGCTTGTTGCAACTGCTGCAGAATGAGCGCGTCAACGGTCCTTCTGATAGGGATCCCACTGTGACAACCAAGGAGATGCACTACTTTAGGGGCCCCTACCTCTACATTTACGACTTTGAGGAGAAGCAAAAGCCTATCATGGCGAGGGAGTACCAACGAGTGCAGGAGAAAAGTGATGGGGATTGGCCACAATTCCGTACGGCGCCGCTTGGCCGATGTCCATTCATTGAGGACTATGACCACCACCGCGAGGTTGTCAGGCCGAAGAAGCGAGAGGTAGCGAAGCCTGCTATTGAATCTAAGCTTGTGCTTCAGCCGCCTGAGGATTCGCAACGGCACGCGAAGCCGGTCACTGGGAAACGGTCATTGAGTGAGATGGAAAGTGCTCATAATCGGGGCAGTAGTATCACAGCGAATCTATTCAACCCTTCGAAGTCATTGGCAGGAAAGAAGTTTGACTTTGGTCCCAATCCGTTCGGCAGCCGTGCTGCAACTGACAAGTTGTTCGGTGGCGAGCCGCTCGCCTCCGGAGTACAGCCATCAAATATCACTTCAGCTATCCGGTCGCAGATGATCTCATCAACAGCTGCCACCCCGGGTGCTATCGGTGTCGTCAGCAAGGAGGTGCATGGCCTCCAGCGAAAAGTACTCCAGCGCAACAGTTCACATGAAATGACTTCGCGCAGAACTGCAAGCGCTGGAGCCAGCTTGAAAGAAGACACCGAGTCGAAGCGATCAACACTGAGTCGTACATCGAGTAAAAAGCTGGACCAGATCGATGAGCAGAGCGCCGTTGACGAGAATGAAGCTGGGCAGAGTGCCAAGGCCAGTGTACCGGCCGAAAAGCGAGTTGTCAAGCCGAAAAAGAAGGAACCCAAGCCAGGCTACTGCGAGAACTGCCAGGACAAATTCGCCGACTTTGACGAGGTAAGGGACCCCCGACCTACAATGTAATTCCCCATGTGACCTAGCTAATGTTTGATAGCACATCTTGTCCCGGAAACACCGCAAGTTCGCGGACAATGACGACAACTGGGGAGAACTAGATGACCTCCTGGACCAGCTTGCAAGAGAACCAAAGCACAAATCCTATCCCACCTGGGCCCCGGCTCTGCCGGAGTTCCCCGTTTACTAGACAGGCCTCTGGAGACCATGCTCTGGGTACATTAGCCAACGCTGCTCAGTATACAACAAGGACCTCACTGGGGACAACCACGGACCATATCCATTCTTCTGGCATTGCATGTCGCGATGATACCCTGTAGTTTCTCTTCTTTGTGCTCGCACAGCATTCATCATTTACGGCGTGCCAAGACGGCACAAATTTTCTTCATATTCCCACAGTGGATTTCCCTAGCATTGCATGGATGTGGCGTCGAGTTTGCTTTGTTGTGAGGGGATTTTCTTTTCCCTGAAGTGTTGGTCCCCGTTTTTGCATTTGGATTGCGACATGGTATTTCCACCCACGTGCTCGCTCCCTATCTCTATAGCAGGTGGCTCTGGTCTAATGGCGGTCTTGTTTGGTACATTTTGGTGACGATGGATTTTTGGGTGTCCTGCCTGCTCTCGGCGCTCAAAAGGCGCAACAGGCATTGTAGATATACAAGCATTGCGCATGTGTAGATTCTTATGTTACACGAATTCACGAATTGTTGAAAAGAAGATGATGAAGAATCACGTCGAGGCTCTGCTGTTGGTCTTGTTCATGAGGTTGCTTTAATGACTGCACTGGCCAACATAGTCGTCACGATCGGAACAGGCATATTGGCGTCTATAATTTCGCCGCCTTGCACTAATTAGACTGCAAGTCGACGTACCTCGAATACGATCAATGGGAAGTTGCAAAATATGAGGCATGCGTCGGATACATTTTCCGTATATCACAGACGTACAGTATCACATTCTGCACTTGGCCATGTAGGTAGATGAGGTTGTTGCTGATATTGGCCAGCCTTTTTTTTTTTTTTTTTTTTTTTCGATCAGCCAAATTGATTGATAGTGGCAGCATTGTAAATCAAACATTCATGCCTATGTCAGTTGGTACCTGCTTGCCCGCCTGCCAGGGGAGGAGTCAAGATCCTCCGTTCCTGCATTTGTGATTTGGAATGGATGAAATGGATGAACCAACTGCACATGTGGGTTTTGTTTTGGGTCAATCCAATGCAACAGATTTCTTGAAGGTTTGAACTCGGGGTACCTACAGCAAAGCTCGGGTGCGGCTTTAGCACCCCAAAGCTAAGCGTCAGTGCCTTAGCCCGGACTCCAGAGACCGTGTTTTCATTCACTGTAATCTGTGCTTACCAGTCGCGTCTTTCCCTGCAATCAATCAAATCCGCCCAACACTGAACGCGGTGCACAACCTTATTGTCAGTGCCAATTTGGACCACCACGCCACACTCTTCTAACCTAGTGTATATCCGGGTACTACCCTGCTCATCGACTCGTTCCAGTCAAACGGCCCCCATTCATTGATTTGTTACGGCGGCTGAGGACTACGACTACCTTGATAATCACTACAAAAATCTTTTCTTCTTTTTTTTTCTTTTTCGGTTATACAAGCTTGCCTCATTCCCTTCCTTGTGCGCATCACACCCGGAAAAGCAAGGACTATCCCACCACTGATTCTTCTGTTAATTGAGCCTTCCGCTCCCTTGTTTGCCGCAAAGCAAACGAGGCGCGTACCTTCATCATCGACATGGCCGGGTCTGATGTTCAAAACGACAGCTCCGGCAGTGATGATGCTTCCGGCCCGGAAGTAGCTGAAGACATCAATGACGACGACACTTCTGAAGAATCAAGTAGCAGTAGCGACGATGGAGAAGCCCATAATTTTCTGGACCTGGAAGCTTCAGAATCATGCGATAGCGAAGACAGTGAGGACAGGGACGACGACATTGACGCTTCACCAGGGGTTGAGCATTCGTTCCCGCAGTTCTCTCAACTGCCCCCGGAACTACGGCAGCGTATCTGGGGATTTTTTGACCCTCACTTGCGGAGCCCTGCCCGGGTCTTCAGTTTCCGGCTGGTGCAACTCCCGCCTTACCGGATTCCAGGCAATGAAAGTCGGTATGGAATCTGGGAAGACCCATCGCTGGACCAACAAACGGAACCAGCAAGAACGCTTCTAGCCATAAATCACGAGAGTCGTTGTCTTGCCCGAACGTTTTATCCGCATAACATCTGCGTTGAAGATGAACAATTATTCATCCCTTGTCACAAGACTAGAGACATTGTTCGCATTGTGGGACCCCCCGAAGAACTGTACAATGAGGACTGGAACTACTTCATCGATCCTTTGATACGTGGCTTCCATCAGGTGGCTTTCCAATTACCGAGCGGGGATGAAGAAACGCCCGGCATTACGCCGTCGGAAGAAGCCTTCATGTCCGACGCAATCCGGCGATATCTGTTAACAGATTTTCCCGAGTTGACATCTGTCTTCAAGTGCTCCGATGAGATAGATTGCCGCACAAGCGACATACAGTGGTGCACTTTGGACTCGACTCACAATTTCTACGTGGAGACTAGCGAGAGGTCGCCCGGGCTTGGTGAAGACATGCAGTATATCTTCTGTTGGCCCAAGATTATCAACGGCACTCGATCAACAGACAAACCTTTTTCAGAAGAACCTGAAAGGGAATATCGCGGCCTCCTCCCCCCGGTGGATCAACTGGAGGAAGGCAAAGTCTTATCGCGCATGATTCATTTCTCACACAGCCCATACAGTTCAGGACTTTCCCGATTTGACAAGATCCGGATGGCCACCTTCAGCGGAAGCTTCGAAAATTACGAATCAAGCGACTCGGAATCAGAATCTGAAGAAACGAATGAGTACGAAAGCTCCGGTATCGATGATGAGTCAATCGACGACGACATGGGCAGTGACGACGAGGAGAATGATTTGGCTGCGTTGCAGTCATCTCCAGTTGACCACGAATCTCCTTTCCAGGGATTCTCTTCTCCTCTCGGGATGGATATCCCGGAGCTCCTCGAAGCGGCAGAAGCTGGAATGGCATTGGAGGCAGCAATTTTCTCTGACATCGAGTCGGACCCAAGTGATGAGTCTGACCATGCACAGCCGCAGAATACAAATCAGAGACAGAGAAGAGTGATAGCAGACTCGAGCGATGAGGCTGATGAGTCCGAATCGCCTCAGAATCCAAGCAGGAAAAGGCCACGAGCTCGAGTAATTGAGTCAGATTCTGATGAGGACAGCCAGAGCCCAAAGCCTGTAAAGCGAGCTCGTACAGAAGGCCGTGCATCACGTGTGGTGTTGTCTGAATCGGACGATGAGGACGAAAGCGATCATGATGAAACCACAGCAACTTCTGCTTCGAAACGTCGTGCACGGGGGACTGTGCGCCAAGATGATTCACAAAGCGAAGACGAATCCGATGACCAGAGTGAGGAGGAAGACGAATCAGAAGAGTCCGGGCAGTCTTCTGATGACGATGAAGAAGACGAGGAGGAAGAGGAGCAAGCACCCCAACGAATGTCGCTTGCGGAGAGAATCGGGGCATTTCGAGCAGCAGTTCCTGCTGGCGACGAAGCCGAATCGTCTCCAGAGGCCGAATACGACGAATTTAACGACGAGGGAGACGAAGGGTATGGAGGGGCAGGATATGGCGCATTTCAGGACGACGAAGAGGATGATGGCCGATCAGATCGCGAGGAGATGATAATGGATATGGATGAAGAGGCGTCAGAAGGAGAAGAGGGAGAAGAAGATGGTTGGTAAATCGGGCTCGTACTTTCACGCATGCGTTGATACGGTGTCTGGTGCTTGTCAAAATTGATGACATCTAAAACTACAAATTCAATCTACGAATGGTGCGGAAAAGAGTGCCATTGATGATAAGTTCTAATCTCTCGGTACAATACCTATTTAATAACAAATCAGTCAAGTAGACTGTTCCCATGTCTACGTACGGGACCAAACGAGCCGACTTGAACCATCTGTACAGAGTTTACGCCGCTCTTGCTCAGACTCGTGAGTTTGCTTCCTGGTGGCTCGTTTGTCAGCTATACCAAAGAAGCTATACGAAACATACATATGTACATACTCTAGCCTCAAGCTAGGGGAGAGCCCTCCAATGTTGGATCTGACCAGCCACTGGGGGGAATACATAAGCGAGAACACTTGGCTGCGGTGAGTGAGAACGTTAGCGTCGACACCAAAATTTCGACGTCTCACTTTCTCGGATCTCCGAGGCCAAAATATCATAAATGATACCCTGGCCAGAATAAGAAATTTCCAAGTTAGTGGCACAACGGTATGCATGCCCGGCTTGGAGATTCGCCTCCGCCCTGGGCATCAAGTATCAGATCATTGACAACTAAATGGACCCAATGGTGCTCTTTAATTCGTTCACACAAGATGCAATGTCCCTGTAATTATCCAACCAGACAGCTTTTATTGAGAAAGACTAGCAAATAGTAGGGCTTGCTAAAGTCGACTTGAGTTACAACGACAACACGATCATACCCAAGCTGACCCGAGCTATGCAGGCAGGGACCGGGACAGTCTCGTGACGAGAAATGGCTGCGGGTGGTTTTGGGGTTATATCATGGTCGCGGAGGGTCATGCATTAGTATACAATCATTTTCATGAATACTTTTGATTCATCTTTCTATCAACACATTTCCAACCATGAAGCTGCGTCAGGTGGTTGTTATCCTCTCGACGGGAGTGGCTTTAGCGACTCCTATGTCGAATGAGGGCTTGAGTCAACTGTCCATATTCGAAGCATTGGCCAGCCATGCTTCGGCCGCTGAAATTGCCCTACTGGGTGACCTGGCCGTGACAAGACGATCGAGCACATGCACCAAGGACAATATAGTAACACGGAGACCATGGTGAGTCGGATCTTGTCCCAGCTGTCAACATGACCAAATCTGAACGGATCAGAATATTGAAATTGCTGTTAGGGGTTCAATTAGCAAGCAAGAGAGAAAGTCATATACAGATGCCGTGCTGTGTCTGCAATCACTTCCGGCCAGGACGCCGACTTCGCTGGTACCTGGTGTGAGATCGCGCTACGACGACTTTGTTGCCACTCATATCAATCAGACATTGAATATTCACTATACTGTAAGCCACCATAAATTCTCAATATTGGCGGATCTCGTCGTATTAATCTTTTACTCAGGGTAACTTTCTCGCTTGGCACCGCTGGTTCACCTGGCAATACGAACAAGCGCTCCGGAACGAGTGTGGCTACTCTGGGTACCAGCCATACTGGAACTGGGGCCTCTACGCCGAGGACCCGGCGTCCTCGCCCGTCTTTGACGGGAGCGAGTCCAGCATGGGCAGCAATGGCGCCTACATTGCCGACAAGGGCCCAATTGCCCTGACGCTGGGCGACTACCCCATCATCTATCTCCCGGCCGGCAGCGGGGGCGGGTGCGTCACGGCGGGCCCGTTCAAGGACATGGTGGTCAACCTCGGCCCCGTCAGCCTGCCGCTGAATAACGGCAGCGTGATCACGGGCAGCGGCTTTCAGTATAACCCGCGCTGCCTCAAGCGCGATGTCTCGGCTGCGGTGAATATGGCCTACGCCAACATGACGTCTATTGTCAACCTGATTCTCCAAAACGATAACATCTGGGACTTTCAAATGGCCATGCAGGGTGTTCCTGGGTCTGGTTCTATAGGCGTACACGGCGGCGGTCACTATACTGTTGGTGGGGACCCCGCGGATGATGTCTTTGTGAGCCCTGGAGAGCCGGTAAGTCCTTTACCTGATATGCCCCGAGCTGTAATAGAAGAAAGTACTTTGACCTGATTTCGTGTAGGTTTTCTATCTCCACCACGGCATGATTGATCTCGTCTGGTGGGTTTGGCAGCTTCTGGACTACAAGGACCGCAAGTATGCCATCAACGGTACCAATACCTTTCTCGACCAACCTCCTTCGGCCAACGCGACCCTGGACGACATTGTGGATCTCTATTATGCTGGTGGAGGACCAATCACCATTAGAGAGTTGATGAGTACGACGGAGGGACCTTTCTGCTACACTTATACCATTTGACAGTCGAAGTCCAGCAGGACTGCAGAAAAGTCCTGTTTGGTTTTGGTCATTCCACAGACCTCGATTTCAAATTCACAAAATTCCAGTTCAGAGATTCTGAGTAGGACGAACAAGTAGAAATGATTAATTGAACATGAGATCCGCTTCTGGTCGATCGAGCTTGTAGGTATCATGTTTCCGCTTTTGTCAATGAGTTTATCTACCTAGTATGTATTTCATGTTGGTGGAAAGCCGAGCATACTAGATAAAAGCTTGGTAAAACCAGGAGACTCGCAAAAATTTCAGGGACTTCGGGTCTTTCCTCCCGCTCAAGGAATGGGGCCAAATTGTACCATCGGAATATACATAATGTACATTTACTTGTAGGTTTAAGAAGAGCAAGTGTCGGGTTCTGGCCTCGAGTTTTAGCGGTATTGTCCTTAGCGCACCGGATCGATCCGAATTGCGCTGACCATAACCGAGGCGTGGGGGCTTCAATTGATGCATAAGACGCTGCACAAGCTGCGTCATACCCAGCTTCCAACCATGCTGCGCAGTCCCTTTTTTTTTGTGTTTCACCAATACCCAGAACTTCCCAACACATCGCATAATCATGGCCAGCAGAAGTCAACCCCTCAAGTCGATTTTGACTTCGACGCGAAATGCGACCAAGTCTGCCAGTACTCGGGCGTGCCGGCGCCAACTACAGGCGCGCTGCCTGCACACGACGACACCGCGGCGGACTGATGGAGTGTTTAGAGGCTTGACGGACGGCCGATTACCTACACCATGGATTGAGGCATGGAGGATGCAAAAGGAGGGAAAGAACACGGCCTCCTCGGAAGCAAAGCCGCAAGAGCGCGACATGACGCCCAAAAACATGAGCGATAGTTACCACCGAGTAGTGCTGCCGCTGGGTCAAGATCCGTGGCTCTCGGATACATATATCAACTCTTCGGGGCACATTAGGTTCGTAGGAGAGACCCTTGTATCAATTCTGCACTGAATATAGCTTCTAACACTCTCATATGCAGACTCGGTACCGTCTTCATGGATCTAGACGCCCTGTCTGGCATCATTGTTTATAAGCATACCGGACCTGGTGTTACTACAGTTACAGCGGCCTTGGACCGAATCACGATAGCTCACCCCTTGACCGAAATATGCGATCTCGAATACAGCGGACAGGTAACATATGCATCGGGAAGAAGCAGCGTGGAAATCACATGCAAGGTGGCTCGCGCGAGGCCAGAAGGAGAACCGAGCCGACCGGAAGACGTCTTGCTCACATGCACATTCACCATGGTGGCATTGGACCCTGAGACGAAGAAGCCGGTCAACATACCTGCTCTGGAATACACAACACCAGAAGAAGAACAGATCTACAAGGCGGGAGAGGCAAAATCGCTAGCCAAGAAGAACAACCGAAAGATCTCTCTGTTGGCAACTGAGCCGGATGATCCCGAGTCGGCCTTGATACACAAGATCTGGCTAAAGCAGCTTCAATACCACGACCCAAATGACGAGCTGCGCCAACCCGCCAATGTTGTTGCCATGTCCAAGACGCAGCTCTCGACTGCGCAAATCATGCAGCCCCAGTATAGAAACCGCCACCAGACCATGATCTTTGGAGGCTTCCATTTGAAGCAGACATTCGAGCTGGCATTCTGCTGCGCTGCCAGTTTCGCACATGCGCGGCCTACCTTTATCAGTGCCGATCCATGCACTTTCAGAAACCCGGTCCCAGTCGGCAGTGTGCTCTACTTGACGGCCACGGTCGCGTACACGGACCCTCCCCTGCTGGAAGAGGACGGCAGCGAGCCCAGCCAACAAGACCCAGAGAAACCCATGACGAGAGTGCACGTCCGCGTCGACAGCAAAGTGCGAGACGTGGAGCACGGCAACGCGCGGCCGACAGGCCAGTTCAACTACACCTTTGCCGTGCCCAAGGACGTCAAGGTAATGCCGCGAACGTACCAAGAAATGATGATGTACGTGGATGCGCGCAGACGTGTCCGGTTGGGTGATGTTCAGCACCTCCAAGAGCAGACGGGCTCGTACAAGGAGCAGAAGCAGCTGGCAGAGGATACGAATTTGACAGAGTAGAACAAGGTTTCCCACGGATCCTGCTGGCAGCATCACTGATGAGCGAACAAGTCATGGTAATCCTGATCAATTTTTATAGAACTAATGCAATTACTGGGGACGATAGAAGCTGTGATATGTCCGTATCGTCTTGAATAGAGAAACCTTCACGGGTGGTATAGATAGAAATATGCCTTTGAAATGCTTAGTTTCGATGTGGATTGCAGTGAGCTGCACAAGTATCAGCGTGATAGAATGTACCCGTGAGTAGCCCAGAGAATACAAGGACTGGCATGATCCTCTCATCTGCTGCATTGCGTAATTCGAATTCACTTTTCACCTGGGTACTATTTATTTATCTATTTTCTGCCCCCTTCTCCTTCCTTCACTGTTGCAGTCAAACACAATTAACATAAGAATCGATTCTATATGCTACCGCAGATCATTTACGGTATTATAAATGTCCGTTTCGGGTCAGTCACTGTTGCAACCTTGTAAGCACGCTGATTGGCGGCGCTAGCCATAATGCAGAAGCGTGTGGTTACGGAATAGGTGTTACCATAACAAATCAGGCACAACGAGGGGCAGTATTAAGTGGTCATCCCACCAGGACTGACGCATCGTGACTCGACTTCATTTCAACCACCACTACATTACTCGCCTTTTATATGCTCCTGAGCTGGAATTTTCTAAGAAAAGGGGAAATCAACAAGGAGACCATCAGGAAAAAGAATACACCAAATTCTCTTCTCCAACATGGAATACCCAGACGTACCAACCCGCGATTCGTCGCCCTCACCCCCGCCATCCCCGACGCTGGACCGGCCTGCCTCGCCCGAGCTGCCGCTGACCATGACGGCGTCGGCCATTCTCACGAGCCTGCCGCAGGACGCGAGCTCGGCCCTCGCCAGCGCCGGCGACTTTGGCCAGCAGGAAAAGGTCGTGGTCCGCTTCAAGGCCGTCGGCTCGGCCCCGCAGCTCCAGCGCGAGGTGCGCAAGATCAGCGCCGCCCAAAAGTTTGAGGCCGTCGTCTCGCACCTGCGCAAGGCCCTCCGTGTCGCTCCCACCGAGGGCTTGTTCTTGTATGTCAATAGCGCCTTTGCGCCGGCGCTTGATGAGGTTGTGGGCAACTTGCATCGGGTAGGTAGAAAATCATGATTTTGCTCTCCGTTTTACAAGGCATGTGCACAGCTGACATGGCACTCAGTGCTTCAAAGACTCAAACGATCAACTGATTGTGGTCTATTCTATGACGCCAGCCTTTGGTTGAAAGGAACCCGAGCTCCAAGGCCAACATGTTCTACTCAACTCGCCACTATCCAACAGACTCCTGATTATGCTAAAATAATGACGCACCTGGTCCAAACATGAATGCTCAACAAAACACTGTAACTGGGTATGTTTTGATCAAAACTGCGGCTCATTCAAAATCAAAATGTTACGCCTTTTCCTTCTTCAAGGCAGCCTGGAACGACTCTAGCTCACCATCACTTATCGGATATGTGTGCTCGACCGCGGGATACTGGCGCGCCTTGACTTCCGACTTGTACGACTCGATGGCGCGAATGGTCTCTCCCCAGACATTGCCGTATTGCTTGACAAATTTGGGGAGGAACCGGCCTGGAGGGAAATTACCAATCATGTCGTTTTGAACGAGGACCTGACCAGAACAACCATTACCGGCCCCGATGCCGATAGTTGGTATGGAAAGCTCCTTTGTAATCAATGCGGCGACTTCTGCCGGCACGGCCTCGAGGACTGTGGCAAAAGCGCCGGCTTCTTCTATTGCCTTGGCATCTTCAAGAACCTTGAGTGCGCCAGCGGAGGTCTTGCCCTGCACACGGAAACCACCTAGGGCATTCTGGCGTTGAGGTGTCAGACCAATGTGTGCCAAGACGGGAATACCTGCGCTCGTGATCCTCTTGATAGTTGGTGCCATCTCTGCGCCACCCTCGAGTTTGATGCCGTGTACGCGACCTTCCTTGACGTAACGGATGGCTGTTGCCAAGGCTTGTTCTGGGGAGATCTCATACGAGCCCATGGATAGATCTCCGACCTGATCAATGTTAGTATTATACTACAAGGTCATGCATGAAGGAGTGTACGGACAATAAAGGATGCCTTGGAGGCACGTGCCACGGAACGACAGTGCATCAAGATCTCCTCGACGGTGACCTCACTTGTATCTTCCATGCCCATCGACACCATGGCCAGACTGTCACCAACTAGGATGATATCCATACCAGAAATGTCGGCTGCAAGGGCGCTGGGAAAGTCATGGGCAGTGAGGACAGTGATTGGCTCATTCTTCTTGTGCAGGGAGCGGATAGTCCCAACAGTCACCTTTTTTCTTTGAGGTCCTGTGGGAACGCCCATGGGAGAGTGCGAGCTCCATCTCTGCTGGTGGTGGTATGGGCCAACAAGGGACGACAACAAGGGTCTGACTATGCTTGTGGGAGCAACGGGGCGAACACCCCGATATAACGATATGGTACACGACCTGAGAGTGGATGGAGACATGGTGGGATAAATGCCACTATTGATGTCTCTAATGATTTGGTGGAAGAAGGGGGAATTAACTCTCTCTCTCAGGTGGGTTGTACAGGAAAGAACTGACTCGTGGTCATGACTGAGCCCCTTTGCGAGTTTTTATTCATAGGGCATGATGGGATTTGCATGCGTAGAATTGAGTCTCCCAGCGGATTCTCTGGTGTTTTTGAGAAAAGAATGGGGCTATGGACTATGGTGGCGGTACGTACCTGCGCTATGGCCCTTCTCATTGGACCCTTTGCTTTTTTTGTGCCGCCAACGACCGAAGTAGCCCCCTTTCGACCCTCTAGGCCACCGGACACCGACCAGCCAACAGAGACTCTTGCCTGAGAATACCGAGGTAGCCTCTTCCGAACACCACAAATTTGCGGAATCCGATATCCTATGGCAAGGAAGCTGTAGATTTACTATACATTGACTGCATTGTCATTCATGGTATCAAAACATCACACATCTGTCCTTGATTGACAAATCATACTGGCAACTTTCTATCACAGGCAGAAGCATGTGAAGGCCTCCGCTAGTGAAAAACAATGGTCACGTGTCGTACCCGAACATGACCGTTGAGGCGCTACCAATACACTCCGGCTAACACTGAGCTTGACTTGTCAGTGATGCTGACTCAGCCGAGGGCCTTCACCGAACAATGGTGACCATATGTCTTTAGCCTTTATAGCCGATGAGCTGAAAGTGATGGGTTTGCTACATTGCTGGCACACACATGGCTACAACTGAAGGGTGCTCCTACGTTTAGTATTTCCACCATGGATCAAGGCATCAATCAGATTCGTTGTGAAAGCACACAAAGTGGCATGGTACGTACACGGTCGGTTGCAAGAGTATGCGCGTAGGGATGGTTTTGCGAATGCGAATTCCTAAACCCAAAGCCATTCGCAAATCCTACAACCCGAAAGCCAGTCGCCGGCCCCGACAGCTCGGATTACGGGACAACTTAAACAATGAACCTCTATGAACAAGAAGCCAGCCTTGTAGCCTACAGCTGCAGTAGCGCCTGGAGTTAAGGCCTTCGGACAAAGGTCTTGGCATCATTCTAGACGACAGATTTGCGCTAACTGGATTCGGTAATTTCTAACTCCGTCATTCGTCGTCCCTCCGGCACCATTTCATCATCGTCATTGAAGGAAACACAAATTCTGAACAGGATCAGTGGACTTATGTGTATTGATAATCCGGAGATATTGGCTGTATCCGGAAGACAATTGTCAATGGCGGAGTTCAGACCAAAGTCTCCTAGCGTATATTTATAATAAAAGCAATCCGACATGATCGCTCAAGATGAAGTGAGTATATATATCTGGGTGGATGCGCATTCTTCCTCATAGATTACAATTCAACAGATCCCAACTAGCAAATTCAAAAACAATAATATTCTATTAAATCAACTACCTACTTGTCTAGGTTGAACCCAGCAATCAAAACCACCAACTACACAAGAAATATTCAAACTACAATGTCTCATCTCAAGAACATTGCTATTGTCGGAGTATGTCAGCCCACTTTAAACCGTCTCCCCCTTGATGCTTACTCCAATTATTAGGCTACGGGCTCTGTCGGAAAGTTCGTCGTCGACGAGCTTCTCAAGACTGGGAAACACAATGTCACAGCCATCACCCGCGCCGACAGCAAGGCCGTGATGCCCGAGGGAGTCAAGGTGGCCAAGGTCAACTACGACGACCAGTCATCGCTGGTCGAGGCCATGAAGGGCCAAGACGTGCTCATTGTCACAATGAGCGTCATGGCGCCACCCGATTCGCAGATCAAGCTCAACGAGGCCGCCGCGGCCGCCGGCGTGCCCTACATTATCCCAAACAACTGGGGCGGCGACCATGCCAACGAGAAGCTCGGCGACGAGACGCTCCTGGGCCCGGCCAACCGCGCCGTGCTCAAGAATATCCAGGACCTCGGCAAGAGCGCCTGGATCTCCATCGTGTCCAACTTTTGGTATGAGTTCAGTCTCGGCGGCAGCGCCGACCGCTACGGCTTTGACTTTGATGAGCGGTCCGTCGTCTTTTTTGACGAGGGCAAGCAGCCCATCAACACGACGACCTGGCCGCAGTCTGGTCTCGCCGTGGCGCGCCTCCTGTCCCTGCCCGAGGAAAAGCTTGCCGAGTTCAAGAATAAGTTTGTCTACATTTCCTCCTTTTGCATTAGTCAAAAGGACATGTTTGAGTCGGTGCTCCGCGTCACGGGCACGACCGAAAAGGACTGGAAGATTACCTATGAGGATAGCCGGGAGCGCTACCAGTCCGCCATAAAGGCGCTGCAGTCGGGTGACCGCAGCGGGTTTGGCCGTGCCATGTATACTCGCATGTTCTACCCCGATGGCTCTGGTGTCTATGAGAATATCCGCGGCCTGCAGAATGAGTTGCTCGGTTTGCCCAAGGAGGATTTGGATGAGTTTACCAAGATTGGTATCTCGCGCAAGGATGAGAAATATTAAGCGAATAGTGTTGGCGGGCTGATTGTTTATGTATGATTATGATGAAGACTTTTCAATTTGATTTATAGGAAGATAATGATTCGATGACAATCGTATTGTGTTAAACGAAATTCTGTACAAGAGTGCCTATTTAAACCACTGCTACGTCTACTTGTCGCAAATGAGAGGGTGGCATAAGAGATGAACGATTAGCAGAAGCCCGGAAGCGTTTTAACCGCGTCAGGTTCGGAGCATGCTTGTGCCAAGGAGAGCTACCCAGCGTCATCAGTGATTATTCTTCAAGATCTTCATAGTCAAGAATTACTTGACCGTGATTTATTTCTTACCTGATATTGCAATAATGCAACGTCGTACGCCCACTTGGCATAGACTAAAGCTGTGATGCCAAATGCAATGCTGAAAATGGTCAACACGCCCACAAAGACCTACACAGGGATAACATTATATATCATTTACTTGTATAGATTTGGCGTGAAGAATTGTAGTAACATTAAAATCAACGTACTGCTATCCAGAAGTTCAAAAACTCCCTTAGGTTGCTGCCACGCCAACCAGGCATTAGCTGTTGGATCCCAATAGGAGGTTCATCTTTGATCACGGCGCAAAGATGTGCAATCCGAGCTTGAAAGTACTTGTACTCTGACAAGTCAGTCTTGCGACTCCGATTGCAAGGGCCGAGGCTGTGAAAATCCTCCATGGACTGGCGACGGAGGAATTTGGCTGTCTTTTCGTCGTCATATGGCAGCAGCAGGTTCAGGGTATCCAGTGCCTCTTCCACGAGCGACTGTGGCAAAAGCGAGCCAAAGCGCAATTCGTTTTTCAGGAATATCTTGTGCTGATAAATGAGTAGCCAATTTTCATCTGCAGTCCGCTGGATCGTCAAATGATCGACCAGGTTGTCTATGAAGAAAATTTTAAACCCATAAAAGCTAGACAAGTATTCCAGCGTTAGCTTCTGCTCAATCACTCCAATATCTGAAGAATTCCAGTTGGATGGAAAAGCGTTCGAAACCACTGTAGATATTGACTCGTTACCATCCCATCGAAGTGACTGCGTGCTGAAGAATCTGGTGTCTGTGTCGGGATATATGTGGATACTCAGTCGGAGGCTATAGCACAGAGCAACAGACTTGGCCATCAAGTCATCATTTTGCCCTTGCCATGATGCCGGATTTCCCAGCCGAAGCTCGGTAACAATGTTGCTTCGTGGCATTTGGTTGCTCGATTGCAGCAGCCTGATTTGGGACAACATTTCGCTGATATCATTCAACCCCTGTAGATGCACCGGGTCAGTAATCGTGTGGTCCAAATGCGGTGGTCTCGTAAACCACGACCAAATACAGACTCACCACCGTGGCGGCCGCACCTGGGTCGAAACGTGCATCAATAGATGATTCCATGTAGCTCAGGAAACGTTCATAATGTGCCAGATGTATCATGTTATCTAACAAATCCGGCCACAACCTCTTGACGAGGACCAAAGTATCCATATCGTGTGTTGAATTTGAAGACGGAAGCGAGAAAATCTGTATATAATGACTACCCTTGTACCCGATGAGGATTGCGATTTCGAAAGCGATTGGGCTCATTGGCCTTGTCGCTTCAGCCGCAGAACTAAAATGCATCACGTGAACTGTCTGCTCGTGCGGATCAATCGTCTTCGTTGGAAATGAGGGGTAAGCTGCAAGACAGCCTCGCCCTGCTGACATGCCAATTCTCAACTTCTTTGCATTCCCCACCTTGTACAGGATTATTTTCACGTGTTGGTCTATAGGCTGCGGCGCGGGTGGATTGGCGTCAACAGTCATGCCTGTGTGCAGTACAACCGTTGATCTCCCCCAAGACAAACGGAAAGTTGTCCGGGTCAAGCGTCGGTGGAGATTACGGGCCAAGAGCCTGTATGTCGGTATCAAGAACGAGATTCCTCCGCCACCTGGAAGAGAGCGATTCATCCAAGACGAATGGAACAAGGTCATCAAGGAAGAATTGCAATTGCACCTGGACAATATCAATCGCGAGATACGGTACACCTGTCAAGGAAAAGACACTTGGAAATCTATCCTAGAGCCGGAACTCCTCTTGACAGGTTACCAAATCGGAAAAAGTATCAGCCTATCCCCAAAAATATGGTTTCGCTGCGGGAGCGCGTGGACCGAGAAGATCGTTCAAAAGGAAACTGGTGCACTTTCATGGATGGCGGAAAGGGGCCTCGGCGACCGGATCGAAACCGGGCTCAAGTCAGCAATACTGGTTTCCCATGAACCAAGCCCGGTCCCTCGTCAAGTCCAGACCATGTTGGACGACGGAATGCAGCCGACGTCTGAGTTGCCATATGGCTATACTCTGCATATCTGCACGGAAAAGCTTCGTGTCATGGGTACCGTAAATGGACTATTGTGCTCAGCCCTGGTGAGAAAGGACGGGGAAGTGAGGTACCACTCGATATGCAGAATCGGAGGGCTCATCAGTATCAATGATGGTGCAGAAAACAAGATCTACGCAGTCACAACTGCTCACGGACTCCTCGACTATTTCCTCAACGCCGACAACATCCAGAATACTGCACAATCTGCACGGCCGCAACTTAAATCAACGACCCGTCTGACAGAAATCGCCAGTTCTTTTATTGGTAGGCGCTTCAATCGATCTGCCACCCAGGTAGCCGCGTCCGCAATGCAGACTGCAGACACAGTCATGCATGGCACCTTGTCGCAGCAGGAACTTGACTCGGTCGAGTGGGAGCCTGTCCGAAGCGTCTCCGCTACAAACTGGCTTGGTGGTGGGTGGGAAGTAGGGAAAGAATTTCAACACCCCTTTTTTATCCCGAGTCCAGAGCGACTGGTGCCTGATGCTGACTTTGCGCTCCTGGAGCTTCCATCCGAGAGCTACAATACACCACAGCATACCCGGACGGATGATCGCGCGGTTCATGAGATCAGAAAATGGCTGAGTGATGACCAACTTGACCCAGGCGAAGTCCAAGTCGTCTTGAGAAGTGATAGACAGGTCTCTGCAGAAGGTCTGGTGACGGCTCAGCTGCTTTATGAACGTCCTCACCTGTTCCTGAGGGGTGCTCCATTTCCAACACGGAAGCTCAGACTGGAGAAGCCATTAGGTAGTGTTCAAGAATTCCCGTCAATCGTTGCTTGGCTCATTGATTATAGCCTCCGGGACGTCTGGTGCATGGGTCGTGCGTAACCATGAGCTGTGTGGCATGATCGTTGCCAGTTATGAAACTGAGCCATTTGCCCACATGATTACGGCGGAGAAACTCTTTTCAGACATCAGAAAAACGTAAGTACTGGTGAAAACGATCAAAGTGGTGAGAATAAAATATTTTAACCGAGGTATTCGCTAGTTTGGATATCATGCCTGGTCAACTCACACTAGATTTGCCTCAGACCATAGACATCCCCCTCGACACTCTCCATGTTCTGCCGCCCAGACGCCGCAAGGGGACGAAAGCAGCCGAAAACGCCATATTTCAAGACTCCAGGGATGACCTTGAGGCTTACATAGCAAAGCATGCTCGAACAGACAAGCACGAAACATCAGCAGATGGCATGATTGACAAGCTTAGAAAGGAACTTAACGAAGCCTTGGTTGTATCGGCAGCACATGAATCAGGAAAATTCTTGCCGCCGCAATCGCTGAAGCAGATACTTACAAGATCGGCAGTTCTTATATCTCTTTGGCAAATTTTTGAAGCAAGGACTAAAGCAGAGCAGCTTTTAAGCTATATCTTTTCTGAGGAAAGAAACTACATATTCTCCGAGGAAAGAGAGAGCCAATCACTGAAGATTTATGGCATTCTCATCCTCGTAGGAAAAGCTTCAGAGATCGAAAAATTTGCAGAAGGTCGAATCACTGATCGCGAGCTCCCGCTCCCACCAACCGTCAATAGGTCAAGGGAGGCTGGTTCCAAATCTTCAGCCAATGATGAAAAAAGCGAGATAGATACTGCTCTCGCCTTTCTCATGAACTGGGACCATAGCTCGATTGATCTGTTCAATGTTTACCAGTGGTATTTCCTCAGTCCGTGCTTCGCTCATGATGCTGATGGAAGCATACTTCACTATTCTTTACAGGACAATGTCGTTCTACCTTGGATAGAAATGACAGAGGGCCAAACTGGTGGACACGGGATTATTTACAGAGTGAAAATCCCCCCATCAAACCACCAGTTCCCTTGTGGTGATGTATTAAATTTCGTTCTCGGCGTCTTGACACGCGCACTAATGGTCAATAGGAACCAGATGTGTTTGCCGTGAAAATGCTCTTTACAAACGACAAAGACGACTTTGCTCACGAGGGCGATATTCTCCAGAGTCTGTCAAATAAACCACGAGTCGTGAACCTCTTGGCAACATTTCAATACCGGAATAAGTTTTTCTTCATCCTTCAGTGGGCGGCGGGAGGTTCGCTTCGCGACATGTGGAGGCAATACGAGGATGCACCACCTCTGAGAGTTGCGTTACCTTGGTTCATGGACCAAGCCCACGCCCTTGCGCAAGGGCTTCGCAGCATTCACAGTCCACACAAATCGTTTGACATTGGTATTTTGCACGGAGATTTGAAACCTGACAATGTATTGGTGTTTAGACGTGACGTTCCAGAAGGAGAGATTGGTGGTTTACTAAAGATCACAGATTTTGGATCGGCCCAGAGAATCATGCAGCAGCCATTTATGCAAGGTCCAAACATAACCCGAGGCTTTAGTAGGACATACAGGGCGCCAGAAATTCATATGATGGATCAAATGAATGGCCTCTCGCTCAAGTATGACATTTGGGGTTTGGGCTGTACATACCTTGAAATGATATGCTGGTTGTTTCTGGGTCGAGAGGGCGTTGAAGATTTCGCAACATCAAGAGTCAATGAAGACCGAGGCATTGAATCCGGTTATCAGATTAAGGAAGACAAATATTTTGTTGACGGGTCTGATAGTCCACTCCACCCAGACTTTGCAGTCAAGAAATGCGTCACAGAGGTATGTCAGTCTAGGAAGGCTTTGGTGACTATTGACTGATCACTTTATTCTTGAAGCTCATCTCACGATTGAAAGACCTCCCTACCTGCCCGTCATCCCTTAAGGCAGTTCTCACTCTCATACAAGAAGATATGCTGGTTGTAGACCCAAGCCGCCGACTAAGTGCAAAGTTTATATCAGTCGAATTAAATTTCATCATGAGAGAAGCTGGTCTCAAGGACAGATACGAATCCACTGATGAAGGCTTTGCTCCTTTTTCCTCGAAAAAGCCAACCGCGGCAGATCAGTTTCGGCCGTTTGAATTCAAGCGTCGAGACCATTTCGATTCGATCACAGAATCCCAAAGAGCCGCGGCAAGGGTTTCTGCTGTCAAATTGAGACTTCCCGCTCTCAAAAATGAGAGGCTTGCTGACCATGAGAGGTTTACTGTTTTACATAAGGCTGTTTCCAATCATCTTGCACAAGAGCCTGCTCTCACAGAGGAACTTATCACTTCACAAGAACGAGTGATCCAGCATTCTTCTCTCGACGTAGAGAAGAAGAATCACCTGGTGCCCGTTGACGTCAAGACGATTGATGAGTTCGTTGCCGAGGTAGCCAACCAGAAAGAAACTCAGCGATTCACGTTGCGACGGACAGTGGAGCGCAGGCATCTATGGAATATGCAAAAAGCGATCCGAGAGGTGGCTATGCAGGACGGAGGCAAACGCTATGCGGCATTCAAGGATGATTTCTCCGGAATGACAGGCGAAGAATTGACCAACATGAGGACGGACCTTTACACTCGTATTGCTGCGGTTGACAGCCTCCTGGTTGAACAACTACGAGCGAGGGAACAGAAGGGAGTGGAGGGGACAGCCAAGGTCAAGGGGGATATGCGAAGCGCGCCAGAAATGGTTGTAAGATAGCCCATGATGTGCGAGAACGTGGTGAGGTCTCGTCTGTTGCGGAGATTTATTTAGTTCTGGAGAAAAAATGTAATGGTACAGTGTTAGTCCTAGTCAGTACTCTGCGGGTGGTAAACAAGTATAGAAAGCCGAAACATCAAACCGAATGAGGCATCATAATATGAGGCTCCACGCTAATTGTCCAGATCATGCGTGTCAATATTGAAAAGTGAGTTCCTGAACATGTACTTGGTATTATTGAAGTGCTTCTTCATACACCAGATTCTGGTCATTATGCACCTATCTCGGCAAAGCTTGTGTGAGATTGATACGAAGTAGTTGAGCTGGGGGCTTCGCTTCACTTTCAGATTCAGAACGCAATCGGAGCCAATCTCGCCCCGTCATGGATTCTTTGCATGTATGTGCTGCATCGGCTGCTCTGTGATAGGTTAGATTTTGTCCATGCAGCTCCATGCAGCCTGCCTGATAAGTAGGCAGAATCCAGCGATCCAAACGTGCCTGTAGGCGATTGGTCAGAATCTGTTTGTACAGAGACACTCAAGAGTTCGTCAGGCTGAGCACAAAATGGTTGTCAAGTCGGTCATGATCCAAATGTGGGCAAGCTAGGTATTTAGCATGACACATCTCCCACATTCCACCTGTCTGATCCTCTCTTTCAAGAGTGCAATTATCAAGTTGATCTCACCGTCAGATGATATGTACAGTACTTGGCTCATAACTTGAGGCTCTCGATCTCTCCAGGCGACATCTGATGCGCCAGCGACGGAGCCATGGCCGATGCACAGCCTCGTCATCACCTTTTCCAGACCTGGTCTGAAAAAGACATGTCAATCTGGGACCATAATCGCGAGACGATACGTCGGTTGTTCCTTCTAGAGAATCGTACACTAGCCGATGTCAAACGCATACTTGAAGCAGATCATGGATTCCCCGAATTCAGGTATTGCCCCTCTGAAGTGTAGTTGTAGATTGATTCTCACAGTGCGCACACAGATTGACAGATTACGAAGTTATTCGGAGAGAACATTTTGGGTTCCGAAAGAATCTGAGAAAGAAGGATTGGCTAGAGATTGAATTCCATCGCGAAAATCGACGGCGAAAAGGCAAGGCTAGCAATGTCTACCTGCAAGGGCTTCTAATGGAGAAGCCGCGTGTCGACAGGGCTGTGCGGAGGTCAAAAAATGACTGCAAGTTACCATGCAGGAGCCGAAGAGAGTATGGTCAGTGTGGTGCGATTTCACTCGAGGATGCCCTTGCTAATACATTATAGGCCCGGCACGCTCACTGCCAAAAGGCGTCACAATAAGAACACCATCGCCGGTGCCGTCAAGCAGATCATGGGTTCCAACAACGGGTATGACAAGCGTGACGGATGTACTTCCGATTCTTTATTCAAGAAATTCGGTGTACCAAGAACCCCTTGGGCTAGACAAATTGCCGGTCAGTATCAACATGACGCCAAAACAACTCCAAATACAAGTCTCGGTGGAAGAGATCAGACTTCACTTGCCCTTCAATAAGTTCGCAGAAACGATCGCACTCAGTTGTAAGTTATGCTCAGTATCGTATCATGTAAACGCTAAGTACTGAAGAATATTATCCTGCAGATGGCATCAACTCGTCGACCTCACCGTCGCCTATATATGCAGGTGCCCACCACTCATCACCAGGATCAGTGCAGTCGTCAGCGCATTCTGATGTTCTCACAACCTACCAAACGCTTGGTATTTCCAACAAGAACATCGTATTACAGCCAAAGACAGTGGTGGAAGAGCACCGACAAGACCGCCTCGCTGCCCGCAACATCGCATTTGTCGGCGGAAAATTTGAATTCGAGAAGTTGATGCGCGTGTTCTTTGTGCTCTCAAATAAACAGAAAATACACCTACAGGAAGCCATCGAAATCCTTGAATGGATAGAATCTGCCGAGTTTAGTGTTCTTAAATCCCTCTTCACACTTCCACTGTATACAGTGGCAGCTGCTTGGGAACAATTGGCAGACATTTCTCTTGTCCTGAGACGTCCAGATGCATTTTCAAAGCTCCTCCAGGCAGGTCTAGCAATCCGAAATGGTGAATGGCTAAAGGCTAGAGCCAGCAGGGTCCTAGGAATAGCCATATGGCTTGGCTTGAGACAATGGCAGCGGAACTTACTGGAAAATGGGTTGTCACCTGCTGGAATCGTCGCTGAAAGTCATTGGTTGACGTTCTCTAATGACGATACACCTTTCATCTTCTTTGATCTTACATTTCCTAGAACGCCCCTACAAGTCGCCGTACGACGATCAGATGCGGATACACTCATGACGCTCATTCGATATGGTATCTGCCCCAATAAATATGACACTCGATTGATGGCAACAGTATTATTCGAACAAGATCCTGGTAGTAATCCTGCTGAACAGATTCGTTGCCTTGAACTGTTGCTAGAAGCAGGATCACCTGTGGACTTCGAGTTGAAAAATAGCCTCCAGACCCAGGGAGAAACCTCCATCGAACGACTCGGGTGGTATCCGAAAGGACCCAATTGGTTCTCAGACAACTTATGGTATCACGCAAAGAGAAAAAGACATTTGCAACAGGCATTCGATCTAGTATCTCAGCACAGCAAACGAGACAGAGACTCTCTAACCGTCCCGGGGTTGCATGATGCAGCATCACGTGGCTGTAGTGAGCTTTTACGATACCTCAATAGTCGAGCCAATCCATCGGGCACGGATCGGAACGTTCTCCTCGAGATTGCGTTATCTCAAGCGGCATCTAGAGGAGAGTTAAAACCTTTTGAAATCTTTCTCCAAATAGGGGTTGACCCAAATGCTCGAGAGATCTATACTGAAACTTTACGAAGCTCCACCAAGTCTCGTCGATATATCTATGGTCTAAGCGACCCCACGTTGGAAAAACCATTTTGGTACTTTGAGAACAAGGAGTACCTGGCAGAAACTTATGTCCCAGCCTATCAAGCATCACTGAAATTACATATGATTTTGCTCAAGATTCTCTTCGAGGCTGGAGCCGATCAAAACCAGGCAAACCTTGTTGATGCTCTCCTGAGTAACGGAAAAGCCGACTGGAGCGACCTCTTTGCCAGCAAATATCCAGATGGCCTGATTCATCATGGAATTGTTGATGATGCTCAAGAATTGGCTCCGAAAAGAGTCAACGAGATATACGACTTTTTACTTAGAGAAGGCTTTGATATCCAGCTTCACGGCAGCAAAGCCATGGTGAATGCAATCATGCGCTGGGGGGAAAGAGAGCTCAAAGTGGCTTGCTTGCAATTGGACTGGCTCCATTCAAAAGGAGTCGGGTGGGACGCCGATTTTGAGGGGTGTAACTTGATACACTTGGCAGTGAGGCAACGATGCGATCTTAATTTTGTCCGCTTTCTAGTGGCACGTGGTGTGAAAGTTCATTCAACCCCGTGTCATCAAAACTCAACGATGCTTCATGACGCCTTGTACGCGGTATGCTCGCTCGATGTCATCGATTTCCTGTTACAGAACGGCTGCGATGTCAACGATCAATCCTACGGTGGCAGATTGATTCTACAGCCGGCCTTATTCTATGACAGGCGGGGTGGCACAGCTGCTACTTGTGCTGCAACCTGCAAGAAATTGATGGAAGCCGGCGCGACAATAGTTCCACATTGTCAAGCAGTCCCTTTTCACACCAAATCACCATCAAGACTGCTATCAGAACTGATCGAGCTCCCCGATATTGGAGATGATTCCATAATCAACATGCTGGAATTAGGTACGACAATCCCTGTTTGTTACGATCTCAAATATCCCATGAAAGAAGAAGACTTCTTCGGCCCCTTGGAGACTGCGATAGCGGCTGGGAGGTTGAATCTGGCCGAGGAGTTACTGTGCCATGGGGAGAGAGTGCATGATGCTTCCTTACTCATCTCAACGGTCCAAAGATCAATTACTCGATTGTGCATAGAGTCACCGGAAAACCACACAGCGAAAGATTTCATGACTCGTTTCATCACATCGGGGCCGGACATCAATTCTCTTGGGGTGAAGGGTCTCAATTCATTACACATTGCAGCCCAAGAAGGTTCTCTCAACATTGCCGCTATACTTCTCGAGAATGGAGCTGACCCTAATACCCCGATCAAAAGAGTAGAATTTTGTGTGTATGAACCAATAATTGAATGTGTATTTCGACATCATTCGAAGGGCGAAATCGATCCTGACGAAGGAATCGCTTTTGACGCCCAGGGCCGGCCAAAATTCCCCATATATATCCACGGGCCCGTCCGGGAACCTCGAGCTCTTGATGTGGCCGCATTCCATGGGAGATTGGACATGGTGCAGCTACTGCTCAACGTAGGGGGTATAAGTGGTCAAGCAGAGGTAACACCATATGATGGAGCTATTGATTCTGCCCGGCACAACAAGCACAACGCAATTGTGTGTTTTTTGGAGAAGGCAGCTGTCCATTTCTTGAGTACTGGAGAATTGCCGAGTATGAGCGACAATGGCCAGGATCATGGGCTGCTCAATTATGATCTGCAATAGGCAGTTTTTCATGTTATCTAAGCTCACATCTTTGGCTTGGCGCAATGCCAGGAGCTTTGCGAGGACGAAGTACATGAATCATTACCTCTCCCGGATGGTGAATCGTCCAGACGGCACAGAAGGAGGGATTACATGCGGCTCATTTTTCATTTTTCATAGGCTTTTTGCTGTGAACCAGCAGTGGAGTTCGATCCAGGCGTTTCGTTTCTTATGATAGAGCGAATGTTTGAGGAATATTTCAGATAGATAAAGGATGAGACCGACAAGCTGCTGTTTGATTTGTTGTAAGCAGTAGACGCGAGTGCACAAACTTCAAAATAGGTTGATAGTCAAAGTGACCAACACCTGTGTACGAACCAACCATACAACCTACCGGCACGGCCGGGAAGAAGGCGTATTCAAGCTCTGTCGCTGTGAATGCCTTCGTGCTCTCTTGCACAAGCGTAAATAACGCGACAAGGGCGAATAGGACCGATCCAGAGAGATCGCAAATATCAATAATAATAGTACGTATGTCTTGTTATTTTTGGACGTCAGTCATCTTTTACATGATAATGTAAGCAAATGACCAATAGACTGTAGGCATGATATTTTACATAGTATACTGGTCCAGGGTCCAGGCCGCAAACCCCTGTAACCCCCCACCTCCTTCTGACGGGTTCGTGACGCTCGAACCCCCTGGAAGCCCCCCAAAGCTGTCAACTCTCATACACTGCCGGGGAGAATCCAAAACGCCCGTCGACAACTCTATTCAAAAGCTTGTTGGACAGTTGAGCCTCAATCCAGATCTATCTTCATTTCTTTGAGACTATTCCCAAAGCCTTATTTGTTCTTCTTTCGAAATTCAGTTGAGCGTGATTAATGCATCTCAGAGAACACTTTTTTCATTGCCGCCGAGTTACATTGCTTTTCTCATAGAATCTAAGCGCCCAGGTAAACCGCGCGCCGCCAGCCAGTCAGCGGTCAGTCTGGCGTTGCCCCCTGAAACCGGGCATCGCGATACCCCCTGCGACAGCTCCGGTATCATGCAACTCGGCGTCCAATGTTCTGCTTTTCCCTCTGTGTTGTTAGGCTCAGCCCCAATGACCCCAATGACCCGCGTGCTAGTCGTACCACTTTCTTGCTCGGAGTACGGCAATGCTGTCTCGTCTTGGCAGGCGAGACTTACTGCTTGGGCCTGACGTGCTTGGGATCTGGTCCTGGCGGCCTGGTCTCCAGTAATTGCATCGTAGCATTGATCCGTGTGGTCTCTTCTCATTCATTGGCTCCCCCAGACGCAAGTCGTCTCCTCGGCTGTTGCCGCAAGGCCTGCCGTGCCTTCTCTGACTCTGGTGCATCTCTGTCAACCTCTCTTCTTTCTCTCTTCTCTCTTGTTACTATTCATACTATTCTTGTGAAGATCTGTGATCTACGTGCATACATTCATTCTAACCACTTTTTCCCCATCTTGCTCTTCGCTTCTCAGTAATTACGCTTCTAAGCGCTTTTGAATACAGCTGGTCTGCCACAATTTTATTCAACCAACACCATCGCTTTGAAAAAAAGTTGTCAGCCCCCTTCAAAAGGACCCAGACGATTCAAATACATCTTGAACGAAATCGATTTCCAAAACCCAACAAGTCAAAAATATATCAAAATGAGGACCGTCTTTGCTCTCGTTGTCGCCCTCGCCGCTTCCATGGCCTCGGCCGGCGTCATCATTACGCCAATCAAGGCAAACCAGGTGGTGCCCAAGAACGACGATGACTGCTTCTTTGGCGTGACGACACCAAATGGCTGCGGGTATGTATACCCATTATTATTCGTTGCGATCGAGTCCGAGAAACTAATTCAATAATCCAGGCCGCTGCGAAACTAAAGAGCACTTCCAAATTTATTATTTTGTCAATACACACTCCCTTCGATACCCAATCAGCATCTGATCTGGCAAAGGACAGACAGATTAAAAAGGACATAATCGCCTCGAGACATGTTGAGGATATAGACAGGGTTGGAGAGATGCGGCGGTGGGGGATCTGAGATCGATAATGGCAGCTCCCCCCCACGGACGATAATTGTCTTCACCATCGAGACGTTCATCAACGGCAAGGCCACTGGTTTACAACCCACGAGGCCATCATTGTTCTTCGTGATAGTGCCAACTGATTTCGGGGTAAGACTATGGAGCCGGGAAGCGGAAGGGAGCATGTGCCTTGCGCGCCCGTGGTTATTTTTGTTTTGGGAAATAGAGACCGGGCAGAGAGCATCGGTGGGTTCGACGATGGGTTTGTGATTACTAGCGTTTGATGGGCGTGCTCACGTATATAACGAGATGAACGGCCACCAATGGGATATATTCGAAATGGATCTTTGTTTTCTGCAATAATGATCAGGCGAAACATCAAATCCAGATCTGAATTCAGCAAGATCAGATTAAGGTCAAACGAACTTGTAGAATCTTATGAATGTGGTAGATTAGATGTGCCCATTGCACGAATTCTAGCCAATTTGCGTCTTCCCATCCTGCTCAGATCTCCCAATGTTGAAAGCAAGTCCCCTCACAAAGTAGTGCGCAAAGCAATACCTGTACCTGTAAACGAGATGATGCAGGAATCCTTATTCCTGATAATGATAACGCCTGAACTCCACACAATGCAATGCAAATGCAGCAGACGAGCAAAAGCACATAAAGAATGCCAGTTGTGCCTTTGCCACCTCGTTATCCTCTCAAGCAGCGTCTGCATGCTTGGCTTGTCGTGACGGATCGTAGATTCGGAACTGATAAAAGATGATGGCATCCTCAACCATGGTGCCTAACGAACCCAGTAACCAGGGGATCGCCTTGACAATGTATTCTGGGTCCTGCGAGTAGCTGAAGACGCTCAGTCCGTAAGTCATGTTGCCCGTTAGGGAGAGGAGGAAGAAGAGTAGCGCAAGTCCTGTAGTAGTTGTCTTAGCCATGATTCCATATTTGCATATCAGAGATCGGTATACAGTCGCACATACCTTCGCAGGACTTTTCCCTGTAGTTCTTAATGATCTGTGGGATGCGCGCGCACAGATAGCACAGCGCACTGAGATAACCCAGTGACATGCCTACGATACCAGCAATCGACGTTGCCGCAGCGGGAGAGTCGGGCTCATCGGGTCCATCCCATGCGCCGACCTTGTATGACACGAACCAGCCAGCTGTACCAAGCAGATAGACGGCAGCCAAACTCAGCGTGTTGTGCAACCAGCGGTGGCTGTCGGGGGTCTCGTCCTCGCCGGTGACGATGCGGGTGAGGGAATCGCCGAGGCCGGACTCGTCATTTCTGACAGAGGGTCGGCGCTGCGAACCGGGAATGCCCGCAGAGGACCGGCGTCTCAGCAGCGGCTCGTCTTCGGAGGCATTGGTTTGCGTCGACTGGGCGCGCTGGCGGGCAGCCCGGCGGGCGTTGATGGTGTTGTAGTACAGACATTGCGAAATGAGGACGAGGTCGGAGAAGCAGAAGTATGCAGCTAAGGTGGTAGCGGTCGGTGCGATTCCGGTGACGAGCGCCCCTGCATGATGGGTTGGAGTCAGTTTTTTCTTGGTTGGAGATAAGCAACAAATGAGTGAGCACGTGCCTGGGCCCTGCATCAAGTAGGAACAAAATTTGGCAATTTTGCATTCCCAGACATTGACGGGGCCACAAAGGCTATTTCGTGAATCCGCGACAACATTTTTCTTTGACATGATGGTCTAGAAGGCAGGCCAAACATGTCATAGCGGGGTCGCACTATAGAAGAAGCGCACGTACCTGACAAGTTTGCAATATCACCAAAGAGCCAAATCAGCAGGAAGCCCATAGACAGTCCATCGGCGCTCTTGGTCTTGTAGTTGGTGATGAGCTGGGGAATCTAGAGAAATGAATTGTTAGAGAATAAAGTCCAGACCGGCAAATCGCAGTATTGCTCCTCGGCAGACTCACCAGCAGGCAAATCCATGCCGTCAGACTGATGCTGCCAAAGATTCCGGATAGCGCCTCGTTGATCGGGACGCTTTGCGATAAGAGAGCCGCCATTGCTAATCGAAATTTCCCGTGCCTGTCGCGAGGTGGGAGCCCAGAATAGGTAGATATGAATGCGAGATTCTCGGTTCGTTGACAGGTGAAGGAGGAACAAAGGAAAAGAGAGAGAAAATGTTGTCCAAGATGTCAGCCTCTTTCTTTCTTGGGTGGATCATGCGATGAGAAGAAGCGTGGGGTTTTCGAGAGTTGCAAGGGAGTCATGGGTCCCTTCCAGGTTCGGCTGAGCCATAATAATTTTTTTCTTCTTTTCTCTCAACCACAGCTGATGATAAGGACGATCAACGCGGACGCTTGTGTGCAGATAAGAACATTTCGGCAAGTAATGGGGATGCACCTACGCACCGAATGGGGCCTTAGTGGGCTCTTGTGCGCCATGTTGGGGGGGGGTTGCAGTGCTCTAGCGCTCCTAGCGCTGCCGTACGGATACATTAAGGCATTGTAGCCGACCACTCAGATCTTAGTGGTTTAACATCACTGTAATGGGGGCAGTGACGTCGTTTCCGCGCTTCTGGGGTACACCGAAGTCGGTGGAGGTGACTGAATGGTCGCTCACGATAGTCCATGATCAAAGTCAGTCAAGCCTTGGCGCTTCATTTGAGACTTGGGTATATAGACTCAAATTCATTAATTTGACTCATTATCGTAGTAGAAGGAATAATACTATAAGTGCACCAATAAATGCTTGAGTTTAGGAGATTCCAACTGTTCATATGGCCAATGCCAGAAGAGAGTTAACACCCACGCAGTTTAGAAATTGTACCTGTTTATCGTATGAGGTGACCGACCAAATACCGCTTGAAGGAGTAACTTCATCAAATATGTCTCAATAAACCACGATTAAGAAACACGGGCAGTATTGTTCATTTGACATTCAAGAAGGCTCATCTGGACGGCCGCAGCACGGTCACCTGAGAGGTCTCGAGAGCGAATCATCCAACTCCAGGGTGTCACGTTCCCTTGCCAACCAAGCACCGTCGCGTCTCTGAGTTGGCGCCTGAGCCAGCTAGACGTGCCAGCCCCCATTTATTCCGTAGATAGCACCACGACTTGCAACTATCAGACATCTCCTAAGGGGCTTTATCAATTATTGTCATTGTATCTGCGCGTGCGTCTTACTTTTATTCAACAGTTCAACGAGACTGCATTATTTTTATTGAATATAATCTGTTTGAACTCTCAAAGCGGTTATATCACGATGAAGTTGGGAGCCAGCGCCGCAGCGCTTAGCCTGCTTTTACCGAGCGTAGCAGCTTGGGGCAGTAAGTAGAGCATCAGACATCTAGTACTGTGAATGTTGTGGCGTCTCACTTGGGACTACCTCAAAAAAGAGCTCACCCAGCATTTCATGCTGATCTCAAGTGCCACAGGTCTGGGTCACATCACCGTCGCCTACTTGGCTAGCAACTTTGTCAAGGACGAGACGGCCGCCTATTTCCAGGACCTCTTGCGCAACGATACCGAGCACTATCTCGCCGGCGTCGCAACGTGGGCGGATAGCATCCGGTACACGAGATGGGGCCGCTTTACTAAGAATTTCCATTTTATCGACGCAAAGGACTCACCACCCACTTATTGCGGTGTCGATTTTGAAAGGGACTGCAAGGAGGACGGATGCGTTGTCAGCTCCATCCAAAACTACACCTCCCAGCTGCTGGACGGTAGTCTCTACGCCTGGCGCCGCAACCAGGCTGCCAAGTTTGTTATACACTTTGTCGGCGACATTCATCAGCCGCTGCACACGGAGAATGTTGCCCAGGGTGGGAACGGCATCCATGTGAAATGGCAAAATGCCGAGCTGAATCTGCACCACGTCTGGGACTCGAGCATCGCCGAGCAAATGTTGGGAGGAAACCGCAGGAAGCCATATGTTGGGGCTCATGCCTGGGCCACGAATCTCACCTCTGAGATCAAGGACGGCAAATACACTGCAGAGAGCAAGCTCTGGGCGAATGGCCTCAATCTCGACGATCCTATCGCCACATCGATGATTTGGGCCAATGAGACAAACGCCTATGTGTGCAGCCACGGTAAGTTTTCTTGTCATCAACCTGAAGGAACGTTGTCAACTGATCCAAAATCACAGTCTTCCCCGAGGGTCCAGCCGCCATTGCTGGTCAACAACTTGCTGGCGAGTATGCCAAGAAGGCTGAGCCAGTCATTGATGTCCTGGTCGCTCGAGCTGGGTACCGGCTGGCTGCCTGGCTGGATCTCATTGCCGATAGGATCAGGGAGAATTCCAATGCCGCCAGTGTAGGCGAACTCTGAGGAAGCAAAGCATTGTTGGATTCGGGGGAATTGTAGGATATAGCCGTTCTAGGGCATTCTGATAGTACATAGTGTATATCGTGCAGCTTCAAACAAGCAACTTAAATAGGTTGGGCGATGATGGATCATATATCCATCCGTCAAATCTCTTGGCAAAACAAGTGTACGGATCCCCATGAGCATACAAGAGATCACCCGTGCTGAAAGCCACTAGAACTGCAGAGATGCGAGTCCAACAGTTGTCTTGGCACAGAAACGAGGAGGGTGCATGTTACCACTGTACGCATCGACGTCTTTCACACAGAGGCCAACTTGTCATGAGGTCCGCCAGATCAAACATGGAGATTATGTGCGGATTACCGGATTACCTGTATGTAACCCTGAAGATTTGCCATCGCAGACGACGAGTCGCCCGGATGCGCAGGAGCCGGGGGCGATTCGACAAAGGAAGTACTAGAGTGTGCGTCCCGAGCTCGATTCCGGACCACATGCCATCCATTCTTGGAAACATTGGCACCATGACATTGCACACCAACCCTTCTATGCTTTCTGGGAGGACTGTTCGGCCGAACTCTGGCTGGTTTCAGAGACGGTTCCAATGCGTCTAGGGGGAGGGGTTGGGAATTTGATTTTCCGCCCTCGCTTCGCCAAGGTCCATCCCACGTGATCGATCGGCCTTTTGATCGTGAACATGGATCTTTGGTGTTTCACCAAGACCTTGGGACATGGCTCAAACGCAGGACTTGGGCAAAGGGATCTGTCAGCATTGCGTGCATGTCATCTGAGTTCCAATAACTCGTATTTTTTTCGCGGCATTTTTTGGTTTCTGCATAGGTAGTAGCCAAATTATTGAAAGGAACGTCAACCCACAGTATCCAGACCTTGAGGCTGTTGGAAAGGTCCGAGTAGTTGTGCTTGAACCATCAGACAAAGAGAAAGAGCTGAGCTCCTTTGCAAAATGCCAATTCCATCGTTTCAGTGTCTCTATAGTATGCTGTATGCAAAGACGGTCAAATTCATCGCATTTCTTGTGATTCCGAAAATAACCATCGAATCATATTCAATTTGTCATTTGCCCTGATTGGATGACATGTGGGAAACAAGATTGTACCTGAATCATCCCTTGGTGTTGTGTGAAAAGTAAGTAGGTTTGTATGCATACCCAAATGTGTGTACACTGCGCGAGTAAACTTGAAGCAACGGCACTTGTCGTCCGAAGATCTGAGGTGGTAGACGTTTGTGAAATGACGATGGGATGAAAGCCCCCGGTTTCAATGTTTCGCGGGTCTTTGGTCGGGTTGGTTCAAGTGTGTAGGCAGAACAAGAGCATTCATTCGCCTATTCCATGTGCAATGCCTAGGTTAGTTTACCTGGGGGCGATCAGAACGGATCACGAAATAGCCAAGCTGCCAGCCCAGGCACAGGATTATGTTTGAGACTTGGCGCGGGGGGATCATCAAGACTCCCAAAAGAATAAGCGAGTAGAGGCGTAACTCCGAGCAGAGAGACAGAAACATTGAGGCCGGGTGAGTAGATCGCCGTTGGCCCAGGATTGCTCAAGCGTACATACGTTCATCCGTTGAATGTGGGAGGCTGCACAGAGAGAGATTTGACCTCGTCGCTGGTATTCGGTGTTATTCATGGGAGCAACCTGGCGGTCCTGGCCCACGCACCAGACACAAATCTCCTGTATCTCACTGTAGACCCGCATACGATCCAAGCGATGATAAGGATTTCGGAATTCGGCAGGGAGAATTGGGCACTTTGGCGGTAGATGAACTGGGGGTCAAAGGAGTGCATCTGCGAGGCATTGCAGATGTGAGAACAATAAGGTAGCATAGGGCAGTGAGTGATACAGGTAGTAACCAACATTCAGCTTGTGTGGTGCATACCTACCTGGCTCTGTACCCGACCTACATCGTTGAGCCCCGCCCAGACCCAAAGCAGCTAGATGGGCTGAGAGGAGCCGTCTCAGCGCCCTGGATTCTGGGGGCTCTGTATGAGCCCTGCAGGAACAATAAAACCCCCCTGAAAGAGGGCCTAGCTGCTGGTGTAGTAGCGCTCTTAGGGAGGATGTAAGGACTGCTGGGCCACTCATCGCTGGGGGACCCCTGTCAGGGCTTTTAAGCTTCTTTTCTAACGATCTAGCATTTCATATCACTTGCCGCAATTGTAATTTGGAACCCTTTGGAATTTGTGGATTCATGGCTTCATGAACTTGTTTACTGTTGGAAAATCATCGTCACTATTGATTTGTATTTGGGCAGGGTCGTATGAGGATCGCTTTTGCTGTCTTGGCAGTAGAGCGAGCATTGTGGAATCAATGCCAAGTGACCGATGGCCCGATGGAAACGCTGTGGGTTGAGAATTATCTCCGGACAATCCCCAAGGCAAGGACAATGTGTAAGTTGGGTATGGCTATCTGCTGTACTTCTTCTGCCCAGCGACAAGCACTGCAAGATCACCAACGGCTCAGAGTCTTCCAGGTTCTGGAATTCGCGGCAGTTGTAATAGCCGCCATAATGACCGAGCTATGTATCTAGGTAGCTAGGTACTTCTGTATGCATTACACCCATCTGAAATGATTGCGCTGATCTCGTTATATACGGCGAGTTATTTTTTAATCTCAAGTCTGAGTATGCGCCGTTAATCTTGAACATGTGGATCTTTGATTGACAGATGGGTCTCTGTATTCTTTTTCATGAAATGTTGACAAGATTTGTAATGAATCGTTAGAATGAAATCTCGTATAATGTTGCCAACTCTTTGTTACTGTATCCACTCGAGAGTATCCATTTCCTGTGCGCTCTGAACTTTTCAGAGCCACAATGGATGGAGGAATAGGGATAAAGTGCAGAGCCGCCTGCCAGACTCCAGTATTCTGTGCGCCTGTCTGAAGTCTGGATAGTGGGAATGGACGAATAAGATGATGGCTGAATCCGATCCCAGTCGCGGCTACAATATTCTAGCACAACTCAAATATGCGCTCAGATTCCTGCGGGCGCCTGTCCATGGTGTCTCGACGTGCTTCATCGTCGCCTGGGGCCGAAACGTCGCTTGCCTGATGTCCAGAACCGCTGGCGCCCGAGATTGGCTGGCTCTCGGGCGACAGGGGGTTCTGGGGTGGGACCTGCGACGTCTTGAGCCGCAAAACCCAAATTCATCCTCAACCGTCTCCAGGCCCCGCGAAATCAAATCTCTTACCCCCATGCTTGATTCTCTTCTCTGCCCTCTTCCTTCGCTGCAAGGAACGGGGTGTTTGGTGCCAACGGCTGTTGTGCCAATCCAAGGAGGGAATCGCGGGACAACCGTTTTTGCACTATAGCCAGCTTCCTACTACTGTATTGTGCGCTGTGCACTATGTGCTCGCCCAACTCTCGGCTGTATCAGCCTGGATAGGTTCGGATTATGACGCAGCCGTGAGGTAGGTCAGCTGTTGGTAAGTCTGTCTGCTTGTCTGTCCTGTCTCCTCGCTCCGTTCGGCAGACATCGGACTAGAATGCGATGCATTTCACCTCAAGCGGCAAACTGCTCAGGAGGAACGATACTCTAGTCGCACCAAATCTCTCCTTCACGCTTCAGTTTCGACGTTTCTAGCTACAAGTTAGAGTTATTCCAGTCCCATCTGATCCTCCATTGGACGCCCTCATCCAACCAACCGAAATGCAAATTGAGCCGGCCTGATCACAGGTCGCAGTGCCATCTCGTCCTCCTACCATGTTCCGTAACGTCTTCAGTCTGGTCCTGGGGCTGCACCACCCCTGATCTTGCCAAGGCCGGGACGAACAAGGGTCCTGAGTCTAAAGTCAAAGGGGCCCAGTTTGGATTCCATATACCCTACCCAAAGTATATGCTTATCCATTCCTGTATCGACAACGACCTAGTCTTCCACAACCCGCCGCCTGCTTGCCTCCAAGTCGGGAAGGATGCGGCTGCTGCAAGAGTCCCTGCTCAACGACCTCACCTCCGTCTCTTCTCATCTTCCCTGTCGACGTTTGGAGATTGTGGATACATCTCATGCCCATGACACTCGACATGGGTTCGACATGATGTAGCGCTGCTTCCGAAAAGCTTGGCTATACCACCCTGTCCACACCCACCTGGCCCACGTCGAAACTACTACAGTACAGCCATCAAGCCCGTATATAAGCAAGTCAAGTCTTGGCTTTTTAATGCCCTTCTTCTTCACTCCATCTATTTCGTGCTTGGGTCGTCCAACAACTTTTCTTCGCTTCTTTTCTCTCCATCTGCGCTGGTAGTGTGGTAGTCCATTCATTCGTTCCTTACAGCCTTGTTTCTATCTTCGACAAAAGTGTCTGCGACTCTTTTCTTGTCATTTCAACCTTTTTCGACAATCGGTCTGGGACCCTTTTTTTCAACAACTTACAACTTCTTAGTATTTATTGTTACTCGAGGAAGAGTTAGGATATTCGAAATCAGTCAGAATGTTGGCCAAGAGTGTACTTGTCGGGCTTCTCAGCCTCGCCCTCGCCGTTGAGGGTTCCGTCATCGGTAGCCCCTTCGAAAATGTCCTCACCGAGCGCGCGAGCCGAACCCTTCAAGTTCGACAGAACCGTAACGGTAACAAGAACGGCGGCAACCAAAACCAAAACCAGAACCAGAACCAGAACCAAAACAACGGCAACAACAACGCTGCTTCTGAGACTTGTTTGAGCGCCAATGCCGTTCAGACTGGCAGTGCCGCCGATGGTTCACAGGGTGCCTCCGCTGGCCAGGCAAACTCTGCCACGTGAGTGTGACTTGCTCAATCCCTCATGACTACTCCTACTAACCATAGACTCAAGGGATGCTGCCAACTTCATCAACTTCTGCTCTGGTGAGACTTTGACCAACGGTCTCCAGCAGAAGGGAGGTTCCTGCAACGGTATTCCCATGGGCAAGATTCCAGCTCAGGCCAAGACGATTTCTGCCGTCTTTGTCAACCCCCAGAACGGCGACAACATTGCAGCCAACCAGGACTTTAGCATCCAGGTCCAGGTCGCCAACTTGGCTGCTGGTACCTTTACCAACCCCGATAGCACGTACTACTCGGCTCCTCAGGATCTGGATGGCTCTGGAAACGTTATTGGCCACACTCACGTTGTCGTACAAGACACTGGCAACAGCTTGAACCCTACTACGCCTCTCGATGGTACTCAGTTTGCCTTCTTCAAGGGTATCAACGACGCTGGTAACGGAAATGGTCTGCTCGCTGCTGATGTTGCTGGTGGCCTGCCAGCTGGAAACTACCGCGTTTGCTCCATGACCAGTGCTGCCAACCACCAGCCTGTCATTATGCCCATCGCTCAGCGTGGTCCTCAGGATGACTGTGTCCGATTCACTGTTGGTGGCAACAACAACAACGCGAACAACAACAACGCCAACAACAATGCGAACAACAACGCCAACCAGAACCAAAACCAGAACCAGAACCAGAACCAGAACCAGAACCAGAACCAGAACCAGAACCAGAACCAAAATCAGAACCAGAACCAGAACCAGAACCAAGGCAATGGTTAGTATTTTTCCTATGTATCTCGTACCCTCACTGTCCACAAAACTTTGCATCATCCGCACAAGTCATCCACACTAGCACGCAGGACCTTCTCTCTTGCCATACACTTGACACAGGGCGCATCCTTTCCAAAGACAACAGCAGACTCTTCCTCCTCCAAAACAGCAGGTTCCTCCAATATCACAAGCAGAGCACACATCTCCAGCAACTCCAATCATACATGACCTTAGCACACCACCACCACTTTACCTGCAGCACCGCCAAATCTCTGCATTAATAGGTAACTAACTCAAAGCTACAGCAAACGGTCGTGGCGTAAGTAACAAAAACTCTACCTGAATCATGAGCGAATCTGCTTTCGACAAATCCAACTCGACATCGATATTGGCACTGGGGATAATAGCCAGCTGCGGTCACGAGCGAAGAGTCTGCTGAACTCGACACTTTGTCAATCAATTATCACAAATATACTCATGCTTTTGAACTCGTATACTGACTGGAATGATGATATAGCGACAGCGGGGACGGGGTCGACAGTAAGCGCCGCGTTGGCCGGGATTTCGGCTCCAGCGGTGACGGATTCCGGCAATGCCGACAGACCTTTTGAGGTCAAGTAAGTTTTCCCTACCATGGGTACTACCCAATTTCATACATCAAGCATGGGCCTAACAATTTTCTTTCACAGTGGCAACACGTTTGTCAACAAAGCTGCCGCGGTTCAACGTGCTTGCGATATCCAAATGAACGGCTGCGCGGACGCTGTCAACGGCGGCAAGGCAAGTGGTGTCACTGTTTCTGACTGCCAAGCGCAGCAGCAGACGTGCATTGCTTCGGCGTCTTAAACCTTTTCTGGGAAAAGTGCATAAAGACCCTTTTTACATATTTTTGAGAGAGGGTTGTCAAGGTGATGAGAGGGCGTGTGCTGGCTGGCTGATGATAGTTGTTCAGTAGAGTCGGGTAATGGGAGTTTTTGACAGTCAGCAAGCCCTTTTCCCAGGACATGCACTGTATGATGGTGTTCCGGATCTCCTGGAGGGTTCTTTTCCAGCAAAAAAAGCCCTTCGTTTGCTTATATGGAATGGCCCATAGTCTTTATGTTTTAATGATCGTTTACATCCTATACCATCGTCATGTCTGTATACTTAGAAGAAAATTTTGTTGTTTACATGCTACAACACCACAAAAAACCAAAAATCACATTTCTTTGCGTCATCCCTCCAGTAATCCCCCCCTTCAATGAGTTGACCTTCTTTTGACAAGCTGTCAACTGGAACTGAATACACCAACCCAGAAAGCAAGTCACCACAGATTGCCCGAACTGGCAGGGATTCTTGGACCTAGCCGCCAAGCTTGCAGTTTCGCACTCTGCGACACGGGGCGAGGCTCAGACTGTCTGATCCACATCGGCCCTTGTCTTTGTACTTTCGGCGGCACTCACGAAATTGTGTATTCCTCCATGGTTGATTTTTGCCTGCCATCACCAAGGCTGCGTTCGTGACTGCACGGAATGTGGCGTGTTTATCGGAGTTGTTTCTACCCGAGCTTTTTTTACCCCTCGCTAAGAGCGATTGAACCTAGAAACCACGGAGCATGTGAACTCCCTAGGGGTTCATATCAATTCAGAATAAAGAATTGCCGATATCCAAGGCCTTGAAGGTTTCGTCATTTTCTATGAAGAGGTGGGATGAAATGGTATTAAGCCTCCTGCCTGATGTGTACTGCTAGCTCGACTATAATAATAACTTGCACAATCGCTTGGACTGGTTCAACTAAAAATAGATCAGCAGCAATCGCCGCGGATCAGCAGAAATTGTGCAATTGCACAGACACTCGCTATTTGGCGATCTGATCTCTTTTGCAAACGTCATTAACCGTCCCCTAAATGACCGTGATCATTGCTCGTCTTCCCATGGCATATCTTCTAGCTCCGCGTGCGACCTGAAGAGGGCGTGATCATAGTCGGGGGCCATACCATTGCCTTCCTCCTCCATGTCAAGATAACCCGGCGCACACCTCTCAATGGCCTCCATCCAAAGATCAATATCACAGCCCTGAGGGAAGTATCTTTCACGTTTGGATTCGAGCAGATCGAGCATCGGCTCCTCCATATCAATACTAGAGAGTTTTTGTAGATTAGCAAAAGACGTTACTGATTAATAGTCGTTTATATACGAGAAAACACTTACGGGCCAACCCAGCCGGGCCCAGGGATTCTGTCATCGGTACGAATCTCATCGAGCGGCTTGCACAGCACCGTCATGCGGATGTACTCATTCTTAAAGGCCGGCGGCCACACGCGCGCCTGGTCGCGCACCTGACCATTGTTGTCCAATTCGCACAGGAGCAGGAAGCCCGTCTCGAGCGCCTCCCGGTCCGCGAACAGCATCAAGTTGTCCCACCGGTGACAAATGACCCTGCCCGCGACCGTCATGGCTATGCTATCAAAATCGGCGTCTTCAATGTAGCACCATTGCAAAAAGTCTGCCGGCGTCACAGCGGCGGCGGCAACGGCCGGGTGGGGCACGACGATGCCGACGGTGCTGTTCTGCTCGTCAAACTGGCTGCCGTTCTCGCCGTCGAGAGCGTACAGCATGATGCGCACCTTTGTCCAGAGCGCCCGGCCCCGCGCGTCCAGCGGCCACGGGGCTATCAGCTGGGTAAAGGCGACCGACTTGCCCATCTTGCGGCCCTTGTCGCGGAGCTGTGGCGGACACCATGACGCGCCGTTCCGGATCGGCGCCCGCCGGTGGTAGGCGTCGCGGTCCTCCTGGCGCATCTGCGCCCATTGCTCGACGAGTCTCCGTCGTTGCGTCACTGCGAATTGGTCATCTTGGCTCTGGGGCATGCATTGTCCGGCATTTTCCTTGTCGCTAAGTGTTAGTAGAGGAGAAAGCGATTAGTAACTGAGGTAGCGTGGAAGGCCACGCACCTCGAGAAAGAGCTGCCAAGCCTTGATGTGCTCTTTGAGAGAGTCATATATTGGCTCTTCGTTAAACCTGACATGGGCTGGAATTCCACCAGGCCAATAATTATGCGTGTTTTCCATCGTGAAGAATGTGATTTGACCAGAGCAGCTTGTGAACAGCCGGCTCGGAGGTAGTTTATTGTAGATTGGTCTGGCTGCGGCAGCCTAAAATCCACCAGCGACGAGCGGTATCCACCAGCGACCATCATGGATATCAACTCTTTGAACTTGTACTATGCCAATTGCACTCGCAGAAGCACAATTCAATTTTGAACATCAAGACTTTGAGAAGCAGAGCGCTGAGAAGGGGCCTGATGGGAGCGACTGGTATGTCAGCCCGTCACCGCATAGCATTCGAAGTTAGACGAGCACACAAAATCGTCAGAGTACGGAGGGAGCTGAAAAAAATTGACTGGACTATCTATCATCAGTCACATGGTTTCTATCATCATTTGTAAATCACATTGGGAATTTGCCGACAGAAATGGGATTATGCTTTGATTGCTAATTCAGTTCCATGCTGAAGACTTATCCAGGACTATTGTTCCACTACCACTACCACTACCACTGGAGCTAGACGATTATTGACTGGATTCTTATTGACTTGATTGTCATTGAGTTCTACTCTCTTGCGGTGCTTTAGTGCAAAAATTAACTCCCTCATCCAAGAGGCCACTAGCATGAGCAACAAGACTGTGATTGTGCAAGCGTTAAGCATGCCTGATCACACATTTCCCCAGTTTCCGAGACTCGATCCCTGAGACATGATAATCTGTTCGCAAGGGTCTGGAAACGATTCAATTGAAAGAGCGAACGATGGTACTATACTTGACTTGCAAGTTTGTACTGTCCGAAGTTTCCATTTCCATGTCGAATTGACCGCGGAGTCACGTCTACTCAGTCCAATTCCAAGAATCACAACCGGTTGTACCTACAACGGCGACAAGCCATAACCTTGCACTGCCGACATTCATAGATGAAGCAAGGCATCACATCGCGACATTCCTCACATCGTCGGGGACCTGGCCGGTTACTCCAGCGATCGTGACTGCACTCATGATTGTATCTCAGTCTTTGCATGAGCGATTCAAGTCGTTGCTGCCGATCACGGTGACGTGCAGTGTTACCGTTATTGCTGGGGTTGAGCTGTGGAACAAAATTCTCATAGGTTGTCATGACCTCTCCTACCACTGACGGCGCCTGTGATGTATCAAGAATGGCCGGTTCATGAGCGTTAGGCTCAGCGGGATGCTCCTGGGCATCGTCTTCGATTGGTGCTGGCAGGTTGTCATCAGCCTCCTGCCTAGGTAGGACAGGCCCTTCTGGGACAATATCGTCGTGACCTCGATCACGAGCATCTATCTCGTTGGCACGCTCGTAGAGCCGACGCTCATCCCATTGGTCGCAATGACAGGTTTTCCACTGAGCGCCACAAACGTAGCAGAATTGAAACCCGCACCGACACCTGACCAGAATGAGCGAGAGTCGTATGAAGGAATGGATTCTGTATTGTAAACTCACGTGATATGATTGCACCCCGTGTTCAATTCCACCATGCCCCAACAATTCTGACAGCGCTGCCAATTTTGTTCCCTGGCAAGCTCTATCACCTGTTGGAGTGGTCCGTCATTGGGGCAGTCACCGCCATGCTCAGCACTCTTGCATGTCGTACAAGTGCGAAGCCCACATGCATCACAAACGGCTGTGTTTTCGGAGCAGTTCTCGCGCGGTATGAACTGGGCGCATTCTGAACTATGGCAGTATGTTCGATTGGGCGTTGAGAACTCGATTGCCTTTTTGCGAAATTGCCGACACAAGTCTGCACTGAGGAAAAGTCGATTCCGTTCCAGAGGTATAGGTAATCTGCAGCATCTTGGGGGGAAAAGGCTTTCGTCGATCATGGCATCTCGAAATAGGCGCGAGAGACACTCTCGGCAATACTCGTCACCACATGGAGCCCTGGCGACATCGGCAAAATGCTTGTGATTTCCGCAAGCTACACAATTGCGGGTTGGCCTTGCTTTTCTTTTGTCTCTAGATGCTGCCCAAGCAGAACTTTCGGGCAGATCGGCCACATCACTATCTCCATCAGTGTCATGACCTTCTTCGGGGTCATCGTCGGCCGCAATTTCTTCGATACCGTCAACGTATATGTATAGAAGCTTCTCAATAAACTCGTCGTCATCGTCATCGATAGTACGCTGAGCGTTCAAATCAGCTTCAAGCGTCGAAGGTGTGGCTCCCTGGCTGACTGCGATCGAAAGACTGTGGTCGTTTTCTGCGCGCCGTTCTTCCTCCTGCGAGATGGAAAGCGCTGGACCGTCAGACCGTATAGCTTGCTGAACGCTTCTCGCCATTCGTCTGTCAGCGGCGAATTCCTGGAGCAGGTTGATCTCCTGAAGATGCAAGTCCAGGGCAACATGTTGGTCTGTCTCGGTGCCGACAACCTGCTTGCCTTTGCCTACAGTGGCTGATAAGGCTTCCTCACAGTCTTCTAACAAGAGCCGAATAACGAGGGCAGCATTTTCATTGCCCATCTGCGACATGATTGCGGTTTGGATAGTTGCATCAGTAAAAGCCATCTCAGCGGTTTTGAATGAATGTTTTTGCCGAATAATTCTGCCGGGGGGGCCCTTCGATGCTTGTGTGGATATTTTGTCCTTATTTAAGTAATAGTTCATCTTACCGGGTACCAAGTATGTTTTAGTTTTTGGCTCCCAAGCAGCCCAAGGAAAACAACTTTAGGAAATGTAGGGACGAGTGATAGGCTGTTTCATATTCATGCGCAAAAGCTGGCCTGCACGGCATCAGGGCGGTGTGGTACATTTCAACACTTTCCGGGTGTACTCAAGCTAAGGCGCTATCCAACCAGAAGTATACTCTACATGAGAAGTTCTACATTCTAGCTGGACCTGGTTCAAGACTGTTATCATGCAACACTTGTCTTCATTCCGGCTACTAACACGGTACTTGACGCATCACCCCCTCCTTTGAATTGCTTTTGCAAACCGTAATTGCTCAAGTGAGAGGGGTTGGTTAATGGTTTTCTTTTCACAAACGATAACAAACTCTTTCAATCAAGAACAAGTGGCAACAACATAAGCAGCTGGTTTCAGCAGGGTAAGGAATCAATAAAGATGGACCTGAGAAATTCAAGCCTACCAGGATAAGGTATTCTAAATCTTGCGGTAGGCCTACCGCATACACAATATACGTCCCTTGCGGTGCATGAGGATTCTGTGCCAAGATTCGCATCTCAACCTGAACAATGATGTCTTTTTGGTGGCTCCATTAAAGCTTGATTCCACGCCACACCAACCCGCCAACTGATTGACCCTTTTCCGCCTTCACTACACAAGGTATTCTAAGGTATTTAATAACACATTATTGTAGAACAATATAGATGCGGAAGCCTCAATTTCACCAGCGACAGGCGGTGTCAACTGGTGGTTGTCGTGAAGAACTCCAGCAAGATTATAGCCATTGGCCATGTGTGCGAACTCAATTACGCATGCAAGCTGAATACATGCCACCCAAAAGGATCTCACCAAAATCATTCAAAACAGGGCGTCCTGGGGGTGCCCGTGCGGAGTTGTAGAGCAACGTGAACCAATGGTGGATGATCTCCAGCCACGCAAGGTGGCTTGCAATTTAGCAGACCAGAAGTACTGTATTCATGGAGTTTTACATACAAGAATATGTACGTTATTGTCCAGATGCATGGCCAATTTTTCAGCAGATCGAATTCAGGCAGGCATCAGCGTAGGCTGAATGAATGCGAGGAGAATCTGAAGCATCGCAACTTTCCTTCACTCTCTTCCAGCAAAGGCATTGTTGAAGGTCGTCGCGAGCAACTCAACAGCTACAATGTCTTTGGAGCCCGACTATTACCTGATATTTACCATATTGATAGTTGTAATGCTTTCTCTCTCTTTTTTGTTTTATTGCCCCAGTCAGGCAAGACTCAACTTTCCTACTGCTCTTGTCGGAACTGCAGCTGCTTGGTTTGCCTTCTTAGCATCACCCGTTAAATATGCACAATGGAGTCGATTGATCCCAACGCTTGCGCGTACTTCTCTGGCATTCGTATTCAAAATGCAACCCTGAGGTGATCAGGTTACCGGCCTGATTACGCAATTATCTGGAGTTGTTGCTTGTTTGGTTAAGGTTTTCCTACAATATCATGCCCGAGCTCACTATCGGATTCCGCGGGTTACCGAGACTATACAATAAAGTTGTGATATGCCTCATATTATAGTACTCTTTTTCGGCGTCGTCGGGTGCCGTAATTTAATAGTGTTTCTTTCAGAACCCTTCAGCAACCGGTAGTTCCGAAATTCTCAAAGATGGGATCCAGAAAAGATCAGTATACTCTTTCTACCTATGCCGTATCTAAGTTTGCCAATGCAACCAATCACCTCCCTTTTTGCCCTTCCTACGTGTCAAGCGACGTTTTGTTTGCTGACCAATTATAAAACCCTTAGATAATGACCAGAATGAACCTCCCAAAAACTTGGAGTTTAGAGTAAGGTTTTTCATTTCCATTTACGCTGCTTTCGGCCATGGCGCCACCAGATCGAACTATTCTCATCACCGGAGGAACCTCTGGCCTTGGTTACCAAGCTGCTGTCAATCTTGCCCGCCGATATCCGAATGCCATATTGATCCTTGCATCACGTAAGGATAACAATTCATCATCCGCTACCATCAAAGAATCCACAGGCAATCGAAATATTCGCTTTCTCTCCCTTGATTTGAGTGACCAGCGAAGCATTAGGGTTTTTGTCGCATCATTGCCAAAGGAAAATCTACCGCCAATTTCGATTCTGCTCTTGAATGCAGGTCTCCAATTCCCCGACGGCATCCGATACAACAACGACGGTATAGAGGCCACCTTTGCGGTAAATCACCTCGGCAATGCGCTCTTGTTCCATCTCCTCGTGCCGCTCTTGGCAGATGAAGCTCGCATCGTGATCACTGGCAGCGCAACACACGACCCGGCTCAGAAAACGGGTGTGCCAGATGCGAACTATACGTCTGCTGAAGAATTAGCACATCCAAAGGGTGACGCACTGAAAAACCAGGGCATCCAGCGTTACGCCACAAGCAAATTGTGTAATATGAGTTGGATGTACGCTTTGCACCGCAGAGTATCGCATCTAGCAAAGAAGTGGACGGTCGTGGGGTTTGATCCTGGCATGATGCCTGGTACTGGTTTGGCGCGTGAAGGAGGGCCGGTGTTCAAATTCGTGTGGCACTCTATACTCCCTAGGATGGTTCCTCTCATCCGTCGAATTGTACCATTCAGTGTATGGACTGTGCAAGAGTCGGGAGAAAATCTGGCTTGGGTCGCCAGTGAGCAGTCCACGACCGGTGTTCTTTATGATGGGAGAAAGGAGATTGATCCTAGCGATGCAACTAGCGACGAAGAGAAGCAGGAGGATCTTTGGGAATGGACTGTGAAGACGCTGGCAATTTCTGAAGCGGAAATGAAAGAGTTTCAATTGGATTGAAACAGTCATTAGACTGATTCAGAGCAGACCATGCCTATTATACCAAGAACACTACAAAATTCATTATCTCTACGCCTCTATTCTCCTCAATTTCGCTCATCAATTTTAATCGTCGCCAGGATGTCATCATTGGGTCAGAGTTAGGAATGACTTCACGTTTGTCGTGGTCGAGGAGTGTTTCGAACGGAAAAGTCTCATGATTGAGTCATTTCACACAAAGGATGCCATCCCCGCGAAACTCTGAAAGGCAAATACAGGAGAATGTTGCTGAAATATCGCAAAGGCTAAACCGAGTGATGTCGCGAAAGCGCCCGGGATGGACAAGCTGACTCTGGTGGGATACTTCAGGTCTACCACGACTGTCAACAGCACCGTGGTAGATGAGAAAGAAGGCTCTGGGCGAGGGTCGCAGAATTTTGGGCATCCTGGCTTGAGACCAGGCGGACGAGCAATGTGCAATTGCTCCGAGATATCTCTTCTGCAAAACAATGAATAACATATTGCTACAAATCTGTCGATTATGCCGAGCAAGAGTAGATCACTGGACCCTATACTTGTCTAGCAACTCTTTAACTCGTTCCGTATCAATAGCCTTGTGTAGCGTCCCGTCATATGCCTTGAGATCTTCGGCTTGACACAAAGAGTTCAAAATGGCCTCCTCAGTTGCCTCAGCCGTAGCAACAAATAGCGCATCGATAGAGCTATGGACCACCGTTTCGACAGTCTGTACCTCTACATCCCGGCGGAATCCCGCCCCGCTGACCTGCCCAGCCGGGGCTGAAGGCCGTCCTCCGGCGCGGCCAGCTGTCTCTGGGCTCGGGCGCTTCCATTCGTGCTTCATGAGCACCTCTGGCGAACAGTTCTTTGCAGTCGATAGCGCGATGATGATATCGCCGGACGAGTTGTAACCTGTGCCTAGGCCGCCACAAGCTATAATGCCAGTAGAGGCTCGAGCCGCAACGCGCTTGAGCTGATGCGGGAGCAGAGGCGCATTGGTCACTACGCATACAAGAATACCTAAGAAAATGGCAGATTGTTTCAGCATATCAGCGGCGTAAAAACCGTAATTGGGAACACGACTTACTGCCTTCAGACCCAGTTCTCTCGGTGCGGTCAGCTTCGCTAGCCGCCTTGCCCTTTTCGACATCGTCACGAACGAGAAGCTTGCCGATAGGAACACCACCAATCTGTAACATGGATTTCTGACCGAAATTGGTCTGCACCAGGACGCCAACAACAAAATCCTCCTTGCCGTCTCCACCCTGTGGTACGAGGCGGCTACTGGTTCCGGTGCCGCCCTTGTGACCGAGACACAACATGCCGGCGCCTCCACCGTGGCTGCCCTCGAGCACCGTCTGGCGACGGGCCGCGTCCTCAATGGCCTCGACGACCTGGTCGTAGTTTAGCGTCGACTTGAAGTCTTGAATGTCCGTGTTGCCGCCTCCCCAGGTCTCGCCGACCACGGGCCAGCCGTGGTGCGAGTACATTTGCTCGGCATTCTCTCCTAGGCGGCGGGACAGGTCAAAGCTGTAGTTGGTGAGGGCCTGGTACACTGATCCGCAAGACATTGAGTCTGTAAACGCAATGGGCTAAAACATGACGAGAAAATCTCGGTGAGTTATCGATTAATGTGTGCTCGGGAAACAAAATGCGACTTACCGAACCTGTGAATCCCCAGTCCTGGATAAAGTGCATTCCCGTCATCTCGCCACCACCATTGAACGTATGGACATTGGCATAAGACGGCTGCTTGCGCGTGTTTTCCGTTCCGCGAGGGTAAATGAGCGTCAATCCCACATGAACACCCTTTTCCTCATCGTGAACCGTCTTTTGCCCGACCTGCAAGTCGGGCACGTCGAGAATGGAGTTCTTGGGCCCGGGGGTGTAGTAGCCCGGACCGTAGCCAAGATCTCGAATGTGGGGTCTGGTGCTAGCCATTGCCGTGATTGTATAGTGGACTGCTCAGTGGGTGTTGGAGCGCTGGTGGGATGAGCCTCTTAGTCGCTCAGTGTCCTATACTCGTTCAGCCACAATAATGGATGGAATTGGCCCTTTCACTATATACTTGGACTATTGCGCATCGCTATCTCGCACCCGATATGCTCGTATTCGTCTCCGCCTTTTGTTGCTGGGGGGTTGAGTGATTACAGGGCAGTCGTAGGATTAGTAGCCCCTCTTTATTGAGTCAAAAGATGAAATCATATGAAATCATAGCAAGCTAGAGCTGCACTCCACGGCAAGTGACTCACGTTTCAAGGTTATGGGTTGTTGATTCTTGCTGGATGTGGAATACGGTCCTGTTCCATAGATTACAAAACAGCAACTTCACTTGGATAGGATTGCATTAGTTGAGTCAATCGTTTAATTATAGTCACCTATGTAGTTATCTCTACTTAATATAGTCGAATCACCGCACTGCAACAGTGATCGCCCCCTGTATCGTTTTCCAGAGCTCAAAAATGTAGTATAGCGCGGCAGGGGGTCAGCTTCTAGATGGGAATTCCCTAGTGGGAACATCGAGGCGAGGTGGATCAATGTGCCATGAACGATTAGGAAGGTCGAAAAACTTGGAAAGACTTTTACAGAAATATGTTTTTTGCTGCACTCTTAGTTGGGAGCATCTATTCGTTGTTTTTATGTAGAGTCAACACGAATTATTGATTTTTTTGCATACCTAGGTAGCTTGTGGGAATCGTTGTCGCATAGGTATATTCGCAATTGAGTTGGCCATCTCAACGTTGGAGCATAGTCACACAGGCGCAAACACAGACTGGCTAGCGATTGTGGAAACGGCTAAAAGTTATGGTGCAGCGAAAACCAATGCAAATGAAATGAAACAAGAGCTCACCAGACATGACAAAGGCTCGTTCAGTCAGACCTACGATACCCTCACGTTGCAAGCATTGGGTGGGGGAACTAGTTTTTTTTTTTTTTTTTTTTTTCGGACAACCTAGCTTCGACGGCATGGTGCATAGTGCTATGTAAGCCTCGAAAGCATTTTCATGATCATAGAACCATGCAGGTAGCACCAAGTCGAACCCGTGATATTCGCCCAGTTCATATGTTGCTCGTCTCAAATTTCTCGATTGGTGGTACAACGGTGCGTGTCGCCACGAGGAAAGCAATCGGTTTTTCCAAGGTCCCGGGCAGACGCAGTCGCAGTTGTCCTGTCCTCGCTGCTTTAATCAACAGAAGTCAAGGGCTGGGCCTGTCGATAATCTGTCGAGCAGCATTCCATCGAATCGAGAGCAACCGCCAAACTGAACCTTAGATCAGAATCATCTAATCTCTGGCGCGTCCAAATACATCAGGATATTCCTTCTCCAACCTCGCAGTCCTTTCCTTGCCGCGGATTCTTTCATACCAGACCCACCCAAAGGCGACGGTGAAGGTCAACACCATCAGAGGCATTGTGACCTGTAGGAATCGTTTCAGGGCCAAGAAGGAGAACATGTCATGATTGAGATCGCCATTGTCGCCCTGGTACTTGACAATATCAGTACTAAACAGTGTCTTAGGTTAAAAATTAGCATCCGTTTTACGACATGGACGTGAGCGTCTTGTTCTTACAGAAACAAAGGTCGGTGGAAGATACAGTAACGTTATGACTGTGATGACGCGCATTGCGATGGCCTCGTGTGAAGTTTCCTCGGCTTGGCGCCACATTGTCGCTGACAGCCGCGCAGCCCGGTCCGCCGATCGAGCTTGAAGTTGAACTTGAAGCAACTGGACGAACTATAACTAGTTAGACAAGTATTGTAATGTTTTCCTCGTATTCATGATTGGGCGTACCATTAATTTCCTGTCTGCCATTACCTTGGCGAGAAGTTTGGTGCGGCGTATTTGCATCTTTGCGTCATACACGAGTTGATGCAATCGACTTGTGAATTTTTGGACCTCTTTTTCGCAACTATGGCGTTCTGAGTTTGGGAAGTCTTCCTGTTTTACAAGCGATGTGTAGAATGTATCAAGTGAGCTCATGTTGTCTGCATTTGACTCGAGTGTTATGATGCATTCGTTGATTGTGTCTTCGTATGCTTGAGCGTGCATTAGCTCCTCCGTCCGTAGATGAGTTCGTTGGTCGGGGTTCGATAGTATCAGGCGAGATATCTGTGTACAAATCAGTGGAAATCATCGTTGTCAGCCAGGTTCACACCTACCACTTGTGCGACAGTCTCTTCAAGATGTTTGATATACAGCTGCCATCCCTCTGTAGACCATCTGACCAAATGCAACTGTATTTCTAAACTTGTCTTGAATGAAGCAGATAGCGAGTCGAGCTTCTGTCCGTGGTTCGGCTGGTCGGGAAAGACGTCTGTTATACGGTCCCGAAGAGCGCCATGGGGGTCGGCGAACATCCAGAACTGTGCTCCACTGCCTACATCAAGTTGATGATGAATTGCAGTCTGTCGGATTTGCCACAAGCTTCGGCCGGGTTGTGACTCCTTCATCCACTCTTTTCGATTGACTGACTTCAGACTATAGTTTATCTGGTAATGTCGCCCACTCCTCCCAAGTTCTGGTAATATTGCTCCTGGTTCTGGATCTGCCAGGTAGATCTCGGTTCGGAAAGCGTTGAAACGAAGCTCCGTGTTGATAGCTAAAGGAGCACCATATGCGTCCAGGAAATCAAAGAAATCTGGTGAGACTTGGTGATATGTCATCAATCGTGCCACACTTTTAGCGGAGACTGGTAACGGCGAAGTGACTGAGTCCAGGAGAAGGAAACTTTCTGATTGTCAGCGTCTTTCGTACGGAGCTGAGGCTAGTGTACACTTACACGAAACGGCACCTTGGATCCTTCTTGGTGGCGATCGAAATATCGCTGGAGCCTGTATACGAGGCATCACCTAACCACTTCTTGATTTCCACATCGGAGTAGAGCTTCCGCCTGTCTACTCTGCCGTCGGAGAGTACATCGGCAATAGCCACGTTCGTATTGTGGTCATCTATAAATAGATATGGCGTCCGCTCCTGAAGACGATCGTGAATACGCGACAGCATCGGGGTGCCATGTGCGTCCCTACGGATAATATTGAGTGGGTATTGGTCGAACTGCGCGTAGGATTCCGAAAATGCATTGGGAAGGCTAATTGTAGCCATTCTGCATCGAGAGCATTGGTGCTTTGCTGGAGACTCCAGATTACACTCAGGAGTTGGGGAACACATGATCTTTAAATGGTAAATGGGGCAACAATCCGAAGTAATACTCTGCATTTCCTGGTGTCTCAAGTGTAACGTCGATGGCAGCAAATACAAGCTGCGTGGACGGGCAATTTATATTGCCTTGGGTGGCGACTTGGTTGGCCGCGCACAAAGGGGGTGTATAACAGCCAGCTCTACAATCAGTCCAATGAGGGTGTATAATAGTCAGTCCTGTAGCGAGTTCAATGGGGTGAATAACAGCCAGTCCTGCAGCGAGTTTAATGGGGTGAATAACAGCCAATTCTGCAGCCAGTTCAATGGGAGTGAATAGCAGCCAGTTCTACAGCCAATTCTCAGTCCAGTTCCCATCCTATACAGCCCATACAGCCAGAAGGTCCAGTACAGCCAAAAGGGTTGCCAGAGGGTCACAGGTCCACCACCTACCTACGCCAAGACTCAGTTGTAAATTCAAAAAACAGTCTGCAAAAAGAAGTCTAGCTTGTTTTTTCAGAGATTGTCTTTCGGACTCGATCGAGGATTAAAGCACCAAAGAGCCACGGAAACTTTGTAATTAGAATTGAATAGAATACGTACCTTCCATTCGCATGCATTCGGAGTCGAAAGCAAAATGAACGCGCAGTACGGGACTAAAGTCAACGTCTTGACTTCAAAATGAGTGAATTCGGCACGCTGATTGGCTGGGAGCGCCACGTCAAGAAATGCGGCAGTACTATTGTCGTAGAAGGTAGTATGATGGCTAATCGATTTACATGTCGCTTTGTGGATTCAAACATTATGCGCCCGGGGGTTCATGTATAAACCCTTGGTACAACACGAGCAGGCCATTACGCACCAAGTACCTGTTAGTGTACGACCATACCATACCTACATATACAAAGTGGTTTCGTATCTGACTTTCAAAATGTAATCGGAAAATCGAGATGGTCCAAAGCTCTGATCAATTTGCTACCTGTGCTAACAATATGATTGAACTGTCACTGTCAAGATGAAGGATCATGCCGAGTTTCTTTCGACTCACTTGGACGATGTACATCTCTCTATGTCCTTATTCTGTACATACCAACCATGTCATGCAACATGACCAAAAACTGGCTTGACTTCGATAATCCAAGTTTTAATGGAACCATGTGTCCACTGAGTCTGACGTCTGTCCCTCTCCATAGAGATTCCTTTTTTATTTTTCAGAATTATAGAGCTTTTCTGAAGAATAAATCTTGACAAGCAAAATCTCTATGGTTTAGGGAGTTCGCGGCGGCAACGAGAGAGCTCACGCTTCTGATCCTACAAACATTAAAACTAGTCAACCAAGTAGCCCAGAACCCCTGATACCCTTTCTTCTCACCTCGTTCAGCGGCTGCGGCAAGTCAATGTGAAGTTGATCTCCAATAAGTTTCTAAGGAAGATTAACGCAATCCGCATCACTACTAAGCAAGGCTGGCCTACCATGTTCACAACATCAGAGGGGAAATTGGATCTTAGCCAGTGACAGACAGCAGAAATTGAATATTCATCCATGCCAACAGTTTCTGCAGGAGAAAACATGGCATGGTGGGCAGATGGTCTGGAAATCGGCTGTCCTTCAGTCCAGTGTCCGTAAGACCACTGTCCTCCAGTCGACCGTCCTTGGCACGAACCCGGAGGCTGGTTCTTGGCATCTTGCTCACGCATCTTCTGTGTTCTTGATCAATGAAATCGTGAAGTTTAATCAGAGCCCAAATGATATCACGGCAGTGAGAGGCCGCCAAATGATCAATGGCAATGGAGCTACATTCTAATTAACTTAACAGAGAAACTGACAGCTTTAAATATCCTAGAATATGCTCGACTCATACTGAAATTGTTCATCATGGTGGCTCAACACTATGAGTCGGTATTGACTCTGAATAGTTTGCATCTTGTGTTGACTGTTTTTCTGATTCAGAGACAGTAGATATGTGTCATGCGCAGTCAGAGATACCCACAAGTCTAAAGAACAAAAGGCAGAACAAGAGGAGGAGAACACGAAGTCTGAGATACCATCTTGCTCCCATCTGAATGACCTCAGAGCGCCTGAGTTTTACGTTCATCGATTGGACTCTTTTCATCAATCATTGCATTTTAGCAAAACAAGCATAGACAAGAAGACTTCTGGGAAAGGAAATCACTGCATAATCTTATCTATGATACTGTTGATAAGTACAACATAGAAGTTGCATCGCCATCACATGATTAATGTTAATATTCGAAGCTATGGGATGTCTAGCTACGACATATGTGCCAATCCACATAATCACGAAGCTTCAACTGTAATCTCGGCCCCCGCAAGTCCATCGGCGACAGCCGAGACCGTGATGGAACCAGCCTGCCCGCTCTGGGACCTGACTACAGCCAGAGCGAGACCACTAAAGGCGCTTCGGGTCAAAGATGGGAAGGGCGTCAGATCAGTCGGTTTTCCATTATCGGTAGACACAATTTCGCCAGGACCCGTGACGGAGAATGTAATGTTGTTGCTGGCCTCTGGCACCACTGTACCAGCTTCATCGACCACGGCCACGGATACAAACGACAAGTCATATCCGTCAGCCGTGATAGTAGTCCGATCCGCTGTAATGTTGAGTGCTGCGGCGCTCTCGGCAGTCTTCTTGCTTGCCTCTGCCCAAACGGAACCATTCTTGTAGGTGACAACATGGAGCTCGCCTGGAGTGTAGGTGACGTTATCCCAGCGGAAGCGGTAAGTCAGCTCTTCTTTGGTAATCTTGCCGGCAGATTCGCCGTTGATGAAGAGCTCCGCCTCATCGGCCGACGAGAACACATGGACTGGCGTGACCTCACCGACTCTATCCGGCCAAGTCCAGTGAGGCAGAATGTGAGCGAACTGAACGTCTGGGCGCCAACGCGACTGGTACAGGTAGAACCTGTCCTTCTTGAATCCGGCCAAGTCAATGATGCCAAAGTATGAACTACGAGCCGCATCGTAATCATCGTAGGGCGTCGGCTCGCCGATGTAGTCCCATCCCGTCCATACAAACTCGCCCGCAACATAGGGATAGGTATCCTGCTGCTTGAAGACCTTGTCCGGAGATGTGGCCCACGACGGGGCATATAGATCGTAGGCGCTCACCTCCAAGAGCGTGGAGTTGCCGCCGTCCCCTGGTGCATCGCTCACGACTTGGCTCATGTTGCCAATGACGGGGAAGAAATATGTGCCGCGAGTGCTGACAGTCGACGCGCTTTCGCTCGTCCAAAGCAGCTTCTCGGGATATGTCTCGTGAAAGGCCGGGAATGTCGAGGTCCACGAGTTGCCTCTTCCCTCTCCTTGGTAGTTGAGACTAATGACATCGAGCAGGTCTGCGAGGCCGTCGCCAGGCTGTCCATTGTTCAGAGCAGAAGTAACGGGTCGTGTGGAATCTTCCTCGTGCACGATATCGTATAGGATTTGGCCAGTGGCTGCGCCCTCATCTGTGCGCTGCTCAGGGATCTCGTTACCGATACTCCATGCAATGACCGAGGGATGATTGACGTCGCGACGTATCAGGGTTCGGAGATCTGGCTCGTGCCAGTCAGCAAACAAGAGGTGATAGTCATTGGTGACTTTTTCCTCATTCCAAACATCAAAGGCCTCGTCCATGACCAAGAAGCCCTTGATATCAGCCAAGTCAAGAAGCTCCGGGGCCGGCGGGTTGTGCGACATGCGCAGCGCGTTGCCGCCCATTTCCTGTAGTAGCTCCAGCTGTCGCTCAGCCGCTCTGTGGTTGAAGGCGGCTCCGATACTGCCAAGATCGTGGTGATTATCCGTTCCACGGATGGGAATCTTTTCGCCATTGACAATGATGCCTTCGTCGGGATCATAGACCACCGACCGGACGCCAAAAGTGGTTTCATATTGATCAAGGACGGTACCATTGCTACTGGTAATGGTGGTCACCGCGACATAAAGATTTGGTTGTTGCGTCGGTGGCGGTCCCCAGAGCTGTGGGTTGGTGAGCGTAACTGAGCCGTTTACTGATTGTTTGGACCCTCCGTTGATGAGCACTGATGCTGGATCAAAGCTAGCTACTGCTTCATCGCTTCCAGACGGACGGATGTCGGTCTGCACAATGACCCCTTGAGCGTTCTCGCCCTTGTTCTCCACGTTCACGACGATGTCGACTGTGGCCTCCTCTGCTGTCACCACTGGTGTGGTGATGTGAGTGCCAAATTTTGCCACGTGGACTGGGTCGACCTTGACCAGCCAGACGTTGCGGTATAGGCCAGCTCCAGGATACCATCGCGAAAAGTCGAGGGGGTTGTCAAGACGGACGGCCAGCAGATTTTCCTCGCCGACTGTGATATAAGGCGTTAGGTCGAGCTGGAACGAAGTATATCCATATGGCCAACCACCAACAAGCTCGCCATTGAGCCAAACGGCGGAATACGACATGGCGCCGTCAATGTCAATAAAGATGGATTTGCCGACGTCTTCTTCAGTAAAGGTTAGGTTGTGCCGATACCAACCAATGCCATTGGACGGCAGGCGACCCATGCCACCGGATATACCGGGCGCATTGAATGGTCCCTTGATGGCCCAGTCATGTGGCAAGTCTAGGGCTTCCCAGGTACTGTCGTCAAATGATGCTTGCGTGTATTCGACATCTTGTCCAGGAGATGTGCCATTGGGACGTTGGTACTGGGTGCCATCAATGACAAAGTCATTGGCAGATGGGAGAATCCATGGCTTGAGGGTCTCATTATATGACAAGCCATCGGGATTAGAAGTGAATCGTGAAAACTTCCAGTCCTTGTTTATGGATATGCGCTCCCTTGGTGAGGTTGTGGCTCTCTTGTGAGCAAGATGCAAGTCGGTGGGGTGGGCATTGGCCGCCAGCAGTGAGAAGCTCACGAGCAGGAGCCCAAGAAGCAGTTCGATTCGATTGAAGTTTGCCATGGCGACAAATTCTTCGTCGCAATCCGACTCTGGCAGTCGGTATCCCCATGATTGTGACAAGTCCCGTATTTCTGCCCTTATATACCTACACCGTATTCGCTCCAATCCGACCCGGACCGCACTTCCCCGAGGCCACGAACGATCGTCATGATGGCACCAGGGATACCACTGACCAGCCTCGCAGCGTGACGATGGGGAGGAGAAACCGGACGGGTTGCTAGGGACTATACCGTTGGATGGCGCCTTGGCAAGGGTTGAGGCGCACCAGTCGGCTATTCAAATCAAGATCTGCATCTTCTCCCCGCATGCGGCAATCTGCCAAATGTCGGCATCGTATTATAGCGTAGCGCAACAGGCATAGTAGTAGTGTCGTGTGTGTACGGGGAATGGTCCCCCCAAGGGCCAGGTTCCAACGGCTGGATTTACTCGCGATGATTTTCCGTCTTCTCCGCCAATCCGAAGCGAGCGTTACATTCGGATACTGAGGGGTCGTTGCCAAGCAAAAGAAGCCCGTGCCAATTCACAAGCCGTTTCTAGGTTCATTAATAGAGGATATAGTGGGGAGGTTTATAAATACATCATATGCATCAACTTTGAGCATTTGCAACAACCAAAAGGCGGCAGCCCTGCCAGATGTGGCAAAATCTGAAGACATCGCGACTTTTACACAAGGCTATCATACCATTATCGGTTAATTTAGTGTGGGCGACCTAGACAAATCGCATCGTCTGCAGGCAACCAGAGTGACAGCTGTTCCAATGTGCCCAACCAAATGTCACTCCTCCAACAATCCGGCCAATAATCATGGCCCGCCAAGCAGCTTAGAATGAGCTGCGCCGCTCCCACGGTGCATTATCATTGCACGTTGGTTCTCGGTCGGCATGTACTATTGGGTCGATATCTGCACCAAGAAGCTGACTGCCAACGCCGGTAAGCATGATAGCCAGTTGTAGGACTTTATCATGATATGGATCTATATTTAGCCACGAGATATATATCATATAGATATCAGTCACCAAGTCTAGATAAAAGATACCTAAGTGATCTTTATTATCACGTTCGCCATAGAATATTAGAGTATATTCTCTGTATGATAACAAAAATGGCATATTCTACTGTGCACGATTACAATTACAACGAGGCTCCGCCAGTAGTTGCCCATGAGACTTTGGGCGACGAGAGTCGCCACCAGCCTCCTCAACAGGACCACATAACCTATGCAGAAACGCAGTCTCTTACAAGTTGGGACGGGCAGAAGATTTACCCTACAGCAGAGTATCATCAAGTTAATCCTTATTGGAATAATCCGATACCCACGGGGCCATCTCATCACAGAGGATGGAGCGGCAGCACGGCTACAGTCGATATACCCTTGGAGGATAGGTCACCTCCAAAATCCGATACCAAGTCCTTGAAACAGAAATCTCCCTCGTCGGGAGGAGGTTCCTGGACACTGGAAATCGTCACCATTTTGTTCGCCTGTGCCGCCGTTGGGGGCATCATGGGCGTGCTCGCGCGGTTCGAGAATCGACCTCTGCCCGACTGGCCCTACTATATCACGCTCAACGCCCTCATCGCCCTGCTGGCGGCAGTCGCGCTCGCTACCATGAGCGTATCGCTGCAAAACGGTATATCGCAGCTCAAGTGGATCCGCTTCAAGGAATCCAGGGCACCGTTGGCTGATATGGAGACATTTGACGAGGCGAGTCGAGGTACCTGGGGCGCATTGAAGCTTTTGGCGACAGCCCGAGGAGGGTACGTCTTTTTCTTTTCTTCCTCTTTTTTGTTCTTCTATATTACCGTGTTTTGTTGACATTTTGAAATCTTTATAGCTTTCTCGGCTCATTTGGTGCCGTCATTGCTATTGTCAGTCTGGCCCTGGGCCCGTTCGCTCAACAAATCATTACATACCAGATGAGAACAGTCATGGACGAGAGTCCAGGTAGCGCAACGATAGCTCGTGCACAGAACTATACTGGGGCTCTTCCAGGAAACACTTCATCCAGTAAGTTTTCTTTTGAGAAAAGTCCTTCTGACCAGCATGGTACTCATCATGCCCAACAGCCGGCTACGTCCCGATCCTACCCCTTAAATCCGCAGTATACAACGGCCTCTTTGCAGAAAACGGAAGACCCAACGCGGCCCTCAAATTCGAACGTCAGACAGGCAATTGCACCTGGTCGGCCTTTGATACGATTGGCGTCTGCCACGAATGCGTCGATCTGACACCATACATGAGCAGGTACTGCGCCGCCTCGGACGACAACAACCAAGACTGCGGCTGGAAAGTTCCCCAAGGGCCGGCCTACCTCAACAGTAGCGCCGACGTTTTTAGCATGACCCCGCTCATCCCGTCGGCGAGCGGTGACATGCCGCACTCGACCATTATGCGTCTCGTATTCATGGGCACCGAGGCCAAGGATGGGCTGGCGGGCGAGCTCAAACCCTGGGCCCAGCAGTGCGCCCTGTCCGTGTGTCTGCAGACCATCGACGCCGCCGTGGCCAACGGCGTGCTGAGCGAAAACGTGACGGCGCGCGTCGTCAACCGGACCGTCGTCGACATGACCCGGGACACCTCCAGTCAAGACTTTGCCGCCTACGTTACCGGCCAGGATGGTGAGGTTTATAACGTGGGAATGGAGGCCCTGCTCAGCATGCGCGGGTGGTTCTCTTCGCTGTTTGCTGCCGGTCGTGCTGTCCGCACCACGGCCGATGCCAATCGTACCATCACGGACAACTCGGTGGTTGTGAACCTGACGGTTGGCATCTCAAGTGGTGTGACCTTTTTCGATTCTGATATCGTGACCGCCTTTTACTGGAACTACTACGAGTATCAAGACGCTGACGGCATCGACATGCTCATGTCGGACATGGCGACATCAATGACGGTGGCATTTCGCTCCTTCTTTGGCGCTGTGCCAGTTTCGGGAAAGGCAATCTCCATGGAGTCATTCGTCCATGTCCGCTGGGGGTTTGCTGTTCTGCCAATCGTTGTCGTGGTTGCCACGGTGCTCTTCTTGATGGCAGCTATATACCGAACCCGCCAATCCAACACAAAGGCATTGAAGAGTAGTGCTCTGGCGATGCTGTTCCATGGATTGGACGAGGACATCAGGTCACAATTTGGAAGTGTAAGGAATCTTAATGACAAGAAGAGACAGGCGCGAGTAGTCAAAGTGCAGCTTAATGAGAGTGACGGGAAAAGTCTACTGAGGGGTTGAATTGACGCAGCACAAGAGACAAAATTTAAACTTGCAATTCCTTTACATGCAAAGACGATAATCAGATTAATGGTATTTAGTTGCGCGAAAACCTAGGCTCTTCTCATAGACTTTTGCTGCGTATCTCGTTCGGCGGCGAATAACCTTCCTAGTCAGTCTAATAGTCGTCTCGCCAATTCTCTTCCCTGACCCACATATCAGAAGTGAAAGGCTCATCTCGTAGGAGATCATATTGCCTGGCATTCTGTTCGTAGGGAATTACTCCCTCTATCCAACTCTCCGTCCCCGGTTCGAGAAGATCCTCGATGAGACGTCCTGGAATCAGAACACCGCATTCCAGGTTGGTCGTCTTCACAAGTTTGGTTCCGCTGGTTGCATCATTACCCCTCTTGTCATCCTCCAGTGCGCCCCAGGCAGACTGGGACAAATTGGCAGAGCCAATGTAGAGAAAGTATAGCGTCTTCAAACGGTCCCTTCCATTGAAAACTGCAATAAGTTTCTGATGCAGTAAACACCCGGGGTCTTTGGACACGTAGTGATGAAAAAGTCTTTTTATGTCATCGTGCGCAGATTTCCATGGTTTCGTATGGCAACCAAGGTTCGTGGCTCCCTGTTGTGCACTTTTATGCGCATCTTCAAAATTGCCTCTTGTCGGATAGAAAATTTTCAAGTTTGGTATTTGACAATCTTCACGCGCAACCGTGAGATCTTGTTTTCCCAAAACGCAGTCATGAAAGCCATTGAGCCACTTCGCGTTGAGTTTGCCAATACTCGCAGCGCAGACTTCAATCTGTAGCTTTCCTTCGGAATTCTTCTTTGGCAAGCCAAGACCGAGTGTATTCACGGCATTTCGGAGTCGCAAAAGGCCATGCTGTTCGGCCTTTGCGCCAGACCAAGTTCCTGGTACGGACGTGATAAGCTGAACTCGAACACTAGAGTAGTCGAATTGCCCTTCGATCGAGTCGATGAATGTGTGCGGTACCCGAAGCGAACGCAAGTGAGAGAGTAAATCTTGCTCAAACTTAGTGGCTGTCATCTTCTGGCTTCGGGTTGTGAGCCGTGGTATATCATGGATATACCAGTGGTTATCGCCATGAACTGTATCACTGTCCATCATGTTACATGACGTGATGACCAGACGTAGAAATGACCGATATACTAGAAGTAAGATCTTGGTGTGGGCAGACCCCGGAGCCCAGGCATTGAAAGCATGGTAATTTTTACCATACATATCTTGATATCTTCTGTGAATATCGGACTCCATAACATCGAGCTGCTTCTTGGTTGCTTTGCCCTTGATTTGCAGGCCCGCTTTCGCAGCAGCACCGCCATTGATATGCTCGTCATAGCCGACATCTCGTCCAATGTATATCTTGAAAAGGTCAGCCGAGAGCCGGTCAATATGAAGGTGGACCTACCGGGACATCATTGGACGTCTTTGAGAGAGGCAAATATTTCAACAAGTCGCCATCGGCTATAAAGTAGGAGTAGATACAGGCCGACACAAGGCTCTGCTTGTCGACCAAGTCCTCGAGACCGACACAGTTCTTGGCTTTCTTTCTTCCTTCTGTGCGTGTAATGCGAAGTGCACCGTTGGGGAACTTTAGGTTACTGGTAGATGGCTCTTTTCCAGTGCTGGAGTGCTTGGTAGCCTTGGTAGATGCATTAACGAGTTCCTGTGAGGCCTTGCGCTTTGACTTGGTGGTGTCTTGTGCTGGCTGACCAGTTTCATCATCACTGTCGGTACTGCTGGCGCCTTCGCTACCACTATCAGTACTGATGTCTGCCTCTCTGGCGATTCGCTCTTCCTCCGTCAGCTTGTCGAAGCCCGCCCTGGGGTCTGAGAGCAGACGACTTTGGCATGGTTAGATGGTGTCACAAAGAAATAAGTTGATAGCAGCATAATATGATGATGATGCTTACTTGAGATTGCTCATGATTGGATTAGCTGAATGTTCTATTAAGTCTGATGCCAAAGTAGTCAGTCAACGACGGTAATATGAGCCAGGCTGACTCAAAGGAGAATGTGGTGCAAGTAGTATGAGAAATGCCCGTCTTCGGGAAGCGTTATGAGGTAGAGAGGTACAAGGCGGTGGAAGAGCAACATGGATTTGATGCCTCTTTATAAAAGCACAAAATTCAACGACTGCCTGAGGTGAGCAGACCATCGACGCATCGTGTCTGTCGCGGCGATCCAGAACCTGCGGTGTGTTCAAGGCGTTTGATCGATGCCATTCATGCTGTTGCCATGGTCTCAGCTCCGACGTAGTAGGAGGTACCTGCACCTGGGGACGCAACGGATACCCGCGCGTGGGCAGCAATAGTCGGATGCACGTTGTTCTGCATGCTGACATGATGCCTCAACAAGCAAACAAGAAACTCATCGTGGCGTTTATGGATTGAGGTACTCCACGAATATTCCTCAACACAATGTCTGTCAAATTATTTGTGTACTTTTCAGGTGGAGTCTAACTTTTACACCCGCCACGTACAAGCTGAGGCTGTTGTTTGCAGACTATGTAATAAACATCCCACTAATGAGTGCAGCAACCCTCTAAGCAAACTACATTAGAGCCTGGGAGGTGGCATAGGCACAGCTTTGTTCTATAAGTCAGCACTTGCAGTCGAAATAAGACAGCAAGCATCCTGTCCTGTCTATCATTGGACAATATCTTGTTGGGTGCAATCAACCATGTAGCCATCTGCATTCTCTTTGTAATCCAAATGCAAGAACTTGTTTGTGCAAAAATGTATTCCGGCAGTGACTGCATGTCTTTGGCAAGAAAAACAAACGTTTTGTATATTCAATCATCGCCCCATGCCCGGCGGCTGATGATAATTGGTCTAGCTTGATCCCATGGTCCATTCATGGCATTCTTGTACTTTTGCAATCCAATCAGCCACCAACTTGACGCGCCCATGGCCACTACTGCAATGAGGACACCGACAATCATGCCCAATAGCCCGTTCTTCCATGGAAAACCCGTATCTCTCTTGTCGCTTAGTATCAGACCAACTCCGCCGCCAGCACCAATGACCAACAGAGCAGACAATATGACGTGATATTGCCAGCTTCTGTGCCTTGCATATCTCCTAAATACTGGAAAGAGCCCAAAGACTTCTATGCTGAAAAGTGTGAGGCTAAAGACCTGGCCGGTGGATGGCAGCCGAGAAGCGAGCACGGTCGAAGCCATGAGCGCGGCATTTGTAGATAGAGAAGCGGGAAACTTGACACCAACACCGCCCGAATAGTCGTAGAAGAATATGTTGATGGTCAACAACCAAAACGACATGGCCCAGATGCTGTCGGGCGAGGTGGATCTCGTCAGAGATTTGAGAATGGGCGAAAGACCCAAGATGGTAAAGTAAATGAGAACAGCAGACTTGATGGTGCTCAGCCGAAGGCTTAATCGACCGCTCTGTAGAGGAGCTGAAGGACGATGCTTGGGACCCATTGGCGGCTCGTTCTGGTGGCCCTGATGACTGCTGAGCGAGGTGCTTGACTGCAACGATATTGCAGATCCTCCACCATGCTGGCGCATCACGCCCAGTGTATTCTGCGGCTGTGCTCGCTCGGTTGCGCCCAGGTTCGTCACGGAACTTGCGGCAGAGGGCGTTGGCGCCGCTGTAGAACTTCTACTGTTCTCTTGTCTGGCTTGGTGTCGGGCGCCGCGGCTTCGCAGACTGTTTTGCCTTTGTAACACTTCATCCTCGCCCTCTTGTCCTATCCACCAGTCCCATAGCAGCCAGCCCAGAAACGTGGCGAAGCTGCTCCATCCTACAATTGTCACGGGCGACACCCTCTCGGTGAATATACCGACGAAACAGACGACAAAGATGGTGACAGAGCACACTTGTTGCACAATAACGGTCGTATCGGCGACCAGCGGCCAAAAGTCGTACGGCTGGAGGCGCGGGTTGCGCTGCAGACTGTCCAAGAAGGTGGTCGCGTCGGTATAGTTGTCAGGAAAGGACTGTTTCACCCAAAGAATCTTCTTCCAGGTGCGTTTGCTCTGGCGGCGCCGACTTCTGCTCCGGCTGCCGAGTTTGTTGGAGCGCAGACGTCTTCGGGAATCGGGGCCCGAGTCGTAGCGGGAATTGCTCTCAAAGGCATTGATCTGGTGCGGCGGCGAGCTAGCAAAAAAGGCATCTTCGGGCGCCAGATGGGAGCGCGAGGCGCGCGGCGAGTTGTTGTTGCTGCTCGAGAGGTCGGGCAAGGTCGCAGAGCGCGTCAGGGGTGGAATAGAGCCTTCCTTTGACGAGGAGCGTGATGGAACCAAGGAGGTCTGCGATCCCCCAAGATTCGAGGCCATCTGGCGAGGCCAAAGCTGATTATGGGACAGTCATCAACTCGAGAGAAGATCGAGCTCGCAAACGCTAGGGACTAAGACACTGCTGCCCGCGTCTGGTGGAGAGAATGACCAAGCGTTGGTGTTTGGGTTTGATTTTCTTCTTCCGCCGCGATGGGATCTGGTGTGAGATGCCGAGAGCTACATTAGGTACAGCCTAAGCTTACTGCCAGCCAAGCTAGCTTCACCTTCTGGGTGTGCTGCGTGAGGAGCCAGGACAGCACTTTACGCGCTCCTAGGCTTTAGCATGGCTAAGGTAGGTCTTGCACGCTAAAAAGCCTACCCCTGAAGCCGGGAAACTCCCCAAACTGCGGGGGATCCACCTTGGCCTGCCTACCAGATGGAAAAGGCCAATCTTCGGAAGTTTCCCAATCTGCTGGGCTCGTATAATCGTCTTACTGCTACCACTATTTACAAGCCTACATCATGGCATGTGTTCCCGAGGTAGGTTTTATCCATGGTCATATATTGGAGTATGTACAGAGGTTAGTCCCTTTGTAGTTCCAAGTGTTTGATGCCTTTGTCTGCCTTCGTAGTTTGGTCAGTATCAGACCAGGTCAAACATTGTCCGCAACACCGAACCCATACTATTAATGCCTCGCTGACTGCCGACATGTAGCAATGGGTAAGTAAGTATCAGATGAAGGATAGGATACACAAGCACAGTTCACCTCGTTCCCAAATGGCCTTGTTTCGGCTTTGGTGACGGTCGGAGAGCTTACCAGTCTGTGCTTGCCGATCTCATTGAGTGCGAAGCCCGGGCGCTTATGCGATGTTCAAAGGTGCAAGTCTTTTTCCCTGGCATTTGTTTCTCCGGGACGAGCAAGAGAGGGCGGTAGCTCCTTTCTGAATGTCAATATGTCAACGTTGAGTAATAATGGTACGAAAAGGGAAAAAGAGGCTGAGCCTCACACGGCGTTCGCAGGTGATCCGCTCGCCAAGTTAGCACCAATATGCTTAATGAAGCTTATCCTATACTGGACAGGCATTCCGTAGACCCATCGACGGTGCCATGAGTTCTGCTCTGGCAATGGCATTGGACCGTTCAAAGACTTTCGCTCGCTACCAAACTTACTAATACAATGCAAATTCTTCTTCATGCCTAGGATGATACGAGACAAGGATATCACGGTCGGTTCTCATATACAGTGCCAGTGATATGCCCTTGGGCCATTCCAAGCATCGGTAAAAGGTCTGCGATCAAATGGTTGCCCAGCCCATGCCCAGCTCTACCACTCATGAGACACTTGACTGCTATATCGCTCATGGAGTATTATGGAGCAGCTTCATTCATCGAGGTAAACATTGTACGAGAACTGTGTCAAAACGGTGGACGATTGGGTGAGACCCTAGGGTAGACCAGTGGATGAAACTTGGGTGTCCGAGTGTCTACATGACATGCCCTGGCAAACCCGCCCTTTCTTGACGGTTTACACTAGAATGAAGCAAAGAAAAGCCGCCGAAGAGGAAACGACCCCACTCAGCCTGAACGTGTTGTGGTATCAAGCGTTGATTCGACTTGGATTTGCTCTTGATCTCGCGTGACAGGTTCAGGGAGGGCATCCTGAGAATGGGAAGTTGTACCGAACAGCATAAGTTCTGTGGATAAACGAAATACGGGGCAGCAGCATGAAGATGCGACTGACTGACTGACTGACTGAACCATCGAGTTACTATGTACGATGCATCCAATAGGGCCATGTCTTGGCGGATCGATGCAAGGAACAAGTCCGATTTGTGGAACGTACATTGGCCTTGAGAAGCGGGCAGGATGCCTGAAGCGCTCTTTTTGAATCTCAGATGGAGTCTTGCCAGCTGCGCGACAAGGTCGGCCTGCACCATATGAGGCTTGAGTGTCGTGATCCTCTTACCCTTTTGCGACCCCACGTGCTGTCAAGCAACAAAGTGTGTGGACTGATTCAGGCCTAATAGCCACCTTAATGTCCTTTACATTGTGGATACCTGCAGTTCAGCCCACTGAATTCAATGGGGCCAGGAACCGCTAAAACATTTACATCTCGCGTCGACTTGACTGACCATACTATGTGATCGGCGGATTGTACTCGAGCATTTGCCATCGATTGCGATTCCTGATTCTGTTCGTGATTCTTCAATCGGTCAATTATATCAGCAGTTGGTGATTGAGTAAATTAGTATGATGTGACTTTGTACTAGAAATCTATTTTGGGCAGAGTTTGTCAGAAATCTACTTGGAAGTCATACCACGGCAGGATTACCATCCATTCAATTTACACTGCATTGCCTATAATATAAAGTTCAGCTTACTCGGGCCCTTGGACCAATGATGTAGAGATCCAGAACGCTTGGCTGGATTGATCGAGGCACTCATGCACACGCCAAATTGGATCCGGAGTTTGCATGTAGAATATTTTACTACTATGTACAACTGGTATTCCGAAAGGGAACAAGAAGCACTATCGAGTCATCTGAGATTTCTTGACATGGAGCTGATGAGCTGTTGGTGGTCAGGTGACAGTGTTCCTGTTCTAGGCTGGGGAAATAAGCCTTCTTTAGAGAGAAGAAGAGGAAAAGGCCAAGATGGCCCAGCCAGCCAAGCATCACATCACCAGCCAGCCACTGACGGTACTAATTCCCAGCTGAGTGTAAACTAACCTAGAGTATAGCGCACGGCAATGCGAGTCTTGATGCCCAGAGCCCGGAGTACCGTGAACTCGAGTTGGCGAGACAGTGGGCTAGAATGAATTAAATGCGATCACCAATCCCCTGAGACACCAATCCAGTCAAGTCAGTCAAACCAGTCAAGCCAAACCAGTCCGCTAGTCTCGCCGTTTCCGTGTAATGTCAAATGCGAGTTCTGCAAGGAGCCGCCACCGTCTACTAGACTCAAGTGAGCTTAATTGGTAAACTACCCGCATGTACTATCGTATGGTCGATTGAGGCAGTCTGGGAGGACGACGACTTGCGAGCACGAACTAGAGCTTCACTGTCTGTCTGCATGCGTCTGTGCCCGGGTTCCGCTCCGCTCTCTGCTCTTCACTTCCCTCACCTTGCTCACTTCAGGGTCCACGTTCCCTGCTGCTGGTGGTAACTAACCTGACCCTCTTGTCCGTAACGTTGTTAAATGATCCTTGCCTTTTTGCGACGCCCCCTGCTCTTCAGACGAGACCAACGCCTGCGTCAAACGTGCGGGCCATAGCCCGATGACAGACAGACACTGGAGAAGGGAGCCTGTCAATTCATTCTCTCATCGCTGTCTTGACGTTTATTCAATCAAGTGAATTGATCACCCTCGTGCCTGGGTACTTATTGCAGGTTCGAGGTAGTAGCAGCAAATGGTCGTAGGTCCATGTTGTGCTAGATTAGGAAAAAAGAAAAAAGTCCCATGAAAGCACATCCGTGTATTCTTCTACTTCTTCTTCTCCATTGCCCTGGTCTTACTAAATATTGACCGATCGACCTGTTCGTTCCTGATACTACTCATCCTCCTGCATCCCTTTACCTCATCATTTGCATCCAACTCACTGACAATTGAGTGATCTGCTCTGGAACTGCAGGTAGACTTTGTAGCTACCTTGACCAATTCTAATTCTGCGGACCTGATCTACATACACTACTACGCACAAACAACGAGGCCTCTGGCAGCACAACACAGCCCCAACTTCATCATCGTCATTGCGCTGGAACCTCATTGTTCCTGTCATTCAACTTGGACCAACCGATCGCTGATCACAAAGTTGACATAACCACCAAACAAATCGCGAGAGCCGCGATCCAACGTACTCATTGATCTGCATCTTGCAAGTTGTCAAAGGGTCTTCCTTAACGTACCATCCACCAGTACAAGACCAAGCAAGGCAGTGCAACACCGGCGTTTTGTCCTCCCCATTTACTTACACAGACGACAAACCAAACGGCCGACCTGGATACAACAAGATCAATCACCAGCAGGGAGGAATATAATAACAAGTCACACACTTGTTCCTTGTTAGACGTCACAGAAATCACGAGCACGAACCAATACAAGCCAAACCAGATCAAGGGAAATCTTCCGACCTCCTCGTGATTTGTTGTCGCTGGCATCTTGCGAGGCGAGTTTAGACTTTTGCCAACCCCCGGCTGGCCTCAGTCTGACCAGAACTTTATTTTTGCTGCACCCAGTCCAGTCCACAACAAGTCTCTTGTCCCTTCTGCGGTAGCAGTTCCAAGCAGGCACGACTACCTACTTTCGACCATTGATCCGTATTGGATCTGGGCGGACCGCCTGGGGACACACCCCTGGCCCACCGATCAATTAATAGCTTGAAGGGCGCTTTTTCAGGCTGTGCTCAGCTCATTTGCGACCTGCATCAGTGCTACACTACCTACCTACCTACCTACCTGACCTTACGCTACCCATTCATTTGGGGTGCCTACCACCACCTCCGCCGCCAAACTGTACCCAGGTACCTTACCGGCAGTAGTACAATTAGACTCTTTTTTTTTTTCCTGTCTGTCTCCAGTCCCCTCACCCCCTTCGTTTCCCACCATTCAAAAGCGCGTCAGCAACCACGCCCGCTGGTCCCCCCCGCGTCTAGACCAGTCCGACCAGGAACTTCTATTGATTGCCAAGACTCGCACCCCAAAGCCCCCCCCCCCCCCGGCCCTCTTGACTTACATACAGCCCAGCCCGACGCAAGGGTCCAATTACATACATATTCTTCCATATTCCCATTCTGCGCACACCTTTCACCAGAAACACTTTTGGTTTCCATCCTTATTGGCGATACTCTCTCACCTTCTTTCCTTTCCGATCACCGGTCCTAAGAACACATTAATAGTCTCGGTATTCATTGGACAGATCTTTCGGCACATTGTCTTCGATCCTCACTAGACAAAATGAAGGTCTCAACCGCGCTCTGCGCCTTGTCCCTCGGCTCCTGGACATTGGCAGCGCCTATTGTCATTTTCAAAAATGAGCCGCCCAAGTACTCGGGAACTCAGATTACTCGCACATCCATCGATGCCGACTCGGCAGATACATGGCCGATTCGTACACACAAATTCACCAACACGCAAGATGCTGCGCAGGATTCTTTGACTGGACGACCAGACAATCGACCATACAGCCCCACCAGCGACGTTGCGCCCTCCGAGGCACTGGCAGCTCCGAGGCCTCTGAAGACTAGCTATCTTCTCTCCATCAGACCCTTTATGCTTCACTCGTCCGAAAATGCGTCGCCAGATACCGCACCTTCCTCTCAGTCTCCTCATTCCGAGTTCCAGGATTCGAGCATCGTCGAGGCAGAGACTGGATCTGTCAAGAAGCACCACCACTTTACCACGGTGGAGCTCGAGACTTTGGGAAACAAGCCTTATTACCAAACGATCCCATGTCCTAAGCAGAGCGGTTACTTTCACCTGGTCAAAGGCTACACGGATACCACGGTTGTGGCCGTGGTCTTTATTCTCATTGCCGTGATTGCCCTAATCGAGCTTTGGAATCCCATTTGCAAAATGTGAGTAGCCACATTCATTTTCAGTTGGGCTCGTCAATCAATTACTAAACTCCGCTACAGAACAAGCAGAATATGGAATCGGGAGGGCATGATTCGTCTAGATGACAATGTAGACGAGAAGAAGCAGCTCGAGGTTAGATACTCGGATTTCGTCTTGCAGCCAGCACCAAAGACAAGGTCCAAATCGAGCTTGCCGTCCGACGAAAAGGCAGTTCACAAGTCATGACCCCCATGGTCACTTTTCTTTGTACAACACTGGAATGCATGATACCATCGAGCACGGCGTTTAAAGGATTTGTTTTTGTTTTTTTTAATGAGCATTGCGAACGGAGCGAATTTTGGACTTCTGTCATTTTGGCTAGGAAAGCAAGCATGTGAGAGACGTGCGTCATTCCGGAACGTAGGAGGAGGCATCAGTCTACATGGGTCACGTCACGAGCGTTGTTAGTTCACCGTCTCAAAGCTTGATTGTGCGAGACGCGCATATGGGCTCGCTCGAAATGAGAAAAACCTCACCAACGGGTTTGACACGTAGCGAGTCTAGTTGAGGCCAATTAGAAAAAAGTCAAAAGAGTCAAGTCAGAAACATGAGAGAGAAAGGAATTGATAATTTAGAACAAAGACTTCTTGGCAGCATCACTCAAGCCAACAACTGTTGACCACGCTGTGAACCTTCGGTACGCCGATGTCAAACTTCGCAGGGTTTACGGCACGGTAGCTATCTTGAAGAGAGAAAAAAGGAGAGACATTACGCACCTCACCTCACCTCACACCTTAAAACTGATTATCCAGCCATTCCCCTTCAGCCACGCCATCCAATATGGTCTTGCTCAGGCAACAACAATCCAGGACAAACGGGAAAGGCCCCCACCATGATCGTTTTCTTTCAATATCGATACCCGCCGCCCGCTTTACCCGTCTTTCTTTTTTCCTTTCCTCTTCCCTCCCCACCCTCACCGCCCAACAGCCGATATACCAATCGAAGAGTTCGAGAGTTTCCCACTTAACCAGCCGAGCCTCAAAGCTTAGCCACCATGCTAACCAGATGCGGTGCAAGCGTTGTGTGATTGTTATGGGGTTGTGGTACGGGTATCGGCTTCTCTGGGAGACCCTCCTCGTATTTGTTTAAATGTCTGCCTGGCCCTTTCACCCCCTCTCAGTTTTACGGTGCGACAAGATGGGTAGAGACCAGCTAGAATGATTGGTGAACTTGGGCTTTTACTTTAGAAGGAGGAGAAAAAAAAAAAGGTCCACGTAATCAATTGGTGAAATGACTGGCCTATACTAGCGCCAAGACCCTGTCTCTCGATTCTCCAAGGGTAAGAACTTTTGTCTATGATTTTCAGGGCCAAGACAGGGTGTGACTTTTTTTTCCCCTTCTCATTTCTGATTATTTAGACAAGAGGCTCTAGTTCATTACCTCTCCATTATTGTCATGTCTTTGCCTTGCAAAGATCCGTGATTTTTCCCTACGCCGGGACTGAGACCGTTGATTTGGGAGGGGCTGATGTTTAAGGGGGGGAGGCGGAGAGGAGGTGGGAATGGCAAAAGTGTCATTGAAAAGAAACTAGGCATTTTACCCGGAAATCCAGGGCTGTCAATCGTCGTCGAGAGTACTTTTGGACAGAAAAGTCATTTATTGCCTACATGAGCATGGCAAGATATTGAGAGTCATCATATCAATGGCAGCAAAGGCTGCAAGTATTCCCGATCGTTCCTTTGTCGATCAGTCTTTAGGAACCTCAAGTTTCAGGAAGCGTATTCATGCAAAACTCTGGGAGCTGAATCTCCAAGGTTGCCAACAAGCCAAATTGTGCTTCTCGTGATGGATCACATTCGTTGTTCCCCGGATAATCTTAGTAGATACCACCGCGACGTGTTGGTGGTTCACCCCGACTTTGGTAATGCCTCGGGCCAGAACCGACAAGCATTGATAGGCTCTTTGGCTTTACCAGACCAAAAGAAGATGTCACCTCTCAGGCCATCATTGGAGACTTCCAGCAATTTCCCCGGTGAATCCTGGTCAAGAATTGAGTCAAGTCAAGGACACATGAGATGACATCTAGTCGCTCTCTTGACAATCAATGAAGATCTTTTAGGATCGTCATCCGCGAGTGCTGTTGGAGGCCGGGGACCACGTGGAGTGAACCTGCACACGGCCATGCCGCCCTCGTGCTGCCAAAATGGAATGATTTATTGTTTTGCCAAGTCCTTTTTGTTTCTTGCCAAGTCCAGTCCTATAAAAGTTTACAAGAATTTGTCCAAAGCAAAAGGGTTCAAAATCTCCTAATTTCGAGAATAGCGTTTTCTTCCCATAATCAAAGTAAACCATGGTCTCGGTCAGCCCAGCAACAGATTGCCGGAATACACCCAACGAGTAACAATGTTTCCGACATGTAGTCTTTTACCCAGGCACATCCATCCATCCATCCATCCATCCATCCATCCATCCAGGCAGGTGACCTCTCCTATTTCAAGTCATTTTATACCCATGGTGGTGACTGAGAAGAATTTCGATCGCCGCTGGTGAGATCTTAGAATGCCCAATTGGGGTAGATTTTAGACTCCGTGCTACCTGTGCCGGCACCCGGAGTATGAATTCATTGCCGTTCTATATCGCAAGGCTTACTTACATCTTTCTCGCCAGAAGTTCGTGAAAAAAAAAAAGAAAAAAAAAAGAAATCCGCCAATCCTAGTAAGTACATATCTATCAATATGCTTCTCAGCTAGAATAATGCAGAACCCGAAAATGGCAGATATATAGACACACAAAGACAGAGAGGAATGTTTTGCATAACGCCATAACTTTCGTGTAATCATTAAACTTCCTTATCTAACCTCGGAGCTCCAAATGCACCGTAGAGGAAATTGGGTAACAGGGTATCATCGCTGCCCATCCTCTAGAAGAAATATTTATATCACAATACTGCCATCCCAACTAAATGCTCTGTCTCCAGGACGAGATACCGTGGCTGTTTTCCCGGTACCATACGTACAAGCAAATATGTGTTTGCAGATGCACTCCTGACAAAAGAAAATCATCTACCTGTTGATAACCTCAACCTTTGTGAATCTCTTGACTTCGTCGGGTGTACGTGTCACGACCAGTTGCTGGCAGAATAGTCCCCAGTCGTCGCTCGTGCCCTCCTTGATGGCATCGGCCAAATCAATGCGATAGCGTTCCCGGTACGCCCTCTTGATTGCCGACATGTGGTGTCTGTCCCAGTGATAACGGACGAGGCGGCTGATCAAAAGCTCGCGGCGGAGGTGGTCCTTCTTTGAAGCAGTAAGCGCGTGGTTGATGAGGAGAGCATCCCGGACGGGTTTGTTGATAACTCCATTGAGAATATGCGCCAGAAGTTCACCCTAGATATTTTTGTCAGCCGTGTTTATGGTCATTCAAGACAGCGTCATTACTTACGACAAGATTCCCACTCTTCTTGAGAGCATCTCTGGCGAAATTCGACCCATATGTCCTCTCGTACAATTTCAAAACGTCTCGCAGGTGCGAGTCGCTCCGCATGATCACGATCGAGATCATGGCCGACTCGCCACCCTTCTCGCTCTTCACGGCCTTGCGAAGATCATGCACGTCGTCCTCGACCAGTCTAGAGTCAATGGGGAGGAGACGTCCATACTCGTCGAATTCTTCCATCCTATTCTCATCCAGTACCATGAGCACGGCCCGCTTGAACTTGTCTTCCTTGAGTTCCATCTTCATGCACTGGGTCAGGCTGTCACGGTACTTTTTATCGCTGAAGCCGTCCTTGATCCGGCGGATCTCGTCGTTGGTGCGCCCCATGATGGACTCAATGAGGAGCTCGCGCCGCGTCTTGTCGCCCTGGTACCAAAAGTTGGCCCAGTACGCCTCGCCCTCCCACTTTCCGAGCGCGACAGTGTAGCAAGCCTTCATCAGCAGCGGGTCCTCGTCCTTGAGCCGCGCCCGAACGTGCTTGGCAATGTTGACGCCCCTGCGCTCACTGCCAGTCTTGACCAGCCGCTTGTACTCGGAGCGCAGGTCCATGACCTGCTCGTGGGTCAGGCCCGGTAGGATCTGGATCAGAGGCCCCACGTCCGGTGCTCGCCTTTCGCCCTTGAGTGCCTGGGCTAGAGTTGCCGCATCGTCCTCGGGATCGCTAAAGCGTGCTCGCCTCTTCTTCTTGCCGCCGCGCTCGTCATCCGACCCGCCCGGGGACAGAGGCTCGATAGGTGATAGCGGCCCATTGGAGGGAAGCAGCAGAGGGGACGGCATTGGTGACATGGATTGGTAGGTACCGTGGTACGACTCGAGCAGCGGAGAGCCGGGCGCATTCGCCAGCGTCAGATGTAACCCTGTTGGGAAGCCAGTGTTGACCGTGAGCGAGGACATGCCCTTGACTGGCGGTGCTGGTGATCGCGACCGGCTGCGATGCCGACCGCTTGGTTCGACCGTCAAGTTGGACTTGGAAGATCTCGATTCATGCTTCTTGCTCGACGTCCGCCGCGGCTCAGGGCTGGGATCACGGTATGATGGCCTGTGTGGGCTATGTGGAGCCGGTCCATTGTACTCTGCATGCCGTACATTGTACCCGTAACTACCACCGTTGTTGTTGACTCCCCATTCTGGCATCTTTGCGTACTTGGCGTCCGAGTTTGGAGGAGAGTTATCTCGCGGATACCCGCCTGGCATAGTTGGCGAAGAGCCATATGCCAGATCCTCTTCGAGTTGAGCCTTCTTCTCCTGCTTCTTTCTCTCCTTTTCGCTGTCCGACTGGAGGGCCTTGTCCATGACCTTTTCGGCATATTTGGCCGGTAAGAAGGCGGCGGCACCACCCAGCGCCTTTGCCAGGCGGTCCTTGTCGAAATCTTGATGATGTTGCCTTTCGGGGTGTATCCGATATTTCCGTTCCTTATCCGAATGTCTGGAGTGCCTGCTGTTGTCGCTCTCATCCGAGAACCTGTCTCGGCTTCGGCGGTAAGACGACTCATCTGTAGGTGAGGTCACACGGTAAGGACCCCTAGGATCATCATAGCCGTAGGTAGAGCGCCGCGAGGGAGCATCGTGATGGTCATCGTAGCTAAAACCAGCTGGAGGCGAGGGCATTCTCACAGCGTCCATGATATAAGGCTCTGGAGCGCGGCTGCGACTGCGATCCCTCTCGTCGTCCCGGCGGCCAGGAGAGCGTGATCGGCCCCGCCGACCGCTCTGATCAACCTGAAGAGACATTGTCGGCAATAATTCAGTCCTCGAGACAGTGCGCTTGTAAAGTCAATTGAGACCCTCGGATGCACTTGTATATATCGTTTTCCTCGAGTCCGCTTTGTTGAACCAATTGACTCGAGATGATGACTGCGGGGTAAGTTATTGTAAGATTCCAAAACGTAGATCGTCGCGTCCCGCTCCTAGGGCTGGATCTGAGAACCGTAGGTAAATGAGTAGTAGAAAGTGGCGTTTTCTGTTCCGTGCACTCGACAATAGCCACTCTTGAGCCGAGGAAAATGTTTTCTATTCGTCTCTTGTTGAATTTCCTCGGAGCAGTGGATGAGAGACTCTCGCTCTATAAGTATCAAGAAGCTACAAGGAAGGCGACCCGCATTCTTTTGTATTATCTTTTTCCTGAACTTCTAGAATAGCCGAAGGAGAGATAAAAAAGACCATTTCGGGCATTGCTTCTCTTTTGCTTGGACCACAACAGCTCCACTAGACGTGCATGGTTGAGAGGGGCTGGGGCGTCACGGAGGACAAGTGAGCGCAAATGAGACGCGTGCGGCTGGACCCTTTGGAGCCTTTCCTTCTGTAGGACTGCAGCGCTCACATGGGCTCACGAGGGGCTCGAGGGGCTCATACATGGGGTCTCGCACTGGGAACCAATGAGGCGGGCCGCCGGTCATCGCTCTCCCCGTGCTGCCCTTGCTTGGTGTTGCAGCCTTCTGTACCTTCAGTTGCTTCGCCTCTATGGAATTGCGGGGAGCACTGCGGTGCCTTTCTGGGTTTCTCAGCAAAAAACTCGAGCTCACCTACCTTGGCTACAGATTACATACTGCCGATTGACCTGCAGCGGGATACGGCGACATGCTTTCTTTCTCTTACCTTGGACGTCATGTCCACGTCGGTGCGGCAGTGCTTCGAAAGACGGACGTACCGCAGTGGAGTCAAAACGAAAAACAACAATCAACAATCAAGACCAACACCACGTATGATACCGAATAGCTAACTACTTGCGGGAGACGGATTCATGCATAGGACCGGACCTTACATAGTTTCCGCCCTTGCCCCCAGGTTGGATATGCCGGATTCGTGACTTGACCTTTTGTGACTCTTCCTGTGCTGGCAAGTTTTGCAACCATTGACAGTGGTTGGTTTTTTTAGTGGGTTGTGTGACCAAGTAGCAAGACCCGACTGACTGGATGGGGCAGATGAGAATCCCCCAGATTGGTGCGCGGTTCGCTAAAAGGCTCCCCTAGTAGCGGGTGGCTCTTGTTACTACTAACTAGGCTTGGTAAACCTAACCCACCGAACCTGGGAGAGGATTGTTGGGAGACACTCACTCGTAATGTATGTATGTCCCAATTACATACATCCAGCATATACTTCGTGCTACCTACCATCTCTCACTACATGACAATGGGTATGGACGCATTTCTCCACCCGTGTTTCAAGATATCTTGTGCTCAAAGAAACACCAATGAATTGGATCCGTGTCGCCTCTTCTGAGAGACGACGACGGGCAGCCACGCATGAGAAGACCGACCGAGAATGTCCCCGCTTTGCTCTGCTGTACCTACCTGTCTACACTAGGGCAGAAAGTTTTTGTAGTTCTCGACTTGTCCATCCATGTACGTCTCAATGGAAAGGCATCCGCCCAGTCGAAGAGCCTTTTTTCTTGTTGTTATTTGTCACAAATCGAAGTGTCGCGGTTCCGGCGGCTCTACGTATGAGAAAACAGAGAGAGGCTCCGTGGGATCTGGACAACTACTCTGCACTAGGTATACTGGACATTTATTCAATCGGGCACCGGAAAGTGGCATCTTGTAGTGGGTCAAGCGCCCGGATTGGGCCGTCATCAATGTCATCTGAGCCTCAATTCACCTCAAGAGGAACAAGGCCGAGACATGGAGAAAAAGGTCCCTTTTCGAAAATGCATGTCCACTCGAGGATTGCGGGAGTTTCCTTCATTCTTGGAATGGACGACATCTTAAACACGAGAAGGATCCACTACATGCAATTCGGCTATCCTCTTCTTACTGTCCTCCACTGATCTCCGCCACACGTCATACTTTGAGCTTGCAAATTGTCCCAGGTTGTCGACGCCATGGTTGGATATGTATTCTGCCAAATCCAGTCCATCCTGAATCGCGAGTTGCGCACCCTCACCGCCAAGTATCGGCGTAGCATGCACAGCATCGCCAATCAGAAGCACACCGCGCTCCGACAGTTGCTGTGCGACCTTGGGCTCGGGGGTCAGGCAGCGCATAAGCCAGTGAAGCGTCCTGTCCTTCTTGACCCTATCCGCGTCAAACACATCTCGAAAGGGCAGGGCGAGGCTCTGATGAAGACTCTTGAGCTCGTCGTAAAACGCCTCGGGTGTGTCGGTCGCGCCCGACGTGGCCCGTCCGGGATGGTGGAGGGCATCGCGGCCATTGTCTCTGGCCGGGCGGGAGTAGACGTAGCTCAGCTCGACCCGGGATTCGCTCATGTCGTTTACTGATATCTCCAGAAAAACATTGCCCACGCGTGTCTGGAGTTGGACACCGTGTTTCATGTACTCGCGAATTCTTGCCGCGTATTCTTCAGGCGACATTCGCCGCCTGCCGTTGAACACCACGTATGGTAGGACTTCTGGCTCAATGCCCGCCGCCAGGCTCTGGCGGGTTATTGAATGAGGCCCATCGCAACCAACCAGACACGTTGTTTTGTGCTGATGGCCGTCCTCGAATACGACGTTCAGATCTCGTGAGGCAGGAACCATATTGATCTCTTTAAGCTTCTTGTCCCATTGTATAGAAAGAGAGCGGCCAAGAAGCGCTTCAAGCCGGCCGCGATGACACCGGAAGCCATCGCTGGTGGACAGACTCCCCAGCCCTCCCTCATGTGCGTTGACAGCCAATGTTCTTCGAAACGAGCTCTCATCCATGTCGAGGAGGCTCAAAAGAGGCCGATAGGTTGATGGGTAGAGCGTGATACCATAATTGTAGCGTGATGCAGAGGTTGCTCGATCGTACAATATCGAGGCGATCCCTTTACTTTGCAAGCTCAATCCCAGAGCAAGACCGCTGAGCCCTGCACCTATGATGGTGACCTGAGGCAACTTGGATGCCATTGCCTGTTCCCAATGAGATTTGAATTACCACGATGGTCAGTTGAACAAAGGCCAAGAGAAATGCCAAATAGACATTGGTGTCAAGCCCATGGGAATCAAGTCTCTTAACTATAAGTACTAGCGCGCTTGAACTACGTAGAACGATACGCCAAGATCGTGCTGAACCTTGATCTCTTTCGAGATCGAGTTTTCCTGGTCAGCGGACAAGGCAGTTCGGACTTGCATCTCTTTCCAAAACAAATGTAATTTTGATTATGCCAGCATTACTCTGCCAGGGCTGGCTGCATTTCGGCTTCACATTCTGACATGTTGCACCATGTGTTGTATTTTAGCATATTGTACAACAGTATAGTCAAGTTGCAAGTAGCTGTATCAGAAAATAGATACTGTTATGGGATTCGAAGGAAAAATTACGATAAATCGATGCAAAAAAAAGCAAGTGAATTTCATTTTCATTATAATATTTGAGTATCCCAAAATCCCGTCTAACCCCAGAATTCGCTACAATGACAAGACAGAGAGATTCTAATTCTTAAAGCAAGGGCCGCCAAAAATACGCCAACAGGGCAAGCCAAAGTGAGAAAAAAGCCGTAAGCGCAATGGCCTCGACCGATATCAGTGGCGGTGTCTGTCGGTCGAGCTGGCTCGTCGACCGCGTCTGCGGCACGCCCAAGTCCTCGAGCTGCGCCGGGTGCGTCGACCACGGGGCCGCGATACCGAGGTCGCCGAGGATCTGCTCGGCCGTGATCTTGGCGCCGGCCAGGACAATGGGCACGCCGGTGCCGGGGTGCGTGCTGGCGCCGACAAAGTAGGCATTGGCGAACCCCCGGGCCCGCGTGCTCGGCCGGAACTTGAGCACGTTGAAGAAGCTGTGGCTCAGGCCCAGGATCGAGCCCTTGTCCAGGTTGAACTTGGCCTCCCACGTAAAGGGGTCGTTGACAATCTCGTGCGTGATAAAGTCGCTCAGCGGCGCGGCGCCTGTCCGCGCCGAGATGGTCGAGAGCACCGAGTGCCGGGCACGGTCGACGAGCGCCGCCCAGTCGTGATCGCGCGGGATGCCGACGTCGTCGGACTTGACGAACCCTTTGCTCTGGTAGAGATGGCCGACGGGAACCAACGCGATGACAGCGTCGCAGCCCGGGGGCGCGGCGTCCTGGTCCATCCTGGTCGGCACGTTGATGTAGAAACTCGGCTCCTTGGGTAGTTCCTGTCGGTCGAAGATGGCGTCAAACGACTCACGATACTCGTCGGCCAGGAAGATATTGTGTGTCTGTAGTTCCGGTACCTTGCGGTCCAGACTCCAGTAAAAGGAGATGGAGCTGCAAGACCCGTCTCGCTTGCGCAGCGACTCGCTATGCTTGGCGTTGCCGGTTGTCTGAGGAAACAGGTTGCTATAAGCATAGACCAGATCTGCGTTCACCACCACAATGTCCGCGTCGATCCTCTCGCCAGACTCTAGCAGCACACCCGTCGCCGTCTTGCCGTCGGGCAGGGTAAGAACCTGCTTCACTGGCGTGTTGAGCCGATACTTGACGCCAAATCTCTCACTCACGTTGACCAGGGCCTGCAGCACGGCATGAAATCCGCCCTTGGGATACCATATACCTTCCGCCAGTTCCGTATACTGCAGCAGCGAGTAAGTAGCGGGCGCGTCAAAGGGGCTCATGCCCATATACATGGTGGCAAAAGTAAAAACCCTCCGCAGGCGGTCGGTCCAAAAGTAGCGGCTGGCACGGTTCCAGATGCTGTGCAAGGGGTGCAGCTTGAGGCCGGTCCGGACGAACCACGGGTTGGCAAGATCCCACCACGTGGTAAAGTTCTTGTGCAGGACGTCGCTGACACTGAGCTCGTAGTGGCGATGCGCCTCGCCGAGCCAGGCAAGATACCTTTCGAAGCCGCCCTTGCCCTCCCACCGCTCAATCTGGTGCTTCATGCGCGCCAGGTCCGTCGAGAGCTCAAAGGACTCGCCGTCGGCGAACCAGACATTGTAGTTGGTTGGACACCGCAGCAGCTCGACGCCCTCGGCCTCGAGCGACGTGTCCAGGTCGTAAAAGGTCTCCCGGAACAGCTTGGGGAGCAGCAGCAGCGACGGGCCTTGGTCGAAGCGGTACCCTTCATGGTGAATGAGCGAGCACCGACCGCCCGTGAATGAGTTCTTCTCCAAGACCGTGACGTCAAAGCCCGCCTTGGCCAGACGAGCTGCCGTTGCGATGCCGCCAGCGCCAGCGCCTGTATTTTCATGGTCAGTAAAGGAGGCTCATGAAACGGTTTTCTCGAGTTGAGCTTACCGACGACAATTGCTTTCTTTTGCCTCACCTTTTCCATTATTGATCGAGTATTCCTTGAGCAGTGAACCAAGGACAAGACGACCACAATGTGAATAAATGCAGTCTGGTGTATATGTTATTATGACCGTCGCCAAAGTCTATGTGTACTGGTGAAAATCAAGAATAAGCAAACAGGTTTCGTTACAGCACAAAGATTTTATGCGTGCTGTTTCTTCATTCTACACAAACCACCGAAAAAACCTAACAATCGGGATTTAAACTCAACTTACACGTGCGAGAATGTTTCAATAGTGGCACAAGCCTGTCGTTTTGGTGGCAGGCACAGCGACTAGGTTTAGTGTGTTGACAAAATTGCCTATTTAGTCTAGTTCGAGATAACCAAGAAATATTCCTTGAACGATGGGGCCATGTAAAGAAGCAAGATCAAAACATAATAAGACGGCCAATATTTCTGTCCGCTGGCAAGTCCTGATTCATCATACTGGCTTGGACTACAATGTGCCAAGGATGCCCTTTCTTTGCATCGCGACCGAAATGGATCCGTGGAGGAACTCGCACATTGCTGTTGTCCGAGTCCGAATGGATCATGAATCATCATTCCCAGAAAAAAAAAAGCGTTCGTCGTCGGCAAAGAGCTTGAGCGCATTGACCCGCCAAGAAGACGGCGACGACGACAAAAGAAAAGGGAAAAGAATGCATATCTTGTCAAATAAAGCTGTAATCAAAACATACAAGTGTACCCAGGCACTAAATTCGGTGTCAATTGTAAATCCGCCGTGTCTTGAGTTTGTGGTTTTGTCTTGGAACTCAGACCACCACCAGGACTCATGGTGCCACTTTTCTTTCCCCCCTCCAGAGGTGGATACACCTATGATCTTAGTGATCGTCACTTTATTATAGTCTGGCCATCGGGTAGAAAGATAACAATGTGGTATAATCTTGAAGATTCCATATAATGTAGCATATTAGAAAATATTTCAGAGTATGTCTATGCAGTTCTATACAATGGGCCTGCCATGTCGCGTCATGCTTCAATTTTCAGCTGGATGGAGAATACCTTGATCATTGAAATGATCCATTATGTCTAGAGTGTGGTGGTTGCTGTGAGATCTTGGCAGATCTGCCGTATGCCCATACAATCTCATTGACTTGCCAAATTCTTCCAAGCAACCCACAGCCTTCTGGATCGGGGGACCGTAGCTCTTTTTGCATTCTTCGTAGATTGCACCGCCTTCTTCTCCCTCAACACACGCCCAATCTCCATGTAGGACTCGACGGCTACGATGAGCGGGCCGCGGATATCGCTTGGAAGCATTTCCATGTCTTTCCGGGATCGTGCATACTCCTTAAAAGCAAGGTCGAGAAGCCGTTCTCGTAGCTTCTCCACGACAGCCTGCCGAGGCGCCTTGATAATGTCCCTAGGTGTGACGTCCTCTTCCTTGAGCCAGTTGGTTGGAAGATACACGCGCTCCATCTCTGCATCCACGGCGATATCTCTTGCAATGTTGACATATTGTAGCGCGTGACCCATTGTCTTGGCCGCCAGTACCAAGATTGCCTCCTTATCTCCCGGGAGACGTGTTTCGCCATGGTGAAAAGCCAGCCAGAGGCAAAGCTCTCCAACAGTACTGGCCACTCGAGCGGCGTACAATTCCAAGTCTTGCTCATTTTTGATGGGGAAGTTCTCTGGTAAATGGGGCTCACCTTTCCCTCCCGTGTGGGCAAACGTCAAGTCCATCTTGAAGCCCTCGAGAAGCTCGTACAAAGGCTCGCTAGGTAGTAACTTGGCGGGTAGAAGTCTCAAGGCGGACTGGTCTGATTCGTGAAAGTTGTTCTTGATGTATTTCAGAACATGTGGGTCATCTGCTGGCGAGACTGGCGTCTTGGATGCATACACCAGATCCAAATAGCGCGTGAGCTTTTCAATCCATTCCAATGCCTCGGCCTCTGTTCTGGCATCATCGACCAAATCGTCCGCTACTCGACAGAAAGAATACCTGTGCAATCGTTAGCGAACAACAAGATGTCAAACGGTAGTAGAAACCTACAGCAAGACCAAATCGATACGCACGCGGCCAGGGAAAACGGAGCTAGCCAAGTAAAAGCTACGGCTCTTGCGCCTCAGCGTCACCACAGCCTCGCGCAGGCCGCGCACCCGGTCCATGTCGTACTTGGATCGATCTGCGAGAACACCCTTGAGCAACAGGACTGGCGAGGGCGTGGTTGGAACCCTAGGAAAGAGGTCGGGAAACATGTTGAGCACAGCCATGCCACGGTCGAATGCCACCAGGCCAAAGACAATCAGCGAGTTGGTGGCAAAGAAGAAGACAGCCTCCTCCAACTCTAGGCTTCCGAACAAACACCATCCCAGCTTTGTGCCAGACTCTATCGACCATGTTCCTCTGCCCAGAGCCAGCTCGTCCACCACCCACAGATACACGGTCGGTAGCAGGATTGGCGTAGCGACAGATATTAGAGGTAGCTTGATCAGGAAGTATCCGGAAAAGGTCCACGTAAGCAATGCAAATGGGCAAGCCCATACCAGAATAAGCCCCAGGTATGTTCCCTCGCCACCCTTTGCAACCAGGTATGCTCCGATTGCAGTACACCCAGCCAGAAAAGCCTGCCCGGCTACGCGTATCGTCCTGACCACGGAGGACACATCGTGTTCATTGGTCAAATATTGCCCATGTAAGATTGGCTTGTTGAAGAGGATGTAGATCATCGACGTGATGTATGTCTGTATTACAAAGAAGAATAGCTCCTCGGCTGGGACTGCAAAGAGCCGCAAGCCGACGATTGCATCTGGCGGATAGGTCCAGACGCCATGGTGTATAAGATACGAGTCCCAGGGCAACGTTGCCGTAAAGGCAATGATGATCAAGGCCAAGGTCTTATACAGGTCCAGCCTGGTAAGGAGGGGCTTTAGAACAAAGGTCAGGAGACCAGCCAATGGTATTGTATATTTGAGATGCCTAGGTCAAAAGTGTTAGCCTTTTTTTCATGTGATAATTTGCGCAATGCAGGCAAGTGGTATACTGACACGAACGCATAGTCGTATGCCATTGTTTCTTTTTTTCTTCTTTTTTTTCTTTTTTTTAATCCTTTTGGACTGGTCAGGGGCAGACCCCAAAAGATGCGATGTGAACTCTAATGGGAGGGGGTTAGGAAATCCAATGCAAGACGAGCTCAAGCCGCGTGACGCCGGGAGAAGACGATCAAACTTATGCTATGCCGGAATATGGTTATATAGCAGTAGTAGTAGCAGCAGCAAGCATGGGAAGAATGGATGGGATGACCCGTTCGTAGCACGTAATACAACCCCGAGGTCCGTTTGGACTGGATCTGAACCTGGTCGTGGATTGGTTTGGTTTGGGTCTGCTGGTAGGTCTTGGTAGTGAGATCCGTCAGCGTTGGAAGCGAATGGTCAGGTCGGAGCCCGAAGGCGTAGGAATCACAACAACAATGGCCCGCCCTCAGCTCAGTTACGAGAAGCAAGTCGCCCAAACAAACCCGTGTCCGTCGCAATCGCAACCACCGACAATTATTAGACTTTTTGAAAAAATGCCATGACTAATCATAGGCTCTGGTCAAAACATTTGCCTAGCGCGTTGAGAAGGTTGACGGGGTCTTAGAAAACAGCGAGTACTGCGACAATGATGAGATCATAGACTTTTGAGTAGCGACGTTTCAATACTAGAGGCTGGGATCTATGTAAGTCTGGTATTATTATTAGTGCCGTTGTGACAAGGTGCATTCGGTACGTACAGAGGCGGGTACCCGCTGAAAATAAAAATAAAAATAAGACTGCCCGATCAGGCATTTAGCTTTGTATTCACCTTACCCATATATACTCACGCAACCATTGATACAATGCCATCATATCCCATGCGCAAATTGACATGGGATTCTCAAATAGGCACAAGACATTGTAATAGCTGTTAAACGTACGTGCATTGCTAGGAATGTAGTAGAATAATGATTAGATATTGTCGCCAGAAGATTTATTTGATCACCAAACGAGAAACACGCTGCTAAACAAATAATGTATTGAGCCAAATTCATATGTTCAATACCATTCGGACTCAGAGGAAGTAACGTTGTGAAATCTCAGACGGTGATCGGACTCTTAACCGGCGAGACTGCGCCCAAACATCCGCTTCATGTAGATGGTTATTCATAAAAACGCTTGTACTGTAAACTAAGCAACGCTTGATTGTAACAATAGTGTACAATGGTAATCTTGACGATTACCTACAATCATCAGGATCCTTATCCTTTCGGATCGATACCACGAGCGGTGCCTCCACTTCCGCACTCTTGGAAATTCTCAGATCAAAACGGCGGTCTAGTTGTAGTCCCTATTGGCCAAGAAAAATAGAGCTTAATTGTTAAACCGGTCGGACTCGCGGGTGCATTGACCTTAGATACTTCACCACGAGGTGGCTGACGACCTGAAGAGTTCGAGAGCTGATTATTGGCAGCGCCATGAGACTCTTGATGCCCTTCGCTGAATCCTTGACCTGCCTAGGATCCGGGTTGCTGAGCTGGTGGGACTGCCCATTGGTTGGTCATGGGACCGTACCCATATGCTTGAAATTGACCACGGCCGTTACCTCTGTAGGCACCTCTCGAACTCGCATAGCCGCGGCCACGATAGCCTCCTCGATACCCACGACGTCCGCCACGAGCATCGCCGCGGCTGCCTCGGTAATCACCGCGAGGGCGTTGGGGAAGATCGTAATGCTGATATTGATTCTGGTCGTTGGCGGTACCGTTCGAACCATTCTCAGAATCGGCGTGGTCAGCAGCTTGCGCCTGTGCCATGTTGGCATTACTGCGAATCCGACCATCCTTGCGCCTTCGATCAAATGGGCGCTTCGAATGCTTATTAGGCTTCCCGTCAACAGAGAAATCAATCTTCTTCAATGGACTTTCGGCCATTTCCAGTCCCTTGAGACCACATTGATCCCATTCCTCTTTTGGTGTTGTGCAGGCCTGGAACACATTCTCCAATCTATCAAGCTCCCGAAGTTCGGGAACCCACATCTTGACATATTCACCTTCCTTGTCGTAGTCAAAAGCTTGTTTGACTGGGTTGAAAATTCGAGCTTCACCTCGAGGGTCATTGCCGACGCCAGAGACGTATTGCCAGTTGGACCAGTTGGACGACACATCATAGTCGACCAACAACATCTCATACCACTCGGCCCCATATCGCCAGTCGATCCCCAGGTGCTTTGAAAGGAAGCTGGCCACATTCTGACGAGCACGGTTAGAGGTATATCCAGTGTGGATGAGCTCCCGCTGCGAAGCATCGATGAGGCCCATGCCAGTTGTACCGGCCCAGAGACGCTTCAACATGGTTGCAACCTCGTCGGACGATGGCTGGGCCTCTGTGGCATCCTCTGGCTTGGGCGACTTCCACTTCAGATTTTGGTCATCGCGGAAGCCAGAGCGACGGAACAGTCTAAAGGAGAATTTCCGTGTGCAAAGACGCATGTAGTCACGCCACAGCAGCTCGAAACGAACACTCTTGGAACCATCATTCTCTCCTTCTCCGTAGCCTTGAGCGCTGGCGTATGTGTCGTCATTGCCTTCCTCGTATCGCACAAGCGCAGCATGGACCTGCCGTGCCGTGAGACATCCTAGAGCAAGGTATGCGGAAAGTTTTGTGCTGAAGTCGGCACCTACAAGCCCGTTCCGTGAGCTTTTATAGTTGTAGACTGTGCCATTTTTGATGATATCCTCGAGTCTTGCTAGCGCTTTCGTCTCGCCGCCTCGGAAAGGGTGTGCTGAAATTGCACCTTCGGGGAATGGCGGAGCATTTGGAATTATCTCTTTGATCGGATCGAGGATGCGTTTCTCCAGTTCATCGTAGGTTGAAGGAATAGAAAACGGGGCGGCTTGGGGAGGAACATCTTCAGTAGGCAGCAGCTGTGGTAGACTGGACTTTGCTGGCTTTGGCAACGTTGATCTTGGTATATCCCTGAGTGGCTCCATCATCTTGCGGTACGTTGTGAAGACGTCTGGTAAGTCCTGGGCACTTTCCAGCTTCACATCCCGACTGTACTCATTAATATCATGATCGTTTTGATTCCTCACAGAGGTCATAACTTACTCGTCAATGAAATACTTCTCGTCAGCCCACAACTTGAAGTCAATCCCGCTGTCAGCACAGATTGAAGACAGAGTCTTCTCATCCCGCTTCTCCTCAACTCCTTCATCCGAGGTGACCCACACAGCTCCAACTTTGTGACTCTTTTCTTCCAAACCTTTCTTCAGTTCCCGAAGAATGTCGCCAAACTGGCCAGCACGAATAAAAAGTCCGCTACCTAATGCCTCAAGAGAATTCTTCATGTCCCAAACAGCCGACGTGGTGATCTTGGCGCGATGTGGTCCGCACCTCCAGAACCGTGCAAGATCACTTTTGGCCTCGGGATAAGGGGATTTGGACCCGTCTGTGATGAAGCCGGATACCTCAATCTGATGTGAGGCAAAAACATAGACCGGCAATAAATGTGTGAAGCCATGATCAGGTGTTGAAGAGAGATAATGCAGGAGTGGATTATCCGAGACTCGCAGGTCTCTACGGATAAAGTAGATGAGAATGTTGCTTTTTGACATGGCGAAGAGTCAATGTGACGTCAGATCAACAATAGAAAGGGTCCCGGAATTTCCGCTGGTTGAAGGATGGACGGTAAGTTCAGAGTGTTGTATGCTTTTTCTCAATATATATCTCAGTGCCAGTATCTAGGTATATGCCCTAGGCGGTCGACTTGGATGGATATAGTCCACTCAGCGCACAAGGCAACTTCGGGAGATTTCTTTTTCTTTTCCACTTTCTTCTTCTCGCACGTTGTGTATAAAGGGACAGGTGTGCTCTTGTTGTCTCCGTATAATATGTTATAATCGAGAAAATGCTGATGGTGATGGTTTATGGCCGTGAAGTTATTGTGCATACATCGGAAGGATTACCGTGGATGTGTATGTTTCGGAGACCAGGGACTCGGGCCAGTCTATGATGGTTCATGGGGTAATAGAGGTAAGTAGGATGTAGAATATTCCTCGCAGCAGGAACGATGTCAATGATGTCCCGCTAGCTTCTACTAGAGTCTGGGTAGTTTGAAGGTAGAGTTTGTCTGGTGCCGGCAGGAGCTGCGCATATAAGCATGGCCTTAAGGCAAGGGTCAAGAGTAGGAGTAGTAGGGAAAGGCGAATTAATAAGATGATTAGCCATGATGAAGTAGCAGTAGAAGCAGTAGGGACAGTTTGATTGACCGAATTGAGAGGGGGCTTGGGGATGGAAGGCGAAAATTTGGACAATATCAAAAGCCCTTGTAGCAAAAGTAAGTAGTGTGGTCGATGTTTGAGTCGATGGGGGATTCTCGCGATCGGTGTGGATTGCGATGCTAGGGGCCACAAATCAGGCACGCTCTCAGGGAAGGGGCGCACATCTGGAACAGGGCCGACATGGGAATTCGAACCTTGGGGGAGGGTCTCATCGGTTGCTGCTGCTGCTGCTGCTTCTTGTTCTATTAAAACTGCTTTTCCACTAGTAATATCAAGTTACTGCATGGGAAATCTTGGAAAAATGAAAAATAAAAATGCTCGCAAAGCTTTTCTCGATAGAACTTAGCCATCGAGCCATTCTACAAAGACTTGTCTTGATTTTTTCTGCCCTATTACTTGCTGGCATTGTTGGCCATGGCTTCCGTCACTTACACGTACACTAGGTAGGTACTATGGTAGTACATGTCAGCATATCAAACCAGGTATCTAAGTAGGTGTTCAAATAATAATCAAATATGTATGTAGCCTGGCCAGCTGAGTTCTCTACATTACCTACATGCCTACATAGTATATATGCAGGCAGGTAGGTGGTGCTTGCCATGGAGCTGATCAAAGGTACTCTTGAGTTCTATGTAATGTTGCACACGGAACCAGGTACCTGGGTTTCTGGTCTGTTTTTGAGTTGCGGTTGAAGATTACATATGTAGCCTAACTACCTAGTACCTACCTAGTACTTGACACGCTTCGAGGCTCCAGATGTTTGTGTCGCCCGTCTTCAGACGGCGAATCGGCCAGCTCTAGATCACCCAAAAAAAAAAACTACATTACATTTGCATATGTATGTAATGCCCTTCCACGGCCCTTCCGTGACTCGCAGCTGAGATGCGGCCTGAGATTCCGCCAGCGCATCATACATACGTACCTTTTTTATTCATTCCAATACTCGGAATATTTACTAATCTGCTGGTGTGACTATCCAATTCATCTCGTGTTGCTTGTTCGTTCTGTTCGTTCTCGACCCTGTACATAGACTGACTACCTTGTAACTACAGCTGCTACACACCTTGCCACCTACCTTAAGCTCCCCGCGCCCACCAGCGTGCCCTGGCAGAACCCTCCAATGCGACCTGCGGTTTTCCGTTACATTGCCATGCCCAGTAAACGCACACAGGCACGCACGCAAACCACCAGACGCTCGTTAAACAGAAACGACAGACATATCCCCCATGGGTCCGATGCGTGTTCAGCCGTCATGCACTTGTGTGCACATTACAGCACATGCAAGCTCTACGTTTATTTCGACGCCAGTATCTCGTGTGAGCAGTCTCAGCGCGAACACCTGCCATGAAATGCGCCAACGGCTCCCACCGGGATGCTCAGCAGCCAAGCAAATTTCCTCTGGATCACGGATGGGCACAAGAATTCGCGATCCACGATCACAGGTCGCGTCGAAAGATCGCAGCGGTTGGATCTGATCATTGGCGTCGACTAACAGGGGGGGCCGTTGGAGCGCCCCCAGATCGCCAAAGCTACCTAACTTTGCCTACCGACCTACCTAGCAGTGTACACTATCGTTTATCTCGAGTATCCAGCCGTCAATTTGAAGAGATCGGGGAGACCGTTAAGATGGGAACTGCATAATGTGTAGCTTGGAGCTGGAGCTGGAATCTGGTGGTTTATACGGCGTTTTGTACCAAAGTAGCTCCAGGTATTTTTTGCTAAGATGGTTAGTATATTACCCGAAGAAAAGCCGATTTTAACCGACGTTTAGATAAAAATGCACGCTAAAACTACGAATTTGGGGCCAAATTAAGGGTATTCCTAATTTTAACCGTTACGTACGAAAGGCTTACGCTTAAATATTATATTATACGTATTAAAAAGTATTCGTTAATTAATTAAGAATGCTTAGCAATTTAAAATTTTCGGATCCGATAAAAATCCGTAGCGCGGTCGGTGGTGGAAATAAAATCGAATTTAGGGCCTAATTTCACGGATTTCGACGATTTTTAATATTTATTAGCAACCACGCATCTAAATAAAATGCATCCACGTATTTAAAAATCTTCGCGATCGTACGGTTTTAGTGCTATTTTCGGATTTTTAATACGATAAAAATTAACGAAATCGTAAGTAAGTTTATATCGATTCCAAATCCGAATCGATGTTACGAACATGCACCCTTGCAGGACAATACCAACATATTGGGAAGAAAGGACAAGAAAGGACGGCAAGAGGCGCAGCAAGGCCAATACAGAGACCACGACCCCCGCAGCAAGTGTGTCATTACTTCCCTATAGCTGGCAGCAGCTGTATACACGATTACGATTTTAGCAAGCGATAATCACTCCTTAGCAGAGTGATACTCATTAAGCACTAACGATAATTACTGATAAAATATCGTGATAATTACCTATAAGCTGGGTGATTAAGGACATTAGTGAGGGAATGAATGGATATATATTATAAAAGGATTTCCTATATAAATAGTCATTACTTTAGTGATTAATTTAAGCATTTATCTTATTTATAAGTGAAGCATTTAATACGCTTTAACGATTACACTTATGAATTAATTTAATTTAGTCTTATATATTCTCTGCTTAGTATACACTTGGCTAGCACTCCCTATTAGCATAAACCCTAACACCCTTATATTTAAGGTTTATTTAGAAACCCGTAATATAATCGTTATAATCGAATTTAATTTAGTATGAAATCTACCTACGAAAGCGTTAATTTTTATCGTATTAAAAATCCGAAAGCAGCCCTAAAACCGTACGATCGCGAAGATCTTTAAATACGTGGATGCATTTTATCTAAATACGTGGTTGCTAATGAATGTTGAAAATCGTCGAAATCCGTGAAATTAGGGTGCTTTTGCGCGTGCATTTTTATCTAAACCTTAGGTGCTCTAGTTCGTTCTGGTGATTTAATTGGTTAAAATTGGTATGGTCAATGCGTTTTTTTGTGGAGTTCAAAAATATAATAAGGAACTGTTAACAATCCAACTAGAGCACGAAACTAAGGGCTGGAAACTCGAGATAAACTATCGTACCTGATTGAAGCTACTGTACGTCCTGTACCGAGACGAGATGCCCCACCCTGTCGGTGTCATCACTACCTAGGTAGGCAGCCAATGATTCCCGAGTCCTGACAGGCCCCCCCAGAGAGCTCTGAACCCTGAATCCATTTCCCATCAGATCCCCCAGCAATGAGCTTCATCTCATCTGCAATCTGATCTAGGCATGCTGTCATTGGGAACCATCCCCGTGGGCCCGCCTCCCTAGTATACCTCAATGAACTGTATGAAGTGTACGGAATAATACACTAGGTACTGCATACGTGCTCCTTTCCCTGATCCCCTAATCCAATTCGCAAGTGGCAATACGCATTTGTTGCTGCTGGATCTCATCTTTTGAACCCTGCATACTACTTGCTGTCACTTTCGGTCGATCGATCATATTTTTATCATGCCCAACGTGCTGAAGCCTCACCTGCGGTGTGTGCTGGCTTGTATTGCTCGTGAGCAACCAGGGAGAAGTAGTGAAACCCAAGAGGTAAGCAGATTGCTTTTTTTATGTTTCCATATTCAATATCCATCTTTCAGATCCCCATCCCCCCTGGGTGAATTTGGCATCGGGCATGATTTCGATGTTGTCACGGACCCTGTCCGTGTTGACGGCGTGCGACGAGGGGTGGCTTGTATGGATTTCTCGTGGATACTTGCGCTTAAACAGACCTGTCTTGGTATTATTCCCCCTGGGCACGCTGCCAAAACGGAGCGGCCGGGTATGCTGCCGCCCGACCTCGATCGATGCGAAGAACACTGCGCATGCAGCAACAAACTGGGCTGTCAGGGGCCAGACCCCACAAGGCTTGAGAGAATGAATACCTGCATACTTTGTACAAGACATGCCACGGGAGAGGACACACGCATGCGGAAAATACAGCGAGCATGAGTGCGAGGAGTAGTAGGAAACCCGTGCCGTCTTTGCTGCCGCTGCCCCCCCGACCAAGACTCTCAGATCTCGAGATCGAGACCAAAGCTCAGGAACTCGGAACATTTTGTGCCAGTGATCAGTAGCATGCGGGAGCTTGCCGGTATGCTTCCGAGAATAGCCACTATACTCAGCAAGGGATCCCAGCATAGCACATGACATTGCGACCGTTTACGATATATACCTACCGGCTGTCTAAGTGACGGCCCGGTGCTCGACTAGTCATATGTCTCGGCCCCGCCAATGATCTTCTTCGACTTGTTGCGGTGTGTCCTTGCATGGACTTTTTCATGGCGATAACTTTCAACATGTCTAGGGCACGTGTGCTCATCAAGGCAGACTGGAGTCTTGTAAAGGCAGCTGTGCAACGCGCCAATCACTTCTTGTCAGTAGGTGTTATAGTCTCCCATTTAGCATCAGTGCCAACTATCAAGGCCTCGACAACCCATTGGGGTTACACGAACTTTGGAATATCATTGGTCTCTCACATTGCTTTTTCCTTTTCCCATTCACCGACCCGCTTTCTTGTTTAAGACGGATATACTATTCTCAGCATGGTCACTCGCATAGTACCGGATCCGGTTGCGGTGTCTTGCTGAAACAAGAATTTCGATCTTCGAGCTTCAATATTGACCATGAACATCGGGCAACCTGCCCAAGAACCAAGGATGCGTCGCACCCCGGTGGCTTATGTTGTCGTAAAGGGTCATGCTTGCGTTGGTATTCTCTTCGACAATGTACAATACACCATGTGAGATTTGCTTGTTTCGAAGTACGATATTGCCATCGAATCACAACTTATCGATGTGCAGAATCACCTTCAAGGGTACATGAATCGGCTGAAAAAAGCTGAGTTCTCATATTCATTGTTTCAGATTGGCAGTGGGTACCGACTGGGTCGACATTCGAGCCACCATCTATTCTCTGAAAGAAAGTTGAATTCCCCCGACTCCGTGCCCTACAAGCCCTGTCATTCAATATCACGAGCATGCAAAAAGCTTCCGCTTTTGGACATCAGAATAAGGTACTATTGCTTACAGACCATTTCCCCTATATCCGTTGATTCCAAACTATGTTACAATCACGGTATACGGATTCGAGCCTGGTAGTTGCTTTTTCTTGTTCTTCGAACCAATATGGAGTAAGTTATCGAAATTATATACACAATATCTACTGCGAAGCAAAGCCCAGTGGCTCCCAAGTGCAGAGAATTGGTGCGCAGGTGCATATGCACACACACAAACACAACGCCGGGAATTCCGATTGGGAGAGACGACGACCAGCCCCCGTTGAACGGTTGATGAACATTAGTAGTTCTATGAGTAATAGAGAGGGTCTGCCGATCTCTACTTGACCTGGCTTCAGCAGGAATCGTTCACCCCTCCATCTTCCCAATAACCATCTCCGCCACTACGAGCGTCTCGATTACGATCACGGATACGGCGTAACATGGTCCCAATGAGGGAATGAGTTATGGCCTTCTTCTCCAGAAAAAGGAAATTGGGGCCTCGAGTTGCTCGAGACAAGCGTGTGCATGTTATAATCTAGATCGACGGTGACGGAACCGGTTCTCGCTATGAACGCTAATTTGTTCTTGCTTGGCTCGAACCCTATGGGATCAACGGATCAATCACATGGCAGACTCGGCGTCTATTCAACACTACACTAGAAATTCTACAATGTTTGGATATCATCTAGTAGGAAAACTTTGTGATTAAAGACATGTCGCTCCATCTGCTTGACCCTGTTGAATGCGGACGAAGATGTGGAAGAAGATACTGTGCTTCTATGTCTGGGTCTATATGTACAAGTCTCTACAATTCTGGTTCGCACTGCGGTATACCGTTTTACTGAAGAGAAAATTTTCACAGCAATGCCGTAGCTTCTACATCACACGTTTGGATGGTTCGCTTGGTGTTATGGGTCTTGGTGTCTACCATTTTCCGTCTGTACGGCCATGGGGTTGAATGTACTTGGGAACAACAAAGAGTGACTTGGCGTCGACGCAAACCTTGCCTTCCGGGGTCTCAACGGTGCCGTGTACCCAGAGTTTCCTGTCGCTCTTCTTGGTGCCGTCCTTACCAATCACCTCGTCAGCCTCTGAGAGAACCGGTCGCGTTCTGACGACGTAAAAGGCGTTGGTCAAGGTGGGTTTCTTGTAGGTCAGGTCCAGGTTAGCTGTCACACCCATGCGCGCCGGAAAGCGATAGATGGCGCAGCGCCCCATGCTCTCGTCCAGAATGGTGGCGAGAGAGCCGCCATGAACGACACCCGGGAAGCCGGAGAGGGCGCCGCCAAAGTACACGACGCTCACCATTTCGCCCGTAGCCTTGTTGTGAAAGATGCGTTGATACGCCAGGCCGCGGCATCCAGACATGGGACCCGACGTGATGCTCAGGGGTCGTGAGCCCTCCCGCCAGTCCGAGTAGGCGTACCACGATTCCCATGCCGGGTCGGAGGAGAGGGCCTGTACCAATGGCAGCTTCTTGGCCTGGTCGTAGATCGACTCGAGAATGTACCCATCCTCTTTCGTGCCCGGCTCCGGTAGCGGCGGCGGCGAGACAGACAGTCGGAACAGAGAGCCTATGCTTGTGCCGATGAGCATGAATATGGCGGCATAGGCGTAACCACGGCGCCGGCGTTTGGGCTTGGGTTTCGGTGTGGTCTGGTGCTCTTCAGGCTGTGGATCGGATGATATCGTCGTCGTGGACTCGCTTGACGCGGAATGCGCCGCTTCTGCTGGCTGCTGTTTCTCGCGGAGGCTGCATGTGGTCGCAAAGCTTCTACTGCTATTCGCGACCAGTCGCTGTTGCGCAAACAGGTGCGCGGCAGCAGCTTTGAGATTATTGTTGGCGCAGCATCGCGACCCCCCGGCCGGTAATAGCTTTTGCGAAATGGGCTGCGCAACAACAGACCTCGCAAGGTACTGGGCACGAAACATTGCGCCCGTCCCTTGGCTATCTTGGAACGGTGGAAAAGAAAAAGAGAGTGTGTGTTCCGTACGCTGGAGAGGGGGCGGGTCGGAGTGACCGGTCGCAAAGAAGAGAATTCGGCAGTGACAGAAGTGGACGAATGGATGGATGGCGTTGATGATCCCGTGGTTGAGACATTCTTTTGCTCTGCCGTTGGACGCCTGCCCAAAAAGCTTATTGCTTTAACCCGCGGCTAGCAGCAGGTGCCATTCCAACGTAGGTAGGTACATTACGTAGCTGCTGCAATGCTTTATTACTCGGTGGAACGTGTAGCGTGCAATTTTGCATATATTGGCATCACCTCAATATCTGTCAAACCTACATATGAGTAACGCCGTACATGGCTTCAGCTACCTGCTACATACATATATTTGTACATACATGCTGCATCTTGACAAGACATGCGTTTTTTTGGGCAATCGTAACCTATTGGCCAATAGTTTGCAATGGTTGTTGCACCGCAGCTGGCTGGCTCCAGCCTCCATCTCTTATTTCCCCTGTTTGTTGGCGCCATTTCCGTGGCGCAGTCAAGAATGGAAGATCCCGACGCTTGAGCTATTGGTCGACCCTCCACGGCGCACGATCTAGTCAGGTCGATGGGGGTCGCAAGACGGAAAAATAAGAGAGAGGGAGGGAAATGTTAAGGCCTTACTACCGGATGCCTCCATGTACTCCAAAGGCAGCGCTGTAATATTGACCCCGCTGATGGTGCACTATCTTGCGGTGCAGATGGGGATGCATCCATTCTCCGCTGGCTTGACTTTCATTCATGTGCCTCTCTCTTAGCGAGGGCCACTCCCCCCTCGTGTCTGGTGGGGTTCTCATAGCAGCCAGCCAGGAAAACTTGGGAGGGATCCAACGTCCCCGACCCGACCGACCATTCAGGGTCTTTTGCAGAGCTCTACCGGCTAGTAGAAACTGGTGGGCGCCTTTTTAGGAGGACGAGGGCCCCCCCAAAAGCCGACACAGAAAGCAGCTGTTATCCCCCAGGACAATGAGGCTGAACCTGGTTTGATTCCTTGATCAACAGGCTTTCTTCTCCCTGCCGACGTCTTGTCATCACCAAACACGTCGAATATGCCAGTGGTCATCGCCAATTGCCCATATATAACAGTCGACGTCATCAGCTAACAGCGACTGCAAGAGACAGCTTTCACGGGCGGCTCCAGCTGACCCATTCTGCTGGCCTGCAAGTCTCTTGCTGAGCGTCTTACCACCAGTTCTCTGCTCCGTACCTACCGTACATTACCTACTACTACCAGACCATCATCCACCCGCGCGCGCACCACTCTCATCTTAAACCAGAGATTACCTCGCGCGCAACGTCGTCGAGCAACCCAAGCGTCGGCTGCCAAGCTCGCCACTCAATTGCGCTCAGAGGCAGAGCCGCGCATATCTCTTATTTTTATCATCTCTTTTCTTCCAACTTTCTGCCTGGTTTCTGGCAGCTCGACCAGGAGCCAGGAAGCAAGCATTTCGGCTCACTGGTCTGGGGGGGCGACAAACTCCAAAACGCTCCTGCACCAAGGAAAGTTGGCGGACTCGGATCCCCAAGCAATTATGGACCCACATCTTACAACCCGAGCTGCCATCGCGCCGCGCTCCAACATGAGCGGCGGTGCCATTGCCGGTGCTGTCATCGGTTCCATCTTTGGACTTTCTATACTCGCTCTTGTTCTTGGCTTTCTATACTTCCGTTGGAAGCGAGGTTCCCGTCCCGTCGCCGAACTCGATGAAGATGACAAGCCGTCAGATACTGAGCGAAGGCTCTCCCTTTCGGGCTCTGGGCCACCCGGGTCGTCGCACTACAATGGGCAAGCAGATCCATGGGCTTCAAGTATAGATGGCCACCAGCACACGGCATCTACCAATGACATTCCATATACAGATATTGCTTATCACTATTCGGATGGGCAGCAATTCGTGCAAGAACCCGATTCCATCTCAAATCCTGGCGATGGTCAAATCATTGAACAGTCTGATTTTGTTCCTCATAGTGCAACACATGATGGAGGCGCTGCCGACTACTACGACACATCTGTTCCCATGGACTCTGAGCCTGAACAAGAACCCTCGGCTCCCAGCAGGCAGATGACAGAACTCTATGAGGAACAGATTCGGAAATCACGGGAGAATAGGAAGAACAGCAAGGGCTCAACATGGAGTCGATTTACCCAGGGACTCATGTCAAAGAGAAAACGATCAACCCGCGTATCGGAACTCGCCATGGAGGAAGGCAATGTTCCCACTTCATCCCCAACCACATCTAATCCAGACGTTGCCATTGACTCCATAGAAAGGCCCAAGGCAACGTCTGCGTCCCAGGATCGCAGTATTGTCCAGGATGGCGATATCTTTGACGAGCCGCAAGAGATGAGTGACTCGAGTCGTCCGGACAAGCATACCAACAAGAAGACAAAACGGCGCGGACCCTCTGGAGACGACCCCGGTCTTGTACCACACAGGCTGGACTCTCTTCCGTCTTCAGCACTGCGCCAAAAACCATTCCCTGCCGACAAGGTGCCCATCCGCCAGCCAACAAGATTTCAAAGTCCCGACCTTCCAGAGCCAATGGAGGATGACACTGATCTCGTCACAACTGATAGATCTTCGGCTGTGCGTAATTCTCACTCTCCAGTACTAGACGGTCAAGGCTTTAGCGCAGTCAATCCAATGGATATCATGAGGCCATCCAATGCGGCAGAAAAGGCAGTCTTTACCAATGCAGAATTGATCCGTATAGCATCTGTATCAGCATCGCCGCCAGCATCACCCCCATACAATGCCGCCTCACCGCCCATCACAGACGTTGAGCACAGTATGACCAACCCATCTCACGAAGATGCGGATCATGCTGACGAGTCGGAATATGATGAGTCGGAAGAGGAGGAAGACGAAGACGAGGTGATGGATGAAGCGCCGCAATCCTTGGAGGCACCACAAATCACAATCGAGGACGTCTTCATTACCGATGGTCCATCTGACTGGTCCACACCCGGGGGAACAACCTTGACAAATGCATCTAGTGGGCGAACTCCAGGCACCGATATCACTTCATCTCCCTCTCCCGCTCCATCAATTGGCATTCTACACCCAGATAGCAGTGCTTCTCCGCCCGAGTCGGCTACATCGCCCAAACTCGTTCTCACTTGCGAGCAGTGTGACCGTACATTCGACCAGATACACAAGCTGAATCACCACAAGAGGTATCACGATCGCCGACATTGCTGTCCTTACCCCGGCTGTGATAAGAAATTCGGCACCAAAACACATCTGGATCGGCACGTCAATGATAAGCACGAAAAGACAAAGGGTTATCACTGCACAGAGTCTGGGTGCCAGTACTATATTGGCGGTAAACTATTCCCTCGCAAGGATAACTGGAAGCGACACATGGTCAACAAGCACGGCATCAATCCCACGATAGATCCCCCACTTGTTGGATGAGGCCAAAACCAGTACACATACCACCTTACTATGCACAAAGACGCGTTTAATCCTTTTCCATCATTGAAGACTGACATACATTATCATGTCCGAGCGATGATGTTGAATTGATTCGAAGCGACATTTCGTTTCATGTATATATCTCAGCAGCATACGATGCTAGTACAAGCATCGACGGCGTTTGTATATGAATTAGCGCATACGGCTTCCTGGTTGATGGAGTTGCATTCGTTTATATTGGAATGGAGTCGAAGGGAACACAAAGCCTGGTAAGGCTGTTTAGGGCCGCGGCTGATCTGAAGACTGTCAATCGCTACATCTTCAACGAAGATTGATGGCTCGTGTGGCGGCGACAAATTGTCTCGACCCGTCACTGAGTCGCATAGAATTTTGGAATACAAACTTGTGACCCCGACCCAGCACTCATCTTTTGCACGTCATGGATGCAAAATAGATGCTGTCGAGCAGCAATCCTTGAAAGCATTATTGGACGTTGACTCAAATAAGAAGTCGGCTTCATTTTCAGTCATGCCGTAGACAGCCTACCACGGGCCTTGTCTACCATACCTAATGTGATCCAACGGCTCATCACAAGCAATCTCATGGCCCACGGTCTGCAATAGGTATTATATGGAGCCCTTCAAACAAGCTTCAAAAGAAAGTACTGTAGATCCTCCTCAGTTTGGAGTGTGGGGAAGAACGGGGTGGATTACTCGAGACGCCAAGTCAGCCAATAGCGTGAGTCAGCCAATAGCGTGACGCCCGCGGTTGGAGCATCTGTATCAGAATACCGAACCCTCAAACAAGCCCGGTTTGGGAATATACCACACGACGACCCGCCTATACCAGGCGGACCAGCCATTCAAGGCGTCTGCTCGCACAATAAGAGGATCCAATCGTCCCACCCCCAGAAACTTGAAGACTCGTCCCGACATCTTGGCATCTTGGCATCTTGGCGTTTTGAGCTCTGCTCTCTTTCCAAAGCCCAACTTTATCGAGTGCACATGGCAAAGATGGAGAGAAGGAGAGAGCATTGAGGCTTTGTACAAGGGCTCGTGTCGCAAATGGCTGGCTACGACGTCGTCTTGTAGAGCGCCTGGGGCTGCGCGGTCGCTCATGACCCTTCTAGAAGGTCCAGTCTGGTTTGTTTTGGCATTCCCGTGATCGACAGAGGGGGGAGAAAGCGAAGAGGTTTTGTTCTGTCTCTCTGTCGTGTTTCCCCTTCTTCTTTTCTATATACCTGGGCCACTTCGCCATTCTGTGCTTTTGAGTTGCGCTTGAGTCTGTCTGGGAGGTGATGTGATCTGGAGATTTACCTCAAAAGTCTGATCTATTTCTGTCCTATTCTCTTCTCTCCGCGACTGGTTCGTTTATTATAAATTTCGTATTTTATATTGCTATACATTTAACCTCATAATCCAGAATGTTGACCGTTCGATCTCTCCTGGCCCTCGGCCTGCTCACTGCCGTCGAGGCGTTTCCGGGTCCTCACTTGAACCCCCGGGCAAGGACAAAGGCCACTGGAGGAGGCAGGCAGAAGGCGCAGACGGCCTTTCAACAGGCGCAGCAGATTCCACAGGGCATCTCGACAGCGACTGATGGATCGACCATTCTCGACATGACCGCAGAGGTGAAGTAAGTTTTTCAGTCTTGCTCCTCGAACTTATCCATCACCCGGACCGTACTGGTCAAGGGTGCGAAGAAAAACCGATATGCTAATCAGTATCAACAGCGGCCTCCCTCTCCGATTCAAGATCTCCGGTCCCGCCGACCAATTCACAACAGACTCGGGCGTCGACGGCGCGACACAGGACGCCAACGCGACGACGGGCACCCTGGGCCTGAACGTGCTCCTGCACGGCGACGGCGGGCAATCCTTTTTCGACTTTCCCAACCAGGCCGTGCAGGCCAACCTGGCGGGCGTGGCGGTCCTGGCTCCCGACCCCAACCTCTTCTGGGGCGGAGGCTCGGGCCTCGACCGCACCGACGGCGTCGCCCACGCCCAGGCCGTCAATGATCTCGTGCAGACAGTCCTGCCCCAGGTCATGGCCTTTAACGCCTCGCAGGTCTCCTTCACGGGCGTCTCGGGCGGCTCCCTCCTGCTCTCGGGCTTCTTCGTCCCCGCCCACATGACCAATTTCCAGGGCAACGGCGTGCTCCTCAACTGCGGCGGCCTGGCGCCCCAGGTGGATTTTGTCGATGCCGATGCCGTGGCCGCCTCGACGCGGATCCATTTCCAGAGCACGCAGCAGGAGCTTGCCGAGCTGCAGCAGAGCATCCCTCAAAGTGTCGCCGCCTATGAGCAGGTCGCGTCCGATGCTGGGTTGAGCGCCGACCAGATTGGTACCCTTCAGACTGTCGACAACTCTCCCAATGGCGGGCACTGCGAGTTTGACGAAAAGGACTTTGTCAGTGGTGTTCAGCTCATGGCTGATAGCTTTTCAGATGTTATGCAGGGTGGCACCGGACAGGTGAATGGTGTTAATGTGCTCAACCCTGTTGTTGGAAACGAGAATCTTCAATTTAGCGGCTAGTCGATGAGAGTTGGGTGATGAGGCATTGAAATTGACTTGAAGACATACCAAGCAATGTCGATCCATCTCTCAAGGCCCGCCAATTCGAATAGTTCTTCAACTGGAAGCAATTATTGCTCTGCTACGAGTTGGAGATTCATCTCGAGGCTTTAATAAGGGTGATACAAGATAAAAACATTTATATTCAACCAATCTACATCTAATCATGATACAACCTCGGCCCCTATAAAACGCCCGACTTTATGTCTAAATAAATTTGCTGTCCTTGACAGTATACAAGTCAACGTACTCATCAACGGGGAAAGACTCCAACTTCTTGCCATCCAAGCCAAGCTCAACCAACTGCTTGACCTTGGACTCGGAGAAGTGGTGGCCAAGGTGCCTCTTGTACTTGTCCAGAATGTGGGGCTTGGCCTCTTCTCTGCGTAGACGGTGGCCAAGAGGAGCCTCAACAACAACCTCATCCAGGACGGTGCCGTCATTCAGCTCAACGGTCAAGGCGTTGGAGATGGTTCGGAGGGCAGGGTCATGGTAGTCCTTGGTAAATTGTGGGTCCTCGACACACTTGATCTTCTTGCGGAGAGATTCGACCAGTTCAGAGGTAGCAGCCTCACCTCCGTCGGTGTAGTCAGTAGCCTCAAGACGGCCGAAGACAAGCATGACGGAAGCCATGTATTGAATACAGTGGTCACGGTCGGCAAAGTTGTCCATGGGCTTGAACTGCTTGTCAATGATGCGAATGCAAGCCTCGTGTGTGCGGCAAGTAACAGCCTTGATGTCAGCGGCCGACTTGCCCTGCTCCTTGAGGATGGCGTGAATCTTCTGCGAAGCCTCTACAGCCGTCTGCGAGTGGAACTCGGCCGGGTACGAGACCTTGAAGAGCACGTTCTCCATGACGTAGCTGCCGTACGGTCTTTGGAACTCGAACTTGTTGCCCTTGAACAAGACATCGTAGAAACCCCAGACGGGTGCCGAGAGAACCGTGGGAATGCCAGGCTCGCCCTTAAGCACCTTGAGGGCCAGGTTGACAGCACGTTGGCAGGCATCACCGGCGGCCCACGACTTTCGCGACATGGTGTTTGGCGAGTGGCGGTAGGTTCGCAAGCTCTGGCCGTCAACCCAAGCTTGAGTGACGGCGTCGGCAGTCTGCTTCTCGTTCAAACCTAGCATCTTGGAGACAACAGCAGTACTGGCAACCTTGACGAGCACAACGTGGTCAAGACCGACCTTGTTGTACGAGTTGAGCAGAGCCAAGCATCCCTGGATCTCATGTGCCTTGACCATGGCCTCTAGGACATCACGGATGGTGAACTGCTTGCCACCAGCAATGTTTCCACCGGCCTTGTTTGTTCTGGTGATCCAATCGGCGACAGCCAGAATGGCACCGAGGTTGTCGGAAGGGTGACCCCATTCAGCAGCCAGCCAGCAGTCGTTGTAGTCCAGCCATCGGATCATTGCACCAATGTTGAAAGCGGCATTGACCGGGTCCAGCTGGAAGTTGGTACCTGGGACCTTGGGCCCATTGGGGACGACGGTGCCCGGGACGATGGGGCCGAGAAGTTTTGTGCATTCCTTGAAGCGCAGGCCTTCAAGACCGCAGCCCAATGTGTCGAGGAAGACCCATCGTGCGGTGTCAAACTGTGGTGGACAAAAAGATGACGACGGTTAGCCGCGGCTGTTGCTATACTAGTATGTGGGACGCGGGGTAAACCTGGAGTAGTAGGTAGGTAGGTAGGTAGGTAGGTAGGTAGGTAGAGGGAGAACCGGGCAGAGCAAAAACACGCCGGTTACAATCCAGCACAGTTATCATGAGCGATTGGGCATACTCACAGCCAATTCCGAGTCAATTGGAGTATTGTGGACATAGCTGGCAATGTCCTTGATCTCGGGATCGTACTCGCGTCCTTCGGTAGGCATGGCGGGCGCTGCGCTGTGGCGGGAAGCTGTGGTGGAGAAGCAGCTGGCTCGTGAAACTGTAGACGACAGGACAGAAGCAGCAGAGCGAGGGGCGGCGCCGAGCTTGACTGAGGAGAGAGCTAGAGGAGCCGTTCGCTGAAGCTTGGAAGTGGGCTGAAGGCGTAGCGATCTGGAGGCAGTTCGAAGGCTGCGATTGACAGCAGACATCTTGTGAGCTTCGGGGAGCAAGCAGCAGGAAGCAATCTGACAGGACGGAGAGAAAGAAAGAAAAAAGGTCAAGTGGGATGTTCGGGTTTCGGGGAAGGAGAAATAAACAAAAAAAAAAGTAATCAGAGCCAATAGCTTCTGAAATCAGGTCACGGTTACCAGCGACTTATTACCTGTTTGCCGCAGCACATTGGAGCTCTTCCCCAGCATAAAACCCGCTGACACTTGTCACTCGGCTACAGTGGGTTTAGCATGGCTTTAAGACAGGTACTGGGCCATTGGAGCCATCCCCAGAGGGGCTATCGGGCTGCTGATTACCCCAAACAAACCTTCCCCAGTCTTTTTGAGCCTCGGGATCCGCCAATTCTTTTCCTGGGGGAGGACGCCAAGCCTCAATTCAAGCACTAAGACAGAACCCCTCCCCCCAAAAGACCCCTGCTCTTCAACACTATCCTCGGCTCATTGAAGCCAACAACCAAACAATGGAATCCAATCTGACCGACTATTGGAAGTTCACCTGGGCGGACGAATGGGATGGGAGGCGGGTTGTGACGAAAGAACCATATAGTATAGTTTTCGGCTATATGACTTTGATTGATATACTGTTACGCACTGTCTTTGCCGTTGGCTCAGTATACTTGTGAGCTTTATTTTCATCAGACTGTGTTCAAATGGTATTGGCCTGGAGATTCTTCTTCCAGGTCCACAAAGTAAAGTGCGCACAAACTGGAACAAAAGCCCTTCCCGTACAGCCGACAGCTTCTATGATGATGTACTCAGATAGCCACAGGCATCAGCCCCTTGCGGCGCATTATCAGTCCTTGATACAATTGAAACCCACCCAGAAAGAGAGCCTGGTTTCTCAAACTGGCAAAGAATCTCCCGCCTGGTGACATCGTATTGAAGATATCTGTGATGGAGGTAGGTAGCTGCGCGGTGTCGGAATGGTTGTACAAAATATGCGGCAGGCAGGCGCTATCCTTTGTAAACGGTTGCACAATGTAATATATCGTAACTTCGGGTCTTGAGAAAATGCAGAAAATAAAAATGTATAAAAGTTCTGGCCCTAGAGTCGTTCGTCATGTGAAAGAGGTTTAATTGTGCTTCTGAGTCAGAAATAGACGCCAGGTGATATGACCAGTATCTCAAATTGAAGGTCAAAATTAAAGATGGTCCTCATCTAAGAAATTAATGGGCAAAAACTTGATATTCATCACGACGCTTCCTGTAGCTTCCCATTGTGACACACTCAATAGCCACCCTGTGGCGCAATCAGCAAGCCAGCAAGTGCAGACAAAGACCCGGTGACCAGCTCGGTATCGTTCTCGTCGTGGACCTTTTCTCGAAATTTGCGAGTCGTTCACGGCGTAAGACTCTGGAGTGATTAGCAGCCTCACTAAAAGCTTTCACAACAGCTCGAGCATATGTACCTTTGTGCATGGTCATGGAAGCCGCAACCCGTATCTGTGGTTCTTGGGGACCATCTCCTTTGCCCTTTCAATGGGAGCCCGCGTCTCTTGCTGTAGCGTAATGGTAGCACAGGCAGCGGACGGTGCTGCTCGACCGGCTGCTGAGCTGAATAGATAGGTGCTGGTAAAAGGACATCTCCCACGACCAGGCGCAATAGACTCCCAGCTACTAGCAGATGTGATTTGTATGATATTACTTGCGTTGTGAAATGTGGCACCAATGACCCTAGCTTGGCAAACCGGCCGTTGGGCCAGGAAAATGGTAAGTGATGGAGTGTGCCATGACGCACCAGTAGTCATCGGAGGTGAATGCGGTTGCTACAACGTGTTGCAATTATTGTAAAGGTGTTGAAAGAGCTCAAAATGAAAGCTCTAAAAGTGCATAGAAAGAATGAAAGAAAAGGACAGGGGAAAGCACAAGTAATAGCATATAAAGTTGGTGGTTTTTGGGGTCAGGATATAAATATATAATGAACAACGAAGGCCTGCAAGGGACAATGGAGAGAATTCAGCTCAATTTTACTGTAACCGAAAACACCATGTGCTCGGCAAGAGATATGTCGAGAAGAAGTGAAGAGGGCATTTGACTTACTGCTGAACGTGGATTTTAGTACAAGAGAGTATGAATGCATGCCGCTTTTCACCCCCTGCCCTCACACGGATGTTGAAAGCGACCTAGATGACTGCGAATTTGATGGCCTCATCACTTCCTTGTATCGAGTTGGTGTTGTCCTTGGGATGAAGTAATATTCGAAATGGGATTGCTAATAGGAATATATGATTCAAAAGACTGGGGATGGTGTTTTGGTGAGAAGAGGTCCAAGGCCAACCACTACTATGAAAAATAAATATTGAACCCCAAGGCAAGAGGGGATGCCCTTTCCGCATGATTTTAACGCTTCCCTCTGCCTGCTCATGGATGTCAAACTATCGCTCCTTACTCATGATCGCCCTACGGGGCGGAAGAGAAGCTACTAGGTCGTCACTTTTGCGCGATGTTAATACAAATTGACTTGAGCTGGAAGTCTTGTTTTATATTTGATTTTTTCCCACTGTTTGAAATCTGGCAAGATGTCTACTGTTCTCGGTCATTTGTATATCAACGACTGCTCCGAACACAATCTTCTTGCTTGTGCTGATCTGTCGTAATTCCCAAAACCATAAATGTGATCTGGTTGTGCAGACACCAAGCATGAAATCATGGCATGAGTCACTGCCATGGGTAAAAAGCATTATCTCAGGTGGTTTAGTTCATGTGTTTGACCTGGACTTGTGGATGACATACCCAGATCTAAAGTTATAGAGCGCAATGCACTATAGAGATGACGAGGAAATCGTCTCAAGAACCGACACTGTAATGTAGTGGCTAATAAACTCCCAAAATACCGGAATTCATAACAAAAAGGTATTGTTATTTGCCGAATATACAAATCCTATAAAAAGAAACTCTATAATAATAATAAGGAAATTGATTATATTTGTATTTTTTTTATAGGACTATGGCCAAGACTTGCCATATTACTACACCTATGACCCACATATCACAACGAGGTATAAATCATAACAGAGCATTGAGCAAGGCATATCCGATGGAACATCAACATCTCCTCCAAGAAGACTTGGACCTGACATTCGAGAAGAACATCTCACACCATCTGGGTATGTAGCCTCCGACGAAGGATGAATACATTGACCCATGATGACAGGATCATCCGACAACAGGGGTTGGGTTAAGAGCCCGCTCCTATACAATGGTACCGCAGATCAGAAACTGTTATACTCTTAGTGCAGCACTGATTGCGATCTACCTGGAACGTGCTCTCGCGACTTTCCTCCCCTTAGCGGCGGTGTATGGTTAATCTTGATGTCTCTATTTGCACCACTCCAATACCTCGGTGTAGGGTACATATTTGTAAAGCGAACTTGGCTCCAAGTCTGAGCACCAATAATCATGTGTTTCAAGGCCTTGGTATCACAAGATGTCTTAGATCCCTATACTGGATGGATATCTCTCGTCTTATCTTCTCTCATCTCATCTAAATTAAGACAAGATTAAGATTGTGGATAAGGCCAGAATATAGGGCCTTGAAAAGCTTGGCATACTGACTTCCTTCCCGAAAAGGAAAGAAAGGCGAGCTTCTTGCAGCCGAATATATCAGTTTTATATTTTTATCACAAGCCGCGTGCGTGTCAAGTTTGCCATTTGTCTAGTAATTTCCTACTTTGTAGCTATCAAATGCTCAAAGCTGAAATAACTCTATCTTCAGACGGAGTTGTCATCATAACCCCGACAGCCGAGAAGCAGTAGTACGCCGCTTCCGAAAACGCCCATCTCTGTTACTCCCTTTTTTCCCCGACGTCTATACACAAAAGTACTTGTACATCAAAATATCGTGACGTAATTTGAGCGTTCTTGCTGGTCCAACAGAAATGTCCTATCGGGTATTGGTTACAGCAAGGAACATCCCATACACCACTTCGTATAACTTCGCCTTGTCCAGGTAGCCACCAAAATTTACTCCTGGGGCACAGGGAGCGAAGTGGCAGGGGTGTTTCTCCACCAGCCGAGAGTGATCAGGGTGACAACACCGAGGGCGGCGCAGAGCACGATAACCTTGACCAGGGCGGGCTTGTTGCGGCGAGTCTCGTTGACGTAGAGGCGAGCATCCGTGACCAGGGCGTTCATCTTCTCGGCTCCAAGCTTGTAGTAGGTAAGACCGCCGAGAGCAATACCGTAACCAATGTACTGCTGGCCAGTGACCGGGTCACCGAAGATGACCATGGAGGCAATAACAAGTAGGATATCCTTCAGGACACCGCTCATGGTCAAGACAACGGCAGAAGTCTTACCAATCTATTTTTTTGTTGATTAGAACAACGATGCAGAATTTTGAAACCAGATATACGTACCAAAAGGACAACGGAAACGTTCAGGCAGAAAGCAATGAAGGCGTTGGCAATCAAGGTGATAACGCCGACAGAGTAGATATCGGCCATGGTCAAACGAGAGCCCTCCCAGAAGACGGTGATAACACCGTTGATGACAGCGCAAGCGGGAGCATAGTAGTAGACGGAGACAAGAGGGTCCATCTTGAACTCGGCACCGCTGAGAAGGCGCTGGACCATGACAAGTCTGATAGCCTCGGCAATGACACCAAAGATTTGGACTACAAGGAATGGTCAGATGATGGAGTATTACACAATTACGTGGCGCATGCACACATACCCAAGAAACCAAACATCTCAAACTTGAGCTCTCCAAACGAAGCAATGGCGACACCAATAACGATGACGGAGACGTTCAGAAGCACCTTCATGTTGGGTGCAGCCATGCCGAAAACCCAGGTAGTAACCAGGGTAGCGACGGCGTTGGTGGCCTGTGCCCCGTTAGCAAAGGATTCGTAGCGGTAAAACCCGTACAAGCGATTGAGAAAACGTACCTTGAGCATCTGAATGAAGGAAACACTCAGGTACAGGTAGGCCAGGTTACCAAGGATCAAACTCAAGCTGAACATGATGCCAATAGGCACAATGGCGCGCCTGTTGCGTTGTCAGTGTCCACATTACCCCTGAATTGGCGATGGCTGCAAATGCAGGGGTCAGCTCACATGTAAGTTTGGGTGTCCATGGGGACCTTCTTGCGCGAGTCCAGCACTGTCGAGCAGCGCGCAAGAATCTGGGTCATACCCGTGGCAAAAGCCATGTGCCATGTTGTCAAGAATAGAGCTGCAATTGAAAAATCATGTTAGAATCACGAGAATTAACGATTTTGGTACTCTTTTTTAGGAGGGTAACCCACGGAAATCTAGTCGAAGCGGTTAGTTTCTTCTCTCCTATTTTTTCTTTGTCGTCGCAGTGGACTAATTGACAAGGGGGGGAAAAACATACCGAAATGCGCAGCTGCGAGAACCCATTTGTTGAACAGAATAACACTGGAACTCATGGCAATCCAGAGGCTAAAAATGGAATCATTAGCAATCGCGAACCCCAGAGCATCCAAAACAGTGTCTTGTTGTCTCATACGCAATGAAGAGCGCCGGGTGCACGCCGCTGCTGGCTGGCGCCGGGGCGGCAACACCACCTTGCTCGAGCTTTCGCTCATCCTGAGCGGTTTTGTCCTGGGCAACCGTCGACATGTTGGGAAGTTATGGTCAATGGAGAGAACAATGCCCAAGTTTGTTGCTGCTGCTGCTGCTGCTGACTTTTTGATTGTGTTTGAAAGGAGTGTGAGTCGTCAAGAAGACGAAGAGAAAGGAAAGGAAGGGAGCGAGAAGAAAAGTCTAAAGATCAAAGGGCAAGAGGGAAAAAAAAGTTTCGACGGTTTTTGTCCAGACAGACAGACAGATGTGCCTCTGGAGATTAAAAACTGCAGAGCTGGCAGATTACGACACCAGGGGGTTGAACGCTTATCAGGGGAGTGGACCGCGGGGGGCGCGCGAACTGACTGGCAAGCTGCTCAAGCTGTGGGTGAGCGACTGGGGAGGGGGGTCGGTAAAAAAGGTAAATGTACTACTACTACTCCTTGTACTTGGCTTGGTTATTTTCTATGTTACCTGCAGCTTGTGGGCGAATGCAGTGCTGGTAGTGGCCAGATCAACACTCAGTGAACAGGAGAAAAAGAATGGGGGTGGTACTCGGTTGGTAGGTAACCCAGCAACTTTTTTGTCGCCTCTCCATCCATTGATCAAATCAGAGCAGAGTATCTGATGAATGAATGGCCCGAATAAGGGGCCCCACTCGTTACCATTATAATCAAAGTGATTCCAGCCAAGGAAAAGGCAAGGATTGGCATGTAAAAGGTCGCACTGCCTATCACATCATGGCCTAGGACCGCCCATCACTGGCTATCACTGGAGACGCTAGCTGGCTTGACTAGTCAATTCATGACACTGACTGACCAGTATCGGGAGACGTTTCGTCATTTCACGGAAACGGGAAGGTGATGCATTTGTTACTTTTTCTAGCTCTTGTGCTCTTCTCTTGGGCGGCACTCGGGGCGGACGCCCACTACATACTACAACAGGACCCCCTTTTTGGTCTCTGCGCAATCCCATCGTCCGTTGTTTCGAATGCCCAGAGGGGTTTAGCAGATCGGCAGGTACTTTGACGAGAAGAAAAAAAAAGACTCCATCCGGTACTTGGGTGACCGAACACCACCTACACAGTCGCCTTTCGCCTGTATGTTCCGCGAATTGGATACAACCATGGTATATTAATTGTTTGCCAAGCTTGTGGTATTGTCTTGCTGCTGTGTATTTATACTTCCGTAGATGTGATTGTCCCGGCAGACAGTTGAGACTGCGGGTCTCTCCGCTCGGCTACGATTGATTGATTCTTCCTCCTCTTAACACGTGGGATGGTTGAGGCTCTTTTACGGGTACCAGGGGCCTGGAGATAAAACCCATGACTTGCTATCCATAGCATAGGGGAACCCGGACATAAATCATGCTCGCAGTCCGATCACAATTTTCTCGGTTATAATATAGAGAGGGCAGCATATACGAAACTCTATACATTGCTCTTTCGGTGGATCATTGCATCTCCCCAGCCTCAACAAACACCTTGATGGGACTGTTGTTGTCCTTTTTTTTCCCCTGCTGCTGTGAACAACTTTCCCTTCGCATCTTCCCAGCCTTGTCCGCAACATTTGTTGCTCTGAAAATTTGAACTGGCTTTGTTTGTTGGATGCATGTCTTAACCACTAGAGAAAAGCCCCGGCGTGTTTTTTCGTGTGCCCATTTCGGGGGATAATCATTCACTGATGTCCACTAGCCGCGGGTGGTCGTCCCTGTAAACGGCTACGCTAGAAGAGCCAAGCTTTCTGCACCTAAAATTACACAGCGCCGGATCACCACAGCTCTTTGAGGCTGTGAATCCTGGCAACCTTGACGGGCTTCGAGGGGCAGAAATTCCAGAATCCAGGCCAGAACACAGATCTATGGTAAATGGAACTGCCCGCTCGAGCCTCAAGCATTCTCCCCTCTCCCACCCATCAACCACCCAGAGACCCCACAATCCATTCCACCAATCTACTACAGTAGTTCATCATCCTGGTTAGAGATCGCAAGCCTCAACATCAAACATCAGCGACGCGGCCTTCAATCTCACTTCCCGTACCGCCTTATTCCCAGCCCTGTCCCGTCTTGCCCTCTCTCCCGAGCTTGTCTGGGGGCCCTGTGGGTGCGCCGCGCAGTCCCCTGGTCCCGATTTGACGGTGCACCGTACCCTTACGCGCGACGCGCCACGACGCCCTACTACGTAATTGCTTCGTCTGGCTTCATTCCATACCTACAGCACAGGATCGCCGCGCAGACGCTTTCTTTTACAATGTCGCAATCACCTCCTAACCCGCCGGCGGAGGATGAGCCTCTGTATGGAGGCTTCTCTCGCTTTGAGGTCGAACTCGAGGTATCGGCTGCTCCCATCGTCTATCCCAGACACTGCCTACCTCGCTGATACACTGCATGCTGACCTCAAGCGCTGTAGTTTGTCCAGTCGCTTGCGAATCCGTTTTATTTGAACCATCTCGCATCTCAGAAGCTCCTCTCAGACCCGGCATTCATCGAATATCTCAAATACCTGCAGTACTGGAACCAACCGCCATATCTGCGTTACCTCACATATCCCGGCCCGACGCTCAAGCATCTTGAACTCCTCCAACAAGAACGTTTCCGACAGGAAATCATCAGTCCCGAGCTCGTCCAAGTTCTTGCCTCCGAAGGGCAGAAAGCGAGCATTGACTGGCATAGAGAAGAAAAAGAGTGACTTTTTTTTTAAGAGCACTTTGATATCAAGTTACCGGTTCGATAGCCACGCTGGTTCCTGCTATAGCCCAGGAAACAATGCGTTATACACCTTTTACAGAAGAGCGCTTAATGCGCTGGGCGCTGTATTGGATAGCCAGCTACTGAAGTTCATGCCATGTGATGCACGAGCATTTTGATATGAGAGCATTTCGACCGAAGGAAATCGGGAACAAGAACAGTATCCCGAGGCGGAGAATCGAGAATAGGCGCCCGTTGAAAAATAACCACAATGTATGCAAATACGTGCTGAGGAAGAAAGATGGGAGCAAAGTCTTCCCGAGAGTGGACCCCAAATGAGATGCGGCAAAGTCTCGTATTTGAGCACATGTCTGAGGACTAGAGTACTATACTCTGTCTGCTAGCAAGCAACTGCATCTATCACATCTCTTCCCACCACAGCTTTATTACTCTCAATAACGAAAAAAGAAAAAAAAAACAAGAATCCACATATCATACCCGGGCGCCTCCGCAGAACGCCAAAACGCCATTGCCATGCAAAAACAAAGAAAGAAACTGAGTGATGCTTTGCTTGACAAACCCAAGAAGTCCGTGACAAAGGGTCTAGTTTTCTCTCCATCGTCCACCGCAAGTCATGCACTGTAGAGGGGAAACAACTTATTAGCCCTCCATTTCCTTACAGCCATCATAGACAAACCCGGGCACTCTACTCACCTTGAAGAAACTCGTCATGGGCTCATCAGCACTGCGAATCTGGACCTGGAAGAAGGCAGCCTCGTTGCCATTGCAACCTTCCTTGGGACACTGGACTGGGGTCTTGTCGGCATTGTCCCAGGCGCCTGGTCCACCGAAGACGTCTTCCCGCTCCTTGCGCGTGTACTCGCGACGACTGAACATGGACGTTGTAATGAGATGCTGGTAAGGGCATGTTCGACACTCGAGTCGGTTGCGACCGGTTTCAGGGCTGATGCCGACCGTCAGCGCGTTGGAGCAATGGGGGCAGACTGCGAAAGAAGCTTGTTAGCCGAAACCCGTCCCAGGCGCACCGATAACCAAGGAAGCTACTTGGTGGTCGTCTTACACAGAAGCATGTTGACAGTCGTTAATGTCCTTGGTCTCAAAGTCGCAAGGATTATATGCGATGCTGTTTGTAGAATGCTGGTTCTCAAAGGGTATCTCCAAAAGTAACGAAGCTTTTCGCGATTCAAAAACCGTGACTCTTTATCGATCTCTGCTCATTTCTAAATTTTGGCGGAGCTTTTGCTGCCCACCAGCCAATCAAATCATCTCTCCGGCCGAGACAATGGCCCCCACCTCTACACCTGGGCTCAAAATGCCCCGCCAGGTACCGGGTCTTTGGCCTGGCCGACGTCAGGTTTCCCGATCGCGCCAGACAGACACAGCCCCGCGAAAAGTACCAGCCTAATGTAAGGTGTTTACAGCACCAGGCGCTTGTATCAGTGAATAAGGGGGCCGCTGGGCATTGACTGGCTTGTGACAGGACAATTACTCGTGCGTACCCAAACGCTGTCCATCACCGCCACACTCTTGAACTTCGCGCCCCTCGTAACAACGTCAGCCTTCTTTGAGACCAGAAATACAGACACCAACCCATCCGAGTGACTCGTCCGGTCGAAACGCACAGTCTTTTTCTAACTCAAGGCAGAGCTACAGTCGTTCAAATCTCCTGCACGTAGAGATACAGCAGGGATTGCCCCGCCAAACCCTCCCAATAACTTGGCTCAGCAGCAGCCAGTGCCAGACAAACAAGCCTCGACGATCCGGACATGGCGGACGATCAGGAGCACGAGGTATGCCGAGTGTCTTCTTGGGGGGAAGACTTTGACCATGTCTAATTTCTCTCCCAGGGCGCATCGGTCAAGGAGCAGCTCATCGAGGCCTGCCGGCGCAACAATGTCGAGCTTCTCACCGAGATCATTGAGAACTGCAAGAGCGAGGACGACATCTCCGCCCTGATGAACAATACGACGACTGTCATGGGTAATCACCTATACCACGAGGCAGCACTGCAAGGAAACTGTACGTTGGGGCTCCCCGTACTAGTCCATATCAACACCACCAGGTCCAATACCTATAGATATACCACACGGACATGATGGCTCGGATCTCATGGAGAAAAGATGCTGACCTCAGTCAATAGACGAGATAATAGACCTTTTGCTCGACCAACCAAACTTTGAATGCGATCCTGTCAACCGCGCCGAGGGCGACACGCCGCTCCACTCGGCCATCCGCTGGATCAACTCGGAGCCGCCCGCCCAGCGCGAGTTCGGCAATGCCCTAGTCGAGATGATGCTCGAGGCAGGCTCAAACCCCCGGGTCAAGAACAAGGCCAAGCTCACCGCATACCAGCTCGTGGACCCGACGAACAAGGAACTGCGGGAGCTCATCTCCAAGCACGAGTACGCCAGCCTGAACCAGGGCGATTTTGTGGCGGCCGGCGAGGTCAAGCCCTCGTCCAGCGGCGCCGACATGTTTGCAGACGTACAGGCCGAGGAGAGCGACGATGATGCAGAGTTCAGCGGCAGCGATGATGAGGAACGTGCCGAGTTTGAGCGTAGAAAAGCTGCCAAGAAGGCTCGGTAAACAGGGGGTTTCTGGGTCACTTGATGCTATATTCTTCGACTACACCGCTCAACGGGATATCTGGCCTTTACATCCGGCGGTTGAAATCCTCTCGCGAGCTTGTGGTGTTTGTTGACATCAACGGCATTGGTTGGGCATTATAGAGCTACACGACGGCGCAAGACGAGAAGCCACGCGGTATTCCCATGTACGCGCTGCTGCAAAATGAACCTTGCATCAGCGGGCGTCGTTGAGGGGCGCTTCATCATAGATTTTGGCATACATGCCTGTTTGACTTGGTCTAGTTATTACCATGAGACTTGGACGTCTCCTCGTTGCGAACAATATCTTGATTCTTCACGAGCAACACTAGGGCCTTGCGCGTATGTAAGAATTACAAGCATCTTTGCCCCGAGATACTGCCATTGATATATCTGAAAACTTGCCCAAAATAGATACTCGTAATCGAGCAAAGATGCTTTTGAAAGCATAACGTATCCTTGAAGCTGTAAACGTGCAACATGCAAACAGAATAAGGGGGGATGCTTGAGTATAACTGCGTCCATTGCTTGGCATATTGAGGAAGAATAATCCAAAATTCAAGACCCCTGGTTGAACTCTAGAAAAGATGGTCCACGATATTTTGGTATACTACGGCATACGGCCTCGGGCTTCAAGAAGTGATATTGTTCTTTGACAAAACTTTCCTCGAACAAAGCCCCCATGCCTTACTTTTTGCAATGAAGATACCCCGATCTCTGCGAGCGGCCTTTGTTGCCGTGTTCACGGATTTCAAGTCAGTAACGACAAGCTAATTGTCTCTGTCTGGAAATATACCTCGTAATGGGTGTTAAGAACAGTACCTGCCAGCTTGTTGTATCTCCTGACAAGCATTTATCAATGTCCAGACCAAGTTACGGCTGCTATAATTACTAAAACTAAGATTGATCAAGACAAGGCAAAACGAGAGGCTGGCCAACTGCTGGTCAACTGGTCATTTGCAACGAGTACAACATATCTGATAGGAAAATATCTTTTCAGATGAAACACCTGTGCCGTACACATCAAGTGAACATGGATGAACGAAAGGTCTTGACGTGGCAGGCAGCAAGTCGGTTCTCCATTACTTTTGCTCCTGATACATCTATATGTAGCTTTCAAAGAGAAATAAATATTACAGCATATGTAACAGTGGGAAGAGGTTTTCAATAATCACAGGGCGAGTATGCAGATGGGAGAAACAGGGAGGGTATCGGGCCCAAGAAAGAGATACCCGTGGGCGTCCAACAACAAAGGACAGGAGGGAGGAAAATAGAAAACGAAAAAAAAAAAAAAAAAAAAGAAGGAAACGACCACCAGCTTTGAACTCAAGGCTCAACAAGTGACAAAAAAAGATTTCTTGAGCGTTTGCCAGTCTGGCGCCCACTCCCACTAGCCTAACCTAGCATTCAGTTTATTTGTCAACCTGGTCATGACCCAATCCCTGGACCAGTGATGACTTGGGCGTTTGTTACTCTACTTAAAGCTTCGCTCGGTGACCGAAAATTATCCAACAATGTTTACAGGTTACTAAGAGAGCACAAGTTCCTTGTTCAGAACCCCCTAGGTTAGCTGCAAGCTTTGAGCATTGAGAACCTTGATGAGCGCGGGACAATAACTACTTTTCTTCCTATTCAAAACATGCACACCTCTCTAATCTTGTCAAAGGCATTGAACTGCGATGACCCATTCTTTGGTACCCGACTTCTTTACTTGCAAGGCTATACCCAACGCTCGTAAAATGTAGAATAGCAGATTCATAGCTCAAAAATGCTTTCCCCCTTATCTCAGGACTCTGAGTGGATTTTATCGACTAATCTCTCAAGTGGTAGGAGCTGAAGTCACTTTGATCAAACCGCGATCAGCAGCTTGAATCAGGTACTACGCTTCAAGTCATGTAGAAAATGTATCTTCCATGCTCATGTCCAATCTCAATTAATGGATAGTCATCTATAGATTCCGCACCAAACAAAGCCCATCAGCGCAGCTTCTACTACAAGACCTTGACATTGTGTTGCATCGGTACCATCTTCTCAGCCATTCTGAAGCCGTCTGAACAATTCTTGCTTCGATTTGCTGAAATTATTCAATTTATTTTACATGTCTTTCGCCACGAGACGGCGGGCCTTGAATACTCTTAACTTCCCTTTGTCTTTCCTTTTTGATTCCGTCCCCCTTCCGCTCCCCTGCCGTACCTATTTCCCATTTCCTCTCATATAATCTCCTGATAACCTACAGTATTCCGCTCGTTTCTGCAATACCTCACAAGTACACTGTGTTGAATCGAATCGTTGACGCAGGTAGTCAGTTTCAGGGTCAATCGACCATCTACTGCAGTGGCACGATTGAACACACCATGATCCAGACTCTGTACAAGCCGATGGAGTTATCAGAGACTTCTAACCATGACATACACGGTAAATTTACCGAATTAACCAGTCACGAGTAATGTCTGCTCAGGGTGGATCCAAGTATAATGTTGGCCCATCTCACGCTAGAGACGGAGGGCTCCACATGTAAGCTCAGCACAATAGTATACTATCACACGCAAGACTGAGGCATGGGATTTGCTGACATAACATTGAGACGCCTAGGTACACAGTCACTAGGGTATTTAGTGAAGAACTTATGACTTGAAGCTGTTTTTAGGAACCAATTTCAAGCTTCGTTGAGAATTTGCGCCTTGTAGCAGAAAAACAGCTTCCTCATTCACCTGTACAATGGGGAAAACATCACAATTGGGTGTGCTCATTACATTCTTAGTTCATACAGAATCCTAGGCTCATTACATCTCCTTGACCATGAAAACTATAACAGGCTCGCGCACGCTGGCTTTTTGGCACATCAACAAGAATACACCAGAAGAAGGTACCACGCTCATCAGGATCAGCAGACTCAAACTTTGCTCAGAGAGCAGCAACAACGCCCAAGAGACCCGCCAAAACACCACCAACAATCTTGGCCGGAGCCGCCGTAGGTGCGAGATTGGGCGTGCTGCCCGTGCCGCTCACACTCGCAGTATTGGAGACCGAGGGAGTCTGGACCGTGCCCACAATCGTCTTGGTGTCGGTGGCCGAGCCCGTGCTGTTGGTCGAGATGCCGATAATGGTATCACCGCTGTGCGCCAGGGTGCTGCTCAGGCTGTCGGTAGCAGTCGGGCCCGTGGTGATGGTGCCGGACGAGGAGTCACCGGAGCCCGCACTGGCCGAGTACGCGGCGCACGCTGCGGCGCCGGCACTCTGGGCCTGGCTCAGGTCGGTCACGGGGCAGGCGGTGAGGAGACAGGGAGCTGCTGAGGCGGCAATGGAAGCTTGTGTAGGACCGCATTGGCAGGCAGCATCGTCCAAAGCACAGCCAGCACCAGTGATGGCTACGCTGAGGCAAGAAGTCTAAGGAAGATTCGTTAGTGACGTTTGCGCCTGGAAAAGCAAGCAGTGCTTATGACCTTGTACTATGCGGAAATCAAGAAGAAGCACTTACAGCACACGAGGGTTGGCCGGAAAAGTTTTGTGCAACAGCCAGTGCTGCGCCAACAAGGATGAGAGCCGACTTCATTGTAATTGATGCGTGAAAGTTTGATTGACTTGATTGCCGAGTACGCGGTTGTGCTACGTGTTTGTTTACAAGTTCGAAAATGCCGTTGTTGGGGTTCTACAACACGAGGTAGCCTTAGGTAGGTTGTTCAGGTTGGTTGGACGAGGAGCTGAGGAGGGATGGAGCTTCAGGTTTCCAGAGCTGTCAGGCCGAGGAGGGGAAACATGTTTGAAATATATATCTCCAACCGCAGCTACCTTTTCTCAGCTCTTTCCGGCTGACCATTTGGGAGAAGCAATCAGATGGGGGCCAAAGCTACCTACCTTAGCTGCATGTCTCTCAGCCCGCGTCACGGCCCGGCAGCAAATAGTACCATTGGGTAAGCGCGGCAACAAGCAGGAGTCGTGATGGACAGAGACGCCCACCGCTTTGGGTAGCACAATGGCACTCCAAACGAGAGCCGGATTGGCAATGACAGCACAGTACGCGATGCAAGTGCCTCATCTGTGCTCAAAAGCTTGTTTTACCAGAGCGGGGGATAAGCGTTGAACTTTGTTGGAGTAGTTCGTTGGGGGAAATTGGTAAACGCCGTTGTCGATTTGGAGTCAAACGAAGAGGTACTGCATTAACAGACGGCAGTCTAATCCCCTGATCTTTACCAATGGCAGCGCACTGTGAAGGGACCGCTCCAATTGAATTCAACTGACATGTACTTTAGCTGGAAGCTGGCCGATCTCGAACGTACTACAAATGGAATTAAGATTATGAACTAGACGCACTCGAGCATTTCAGCTTCTGTAGCTAGGAGTGAACAAGCCATTATCGCGCCCGCCACAGTGGCTGCCTCAAGACGGATCAGGACAAATCAACCGTCGAGAATGTCTTGGTTACGATATGATGTGTACTGCATATTGACCATCATCCACATTCAACACACACCACTATGAACTATGGCAATCTCACCGGCCAGGAAAAGATAGAAGCGTTAGACGGGTGCTTCACATTACACTGCAGCTGAATAAGACAAGTAATGATATGCCACAAGTGACTGATATATATATATATATGGCTATTCGTATACAACCTCATAGACCTCAGGCTGTCGATGATACGTCAAGGGCTTTTACTTTCCTTTTATCTGCACGTTAGTTTTCGACATGAAAGGGTCATCTTGAATACCGTCTCCATCTTCTCCATTACGGTTGTCTTAGGTCACTAGAGATACCAGCACGGATTATTCCTTCGATGGTCATTGGCCGGATCAACAGGATTATCACAAGGTGCATGGCCGTCGAGACTTGTGCATCAAGTGCGGTTCATCGGCATTATCCAGGTGCTATATAAAGGGTATCAGGAAATCATAATGTCTATCCGCTAATGAATGACGTTCACCCGTGTCAGGTATCTGTAGTACACACGATCAAGTCCAGCTCTCGTGTGCACGCCAGGGTCTATGTTTCCCTAGCTCTATCTCTAGTCTCAACTCCCATCATCTCTCCATGAGCCTTCGTTTCGTCGTAATTGTCAGTCTTTCCACAATCCCGTCGTGTCTAGAGTATTGCCAGAATAGCTAGCGCACTCGCAAGTGCAACCAACAACACCGGACTGGCCAGGACCGCAGGAGTACCAGAGATCGATTCGATGTAGCTAATGTTCATAGCGATCTGCGTCATCTCCTCGGTCACGACTCCTCCGGCTGCTAATGCTGAGATCTGATCACCGTACGTCTCGAGAATGTTTGTGCTGCGTCCCTCTGGGCAAAAGACCACTTCCCAGCCTCCACCACTCGGTATGATAAAGGTCGAGGTCTGGTCGTCATAGGCAAAGCTGTACGCATCTGGGCATACCGCCTTTGCATTTTTTGCGTACAAGTTCCGCTTGCACTTGGTTGGATCATTGTAATCTCCTGTGCAGCAGTCACTTGCCGCATTCGTGGCGGCACAGGCACTCTTGCACGGGTCAAAAGTTGGTCGCTCGATCTGGTCATCCGGGTATGGGTAGATACCATCGCCGGGCTTGTCTGGCGGAAATGCCTGAAGATCCCAGGGGCACCAATTAGTAATACCGGCGTTTGTTTGGGTATCCTCGTAGGGCATGGGATAACTCGAGTTGGTGTAGTAGTACCCAGTTCTATTAGGTGACATGAGATACCCCGGGGTCGCTATGCAAGCAGCGTTGACAAAGTTTGGAGGTATATCGCTGGTATTACTGGCTGGTTGGTAGACGACACCAAGTGGTAAGTTGTAGCCGTCAACCAGAGAAATGTCGTAAAAGGTTTGGAGGCCTGTCTGGCCACCAGCAAGATTGAACTCTGCGAGCGTGGCTGGAGCGGCTCCCTGTTGCAGTAGTCATCAGTAACCATGACAGTAACGATCAATCCGAGCACGTTGGCAAAAACTTACACTATAGTCGCATTCCAGCAGCCCAAAGCAGTCGCCCGTCAGACAAGTTGCAGTTTCATTACTAACTGTGCAATTTGTCCTGCCCCAGACGCGACCATTCCATGTTGGTCCCACGGTCAGGTCTCTTGTTTCGCCAGGCCCCAGCTCAAAACCGCTGGATTCAGGACCATCACCGGCTTGAGTAGCAATGCCAGGCCAGATGGTATCGCCGCAATTGTTGGTGACGATAAGAGGTATAGGGTTCTCACGCTTTGACACGGTGCGCCTGGATACACCATCTATAGGAGCAGCTTCTGGTCGTGGGTGGAGATAGTCGAACTTGAACAATTCGTGGAAGCTGGGATACACGACTGCGCGGGCGACTTGCGCCTCGGATAATAACAGCAGGGCCGCAGCAAAGAGCGGTTTTCTCCCAGAGGAAGCCGCCGTACGGCGCGATCTCGAGTCGCGCGACATTTTGTAAGGCAATGAAGCTAGCGAAACAGTATATAAGCGATTGGCGGGAGATGACAGCCCCGGTTGGCGGAGTGTATAGTTGGCGCACCACGACTAGGTGCTATTTCGAGATTCGAGTGTTTGGAAACCAAAGAATTCCAACGGAGTGATATTGCATGATCCAAGTCAAAAGGAAAGAAAGATGCAAAGGACCCCAATTATGATTTTGTATACCAGCCAAAAAAGACGTCTTATTTGTTGGCAGGGATATTTCCCAGCTCTTCCCCTTGAGCTAAGGCCGGGGCAGACTTGGCGCGAAGACTTGGTTGGCAAGTTGCGCTGGGTCGCGAGCGGTTCGATGAGAACGAGTGTCCGGTAACCTGGTAGGGTAGGCTGTGACGTAGGAACAGGTGCCCAGCGAACAACGAATAGCGGTCCGGTATGTAAACCGAGATGCGCTGGCCTTGGCTGATGGAGGCCAGCCCCTCAATGACCCCGGTTGCAAGTCGAGACGCGATTCGTGAATGGATGGAAGAGAGAGAAACGAATCCAGAAAAAAACCAACTGGCGCATCCAGAGGCTAGACCCTGGCGATGGATACCTTGTTTCGAGCAATGCAGTCAAAAATATCTAGAAGAACGGACGGGGCAACTTTTGGATTAGGGTAAGTAATTGTTTGAAGAAAAAAAAGGTGGTTACAGGATGAAGTTGGCAAAGGGTAAAAGAGGGTTTATTTCATGGCAATGGGAGCTATTGTCAAGGAAGCTCGAAGTTTGGGAAATTGTCGTCTAACTGAGACACCATGATTCTTACCTACTGACCTGATGTACCTAGATCACATTGGATGAACTGGATTTGCCCTTCTTGGGGGCGATGCCTAACAGGTTCAACAGGTAGTAGCAATGGCCCCAGGCCCATCTGATTAGTAGGTTGGTAGGTATGGAGGAATGAGCGATGACGCACAATGGCTTGGGGGTCGTGATTACCTTTACCTTGTTTTACCAGGGTCTCTCAATCACAGAGGCTTGAGAGGGAGAGTTTAACCGCTCAGGGGTCCATCGCAACCCACCCCACTAAAGAAAGCAGCGCTGCGCTAGGAAGGAAAGGAAAAGGTCCTGTCCGTTTCTGGTAGTTCTGGCGATAAGCTCATGCAATCTCAGATGGCTCAAGCCTCTTTTTTGACTTGGGGCAAAATAAGACGACACTTCCACGAATCAGTTGCACCCGGCGTGATTGTAGACGAAAATCATGTCGAACTTGTCCGTATTATCAACATTGCTACCTATGACACCAATGCATCTCTGCCCTCCCTTACAACACCAGAGATCCCCGTCTGTTCTTTTTTTTTTTTTTTTTTTTAAAAAAAAAAATTCAGCACCAATCGCGTTGTCTTAGTTGACAGCATTCGGCGCGTTTTAATCACGAACGCGAAACACCGTTTTCTAACTCAACTGACAATGTCACGATGAGAGCAAGAAGGCAAAACTAATCACAGATTATCCATGTTCCAACCCGTTTTCTCTTGGCCAGCTTCGTCTCAAACTTCGGCGCGGGTGCGGCTCTTCAACTACAACGGAGGTTAGGCACCCTCGTATGTAGTTGTATAACCTATCTGTAAGCTTGTTCACCAATAGTAGCTAAATCGGAATTCCATTATCCAGAAATATTACCACCAAGATGATCGTGACAAAGAGCGCACACAAAACCGCAAAAACCCACAATAGAAACCATTTCTTGTCGTACAATTTCTCTTCATACCCTTTCGTTTCGTTCGTCGTAATTGTGTTGGCGGTTTCAGCAGTACCTGTACGTCTGGTATGCTGAGCATCATGATGCGAGGTTGCTGATTCTCGGGGCCCCTTTCAAGTCCAACGTTAGCAGTGTACAGCAAGGCTCGTCTTTCTATTCTTGGAAAAAGAATAAATCGCACAAACACATATGTACTCATGCGCTTACCGCAGACTATCTCCACGAAAGAAAACAATGGCAAAGCCAGCAGTAGGAGCGGTAGAATCTGACCAAAGCCCCAAGTATCCTCTGGCCCCTCCCGACCATTGATAGCTGCATTGTCCCTTGCCCATCCCACGACATAAGTGGTTTGAAATAGATAGGCGAATATACGCGCCAGATCAAAGTATAATGATGCGAATATCTCACGAAGTGTGAAGGACATGACAAAGAGAAGCCACGTGGGCCATTCAACCAACTTCCACAGCCACCGAAATTTAGAGCGCTGGTCAACGTGGTCTTCAACTCTTCTGTATAGGTATGTCGGCTGACACATGACCGTGTAGACAAAATGTCCGAGCGTCTTTACCAGGTAAAAGTCGTTGATCTCCGGGTACAAACAAGAAACGATGGAATAGGCAGACATCAAGTCAACGACAGTGCCCACCACGACGTAGGGTATGACTCTTGGGGTGAGGCCACTTGGGAGCTGCCTCCATAAACAGTCCATCGAGAGGCCCCAAAGCCCAGGAACCAGAAACTTGTCATTGTAAATGACGAAATTGAAAGCCAGAACGCAACCAAAGACAATTGCTATCCATCCCAGCCGCCATCCTCTGCGAATGTTGGCTTTGAGCACATCGCGAACAATCAGTAAAACGGACTGGTACGTTGCAAAAGACGCGAGAGTGAGGTTCGCAGCTATGTAAAAGTGATATTGTGTGATTTCACAGTGTCTCATGTAGCCCACAGTCAGAATCGCGCCGCCCGCCACGAGTTGCTGATCAGAGAACATGAGGCATACCTCTTGCATCTTGTCCCTGGTGACGCGGACGCGAATGTAAGAAAGGATCTCATCGACTGGAGTTCCACTGAGCTTTTTCAGTACATAGTCGCGTAACTGAAGGTCGATTGCCGCGATACCGGGGTTGTCTTTTTCCATGACTCCGTCAACGAGATTGTACGTGAAAAGTGCAATGGCAAAGGTCAACCAAGCAGATGTGAATATGGCCGCAATGACCTGGATCGAAGCTCATGGTCAGCAAAGACTGAAGAGGCAATGTCGAGCGACAGCCACACTCATGGAAACAAAGATGAGGTCCCATGAGATTTACTTACACCTATCCCGGCCTATCGTAAGCAACGATGGATCAGTATTGTCTTTGAAAGGACTGAAACCTTGATGAATGAGTGGGCACCTACGACGTCTGGATCTGCGGCAAATTGTACGGCGCTGCCCTCGATGTCGCATTCTATGTTGGTACTACAGGTGGTTCCCATTGTACTTCAATGAAATGATAGCTGTCGCGGATAGAACTCGTTGAGGAAATATTAAGGATCGACAGCTCCTATATGACCTCAAAACAAGCCCACGTAACGATTGTTTTTAAAACCCGGAACATTTCGTTAGTTGTGAGGTCCCTTACAACAAACTTTGAAGCGCAAAATCGAAATGTGAAAAAAAAAAAAACATCTTGAAAAAGCAACTGGTTGTTACATGGAGTCTGAACGTGTCCATCGCCCGGCATCTTGTTACATATTACCGATGCGGTGAGAAGTGGCGGATATTACTGCTGCCAAGTTGTGCGGTATTGACTAATCAGGAGACGGTAAGCTGCAAGGACAGCTGATCACATCCTGCCAAGTTGACGAGGCTGAGCCCGATAACAAGGCATGCCCGTTCATGAATGATGCGCCATCTAGCCAGAATTACCAATCTAGGCAGGGATTGGCCTGGAGTAAGATTTCGGCACGCATACTTCTGCTGACCGGTCTATCTGCATGAGATCAATTCGGGTTTACGCGTCTAAGCGACGCATCGATCAGAGATATCATTGTGTTTGAGATTGCCAAATTGGAGTCATAGAAAGTACTTGGCACGATTTGCGTTGGGCAAGGCTATCATAAATGCGTCCAGTGTTAAACAAATACCACGAACGAAGATCAAGAAATCACGTGCGTGAAACCTGCCACTCTATTTCCTTTCCTACTCTATATTGCTATTCCCAACATGCAAATGAAATAGCTTACAGCTTTGCAGAAAATGTTCGATCACCGTCTCTGCAAAAGGTCCATCATCCTTTTCCCGAGAGTGGATGCCACGCTCCCGTAACTTCATCGTAATGAGATCTCTGGATATATTCATGCAATCCAAGATTCCAGTCACCCATGAGAGGCGTCGATTGTACCACCTTTCGAGCTTAGTGGGGTCTTCATTCGCGTTTCTTCTAACTACAACGTGCTTCTCCAATGCCCACAGAAGAGTAACCATCTGTCTGATGGGGCCATCGTCATGATGCTCTTCGGCAATGACCGTTGGGGGTGGCTCAAAGCAGTCTTTCTTGGAGTCGATTGTATACGTCTCCCTTTCCTAAGTTCAAGGTGGTCAGTCAAAGTCATACATCTCGGAAAATCTGCTTACTTTGATCTGTGGTCTACCTTTGTGGACTGTGGCCTTGCGGAGAATTTCCTCCCACTGATGGAAATTATTACGTTTGAGGTAATGATCATGGCTTCGGCGAAGCTGATGTAGCCACGCATCTATTAGCTCCTTGCAGGATTTCATTTCCAGGATCGAGATGTGGGACTCTAGTTGTGCTATGCCTTCGAATTCTTCCCACACAACTGCTTCCTTGTCTTCTGATGAAAGCGTTTGGGATGCCCAATATCCTGTTCCGCCGTCGCAGCACGTATGTGTCAATTCCATTTCGTCGAATTGAGCACATCTAATGAATTGAATTAGCTGAGCGTTCATGACTTTTGCATCTCCATTCTCTTCCAGTAAGCAAAGCCACTCGATAGTGTCCTCAAGACGGCGGAAAGAAAAGAATGCGTTGGGGTGGCAGAAGTATGCGCCTAGGACTTTCGCTGGTGTACATCCCTTCGGAGAGCATGCACAACGACAAAGGTCGTGACTATGGGGCCTCGCTCCTGCTCTGACAAGCTTCTCTATACACCTAGAGCCGATTACGTGCGTATCGTCCATCGAGTACGGACGCGATGGCGGCCAGTTCGTGACTGCATAGTGCATTGGAATTCGTCCGCAGAGATCCTGTGCATTGACGTCGGCACCGTGCTCGATCAATGTATCCATTGTATCAAGAAACCATGGCCTTGCACATTTCATGAGCGGAGTGATACCATCGCTGTTCTTTTGGTCGAGTCCGGTAAACCCGTGCGCGATCAGAGTCTTTGCATTTGACAGACCTAGCCAATAATGCATGATATTGTTTCCATCTGTGTTCTCGTTCCCATCGGGGAATGTGAAGTCCAGTCTGGCGTCTAATTTGAACAAGTCTTCAAAATGAAAATCCTTGGGGATGGAACTCGGCCTGAAACACATGGATAGGGCCATTCTTTTTGCCAATGAGCCTCCGATAAACTTGACATTATCGGGATAGATTCCTTGGATGAAGAATGCAAGATCGCTCGCAAGTTTGTAATGACCTCGGGCCAAGGTATAACCCAGGAAGTCCCAATGTCGTAATTTGTCGATGATTTTCAGGCTTGCTCCCTCTGATATCAACAACTTGGCCATATCGATGTTTCCCATGGCACATGCATACATCAGAGGCGTGGTGCCATTTCTGTCAGTGGCGTCCACGGCGTATCCCGCAGATATTAAAGCGGGAGCACACTCTATATTGAACACAGCGAGGTGCAAAGCCGTCTGGCCGAGGAAATTAATTTCATCATTCCGAACAGCACGAGCGAGGAGCTCCGAGACGGAATGTGCTGATCCGCACAATATCTCCCGCTGTAGTAGTGTTGTACCTCCGAAGTCTACATGGTAGTCAGCACAAGAAGACTGCTGTCATATCATAAATGGTGGAGTAATGCTTACCTGGATCAACGGAGACCATCATTGCTAGGAGTTCGAGGAAAAATGGATCCGGAGTAACTTCTTCAGAAAACCAGTTCGGATCGCAAGGCTCAGGCCACATCTTGGCTGATGGAGCTGGCAAGTTGCACGAGTTAAAGCCAAGGGCGAGGAGCTCCTCGAATAGCCAAAGATGAGGTCCTTCTCCAATCCAACGAGCCATGCGATAGAGAAAGCTTTTCTAGGAGTCAGTTATGGCAAACCATTACGAGGATACAAAACCCGTGGTGCTCAAGATAGCCGAAGTTGTTGTCACCCGAACACTGCAATACCACTTCCCTCCAGGTTTTCAGATACTTACTTGATATCGTCTAGGCCTGTTTCCATTTTAAATTCCGCCATGAATACCTTCAAAACCCTCAAAGCAGAGCCCCAGCTGACATGTGGTGTGTACCACAACAGTTCCTAGACTTGTGTTAGTACTCCTTGAATGAGGGGGGAAACAACAACGAGAATGGCTTACCCCGATATAACCACGCCCTGCAGGATTGACATGTCTTATTATCCGCTTGTCCTCTTGATACATCTCTCGAAACTCCTGTACCACCTCCTCCCAATCGGAAAACCCCTCTCTCAATCTCCAAAGCAGTTCAAAGCCACGCGATGTATACCTCACCACTTCTTCCTTGATTTGAAGTGAAGGTCTGATGGAGTACGTCCCAGCGGCGGAAGTGAGCCTCAAACCAAAGGTGATGGCTCGATGCCAACCAAGCTGGGTAAGTGCTATGTGAAGCTCTGATACGTACTCACTGGCAGTACAATTGGGGTTGGAGCATCCTTTGAGGATGAATGACAAGGGGGTGTATTCAAAATTCCAGAAACGACTGGTGATCTGCCCCTTGATATGGCAAGTACATGAGCAAGCTCTGCGGGTGCAATCTGTTCGTCGTTGACGGGGTCGCCCCGGCCCGGCGACAAGAGTGTTCGAAACTGCGGTATTTGGCCGTGGCGTCACTTCCTCGGAGTGAGATCGGTCGGGCTGTTCCTGCTCTTCTTCTTTACCGATTCTTTGATGTGTCTCGGGAGTTGGAGGCGAGGTGGGAATGCGCCTATGATGAGGATAACTGAACATCCTACATAGTCATTGTTAGCTTGGTCTCGGCAATGTGGCAACGAGGCTCACGAAAGTATGTCCAGTTTTGCAACAACTGTGAGATCCTGAAGTTTTTTCAAGTCCTTCTTATTGGTGCTAAGCCATCGCATTCGGGAGAGCGTCTTGCGAGGTTTCTTCTCGGCAGCGTCGAGTGTCTCTGTCATCTCCTCGAGGGTTGAAGCAACATTTTGAACAGTCTTTCGGCAGTGACTTATAGCGAGAGAAACATCGTGGTCGTCTAGAGTTGACAGGCCTTCAAGTCTCTTGACAAGGAAAGTCAAGAACTTGAGGTCCTCAAGAAGCGACTCTACTTCCTGAGAAATCGTCTTGGACTCCTTGTAGAGATCACGCAGCCTCGCGGCTCCCTCAGCAATAGAGATAGCTAAGGAGGCCAATCCAGTCACCAGCCCGACGGCTTCCGCCATGGCAGGTCCTCAATTGTCTCTCCTTGGATGGGGCAGAAGTTTTGTCTTTGGATTTCTTGGTAGAGGTCTGAGGAAATTCGAAAGTTTTGAATTGATGGGGGAAGCAGCTTGACCGTCCCTTGGTACAGCCACAATTCGTGTCAGGCTGGCAAGGCTCTAGTCAAGGCAGAGCAAAGAATGCACGCCCGCTTGGCATGTATGCTACCGTATTCACCAGTAATATACCAGAGCACTCCAACCGACATGCATATGAAGGCTGCGCCTCATGTAAAGCACTCGAAATCTGTACGTGAATTCAAATTCTACTGGTTCATAACAGGGTCAATGTTTCTACTTCTCCCATGGTTCGAGGCGTATCTTGAGGCGACCTAGAGAATGGCTGGAATCCATTCGTCCTGTTTGCAAGACGAATGCAAATAACCATATTAGAAATGGCGATCACGGGTGTTCGATAGTGTGACCAGATTTCCTTTTTTTTTTTCTTCTTTTGTCACGCACCACTGCGTCATTGCAAATATACACAAGGATAATGATTATCGTCAAGAAATTTTCATTCAAATTAGAACAATTAGGTCATACATGTCTTCCTTTGACACACATGCCTTTGCTCTCCTGAGTATTATTCATTCCTGTATTTCCTGGGCTCCGTATTTCTCATGACTCCTCTGACAGTGAAAAAAAGGCCCCAAATGCTCTTGCTCATATGCTTGTGAGCTGTATAGTCCAAAACGCAACTCGCCTGTAGCGGTCTCTTTTGGAGGTATCATAGGGTAACTGAAGAAAACAGAAGAAGAATTAAACAAAATCATGGCTGATTCTATAACTTGCTGGGTATCAGGTCTTATCTGAACCGAGCCCTACAGCGACCCATAACCTCTCCTTGGCACACCAGTTCGGCGCTGAACTCGGAACCGTCAAGCGTCAGATAAATGTCAAAGTAGACTCTGTAGAATGTGCCTTGAGGCGTATCCATGCGCTCAAAGTCCTTTTCCAAGTTCTTGCGCGACAGATCCGACGTCAATGTGACAACTTCTTTTATGCCTGCGGAGCGCATTAGTTTGACGATTCATGGATATCAACAGAGTGGACTTACGAGGATCCTTTGTGTATTCCGGGCACACATCGTCATCACAGGCATACAGAATGTCCTCGTACATGAGAGTGGCGCCAGGAGCAACCTGTCTGAAAAAGCTGACCTTGACAGGCTCTCCAATCTTGACTTTCTGGCCCTTCTGCACAAAGATTTGCCTTGTGAACTTGCATCGGTCTTTGCCGTCAAGCGAGGGCACTCTGTAGGCTTCTGGGTGGTAGCCCTCCTTGAATGGCTGGAGGGTGGCCATGAGGTAGTGTCGTCGAGCGACACGGTGGGTAATGACACGCTCGGTGATACCAGCAGTCACTGCGCCCTTGACAATGGCAGCTACCGAGTCCATAGGCCGGACGACCTTGGACTGGAACTGAGGTGGCACGTGCAGCTTGATCTGCTGGAACAAGTACTCGGATGCACCAAATCCTCCTACGACCAAAATATTTTGCAAAGCCCTGTTTTGAGCCTGAATGGCGATGATTTGGTTCCGAACAAGTTCCAGGATGCGGTTGACAACGGGCTCGAAGCACTGGAGGATTTCCTCGTTTGTGAATGTCATATAACCCTCCTCGATGCCGGCCTCTGGGAATTCAGCCTCAATACCGACATCGACAGCCCATTTTTGGCCATTGTTGCGGAAGTCAGCCTTGATGCGGTTCTCAAAGTCCATGATACACTTGGCGTAGACGCGGCCGGCTGTCCTCGATCCGTCGGGCAGCTTCATCTTTCTAATCTTGGTCCGGAGGATGTTGCTAAAGTTCCGGTTTAGAGCTGTCGAACCGCAAGAGTCTCCGGAACCAGCGGTACATTCCGCAACAGTAAATGGATTCTCATCTTCGACTTCGTAGGCAATCAAATCAACAGTACCACCACCACAATCAACAATCAGCACAGCATCATGGACCTTGAGGTTGAGCAGGCCCGTCTTGGAACAGAACAGAGCGGCAGCCTCGGGCTCCGACACTAGCGTTAGTCTGTTGTCGTTCTCATCGCGCAGGAAACCAGCCTGGATAGCTGCGGCTCTGGTGGCAGCCTTTCCGGCGTCGTTCCAGATAGCTGGCACGGTCAAATAGTACCGAATGTTTCTCTCTTCTCTGTTGAAGACCTCGCCCAGAGTCTTCTGCAGTGCAGCCCGCATGGCTTGCCTAAGCTTGAAGAGGTAGTCGGCAGCCACGTCAATCTCCGACTTTCCTGGAGGCAGAGGTGGCAAGTTGATGGGGTCAATGTAAGTGTTGCCCGACAACATGAGCTGCAGCTTGAACCACTCAACCTTTTGCACGCCGGGCTTGGGGTACCCAGTCGGGGCCAGCGCATCAGCGATATCTGGTCCCCATCCTACCACCTTTTGATACTGGTCGTAATATAGCACGGTGGGAATCTGGATAGCAGATGTTAGCCTTTCGTGCCTAGCCGTAGGAAGTTTCTGCAGGCAATCTTTTGAATTACCTTTTGCTTGGTATATGAACCTGCTCCAGGCCATTCAGTGATAATATCTTCCTTTGCTTCGTTGTTGGTAGCAAATGCGAATGCGACACCCGAGAATGTGGTTCCCTATTGGCAAAGATTATGATTAGCATGAGAGGTCGCATGAAGAAGCAATGTCTTGGAAAGCGCAGGTTACTCACAAAATCAATGCCCACAATCAATTGCGCCTTGCTTCTGCTGTGTCCCTCGACCTCAGCTGCTGGTCGGCCGAATTGCTGCATGGCGTTGCCTGGGTTCTGAGGAGGGGCAGGTGGGGGGTAGCCAGTAGCACCAGCGTAACCTGGAGGACCGCCCTGAATACCGGGCGGAGGACCACCACCTGGCATTTGCATCTGGGGAGGATATCCGGCGAGAGGAGCACCGGTGTTGATCGGAGGAGGGCCGCCGACCATCTGCGAGGGAGGAGTGCGAGCTGGGCCTTGAGGAGCTTGGGGGCTCATGCGCTGGACGGCGGAGGGAGCAGGACCTTGGGGATAGTTGGCAGTATAGCTCGGCGGGCGAGGTCCGGCTCCAGGATGGTTCATCGTCGGGAGGGACTGTTGCGAAGAAGAAGAAGCGACGGAGGGGGCAGGCCCAGGACGGGCGAACTGCTGCGGTATTTGAGGGGGGCCTTGGCCTGTCGCTTGCGGTGGTGGGGTTGAGGCTGCCTGGGGAATATCTGTCGAGGGGATACTGGCGGTGGACTTCCGTTTACCAAACCCGAAGTTCTTGAACCTTGAATTCACAGAACTCATGTGGGCGGGTGTCCTGGAAAGGGAAGAAGGGAGGAAAAGGAAAAGAAATAAAAGGGAAGGGGGAGAAAAGGAAATGGGAAAAAGGACTTTTGCAGTCCTGGAGAGTGGTGTGGGATTGGGATGGGGATTTGGGGGGGACGAGTACCAGACAGACAGAATCAATGCTACCTTGCCCTACGCCCAAAGGTACAGTAAAATAAAATAAAAAAAAAGTAGGCGGCTGACACCCAAAAAAAAAAAAAAGGCGAGCGACTTGGGTACCAGAGAGGAACGAGGGGTCGCAGAGCGAGTGTATTGCTGCTGGGGTGATCGCTCCCTTGTCAGACACCAGACACACACAAAAGATGTAGGTAGATTTGCCTTTGGGGGGAACCGGCTCGTTCAGGCTGGGTTGGGCGGAACAAACTCTCGATCGGGAGAGGGCAGACACCAGACCAGTTCGGGATGTTGAGCAGCAGCAGCAGCAGCAGCAGCAGTAGATTACTTGGGTACCGGGCGCAGCAGCTGATGCACAGCAAACATGGGACATGCAGTGCATGCAGCAGAGAAGCAGTGCAGTGCAGTTGCAGTTGCAGCGGCAGAGACGAGAGAGTCAAGTGTCTTCGCACGGAATAGTGAGATAGAGGTAGGCAAGGTTAGGTCAGGTAGTATGAGGGGTCCGGCGCAGCGCGGTTGCAACAGCGTATCCGTGGCGGCAAGGAAGGAGATAGATGGAGAGAGCCTTGGTCTCTGTGCTTGGCTTGCGAGGTGGGCAATGAATTTAGACGCGGCGGACGGGGCTGTAAGAAAATAGCATCTGGAGATGGCCTCTCTTGCTCCACCCAAGCCAAGCGGCACCCTTTGATTGCCTGCCCCGTGGCTGAATGAGCTGACGGCGCTAAAAAAGAAAGCGGGTTTGGCAGTGGTATGGTCTTTTTTACTGAGAATGGATTCCGTGCCCTTTGATGAGAGAGCAGACGAACAGACAGAGTTCTTGACTAGGTCCAGTATGAATGGGTAGGACTTGTAAGGCTGAAGGTCCTGCGGAGACGTGGGCGAAAAGTCCTAGGCTAGTGAGCCTATCCCTGGTCGGGTCCGTGGGACCGTGATCGGGAGGGGGGTGGTTTTGGGTCTCAATAAGACGATGTCGGCGGTGAAGCTATCTTTTTTCCTCAAGCGAGGAGGACAATAAGCTATGACTGCAGGCCTTGGTGGTTTGAGACCGGAAAGCCCGATGAATCTGGGGTAAGAAGGTCAATGGGAAGACTCGTCCTTGCATGACGGTGAGCACAAACTTCTCAAAGGCTACACTAGACAAAGACAACGAATTTACCGCCGTTGGTATAGAAACGAGGTGCCCGCCAACAAGTTGTTACTCAGACACTATGGTAAGTGAGCTGAGGAAAAGGCAAAAATTTGTGCCGTCTCGAACGACCCCTACGCTGTGTGTGTGTACAGAGTAAGTCGAGTTAAACAGGTTACGCAGCAGATAATTATTTGGTTTGGACCAGGAATTCTGCAACTCCAGGTAAATGTATCATGTTTTATTTGTGACAAGTTGTAATAATATCAAAAATATGTATGGATATGGCGATCTTTCCCATGAAGCTGGTCATCTTCAGCTGTTGGTATATGAGATACGTGGGTCTTGATCGTACTAGATATTCAATGTCAAGAAAAATGATCGTCATGCAAGTCCAGATCAGAGGCTGACAGTCAGCTTTATGGGGATTTCAATACATTAATTTGCATGCTCAGGAGAACCCTGCATAAATGACATCAATTTTGGAACTTTTTCTTCTTGTTCTTTTTTTCGATTTGGTCTTTTGCCCTTTCTTTTCCTTCTCAATCTCGTAACAAAGATTCAACCATTGACCGTCTTTGTCAAGTCGCACGTTGAGGGACAAGCTTGGAGGCTACCTAGGTAGCTAGGTTAGCTAGGTTAGCTAGGTAATCAAGCGGCCGCTCGCATGGAACCGCCTTGGTGCCAATTATTCAGTTTTGACGCAGCAAGCGAGGCATGGTAGAAACGTGCTTCCTTGCGTCAAAGTCAGCATTGTTGTGACAGATATGTAGCATACAGAGTAGATACAGAAAGAGCATTCATGTCTGCATTACTTTGAAAATCGAAATTGACCGCACACAAAGCTCCAGCGCACATGGCATGCAAGGCGTGGAGTTTCAGCAACTGTTGTTGGATGAAACGGCGACCATACTATCTAGGCCGAAAAGCTAAGATATTTAATGTACCTACTAGGACTTACGGCGTGGGATCAAGCATAATTCTGCACCTACTAACCTACTAATCTAATACCTAGGGTCCTTCCTACACTTGGAACTGACAATTTCGTTGTCACGACGAGAGAGAGAGAGGGAGAGAGAAGGGAAAGAAAAAATGGCGGGTCTTTGTTGTGCAAGTGGCCAACCAATATCCGTCCCCTCGAAGGATTCAGACCCGACGCCACTCCAACGGATCCCGAATCCCTCATGGGTAGTTCCTAGCCTGCGCCAGCTTCTACTACGATAGCTGCTCTTTCAGACTGTGCCACCATCAATGGCAGTTGATCGGCGATTGAAGCACTGGTTTCGTCATTCAATGGAGTGATTCAGTCCCAGGTGTGACGTTGGGATCAGGTTGCGCCCATCATGTCAACTACAATCAACTCCCGTCCGGAATAATTGATGCCTTCGCCTTCGCATTCGCATCAAAAGCTCATGCCTCTTATTTTCCCTTCCCACCTCTTTGACTACGTCCCTGAGCTCCTCCCCGACACGGGCCGTTGTTGGCGGGGCCAGTGGCACCTCGCTACAATTTTACCTTCAATCCCATGAAAAACGGCGGCGCGCACACCTAAAAGGACCACTCTAATCACAGAGTTGCAAATCTTATTATGGAGTAATACTCGTCTAGACCTTGAACCCCGTTTTTCGAGGATGCATGATAAAGGACCTCGCGTATTAATCCAATCAGTCAAGTACATTAAAGAGCGTTCGTTGCGAGTAAGGAGGCAGTTTCGGGTCGCGACAGCATGATTAGCAGGGTCCTCGGGGTCTTTTTGTATTGCTGCCCAAAAAGAATGGCAAAGATCACGCTTACTGCTACTACTATATCCAAAGAGATGCTCTTCCGAGTTTTGGCAAATTGCGTGATATACTCGCACCATGGCCATAACATCATCATCTTTGGGATTCCCCATCCAAATAACGAAGCCGTTCCATTCCTCAACTATTTTTTCCAAGGGTCCTTCTCCATAAGACGGCACGCAGGGTGCCCAACGAAGGAGGGCTGAGCTCTATTTTCCCTCGCTGAGCCTCCCTTCCCCTCCCCTCCATGCCGGCGCTTGGCGCTTCGTTGACCAGCCACAGGCCTGACATTCCCTCCACTATCAGGGAACAACCCTGCTGAGGAGCCGAAATTGGAAACTTGCCGCTGCCAGAGACTATCGAGACGTGAATCCCTCGATCTCCTCAGCCGCACTTGGGGGTGATCGTTTTTTATTCTTTGAGCTTCATTCCAGTTCACCTTACCCAAGTAGTACAGTGGAACTGTAGATCTCACCAGCTGTGCTCAATTGCCGGCAAAGAGACGAAGATGTTGGCCGCCACACGGGGAGACCTCCGTCTTGTCTATCCCTCAGGTAAGAAGTGTCCAGTCGTCGTCCTGTCCGTCCCTGCTGGTTGGTCGGAAAGTGAGCCACTGCACACCTTCAAGGGCCCATGCACTCCAAAAATCCAAGCTTCTCACGTCAGCAATCAATCAAAAATCTGCTGTGTCAATGGGGCAACGAAGCGTGCTGATCTTGCCCTCCTCGTTGAAAGTCTGCATCTTGCGCGAGGTTTCGATTACTATGCGTTATGTATGTGCCTGGTGTGTAATCTGTATAAGCCGACCGGTGGCTGCCGGATAGACTGCCGCCGCCGTCGGAACCCCAGCATTCCGTTTCCACGGAGGGATCCAATCTTTTTTTCTCTTCACCATTCATTCTCACTTGCACACTACGGGCTGTGAAGGATCACAACGGTTACCGGTTTTCGAGCTGTTCCATGGGAATCTAGATCTCCCAATGGTCGGGTGTCGAGGCAAACGTCGTATTTGGGGGCCAGTGGCACTCTCCATTTGCCCCCAAGGGAACCACGTGGGGACTGGCTGTCTTTTTCTTCTTCTTTCTCACAGCAGGTAACTGGGTAGGTATCGCTGCAACCGCAGCGTCGCAACAATACCACCAGGCCCGAATCCTTCGGTGCTCTCAATTGAACAAACATCTGCTACTTGTTGCGCCCGGCGCGGTACGTCGCTTATTAGTCGTTGTCGTCCCTGGCCACTTGTGAAAGGACAAACTTGGCTTGTCCTTTCCGTCTCCCTCCAATACCTACCTACTCAATGCAAGTCGTGTGTCCTGTGGCCGGAAAGTGTGTGCTTCCGTTTTACGTGCTTACATTCTCGTATTCCCTACTGCGGCGGTATCCAATTGGGAGACCCGGTCAATCAGTAGAGCTGGATGGTGGCGTCACACGGATTGCGAGCCAAACACCACCAGCAGGTTCAGCGCATTAACAGATCGATATTGAAATCTGCCCTCATTACCACCGTGCAGAGACAGGAAAGGCCCTTGCAGACGGACAGGGCGGCTCTTATGTGAGACAAGATCCCTCAGCTGGAAAAAAGGGGTCTGTTGAACGTCGTTTTAGCTACCATTCTGATTCCCCCCTCCCAAAACTTATGAAGATGTAAGATGAAATCGCTGGTCAGCGCTGACGAAAAGGCCGAATATCAACATCAAATGACGATCGATATACAAACACTTAAGCCAGTCATGGTAGAAATATAGATGCTTCTTTTGGAAAAACTCTATGAAATGATAACTTCTTGCCTTGCCCCACTGAACTTTGCCGTTCAATTATATAACCTGGCATCGCAAAACCTGTGCACCATCTGGGAGGCAAACCAGAACCATGAAAAAGGTTATAATAATACAGGAAAGGATATACACAGAGCCCGTCATCTACAGTGTGCCCGCCTCCTTCTTGGTAAAGAGGCACACCTCACGCTGGCACTCGATACTGCGCATCTCCATGGACATGGCGTGGCGGGTGCCGTCGGGCGTGAGCTTGTCGTCGACGAGCTCGTGGATGAACTTTGCCATGGTCGGGACCTTGGGATCCTTGCCGCCCGTGCCGTCGCCGCCGTACGACGGCCAAAAGGACGTCTGGAGGTCCTCGATAAAGTAGAGGCCGCCGGGCTTGACAATCGACCACAGGGCCTCCAGCGACGTCTGCTGCTGGTGCATCGTGTGGCCCCCGTCGTCAATGATGATGTCAAAGTTGCCCCCCGTCTCGGCAATGAACTTTTGTAGAAAGACGGGGTCGGCCTGGTCGCCTGCGTAGATGGTTGCGCCCGTGGTCTTGCTGGACCATTTGGCGGCGCATTCGGCGTCGTATTCCTAGATTCACCAACTTGTCAGTCCGTGAAAGAACCCCTGACGTTTAACCTGATGCTTGAGATCTGCTGGTCGAGAACGCATAATTTTCAAAGAGACGAAGTAACTAACCATGTAGTAAAGCTCCACGTTGGGAAAGTATTCAAGCCAGGTATAGTATGACTTTCCAGGTCCATAGCTCTGTTGGAGTGAATCAAGTTAGGATTTATGGACTGCTAATAAGTTGAAGGACTGGAACACCACATACCATATCACAGCCCAAACCAATCTCAAGCATCTTGAGTTTCTGATGGCGGATCGCTGGGAAGTGCTTGTCGTACATGAACCAGTACTGATGATCCGTGACCTTGTCAGTGCCATACTTGAGGGCAATCTCGTAGAAAGAAGGAAGTTTTTCATTGCTTGTGCTGGCAACCCTATGATATCCATTAGTCTCTGTTGCTTTGAATTGGGTCCGTAAAATTTGGGTCCCTTACTCTTTCGAGGGTGGTGATGTCGTCGTCTCTTCCACAATAGGCTTCTTCTCAGGAGACGATTGCTGTTTTGCCGGCACCGGGATTGGAGGGGGAATTGTATTCGAAAAGGAGGGCTCTGAGATGTCAGGTACCGGCTCCGATGATGAGGGACGGTTCCAGGCATTGTGGATGCTATCCCTCACCTGGTTGTGCTGATGTGCCAGACCAAGAAGAAGGAGGAGAAGTGCTGTGCCAAATAGCACATAGTGAGTGCGTGTCACTGCCATCTTGGATGATTTCTCTCTAAGTATGAGGCTCCTTAACTTGCTCTAACCTCGAGCTAATTCGTTCCAAGATGTTATGGGTAAGTTGAAAGAAAGACTGATCGACACTGCTCAACATGATCCGGAGAAGGAAGCGATGTCACGAGTGAAGTACCAAGATGGCTCGTCTCTGTAGAGTCCCCTAATTCTCTTTAAACTTTTGCAACGTGCCCATATCTGAAACTGGCAATATATCGATCTCAAGTTGCTCGTGGCGGCAATGACACGCCAACTAGGGCTACGAGTCTCGCGTATAATGGTTGCACAATCCATCACTTGATTCTCATTCGGGGTTTACAGTTTAATGGTCAGCTCTGAACTCCTGAGCATAAGCTGGCTGATGATGTTTCAGTCTCATTACGCTGTTGAGACCTGTGCGGTGCTCAGGAGGTGGAACGCCTGCTGAGACATGTGTCGAGCGAACGAATTGACTTGGATCTAATAGAGCCACGATCATAGCTTTCATGCAAGCAATTAAATTCTTAACATAGTTAAGAAAACGTGATCCTTCCAGAAAAGGGGAAAGGCTAACCCCCCCTTTCCACAGGAAAACGGACCACTTGAAAACGGACTCTGTTGCCACCGCTGCCACAAGAAAGAGAACACTTTGCGCCAAGCTGCTCTCCAAAAAGTTCCACGAAAATGGACTTCTATCAGATCAACCTTGCGGTTTTCGCTTCCACCAACGCCTACCTGCTGTACCGTCAGTTTCAAAAGGGCAAGAAAACAGCGCCAGACTTTACGCTGGTGGACCCTACCAGTATTGAGCATGCTGAGAAGGAAGAACTCTCAGGAACAGCGCGCAGGTTCCAGATCAACTACTTTCTCCCGTATGCGCTTGCGGTTGCGGCGGATTGGCTTCAGGTAAACTCGGCTCAGTCTCTCCAGGCCCTCTACATCCACAACGCGTCTCATGCTCACGGGTGATTTTCTAGGGCCCTCATATCTATGCGATTTACAAGTACGAGAAGAACATCCCAGAACGAACGGTCGCAGCACTCTACGCCGCGGGGTTCGTCTCAGGAGGAATCAGTGCCTCTTTTGCAGGAGGACTAGCCGACAGGTTCGGCAGGAAGCGAGCATGTCTGCTATACTGTGGACTGTACATTGCTACCTGCCTTTCCATGTTGAGTGATGATCTGCTGATCTTGTTCCTGGGCCGTCTTTGTGGTGGGGTGTGCACGACTCTACTCTTCAGTGTCTTCGAGGCCTGGATGATTTCCGAGTACCATGCAAGAGGGTTAGAAGGCTCAGGCCTGGACCTCAGCATGGTCTTTGGCAACATGACTACCATCAGCTGCGTAGTTGCCATCATGTCTGGCATCGTGGGCGATGTTCTGGTCGAGTTCTCTGGGACCAGGACATGGCCGTTTCTGGCGGCTGCGTTTTGCTGCGTTGCATCAGCATATCTTATCTCCATTATTTGGGTAGAATAATAATGCCATACGAAGAGCCGAAATCACCTTAGAGCTGACTATGATTTGTAGAAAGAAAATTATGGCTCACAGTCAGCAGAGCAGACCTCCATGGCTGATCTCAAGAGCGGAGTCTTGGCCATTGTTCGAGACGCAAAGATCTTATCGCTGAGCATTACATCATGCTTCTTTGAAGGCACCATGTACCTTTTCATCTTCTTCTGGTCCGCTGCTTTGAAGAGTGCTCGGACACAATCAGGATCCGATGAAGATCTACCCTTTGGTCTGATATTTTCCAGCTTCATGTGCGCAATGATGGCCGGATCCGCAATCTTCACTCTGCGCAGTTCCGCCAATGATTCGCAGTCCATGTCGAGCATGCTCATGATCGTCACATTGCTCGTCAGCTGCTGCTTGTCATTCTCGGCCGTGGTGCAAAACGAGCATCTCCTCTTCTGGGCACTGTGTCTGCTAGAGGGCTGCGTGGGCGCATACTTTCCCAGCATGGCATCGCTCAAGAGCGAACTCATCGAGGACGGCATCCGCGGACGCGTATACAGCATACTGAGGTTTCCTCTCAATGTCTTTGTCGTCGTCGCGCACAGTCTCGACGAGGAAGGTATGGTATCACCCTGAGCCACCACCCTGTCTAGGTTGGGAATGAAACTAATGTTGGACACAGGTGACGCACACCGTAATCATGTTTTCCTGGTCTGTTCTGCACTTCTCCTCGTCGCTTTCTTGGCTGCACGGAGACAATTCAACGGCAAAAGTTACTAATTGGTCTGGCCTCGACTTTGTCAAAAAAAGCAGACTGCAGTCCCATTGTACAGTTCCGTCTTGGAGACCAGGGATGTAGTGAAAATGTGTATAGATAGGTTGAAAGTAGCAGACTCTTGGTTGTGTTGAAAGGTGGGATGCTATTGTCCCGGAAAATCAAAGTTCAAGAAAATACGAGGGAAGAGAGCGTGGCATTGATGATATTGCTAACCGCAACAAGCATCTGCCTTGCTTGGAACACTGTACAAAATTTAGCCACGTTGATGGTACAATCTGGGATGGGAGTTGGTCTTTCATTTTTTCCCCTCTTTCAGTACCTGGAAATAATACAAAGTCATATTGATCGAGTTGAAAGCTAAATGGAGAAAATATATCCATTAAAAAAGTGATTGAAGACATGCATGTAATTGAAGGCAAGTAACTGGCTGTGTTAGGTATACGGTGTATACTTGGTCGAATCCGCGAGGACCTGGTTGCAATCTATGCTTTTCTTTTGAAACGAATCAAGTTTAAAGAACAGATTTCTGATTGGTACAAAGGGCAAGTGAATACCGCATAATTGTCGTCGAGGCTAATACAACGTCGGAAATGACTGTCGCGTGCCTCCAATCGGCACCTCTCGCTGATCATGGCGTTGTAGGGGTTTGGCTCTGATAGGATTTTGCGGGGTGACAGTGCTAAATCTCATTGGATGCGCCAACCTCCAGGTTATTTAATCTACATTTAGCTAATGTAAGGTTTGCGGAATGCATTTTGACACATGGCAAATGCAAATGCTATCATGGATACGTACCGGGACCAACCAATTCCAATCCCGGTTCGCTGGATGAAGAGGGATTGTGCAGAGGAACAATAATGGAATCTTAGATGTAATGCCTGCTATTAAAACATGTCATAAACTATTGGCAGATTAGTATCGCCAATTGGACGGCAGAGTTTCCCGGTCCATGCATTTATTTCTTGTGCAATCTCCCGGTTTCTGCAACTTTGTGTTGCATCCATGTTCATGTGTGTGTTCATGGCGATGGGGCTCTTTCATATCTTGCATGACTTGGAGAGCGGACCTTGCCCAAATCTCGCAAGTTGCTAATCAGCAATGGAGCCTCTCTCCCCTATCGCAGCATCCTGTTGGCGGGCTGACTGGTCACACCGCACACCGATGTTTCGTTTTTGGCGAGGCACGATGGGGGGCCTTTTTTCCCTTTGCTGTCTGCGCTCTTGTTAATCTGTTCTGTCCCCTCATCACGGTCTCACCTCACTGCTCAGCTGCCCTCAACTCAACATTGAAGAGATGCTGAAACAGGAGTTTTGACGCCCGGGCTCGTTGTTTCTCCCTTCACTTGTAAGAGACCGTCCCCGAACTGACTGTACCATAACGCCGCGTTTCCACCGGCTCAATTGGGATAATCAAGAAACTCAATCGCATCTGTTACTTTTCTGATTATCGTCGACTCTTTTTTTTTTTATTATATCATCACCTGCAGACAACAGTTGTCCGTCTCCAGCCGCCGCCGCCGACCCTGGTTTGTGCTTGCCGGGTCCCTCCCCACGAGTTGAGACGTCCACCCGCTCGCTCTTGCCCATTTATTATCAGAACCTGTAGCCCCTCAAACATTTCCTTCCCCCTCTGACTTGACTCGAGATCGGACCAGAGCAAAATCCAGACTTCCCCCTGTTCTTTGCGACCTCGGGTCTAGAACCAGAACCAGATTGCAAATCGCATCTCGACCGCACATTTCTTATCTCATCAGTATCATTTGCCTACTGCGCAGCTTCCGATTGAGCCTTCCACGTTGCGCTTGTCTTTAATATACTAATAATCCAATACCTACTTACTACCTACTCGCTATTTTTTCCTTCGCTTCCGGTTGCTGCTCTTGCTGACTCCCGTGTTCGCGTACCACATCACGCGTTTTGTTCCACGGGGGAAGAAAAAGAGAGAGAGAGAGGGATCCACTGAACAGCCACTCATCGCCTGTCCCGGGTCACACCGTGAATCCTGAAGCCGTCGAACCAGAGTAATTGGCTCGGTAATCGGGGTACAACAGCAGTTTTGCACCCTCTCACACTGCCCAACGTTTGACTGGTCCCTTGCGCACATCTGAACTCTCGAGAGTTCATGTCAGGAACAGCTGTTACTGGCCCGTTTTTGATAACCACCTTCCTTGGCAACATCACTCAGCATTCGACATTAGCAGCTTGCAGACATACGTTCCTCGGTCGGGGGCATCGCTGACGATTGCGTTCTCGCCCAAGCGGAACGAAAGAACCTGCATGTGTCTTTAACAACCTAGAACCCTTTGGTCGGTTTTGCATGCGCCAACTTTTTACTCAGCTCTACCTGCAGGAGTGGGCCCATGACCTCATCGTAACTCCATCGCATCGTCTAGGCGTGAGCACTGGTTGAATCTGAGACGTAGAGACGGCCCGTCTCAGCGACATCGTCGACTCTGGGACCCGTTCGTCATTCACGGTAGTTCTCTCTCTGCTCGCGGCCTCTTTTTTTGCTACCTTTTTGCTGCCCAATTGGGGCCACGGCGCAAGTAGTGGGAAAACCTACAGAGAGATAGAGTTGAGCTGTCTCCTGGTCAACTGCCTAGGTGCAGCCGAGGAGGATTTGGCTTTCCAGCAGAGTTCTTGGGACAAGCCGCCAAACTGTTGTCACAGTATTTCAAAGGCGCCGCTTGGCGCAGCCATACTCGTAGTCCAGCTTCGTTCATGGAGAAAGAGTCCGCCCCAGCCGACGACCCCATGAATATTGCTGGACTCGAGAAAAAGGGCCGACAAGGCGACAAGGTCGTTGTACACGCCTTGCCAAACTTCATCCACCTCGTTTCCTTGACCTTCCTTGCCCTGGTCTTGGTAAGTTGATTTTCTTTGGATCGTTCTACCCTGTGGAGAGGCGCGTTATTTTCTGGCTCTGCTACTTTCGCATCCTTCTGCCCACACTCCCACACTCCCCTCCCTCCATTCTCCAATACCTTTCCTCCACTTGATTAATTATCCCCCGCATCCACCCACCATCGTCACAGCCTTGAGTGAGTTTTGTTGCTGACCCCGCCATACATAAAAGATTGCCCAACTCTTCCTCACTGACGCAAAGTTCCAATATTCGCGTCTCTTTTCTACACATCCATTTCTTACGCGGCTTCCTTTCACTTCTCCTGCTGCTACCATCTACGAGCCCATCTGCGAAAGCCCACAACCATTCCCAACTGCTCCTCCTGTTTCAAAAGTTCGCACCATGGCTCTTCTTGAGGAGACGAAGCGCATCACTGCGCAGTTCGACTACTCCGACGACAATGTCAATAAGGGCGTCGAGGAATTTCTGCGCCAGATGAGTAAGTATCCTTGCATTCCCACTTCCATTCGATCCGGCCGTTGAGACGTTTGCAGACGAGGGCTTGGAAAAGGACGGAACCAGTCTCAGCCAGATCCCTACTTATGTGACCGGCGTACCCAATGGTACCGAAAAGGTATGTCTATTCCCAAGCTGCGTACTTGTCAAATCACGGACAATGATCCTAACCCATCCTTAGGGTCTGTACCTTGCCGTCGACCTAGGTGGCACGAATTTCCGTGTCTGCTCTATTCACCTCAACGGCGACACAACTTTCAACCTCACCTACAGCAAAGTCGCCATTCCCAAAGAGCTCATGCTCGCCAAGAAGTCGGAAGATCTTTTTGGTTTCTTGGCCAAGCAGATTGAGCTTTTCCTCAAGGAGCACCACAAGGATCACTTCTATGCCTCCATCCGCCGACGAAACACCGTAAGCAGCCCCGATGGCTACAAGGACGAGGAGATCTACCGACTGGGTTTCACCTTCAGTTTCCCTGTTCAACAATTCGGTATCAACAAGGGCAACCTCATCCGGTGGACCAAGGGCTTTGACATCCCCGACACCGTGGGCAAGGATGTTTGCGCACTTCTTCAGGATGAGATTGACAAGCTGCACCTTCCCGTCAAGGTTGCCGCCCTTGTAAATGACACCGTCGGCACATTGATGGCCCGCTCCTACACATCGCCTGGCAAGACCAGCACTCTTTTGGGTGCCATCTTTGGTACCGGCACCAACGGAGCCTACGTTGAGAAGACGAGCAACATCAAGAAGTCGGTCGAGGGCGAGTTTGACAAGTCAACTGGCAACATGGTCGTCAACACCGAGTGGGGCTCCTTCGACAACCAACTCAATGTTCTCCCCAACACGTCTTACGATATCGAGCTGGACCAGAAGAGTGTCAACCCAGGAATCCAAATGTTTGAGAAGCGAGTGTCAGGAATGTTCCTCGGCGAAATCGTGCGTCTGGTCATTGTTGACATGCTCAAGAATCCCAAGATTTCGCTGTTCCGCGACGACAACTCTAGCTCTAATGACTGGAAGTCGACCACATTCATCGACGGGCAATCGAGTCTCCTGACCCAATGGGGACTGGACAGCTCGCTCTTGTCGATCGCCGCTGCCGACAACACGCCAGAGCTTTCGACCCTGCGACAAGAACTTGACAAGGCCCCATTGAACATTTACTCGGCTTCCCTCGAGGATGCACAAGCATTCAAGAGTGTCGCATACGCGGTTGGACGTCGTGCTGCTAGACTCTCAGCTGTTGCCATTGGTGCAATTGTCCTCCAAAGTCGTCAGCTCGAGGATGGCACTGATGAGGCTATCGACATTGGTGTCGATGGTTCCCTCGTTGAGCACTACCCCTACTTCAGGGATATGATCTACGAGGCACTCCGCGCCATCAAGGGCATTGGTCCTGAAGGCGCCAAGAGAATTCGCATTGGTATTGCTAAGGACGGCAGTGGTGTTGGAGCTGCTTTGATTGCTCTCGTGGCAGCTGGTATGGAGAACAAGGGTGTCACTGGCACCGTTAGCCACTTGGTCAACGATGCCAAGGATAAGATTTCCAACGCCGTCCCGACAAAGGGCAGCTCAGCAACGGTGATCTAGAAGAGCCCGTTGCATCTCCCACAAAAGTCGGTGCTTGAGCGTGGATGTTGCTATTAATGAATCATTGCATAACGATGTGAAGGCATGGCTTTACTGTACGAGGTCACGACAATTGCCAGGAGAATCATCGGATGGCGTTTTGGGGAACACATTTGCTTTTCATTTACGGTTGCTGACGTGGCATGGCCGGGCGGGTTTATTGATATGTAGAACGGGAAGTCTACTGTTTTTTTTGTAATACCATGAGACTTCAATCAATGTCTTTCACATATACACGACGTTTCTAAGATTTACGTGCAAATAAAAAGGTTGGAAGTCAGGAACAAGAAGTTCCCTAGATTATCCTGTTGGTCTTGGTTGTATTCATGTTTTTACCCAGTGTCTATCCGGAACATGGAGTCTATTCCTATGCAATCGCCATGTCTTTTGTTTACCGCTTAGCCCTAGAACCGTTTATCTCCATTCGTTTCTCTCATCATCGTTCATTCATCTCTTACTGGTCACGCATAATTGAACCCCCCATTTCTCGTCCTAATGAGTCCGTAAGACGCAGTGAAATTTTGTAAAGGAACATATCCACCCGACAAGCTTGTGAACGTCTGAATTACCTCGTACAACATCGTCACACAACGTCTGAGCACCAATCCCACGCCACGCGGTGCTCCTCGGGCACGAATACGTAGCTTTCCTAGTTTCCAAACGCAGCGGCTGGATATGCGCGATCCCTCTTCTTGCGCCCGACGGTCGAGCTGCTGCGAGAGCTAGCGCCAGAGTTGGCGCCACTGCCTGGCACAGACAGGTTATTGCTGGGAGTTCGAGTTGCCAAGACCATATCTTCTGGCAGATCATTCCACTCGTTCTCAGGGCCCTTCTTTTGGTAAGATGTACCGGAGATGGGAGGAGGTCGGGTAACGCTAGGGTTGGGCGATCTGGCACCGGAAGGCGGTCCGGAAGATGGCGGCGGCGGTGTCGTCGTTATTGTCGAACTCGTGAAACTAGCTACAGGTGGCGTCGAGACCTTGGCCAGGCCGGCGTGGGTGCCGATGCCATTTGCCTTTACCGCATCCAAAGTCCTACCGGGTCGGCCGCTCACGGAGCCCAGACTGATATCCCTTCTCACAGCCCAAGCATTGCTTGGTTGCAGCTGCCGGTAGTATCCCTCGATGACGGGTTCCACCTTGGCGAAACCTCTTGCTTTATACCACTCCCAACCCTCCTCATTCTCTGTCCAGACGTGAGCGCAGACGGTGCGGCACGCAAACCTCTCATCGCGGGCCGCCAATGTGCACACTTCCTCGAGCATGCGCGCCGCTAGACCTAAACCTCGGTACGGCTCCTGTAGGACCAGGCTCTGGACGTAGAGGGCATCTGGTATGAGGTCTTGTGCCGAGTTTGGGCGAGGCTGGAAGGTAGTCTGGGGTCGGCAGACCAGTCCTCCGATCAAAGTCGGCTTGGGCGATGGGTTACTGGGAGTCGGAGTATCGGTCCAGAGCAGCACGCGGGAGAAGGCGCCCGAAGACAAGGGATCGCTCAGAGGGACGTAGAATGAATCCGGATAGCGCACGGGAAGCAGGCGTGCCGTCAGGTGCTTGAGGCTCGGTATGTGCGAAGGCAGGATTGGGGAGAGTGTGATGTTGGGATGATGGGTTGGTGTCGGCGCGGGCATGGGGACCGCAGTTGCTGGTTCGCCACTCCCATTTTCGGCCGTTCGTAGAGGCAGTGGAGGAGCGGCTGGAGGAGGCAACGGCGCACTCTGGGGAGCTTGCGGAGGAGCACTCGATCTCGGACTGGACGTATGTTGGGATACCTGCGGCGGCGGCGGTGAATGTTGTTGTTGTGGCGAACGCTCAGCGGATGGAGGGGCGCCGTACTTGGGCGCCGCGGGCTGGAAGAAGGATCGGATGGACGGTTGAGAGCGTGGCGGCCCGCCGTTGAGGTTCTGCGACGGCAATGACATGGCGGTGGGCAGCAATTATGTACAAGGAATGGTACAGTAGAGAAGATTATATATCAATGAGTGACTGACTGGACCAAACGGACGAGTAAAAGAAGAAGGAGAAGAAGAAAAGCCCTAAAATTAGAGAAAAAAGGACGATGCTAATGTACACGCGTAGAATGAATCAAATGTCCGTCCCATAGTGGGATGGACGGACAACATGTGGCATGTGGATTGTCCCCTCCACTCTGGCAAGAGCCTAAGTGGTAGCGCAAGATCCCGGAGCTGCAACGACGCTTCCGGCAGCTGTTGTGGGCAATAATTGCCCCCACCAAGCCTTCAAGGTCCCTTGCTCTCTTCCTTCTTACTGCTTGTCCTGGGCTGGATATTGGGAACCTAATTGCCATGAACCACTCAGGGGCCTTGTTTTAGCTTTCAACACATGTACGTAAAGTCCACGGCTATGGATCTGTCTTGTAAATTAGAAGGCCCAGATACATGTATTGCCGTCTTGTCTTTGTCAGGAGAATTAAAGGCTTTTCTGTATCATGTATCCTTTCACCTAGATGTGCTATAAGTCAGGTGTAGATTACATTCCTCGTTGCAAAATAGGCCCATCGGTGGCCAGATGGAATGAGGTCGTTGAGGCACATGTATGGTTTCCTTTGAACATGACACATGTGGTAAGTAATTTCTACAGTCTTAGTATAAAGAGTCTGTGGAAGCCGTAACTAACTGGTTACAAGCTAGAAATGTAGGCTCGGCGAATAGGACGTCGATGCTCTCATTACAACAATGTCCTCATTTCTCAAACACCTCGAGTGACGCTTTTAGAAATTGATTAGCCAGGCATATTAGAAAGCAAAAGCTTGCCAAATCTGGCACGCCATACATCCATGGCAGTCTCGTGCTCGTTCCTGGCCTGAGCCCGATGAATAATACATTAGATACGTCCATGGCTCCAATTGCAAACGAATGACCACCTCGGTCTTGATGTCTTATTAGTACATTGTCCTGAATCATACCTAGAAAGCTAAAGTTTGCACACTGGATAACTTCGGCGTACTGAAAATCTCTTACTTAGAAATTAGGTCAATGAAGCGATGAACTAAAAGAACTCTATAAACCTCTACAACAGAGACGACAAGATTCAACTCTTTTTGCGAGGCAGATTATTGTCAAGCTACTACTAACATATCCCCTGGTGTGGCCGACGAAAGACGCTGAAAGTGATCAATCAGAGGTCGCCTATCACCTGGTGGGCCCGCGCCGCGCCGCGCCTAAAAGCTTTAAACTTACCTAGAAGGGACCTACAACCATGCCTAAGAATTACCATTCCCTGAAATCTTTCGTCACTCCTTTCCCGAAAGTTTGAAGCTCAAGGGAAGAAAAAAAAAATTGTCCTTCTTCAGCTGCAACCCTTCAGACGAGACAATTGGTCGTAATCTCTGTCAGAATTGGCCATTATTTTAACTCATGTTTTCTATCTCAAACGGCGACGAACTGGCTTGTGATTCCTAGAGGCAGATGCGCGCGCGACACATAGCTGAACAATCGGGATTCGTTGGAGGCTCAATCGGCAGGTGTCTGATTTCTCCAGCCAGAGAGAGATTACCTACCTACCCGTAGGCAGAGCGAACGCCAGACTACTAATGTAATCTTTTCCCCGTCCACCCACCGACCCGGCCACCGACAAGCGCAATTCGCATCTCATTACGCGCAGCAACTCATTCAAACCTTACCAAGTGCTACTACTTCGTGCACCTACCCCAAAATCGCCCGACTTGTCATCCTTCAACACCAGGTCGACGGTTTTCCCAACCACCATCGTCAACATGTCGTCCCAGCCAAATACTGGCAAGGCGGGCGTCATCAAAGGTGGCAGTTCTACTCTAGGCAAGCTTGTAAGTTTTACTAATACATCTCTCTTCGTCTCGCACTCTGGCCTACACGAGAGCAAAAAAAGCTCTGGTCGCATTAAACCCCCCAGAGTTCTAGCAGGCATGCGATCCTTATCCCGCTCCGGGAAAAAAACCAACTGCCTTACCATAAAAATTACCCACAACTGACAAGAACACACTGCACTATTATCACGAGGCTGTGGGACAAGGCTACTGACACAATGCACTCTTTTCTAGGCAAATTCAGTCCTCGACGACTTATTATACAACATCTGCCATGATTTATTACTCAAGGTGCACCGGGACGAGAAGATCGCCCGTGCCTCGACTGCCGCCATCCGTGTCGAGAAGCTCGCTGCTGACACTTCCGACACCTCACAGCCTGATGTCCGCCCCGACCTAAGAGTCGAGACAGACGCCGCCATCTACGACGACGGCAAGGTTCTGCTCAAGGGAAACCCGCTCGCCACAACCAAGGATATCCTGTGCCCGAGATGCCACCTGCCACGTCTGCTATATCCTACCGAGGGAAAAGGCGCAAGGAAACCCGACCCGAGCATAATATACTGCAAGAAGCACCCGTATATTGACAAACCGGGATTCGACATCTATGGTCAGACCTGGGTGCCCCAGGGTCCAGGCAGAGGCAAGAAGAAGAAGGATATGGAAAAGAAGATCGAGACGACCCCACAGGACACACCAGGCGGTACACCGGGACCTGACGAAAGCGGTGGCAAGGGCGGCGCCGCATCGAGGCCTCCGAACGTCTTGTCCTTTCCTTCGGCCACCTGCAGTAAATGCAAGCGTTGCATCCTCGTAACACGACTCAACAACCACATGGGCTCTTGTATCGGCAACAGCGGCAGAAATGCCAGTCGCGCAGCGGCACAAAAGATCAGCAACGGTGCCAACGGACACAGTGGAAGTCAGAATGACAACACCCCACCCAATAGCCAAAAGGGAACGCCGGGCCCTGGCTCGAGAGCAAGCAGCCCCAAGAAACGAGCTAGCGAGGAAGTCAATAGCGACGATGACTCGGAGAACGACGCTGCCCCCAAGAAGAAGAAAATGAAGCCAGCCAGTGTTGTTAATCCACCGAAGAAGGTGATTCTCAAGACAAAGGGCAGTGCTACAGGTCCAAAGAAGGAGAAAGTCAAGACCAACTCTCTCTTGAGTGTGGAGCAGAAAGTAGATGATGATGATGCCGATGGCTCAACTGTCGAAGTCGCACCCAAGAAGAACATATCCAAGCAAGCCAGCCCGGCAAAGAAGCTGAAACTTGGTGTTTCAAAGCCATTGCTGACGTCGCCAGCAACCAAGAATGGCAAGATAACCAATAGAACCTCAAATGGCGGCGGCGGCGGCGATGATGCTGGCAGTGAAAGCTCAGGAACGCTATCATCTCCACCAAACGTTTAACGGCACAGTGGCAGGTCCCCTTGTGCTTTCTCATACAGAGATAGACATATCAGCCAGGGCATATGCCTATTTGCATTTACGTTTTTCGAGCGTCTTGGACAACGTCAAATCGATTCTTGGTCTGCATACATGTCAGGTTCCTCTCTTCTGCGTTTCAAGGGAAACGCCCTTCTGTATACTCCTACATTCATATCTGCATGGTCTGGGGGTTTGGTTGCTTTGTCATTCATGTTGTCCAGGTCATGGACACGACGGGGGATATTTTTTCAGGGGTTTAGGCGTTGGCAAGTGACTCCTTTGATATCACGAGGATCGAAAAAGACGGCGTCCGGTCTTGTTTACACACTTACACACACCTTGGCACTTTTTTTGTATTATACGCAGCTGATTGTGTGGTCTTCCATATTATGTAAATTCGATTCCCCAAATGGCGACCACAAAGTATCATGTAATTTAACATGACAAGGGGAAGTTTTGTTCGCCCATCACTGTTTGAAGTAGTTTCTTTTATCCATACCAAGTGACTGCGAAGAGAAATGTCATTTTATACCGACGCCCAACGCCTTCCAATGCTTAGAATATATGGTAGACCATGGGTATTTTGAGGTCCCCGAAATATTTCTTGGCTGATGGTACCCGATCGTAAACTACGCGCCTTCCGGATTTCACCGAGGCGGCCATCTTATAAATGTCCATATCTTGGAATGATTACGAGAACTCTTCATTGTTCTCCTCGACAATCCGCGCCCGCAGTATCTTGACCTCCTCGACAGGACGATCTTCCTTGTCTGTGCGAACCATGCCCATGCGCTTGACGACGCCGAGGCCGCTCTTGACGCGACCAAAAATGGTGTGCTTGCCGTCCAGCCAGGGGGTCGGGGCGAGGGTGATGAAGAACTGGGAGCCATTGGTATTGGGCCCAGCGTTGGCCATGCTCAGGACGCCGGCGCCCGTGTGCCGGAGGCCGGCGTGGATCTCGTCGTCGAACTTGTCGCCGTAGATGCTGGCGCCGCCCCGGCCCGTCCCTGTAGGGTCGCCCGTCTGGATCATAAAGTCGGAAATGATGCGGTGCACAACGCAGCCGTCGTAGTAGTTGCGCCGCGCCAGCTCGGCAAAGTTCTTGCACGTCTTGGGCGCGTGTGTCGTGTACAGCTCCACCGTGATGTCGCCCATCGAGGTCGAGAGTAGGACGTCGGTCGTCGCCATTGCTTTTTAAGTGGGTGCCGTCTCTATGTATGCTGCGAGGCGACTTTGGGTGATTTTCTATGTAGAATCAAACGAGTGGACAATGTAGAGCGGCAAGTGTTCCGAACAATGTGTTTTTCCTCTTGTTTGTTTTTCAACACCACCTTTGAATTGATCCAGTTACGCAACCAGGCACAAATTGAAGCTTCGCCAAAGCTTTGGCGGGGCTCAGCGATGAGGTGGATAATTTACACGAGCTAGACTTTTTGACTACGTATCTTTTTTTCCCCAGGGCATTTTTTTTCCTAGTCCAGGCAGTGCTTCGCTGGTCATTTTTTTGCGATAGCCTAAGGTACAACTTGAAAAGTAGCGGCGGTGACGCTAGGCATTGCAAGGGCTCGCCACTGATTAAGGTATGTAGCCACTGATTATGGGCCTGATTATTCATGTTCCGTGGAGGGGGTCCTGCTGCAAGGCTACCACCGGCGTCAGAAGAACACATGCCATTTTGCGTTTACCATTCTCCTCTTCCTGGTTTTTTTTCTTTCCCGATCTTAATTTCGGCCTCAGCATTCATTGTCATTGTAAAATTCCCAATAATATTGGACTACATTGAAAGGAGCCTCCCATCTTCATCTGATATTTCAAGTCGGAAGGAAGTTTCAAGACGCCACTTTGCCTGACTCGTTGGTCTTTAGAAATTCAACAGGCTCAATCTGAGGCAGAAGCATCTCGTACGTTGCCGACACCTTCAGTAGATCCAGGCCTGAATGCAATATTATCGAGTCACCGCCAAAGAAAAAGCATCGGAAAATTAAGCCTTTTCTCCCCAAGCACCTTGTCGGCCACCCCTCGAGACTTTGGATGCTTATACGACTTGCTTGCGCCTCACTGTTGGCTAGCTCGACGACACATTTGGGCCACAAGGAGAAAGGCAGCCGCATCCACGGGGTTCAATCTAGCTCACGAAGATTAATCGACCGTGGTATATCTGGCCGCACCTAACCCAGGTGTCCGGATTAGTCAATTAGCCTGAGCGGGACTATATATCGTCTGCTCTTTCGGTGTGCAATTCCTCACGGATGAACAAAATTTCACCTGTCCTACAACGAACGACATAACAAACATGACCAATTCTTCGGCAGATGGAGTGCCGGGTGACGGATTGGATGTGACGGGAAATCTGACTTTGTTCCAATCATTCTCTCAAATTCCTGCAGACTTGTGGAAACACCAAGATCTTCTCATTATCCAGACCAAGGTTGTTTGCGCCGCTCTTGGATGTATTTATCTCGGAGCACATGCTTCTCTGCGACGTCCGCCTAGCGCAAGCCCACCACCCAAGAAGTCGAAATCAGGAAAGACAAAGAAAGATGAGGATCAGGATGACCAGTTCGTGCAGGGGCTTGTTGCCTCGGATGCCATCATGTTTCCCATCATGGCCGGCACGGTTCTCGTTGGTCTTTACTATCTGATCAAATGGCTAGAAGATCCTGCCATCATTAGCAAGATAATGGGCATCTATTTCTCAGTCATGTCGCTCGGCAGTATAGCCAAAATGGCTGCTGATTCACTTCACTTCATCACTGGATTCATCTTTCCTGAGGTGTGGAAGTCGACAAGTGGCACCTTGTACCACTTTGACAACTCCCGCAAGTGCCTATATACGCTCAGCGAGTCTGGTGAGCGTATATACGACAACTCAAAACAATCACCATTTCCCGGTGTGTTGAGCTTTGTTGGCCTGACGGAGCAGAGACGCAACACGTTCTGGGAGCTCCGCCACCTATTCTATGAGCACTGGACAATCCGCATCGGCATGCATGGAATCGGGAAGCAAAAGTTCCAGGTCAAGCTCAATGACGTCCTCGGAGCATTCTTGGCCATCGGCGCAAGCATCCTTTACCAAACCACCAAGTCGAACTTCCTGTCAAATGTCATGGGCTATGCATTCTCCTACGTCGGAGTCATTACACTCTCCCCCACTACCTTTACCATTGGTAGTTCTGTTTTGTTCGGCCTGTTTTTCTACGATATCTACATGGTTTTCTACACGTAAGTACCTGGCACGAACATGCACGGATACCCGAGCTGACAGACACATGACAGTCCATACATGGTGACCGTTGCCACAAAACTTGATGTCCCCATCAAGCTAGTTTTCCAGTCAAACAAGCAATCCAGCATGCTCGGACTTGGTGATATAGTTGTTCCGGGTATCTTTATTGGTCTTTGCCTCCGTTTCGATCACTTCTTACATTACTACCGCCAGCAGAAGTTGATTCCCGTTGAACTGGAGACTGAAGCTACCTCAGAGGATGGCCAGATCTCAACCAAGAAGGAAACGCAGCGTATTGTCCACAAACCTGTGTACGTCAATCCCCAGGGCCAGTGGGGCAATACGTTTTGGGGCAACTCGAGTGCCACTCCCGCCACAAAGGCCGCTGGCTTCAAGAAGACATACTTCACGGCTGCCATGGTAGGCTACCTGTTAGCCATGGTGATGACGTTGGCTATGCTGTTGATATTCAAGCACGCCCAGCCTGCGCTTCTGTATCTTGTCCCTGGCGTCGTATCAGCGGTGTGGATCACAGGTCTTGTCCGTGGCGAGCTCCGCGAAATGTGGATTTATACTGAGGATGGTACTCTGGATAAACAAGACGTTGTTGTTGAAGTTGATGGAAACGGAAACGTGATCAAGGAGATTGAAGAATCGAAAGCCGACCAAGACGAAGTAAAGAAAAAGGACAGTGATGCGGCCAAGGCATTGGTGGACAAGCAAGGCGAAGATGCAGCCGATGAGAAGTCCAAGTCCTCTGAGTCTACCAAGAAGTCACGATCGAGGACTGTCTTTGTGTTTTCCATCGAGGCGCCGCCTTCGCCTGCAGAAGTAGAGGCATCAAGCTAATTGTACTTGTGAGCAAAGTAGTAAGCATAATGGCTGGATGGCTTGCCCTACATTGAGCGACAAACAGCTATTGTTACCAATAGATACAAATGCATCGCCAAGACAGTCTGTAGTCATGACTCGATATCATATAACACAAGTAACTTGCCAATTGACGTGCCTTGATCGACCTTTAATAACACAAACCAGGAATGTAGGGGTATCCCTCATCCTAATCTAGACCACTGTCGGATTCTTGACTACGTGACTTGATACAGGCTGCAGCCAGAGAAAGAAGAGAGCGGCAAGATCTAGAAATAGAACTTTGACGCTGGTCGCCGATTATCCGGGCCGGTTCGAGGGGTTACCGAAAAAGTATATCATTGGGTACCAACAACAACAACAACTAGGTGGTAGTTTATGGGGTACATAGCTGATATCCCGCCAAGATGTGCAAATAAATTCCCTCTTTATACGAACCTATAGACTTGCTCCTCATCTCGTGCTAGTCGCAGAATGTAATATATAAATATAGTAACTGCCAACAGCTCCCAACCCTGCAAGTCGCCTTCGGATCTGTGTGTGTGTGGTCAACGCAATAAGGGTTCGGACGCTAAACAGATTACCCCGCAGTCTCTTGTCCTGGTCCTGTCCACTAAAGATGGTTCGTTTCATAGAGCTCTTTTGTGTTATGCACCTGCAGTACAGCTCAAGCTACTAGTTGGTAGTTAGTCATTGGCGATGTAGCCCGGCACTGTATTCCGTGCCTACCTTACTGACAAAGTATGTTCAGCTCTGCCCATTGTGGCCAGGAATGGATGCAACGCCAAAACGCATCCGGGAATACCAAGATCGTACCGACCATACGGCTTCGCTTACCGACCGGGTGGCGCACCCCATTATTGAAAAGTGCCCAGCCTTTTTTTCCGCTCGATCCAAGGCTTGGGAAGAAGCAACCAAGAATCTCACATTACAGCTCTCGGGAGCCAAGATTTTTTCTTTGCGAGCTTTCTCGGGTTTTGTCACGTGGCGTAGGCTGACGGCTGACAGGTCCGTGGGAATCAGAGGATTAGATAAAGAAGGAAACATTCCCGGTTCTCCCCAATCGAGTGCCCGGCTCAAAAAGTTTAAACCCAACTTCTCTGATAGAAGAAGAACCTATCGAGGAAGCAAGTAACATCCTTTATCTCACCCATATAGCGCCATGACCAAGACCAGTGTCCAAGTGATCCAATGGATCGTGGATACACGCAACCTGTGGCCCGAAGCCACCAAACCAGCACAGCTAGAGACTGTGGTGAGTAGATGAAAAAAAAAAAAAAAAAAGACAAGAACACGGGATGCATTCGGGACCTTTTGCCAGGACTAGGGGCACACATTTTCGACTGATCATGCAAACTCCCAGGCTCCGGAATACCTGGCCATCCTCACGCCCGAGGAGAAAAAGGGCGTGCTCAAGTACTTTTTCATCCGGGATGCCAAAATGTCGCTCGCCTCGCAATTTCTCAAGCACTACGTGCTGAGCAAGACGCTCGGCCTGCCCTGGTCCGCCACCACCATCACCCGGGACCCGCACGGCAAGCCCATCTACGTCGCCCCCGACGGCTCCCGGCCCGTCGAGTTCAACGTCTCGCACCAGAACGGCATCGTCGCCCTGGCGGCCGTGGCGCACTATGACGGCCCGGGCGCCGTCGACGTGGGCGTCGATGTCGTCTGCGTCAATGAGCGCGAGGCCCGCGACCACAAGATGATTGAGACCGAGGGCTGGGCCCGCTTTGTCGACATGCACGCCGACGTGTTTGGCAAGTCCGAGACGGTCGACCTCAAGGCCGTCGGCAGGCTCACTGGCCAGTCCAAGGACGTTCTTAATGCCCACCTGCGCAAGTTTTACGCCCTGTGGTGCCTGCGCGAGGCCTACGTCAAGATGACAGGCGAGGCGCTGCTGGCACCCTGGCTGCACCAGCTGGAATTCCAGAACCTGCGGGCGCCCGAGGCGGGCCACACTGACGCGTCCGGGACCTTGGTCCAGACGGCCGACGATCCGCCGTCGACCATTATCCGGGAGCACGAGGTCTTGTTCAAGGGCGCCAAGGTCGACGACGCCAACATCTGCCTGCGGTCGCTGGGCCGGGACTACATGACGGCGACGGCGGTGCGGACGCCGGCGAGCAAGGAGATTGCCCTCGGTTGGGACCTGGGCCCCTTTGAGACGCTGGATCTTTCCATCATACTGAAGCATGCGACTTTCTAGTTTGAGCACCAGGTCTTATACAAAACGGGTATCAAATGATAAAAGTCTATGAGGCATTTAAGACTAGTCGTGACACATCTCTAACCGGAGATGTTGATAATGTTATCTACGGGGGATCAATCCAGAGGGCTGGAACCCAAGAGAGCACCACGAGAAGAAGCTCATGTTGAATATATTCTTTCTTGGCTGTAGCTCGTGGCCTACACTTGCCATTCCTTACACATATCTTCTTGCTGATGCAAGCAAATCAGAGTTACAACCCTGATGCCCAAGTAAATCGTCTCATTTAGGTTGCACTAACAAAAGATTGACACTGCTCGATAATAGACTGTCTGCGCTGCAATCACTTACTTTGCCTGCCCAAGTTCCTTTTTTTTTTTTTTTTTTTGTGAGGAGATTCCCGTCTGACTTGGTGGTTATGGTCTGTTGTCATTATATCAACCAGGCAGATATCTCGACTTTGTGGGATATCATGGAACCATGCCCATATCAAAAAGTCGCATGGCATGAGGTGCCCGTCCGAGTATAATATCGAGTATGTTCGTAAAAGAACGTGAGAAGGAAGATGAATGGCAAGTTCTCGGAGCTTCTTATATGATATGGAGGATAACTTATACATCTGCACGCAATTATAATGCAAACTCTGATAAAAAAAAAAAAGAAGAAAAAAAGAAAAAAAGCAACAATAGCCGCTCACCTAAAAGGATAAATCTAGTGCCACGAAAGAAACCGACCGAGGTGGTACCAAACGGCCCGGGTTGGACGGGCAGGGCCGAGAATCAGCATATATTTAACAAAAAGGCGGGGGCCACTTGACCACGTACAGTAAGAATTGCACCTTAAACACTGTCTTAAGCTTGGACTTGTCGCAGATAAAATATTGTCTTTATGGCTGTTTTACAGGTATTTTACGATAAAAACAGCATTATACCATAACGTATTATTAGCACTGTGTAAAGCTTGCGTAAATTGGTATATTATAATCACGAAAAGTAAAAAGCAGGTCTGGCCAGACCTGCTTTTTTACGATTATAGACGATGAGGGCATTTAGTCTCTATCGTTTGGAGATACGATTACAGAAAACGAGGGTGGCTAGTCCCCGTCGCCTGGATTGCTACGTATAATTACAGACGATAAGGGTGGCCAGTCCCTATCGGCTGTAATTATATATAAGCTTCTTTTGTTCCTATTTGTTTCTTTCCCTTCCTATATGTTTCTTTCCCCTTTTCCTGTTTTCGTTTTTTTTATTCCAGAGCCTTTGTTTAGCCCGGTGCCGTCGACGGATAAAAGAAGCTTCTCCGGCATTTTTTTTTTTCCTCTTTTTTTTTTTACCTCCCAATTTCACCCGTAAAGTGCTGGCTGTACTGGCTGGCTGTACTGGCTGGCTGTATTGGCTGTTGTACTGGCTGTTGTACTGGCCATAATTTCTTTTTCTTTGGTATAATAGATGGTAATCTTCAGGGTTGATCAGGCCCGTGAAGTAAGTGTATGGATAGAATAAAAAGAAATGCCGTAGTCGGCGATATATCTGGCGATATATACGGTACGATAGTTTCGTTACCTGGAGCCTATAGAAAATAAAAGAATTTAAGGGATTTATGCAACGTCGATATAGAAATACGTAGAAATTGCTATAGTATCGATACGAAAGTATTATATCCGACGGGATTCTGCATATTTCTTCGTATAAGACAGTGTTTTGGGGGCCATTTCTTGCCATTTACAGCTGTCTTAACCCGCTATTCGTTGAACTGCAGCCTCAACATCGGTGAGGATCAAGGAACGCTGTATACCAAATGCTTTGTGTTACCAGAGTTGCAACCATAAGCTGACGATTGCTTTGACGGCCGTTTTTGGACACCAAGACATTCGGTCCCGCGCAACCGCAAACTGACAAGGATGGGAATTACTCATTAGTGACACAAACTGACATGTTCTTCTTCTACCTAGTAGATATGCATGGCTCTTTGTGCGAGTTTGACAGACGCTTTTGGTGATTCCGCAAGACTATATCTTATGGAATATGTTGGTAACATTGCGTCCGTACTAGACGCGTCAACCTGAGGGACTTTGGGGCCATCTGTGAAATCTGACATGCAGCCGAGGATTGTCAATATAGTCGCGCTGCTTGGTTGGTAACGGGCTGCATCAATTCTGAGCACCCAAACGGCCGTACCTTTCATACATGTTTTTCAACAGCTCTGTGGCGTGCACTGTTACCGGATTCGGCTTTTTATGCACAACTGGGCGCTCTGGATCAAAGCCACGCAAGCCGGAACTGGTAAATGATGAACATAAATACGAGTCGGGCGTAGGGGCCTATCCATGAATATATGCCAAACCCACCCCCCACATGTGCTGATCGGTAAGCGAACCGACCTGGGAGGAACAGATTGCACGTGTTGATTGGCAAACAGCATGAGACCATCTCTGGGGTAGCTGAAATTGATAAGCTCAAATGATATATCTGGTCGTATAATACCAAATCATCTGAGGGCCTCCGGTTTCGCATCCTGTCGTGCACTTTATGAAGGAAAGGCTGCCATGGGCGCAACCTGGTTTTGTTTGTTGGATGAAATATAGGGACTGCGTCGGGGCAGCTGTAGATCGATCGCTTGGTGGCACAGCATCATGCAGAAGCTCAGGGCAAAGTCCCGCCAGTGCGCACACCTTTTTTCTTTTTCTTTCATTCTTTGCAATGAACTGGAGTCTGGGCGCTCGGCTAATATTGGAAACGTTCAGCTGGGCCGGTGATTGATTGAAAGTCCTGGAAGCTACTATATCCTGGATGACTATAAGGTATCCATTGTCAGGTGCCTCCATTTTAAAAGCCGCTTAATACTCACCAATCAATTTATAGTCCGCCTGCCTTTCAATCCAGGCTGCACGTACCGGACTAGGGAAATCTTTGCAGAATTGCCAAAGAACTTCATATGCATGGGGCCTTTTTTGGGGGGAACCCACATGGTAGGCGGCAGGCCACCACGGTGAGCTATGTTTCTTCTCACCGACTCAGTCCCTGCCCATTTGCCGTGGCCGAGCATTGCAATTAATGCGGCAGGATCTTGACCAGCTCAGACCGGTCAGACACCAGAGCTGACGCACAACAGCACTCGTAAGATCTTGTCTAGAGAAAATCCTTGATGCTGAGCTGTCATTTCTGACCAATACCATGGGCGTCAATGAGCTACCGGAGAACCAAGTCCCATGAATCAGCCAACCACCCTTGCAAATTGCATTGGAGAAAGCGCAGCGATTGGTTGCGAGAGCCATCGTTGGTTCACGGTATCTGGCCGGCCGGCAATGTACGGATAACCTCAATTGGCTGCTCATGTTGCACTGTACTGCAGCGCTCATATTCATTAGATGTCTAGGTCAGCGTTTAGCCAAGACTCACCATTGAGAGAATCCGTCATCATGCGCACATGGCAGAACCGAGCAGTTTTGGTTGCCCCAAATATTGCGTGGCGCAATATAGTGCTCTTCAGCCTTGATGAACTTGTCTTGCTTGACTCGCGTTGCGTATAAATACGGGGGCCTGGAGCTTGAACCAGGGATGGGGATTTGTCCGTCCACAATTAAAATTCTTCTTGTTTCGTACTCCATCTCGGACATCCGCACCAGCTTAAACAAAATCTGAAAAATAAGATTTGTTGTTCGGGTTCAGCTTTGAAGGCAGCCATGGTGGTCGAGTCAGTTATTGGCGAATATGCAAGTGCTATAAACAAGAGCTGGTCGCTAAAGGTGAATGTATCGTCCATCGAAAGCGATTTCAGCAGAAACTCACGAGCGACTCCAGCAATGGCGGCTTCTCTGCTAGAACAGGCCAAAGACAAAGCCATAAGGCTCCTGAATAGGCCGTGGCATAAACGTCAAGTGATCTGGAACGATCATGAATGGGATAACCTCGAACACCACTCAGAAGCTTACGATACACAAGCGCTGATGATTAGTTGTGGAACCGTCACGATTGATGGGCCTGAATCGTCTGAGCGACAGGTACTGCTCATATGGAACAAGAATACCAGCGCTGTGAGTTAAACTCCCTTCTGTCGCGCCAGGAACATGGGCCGGCGACACTTTTCTTTGTCAAGTCTAAGCTCTGGTATTCTGTAGACTGAATCAGGACAAGGAAGTAGCTGACCCAGACTGTATTTAGTGGCAATTGCCCAAGGGCAGAAAGAATGTCCACGAAGACTTTTCCGAGGCGGCGCTGCGGGAGACTACAGAGGAGACCGGTGTAGCGGTTCAGCCTCTGTATATGAGATTTTGCACGCGGCTGACTCTGCCAGAAAGGACAGAAGACGAGACAGCAGTGCAACTGAGACGACATAGAAGCGGTAGCCGGACGGATAATGGCACCATCAACCTACTGAACAGGGACATATTCTGCATCAGTCAATATCCTGATCCTGCCACGGGTGCAATGAGACACATATACTGGTATGCCGCCAGACCGCTGAGGACGGCAACGCCAAACCCAAACCTGCTGGGCCGCGACGACAGTGCTAATATAACGGCTCAATGGTTTCCTGCGGCCGAGGCCGTGAGTCGCCTTAAAATGTCGGTGGAGCGCAGGGCAGTGGCTCTGGCAGTGCATTATGCAGAGCAAATGACAGAAGAGGAGTGGAAGTATTCGCTCGAGTTGTGATGGGCTACACAAGATTGCTTGCAGTGATGCCAGGTTGAATTTGCATTCTTTTTTTTCTTTCTTCTTTTTTGGGAAGCACGGCGTCGAGGGATACGGAAAACGAATATTCAAAGGAGACGCCGAAAGGAAGTGCTGTAAGATTGCGACAGATGGTTTCTAGTAATATAATGGATGTATGTATCTAGGTAGTAGAAGAAGCCCTGGCGGTTTTCTGTAGTTGAGATATGCAAGGCACCAGACACACAAGAAAGAAGAAAGAACATGGGACGCTAGTCAAACTACACGAGGTTCCACGTTCGTGCCTTCCTGCTAACACTGCACCCATCTTTTCTTTATCAGAGATATACATGAAATCCAATATTCGACGAGAATCGTAGTCCTGAATATCTAGTGGATTCATGATGAAAGCTTTGAGAGTGAAGATATTCTGCAGCTCGTTACAATGACGACCCAACCAAGGCCTCTCTTCTGCCCTACTAATGCCGGTAGTATAAGATTTTATAGTTGGTCCATCTTTACTTGGCGATCTTAGCGAATATTCTTGTTTACCAATCTCGATCTTGATTATCTATTTGAATTATCCCCACAAAGATTTCATTTCATCACCTGTTCCCCATGATGCCGACTAGGTATGCAATATTGGAAAGCAACTCATTTGAAAAGGACCAGCGACGCACCTACAGCAGGCATGCACGTATCAAACGATCTAGTTTACGTGACATCATCACCTGCCCCACCATCGGCAGCGATGCCGCATTCTTGACGTGAACCTACCTAAATGTCCATCTACCCCTCACCCCATACCGGATAGCGAGGACAAACAAAGTTAGCGAGGTTAGCAGATATGAGCATCTTTGAGTGCTGATTTGAAAAGAAGAAGGGAAAACCTTTGCTGTATTTACATGAATTTGCCTGAAAAGGGATCTTGATCTAAATTAGTTCCCGGCTGTACCGAGTTCCGATTATAGTGTAGTAGTTCGTACTGTACCATCCAGTAGGTCTGGTCTGGCAGCAAGTAGTAGATCATGGCCTTCTCGAAGCACCTGCAGGCTCCCAGCAGAGCGGTTGCGTCAGGTCGTCGCCAGGTCTTAAGTCCGGCGGCCCTCCTGCAGAGTTACCCCAATTCAACTTCACAACAACCACCAGCTTCACACTCCATCTCTTCTTCAACCACGAGTAGCACAATTCACACGAGAAACTGTTGCAGCCAACGTCCACTTTCAAGCTCTACCCAAAACTTGCTCAAAAGCAACCTATCACAACCATTTGCCGCCATGTCTACCATGCCAGCATCTCATGGCCACTCCGAGGCCTGCTGTAACATCCCACCCGTCCAGTCCAAGGGATACAGCGCAAAGGGCAGCTACGAGGAATTTGGTGGATACAAGACCTGTGAGTTCATGCACGACTTACATTCATGTCCAAATCTTTTAATGCTCATCTATAATCCATAGACGTTACTGGACCCAAGGATGCCGCCAAGGGCGTCTTGATCATCTTTGATATCTTTGGTTACTTCCCTCAGACGTTGCAAGGAGCCGATATCCTCAGCAGCTCTGACTCGAAGCAGAAGTACCAAGTCTTCATGCCCGACTGGTTCAAGGGCCAACCTTGCCCGATTGAGATGTGTGTTGCTTCTAGGATGCTGCTGAAAAGATTTGATAGTTCCATACTGACAAGAGACACTATAGCTTCCCTCCGGACACTGACGACAAGAAGAAGCAGTTGGGAGCTTTCTTTGAAAAGTTCCCACCACCATCAGTTGCTAAGCAGGTTCCCGAGTACATCAAGGCCGTCCAGTCCAAGCACCCAGAAATCAAGGATTGGGCCATTATGGGCTTCTGCTGGGGCGGCAAGGTTGTTTCCCTCACAGTCTCATCGCCTGACAACATCTTCAAGGCTGGAGTCGAGTGCCACCCCGCCATGGTGGAGCCCGAGGACGCCAAGAAGATCAAGATCCCTCTCTGCATGCTTGCCTCCAAGGACGAACCCGTCGAGGATGTGAAGAAGTTTGAGCAGAACTTGTCGGGGCCCAAGCATGTTGAAAGTTTCAGCGACCAGATTCACGGCTGGATGGCTGCGCGCTCCGACTTGGAGGATTCGCGCGTCAAGGAAGAGTATACCCGAGGCTACAAAACTGTTGTTGAATTCTTGGGCAAGCACTTGTAAATCGAAATTGAGACGAAATTGAGACGAAATTGTAAGAGGGCTTCAGCCGGGAAGACCTTTCAACCGAGATTGAGTGTCGAGAAAATACGACAAGAGTAATTGATAATTAGTTCTACGATATCATATAACGTGTGCTGGAGCTGAAAATCATGTGTACAAATGATTCTCATCGGCAAATGACTCTTGATCCTTTTGCATGTGTTTATACTGGTCTTTGAACCGATTTATTATAATACCGTACACAAGGCCGAATCACTGCTCATTCGTTTATTTCATTTATCGACTGTTCATTCGTAATCGTACATTACAATTCCACAAAATGTTGCACACTTGAGCCAAAACTGGCTGACCTGACCTCTTGAAATTCTCGACATGATGGCCCTTCAGAGCATATTTCCATCCCTGCCTCTATTTCCATTTTCGAGACAAGCCCACTTCATGCAGAACCCATTCAGACATGACAGCGAGGTCTAAGACGCTCCGGAAGAAGAAGAAAAACAATCCTGCGTGACACACACTGACAAAACTCTCGGCTCTAGTGTATGATAGAAAGATAGCATGCTCAAACCTCGATCAGGCCATGCTTAGAATCATCATGCTCAGAAAGGACATGTTCGACAGGGGAATCCTTCATCCTCATCTCCTGCAGCATTTCCGTGACACTCTTCTCGGGGACACTGCTGCTGGCCGGCTCCTTGCGCTTTTCGATACTCGGGGGCGGCGGAGCCACTTCAGGCCCCAGTTTCTCAAACTTGATGACAGCCCACTGGTGGCGCAGCGACGACTTCCACGCCGACGTCTCCCGGGTCTTGGTCATGGGCTTGAGGTTGCCGAAGCGGTCTCGGCGCTCCCACTTTTGCGATTGCAGGCGCACGAGCTCGGCGGACCGCGGGGCGATGATGTTGACGCGGCTGATGTTGTACCAGCCGTCGAAAACAAATTTGGCACTTCCCCGGACGTCTTGGAATACCGCAATTGGTTCGTGGGGACGTGGATTGTAGTCGATGGGAGGGATACTCGGCAATTCCGGGGGCCTATCGGAGTAGATTGTCGAAGCTGCTACTATGGATGGACTGTTGGGTGCAGGCGGTTGACTGGAGTTTTTGTTTGTGCCCTCTAGTGGTCCGCTGAACTGCTTACTTGCCGGAGCGTCATCTGTGTTGGCCATGTACTGCTGTTCTGTCGCATCATCAGAATCCGAATCTTCTGGCAATGCCTCCTCTTCAGATCTAGACTTTCTGTATTCTGCAGAAACGTCCCAAGGACCATGCTTAACAACGTGTTCTGTTACTTCGGGAAGAAGGCCTAGATTGCTCTTGGCAAAGATGATCTTGTCGCCATCCCATCGCGGGTTGGCACCATCGAACAAGAAGACATAGACCAGTTCATTCGGGCGCGATTTGGAGGCGTGCAAGGTTGTACCCCCCGTAGCTCCACGTCTATCGTCCTGGAAGTGATGAAAAATATCGCTAGCAGTGATAACATCGGCATGGTCGAACCACTGCGGCTCTGGCCTAGTCCCATGTCCAGACCTTCCTCCGCGACCACGGCCTTGAGGTGTTCCAAAATGACTGCCAGTCGAACCACGGGCTCCTTTTCCAAAGTCTCCAAAGTTCCTGGGGCTTGATTCGGGACGGTTCGAGGGACTCAATGGACTCGAGGCGGCATCAGGTTCACTGCCCTTTGAGCCCTGCTGGGAGCGGCGATGTGGTGGGATATAAGATGGCATCTTGACCTGGATGATCCACCAAGTTCTTGCATGAGCCAGGGTTACCTCTTTTGCTCGAACCCCGATTACAGGAAATTAGAAAATTTGCGAGACGACATGCATCAAAAGAGAGTGTAGGTATTTGCTGGTGTGGGCAGTTGGTTGTGTTGGTGAAAAGTCATGCCCCCACAATTGCCTGTTTGCTTGTGATGGCGGGGCTCTGGAAGAATAAGAAGAAGAAAGGAAGAAAATGAGGAAAAGGCAAAAGTAAATGCAAACCATCTTGAGAAAAGATATGCCACCCAACTTGACGAGTCATTTTCCTCCTTCCCTGGAGCTCCAGCTTGAGAAGAAATTCTTGAATATTTTCTGCAGTCGAGGGTCAAGAAGGGCAAGCTACGAGGGGCAATTGCATGAATCCCCTGTCCCCGAGATGCAATGCAGTCTGCATGTTGGTGCTTTTTGAAACACCCTGTCGATGCTGCAATGATTCAATACGCAACACATGTGCAAATGAAGTTTATCTATTCATTGCATACTTGCCATGCATATGCTCATATATGTTGTATTCATTCTCGATTCTGGACATTTCGTTTTCAATCCGATTACATCAAAAGCCATTGAGAACGAGATGTCGACTCTTCCGTTGGCCCAGACTGATACTCACTCAACAATGCTGAGGAATCGCCATGGATTCCCGGAACTGAGCCAATTCTCCAGAAGGCCCGCCAAGTCGACCCCAAAGATGAGTGACATGTCTGCATGTGACAAAGGATTATAGATGTGGCGTCGTTTCTTTTGTCTTTGTCAACTCGTTGAGATTCTTTGTTTGTTCCCATGATGTGACTGATTACTATAATCATTCTTACATGCCATATTTACACATAAAGACAACATCTATATATGTAAGTGTGTATAATTCTACCCTAGCTACACCCTTTGGTGTTCTTTGTGATATAATGGAAACCAAGACACTCCCATTTCTGGGCTGCATTTTTGACACAATGAATTGTTCTGACATGGATACCCGTTCTGTTGGTTGACAATATGACCGCAAAACGACTATAAAGTATGCAGAATGCGCAATATGGTTTGGTAGTATCTCTACAAGCAAACATTACAACGCATTGGAATCATATAAACAGCTCGGAGTAGTAAGTAAAGACCACGTCCTTTGAAGAGAACTATAATCAACAATTTCATGGAAACATGGCACCACTGATTCACATCATCTGGCCGGCCCAGTCGGCCAATTTCATCTCTGACGAGTTGGGCTACGACGGAAATTGGATGGATCCAATGCTCAGCGATGTTGGCGTCCAAGAGGCGCAGTGGCTAAGGGAGAGAACAGCATCCATGGGGCCGCGGCTGCAAGGCATCTTCTCTTCACCGTGTTACCGGTCTATAGCGACTGCGCAGATTGCCTTCCATGGCCGAGGAAAGCACGTCCTTCCGGGAGGAGCGTCAAGAGACCTCAAGATAAGTCTTGATGGGGCACTGATTGAGACTTTGGAATATCCCCCCAACCGTCCAGCACACCCACAGGCCATTATAAACCACTTTGGTGAAGATCTTCTTCACACTAGGCTGATCCAGGACAATAGATATCAGAACGAAAGATTTTTTCGCGAATACTGTAGCCACCCCGCGGCTTGTGCCGCCCGTGCTGCCGCTTGCCGGCGACACATACGCGACTGGGTTCAATCACGATACCGGTTAACCGGAGACGAGAATGGCGAGATCGTGGTTGTCGGTCACCCAGTAACGAACGCGTTCCTGGCAATGCCGACGGCGGGTGTGGTTAATTGGACACTCCCACCAAACTTTCGTCCCCCGCCGACGGCCTCGATCCAGACGTATCGCTTTATTCGGTGGCAGTCCTGGACAGGCACAGACACTGCCGCCCCGCTGGTCAAGGTGCCCCACGAGGAGCTGATTGCTCACGACCCATCCTATACTTGGAATGAGGACAACGGCTCAGGTCCGCGTGGTCCACAGCCGGTACCGGCTCAGACAGGCATTGGTGCGATCTCGTCCAACCCTGAAGACTACATGGACGTGGACAGCCCTCCGAATAATTCACCCGGTGCTATAGCTGCCCCTCCGACCACACCTACCGATCCAGACGCTCAATTGTCAAGACCGTCCTTTAGAAAACCTATCAAGGACCCCAAATACACCATGCCGCCGAGTGTCGTTGCCGAGATCAAAGCAAGTCTGCCTCAATGGCCGGCAAAGTTCATAAGAACAAGACCCAAGTTCGAACCCAAGGCGTGGCCCGATCCGGAAAAGATTGTAGTGGTCCGCAACCGTTTCCGTGGCAGTCCTGGCAAGAAGGCAGTCTGGGAGGCGGAGACGGATATCGAGAAGCGTAGAGACCGAGGACTCGGCGACATGGAGCGACGCGCGCGGGATATCCAACGGTACTTTCACAAGTACGGATACACTGACCAGTTCACACCCATAGTTGTTGCTCAGGCCCAGGCCCTGTGCCCCCCGAAGCCGGTACCTCCCCTGTCCGAGGAACCCGACATCTTTGAGCCAATCTTCACTCCCGCTCCGACCTGGGATGTCATTGATTTTGAGATCTACCCTTCATGGTTCACCGATCCTAAGAGAGTGCAGGCGTGGCTAAATTTGCAGTGGAACGCCAGAGGTAGGTGGGACGGCTGGGATGCCAACGTGGGCCCAAAACCCGATGACAGTCCCAAGAAAGCCACGTGAATCAGGCTTGTCAGATATAGGTAATGTAGTGTTGCATAGGTGAGTATATATGAAAAGGTGTCCTCTGCCCTTTCCCATCCTACCATCTTATCTTAAAGAACTAAAACACATGCTATTTTCTCGAACCCTGCTTGCTTTCATGAGGAATGTATAATTAGATGTCTCGGTTCCTCTGCTTGAATTGACTTACTTGAGTTGTTTGCTCGAGTTGAATACGATGAAGAAAATATGGAGTGCGTGTTACTTATGTCTTGTGACATCAAGTTCTGAAATGACGTGCTATAACATCTCTAGAATTCACGCCAATTCTCCTGACATGAACTTTATCATCGTGGATTGCCTTCTATAGCTGGGGCCCTGACCAAGTCCATCATTCAATATTCTTACAATATTTATACACTCCTGTTTACAATGTTTCTCCATTTACCTTTTGCCCACGCCGGAAACAAGAAGGACGACGCCGCCCAATTGCCTGCGGATATCCTCCTTCTCTACATCGTGGGTATCCTCAACCTCGCCCCAGTTTCCTGTCTGCCAGTCGACCTCCAAACTGGCTGCCTTGGCAGCTTCGTCGGCACCAAACTTGACTGCGCCAACGCCACCATCTCCAATACCCGCACCGACAAAGCCTTCGCTCCACTCCACAACGAGTCGAGCAGCACCGAGCAGTCCCTTGCCAGCCAACACGGCACGCTCCAGTCCCGCAAGCTCCCAGGAGCTGAGGCCGGCGACCCAGCCTTCGATGATCTGCCTCGTGACTGGATCATGACTTCTGGGCATGAGCGATTCTCCGTCCAAAACGGGGTGAAGCTCTACACCCGGCCACACCCGCGTCGTCAAGAAACCAATAATCTCCTCCGACGTCCTCTTTTGAATATCCCGCAGCGACTCCCGGCCCTCGACGTAATCGTGCTTGCCCGGCGGCGGCGCCCAGCAGAGCAGGGAGTCAGTGTCGAGGTAGCGCATGACCATCTTGACGATGCCTTGCCGAATCTCCCCCTGGAGGTCGTCGTCCTCGCCAATATCGACGGCGCGGCAGATGAGACTCGTCAAGGGGATCAGGTGCTGCTTGGAGGCCTGCTGCACGCTGGTCAAGGAATCCCACTCGTGAGCAAGGGCGCCTGCCAGCAGCGGCTTGCTGACGGGAAGACGGATGATTTTCTTGGTGGTCGGGTGCCGCAGGGGACGGGTGTCGAGATGCACCTCGAGGGCGCCGTCTACCTCGCGCACAGTGACGTCCTTCCAGAAGCGCTTGCGCAGCGGCTGCTGTTGCTGCTGCTTCTTGGCCTTGCCCGCATTGGATCGGATCTCTTGCGCCGCCTTGAGGAGCGAGGCCTGCTTCCTCCGTCGCTCGAGGCGCTGGGCCGTGCTGTCGGTCTCGGGCACGGGGGGCTCGGGCGGCGGGCCCTGGCCGTGGATCGAAGAGACGGTGGCGGGCGCAGAGGGCGTCGTATGAATCAGACGGGGTAGGGAAAAGACCGTAGGGACAATCGATGGCCGCGTCTGGACCAGACGCAGACCCAATCTCGTTTGCGGCTGCATCGTGACGGGGTGGGATGTTACAGATAATGTGCTGGAGTTGAGCTACCAGACACTGCGGCGAGATCGGGGAGAGCTTCAGCCAGGAGGGAACATTTTCTTGGAGCAAGCTTGGCGATTAGATTGTAGAAGTGGAGCCTTTGCCGGCCTTGAACTACATATGGGGCCGTTTGTTCGGCATGGCTTTTAGTGGAGCCCGGCCGCCGGGGTCATAAATCGGTTAAATCATACCTCGGACATGAAAGGAGCAATTCACCAGTGTTACCAAGACCTGTTTTCCGTGCTGCACTGTGGAAAATTCGATTTGAATTGACTGGCTTGAAAAGTCTAGATGACACCGCTCTTCCTCTCCTCACGGCGAACAACTACTTTCCGCCCGTGGCGGTACACAGTTGCACTTCAGATGGGGTGCATCTCACCTTGAAAAGACCATTCTCCGAACCACAGTGTAGGATTGGGGAAGGCTTTAAGTTTGATAACAGGAACTGATTTTCTCCTCTTTATCTTTCTTAGATAAAAAGAAACCCTGCTGATTAAAGCGACATGAAGGATTAAAGTAATCGGAGTTTTTGCACGCGGTGCCAGGTTGATCCTCTCTCATAGCTCCGGTCAGGCACCTAGATACAGCCTTTGCCACTGCGATGGCCTCAAAGGTCCGAGTCGGATTTCATTTTAACCTAAAAAAAAGTTTCATTTTACGATATTTCCATGTTTGGGATCAAGATTCCCAGAAATGCTTTATACAATAGTGACATTATTGTAGGCTTGCCGTGCTTAATAGTGGAAAAGAGCATCTTTCACCGATTACTTTCTTTCACAAGAAAATGGCTTGGTTATCCAAATGCACATTTGACTCATTGCTCGTCCAGTCTATCCAGTTGACAAATGCAGTTGACAAATGTATGAACATTAATCATAACCTAAGAATTTACCCTTTGCTACCGTGGTGTACCTTGATAGTATGATACTATGGACGAGAGAACCTTGAGGGAGATAGTTTTCGATGCCTGCCGAGCCTGGTATACTCTAATGGGCGCCGTAGCATATGCATCCTCTCTCCGCCAGCATCGGAGAAACCGTAGATCAAATAAAAGTTCGACACGCGACCACTCCCACCTGGAAATTTCCATATATACCTGACATCGCTCCACAAATCTCGCTTTTCATGCCACCTCTCTGTTCATCTCTTGTTCACAGTAATCTGTCTCAGTTACAATACTTGTCTTCTAGACATCCCCACTCAAACACTTCTTCCACTTACAAACTTCCAACAACACATCATTCATTCAATATGAAGCTTCTTATGAAGATCTTTCTTGTTGTCGGTGTCGTCACCCTGATGGCGAAGTTCGTTCACGCTACTCCTGTTCCCGGCGGTCTCGAGCCCGATATGGAGAAGCTGACGTGGATGGACATGTTGCTTGACCCTCGCGACACGGACGAGACTCGTCGTGAGCCCAAGGGTCTTCTCACGGGTTGTCTGAACGATATCTTCCACCCCGAGGGCGCCCCCACCGGTGTCGTCGGTGCCCTCCAGGTGACTCCCGCCGCTGACCGGGCCTTTATCGAGGCCGTCAAGTCTCCCAAGAACCTCGGCCCCGTCATGCTCGTCGTGCCCAACGAGAGCAACCGCTGGCCCAACTCGGTCATCATCCGCAATGCACCCCAGCCCTGCGTCGAGCTCGTTGCTCACGTCAGCGACCTTGTCCAGTACAAGACCATCAAGGAGCGCAGACAGTCGGTCAACAATGACATTGACGGCAAGAAGTCCATCCGTGTCAACTTTGTCAACAAGCTCCAGATGGAGTTCTTCCGCCGACTTGCTGGCGAGAGCAAATTCATTCCGTCCCTCAATGTCATGATGCAGAATGAGTAAATCATGTATGTATGTCCACTTTCCCTCTACAAGGTGTCTTTCTTCCAATGCTGACTTATAATATTTTAAGCTTTTTGCTTTTTTACTTATTCGGTTTTTCTATGGCGAGTTTGGAAATGTTGAGATTGGCATAGTAAATCTCAATTGTGCAAGCCACTCACCACTCTTGCTATTTTCTGTTGGGGTTTCATTAATTTAATGCTTTCTTATCATTTCTCTATTGCTGTCTATTGATAACAGGACTGCGAACAAGCATGTCTCTAGGTAGTTAGGCGTCGACCGTAATGTATTTTCTCTTATTTCTCGTAACCACTGTGCCTTTCATTGGATAATTGTGCTCCAAGCATGCCACCAAATCATACACAGGCGACTGTACTAGTTGCCCTGTCGCATACCTAGGTGGCCTATGAACATTATGCAACGTCGTCTGCCTTTGCATTAGAAATTTCTCGTAGTCAATATAACGCTGCTTTTCGTCCACAACCACGGGCGAAAGGGTTCGAAAAGGCGATGAGAAACGCAATGAATCCAAACGGTACCCGCGAGTTCTGCTTGCGATCAATCAGGGCGCTCGGGATGATGGGGCCGATCCAAGATTCACCTTGGATACAACCTCCAGAGGGAAGAAGTGGTATTCGTGGCCTTTGGGGACCAGTTCGCCCATGAAGACTTGTGTGTATGACCACCGCACCCCTATCGCGGTACCACAGACACAAGCGTACACCAAAACTACCCACTGGCTGTGATAGCCGACCATGATCGTCCACACGTCTGAGGTGCCCCAAATGGCGAGAAAGCAACAACCAATAGTACGACATACATATGAACTTTTCTTTTCGCCAAAGTCTAACGGCGAATTTTTTACAAGGTCGGCCCCATTATCGAGCAGCTATACGATAGCTTCGTGGCACCTAAAAGCAGCCTGCCATAGTGGAGCGCTTCCAGTTGATCGCGAGGTGGTTTTCCGCCCTGACCTGGGATGAAAGTACAGTGCTGCATCATTTAGAGGTCAAATTTTAGGACGAGTGACTCGCGGCAAGGATCTCAATAGATTATGTAAATACGGGAAGGTAAAAAAAAAAAAAAAAAGAAAAAAGCAGGCGCCTCGAAAGTAGATGAAATCTATCATGACAGAAGCGCAATGTATTTGTATTCTCTTTCGACCAACATTGTAAAAGATGAAAATACCAGTATTCCCAATTTAATCATTTGAAGATAATTAAACTCGGGTTCCTCTCTAATAGCCGCTGCTGAATGGCACGCCCAGTCCTATCTCCTGACCAGGAGATCTCGAAGATACCCACCCGCCTGTAGCACCCGCTTCGCTCAACACGGAGTAGTATAGTCCAAATGCTTCGAGCTTTGTATATAAGGGGAAGTAGCCTGAAGTTTTCCACCCAGTAAAAGTGAGTAGGAGACACAAATGAGCCCTCATCAACACAGCCAAAGGTTTCAATTGAATTGTCCAACGAACTTATATCTTTTGGTAACTCCAAACAATGATGACGACTCAATCCGTTTATCCCATCATCTGGGAGAATAAGTAACCGACCGATACATATTAATATTGGCCAATTTATGTTGAGTGTAGTATTCGTTGCTGCTTCTGAATCGGGCGACACATCTGGCTCTTGTAGGAATGTGTAAGCCAACAATTCCGCACTCGGAGGATTGTACAGTTCATCGAACTTAGCAAAGTTCAGCGACAAATAAAAAGCATGATTTCGGGATGCCCAATGCCAGCTAGGGGCATTTCCCGTTGGACTACGGAACCTAGGCCAGGGTGTCCCAGGTGCGGTCCATAACAAAGCTTGTGGAAGGGTGCCATCCAGAATACCATACCGATAGGCTCGGTTGGTAAGCTGGGAAAAGCGCTCGCCGACGCCGGCCAATGCTTTGAATCTGTCCTTGTTGGGATACGATAGCTTTGCTTCGCTATATTTGGTTGATATATGGAACCATCGACGCATCAACTTTGGCATCTCATCAATGCATTTTTCTTCGCTCAAAGGAGGAGCCATGTCATTTTCAGCAGCCCAAAATGAACTCCACCGCTCAACTTCCAGGATCGACTTACGACTCTGGGCTGGCGCAGTTTCGCAAGATGCTGCCTCAGAGCACTGCCATATGAGCTGTTTGCCTGTAAAACTGAGCATACGAGGACTGAGAACAGTCTCTTGAATCACCCACGCCCTTTTAGACAAAGCACACTCGCTAAGGTGCTTGAAGGCCTCGAAGAGTGGCCCAAACCTCGTGAACGGGATAAAGCCATCGTCAAAACAAATGTTGTAAAACGATTCGTCTTTGACAGCCGAAGGTCGCCATTTGAGAAGCACGTTGTTAAGGATTTCTTCCACCTTGCGTCGCTGGAACAGACCGTCGTGAGGATTCTTGGAGTATGCAGACCCGATATTCAGAAAGGAATTCGTGTACACTCTACACATTTTCTGTGCTTCTCGATTCCAATCTTCCCGCGCATCGTCGCTGTCGCCCTGTATTATACAGTAGCTATCGATCCACAAATACCGAATCTTGAGATGCCTGATTACTTGAACGGCTTCTTGGAAAGTACGAGGGATCTTTTCAAGGGGGTATCCCGCCGAGAATTGCGATATGTTGTCTGGATTCAATACCAAGAATTTTCCCGGGCCCCAACAGTGGCTCAAGGTGGCATAATGTCCAGTGACATGCTCTTTCGCCGTGGTCACTAGACGTATGATGCCATCAACCGAAACATCCAGTAACCGACTGGGATACCAAGCATTATTCGCTTGAGCAAAACATTGATGGGAATCTTGACATCCTTCTAGCCACTTACAGGCTAGATCTAACACATGTGGTTGACCCATCAAGGAACAGGCTCTAGATCTCGCCGCCGAATGATACAGGCTATCGGGCATATCATGGCGCCAGATGTTCAGCTTGTCGGAAAGCAATCTCCGATCGGATTCCTCGTTATCCATCGAGTCCTCATCGTCCATTGAGTCCTCGTCGCCCATTGAGTCCTTGTCTTCCATCGAATAGAACTGGACCACATACCGAGGAGAATCATCGCAGCGTAAGAAAGCATACTCAATGCGATCAACTGGTGTATACACCCAATGACCGGGTAGCCGTGTGCATATCCAGCAGTCTGCTTCCGCTGCATCTCGACGGTCTTGCAGTGACGAATGAAATTTCCTCGGAAAGCCATGGACCTCCCCAGGGTGCTGATCATACCATGACCGCCACAATTCAAAGGATCCAGGGGCGAATATTGATTTGCAGGTGGAACAGAGTGGCTGGCTTGGAATTGTTGCTGCCATATCGGAATTGTGACCAAATGTATTACTCGATCAATTCGTGGTGATAAAAATGGCGATGCTGCTTTTGATTCAAGGACAGTTGAGTAGATATTAAGGTAAAGATCAAACTTTAACTTGAGACGACTTAGGCGACTACAAGACCACAAGAACCCACGAGCCGTCAGGGATAATAAGCAGTATTTTTGAACGAGAAAATTTATATTTTGATTATTAGTCCAAAGTGTGGCAATTTCAATACATACAGAAATCTTTGTACGAGCCACGTGGACCACATCATTGTCCGCTGGCATAGCATACACAGTACGTTGTACGTCAACGCTTACTATGGGACCAAGGTCTTCTGAGGTTCTTGCAGGCATCATTACGAATGAGACACTCCGACAAGGTCCACTCAATGCACCTGTTCTCCCAGCAACGACCAGTAGGATCCGCGTAGTTGACCGAGCTTGGGGTTCGCCGATGCCCACCAGAGATAACAACTCACACAGTGGCGGGAAAGCTGCAGGTGTGCATCCGTGGTTCTCCGTCACGCCTTGTGTGAGTTATTTAGTTGCCTGAGCTCGACCAAAATGAGTTTAATGCTCCGATAAGATACATCTGCTTGTTTTTCCTTTTCTATATTTGGCTTTGGAAGGTCCATATCGCGTCTTTAGGACTGGTTGGTAATAGTTGTATCAGTGCTATGGATTTAGTATGCTACTGTTGAAATAGCTACTCGTAGGAGTTCTGTGGCTGCAGGTATCTATACAAGTAGCATCGAGCCCTCCAAAATTCGGACCGACTTGATAGACGGGCAGGGTCGCCCTGCGCTCTGTTTGATTATCATTCATGATGATCTTCATCATAGGGACAGGAGCCTTGCCCATCAGCTCGCCAGCGCTGTGCGTCCGTTTGTACTCCCCCCAGATCCGAAATCATAGACAGCACAGAAACACCCTCAGGAGGAATGAAAACATGACTATTCTCAAGCCGCTCAGGCAAAGGGTCTTTACCGGAAGTCTCGGATAAGTCGACACCACCTGAGATCCGTACGTTGTAGGCCACCCGCAGGATGGTAGAGAATCTAGTGCTGTAGCTTCCACCCGCTCTGACTGCGACCGTGTACCCGGCAAGGCCGCTCAATGCTGCGAGGCCAACAGCGATGCCATACGCCAACCAGAGTATTGATGCAGAGTATGTGTATATATTCTGGTACGTCCTAGCAGTTACGGTCGTCGTCTTTGGAGCATCAGGCCTGACAACCCTCCGATTAGTTCTGCATGAAAGGTATTGTATGAAAGTGGCTCACATGAGTAGAAGCTCCTGAGACATCAAGCTCAAAGTTGCATTCCGGAACATTTCCTCGATTCCTTCTGCCATGGTTATGTTTGCTGTGTTACTCGATGTGAGACCTCCTATATCCGATTTCAAGTAGTTCAACTCGACTGCAGTTGCGAGCGCGGTGACAAGGACTTTTCCATCAATTTGGAACGATAGATCAAGTTCAGAGGGATCTTGCCAAATGTATCCGACAATGTAATCTTGAAATGCTTCCATTACCGCCATATATGACCAGAGTAGCATATAGTTTGCCGGTTGGTTTAGCTCAGGATATACGATTGAAGTGATTGCTACTGGCTGTGGTTCAAAAGGAGATTCGTACGATGTGATGGTGGAAACCACATCTTGGACGCCTTCGTCATAGCTGTAATCGGCGCTGTAGGTGGCATTCCACATTTGACATTGAACGAGCGTTATGTTGGGCGCTGCGGCAGACGAGCATTCGTCTCCCACTGCAACCACGGTAATTGATCCTGAAAGACCTGTTGGTGGATCAAAGCCCCAGTAACCGTCGGAATGGCTCCAAGGAAAGGTATCGTCGCTCGGCCAAGCCAAGTACTTGTAACACCGTAGCGGATTGGTCGAAGCATTTTGGATGGTCATCGACTGGTTCATCCAGAGCGTACTTCCGTGCTCTATCTCAGAACACTTGAGTGCTGGTCCTTGGAAATCGACGTGATAAGTCGAGTTGGGAAACGGCGCGGCCAGTGGGAGAACTGCGCTGGCCAACAGTGACTGCGAAACAGCCCGCGTAACAGGGGCCAACGGGCCATCATAATCCAGGCTACCACCTGTATCATCGTGTTTATCCACCGCAATGGAATTCGCGAAATTGCAGTAGCCAAATCCAATCGTTGGGGCAGCGAATAACGTCAAATTGGTCATCAGCATCGGTGAAATACTCAAGGTAGCTGGAGTGATGACGGCGGCAAACGGCAAGAGCCTCAAAGACGGCAATAATTAGTTTTGATTCCATGATTTTTATCCGAAAATCTACTTACCAATATACAACAGCAATTATCATGGCAACGGGGTGCCGGCCCCATAGCCGGATGTTCAGAACGTCAACAATGCTGTGCTGCGCAGATAGAAGACTGTCGATCAGGCGCAGCTCAGTTGGGCGACCCTTGATGGCCTTCCAACTGAATTGGTCCTGGGCTCTCGATATAGCGATACCCAAGAGAGCTTTGACAAGAAAAGCCAGAAGAGTCCCCACGGCAATGTTTGTTTGTTGACCCGACAAGTTTTGCATGAGGCCATACAACCTATCAGACGTATCATGCGATGGTGCTTGGCCATCCAGACTTTGATAGAAAAAGTGGTGCCCAATCGCGAATGCAACACCACCAAGAAGGGCTGCAGTAGGAGTCCGGAATATACCCAGATAATAGGACAGATTCGCTCCGTTTAGATCACTGGGGCCCTTGGATTCCTTCATCTTTCAGTTCAGGTCGTTTCGTAGTTCAGTTGTATCTACCAAGACAGAGCCTTCCGGTCTTGAAGGCCGTGGAAGGTTCTCCAGCGGTATTTCAATTGCCTTGAACATTTGTAGACCTATCCATGTCTGTCAATTTTATTCAATACCATGACCTCTGCGAGGCTTCTGTTGCACGTTACCTGGCATTGAGAAGTGGCCTTACGGATCTGCAATTCTCGCCTTATGTTACACCCATCACCTCGGCTTTACGACGGCGCAGTTTGAGATTTCGTCAACAACCTCACTGTATAGCCAATATGATTTGAGTATTACTATGCACAGCCCTGTACTCCCAGCTCGCTGATCCTGGCCACTTTGTTCAGTCGTAACACAAGATCATCAAAAGTTTGCGGGCCGCGTCGGGTAGGGGCCGAGAATAACTTATTATTACTATTCATTGTGGTAAGTGGCTGGGATCCGACGAACCACCTCATTTGTGACCCGTCATAGTTGGCCCTGAGCTTCTGCTGGAAACCGTTATGCGTCGCCGCCCGATTTGTTTGCTAACCGCGAAGAGACGACGCATTTGAGGTGGTCTTAGTCAACACAGACTGTAGCACAACATCACAGCTGCGTTCGATGCAATGCTGATAACTTGCAGAAGTAGATACTTTTTATAGGTGTTTGGAGGGAGCGTTCTCAATCGTGAAAAGTACAAGACATCTTCCGAAACACGTACGAAGAGTTGAAAGCGCTCAACGCTGAGGTGTTTAGTGCTGCTAAAACCTCCTTGGGCAATGATGTTGAAACAGATCAATAATCCGAGAAAACTAAATAGCGAGTGTCAAAGACCGTCACATATTCGATCCCACAGGCAGGCAGTAAACTCAAAAGGGGCGACTAGAAGGCACGTCTCAGATACCACGAAGCGTGCTAGACTGGCATCGATAGAGTATCACCACAGCCATCACATGTGTGAACAATGGCTTAGCTATTAATCCAACTATATCATCCAAGTAACTTTTCACTTCTTCTCACTTTCAACCGGTAGAGACTGATCATTCCACAGCTTCACCTTGACTCCTAGGCCTGGTCTTCCGACCACCTCGGCTTCGTGATACTGCGCGTACCAATCACCACAGTACTCGAGCCTGTCGAATTTCTGCATCATCTTCACAACTAGAGACGGTACACGTTAGTACAAATGTTACAAACATGGCCGGTCATTCAGTTACCTACCAACAAAAGCCATCTCAGTCATGGCAAAATTCTGTCCAACACAAATCCTAGGCCCGCCATTAAAGGGGACATAGTTCCAAGCCTTTGGCGTCCACTTTTCCCATCGCTCGGGCTCAAAGAGGGCAGGATCCGGCAGCGGCTCTCCGGTGGTTGGGTCGCGGCTTGGATAGAGGGCTGCGCACCGCTGCATGCTCAGCGTTGAGTAAATGACCACGTCGCCCTTGACCACGGAAATGGGCGGCTCTCCCGGTGGACCGGATATTGTCGTGTCTTCGAGAGCGGTGCGAAGGTTGTAGGGGACCGCTGGGTATAGGCGCAAGGTCTCGGATAAAACGTGTTTCAGGTAGGCTATTTGGGAGCAAAAGACATGTCAGTGACTTATCTCTCGAAAATTCTTCAGATTTGCTGGGATTCGAAGCGAAGACCAACCCCCAAAATCGCAAGTAGATGGGAAATATTATGGTTTCGCGACTTACTCATGCCCTTGAGATCATCATAGCTGGGCATTCGTGTCCGCCCAACTGTATCCAGAACCTCACTGCGAAGTCGCGCAAACTTGTCTGGGCGACGGCTCAACTCGTAAAACGCCCAGCTGAGGGTTGCCGCCGTGGTGTCGCGACCAGCAAGTAGAACGGCGACAATCTGATCACGCAGAACTCGGGGGTCGCGCGTGTATCGGGCGATGCTGTGCAAAAAGGTAAATTCCTTGTCGGAACCGCCAAGCTTATCGAGCTCGTCACGCGGCAAGGCCAGCGCAGCCTCGATAAACGGCATGACGAATCTGTCAATGGTCCGGATCCCGGCGTAATATCGGCCGCGTGGCACCAGGACGTGGAAGGGCCCCAGCATGGTCACCAACATTTGGATGCTCTGGACCTCGTTGAACGCCTCGGCGAACTCGGCGCGTGGGTTGGCCAGGCTTTCTACGGCGGCACCGAGCAGAAAGTCGGTCGTCACGTCGAGCGTCATGCGGTAAAAGAGATCCATGATGTCGACGGGAGCGCCGTGTGCCGGTACGAGATCGATCAGGGCCCGGGCCCAGCGGTCAAAGATGGCCAGGTCACTCACGCGGTCCTTGATGAACATGGGCCGAATAAGGCTGCGCGAGTCGTGCCATAGGGTTCCGTCGGTCGTAAAGATGCTGTCGCCCAGAAAGGGGCGCCAGAGGTTGTGGAATCGGTCGCCCTTGCCAAAGGCGGCAAACTTGCCTGTCAGAATCGTCTTGATGTGCTCCGGGTCCCGTGTGATCAGATACCGCTCGCGCGGCCGGATCTGGATCTCGACAATGTCGCCATGAGAGTTCCGCTTCGCTCGAGCGAACATGGAGTCAAAGTAATCCAGCAACTTGTGTGAGATTTGCGCGCGGGCACATCTGACGAACCATAGTGACGCTGATTGCCAGTCAGTTTCCCAGTCTTGCAATGGGAAAGGGAGAATCTGAGTCTTGTATGACCTGCGTCTCTCACATAACGGAGACAGCGTGCACACGTTGAGAAGATCAAACAATGGAATGTACCTCCAATAGGAGTATAGGCCAGTCGCGGAGCCCGTACGCCTCCTATTTTGCGTATGCGCAATTCATGTAGCGCAAACTGAACATAGTAATACAATATACTCAATCCAGAGAGGATCCCACAAGCCAATGCGAGATTGGCAATGCTAAAGTCGATCTGATTCAACATTTTGAGTCGGGTGTCAATTTCTGTTTCCGTGTAATGTACGAGTGATCGCCAAGGTCGGCCAAGATAAAATCAGGATCCAAGAAGGATGCCAATATTTGGACAAGTATGCTAAGTCGTCCTCAAGGGAAAGGATAGTTTATATTCCAACGAAAATGGGGTTGGTACGATGTTCCTATACCATATCGTCTGTCACCACCACGTTCGTGGGCAATGCACATAATATGCCACTATTGAAATACCCGGCGATCCGTTGGCCAGAGCGAAAGCCAAGTCATTGCCCACCATCAACCGGAATATCGAGATCGATTGCCCACGGAGCGCATTAGTCTACCCCGCAAGAGAAAGACGTTGAGGGGAACTAATGACTAAGGCAGGCTTCGCAAAGAACCACCGATTTGGAGATAGGCCAACCCCCAGATTTGGAGACGATCTGCTAAGAGAACTTTCAGATGTTTTTGTCTGATGTTCTCATGCCGAGGTACTGCCAAACAGCTTGAAGCTTGACATGTCAATCCAATCGCAAAGGAAAACGCTGCCATCATGCATGGAAAAGGTCCTCGTAGAATGATTTGAGTCCATGAAGCATCAGCTTCAAGTGAAGTTGTGCAGAAACATCATCCGAAGTATGGAAACTCAAATCAAAGCTACCTACCTAGTACTTCTTTCGCCACTTCTTTTCCACTATGATATGAGAATTTCATGATTTTGTAAAGGCAGCTAATACTTCCCGAACCAATGACCAGTAGCGGGGCAGCACAATACCGGCTCGGCAGTCAGGACAGTCGTATTTGGTAATTTTTCCTGGGTCGTGTCTATGTTCAAGACTCGCTGTACAAGTCTGAAGTCAATTTGATACAAAGATGAACCTAAACATTGTGCTCGCCCTGGCTTGAAGCCTTTTTCCGCCGCTTCTCGCCTATAGTCTGCCTCCAGGTCTCCCGGAACATTTGCATTCTTGCATGTAGGAATGGGGATAGCTTCTGTCCTTGGAAAGCATACATCATGAGGAGACCAATGATAGCGGTGGAGCAGAAAACTAATGATAATCAGATTCTAAGTGCTCACAGTAGAAGGAAAATATATAGACTCACACAATATGGGAAAGATCCACCCTGGCTCGTATTCAATGTCACCTGAGCTATTATGCTGGAACACCGTGACGTTTAATGCGAAGAGTGAAGTCAGGAAAGATAAAGGCGTCTGTTGACAGCATGTCAGTTTTTCTGTGAAGTTAAATGGTCATGACGTGGTGTCTCACAAAGACAACAGTGACGATGGTGAAGGCCATTAAAATCGTTCCTTGCCGAGCAGACTCTTGCGCCTGATCGGTGTTGATCCTGTTTTGCTCGAGACTAAGTATGTCGCTGACCTAGAAGACATTAGCCACAGTCATCCAGTACAAATTAGACTCCAGTAGATTTACCGATTTCTGGACTCTGTCCGTCATCTCGATCATCTCCTGAACACCATGGAGGGTGTAGGCAGGATCTCGAGCACTTCTCGATCTAGAACCTTCTCCCACAAGTTCTTGCCAAACATTGAATTGCCGGGTAACAAGCGTTTTCAGTATTGTGAGCTCGTCCAAGATATCCTTGACTTCATCCAACAGGCCGGCTGCAAGGCTTATCAACGCCCATTTGTTGGTTTCATATATATCATCCACTTCTGAGGCCTCTGTTGCATTTTCCAACTCTGTGTGGTGGTTGACGATTTTCGTTCTCTCCTCATGATGAGATTGTTCCACGGTCTTGCTCCTCTGAAAGTTGTTCATCTTCACCGTGAATCTATGGAGCAAATCCTTCTCCGTAGTAGCCTGCAGCCCTCGCTATTCAGCTTTCGAGAACAAGAGGAAAGAGATAAAGGAAGATAACAGAGAGCGGTGCCGAAGGACAGTCCTAGTGCTTAAACTTACCGCAAGATTCACCCTGTCTTCATACAAGAATTGAACCGACATTGATGACACTTTGTTTTTGCCCAAGGGGTGGTCTGAACTTCTGACTTTGTCCGGAGGATTGTTTCCAGGTTGCTCCATCGGAGAAAAGTCTTCCCATTTCAGACTATGCAGGAAGTCGACGCAAAAAGCAACTATGAAATGACTCATATCTTTGACTGACGACGGCGGCGGTTGTGCATTCTTTCTTTTTCTTGCCTGTCGCAATTGAATGAACAGTCTTTCGACCACTGGGTCATGGAAACCATCATTTCGATGTGTGGATGAAGTAATGATCGTCTCTGGATAATACATTACCTCATTAGCTCAATGCTTTGTCGCAAAGATTGAACAAGCGAAACTTACCTTCATCAATTACCCAGAGCCAGAGCTGATCCACTGCAAGGTAAGGCCATATTTGTTGATCCTGCGGTACACCATCTCCGTTCCGCACCTTGAAGAACGATCTTGTGAAAACTTGATTCTGGTCGCGGACATCCATATCAGGTAGCGAGTTATAAAAGAACTGGTCTAAAGACCTCGTTCCATGGATGGTCTTTTCCTTGTAGGTCTCAATCAGTTGATCGTATTTTGCCAGGTTTTTCTTGTTCTGATCCATGTCTTTGCTGTGTGTCACCATGACTGTGGCATCATTCTCGGCGTTTTCAATGCCTTTTCTCGGAGCTTCACCTTCCTTGCCTATGGAAGAGGTGCAAGGTTTCCGGTGACACAGACCGAAAGTAATGTACGGCATCTATAAGTCAGTCTACGTCTTCCTGAAGGGATGTCCAACTTACATAGAGCGCCACTCTTTCATATTCTTAGAATGACGAAGACACAAGTCAGCACTGAATTTAAGGCTTCATCTCCCCACCGTACCTGTTTTCTGTGCAACTGCACCACCATGAACTGGATCACTACTACCAGCAGCTTTCCCTCCTGTTGCATAATCTTCCTTGCGACCATCCTTGGGTTTTTTCTTCGACTCAGAAGGTTGTTGACCTCGAAACTCCTTAGTTTGCTTCTGTAGCTCGGAAGATTGTTGACCTTGAGGCTCCTTGATCCCTTCTGGATTGCTTGCTTTCGGCCTTTTATCTATATCAGGCCGCCGTTCAATTCCGAGCCGTTGATCTTCCTCGATGATACGCGGTAGGCTTTGAGTGGGCTCTTTCTTGGCCGGACGTTAGGTCTATCTTGACAACAATTTGGAGAACATACCAAGCACCCAGGTTTCATGAACCTCGCTGGAGCGGTATCGGTTGGTAATTCATGCCAGCTCCTCTGCAAAAAGTCGTTCAAAGAATGCCATTCCGACGCCGGAACCTTTTTGTCAGTAAAGATGCGTTTAGCCAGGTCCTACGGAATATTGTCAGCTTGATGCCGCTTCCCACTGTGGGGATGGACGATTACCTCCATCCATTCCATCTTAGCCACTTGTTAGCTTTTAGAGCACATTTTGTACGAGATTTGTGACTCACGTTATTTGCGGGCAAATGTATCCATCTCATCCGAAGATCTGTCTTCTCGTGCCTCTTCTCTCGTGCCGCTTCAGCGCTGATCTTCTCCAAATCAGACCTGGCCTTATTCATGATTCCCTCAGGGCCCCTGTCTTCGTTATCCGGTCCTGCTTTGGAATATATGACATTTGAGACGCTTTCTGATCGTCGAAGTAGGTCAATTTGTCCATCTCGCTCATAGAAATCCACAATCGTTGCCCAGTGTGCCTCGAGCACACCCGGTTGTGCATCAGACGTGATAGGTTTCCTGTATGACTCCAAGTGAGCGCTCTCAACCACAGGAGGGTCTGTTAGCATGTCCATCGTGAGCTTGAAATCTTTCTCTTCCTCATTCTTATCTCGGCTTCCTTCCATATCCACCTCAGTGGTCTGTTTAGGCTGGTCTCGTCTGCTTTTGGCTATTTCCAAGGCTTTTCCCATGTCCTTTTCCTCTGGTATGCTACTTTTCAGAATCCACCAGACAACATCATAGCGTCCATGATATGCAGCCCACTGGAGGGCTGACTTGGGCTGGGGTTCGGAAACTGGTTGCTCTTCCAGCAAGTACACGATTTTAGAAGAATCCAAAGACTTGGCCAATCCAATGAGTTCATAATCCACTAGCTTTGACACGGGCACCCCCATAGCGCCGGCAAGCTCTTTGCGTTTGCCATTGTTGTCTGCCCAAATCGTTGCAGATGCTCTCTCCTCTTTGTCGGCGTGTTCCAAAATGAACTCGAATTCTCTGGGATCAGGCATAGATGAGTCCTCCGAAGAGATTGAGCCCTCCCGCGACTCAGAGTCCTCGTAAGATTCGAACAGGTATTGAAGGAAGAAGAACCATGCGCTTTGAGTACTATCTCTGCTCACCCTACTCTTTGCCCCTTCCGAGAATAGATGTCTTGCGACACCGATGTGGCCATTCCTGCAGGCGAGGTGCAACGCTGTCAGCCCCGAATCATCCTGGGCATTGATGTGCTCCTTGGTCCTGTTGGTTATCATCTCGACAATCTCGAGACTGCCAATCTCGCTAGCTTCATGGAGAGCTGTCCGTTCTGCGTAGTCTGTGGCACCAAGATCAAGCCCAGTCTGATTGAGCAGTGTCTGGACTACCTTCAAATTCTGTCTAGCAAAGGCCCAAAAGATAGGAGTCCTAGTGAAGAAATCTTTTGCATTGAGCTCGATTTCCTTCGCATTGATCAACTTCTTGGCTAATTCCAAATATCCTTCCCGGCAGGCCACGTGGAGAGGCGTGGATTCCCAGTGGTCTGGAGCGTTGATGTCAATGCCAGTTTCGCCAAGCAGCTTTGTTACTACTTCTAAATGCTCGTTTTCGACGGCCAGAAAGAGGGGAGTTGCGCTCGAAGCGCTCTGAAAATTGAGTTCGATCCCGGGACAGCCGATCAATCGCTGAACCACATCAAGATGTCCTTTTTTGCAGACTAGGTGGAGAGGCGTTTCTTTTTCGTTATTCTGAGCGTTCACGATCAGCTCGTTCTGGCTGAGTAGCTTGTTGACTATGTTCAAGTAGTTGTAGTCACTAGCTATGTGCAGAGGCGTCGATCCCTCATTGTCTTTGTGGGTAGATGAGAGGCCCGCTTCGAGCAATCGATCTACGATGCTTTCTCCGTCCTCCTCGTTGTCATTTTGTATGGCCTGATGCAATGCTGACTGACCATCATTGCGGAACTTGCGAATGTCAGGATTATAGCTTAGGACATTATCCACCATCTTTGTGTCGCCATAACGAGCGGCCAATGTGAGAGGTGTGTCCCCGCTGTCGTCCTGGGTATTCACGTCGGCTCCTTTTTTTAATAGTAAGTCAACAACTTCTGTTGTCGAACACAAGCATGCCGTGGTCAAGGCTGTCGAGCCATCTTCACTTGTAGTGTTGATGTAAGAGCTGGTCAACGTCGGGATTAGGGCTGCGGCGGTTTCGTTTATGTTTGAATCATCTTGGGGCGCAGCATCCTGAGAGACGTCTTTGGTATCCTCGGCCAAACGTTTGCTATGCTCGAGAAGGAGAAGCTCTACCGCTTGCTGTGATCCGCCACGGCAAGCCGAGATGAGCGGCGTCCATCCGTCATCATCGGGGACTTCAAGATTTGCGCCCCGGCTCAACAAGACCGTCATAATTGATGCATAGGCTTTGCGGGCAGCTAAGTGGAGTACCGTTTCCCCATAAGGAGGTTGCTTCGCATTGATATCAACCTCCTGGTTCAGTGTAGCGAGGAACCTTTCCTTATCCTCTGGGATTACATCCTCGAATAGCGCATGGTAATCGTTCTCCTGCGGGAATATGTGGGACCCATCACCAGCTTGGGTGTGTGCGTCTCCAGTGTTGGCACTCATTGTGTGGCTGAGAGGAAGAGAGACTGCTGTTAAGACTTGGCCTTCCTTAATTTGACGTTGTGATGCTTGAGTTGGAGGAATTATCTGCGCAATCTGAGATCTGGGAAAACTGTGTAGTTCAGGGCAAGCTGTGCTTATATTATTGCAAAATACTCGAGATTGTTCTGGAATCAATGTGCGATATTTCAAATCTGGCTGACGATAAAGGATGTATCTCAATTGAATTATGCTGCCATAGAATGCGTAACCCACGGGACCTACAATCACAGGTATATAAGCAGTAGATCAACTAGACTGTCTTTGATTATTCACGCATGAGCTGAACGTGCAGACCACCCATGGACAGAGTGAGGCTTGGTGATAATCCAATAAATTACGCCGTGGGCAGGGAGAGCCCATGCATATATCAAAAAGCAATACCCAGATAAGCTCCATCGGGCCGTCCCGAGTCAGTCAATCGCCGAGCATTTCCGATGGCTCATGCTTGCTTGCGCTCAGATGTAAAAGCGCCTGGTAAGATCCGATTCCGCCCTGCATGGGATGAATTGCGCCAGGTCTTGGTAATCTGGAAGGAGCTCTTTCCAAGCCTAATGTTATGTGCCTCGCCTCTACACCGGATTCGTCAAATTCCCACTCATGTCATAGTATGTGGTGTGGCGTATATAGAGATCGACATCCAGCTCAGCTCTTTTTCTTTTTTCAAAGTATTTGATAAGTCCAGGGTTTAGAGTAGTACCCGCTTATGTATGGATGTTGGCGCTGAAAGCTGAGCGTGGGTGTCTGTGGTCGTAAATTTGTCTCTCGATCGTAATCCGGTTTCCAGCTCCTTCGAGTGGCGCGCCCACCAATTTCACATGTACTTGCACCCCTCACTTTGTAAAACACAAGCTCATATTTCTATTATCTTGTGTAGAGGCGAATACTTTGACACGAACAACTCCTATGCTGCTTTTGAGGGTCATATTCATCTTTTGGGAGGACCTCAACCAAATGGAGACAACGTATTGCAGCATATCATGTCCTCGCGCTGAGTTTTCTGGTGTACACCTGAGTAATACATAGTTTTGAGGCCCTCATGTATCACCATGTTGAATAAGACAGCCTTGTCTTTTCGTGTCACATGCAAGGATGAAGCCCAGGGAAGCCACCATCAAGCAGGCTGGGTGTATACCTTCAGCTGAAATGCGCCACTCGCACACGCACAATACAAGCCATCATCATGTTTGCTTTTTGATCTTGTAAATATCAGTACGCTCAGGACCATAAAAGCCTCTTATCACAATAGGGGCAAAGCCGCCGCCTTTCTTTTTGAACCCTGCAGGTCCACCTTCTCTCAAAGTGCGGTTTGACAGATTCACACTTACTCGGGAAATGAAGCCTTGATTTAGCTGCTCCATAGATGTGGTAACGTAGATTTTCCTTACCTACCTAATCACCATGGCAATTCATGGTCTTGTACGTTCTTTCAAAGATACTTTTGCAACCTTCGCTGTCAGATGAAACCCAGGCCAACAGGAAACCGCGGTGCATCATTTGATCGCGCAGTGTTGGCGACGAGGCAACAAAATAACCACGCTAGATGCTTGCCACAAAAGTCATGAATGAGTATGAATCTAGGGGGTTTATTGCTCTACATAACATATAGTAATCATTATTCATTCTGCGAATATCATGTGCTTTGATACTGCTTTTGCTTTTCATTCATGAGAGGACTGTGGATGTGTGGCGCTTAGACCTTCTAAATTTCTCAGCATATTCAGCTCTTGGCCGATCGTTCAAGAGGCACGGTCGAAAATGTTTGCGATAGTCCAAGAAGAAGCAATGATCAAACGCGACTTCCCGTGGGCGGCACTTGGCGAATAGCAATAATAATGCCGAGGGCTCTCGAGTACTCCTCAGCAGCCAACTCAGAAGAAATCTTCGTCACGACAAGGTACCTAGTTACAGATGACTTAGGAACCTAAGAGCGTGACAGACTAGCCAAACAAGAAAGGTTCCGTCCTACTGTGTAAACCCGGGGGAGCATAGACGCTCGAAGGAACGGATTAGAAATTACCATTGAATCGTCCTGGCCGTGGGTATGTAAGGCAATAACGATGCGGCCCAATATTGTTGCATCATGCGATAGTGGATACAAATGAAGCCTTGAATTATTCAAACAAATACAGACATCCTGACCGGCCCATCCTTTCCTTTGGCGTTCCAATCGGATGGTCAGTTCCTTGATCCTTCTCTTCAGGTGACAGCGATAATCATTTTTTCTGCCTAACTTTGATCAAATTGGCAGCCATGGCTCGAACCACGGCTTCGCCAATATCAATAGACTCGCACAATCTTCCGGATTACTCAGGCCTCAACGCGGTGATCGCCGCGGCTAAACTCTCCCAATACGTATGCACATCGGATTTCACAGTATTTGGGCCGACCACTTTTACTGATAAAAAGTTTGATAGGGGTATGTTGTCCTTGAGTCACTACACCGCTGATCCTGGCCTTGCAGCAATTGTGAATGGTGCGACGGAAACTATTACCATCCCTACAACCACCACTACACCCCTTCTCACAACTACGGGTACGTATTCGGGCGTGGAAACCAGAGCCTCCTTGTTTGTACTGCGCCGTGTCAGGGCTATTGGTCAAGCACGGTCACCGAATGGGTATTGCTGAAATGTCTGGACCCAAATCATTGAGTAAACTAAATTATTGTCCGGTATTGGATCCAATCCCTCGTACCACGACAATGGCGGACATGATCAAGTCCCATGAAGATAATGCATTTCTTTCCTTGCAGCCGCGCATTTACTATAACTGAAGTGGTCATACTTACCTACCTCTTCTCGAGTCTACGCCTACAATTTTGCCTAAAGAGATGGGGTTTTGATTGTACTAATCCTCTGTAGAGGAGAAGAAAACACAGACTGTTGTGCGTGACGATAAAAGGGCGATTGCGGCTGCATCATACAAGTCGTTTGCGGAATTAATCCCAATCAAAATTACTCCTGCGATCGTACCATTCTAGCCACCAACTATGACGGGTGTCTCGACGCCTGCAATGGCGACCGCAGCTGCATCGCCGTCATCTTTCACGCAGCCAACACGTGATATATCAACAATAGGAATATCCTCCACGGCATGGGCTTTACCGATGTCTACTATACCGAGCCAGTCATGTGCACGGCCACCACCTCGCCCCAGTGCACTGGTACATACATATGTAGGTAGGGTGAGAAGATTGAAGGTATGCTTGTAAAATATTCCAAGCCCTTCCCTTTGGAGAGGAGGGTTCTAGCACGGATGACAAGTCTGCTAAGATAGCGTTCATACCGGTCTTCTTGACCATGTCTGGGAGATGATTGTTTTTCTGTGTGGACTAGTATCCAGATCTACTTTCTGCATTGGTAATTGGGTCGTTTGTACAATCGCTGGTATGCCCATGCTCAAAGGCAGTGTTGCAAAACGATGAATTTGCGGTTCACTTGTATACGACTGGAAAATGGTGTAGTCAGCTTATACGACAATAGGTCGAATACACTGACGTCTCGCTCCCCGGAAACCGTTGAAGACCACACAATGTAGTAGCTCACCAAATAACCAGTGAGTAGGGTCATATCTGTTTGGTATTCATGTCTTTTTTTTTTTTATGTAACCGCTCGTTATCTACCTATCTCCTTTGAGTATGCAACTCTTTCCCCAGGCTTTCGGTCTTGTAGTCCTTTGTTCTGTATTCCTGGTTGATCCGCTCTGACATGCTCGAGCACCAAAAACCCACTTCCATATAAATACATGCTATTACATTATGTTCAGGCCGATCACCAAGGGCTTGCTGCCAATGTCGTGGAGCAGTATGCCAGCAGTGCTTGTGCCTTCCACGCCAGGTCCCGGTAAGCCCTACTGCCAAGGATCAACTCGGCTCATGACTTCCGGATTGTTTGTTTGAGCGGCCTGCCATGTTGGGGCCCTTCCAGGCAGACATGCTGATGAATAGACGAATGGTCGTATTGCCCCCATCACTCTTTTGCTGATTTGGCCGTGGGTGTGTCGCTCGTTAATTACAAATCGCGCTTCGCATATCAAGATTTTGTCCTGTTTCTGTGCGCCGATTATAGTATGTGGTAGTGTGCTCACTCCGCTGCAAGGATTTTGCCTCAGAAATGAATCATCACTCATGTTCAGGTTGCCCATTCAACGGTTTCGAGGGCAAGCATGACCAAGACCAAAGTCGACGGCAGAATCCTTATCTCAGTATTAGCATGACATCACCAATCGTCTCAGGAAAATTCAAGTAGTTCACATACCAAACAACATAGCTCTGGAACAAGATCTTGGACATGACCAGCTCGTATACTTCATTGAGCTGGCAGATCTGTGCCAGCTGCAATGCGCTCGGAGCACCGCTGAGCAGGAAGCAGACGACCACGAAGATGGGGTCGTCAAGAATGCTCACGGGGACATACTTGGCAATCAATGCAAGCATTGGTGCCATAACTATTGTCGGTAGGAGCATCCGGCTGACGAGCGATGCTACCAAAAGGCGTGTGCCTATCTGCTCCTCCTCGGGATCCTTGGCTTCCTGGCTCTGGGTGTTTCTAGCAAGGTTGGCTCCAAGTACGACAAGAATCAAAGGAACGGCGACTCCGGCACTAGACGATACTGCCGACGTCACACTGTTCTTGATGAAAGAGCCGTCCTGGAAGAACAACCGCTGCAGGTCAGGTACCGATGCGACCACGATAGCAATGAGCATAGCCCAGAGTGGGGGGTTCATGAACTCTGCCAGACCCTTGAAGAAGCGTGATGTGCCATGGCCAATCTTGACCAGCGCGGTTTGCAATGGCACTGGTAGGCCGTGAAAAGCACGTCGCGATGCACGGGTGAGCTTCACCTTCAGAGCTAGCCAGTTGCGCTTGATGCCAAACTTGGCTCGGAGGAACAATCCCTTGATTCCGCTGGATGGCTCGGGCTCATCCAGCTCGTGCATTCGCGGGAAAGACATAATCTCGTCGTCGGATGCATTGTTGGGTAGGGTAAAGGGCGTGCCATTGGCCTTGTACTTGCGACGCTTCTTAATGAGCGCAGCATCTGGCCCCTCATCTTCAGACTCGTTGGGCGAGGCTCTCGAGGTGTTGGCAACGGGCGTACGACCGGATGGCTCATAAACATCCGACTCATCCGAGCTTCTGTTACCATCTTCATGAGCATTATCGTGCACCAGACCTGAATCCAGCCCAGGGATGAGCACGCCGCCGGCTCCGGGAGGTGCTTCATCCACATTGTTGCCTTCTTCTAATGTTCGGGTATCGTCGCTGTCCGAGTCATAGTCGTCCTCTGCTTTCTTTGGGGCAAGCAACACGTTGTATCCCCAAGTCCATCTGACCAGCTGGCCAAGTTGCTGGAAAATCATGAGATATAATATACCTCTGGCAGCAACTTCATCATCGTTGTCGCCGGGAATCCGGTCCCAGTGAAGACCCTTCAACGTCTGAGACAGTGAAATGACCAGGGAGATGGGCAATGAGTTCGAATTGCCAAAAACGGCCATGGCAGTAACAAAGTTGGCGGGTCTCTTCTTGAGCCGGCATACCTTGGCCACAGCAAGGGAGACAAGGTACGATACAAGCGTTTGTATAATGAAGATGACGGGAATGACGGCCAAGTCGGCCAGTTTGCTAGCATTGAGCTGCGACGCGAGCTTGGTGAAGATTAGACAAGGAGTAAAGATCTGGACATTGAGATTGGCCAGGAACTTTTGCTTTTCGGCATCGAAATGGCCGAGTCGAGCAATGACATAACCAGGTAGTGCGACACACACGACTTCCATGACAGCCTCAAAGACCAGCAAAGTCAAGTGGCCGATGGACGGGTGGGAGTCGTGCGGTTTCGTCTTGAAGGGCACAAATGAAGGCATCTCGGGCGTCCAGTCGTTCATTGCTACCATATTGTTTGCACGAAAGGACGCCGGATTCGTCATTGACCAGTCCATGTTTTATTTGGGTGTCGGCCCCCTCGGGGTTCTCAAATGAGTCTTGTAGATTGTGGCACTCCGTTGTCAAAGTTCGCGATTGCGCCGACTTGCGTATGGCCGAGCTCGGATTGGGGTGCTAGCCAAGCGACTTTCGGGATGGTTGCTAGTCAGAGAAGCAACCCTGAGGCTTGTCGGTCGGCGAGAAGATGGTGGTGGCCTTTGTTAGCGGACGCTGGCGGTGAATGCAAAGGTTTTGTAGTAGTGCCTAAAGTGTTCCAGGGTCCGGAACGGTTTCCTTTCCCCCAATTGTCCAGTGTATCCTTATATTTGTTGCACGGGTAGTGTGTGACGTATGAGTGGGTAGTCGTGTGTCTCGAGTGGGTTGGACGGGCAAGGTTTAAATCAGACCAGCTGCGACAATAAACACAGATGCGGTATGTATGGAACAGAAAAGAGGAAGAGAAGAAATTCTAAAGAGGGAGCCGTGTGAGCGACTGTTTCTATAATGTAAAGGATGCAATTAAGTGACTGGGTCTGGCCAAGATTCTTGGACCCGGCGAAGCAGAGAAGAAAAAGTCTTGGATGAGAGATGGACTGGAACTCGTCACGGCGGCCGCGCGTGTGTGGCCTTGTGAAGTGTACAAAAGTAAAGTGGTTTGGGCGAGCAGCGGAGGAAAAAAAGAAACGAGCCAGGTCTAGGCGAGCAGGCGGCGGGCTGAGGGCTGCGTTGGCTGCAAGCTCCTTTGCTGGGAAATGCCTAGTGCGCAGCGCCTCAGCGTGCTAGCGCTTTGGGTCCCTGGAGATCTGACAGGTTCGTACAGCTTTGGGTCCGATTGATAAGGAAACAGGCCTATCAATCCCGGCAACCCTGGCAACTTTTGGGGAGTCTAGCGACCTAGCGCAGGCCATGCCACATGCCAAGGAACCACACTCTCTTCGCTCACCAGTGGCGGCAGCTTTGGGTCTCTGGCAATCTGGGACGAGGTGTCCTACCTTTGGGCAAGACCGTGCCAGCAACGCAAGACGACATTGGCTGCGACAGAGGACACCCACCTACAACGACACCTCATACTAAGGCAACTTGACTGTGTACCTTGCCGCCGTCCGCACCTACTACTGCAGAACTGGGGAAGTTGTTCAACTACCTGCTTCTGATCTACCGCACGCGTCGGCCGGGCCCCGGCATGGGTGATGTGAACTCTGTTTCATCCCAAGCTTCAAGAGCTTGACGCACCCAAAAGTACGACGTGCGCAGCATGCATCACTGCTCGAGGCAAAGAAACATACATTGTCGTATTGCTACTTTGATGGTTATTGTGCTTGAGCTCATAATCTTGTCTAGGCAGATCGGCGATTCCTGACACTTTTTCTTGTTTTCAGAGTTGACGCACCGGAGGGAAACGTCCACAATCTCCAATTGTCGCACAAGAAGCCTGTAGGTACAATGGATAAAAAGTGACGTTATCAGCCCCTGGAAAGTTCGGGAATTCCACCCCTGCAGCGAAACGTCCCTGTTGGCACCTTGGGGTCGGTCTGCCGGGAATATGCATGCCACGGGTGCTGTGCGACCCTACCCATTCACGATACTTGAAAACACTGCTCCCTCAGCCAACCGTCATTGGTGTACAGATAAGTCGTCGTCGCGACAGGCTGCCATGACAGGATCGTGCTGCGTTTCGATGCTCTAGGCATGCCAACTGTCTTTTTAAGCCCACTTGCGCCACCCATAGCTTATAAAGTCACAGTGACTCGATGGGCCTGAAGGCTGAGGCGAGCACTCCGAAAACGTCTGTTTTGGGAATCGCTCATTGGGGAATTCCATGATCGTCAGCCAAGGTAATGCCCAGACTCTATCGTGACTTTTCGTGCTCCAATACCGAGAGGAAAATCGTGGCTTTGCTTCAGGCGGCCCTGCGCCAGCCACCTAGAGCATCCAGTTGTGGTCCCTTTTTGGCTCTTGGCAGCGCCCTAGATTCGCATGACCCGTAATCACGAAAGCTTTCAATGAGAGTTGTTGTGATTGATCTTCTGCCAGCAATTCTATTGACTAATCAATAGCTCTTCAAAGACCCTTTCGCAATAGCGACAATTTCTCTATCTCAAGGCCCGAAAAGAACTGTATTTTCAGGTTGCCAGGGTATTTGGCTTTAAGGCGATTTGTTCCTTTCTTTGGCGCTCGAAATTATTTAGGTCGTAGCGAGTCCTTTTTCAGATCACATTCCAGATTTGAAGTATCAATTTGAAGTCAATCAATACAATCACCATGACACAATGCCCATAGAGATCTAAGGATATGTTTTTGCTCATATGTAAGGAAACCTGCCACGGGGTTATTCAAACATGTAGAATGTATTGCCTAATTAGATCAAACAAGGGACTTTTTACTCTTCTCTGCGCGCGGATTATCTTCAACTTGCTAGGTGATTCGCACGTATTCAGGGGTATGATGTAAGGTATACTAGATCCCTACTAGGTATGCAAGGTTTTGGTGCTCATAGTTGGTTCGGCCAAGCAAACCTTTCAAACACATCTTTCTTGAAAGGGGGCAATAGGGTATAAGGAGCGACCGTAGTTGCCTAAGACATGAAGATATATAGGTATATAGCTCAAGGCAGTTCACTCTGACAGTCATCACCACACGGTCATTCATTCTCGTCTCTTCTCAACATGCATCGACACGTTCTTCAAGTATCCTGTCCACACTTTCCTCAAACACCACATCTACTCTTCCTTCAAACAAGGAGTTTAAACATGTACCAGAACCCCTTTTGCCAAATGAGGGCATCGTGCAGTCCTATGATGAGGACTTCCAAAGAAGAGCGATACTACCCCTTCCTGTGCGACTCATCGATAGGGATAGTGACGGGGGATACGATTTTGGATGCGAGATCATAGGAGACGGGACCCGCGGGTCTTGTAGCAAGCCTCTTCTTGAGGGAAGCCACAGCAAATCTTTCACCAGGCTCCTTGACCTCCCCATCGAGATTTTCGGAATAATCATTGAGCTTGTGGTCCAAGACTTGGTAATCCGCCGTTTAACCAGGTTGAGGCAAGTGTGTAGTATGTACAAAATGCCCGAGTCAACATCATTGGCGGCAAGCTCATATTGACATAGGAACGTTCAATTACGAGGTGCTGAACGCTTACGAAACACTCTGCATATTAGCCTCTCATCAGCTCTCCATCAATGACCCATGGGATAAACTGGCGCTGGACTTGTATGGCACCATGTATTTTGGCAGAGACGACCGGCTGCGCTGGAGAGGTACGTGGGGTCAACCCGTGATCCGCTTCCTTGCCCGCTTCATCTTGTGCTGGCCATACGAGACCAAACTCGCCTCGAGGAATCCCGCTCGTCATTTTCCTGTAACCGCCGAAGCAGTCATCTTCTGGGGTGCCGATCGTCCTTTTGACCCGACGGCAGAAGCCTGGCATACATGCATCTCATGTTTGTTGAATCGCATTCTTGACGATCTCAAAGCTATTGCCAATGACCGTTACGACTCATTGGTCGAGCTTCTCAAGCATGTTGATGACTACATTCGCTTTCACGATTCCAAGAATGGTTCTAATGCCTTTTTCTCTGTAACTCGAAGTATTTAGGAATTCTCTACCTTGTTTTTCCCTCGGCAGGACCGTCTTGACTACTATCCCTTGTCAAACTATATAACCATCGTAGCCATGATCCTAAAGAAAGAGGCATTATACGACCAGGTATTCGGAGCAATATCTGGCGCGTGGACTTGCCCCCTTCTTGGTACGCACACCTGGGCTGCCATCAGGACTGGACAACATAGTCTTGTCCGGCAATTTCACAAAGGCTCGGATCTATCCAGCGACTTGCCGTATTTGCTGATTGCTGCTGTAAAGTCAGGCGGTCTGGCTACAGTACATTTCGTCCAACAGATGCAGGAGGAAAGTGGGGAAATGCCTCCTGACTCTGAATATTTCGAGGTAAGTAATTGTGGCTGTTTCTTCTCCTATCGACAGTTTCTTGAAGGTGTGAACTAGAACTGCTTTGTCTGTTATCAAATGCGTGCTAATGTTTGTCTTGATTTGGTCATATACGACCGAAAGAGAGCGACTACTAAGACCTGTTGTTGAATAGATTGCCATCACCCGCGCCTCACAGCTCGGCTATTTTGAGATTGGGAAGCATCTCCTCAATACTTTGGCCGAGAACAAAGATTGGCAAATATTTTCTCGCATACCTCCTCAGTGGATATTATCCCAAGCCTTGACCTGTTGCTCGCTGTTTGGTGACCTTCCATTTTTGCAACTTTTGTATCAGTCAAGCATTCTCTTCAATGTGTCGATTGCTAATCTGTGCCCCAACCTAGAGATTCTTGCTGCTTGGGCGGGAGATGTCAGAGTTCTGCAATAGATATTGGACCATTTGGTAAGCGCTGGACGTAGAAGAATAGAAAATGCATTATCCGCTGCGATACATGGCAACAAGGCGGACTCTTTACATTTTCCAATAGAAAATTACTCATCCAGATCTCTGGGCACGGGCCTTTCTACTTAGGCGTTGAAAATCCTCCAAGGTGTCCAATTGAAAAGTTATCAAGCAGTCTGTTACCTACTCGAAGACCGAAAGGTTATTGATTTGATGGAAAATGGATCCTCAGGACAAGCAGAGCCGGCGGTACGCATATATAATCGAGGCCATGATTCGAGGTGGGTACCTAGAGATGGTTGAGATGCTCATTCGCCTCGAGGTGCCACTAAACCAGCGACTCCGTGAGAACATATCCTATACACCTATCATGATTGCTCACACCTCGGTTCAGCCGGTGCCAGGCGGATTGAGCAAAAGCTTTCCGAGCTGGGCATTGAACGCATCGATTTGAGGGTGGCCAATATCCGTGCCTTTGCGAATCATCGACGACTACCAAAGCGGTATTACAAATCCTACATGCCTTGCGATCTCTATATGGAGGAATTTCAAGAACTGGATTCACGACCTGGTGAGTTGACATGCCCCACTGACGTATATCGGATTAAGCTCACGCGCTTGTCCATACTCTTCTTCTTTCGCTTCTGCGCATTCTCTCATATGGTTGTGGCAGCGCTTGTGGCAGACCAATTGGCTATATATAGCAAAGGCATGCTACAAAGTGGCTGAGTAGTCTAGAGGGTTTAGTCGTCTCTTTGTTGGCTTTTCTTTTTAACCTCAGGAAACTCTTAACTTTTTTTTCTTTTTTCTTGCCCAATAAACAACTTACTAGTCATCTCATGGAGACTCAAAATCGACCACCAGGCTTGACTCCATGACTCGTAGACACTCACATTCCTATTACAGAACTGCTTACGATGATAGACACCGTTAACAAGGTACAGCAAATTGATGGGAACTTAGGCGTATTCAATGTAAGTTAATGGGTCTGGTTGCGTGAGATTAGTGAAATTAAATGCACACAATCCAATCGCCTCTAGCTTCCAACTAGAAATAGCTGGTAAGTCAGAGGGTCTGGGAGTTCATGCTTTCATCCGTCAAAATGTAAGTTGTGCCCATTACTTTAGTCAAAGTCAACCCTCCACACAAGGCAGACATAGGCGGGTATTTCAAGACAAAGAAGCGCCAATCATCTTGTCAACAATGAAATGACAGACAATGCAACGGGATTCCTTGAAAACGCTGGAACACTATTAACGCATGGAGGTCTTCAAATTCGAAAGAGATTTCTCCATCCAATTCTGTTCCATCGTTCACTATTCTTTTCAAATACCCAATCCTTGGGTTTCTATCTTATTCAGCCAACTTGTCTGGTTACAAGTCATTTCCATTCTACAAATCCTATTCTACTACTTTGTCAAATACCCTCTAGAAATCACCATGCAAAACGAAAACGCTCCATCCTGGCTCTTTACTGATCCGTACGCGTATCAGTATTCTGACCTATCGAATTACGCTCCAGGAGCAGAAAGAAATGGAATCGTGTCGGAACGTAATGCCGGTACTGCTGAGCTTGACGCTGGACCTCACACGGCTCCTCAAATCCGACGACCATCATACCGCGAGCCGCAGATGTCCAGAAAAGGCGCCATGCCAGCGAGAGATGCTGCTCAAGCTCCCGAGGTGTACGTTGCTCCCGTCTCTCACGAACGGTGGAGTTCGCTGGAGCCAGTCATGCCCAATGACCGGTATCACCATATGAGGGCCTTGGACCTTTGCGAGAAGATCCCCTACGTACCAGAGACGAGTCGGCAGCATTCGAAGCTGGAAGTCGTCAGTCCAGCTGGACTCAACAAGTCAAAGAGTGCCACCAGCTTTGATGATATACTCCAGAGTGTCGAATATGAAAAGAGCAAGTTGAGCTTCAAAACGTGGGAGATTGAGAGGGCCAGGGGCAGGCGGGCGAAAGCAAGGTTTGATGCTGGCCATTAGATATTGCATGTTTTGTAAAATTGGTCAAAAACATTACCTAGCAAAAAAAAAAAGTTTTCTTTCGACGACATGGAGTTTTGTGAGATCCAGAGACGCTTTGATACAGCCAGCAAGTGATCAAGACAAATAATGATCAATTTATTCGACCGTCAACTAAAGTAGATGGGTAGACATACTGCATGCCTTATCGAAGTAGCTGTCGCTTAGCCTGAAATATGATCCTAATTACCATAAGGCTGACTGACGGCAGGGGGGTTCTTTGGAAAACTAGCATGAGTACAGAGTATTTGCCACAATCTTAAACGAACACACAGGACCATCATGGATGTCCGTGGGGGTGATCACAAGTCGACGCCATTAGTTGAAACAAGAGCACACCTCTTCCCAAGGCTATAGCCACAAGACACCAGGTGGCTCACGAAGCTGAAATGCAACCATGAGTTTTGGGATGATTCCAGCCAGTTGGGACAGGCTGCAAGCGAAGGCGCTAATTGGGTCAAGACTTGAGGTTTGGTGATCATGGTGTGAACATGGTTGACGCTAGTATCGGAATGATGCCGAGTGCCATGGAGTTTGGATGAAAATCATCGCATCAGTATCGAGTGTCGTGCATGGAATATCTGCCAAACAAGAAGCATATTCTGGAGTGCTCATAAAAGTATAATAGACTTGTGAGCCTATCGAAAAAAGGTTTGAGAAATGGAAATATCGTATTGATTTCACCTAAATCGTAGTTAATAGATTCTTTTTCATTTTTTTTCGGGGCCGGCCGAAACAGATGAGAAAGTCATTGAACCAGGATCATACAAACCCTTTCCAGTCTGGAGCTCGAGCATGCTGCACTAAGACCCCGAATGGTCCAATGAAAAGATGCGACAGTCAACAGCGTCGTAGACATCCTGGGCCAGGCGCCGGGGAAGACTCCAGCTTCAGCAAGTTCTAGTCCCAGGCTCGCCTAGCTCCTTGGGTCCAGCGGCGGAAGCCAAAAGTCGCTAGATTCACATAGCAGTTGGACCCTCCCCACTACACCACCCAACCAACCCTCAAACCACGACCGGCCCAGACTGGCGGGAGTCGTGACAAGAATGGTGAAAGATTTTCTTCTCTTTTATTTCCTGCACCCCTGTCGGTGGTATCGCGACCGAACCCTGGACTTTTTGCGCATATAATAGACGAGAACCTCAATCTTTTTTCTCTTCCCTCCTTCTTTTGCTGCTGCCTTCTTCACTGATGCCTCTTTGCAGCACGTCGATACCCTCATCCATTCTAACCACCCGGGCGCACTGCTTAATGTGCCCCCGCGACTCGAGGTGAATCAACAGCAGGCGACTTCAAAGTCTTTGCGCTTGCTTTTTCCCGGTGTAAAAACCGCAGAAAGACTTGTTATAATCATTTTCTACAGTATTACACATTTCTACTCTTTTTTCAGTAGATCTGGTACCACTGTAGCAACACTTTTTTGGGGATCTCATTCTTAAAAAAACGAGTAACCATAACCTCCAAGCGACCCAGTGGGATTGCTGCTGCTCTGCGGGGAAGACTATCTCGCCGCGCTGATCACGCAAATCTCCAAGGATATAGTCGGATTGCTCAACAAGACGACTCGCTCGAGATGGAGACTCCGTCCTACAACAAGAACGAGACAACCGGCCCAAGCGTCGAGGTCTATGGAGGACAGTCGCATTCTGAGGCTTCTGGCTCTGCCGACCAGGCGGCCATTAGCACCGTCATTCATCAGATCGAGGCCAGAAAGGTGCACTGGTACACCTATCTGACCACTTGGGATTTCTGGCTGGTCCTCATCATTGGCCAGGTTCTCGCGCTGTGCATCACGGGTACCAACACCTTCACCAGCTGCCTGTCGTCGTGGGAGAACTGGTCCATCCCGGCCCTGCAGACCATTTTCAACTATGCCCTGCTGTCCATTGTCTACGTGCCCATCACGCTGGTCAAGCTCGGCCCCGCCAAGCTGGGAAGCATCATTTTGCGCGACGGCTGGAAGTACTTTATCCTCAGCTTCCTCGACGTGCTCGGCAACTACTTTACCGTCTTGGCCTATCGCTACACCAATCTGCTGTCGGCTCAGCTGCTCAACTTCTGGTCCATTGTCTGTGTGGTCATCATCTCGTTCCTGCTGCTCAAGGTCCGCTACAAGATCTTCCAGATCATTGGTATCTTGATTGCCTGTGGTGGCATGGGTCTCCTGCTGGCCAGCGACCACATTCAGGGAAGCAACGGCGGACCCGGTGTCGACCTGCTCAAGGGCGACCTGTTCGGTCTCTTGGGCGCGACCCTGTACGGTGTCTCCAACGTCTTTGAGGAGTGGTTCGTCAGCAAGCGGCCCATGTATGAGGTGCTCAGCTTCTTGGGTGTCTTTGGCGTCATCATCAACGGCGTCGTCGCCGCCATCTTTGACCGCTCCAGCTTTGAGGGCGCCAACTGGAACAGCAACGTCGCAGGTTACCTCGTCGGCTACACTCTGGTCCTGTTCATCTTTTACTCGCTCGCGCCCATCATTCTGCGCATGGGCTCGGCCGCCTTCTTTGACATCTCGCTCCTGACTGGTAACTTTTGGGGTACCGCCATTGGTATTCAGGTCTTTGGCTACACCATTTACTACCTGTACCCCATTGCGTTTGTCCTCATCATCATTGGTCTCGTTGCCTACTTTCTGGCCGGCAGCATGCTGGGTGACTCCAAGAAGCCTTGGCTGGGTCAGGACCAGGAGGATGGTGTCGCTGGTATTGGAACGGCCAAGCTCAAGGCTCTCAACCTGGCAAGAAAGCAGGGTTTGGCTGCAGCCGAGGGTGATAGGGTCTAGTCAGCTCGAATCTCCAAAGACATGCGGCAGCCTGACCTGGCTCCTTCCTCCTCAATCAATATGGGGCACGATTGAAGTTTCACTCTCACAGTGTTGCAACTTGACTTTTATTCCAATGATACCAATACTAGAGTTATAGTCTATTCATAGCTCAATTATATAATTATTTCAATACATTATCGCCGCGTTTACATACACTAAAAGTTGACACCAGTATATGCGCTCTGTACGCTCCCAAAGCCCTGAGGACACTGCTTTCCTAGTGCCGCTGATCCACTTCGCATATAGCAAATCTTGGCCTCGGCACACGCCTCGCTGGTGCAGTTGGGACTCCGGATGCTGCTCTTGCCCTGAAAGGTATTGAAGACGCTAACGAGCGTCCGGTTGCGCTCCATGGCCTCGGTGACGCGGTGCCAAAACGTCGCATTCAGCGGGGCGTCGTCTGGCCACTCGGCTCCGGGTCCGTAGGCGGCTCGGCTGCTGTACTCGAGCTGAAAGACGGGCCCGCTCCCTTGATCTCCCTCTTCTGTGCCATTGTCCAGGGACCCAAACGACGACACGTCCGAGTAGAATGTATACGCATCGTAAATATCCCAGCTGCCCGTATCGACCTCGTACAAACGGTATCCCGAGTTGAGGTTGGTGAGCGGCGTCAGACTGGGGCCCACCCAGGCGCTGGCAACGGCCGTCTCGGCCGACCTGTTGCTCCCGTTGGCGCCCTGGTAGTAGACAAAGGCCTGGTCCTCGTGGGTGTGCCCGAAAAAGACGCCGGCCACCACGTGCGGCGAGTAGCGCTCAATGATTCTCCGGAGCGCCTCGGAGCCGTTGGGCAAAGGGTTGGTGCCGTCCCAGCCCGAGAGCACGTGGCCGACGATCCACACGCGCTCGCCGCTGTCCTCGGCGCGCTGCAGCTCGTCAATGAGAAAGGTGAACATGCCGCTAAAGTCTGGGTCCGCCGCCTTCAGCAGCGCAAAGTGGTTGTTGCGGTAGTACAGGTCCGTGTTGAGCGTAATGATGCGCAGGCCCAGCGGGTGCCGGATCGAGTAGGCCGCATAGTGCGTCCGGGCCGAGGCGGCGGTCGCCTCGTCGATCCAGCCGTAGTACTCCCACAGCGAGGAGACGTGGTCGTAGTTCCAGGACAACTGGTTGCCTAGGGGTCCGTCGTCGTCGATGCCGTGTGGCACGTCGAGATTGTCTGGGTTTGTATCGTGGTTCTGCCCATTTATATTAGCGAATGAGGTCTTTATGGGAACATTTCCAAGGCCAGACTTACTCCCAGTGCAGCATATACCGGTCCGCCGATGTACGCTTTAAACATGTGCCAGACGGACAGCTCGATATCCTCTACGTAATCCCGGGAGCGCTGGTATTGCGAGTCGTGCGCCACGAGATCACCCGTGTACAGCGCAAACGCCGCTGGGTTCTCCTTTGAGGTTCCCGTGAGTGGACCAATGGACTGCAGGGCGGCCAGCGCGAGGTAATACGGAGAGTCGCACTTGTAGTAACCATACAGCGGTGCGGGCACCTGAATGGCCGCGGCGCTCCCGTTGGCTGCTGGCGCGCTGTGGCGACAGCACATGCTCGAGGTGCAGTTGCCCTCGGCTCCCACCTCGTACCGGGCGTCCAGGTGCAGGTCCGAGAGATGGAGAACCTTTACCCGCTGGCCGCTGGGCTGCGGCTTGGTGGCATTGGCGGGCTTGGGCTTGGGGAAGGCGAGCTCAAAGGCCGTCACGTTGGGCGAGGCGCAGTACGAACCCAGATACGCGCATATATACTGCCCGTCTAGGCCCGCCACGTCGGCCTTGGAGAGAATCTGCGTCCATGTGGCACCAAAGCTGCCGGCCTCGTACGTTGACTGGCACGTGGAGTTGGATGCGAAGCCCGTCTTCTGGCACAGTGAGATCATGGCGTCTGGCAGGTAAGTTGGGGCCAGTTTCGCAGCCATTTGCGCCACTGACAGGGCGGCGACGCATCTCGAACAGTTGGATGAAAGCCCAGTTTGGTTAGCCCTCACAATTGTCAAAATCTCGTCTGAAGCTGCAGCGATGACAGCCTCTGCGCTGGCTTCGGAAAGATTGGCCAGCGCCTGAGGAAAATAGACTGGATCCGTGTCATGAGACGGGATGGACAGAGGGTCTGTCACATTCAAGGGAAATGTCTTGTTGAGAATGGGATCAAACAGTGCCGGTTGGGGCTCAGATGTAGGGCCAGGCTGGACTGATTGTGATGGTCAGCTATTATATCAATTGGACTTACAAAACATTTAGGGTTTGTTATTCAAACTCACTGTAATAGCTGGAAAACACCGATGTTGGAAAGGCAGCGGGCACAGTATACGATGCGGCACCTGGGATCGATGATGATGACGATGATGATAATGATGCACTGGCCGCGAATGCGCCAAGTACGGCTTGACTAGCAAGCATGTTGAGAAAGAATGCCATGTTCATCCTGTCAGAATTCCTACAAGCAAAACATGACCTTTATGTGGGCAAATTAGAATGAAGGTTATTACTGAGAGTACCAAAACCTCAGACACTCGGCAGAATGTGAATCAAGCTGTCAAACTTAGAAAATCACAGGTACAATGGGAATTTGAAGCGACGATTGAGAGTGCAGCGGATACTGTTTATGATCCATCCCACGTTCCTGGCTGCTGGGTATGCAGAGCCAAAGATCAGAGAGGCTGGGGCGTGGAGAGAGAGACAGCACGTGCATTTGCAACAGATCCGTGCAGAATGAATGCTCTAGGCTAGGTATCTAGGCACTGTATTTCTTGCTGGGTCCAGTTCGGAAAACGGCTCATTCAGGTCTCAATATAAATTGCTGTCTACACAGATAAACGTGCCAAGTGATTCAACAGTGATTGGATAGTGGTCCCAGGGAGGAGGGGATAAGCGACAGTGGCTCAAGCATTAGCGCCAAGACCCCACACTGTGATTCTGAATTGGTATTAGAAGGAGGGAACAGGGCCTGTACTCAATGGACTGGACTCGATTCGAAGAAGACACTGACAGCCTTGTCCCAATCTATTGTTTTCAATCCTAAGCTATAGAATGCTGATAGTTTCAGAACCTACAAGGACACGGTGCGGTGGACCAGCTATATTTCTCTTGGCATTTCTCCTATAGACTTGACCAATTCTTGACCATGTTCCATTTTCAATAGCAGTCGATTCCAACATCAAATAGGTATATGGTAGTCTTTATTTGAATGTACATCACATTTTTGAAGCCAATCAAAACTGCAGAGGTGAGTTTAAAGATTAATTAAGAGTCTATTCTTCTTAAAAGCTGCTGTTGGTTCCATTATTCTTGAATTTATACAAAGCAATACCGTAGCCTCAAACATCTCAGAGTCCCATGTTTGAAATATATGCTTGGCAAATTTCGAGGAGAAAACAATATTATTGATAAGGTACGGAGGCTTCTCGAAGCGGCTCCATGTTATAATGTTTATGTGACGCTTGACTGCGGTCGATTTGGCGAAGCAGCACACCCGGATGCAGTACCAAAAAGATAATCATGACGCCGAGCATGAGCGCAGCATCAAACACGTATAGCATCGCCTCGTGTTGACTGACGAATCCGTAGAAGCCCTGAGCAAACTCAATCGCCTTGACGAGATTTCGGACCCAGACCATGACAACGCAGACGCCGAGCGCGATAACGTGACGCTTCCACGGAGCGTCGACAATGGCAGTCTGGCTCGCCTGGCGGTAGAAGCGCACCACGAGGATCAGATAAATAGCCATGACCACGAGCTGGAAAGCGAGACCACCGAGTACCACGCGGTCTCCAATGTGCATAATCTTTAGGCTTCCAGTCACCTGCACCAGACCGCCGCCGATTTGCGTGCAAAAGGCAATAATGTCGGTGAGAATAAACAGCGTGGTCGGGCTACATCGCCTCCTGGGCTGCGCGAGGATTCCTTCCTTGAGTCGTCCCAGTGTCACGTACATTGTTGCGGCGATGAATACGGGAGAGACCAAGATGAGCATGAGCTGAAGCATAAAAGGCTTTGGCGAGTTTGGGTTTTCTCCACCCCATGCGCGACCATAATAACCGAAAAGTTCACCTGGAAATGGAATGGTAAGCTTTTCAAATCAAGGAGAAGAAGAAGATGAAAAATCAAAACTCACATATACCACCCAATACTAGCGGGATCATGTATCGTGTTCGAAAGTAGAATACGCCACCAATATGCGCGACAGTAATAATTGTAAACAGTGCCACAAAGGCAAAACCAGCTGATCGCGATGGCGTATATGGATAATAAAGGACTTTTCCATCTTCGAATTGGACAAGACCCATTGTGACACTTGTTGATCCCGATGCGCGAGGAGTTGTGTGGATTGTTGGCGTATTCTGTAAGTGGGCGCAAGCCCGTTTTGCAGGCGCCCAGCCGTTTTGGTGGATTCCAACAGGTTCTGCTAAAAGTGCCGTCCCGCCCGAAAATTATGTTATAATTATAGATGGATAAATTTGATACAGAATCTTGCGTTTATAACAGTAGTCTCTTGAATTGAGAAGAAGGAATGTTTGAATCAGATTTGGCCAAGTGAATAGAGGGGGGTATATATCTGATCCCTAACTGAAAGATTCCCGCTCGTGATCAGCCAATCAGAGAATTTACGTATTCCTGTTCAAAATTCGCTTAGACTTGAACTAGCAGCGGCAATGCCGTCGCAAAATATCGACAGTCGGACCGTTGACGAAACTAGTGGGTCGAAAGAACAGGAAGCCATTATGAAACTCCAGTTCTTCTATCTGAATGATCAAAAAGTAGCTTGCAGAACAGCTCTTGATGGGTGTTGTAGTGTAGAATTCGGGGTCATCTTGTGCCTGCTGCACTAATGGGCCAGTCACAAGTCTGGGCACAGTAATGACTGGTGCGACCGCGCGAGTATAGCAACTTGGCGGAAAAGTCCGAATGCCTGAGAGGTACGACGTAAGCTCGTAATACCGAAAACACTCTGATAAGTCCATTATCTTGGTGAATGCGTTCTAAAAGGTCGCCGACAACACAGCCAAGCTTCAGGTTCTTTTGAGAAATGTATTTGTTGCAATTTGGTTCTGTCAAACAATGTATCTTGGTGCTAAGTTGGCTGACCATACGCCCACATGTGACTGTAGACTTTAGCAAAGTCTTTTGTGGGTAGGGTCCCTTGAGCCCCGGATGTTTGATCATAAAATCTGAAGTGATAAGCCTGTCTTCCCCGCTATCATGAACCGGGTACCCCCAAGATGTCTCATACACCATGCTTGGAAATGTAAGCACTCGATGCTTTTTCTTCAATGCTGATTCAACGCCAAGGCGGGGGAACTTCACAAAGTCCTGCCACTGGTGATCCATGATTTGTCGCCTCGGCTCGGCTCTGATGTGGTGCAACGTCAGGCCCCCTCCTTAGTCACGGTAGCCATAGGATATATACAGTAGATCTACAAATCGCCAAGTCAGCCCAGCTCTGCACTGTCACACACACTCAACATTTGCCCATTTTGAAGCTCCCCAAGTACTTGCTCACTTGATGGGAAACATGAGCCTGTCTTGGCGAGCAAGGCAGATTGGGTCATCCGGGCAGTCAGATCATCTCTGAATATGATAGAGGGAGCTGCAGGGTTTCAATATACCCCAAGGCAGGTCTGATCTTACGAGCTAGATGCTGTATATAGGTACTATATATTTGCCATTATACTGCCCCGAGTGCTCTCTCCTCCTTCTGCATTTCGTGTGTCATCAAGTTCTCCATAGCCCAAGTTGTACACCAAACGCAGTCATCTATTCACAATCCCATTTCTAATTTGCCTAGAATAGCTTGTTAATATGAATCTTTTACTGTCGGCCGTCGCTATTGCAGCTGCCACGGTTGCCTCGGCTCAGGAATCATACCCAGTCATTGGTGGTGACTGTAAAGTCTTCCCAGGCGATGCAGCATGGCCTTCAGATGCCGAATGGGCGAGTCTCAACGAAACCGTCAGTGGTAGACTTGTCAAGACTGTGCCATTGGGCTCTCCATGCCATGATCCAAACTATAATGCTACCTTGTGCGAGGAGCTCAAGGACGAGTGGCTGATGGAACCCATTCAGTAATGCTCCCCCCAGGCAGTTTTTCATGCAAAATTGGCCGTTTTAATTGACAGCATCTACTCAGTTTCAACTCCACCTCGTCCGTCATGGCCCCCTTCTTCGCCAACCAGAGTTGCGATCCCTGGCAGCCACAGTCGCGGCCGTGCGAGCTGGGCAATTACGTGCGCTACGCCGTCGATGTTGCCGGGGCAGAGGACATTCAGGCGACGATAGCATTTGCCCGGGAAAATAACATCCGCTTCGTCATACGCAACACCGGACACGATTTCAACGGGTAAGTACAGAAACCTTTCGATCAGGGAGCAACGTTTCTTAGACTCACACTCTGTAATATGCTAGACGTTCAACGGGAGCGGGGGCACTGTCGGTTCGTACCCATGGGCTCAAGGATATCGAGTTCATCGACGAGTGGGTAGGTGTGGAATACACGGGGCCAGCCGTCAAGGTCGGTGCCGGCGTCCAGGGCTTTGAGATTGTGACGGCGGCCAACAGCCAAGGCCGTGTCGTTGTCACGGGCGAGTGTCCGACTGTTGGACTTGCAGGAGGCTACACGCAAGGAGGTTTGGTCCCATCCCCCCTTTTTGCGTTGTTGAAAAAAAAGCGTCCCTAAGTGACAGAATGGAGGGAATTAGCTGACACAAGTTTACCTTAAGGTGGCCACTCTGCACTGAGCAACTCGTACGGTCTGTCAGCGGACAATGTCCTGGAATGGGAAGTAGTAACTGCCGATGGCCAATTCTTGATCGCCAATGAGACCTCGAATCCAGATCTTTTCTGGGCATTGCGAGGTGGAGGACCCGGGACATATGGCGTCGTCACCTCGCTGACGGTGAGGACACACCCCGACGCCATCGTCAGCGGGGCCGCATTGTCCTTCTTGTCCAACTCGACCACTACGGAAACATTTTGGCACGCCGTTCAGACTTTTCATGAACTCTTGCCGGCCATGGTCGACGCCGGCGTCATGCTGGTCTATACTATCAATACTGAGGCTTTCGGTATCCCGTTCCTGACAGCCTACAACAAGACGGCAGCGGAATGTCGCGAGGTTCTGAGCCCCTTCTTGGAGAGCCTCGGAAAACTAGGAATCAATCCTACAGTCTCTTTTACCGAGTCTCAATCATATCTTGAACACTACAATGAGACCTTTGGTCCTCTCCCGTGGGTAAGTACTTGATCTTGGTATCTGACGTGAGCTTTATCCAGGTTGCTCGCAAGGGAGCATCACCTGTCCGGAAACCTTTTGCCGCGCCCGATTGCTGACTTGTCCTTCCAATCAGGGCGGTCTTCCCATCGACCAGGGTCTTTTTGGTGGTCGCCTTGTACCCCGTGATATTGTTTCCAACATTACATCATTGGCATTCCAAGAACTCGCCAATCTTGGCGTGGCCGTGACGGGCGTCAGCTTGGACGTGAGTCGCTTTGGCTCAACCGAGACCACGAGCGTGGTGCCGGCGTGGCGCAGCTCATTGATCCATGCCGTGCTGAACCTACCATGGAGCTTCACGGCGCCCTGGAGCGACATGGTGGCCCAGGTGAGCAAGATGACGGAGCAGGCCATGCCCATCCTCGAGGCCGCGACCCCTGGCAGTGGGGCCTATGTCAACGAAGCCGACTTTCAGCAACCAAATTTCCAGGAGGTCTTTTGGGGGACCAACTATGAGAGGTTATTGGCAATCAAGGCCAAGTACGATCCGGAAAACTTCCTTTATACGCGCATCGCCCCTGGCTCAGAAGCTTGGACCGTAGCAGACGATGGAAGAATGTGTCGATCTTTGTGATACGCCGCTGACAGAATGAAAAGTATATAGTTTGGAAACCTAGAACTGTACGGACAAGATATGAAAATTATGGATGTTGAATTTTCGACTTTCGATATCTCAATTGATCTCCTTCAGTCACCCTGGTGTTGCCAAGCTTTGAACAATGATGGTCGACACTGTTCTCCTGATTACAGTAGATGACTACATTAGACAATCTTGACAGTCATTAGAGTACTTCTCTCGAGAGTTTCGTGCGCTATCTCCCACGACTCATCATTGAAAATACTAAGCTGCCGAAGCCCGATCCGTTCGAAAACCCCTGTTTCCTCCAAGGGTCTGAGCACGAGGATGGTGCTCTGCACAACCCAGAGACACAACACTGCACAGTGGCCTATTTCATTCGCAAAGAATGGAAAGTCGGGAGAGAACTGTAGGGTAATATCATTAGAAATGTCGGAAAAGTGAAATCCATAGTCGTCTGGGTGGTTGCCAGGAGACACCAGGGAACCCTTCTGCCAGCGTAAATTCGAGGTCAAGGTGGGACCCGTGATGACGAGGACGCCTCCATGGGCCTGTCCATACACGTCGTGTCCAGACACTTCGCAGTTGATATCGTTTATCGTTGCGAGAGGCTTTTCGCCACTCAGATGGTGTGGCAATGACCATGAAATAGGGGCAATTATGGACGCCCACGACCACGATGGTGCTCGAGGAGCGTCTGTCCGTTTGAAAGAGTCTTGCGGCGTGGGAGAGGCATACCACAAGAGGCCATAAGGCAAAAGGCTCTTCCAAATTCCTGCCACGTAGTCACCTGCTGGCTTGCTGGCACCAACGCGTCTAGATATGCCCGAGAGAGCGGTCAGGAGATCCTTGTCGTACGTGAGCCTCAGCCTCGTGTACCGACGCACGACGGCCCACCAGCCTTTCCTAACTTGAAAGGTCTCCGAGCTAGGGCCTTGTGCAAAGAGACGCATTAGATCCTCCTTGAATCCATGACCATATCTCTCTTCTTTGCACTGACATCGACCACCATCTCGACACTCAAAGGCCAGTTCGAAATTGCAAAAATGCAGCACGCGTGGGGAGAGAAAGCGTTCTTGAAATATCCAGCCTCGACCCAGCAATGGGAATTCATTGAGAGTCTCTTTAGGTGGAACGGCCATATTCAAGTCAAAATGTTGGTAAAATTGGCGGCAGTGAATTCTCGTCTGCAAACCGGTTTCCGTGGTATAAGAAAAGTCCATTTCGCGAATGGCTGGTGGATTGGACCGATAACAACCTTCGTCTCCATTCTTCGAGGCAGTGGCAGCAATAGTCAAATACGCGCCCTCGTAGATGTCGGCCATGCGGGACGCTTCGTTTTCCCAATCTTCCTCGCTGTCTTGGATGATACAGAGAGAGTCGATCCAAAGATAGTCTATCCCTAGACGTCGTGTTATATCTATGGCATCTTGAAATGTTTTCGGTAATTCGCCGAGGGTGATGTTTTTAGTGTGTGCACTGAATGATTGGCGGGTCGTCTTTGCTATTGAAGCTTGCTCACCCCAACAATGACTGAGACAGACGTAGCGCTCACGCTGGCGTGCCGTGGTCAGCAGTCGTATGGACTTTTCAGTATCTCGGAGAGATACATCCAGTACACGAGTGGGAAGTGGAGAGCCTTGTGTGCTCGATAGGCAATTGTGCCCAAGATCGCACGTGGCGATCTGGCGCTTGGCCCAGTAAAGACTTGTATCTGATGAGGTATCTTCTGAGATAGGTGCGACGTCGCAAAGTGCTCTGAATGGGAGGTCTTTGATGATGGAGAAATCTTATTTCCTTATCAGCCGTTGTCATCTTGAAGGCTCTTGCAGCTCGGTACAGACCAGATGGTGTAAAAAAGTAGAATGAATCACTGAGGCATATTGAAGCATCCTCTGAACTCAGTCCAGATACAAAGAACGTGTCATGTGGATATCCACCAAGTTGAGTGATGTGAGCATTTTCCCGATGGGTGCCAGTCAAGTAAGCATCTATGGCTTGCGATAGGAACGAGCAAACCGAGCATCGAGCTGCATATTGCTGTAGATTTGTCTTGCTGACAGTGTTCAAGTTGGAACCTTTCCGCTCGCTCAACAGGGAATCACAAAAATGGTCGCTGATCGGCTCGATTATTAAACTTAAACTAGCATTCACGGACGTGAACTTTCTGGCATGCTGACCGATGGCGGCTAGGAAAGGGTCAATGATTGTCTGCGAGGCCGTGGTAGCAAACAAAGGGTAGTCTGGCAATTCATCCATGGGGGTCAGCAAGTGAGAGATTTCCAGAGCAAATAGTTTTGAGCGGTTAGCATATGTTTATGGATGTGCAAGATAACAGAACTCTATTACATTCCATGCCGTCAGATGTATAATGAGTCGCATGCGTATCTTGATCAATCTTGGTGTAAGTTGTCAGCAATTGTCTGGGCCAGCGTGGCGTGGTTATTGATCAGCTGTACAAGCGCGTGGTCTACCCACTGGCTCGGGGCTTTGGATGAGAACGCTTTTCGAGAGAGAGATTTGATTGGTTCCGATAAGAGCGATAGGGATCTCAGCTCGAGCTGGCGAGGCTGTGCTAGTGACTGACTGGGACCAGAAGTGGAAAAATGAGTCCGGAAATGCAAAGGTAGAATGAATCATGGTGAAGAGAGAAGAGTTGAGTCCTCCAGCAGCCAACGTGGTTCTGCTTTTACCCCTCCCTAGCACCAGAATCACACCTCCCATCAGTGCTGACGTCTGTCGGCTCTGCGCCCTACTCTCTATTTTCATTTCACACAAGAAATTTAGTAAAGAAACTCAGATTCATGTAATAATTGTTTTGGAACTTGGTATCTCGGTGCTCTCGCAGAGCTATCCCGAGGGCTCTCTCAATTTATCATTTTCACGGCATATACAGAGTCCAGCTCAAAAGACATGATGAAAAACTAAAACACATGGTCTCCTTCCACGTTGATATTTGTCCTCGCAAGACCGATCCGTCTATAGTGTTCGCCGCTCAGATTCTTGCCCTCTTCTGTCACCAATGACTTGTGCTCGGGATTGTCTAGCACTAGGTCGCCCGCCAAGAACTTTTCTGTCGATTCTCTTATGCCGTCGCCTAATGTTGCCAGGTCGCTGCCTTGGCTAAAAGGGGTCAGTCGTTCGCCAACCTGGGATGGTTCCGTGGTATCGGTATCTGGCCAGAGTATCCGTTCTGCTTCTTCGCGCGTCATCTTCCCCTCAAACGATGCCTGGCCGGCTGCGATAATTTCAACAAGGCTTTCACTATCAGAGTCGTCGTCATCAGGTGTGAATTGGGAGAAGTTTCCAGTGGTTTCTGAACCGACTTCGCATGAGTGGTGAACCTCCTCAATTTCAGTCACCTCGGGAGCTTCTTGTTGGACTTGGACCGTTCGAGTCCCGTTTCTCAACAACTCCAACTCGGCCCTGGCCTCTTCTTTACTCTCTGCCCCGTTCAGAGTCCATCGTCTAGGTCGTCCGGATTTGGCAATGAGACCTCGCAAGATTGTCACTTCGTTGTCCTTGAAGGCACGGAAAAATGTTTTGCTGGCCAGAGCAGCACTATGCACATCTTCAAGAGTGTCAAGTTGAGAAAGAACCTTCAATGCAATATCTGCAATACCTCGGCTCGCAGCATCATCGTCCGGCTGCTGCTCGACTGGTTTCATGGTAGGCTCTTGGTTTGCTGCTTTGTGTTTACTGAGGGCCCAGCCGTGCTGCCCGGACACATCGTACAAGGTGAGACCCCTGATACTATTGGAAATGTCGTTGAGAGCTGCTTTGAATGTCGAAGCAAAGTCGCAAGGCCCAGAGTGCGACTCTGGCGGACTACTGATGCAACGAAGAGTGTCAATCAACTGTTCCAGACTCATTTTTGGGAGAGGGGGACGCTGAGTGTGGCCACTGGTATACATGATCTGCGACAGAACTCCCGACTCGTTAAAGGCCATCATGAGCCACCCAAGAGATAATGCGTCGCAAGCGTGGCTGCCCTTTGAGCAACGGGGCTTCGAGCTAGGCATGAGCCCAAGGTTCGCGTCCTTATCGACACCGGTGGGTGGGCAGCGGAGATACTCTTGCAACAGGCTATTGCAACAATGGTGTACCTGGTCAATCTTGGCGTTTCTCATCATCCAGATCTTTTCCTTGACACGTTGAGGGAATGGCCTTGTCTCCAAGTCACTTTGATCCACAATTTTCAGCACAGCCGTCTTGGTCACCCGTGAGAAGAGTCCTCTCAGACCAAAGGCGTAGCTGACGAGAAGAAGGCCGTCCGATATGTCCTCGGCAGCCTTGTGGATCCATTGCGGAAGCCACAGGTATTCGACAGTCAACTCTAATGGCGCGGTGCATTGATAGCGCATGCACACTTCGGCGACTGCCACGAATGTATCGAATTCAATATCCCGTGGAACCTGGTCATTGTGCAAGTGGGCAGCATGAAGAAGAATCTCGAGTGATTTGCCCATGTTCAATTCAAGCTGCGGCATGCGAAAGAGCTTGACCTCAGCACCGTCGGCGCAGACGTAATTGGTCGGTGTAGGAGGCAGGTTTTGGGCCACATGCCCATTCATATCTGACATCATCGGTAGCATCTCCGGGGCCCCAAAGATTTGTGCAAACAGCGGGGATGTTTCAGCCAGCATATGCGAAGAAACCCGAAAGCGAAAGACGGGAAACTCATCCGAGTCCTTGTTTGCGAATTCCAACACGGCGTCGCCCCGTTGTGAGATGACGATATCCTCGATGATCCGATCTGGCGAAATGCCCGACTCGGCATTATGTAGCAGATGCCTCATCTCGTGCAGGTCTGCGCTCACGTGGTCAAATTCGCGGAAGCGTGCATTAACTATTTTCGTATCCGCCACGCTGACTGAGCGCATTCTCAAGGTGACGCTGTTCCGGAATACCTTGTCGCGGAACAGCTGTTCTACCATTGCGGGACTGGCAGTGGCGTCGAAATCCCTATATGCATCTGATATCAGAGTCTTTAATATAACCAAAAGGTCCCCCAGACAATTTGTCCACGTATGAACCAAGTCTAGGCGCTGGTTATATATGTTTGGCGATCTGTGCCAATCCCCCGAGGCTCCGGTATCAGAGATGGCCGTGGAACCGATAGATAGGCCGGAGAGACCGGAGGCTAGGCTGAGGCCAATGTCCGAGGATGAAGGAGGAGGAATGGGGGGACTTGGGCTCTGGCTCGGCTGACTTGACTGTGGTGACTGTAGTAACGCTATGCAGAACGCCTTGGCTATCTCCCTGATTGCGGAATACTCCTTGTAAGCAGTGTCTGCCGGGATATATTTATTAGTAGTAATGTATTTAAGTTTTTGAATGCATCCTTGGAGTTGCGCGCAGTTCAAATCTTCAAGTGATTGTGGCTTGTGACCGATGGAGAGATTGCCCAAAGATGCCTCCAACACCAGGCCGGGCGTTCCAGGAGCACTATTCTGGAGTCATGTCAGCCGTCGATTTGTCTTGCCAGGGCTTTCATCGCCCGCTGCGAGGACGGCACTCAAAGCGTTGACTAACATGGTGGCTTCTTGTTTGACTCGATCCGGATTGAGTCTGTTGCAATCCGCCGGCTCCCCAGGTTCGTTTCCTCGGCGCACCTGAGCTTTCCGCGGGGGACCGACGTGACGTTAAATAAGGACTGATGCCGGTACTGGTGCTCAAAGAGCCTGCATCTCGAGTATAGCCGGTCATTTCGACCTAGCCAATCGCGAGCTTGGAATCGGTGCTTGGGGTGATTGCCGGCCGTATAATGAAACACAGCAGAAGCAACCTTCAAGACAAGGCTGGCTGCCTACACCTGCTTGCTGATGCTGGTTTCTGTTTCTGGACACCGTCCGGCCCCACGGTGGGATCGAGTCTGCTAGGGTGGGCTGCTAGGCATCCGTATTTCAACGTTCGATATGGTTGATATGCTCCTCGCGCCTTGGCACAGACTTCGGGGACCGATGAGAAAAGTGTCTGCCTTGTCATATGCAGGACGAGATGATTTCACATTCGTCCTACTGACCTACCTCCCTACTAGGCACTTGATGAGTTGGGCTACAGAAAGTCAATGTACTAGAGGAAGCGGGTGATGAGCTTATTTATGTACGTACCTCCAGTAGCGCGAAGGATTATGGTGGAGAAACAGGGGTCCAACCCACCGTCGATGCACCAGACCTCGACAGTCACGGTACGTACTGCAACCTAACCTCTACATAGTATCATGCATAGGGTTTATCCGGTGCGTTACTCAAGGTCTTCTTTTAATCCATTCGTGATCATGCCCGAATGCAAGAGCGAGGAACTTGATAATTGAACTCGGCAATCTCCAAGTATTGGGAGTCAGGTGATTTGGAGGGAAACTCGGTCGTTCATTGCGATATGACCACTATTTTCCGTCAAGGTTTTTCAGGTAATGTTTATGGAAACTAGAAAGTGCTATCAATCTCATGACACAAAAGTGCCCCGTATGTTACTAGTGTATTCCTATGGAATCGATTACCAAGAACTTGGTCGCACAGTCTTGTTCGCTACGATACATTATATTCCTCAACTTACCCAGGGGAGTTTTCAAGAAGCAAGCGTCTTGGTTGAATGCAGACCAAAAAGGACAGCCCTTCATTGCTTTATTCAAGATTGCAGCTAGAACCATGACAAGATGATGAGATATAAGCCATCAATCTAGAGCATCATCCTTACCTACCAAAAATCAAGAAAATCGATTAATATAAGGCACCAGGAGCCCGAGTCTAAGTAGAGGGATATTGACAGATAAGTTATAAACCTCGTATCTCTGTCTCTACACGTTCAAGGATAAAGGATGTCATTCCATGATATCTGAACCCGGGCTCGGACACATTATGAGCGGGGCGCTGATGGCAAGACCCATTATCTTACTCCAGTGGTGTTCGTCTCTTTATAACACACCCCGCCGGCTCATCCCTCGGCTCCATACGAGGGTGGCCGGGGACGGGGTTGCTGTTCAACGGGGCGGGGTGATTCTCGGGCGATCCATTACTTCCAGAAGGTCGACCTGGCTGCCTTGCCATCTTGGTATGGCCCTCCTCGTCTTCAACGACGCCGGCGGTTCTGGTACGGAAGGACTTGCCCAGGAAGAAGACGGGCAGGCCGCCCAGGGCCAAGGCGCCAATGAGGCCGCCGTAGGTGCCAAACATGTTCAAGAATCCCATGGTCTTGGCCCATTCGGTGGCTTTTACTGTCATTCCGAAACCACAAATCAGACGGAACGAGGAGTACACAATGAGAATGGGGCTGTTGGTGGAGGTTAGCACTATTTCACAACAAGTTTTACTCCATGACCGATTGATGGAAAATCTTAGACCACTTACCCGGCAAAATTTGGATAGCTTTCTAGAATGAAAACCTGAAGAGTCGTGTTGATGCAAGTGGAACCCACGGTATGGAAAAAGATATTCACCAGCAGAGCATAATCCGCACGCAAAATCGTGAGGATGTTGCTGCAGACGTATCCATACATGACAAGGCCAAGGACGGCAAGGATCACGGGCAGAATAATACTCAGCAGGTGAACTTCGGGCTCGCGGCGGCCGTCGTGCCGCCTGGCGATCCAGTTGGAGACAATGTCGGCGAGCCAGCCGCTGATGAAATAGGTAAAGGGCGTGGCAATGAGCAAAGCCAGCCCCGACATTCCTAGTTTCTCGATCCTCCAGCCCACCGTCAGGAGCACCGACGATGAGGTCTGGGTCACGGCGTTGCCGGCTCCCTGGAGGGCCGCGCTCAGCAAGGTTGCCCAGATGACCGCTGGAAATGTGAGACATTTGAAGCTTTCAAGAAACGTTTGAAAGCAGAGGCTCCAGCGAATAGGAATATTGAAGATGCCAAAGTTGGACTTCCAGGTTCGAGGCCCATAGCTTTCTACGTCGGGTCGCGGGCGAGTCTCGCCAGGTTCGAGGAGATAGACTTGTTTGCCGGCTATTGGGAAGAAATAGACGGTTAGTTCTTCAATTTTGCGACATTATCACTTTTGAAAATGCAACTCACCTAATTCATCATTTGACCTCTCTCTGCGTGTCTCGGGTACACACAAGAACACGGCGATCCAAGCACAGGCCGTCAAGCCCGAGAATATCAGATACAGCCGCCTCCAATCCAGGTAAAATGCAATGAGTGGACTTGATAAGAAATGAGTATCTGTATCAACGTGGCAGATTGGTAAGGGACAGCGATCGACGTGACTTACCTCATCATACCCAAACCAATGATGAGTACACCTTGGCTGGCATTCAGTGTGGCAAAAGCCCGGTTGCGCTGGTGGATAAACGTCATATCCTGAATGATTAGCGGTATGATGGCTTCGACGGCACCAGCTCCAAAGGCTTGGAAGCACCTCGCTGCGATGTGGGCATCGAGGCTTTGGCTTTGGCTGGCCCATATACCACCGACCCAAGCCATGATACCAGCCAACAGGAGGACGGGCCGCCGACCAATGGCGGAAGACAGGGGTACCAGAACAAAAGAGGATATACCGTTCACAATGATTGGCAGGGTGGCCAGCAGGGCTACTCGCCACAGTGGTGTTACCGACTCCCAGGTCGCCAGCGCTTCGAGAACATTCACTGCCACAGGCTCGGCGGGAGGAGCAGGTGGCCCGCTGACACTGCCGCCATCGCCGCCAGGCGACCCTCCACTACCGGATGAGCCTTCATCACTAGACGAGCTGCCAGCGATTGCGAGCAAGCTGCCTATTTCTAGTAATACACTCCAGCTGACGCCATTGTACTCAAAGTAGAAAAGTGGTAAGAGGTGGCCGATGATGTTTTCTATCCCTAGTCCAAGAGAGCCGACTGCGATTCCATCGTCAGTGTCTTCATCCAAATCAAAATCGTACTCGATAGCCAGGGAGGGAAATGCTCACAAAAGCACATTGAAATAATGGCCATCCACTTTCGCCATGATGGGAGATTAAAGGGGTCTAGGATGGTGATTTCGAGTCAGTGTCACCTTGCCGTCGTCATCAGGACAGATTGAATAAATTACCCTTTGGGTCAGGTGTGGGCATGGGGATGCATTGAAGCTGATTCTCTTGAAACAGCTTTGAACTACCAACCACCAACTCTGCGCCTGGTTGGTTTGCGGCATCATCTTTCGTCGTTTGCTCACTCATTTTCTCGCAAATGGACAAAACGATCGCTGTTCTTGAAGAAGTTTAAAGAGTTCCCGTAGTAGAGCAAGGCGAGAAAAGTATTGAGTTCTGGATTAGGTAGTCGAGCGAGTAACATGGCGCTTTGAGGACGCACAAGAGTACTTATATAGGTACTTACCTCTTAAACCTATCATTGGCCCCAGGAAAGAGCAAAGCAGAAATCTGGTCTCAGCAGGTAGAGTATTAAGGTGTTCGTCCTAGGGGCATATGAAGGGCCGAAGAGGCATCACGGGCTCGAAAGACAGGGTACCGATGTGCACAACCTTATCAAGCGTAGACACCGAATTGGGACCGTCGGCTGCAGGAACTGAGCCTATAAACATGTAAAATCTTACTACAAAACAGCTATCAACCAGGCTAAATAGATATCAACGCATGGTTGAACCTGATGTCCAATGTGGGAGTGTCCCGTAACGTTCTGCTTTCGCTCGGCGCAAAACCCATCCCCCAAAACCATAAACAAGCCAATTGCTGATACTTGGCTGCAAATATGACAAAAACTCCTATATATATGCCTGGTCCTAATATGCGTGCTTGTGCCATGACGGCTGGGTATATCCTCGTTCTCTGCATAAGGGAGGGAGAAACAAATGAACATAGTAAACCCAGGCTTGAATGATAACGCCAGAATATGATGTGTGCTCGTAAATGAAATAAAAACCAATAAGTCCCATAAAAGTATTACCCGTCTGTCGTCAGTCTGCAAAGATGGAAGAGGAGATCTCCGAGATACTCCATTCTTTTAATTTCTCGAGGTTGTGGTCGTTGTTGGTATCGTTGATTTCGTTGATTTAGGTGCAAGGGTGTGCATCAGAGGTAACCGTAGCGAGATGCCAATATATGGTTTCCAATCCCTATTCCTCCACGGGTGATAGACCATCTTCCGAGGATTCCTTCTCCTGAGGCCACTCCAAAGGGTCCAGGATGGAGTAGCGCAATCCAGCATTTTCCTCCATTTCTTTCTGCAAAATGCGCATCGAGAGTTCCCATCGCCTGTCCATGGTCTGCCTCCTGATGTTGAAAGTAATGGCAAGTGCATCTTCTTGGTCCGCAAAGACAGACTCCAAAGCTTCAAGCTCCGCTCGATTCTTCTCGAGGAGCTTTTCCAGCTCGTCGTCCTGTCTCTGTTGCAGTTCCTCTAGAGCCTTTGATTGACGGTCGCGCATCACGTTGATCTTCGCTTGGTGTAGTTGCCTCATGTTCTTCTCCACGTTGTACTGCTGACCGAGTTCGCGCAAGTCCCTTTCCGTCACGGTGCGTTTGGGCATGCCGGCATCAGGGTTTTGCCCGAGGCCATCGCAATAAGCTTCCATGTGTTTGAGGCGAATACGGACGTTTCGCTCGCTCTGCTCGAGCGACATGCGTAGCTCGAGCTCTGCCTGTACTTGGCGGTCCTCGAGATTTACGGTCGTCTTGACATGGCGCTCTTTCATCTTTTCGATCATACCTGAATGTCTCTCTACCAGGGATAGTTTCTCCTGGGATTGTCGAGTCCACATGAGCCATTTCGTCTTCCTTTCGTACACGCGGAATCTCTCCATCTCATCAATCTGCTCGCGGCGCGTTGCTTGGAATTCGGGCGACTCCTTCGTGCGTTTATCTGCTTCAAGAATTTCCGCGGCTTCCTTCTCTGCTGCTTCTTTAGCCAAAGCCTCCTCAGCCTCTTGAGCAGCCAAGCGTTCCGCTTCCTCGATGCGCCGACGCTCGAGCTCTTCCTCGCCATTACAGTAGTTCGGGCATCCGACAGTGCCATCCCAAACGCCACCGCACACGTAACAGAACTGTTTTGTAATTAGTACACCTCTCTAGAAACTACAGCTGACATGGAAAAGGTGCAGATTTCTAGGATGACATCCACAACTCTGGGTGCGGTACGAGATATGACAACTCACCTGTGCTTTACATCGGCACGTCATGTGGCTGCAGCCTTGAGTAAGCTCTACCAGGTTTCGACACTTGTAACACCGCCTCCATCCTGATGCTTCTCCTATCTTGAGGACCGCCTCCAGTTCCGTGTCCGAAGGGCAGTCGTGGCCTATAGGATGCGCATCACGCTTGCACATGATACAGACTTTGGTTTGGCAAGTACGGCACGTGGCCTGGAATGGGTGTTTTGGGTCAATCTTGGCCCTGGGAGGAATAAATTCGCCACAATTGGGATTTGAACAGAAGATGCGGTTTTCCCAGGGCGTCGAAAACTGTTGTACGGCCTTGAGGAAGGCAGTTTGCTCCTCGCGATTGAGCAGGGATTTAATCAATAAACCCGGTATCGGCTGTATGCAGCACCTGGGCGGCATCTTTGTTTCATCCTTTACTGCCTGGTTGATCATGATTCCGAGGCATTTCGTGCAGTAGCTATGCCCACATGGCAGCCTCTCTAGTACTTGGTCCGGCTTGAAGTCTTCACGACAAGCGCTACATGAACTATAATCCCGTTAGCCGTTGGTGGCGCCGCGATCCGGACTGTTGACTAACTTGATAAGGGCCTCGGGGAATGGGGATGTCTTCCGTCTACGCCGGATCTTGAGAATACCATTTCTAATGCTCAGATAGCTTTTTCTTGTGCTCACACTCAGGAGACTGGGTGCCGAATTGTGACGCTCCGTTGCTGACAATGGCAGACTTGCATGTTTGGGCTGGTCCAGCCTCGGGTTAGCCTGCGCGAGCAGCTTGTCATACTGGGCGAAGACGAGATTTCGCGACCTCTTGCGATTGAGCGCAATCGGGGCAGGGTCCGACTGGCTTTCGTCGGCGGACATGGAGGTCAAGGTAGTGCTTGCGGAGCATTTGGACTCGCCCGAAGCAGTGCGCGCGTGCCCCGTCTCTGATGTTGTGTTTGAATCTATACATGGCGTATACTTTTCCGTGGCGGAGCGCGCACTGGATGGTCGCGGCACTGAGATGCCCAAATGAGCGGCTTTTGCAGACAGATTGTCAATATTTTTCATGGCCTCGTCAGAGTTCAGGCCAAAGACCTGACTCCAGAAGTCGGCCTCTGCTAATTCGGGAGGAGCGCATGCGACCATATCGGTCGTGCTGCCATCGGGGGGCGGAGGCTCTGGAGCCGGCATCGTCACCGCAAGCGGGCGTGGGAAGCTGGAGAGGACGAGAGGAAGAACTGGGCGGCAAAGGTCGAGTTGAGATATGCCCAGTTTCGCAGCGCCGTGGTGGGGTATGACAGCAGATCACTTGCCATCCAGTTCCAGTTCCCCCAATGCGATCAGTGGGGTGGTTAACGGTGATTGGGCGCGGGGCTCAAGAAACGACGCAGCATCCATGGACAAGTCTCGCTACCTAGGCACGTAGGAGGTAGCCCCCCAGAGACGAGTGATGGATATATGGCAATACAAGGCGGAATAGGTGACAGCTGTCGTGAAAGAGTATGAACAACTGGTTGTACGGCAGCCAAGTGAATGCGCAGTAATATCGAGGTCTCTATACAGTAGGTATTATCGGTCAAGGTGCGCCTTTGTTGTGAAGATCGCTGGCCAAAGCGGGTGGACGGTATGTACTGTACGTACCGTACTGTACCGTACTGGCGGGGTTCCAAAGAAGTTTGTTTGCGATTACTAGGCGATGATGAAGATGAAGGGGAAAGGTTGTCAAATGTGACTGTCGCAAAAGTCGTGGGGATTGTGCGGCGCGCTTGTGGTCAACAATGATGCAATGAATAAATCAATTCATCAATGAATAAACAAATAAATCGTCCGCTGGAAGTGGCACACAAGAAGCCAGGTGGGAGAATTTCCTACATTAGGTAGGCCAGCCATGTAGAATGACGAGAGGAGCTTTGTACCACCATTAACCTATGGGCCATGCAGTCCGAATAGCAAGAGGGTAATGCACCTAGTGGCATAATAACTTGAGCGCTTCTCTACTGGCACCTGGTTTACCTCTTGCAAGCGGAGGCGCGGAAGAGGCGTCAGGTGGCCCTTGGGCAAAGCCGTTCGTTCAGACCGCTAGATGCAGATGAAAAATGCTTGATCAATGCGAGAGAAGATTGACAGGGAAGTCCAAACATCAAGCTTGTACCCTGGTCATGAACGCCAACATACATGGGTTTAAGCAAACGGTCTCAAGTTCTATGTGGTCAACTTTCAAGAAGGGCCCCTGGGGCAGTTTTCTTTGGCTGGACTGATGGGGGAGGCAAGGGGATGAGGCGGGAAGGGGGGAACCGATGGCAGAGAGCTGCAGCCCGAGATGGAAAAAGCAGATGCAGCACAGCAGAGGCAAAGCAAGGCAGGGGGGTCAGGCAGTCTGTCTTGTGTCTCTCTGAATAATGATGATGATGATGATGAGTCGATCTGTGTCTACGAAAGAAAAGTGATGGACATTCACGACTTTCGCTCACGCTGTGACCTTTTTCATCTTCTTTTCTCTATTTCCATCTTCCTGTTATTCCGCTCCCCACAACATACGTCAATAAATGCAATGGACTCTAACCATAGCATTCCCTCTCCAGCCTAGATACCGGCCGATAACATATAGTAGTCCACCTACACAGGCCGCCGCTAGGCCTAGTTTTACGGACAGCTTTTACTCCATTGAGGAGGGCGGGGGTGTTGAGTTGGAATGCATGTCAATCCCCCGTTTTGATGATACTACATGATTCCTTTTACATACCTTGACTGTAATGCTTGTATCGTGATGGAAATAAGGCGACCAGCCACTCTCAGGCTCTGATTGGGGCAAGACGGAGAAGGGAGAAGGAAGAAGAACAATGGCCCCCATTGTCTTTTTCTGGCTGATGAGCATAAGATGGGATCAGCATCATTCGATCATCGAGGGGCCTCGGAATGTGCGGATCTGTACTCTCAATCGACCACTTCCTCCTTCTCTCCCTTCTCCCTGTCTTTCTCGGCTGGCCTTTCTATCAGTAACTGGCTGTACGGAATAAAACGTAGGTGGTAGTAGTGCCTTAGTTGGCGCTGGTGTTGGTGCTGGCAAAGCTGGAGCTGGCTGGTCTGCTGGTACCGCTATCTGGCACTTCGTGGCTCCGCTCCGCTGCTGCCGCGGTGGATCAGCATCGGCCAAGGAGCGACTGGGGTCTTCCCTGGTGGATCGCAGCGGGAAACCCCCCATGGAGACACCCAAGCTGATCAGATCGGACAAGAAGCAACACGCCTACATATTCCGATTACTTTTCCTGCAAGACGAAGGACACTCCAAACAGATGAGAAAAAGGACCCAACGATCACTTCCTAGGTGAACTGAATGAGCATGGAGCGAGAGCGGGAACCGGATGCTGTGAAAAAGTCAACTTTGATGCAAGATATAATGTATTCCCGGATAACATGCCGCCAGCACTACTTGTGCTTTTCCAAAAGTTCTTTATTTTCCTTGGCCAACCGCGGCCAACCTCTCTCCAACAAGGCACGCCCAGAATGCAAGCACTTTAGTACATACTACCGCAAGAAATGACGACTATTATACCCGCTTACCGACTAAATACTAGACACCTTGGTATGTAAATCGTGGCTTACCGCCGCACCCTTTTAGTAGCCGCAATGTAAAGGGAAATGTCCGAGTTGAGCTGGGTGACTTGCAACGGAGATTTCATGGCAGCCGCGGTGAGCAAAACATTTGATAGATCATCTACAGCTGAAGTCCTGCATGGTCCCGACGGACCTGGATCGCCTGGGTCGAGGCGCAACATGGATCAGCGCAGTCGGGAGCCATTGTGCGCCAAAGCCTCCTGCTGCACGAACCCTTTCATCATTGGAAAATGTGCCTTCAGGAAATGTTTCCCAATTGCCAAGGCCCCCCGATTTCTGTATGTATGCAAAGTTTCTCCAAGTTCAAAGAACGTAACCAGGGCTACCAAACCAACCACCACTGGCGCACATTCCCCAATATGACTTGCAGGCAAGGACTAGTATAGCTGCAAGCACACAGACGACCACCATGCACAAAGTCAACGGCACTACCAATGAGCGCATCCACTTATACACAGGATTTTGGTCACGCTGTGCTCGGTGCTCTCAACTGAAACATAAAAGCGCTTTTCTATGTGCAATGGCCTTCCTTGGGTTTCCAGAATGGTTTCTCAAGACGCGGCTACTTTGGGTCGCATGGCTTATTGCTAGGGACCCAAAAGATAAACACCATAACAGCTGTGCATTCATGGCATTTCAGGATCAATCGAAAGAGGCTGTGTAGGCTATAATATGCCTGGTATAAGGAATGATTCACCTGCTACGTCTCAATTTTCTTGCCAATCCCTCACCATTTGAATACATCGCGAAACCGCAGCTGTTGCATAGTTTTCACTCCCTTTCCAAAAGCAGACTATCCTTGATATTACCAAGCATATCGTAATAAAAGAATTGCCTTTCTCTCGAGTCATTCAAAAATCATTCCGATAAGTAAAGTATTGTCTTTCGCTTAATACGAAAATTGGAATTGGAGAGTCACAGAAATGAAATTCAGAGGGAGCCATCAATTCCCATCTCGCTAGATCCAGTCCCGGATACCGTTAAGTGCTAAACTGTATTTTCACACAAACCGCAGACAAGGTTAGACTATTGGACCAACTAGGTTTTCTTCAACATATACAGTGGACTTAACCTTAGCATTTGTCCGTGGCAGTTGCTCCCCCAAAAGAGTATTGACTTTTGCAATTTTTTTTCTCCTGCGGGGCGGCTGTTGAAAGGACAACAGAGAAGTTGGTCGGCCCAGCAGCGCTTGGAGACGAAAACTGTGGTCTGATCATATCTGCAACTTTCGGTCACAATCCCACAAGAAGGTCCGTCCATTCATGACCGTCCAGAAGCAAGGAACAACCCCGAAGGAAAGGACCATGTTCCAGCCACAGCTCACATCATCTAGAACACGTCCCTCAAAGCTGTAAAGAGCTGGCATGCGATCCAGAAGGCAACTATTTCGATGGCTCTTGGTTGAATATGATGTAAATCAGCGATAAGAGAAAACCCTTGTTCAACTTAAATTGATTACTCATGATCCAGAGACAAGAGGCATCTGGTAGTCTCCGCGAACCATCTGTGTGAAAGGAAATGGCTCACGGGGGTCATGCTGACTCTAGTGTTACTGTAGAAGATGAGACCACCTACTTATCTCACTGGATCATTGCGACCAAACATACAATGGGGCTACTTTTGTAAGTCTACTCTCAAAGTCACCAATGATGCGAATGTATGAACTTTTGCTCCATATGTCGGGGCATGAGGGGAAAGTAGTCTCGATTAGTTATTCGAGATTATCCTCTCTGCCCACAGTGTACACGTTTGCGACTTGAAAGCTATCTGCACATGATGCGATGAAAGTAGCTACATATGATCAACATGGCTCGTTATAAAAACCACTCGGAATGTGATTCCATCGTTGAAACAATACGTAGGCGCTGAATTGTAGCCCTCGTCGTATAGGGCAGCAGATGACAGGATAAAGACGTATTTCTAAAGACTCTGCAAGGTTTGGGAACAATGCTTTGGCGGAACCACATATTGCCTCTAAGGGGAAACGCATAACAAAGGTGGACGGTATTGCCATGAGAAATGGTAAGCCTTACATCTTATACGTGGCCACCTCGATTCCACTGCTTCTGTATTTCATTCGGGAGGGTTTTTGAAAAGGGAAGCACGCTCATCTTTCCCAGAATGTTGATGTATCATTTTAGGCGGGCACCACAAATTTATGAGGTCTCAATGAATGATTCAAAGCAGGGTTAAAGACTTTTGAAGGAAGAATCCTAGACTTTCTGTCCTAAAACCACTAGACATCTCTCTGTTGCTCCGTGTTGGGAATTCGGGATGCTTTGAGACTACATGCCAGCATTAAGAGCGAATGACAGGATCAGAAAGCGCACCAAAAGCCGTTCTATTATCCATGATATCTCGAAGATTCATTGACATGGTTTCATAGTCACAAAATCGACGTTTATTTCCATCGGGTTACTCCCAAGACAAACAGTAGGTTCATGCTGTGCATCTCGTAAGCTTCTTCTCCTTGCACACATATATGTTCCCTTACCCATCGCCGAGATGAATAGTCATGGTCTGGAAATCTCTACGACGGGTATAGTGCCTGACGTAGGAGTATGGAACATCCATTTTGGGAGTTGAATTAATGCTGACTAGAAGTGAATGAAGCTAGAATGAATCATTACCATGACAGGAAAAAGCTGACGGACTCTTTTGCTGGCAAGCTATGGGCGTTTCACCATCAAGAATGCTCATTGAAAACATGACCAGGTGGGTATGTTCGAGGAGCGACGGTCTTCAGATCACTACCATATTACTCTGGTCGGGAGGCTTGCTTGCTTGGGCGTGGCAAGATGAGATATTCTACCGATCTCTCCTTTGAGACTGTTTGTTCTCTTTGTTCAAATTCAAGTACGAATTGGACATGGGAGAAAGTTCATAATCATCAAGGATTTGATCAGCTGGAGTAAAATGCAAACGTTCATTGGCGACGAAGGGAACCATATAAATCAAATTTGGATTACCTCCCAATTTGATACTCTACAAGTTGGCCCCTATCTTTATATTAGACTGTAGTCCAGTTGAAGAAAAGTGTCAACACTGAATTTGCTTGAGAAGCTTGGAAGTGAGACCTGTTCGGAATCAAAAAGCTCTAGAAGTAGATGTCACCAACTAGCGCGCTAATCACTTGTTTAAAAAGGACACGTCGAAAGCACCAGCAAGTTGAACGATCCGCCGGTGTCGACTAAATGAAGCACACATACCACGGTGACTCGTTGCTCATCGTAGACGAAGGTGGCCTAATCAGGAAATGTATGGCCTAGGATAGTGACCAGGGATTCCGCAACTGGACGATGATGAAACTGTGCCATGGAACCGATCGATCGACGGCAAGCTTTGGCCTTCAGATGAAAAGAAAGAAGAAGAAGAAGAGAAAGAGACGAATCCCCCATCTGAAGTCTGATTCGCTTCCGAGAATCATCCCAATCTTGGGCATTTATTATCATCTACCGCGCCACGCTCTTGATTCAAAATGGCTCAGTGGGATGTCATGTCATTGCAAAGTATATCCGAGACCCCTGATGCAGGTCCCAAGGACCAAAAATTTGAATTGTATAGACGCTACCAGAAAGTCAGATTGCTTGGCATGAGACAATGTGAACTCGGTTTTCGCATGTTGATCCAAGATCCTGAATCGCCTGTCGAGCAATTCTGCAGATACTGGCAGCGAAGAGTGAAACTTGAGGATCTTCAAAAGCCCCCTGGATGCCGTCTCTGCTTTATTAGGGGTTCGGGAGGATGAGGGTCGCCTTGTCCCGGGGTTTGGTCATGCTGATAAGATAGCTAGATGGAGCACAATTCCAGGGCCCAAGGCCATCTTGGTACCTTGCTAGCTTCAAGGTTGTGTGCAGTGTCGAAAGGCATTGAAGACCAGCTCATTGCAGGTTTCACCATTGACTTCATTGCCAGAGGAGTTGGTACCAAGTAGTTAGTAGTAATACTAAGTAGTAGCTCAGCAGGCTCAGTCTCAGATGCTGGGCTTTCAGATCTGCGGATAGGTCATCAGCATTTGAAAGAGGGATCGCTCGTGGGCGACATGATGGTAGACATTGCACCCCGCCCACCATATTCAAAGATACGAAATATCTTTTATTAGCTACGAAGGCAGTGTCGAGGTAGCTGGGGGCACAGACAGGGTCTTAGCAGCACCTCTAGGGCTCTAGCTAAGCTCTGTGCCAGGTTCTTCGTAGTGCCGGGTGCTCGCGCATCGGCCAGTGCGTCGAGCCCAACGGTCAGACTGGGTCCAATCCCCTCGGTTCCTTGCCCCCCCTCCCAACCCTCGTAGTCAATCAAGTGCTCCAAACTTGACAAGTCAGGAAAGGCCCCGCAATCGCCACAAGCCCGGTCGGTACGTGAACAGACTCCATTCTCCAGAGAGCTTGGGGGGTGTAGACCCAAGACCATACCTAGGTAATAATCCCACACGAGCTCTCTACCTTACCTAGGAGGGTACCTACCCAACACTTGACAATCGTTACCTTTCACCTAACCCTGCCGCCTGATTCACCCGGCATTGATTTGACCGTCTTGATTGATTCATCCAGCATCGTCCTCATTGCACACACCTCCCACTCGACCTGATCAATGTGACTTTTGCAACCATTGGCGCCTCCTTTCAACCAACATGGCTGCAGACTTTAGCCGCCAGTCAGACGAACTCCCCCCTCTCAATCGACCGCCGAGCCTTTCCATGAATACCACCACCAGTCCGACGACCGAGAATGGCGGAGGCCACCTGCCCAACAGCAACAACGGCGCCGGCACGACCGGCGCACCCTCTGCTGCCGCCCCAGAGGTGTCAAAGGAGGTTCAGGATGTCCTCGGCTCTGATGTAGGACTCGCCCGCTGACCGTGGCCGTGAAAACTCTATGGGCTCGCTCGTTGACTGACCAAACTTGCGCGCAGATTGGTGTCTCGACTATGCTGAACCGCTTGAAGCAGAGCATAGTCTCGGCCAAAGAATTTGCCCAGTTCCTCAAAAAGCGAGCAATCTTGGAGGATGAACACGCCAAGGGCATGAGGAAAATCTGCAAAATGACCCAGGATAGCATTCACCACATGGATCACCGTCAGGGCAGTTTTGCTCTCGCTTACGAGGAAATGCTCCATCTTCACGACCGCATGGCGGACAATGGACAACAGTTTGCTGCCTCACTCCATCAGATGCACGACGATTTGCAGGAGCTAGCCACCATAACAGACAAGCACCGTAAAGGCTGGAAACAAAATGGACTCGCTGCCGAACAAAGACTTGCCGATACCGAAACAGCCATGCGCAAGTCCAAGAGTAAATATGACTCGCTCGCCGAAGACTACGACCGTGTGAAGACGGGCGAATCTAGACAAGGCGGAAAGATGTTTGGTCTCAAAGGACCCAAGTCGGCAGCACAGCAAGAGGAGGATCTGCTGCGAAAAGTTCAAGCCGCCGACACCGATTACATGGGCAAAGTACAGACCTATCAGTCGGAAAAGGCACAGATGATATCAACTACAAGACCGGAAGCGATCAAAGCCTTGCAAGATCTCATACGGGAATGCGACACGGCCACAACGCTGCAAATGCAGAAATTCGGTATGTTGAGCTCTTTGTTCCAGCCTCCCAGCTGGCCAGCACGTCTGTGGGATTCGTGCGTGGCTCAAGCAGGGCACATTGGCGTCTATGTTTTGAGTATATCGCTTCTTTTGGTCGACAACTAACGATACTCTAGCTTCCTTCAACGAGAAGCTTCTGCTTAGCAATGGCCTGGTCATTAGTCCTCTTAGGAACCAGCAAGCCAGCCAGTCGCGCAGCCTCAAAGAGGTCATACAGGCTGTAGACAACAGCAAAGATCTCGAGGATTACATTACCAGCTTCTATAGCAAGCTACCACCTAGACAGTCGGAGCCCAAATACGAGCGACATCCAGTGCTGAATCCGCAGACCACCATGTCCATGGCCAGTATGACACAAATGCACCAGCAGCAGAATCCGCCACCGCAATCTCAACCTCCACCTCCGCAACCACTACCGCAACCGCCAATCTCACAGCCTTCAGTAACTTCTCCTATAGGACAAGGCAGCCAGGGTTTCGGACCTCAATCTTCAATGGGCCCCCCTTCAATGGGAGCACCTCAATTATCAGGTCCGCCCCCAGGACACGAGAGAAGCTTTAGTCACGGGGCTCTCCTGAGTCACCCTAGCCTAAGCTCCCAACACCAGCCGCAGCACTCGCAGCAGCCACCGCAGAGTCACAGAAATTCGACGCAGGCTCTACCAAGCTCACATCAGAGATTTGGCAATGGTGGCTCAATCAGCCAAGCTCCGCCTCAGCTGGGAGCTTTGCCGTTCCAGAGCAGTCAGAACCGAAGTCCGTCACCACCGACACAGACTGGGCCTTACCAGCAACCACTGTCCGTGCGATCCGTATCGCCGCCTAGCACTGTGGGAGGCCCTGTAGCCGGCCCACCGCTCGGTGGAAGGTCTAAGCAGGTCTTTGGCGTGACACTGAATAACCTCTACGAGCGCGATGGCACAGCGGTCGCCATGGTTGTACATCAGTGTATTCAGGCTGTGGATCTCTACGGTCTCGCCCTTGAGGGCATTTACAGGCTGTCGGGGTCGGCAACTCACATTCAGAAGCTAAAGGGCATGTTCGACACTGGTAAGTTATGCAACGCTCAACTATCTGTTCGTAGACCTGTTTACTAATAATCGGCCAGATTCGAGTTCACACAATCTCGATTTCCGTAACCCGGAGAACTTCTTCCACGACGTGAATAGTGTCGCTGGATTGTTGAAGCAGTTCTTCCGAGACTTGCCTGACCCTCTGCTAACATCTGCGCGCTATTCTGACTTCATCGAAGCTGCCAAGCAGGAGGATGACATTGTCCGGCGCGACAGCATGCATGCGATCATCAACGAACTCCCTGATCCCAACTACGCGACCCTACGTGCACTCACCTTGCATCTACATCGGGTGATGGAGAACTCGGCCGTGAACCGTATGAACTCACAGAACCTCGCCATTGTCTTTGGGCCAACGCTCATGGGCACTGCCACCAGCGGTAATATTGCAGATTCTGGCTGGCAAGTAAGGGTTGTCGATACGATACTGCAAAACACGTACCAGATTTTCGACGAAGACTAGAGGCTGCTGGAATAAAGGGGACCTAGTTACGCATCCCGTGAATTGCATTCTAGCAACCCGGTGCTGTCCCGTTGCCGAAACATCTTTGAAATAGATATTTTGCAAAGTGGTGTTTTGCCAATTTGAACTCAATGAATAGCTACAATACTCAGCTGCCTCCGAGGCCTGGAGGGAAAGGGCCGGTCAGATACTGCGGAGCTGTAGTCAGTGCGTTCTTGTAATATATTAGGTCTAAAGGACAAGCAAGCAAAGGAGTTCATGGCAGAGGACAAATTCACAATTGTTTTTTTTTCCCCCGGAGCTACCTACTCGTGTAGTACATTCTCCTCGTGCTATATGACACTCAATACTCGATGATCTGTGTCTTGCAAGTGACATTATTCCTCAAGCTCATTTCAGAACAAGGACCGAGTTTCCTAGACTGTCTGACTTGACTGGAAGGGACTTGCGCATCGTGATTGAATTATTGAAAATCCATTTTGGTATCTTAGGCCGTACGGGTTATACGGCACATGTTTATTTACAGACGCATTCCCTGGATGCATTCATATATTTGAATCGCCACGTTTCCAAAATTTGCTCAACGCCAATAGTCATTATCGTCGTTGTTGATATACGAGGATATGCTATGGCCGCACAATGATGTATTCGGGCGAGGTTCGCCGGTGTCTATTCGTTGCCCTGAGGAGCCAAGTTGTCTTATGCGGCCACGGGCGCTGCTGGTCCAGTGCCGGTCCCCCGTGCATTGGGCGGCGGTGGGAGGAACATTGGGAGATAGGTGGTTGCGAGGGCCATTACTGTACATGATTGCAATCAGCGAAATGGTTCTCCTTACGATTATCATCTCTTGCGACTTTTGTTTTCTTGAAGAGCAAGACGAGCTGATTTAGAATGGAGGTATGAGGGAGATGAATGCAATTGGATACGGAAAAAAAGAAAAATAATTCAAGAGACACTCACAGCTCATGCCAATGGTAAAGTAGCCGGGTGTGGTGCTGGTCTTGGTGGCCTCCTCGCTCTCACCCAGCCAGCTCTGCACGCTGAAGACGATCGAGGCCCAGCCAATGTACCGGTTGCGGGTGAAGATGGCGGCCATGGGCAGCGTCGAGGACAGCGTCGAGCTGAAGTCGGCGCTGTCGCCCTTGGCGGCAGGCTCTTGGTAGGGCACAACTGCGGGTTTTTCCTCAAATCAGCCTTTGTTTGTCTGTTCGTCTCTTGATGATGCAGAGCCATTGGAATAGGGGAGAGGTTTCCCTTGATTCTCCACCAACTTGGGAAGCTTACCCAGATCAGCCCGGCGCATGTCTTTCTTGGTGGATGCCATGTCGACTCTGGGGGATTCTTGCAGATATCAGAAGAGATGGATGTCTCGAATTCGGGACGTGGTGGACAAGGCTGAGCGAGTTGGGCTGGCTGACGATGCTGCTGCTGCTGAGCCGGTCTTCGTTGGGATGTGTCGCGCGACGTGCAAGGGAGTTTCGTTCAATGAGAAGCAAGCTGCAGGCTACTCGGTTCCTTACCACAGCTAAACTGCACTCAATGCGACGAATGAATGAACCGTGACAAAGCTATCGGAAGCTTCCGCGACTAGGGGGGTCGGTCCAGAAGCTCAGAACTCCCCAAAAAGAGACCCCCATATTCCCAGAGAATGGCTCGAATGGCAGCTTCTGCCACCTGCCAGTTTGCCAGTCTGTCCAAGTCTGGATGGAAATTCCGGGGGTGCTAGGGGTCTCAAGGTGTCAAGGGGGCACTGGGTGACTGGCCGCTGTGGGTTGGGGTCTGTGCTCGCTTAGAGGGTTGATGGCCTGGGATTGCTAATTGGGATGGTAATAAATTCAACGCGTCAGATCATACTACGTACCATCAGGGCGACGTGATAAGGCGGCAGGTGCGATTTTGTGGGGTTCTGTACTCTCCGCCATTGCGTAGGCTAATAAGGTCATTGATACCGACTTGCACAGATTCTCTCTCCTGTTTGCTGAAAGTGTACGAACTCAATAACGTCAAACCTACCAACATTCCCCGGTCAAGGGCTCGTCACCGACCAGTGATATCACCATGAACAACAGTACATTAATGTTGTAGCACCCATTGGCTGAGTCTCGTGGAACTTGGAGAAACGTCTTATCATGAAACGATGACCGCCATGTGGCATGGCTGACCTGATGGAGGATTCGTCAAAGGCACGTTTGGCTATACCCGAGCCAAACACAACACAGCGGGATAGGTCAATGTACGGTATTTCAGGCCCGAGGGAAGCGCGGGCGGGCATCCGCGTGCTCGCCAAGATACATGCATGTATTATGCAACAAGTTGAGGCCTTGGGGCAAATCTGCTTGATGCGCCAGCCGTCATTTAGTGACCAAGACATGTGTCATTCGATTTTGCAGCTCTCCATAGCAACCAATTCCTTTTTTGAGAGTCAAATCGTGGAGAGACAATGTTTCTCAAACCCCAGCCAGCCTACCGGATGCTGTCGTGGTACAGAGTATTGTACAATACCCCGATCGCCTCCCTATTTGGCAGATACAAATGTCATGGTTCAAGGCCAACCGAGAAAAGTCAGCCAACGCCTAGGCCGCTCGGCTAGGTTCCTACCTAGGTAAGCTCTGTCAGCCAGAAAACCGAGGCTGGCTGACAGACATTCCGATTTGGTATAATGTGGAAAGTTTAGATTCCTCTAACCGATCTCCAAATGGTAAGATCTGGCTATAGCCAGTATTGCCAATGTCGTGTGTCCAGAATAGACGATCCCCCGCCTGTCATATCTCGGAGCGGGATTGTAATGCTTGCCTCACTCCAAGGTAACGAGGGAGTGAGATGGGTGGTTAATAAGTAGGTAGGTATGTTTTCCTTTTTTTTTTTTTTTTCGGTCTTGTCGGCAAATCAATCATTGTTGAATTGGGGTCTCTCGAGCCTCTCTTTGCTTATGCCGTTACACCATGAGATGATCATCTCGCGATGAAGCAATCGCTAGATTGCCCAACGTGACGCAACAAATTTCTTTGTCCGCTGATAGGTCCCTGAATGGGAGGTGTTCCATCAACTGGACTTGATGAAGGTAGCCATGTCAGTCATATGACAACCCTCTTCCATCTCCCGCCCTTTTCTGGTAACTGGGGAAAATGTTACTATTTACCAGCCGGGTTGATAGAGGTGGACTCAACTGATGGTCACGATTTATGATTAACTCCGCATGAGGTAAGTGTTGTGGATCTCGGGGGCGTTGGGAAGGTTTTGGTTGAACCTAGTCCCGCGACTGCGTATACCTACGAGCTTCTAACCTCCAAAACTGCAACATCTATTGAGTCATGGCGTTGTGGAAGAAATCCTTGGAAGTGCAAGGGAGCCATGTTGGAGGATAAGAGCATTTAAATGACTTGTCTGCGTGACGGTTGATGAGCAGTATTACCACATTATTTGCTTATACTTGTAGCTAAAGCACAGTGTCATGACTGTGGCTTTGAGATGGATTGAAGGAGTATGCATTACTGCCTTTGGGAATACGTAACTCAATATCTGCACTGTCTGCACCAAATCGAACGAGCTGGGTGGCGGCCAAGGATCTTTCTGTCTATCTACAAAGGCCAGTTGCATATGCGTCAGGCTCCCTACCGTATAATCTCAGTCTGCAGATTGATGACAGCAGTGTTAGTTAACATGAGGGATTGCTTAAGACGTCCTAGCTCATCCACGCAAACAAGCTCTTATGTAACTGGCTTGGTGAGCAAACACGACAGGGTATATCTCGTATGCCGTGTGGATTTGCCTGGTGTTCAGAATGGTCAAGTGTGTTGAAGGAGCAACTCCAATAATTGCCAAATATTCAGATTTGATCGGGCTCATTGGGTGGGCACCGAGTATCAAAGGATTTAAGCCCGTTGCTCTCACCAACACAATGCAGCCGGACATATGTTCATGGGGCAGAGCTACACCCGAGTCTATGCAAAGTGGTCTGAGAAAAGGCACGAGATGATTTTGGCTTTTTTCTCCCTCTCTGTTTCTGTCCCTGTTGCTTGTCAGAATGCAGAGTCAGTTCCGCGCAGGCATGTTAGTCGGCGGGCCATTTACTGCATGCAGAGAATAACAGATGGACGGACCGTGGAGAGTGCATTTCGAGTCAGAAAAAGGCCCGACCTGCGAGGTTTATCTGTAGATTTTATAGTAGTATATATGTGCGGGTAGTTCCAGATCTCAAGGCAAACAGTCTCCCTTTTCCTTTTTCAGTAATCACCAACATGCCATACTCTGTGCCAGAACATAAACAGTGAATGAATCATAATAACACGGGCTGAAGATAGACTGATGCGATGCCTCACTTATGCATCAGTATCATTCATCTTCCCGCTGCACCCGAGGGCAGCCAGCAGCTAAAGACGGCAAGTGTAGATCGCTGATACCCTGACCCACGAGTGCAACCAAGCAGCAGGGGGTTCCTAACTCCTAAGGAAGGGGGCGATGGACGGCAAAGGGAGGCTCCAGTTTACCTTGGGTCCCCCTTGAAGCCTTGGCAATTGAAACCTACCCGGGGGCCAGCGGGTGCCAGAATACGGCTGTTCCGATAGATTGCTGGGAACCCATGCAACAACCATGCTCAACTTTTGGTGTCCGAACACAACAACGTTGAAGCAGTGAGCAGTGAGCAGTGAGCATACACTGGGGTGGACTACGGATTCCGAAAGTTCATGGGTCTCTGTGAAGTTTGCCGTCGCTATATCTCCGCCCTTGACTACTTTTTGACCTAAAAGTGGCCTCACTACGCGGACTGAACGCTACAATTAGGGACACCTTTTTTGGACTCCATTCCCGAGTGAGCGATTGAACTTGCTCGGTGGTGCTGGCAGCCTCTCAACTTATTAGGCTGGCTTGGCTGGGGGGTTGGCCTGCTTTGCTCGATTCGGTTCCAGGGTCAAAGTTCCCGCCCGCCGCCCCCCCCCGTCCGTCTCGCCCAGTCGGTGTCGGGCACGCAACGCAACCACTATCGCTCGCGCTCGCACTGGCACCTGCCCGTGGGCTGAGTGGCTTGCTGCACCACCATTGGTAATCGGCCAACGTCGCTCCATCCCTCTCAACCTCATCTCACCACTTCCCTCTCACGAGACTTTGGTCGGCGGTAGACAGCACCCCGACCTCACGACGTTTCATTTTTTTTGTCTCTCTTCACCTAAACACGTCCCGACCGGCTGGCTCCCCGGCATTGCATCAGACTTGCACTTCCACCGTGCTTCACGACACCGAAGAAGAAGAAAAAAACAGCTCACACTACTCAGAGCCACCCGCGAGACCCGTCGTCGGGCTGCAGCCGCTTCAGTATCATAGACTTGCTTGGATTTTGCTGTCGCCATTTGCCATTCGTCGTTTTGCCATCATTGCATCGCTGCATATACATAATAGCCACAGTCATTGTATAATATCGACGACTCTCGAAGAGATGGCGCATTACGCCGTCCTCCCATCATGACCTCGCGGCCCCCATTGGCCGTTCAGCAACGGCAGCCCCAACGGTCCATATCCGGCTCGGGGCTGTCCCAAAGACCAGCGCACCAGCGGTCTCTCTCACAACAGTACCTACCGCCATCCCCTATACGAAAGTCGGACAGCTTCGGTGATGTGTCGGCCGATGTTGGTGCCTATGGTGCGCGAAGAGGTGGCTCAAAACTCAAGTTGGAGCTGTCCAACGATGGCATCACGCACGCAGGCTTCTCCGAGTCTCCCCAAAACCTCGACCCCCTTTCAGCCAACAAGGCCTTCACGCCGTCGCGTATGATGCCCCTTGGCGATGCGTCCCCTCTCGGTGATTTCAGCGCGCCTCAGTCGCAATGCCAGACCGCCGATAACGATTCGATTCCTCTTCCCATGCCCCCGAGGCGGGCGCGCTTTGTCGCGCCCGCCTCCAACCCGGGAAAACCACAGGCGCCGCCCCCTGCGCCGGTCAAGAAAGACGCGAAGCCAAAGCCTTTTGTTCTCGAGATTCCTCCCGACGCCCCTCGATACTCTAATATGGGCAAGGGCGAACCATCAGGTAAGGCGTCTCGGCAGCCTTGATTTCCGTAAATTTCAAAGCATCATGCAGCTGACAAGATTTAGGTTATGCCGATTTCAATCCGTGGACGGGCAACGGTCCAGAAGATCGCTTCTCGGATCAGGGAATTCGTCTAGGTAACAACTACGACAAACCCCCAGCCCAACCCCAATCGGAGCAGGCATCGGCAAAAGCTACTATTTTTCCTGCGCTTAAGCATAAAAGCGGACTGCATACATTGTCCACCTTGTTTACTGGTATCATGAACCAGCGGAGACACAGCGGACAAATTACTTCGGCTTCCACCTTTAAGCCTCCACCACGCGTCACCCTCACAGATACGAAGAGGGAGTTGTGGCTGAAAGATCTGGCGAACCCTGCCATTTCTCTCCGACGACTCAGCAGGACTATTCCGCACGGCATCCGAGGGAGAGTCCTACTCGACCAGTGTTTGAGCAAGAAAGTTCCGACAGATCGCGCCGTATGGTTAGCCAAGTGTGTTGGCGCAAATGAAATCCGAGCATTCAAGAGAAAAGGTGTCAATGGCCAATTTGTCATGGGCGGCGAGACAAAATGGATCAGAGATTGGACGGTTCATATTGAGCAGTTTGTGGAAAGCGTTTGTAGCGCTTTTGGTGAAGATGACTGGAAGATCAAGGTTACATATGCGTAAGTACCTTCCCGACTCCAAATGCCTCCAATTGGGTGCTGATTTGGATTAAAGGATTCGTCTAGCTACTCACCTGTACTACGAATATCTCATGGAGCGAGACCATTATATGGACTGGCTAGTTTCTAGCCTAGAGAATAGCAATCAGGCAAGATTGCCCATGTGGCTTCTGACTATTCGAATCTACTGGCAGGATTTACTACGTTCAAGGAAAATCGGACGACGATTTGTCACCGCGGTTCTGAGTCACTACGCTGCCATCTACAACCATCCAGACCGCGACATCCTTCTACCCTTGACAACGCAACTGCAATCGCTCCTCGAGCTTTTATTATTGGCAAGCCCCGACAGCTTCATCCATCCTTCAACATGGAACAGGTACAGAGGTGCGGTTTTGCCACTACTACAAACGGGTCACGAACCTCAGAAGAGTGCCGCTGAATCAATCGATCGTCGTGTCGAACGTCTGACGAGCACAAATATAAAGTCTAGACCTGCCGTCCGCAGCACTGCCGTCAAATTACTAGACATCACTTTACGAAAGCCTTACAGCCCAGACTTGGCTTCTCATCTGTGGAAACTCAGCGAAGACAAGAATGGTTTGATAAGGATATTGCTAGAATGGTGCATGTCATTGTACCGGCCCGGCATTGCCAAGCTATTCGTTACTACAAACATCTTGAGATCGTGGTCGACACTAGATGTAGACATGACGGGAGCCATTCTCGACTTCATGGACCAAGATCCTCTTGAAGAGTCCAGCCGGAGACATATGGTGTACCATCTTGTGTCAGAGTTGGTTCGGTCTGACCATTTTTCTGTTCCGCGATACCTTCAATGGCTCATTGCTAGGGGAGGACTGATAGACCCTGCCGAGACGTTACCCGAAGCTCCATGCTTGACTCGACTACTAGTCGAGCTACCAACACACAGCCTCAAGGACACCATTCGGAACCTCCGCGCCACTATACTTCGCAAAGGAGGGTTTTCTGCCTCGTTTGAGGCGGATGATATTGCCAGCGCCATTGTGTGTATCCGCCAGTCGTTTGGGCTTCCTCCCGAGAGAAATGATCTCATGCAGGCAAAGAAACCTATAAGCATGAAGAAGATTGCCAAACGCCTCACTCTGAGCAGTCGCGCACTTCAATCAGAAGTTGGCAATTGGCTTTGCAATGGCCTCGTGGCTGGTTTTGCGCAGAACACCCAAACTGGCAAGGAAAGTGTCGGACTATCCAGCTTTCAGTTCGACTCTATCCGTATGCTTTTGGAGGCAACTCAAGACTTTGCAATGCTCGAAGGATCGCTGAGGTTGTTACTACCCTCTTGCTGCAATGCGGATCTGCTTGCCTCCTTTGCAGATACTATTAACCTTCATTGCCAAGTATTCTCTGCGATCGGATCAGCCAAATCATTATTCGACTCCTTGTTGGAGCGTCTAAAGGCAATCAATGAGATGCAAGGCATCGGTGCTCGGCCGCTGCTAGCTGCATTGGCTCGCCTGGCGCCACGACTTCCCGGCCTGACAGACATTGCAGCTCACCTACAGCATGATCTCTTGAGGATGGACAGGAGCAATGCAGTCGATGCGTCTTCTCCGCTCTCCGACAACATGGCCATGCAGCTGCAAGATGATGAGACTGAATTGAACGAGCAGATTGAAAAGCTTGCTAGTTTCACCAATGCCGATAAATCAACCATGGAACGACTGTTTCGCACAATCATTAATCGTCTTCAAAACTGTTGGAACCAGGCAAACGAGAAAAGGCAGCGGCCATATTGTACTCTGCTCACCAGACTTCGAGTGTTCGATACCCAGCATTTTGACAATTTGATGAGGGATTGGGTCCAACATATTCGCAAGCTTAGCCACCGTCCAAGCATGCCTCAAATCTTTCCACTGCTTCTGAGTTTCGGGTGCCTCTCTGTACCAACCCTGTTTGCCACCGCCAATCGAAACGGCATGCAAACCGGAAACGCTGTGGGATTTGCTTCCATCTATGTGCAAGAGGTCCTTCAGCTTTTGGTCATGAAGCTGATACCGAACCACACCATGACTGCAGAGGACTGTTACAGACTGCGAATCATTCAGGAGCAAACAAAGGCCGACCGCGTTAAAGAAATGATGCTCTTGATCAGATGTGCATTGGCAGAATATTCGGCATCGAGAGGCCTGCAACCCCCAATTCCCCAGCCATTGGACGACGAAAACACTCGAAATCAGTTCCTCGAGCTGTTGCGCAGTCTCGTGCTTGTTGATCCACAAGCTGCAAGCCAGACTCTGTCTCCAAAAAGCCCGGACCCCAAGTTGTGCTCACTAATTGAGAACATGACGACAAATTTGCTAGTGCCCGAGGGTGGTGGTCAAAAGACTTTCGAGCAGGTGCTCGAACTAGCTAATGAGTTCACGCTACCGTTTTGCCAGGTGAAGCTATCAATGAATATGGCAACTGAGGACTCGAGCGGCGACGGTGGAGACCGACTTCAGTCGCAGCTTGCTCTCTTGTCGAAGGCGCTTGACAATGCCATTGATGCCAACAACATCATGTGGACGGGAATGCTTTCTTCGATGAGCCCGGAAATCACTCAACACATGAGAACCCGAGCAGAGGCCCGGTTTATTGACCTCATGCCGTCTTCAAAGGGTGCAGGAGCCGAAGATATGGATAGCAAGGCGGTTGGCATGTCAGAAAACTTACTCGCTGTCATTGACATGATCGTTCGCGGCACACCGGGCCCTAAAGCAGCGCCCATCTCCAGCACCGTGGCGGACAAGATTGCCGATCAATGGGAGATCATTTCATCAAGTAGCGCAGACTTGGCTCCATTGAGAGTCACAACCATCAAGCACTGGCTGCCGCTCCTTCTTTCGTATCTCAATCTTGTCGTACCGGGGGCAACCGACGCGTCAAAGCCGGCAAACGAGACACGTGCCCGGGTACTACTCGTGCTTGCCGGTCTCGTGCAAGAGCTGGAACGTATCCGCGAGCTCGAACTGTCTCAGCGCACATATGATATCGCATTACTGCTAGCAGACAATCTTGCCGACGACGCACGAGTGCAGTGCGTGCGTGCAGTAAAGGATGCGACTTCAGACCGTCGCATTCACTACCTCTTCAGCTACTGGCCCAATCCATCCGATAGTCTCATGTTGGCGCACAAGGAGAAACCTCCGCCCGGCATGGGTATCAACGAGCGGCGCGCCATGGCTCTAGGGATTGGAATGGGCATGCTACCAGAGCGGCTGACACCGTTCATCATGCGAAGATGGGAAATCCTTAGTGAGCCTACACCGAACGTGGGCGAGAACGACACCAGTCTCAGTTTGCATCTCTTTGATGCAAGGAAGATATAATGATATCGGATAGAGCCAAGTTCAGTTGTACCACCATTATCTTCTCATTGGAGCTGCGACAAGCTCCCGATTTTTTCTTTTTCTTTTGTTCTATACCGCATCTTCTTGGTTGGGTGATTCGAATGTGCTTTACAAGATCCCATCATAGCGAGCGTGGTTTACCTTGTGTGTTGTTGTTTTTCCCCTTTGTTTTCGTCTTGGAGTATAGGGCCACTTTAGATGCAAGCAGCGTTCTCTGTTGGTAAGAGAAAGGTTGAGTGGTCGCTCCCGCTGGCTCCAATCAATCTATCAATCAACGAAAGGCCCAGGTGGCGGAGCGTCATTCGTTATGACATGGCATTGCATCAGGTGGCGTAGGGAACCATGTTGTATATGTTTTCAGTCTTGTTATTCCTCTGATGATCTTGAAGTGCGCAATGGAAAGGCGGCCGGGCGTGTTGATGGTCAAGTCTACGTTGGCATACATACATATACCTAAGAATCTGGCGGCGCTCATAGTGTCTCCTGAATCCCAATACAAACCCAATTACCTATACATTTATGTCCCAATCTATTGTCGTTATATGATGTGATGATGTGGTCCGGAGAATACATGGCGCAATTGGTCAATGGGTAGAGTCGAGGATCGACAACTGCAACCTCTCTCCCCCTTTTTATTTTGTATCCTACTGCGTACCTAATCTACTCGCCAATCACATAGGTGCAGCCTTCGGTCCCCATCCATACCTCATGGACCTTGCCAGCATCAACATCAATGCGGTCACCGACTGAATATGTTTTCTTCTCGGGGCGGTCATCTCTCGGGTATGTAATGGTCAGCTGCCCTTTGAGAATAAGGTGAGTAGTGAGCCCCGAATGGGAATGTGGGCTGTAGTGAGCATTGCTGCGCGATACATTTGACTCGAGTCAGCCTTTTCCTCATGATGCCTGTCAAGACCGAGGGGTGGGCCAGAAAAAGAGGCCCAATTGTTTGCGAGAAAAGGGGAGAAGTAGAGAGGATGAATATGCGAGAGAGGCAGGTGATGTACACGTACGGGCCATCAGTCCAAGTAAAGACGTGAGAAAACCCCCAAGACTTGACTTCTGCCTCGTATTCTTTGGTAGACTTTTGCGTCATGATTGGACAGGGTGTGTGTTTTTGCAGAGGGGGCAGCAAGGCAGAGAGAGTACGGACGGAGTTGAGCGAGCAGAGCAGGGCAGGGCAGACAGGGCAGCCTTTCTAGCGCTGTCACTTTAATCGCAGATCTTTGGTTTCGGGTAAACTTCCCGCGCCCCAGTCCGTCTGTTTCCAGTGGTGCGAGGTGTACGTACAGTGCCAGAGCCAGGTCAGTAATAATAATATCAGAGTGTGCTCAGCAGACAAGATACTAGCAAGAAACAAGAACTGATCGGAATCTTTCCCCTTCAAAAGTCAAGGCAAAAAAAAAAAAGTCTGCCTTGTGGGGTTCGTGCCAGAGTTTCAAGTGGTTAATTTCCACCGTGGCTGTGTTGTGTATGTACGGTCAGCAATGGACGGTGTTGTGCTGTGCTGTGCTGTCTGTTTCTGTCTGCTCATTTCAGTGATTGCAGGTCAAGAGTGCCATGCTTGCTTCCAAATGACTGTTCCCCACAACAAAAGGTTTTTGTTTCAAAGGGTATTGGCGGGAAAGGGGATTTCAATGACGTTGGACTCCCCTTTCCCTTCTTTCTTGCTGCCTCACAGCCTCACCCCCCCCCCCCCCCCCCCCCCACGCAGCGCGAATCCCGGCTCCCCGATCAGGAGGAGCCAGCTGCCGGTCCTGGTCGGTCTACTGCTGCAGATATGCCAATCATTCAATGCATTGTGTTGTGTGTGTATGTGTGTGTTTTCCACTAGGCGTGCGTGTGACACCAGACGAAAAGCCAAGAGTCAGCTCTCCAGGTTCTGGACTCATCAGTGACCGAGCATGGCTTGGAACGACACGGGAGCGAATGCAGGCGCCGTCATTTTTTCTTGTTTGGCCTTGCAACTTTCCCCTTCCCTCCTTCTTCTCAGCCCGCCGCCTAACTAGGCAGCTTCTTAGTGCAGTGAAAGGTAATAAAGATGGGTAGGTAAGCAGATCGTGGAGGCAGGCGACGCGCCGTCGCCATCCGTCCAACGGTTGAAACCCGCCAAAGAAAAACCCGCCCAATCCAAGCAACCTCCGGGCTGGGCTGGTTTGCTGGCATACATACATACAATGATATCTGCAGGTGCGTTGAGCCACGCTGCCAGTCTGTCATTGTACATACAAAAGAGGCTGCGCAATGTTACCTAAGGTACTCTCTCATTTGAGCACACGACTCGAACATTGATCACAGTCGGTAAGTAGTAGTATGCCTTGGGCAGCAGCCACTCTCACTTGCAACATTGACTGCTATCAATTGATCTGTCATGTCACCTACCACAGTACGAAGCTACTACGAGAAACTAAAGAATGCTGCTGGGGACAATTTCCAACACGGATTACCGAGGTGAGATGGAGAACGTTTAATGAAGAGGGGCAAAAATAGAAACTGATTGTGCGGAGTGTCACTTTTTGGCTGAACTAGGGGAACTCTATTAACGGCCGCCGCTATCAGCGATCACTGCTGCTGGTGCTGGTGCTTGGCCTGCTTGGCTCCAGGGCTGGCTGCTAACAATGGAAACTGGGACACACGGACACCGGAGACACTCGAAAGAGAAGAAAGACCATTATTATGGAGTAGTCGGGGACGGTGTGTGGTTCTTTTTTTTTTTTTTTCCCCTTCTTGATCGAATCTTTCTGGTCTTCCAGTTCCGAAGCGGTGTCCCCACCGTCCCAGCCTATCCCCATACCCTTGACTTGCCCACCCCTGGTCTCTTTCGCGTGCCAATTTTGGGGGCTAGCGGAGACTACGCTTCTGCAGTCACATTGATAGAAACAGCAGCACCTTTCTTTCTTTGCCGACCGATGGGTGCAACCTGACCATGCTGCTACTGTGTAAACCATACAGAAAAGCTCAGCCCCCGCCAGGCGACCGAAAAGTCCTAGTATTCTGCATCTGATGCAGTTGAAATCTTTCTTGTGTGGATTAAACCAGGGTTTTGATGTTTTTTTGTTTGGTTTCTTCGTTGTCAATATGCAAACCGCGCCTCCCTCGTCTGACCGTGCAATATACGTCCAATGGCTCAGATCTGTAGGTGAGGAGAAGAAAAAAAGAATGAGCACTGGTTTTATTGTTGCCGTACTATGTAGAACTTCATCTTCATTCCCTAATCGCCCCGCTAGCATCTACATACTATGGTACACTACACAGTAGATTACCTACAATCAAGACTCGGGCCCAGACCTGCTAAAGCAGATCAATTTGGGTGCACTCTTTCTCTTTCGTCTCTCCAGTCCTAGGCTGGCTAGGGTGCGAGGGGGGGGGGGGGGGGGGGGGCGTGGCCTGGC